ACCAGTTCCCATCCATATAGCACATATCATATATCATCAGAAAGCCCTTTACAAGCTCTACAATATGGTACTGTTTTGGTTTTGATTGTCTCCACATTGGGCAACAGAAAAAGGAAATAACTTTGATTTTAGTCTGTTAAACAAAGACAGAGTAGATAAACTGCAGTTTCAATCACTCTAGTAACTGCCATAGATGAAAGAGATACAATCACATATATCATGGCACTATAGCATGTCCTATGTGTACACATAACCACCCCTCAAATACATGATCAGTGTTCTCTCTTGGCAGGAATAATCATAGACCCTTCACCACTACTAGCACAATTGCTAGTAATGTAAACTATACAGATATACCCTTATGCTATGATGCACATTGTGTTTGAGTCTATATAGATGTTTGTTATAGCCTGCATTTGAGTGTGCATGAAGCCGCAGGTATGTAGTGCCACCTAGGGTTACATAAACGCCTATTGGGAAGCATTAGAGCCTCATTAGCAGATGGTCAGAGTGGCTGTGTGCAGCAATCTAGTGTCTAACCCTAAAATTCCTAATGGAGGAGAACCCTAACCCTGGGTTTGTAAGCGGAGAATGTATGTGGCGCCTATCTCAACACTAATGGCTGATTAGCGGAGTTTCAAAATATTTTCCCACGGGCATCAATTGAGGTGTCACAAGTTGGCAGGAAGGTCATCCCATAAGAAATGATTTCTTTGTTCCTCATCAATCGTAAAACAGTTTATAACAGGTATACTAGTATATTTTAATATCCAAATTGCATACACTAAAATTGCATACACCAATAGGGTGAATCACTCAGAAAATTGTGATGTGTTGTTGCAGTGATTTTGACACTAAGACATGCAGTATTTCTGTACTAAATAGGAGTATATATATTACTCCTATTTAGACGGCACAGATACCAAAGAGCAAATAACAAATGGCAGTTTGATCAATGTTATTGAAAATTCATTCTCATCAATCGGACCTGCCAACCATGGCCCTCTCCACCCAAGTGCATTGAAGGAACTGCATTATCTGGACCTGAACATCCTTTTACTCCCATGCCTTCAATTGGCACCCTATGGACCTACAAATAGCACCACTGTGTAGAGCTCAAGATTCTGAATCTGACAGTATATAACACTTGATATTTTTATTGGAAAAACACTGATCTAGACCCAGATAAGTGCACAATGCATGATTTGGTAAAGTCTAATGGGCACTAGCAGATTCCACTGGGCCAGCACAGTCCCCAAGTGTCTGTGGTGCTTTGAAAAATGTGTTTGAAAAGCACCACTTTTGGTCCATGTTTACTTTCCTGTGTCACAAGTTGTCATCTATAAAGCACATAATATATATGATCAGAAAGCTCTTCACAAGCTCTACCACATGGTGCTATCATAGTTTCCATTTGTTTAGAATTGGACTATAATTACAAAGACATACTTCAATTTATGCATCCTGGCTTAGATTAGAAGAGTAAAAATGAAGTGTCAATCGCGCTCACTGCCAATGGTAGATGACACACAAGAACAGATGTGATGTTCCATGTTAGCACATGATACCTCAATTGATACATAGCTCAAGAGCCTTCTCTCTTAGTGGCATATCTCATAAAACTACTGCTACCATCAGATCAAAGGTGTGGAAGGAAATTGATGGAACATCATTTAAATTACACTATATCATATGTTATAAGTCTGTTTTGATAAAGTCCACAGTCTAGAGGCATAGTGAGTAGTGAGCGGCACATGTGCTGTGCAACCTAGGGTTACACAAGCACCCAGAGACTAGCTTTACAAGAAGTAAGAAATTAGAAATTAGGGCTAACCCTAAGCTGTACTATTGGGGTCCAACCCTAACCCAGGTTTTGTAGATGAAGGATGTATGTGGCACATATTGCAAGACTTACATCTGATCAGCTGAGTTTCAAAAAAATTTCCCACATACACGACTCGAGTTGGCGGGAAGGTCACCCCATATAATACCATTTCTTCATTCCTCATTGATTGTAACCAGACAGGTGTGAGAGGTGTCACTTTTGCCATAAACAAAAGGATTTTGAAAGACTGTAAGCCATTAGGGTGATGTGTAGTACCAGGGCGCGCCATCCTAGTCTCCATCAAATGGTCAGAAACAAGGATGCTCAGAGTACTGAACATGTACGCACCAAATGGTAGTGCGGACAACACAGCTTTTAGGGCCACCCTCCATGATGTGAACCTAGGTCGAGTTGACTTAATGCTGGGGGACTTCAATGTTGTTGAAGAAGCAATCAACGGAATCTTAGCCCGGGAAGACCCCAAAAGACAGCCCACAGTGCTCCATGAACTGTGCAATAGCCTCATTCTCTTCGACCATGGACCTGTAGTGCGCCCAGCCAAAGACGTGCATGAGCCCTAGCCTGCATGCTACTTTATATGTGGATGCAGGACCTGAGTCTGTCTCTGCTGTTGTGTGCCCTTGGCAGCCATGCATTTGTGGTACTAGACATGGAGGGTGTTCTAGATACGGGTCTGACTAGACTAACTTGCATTGTCTTGACAGAAACAGCGTACCTGATTTGGGTATTGTGCTGCGAGTGTGTGGTAGGGGGCTGTGAAAGCCTAGCAGGCCTGGCCACCAACTTCTTGTTCTAACTGACAAGATCATCCTTGGTAAGAAAGCACTGGCGGGCCAGAGTGTCTTAGATACATGGAATGGTGTACTGGAGAATGAGAGGGACTTACCTTTAGTTTGGACGGCTTCCCAGGGGGTTTTAGTGGGTAAGCCACTGCTCGCACAGGAGCTGTCGACCGGGAGGTAGAATCTACAACCCATCGCACCAAGCATGCAGTCCCTCACTATGGTATCTCTGGGTACCATGTGTGTAAGGCATTTCCTCCAGCGCAGACATGTCTCTAAGAATTGTAGCATAGAGGATGTACCTACCTCATAGCTTGCAATCACGTAGAAGGCTCACTAAGAGCTGCACTACATTGAGCACCGCCAAAAAAAAATTGTCTTAAATCAGGGATGTATAAACTAGTGCCTATGATGGAAAATGCAACACATTTGTAAAGATGAGCACATGTCTAAACAGTCAGAAACCAGTCTTATCTGTAAGACCGCCTCTTAGTATAAACTCCCTACTCCTCCTCTTGCATGCCTCAGTTGGTTCCATCCCATCTGAGGCGGTATGTCTCCTTGTGCTAACCTCTTCTTAGCCAACATACTGATGTAATACCACAGCTCCAGCTGACTGGTATCTAGGTACATTGATGAGTCGCTTCATCCCATCTGAGCTCAGGCTTAGTATCTAGTTCTAATACACTCCCTTCTTGCAGAAAATGGGGGTTTGGCCTCAGCAAGTCTTACAAGCAAAGCTGTATTGAATCAGGCAATGGCAATCCGGCAAACAATTATGGTGACTAAAACATAGGCAACATAAGAGCCTACATGACTAGGATCTCTGAGTATTATGGTGAGGAGTGAGGAACAGTACTGTACAGATTGAGGATACTAGGTGTAACCAAAACTATATAGTAGCACCACAATTTGTATTCTATATAAGCATCCCAATTCTTTGCTTTGTATTTTGCTTCATACAATGGCAAGGGTGATGGTACACCACTTGTTGTGCATGCAGACCAGGTGAGACCCAGACACCTTGCTGCACTGCAAGGACCAGACTTCTGACTACCTCTGCCACAATGTCTGATCAGGAAATAATACAGGATACACCCCCACCCAGCCATCACCCTTACTCCTTCCCACCAGCTGAGTTCCCCGAAAACCGCTGCTGAATACGCGCATAATGATCCATCTCGTCCTGACTCACGCTGGGCACAAGCTCCCGCAATGCGGCATTGAAGTCCTCCTCGGACACCAGCACCTCGGTCTCAGCCGGCGTAGCAAGCTCGCCCAGGTAGTACTGCGGCGTCATCGGGAACGGGTGCGGCGAATTGGGCGGGGGTGCTGCATTGAGTTCCGCTGTTGCAATTGAACATGAGTGGTCCCTCACAGTAAGAAAACGTGGAGATCGACTTACCAATGATTACCTCTAGCTCCTCTGCCTTGCGGGACATGGCTTTAAGAAGCGCATCAGCGCAGAGCGCGTAGAAATCGGCACCGGTATAGTGGAAGGGACACTGTTCCGCGACGCGCTCGAGCTTCAGGTCTGAGTGGAGGCGGAACTTCCGGGTGAGCGCCTGGAGAATGTTCAGCTGTGCTTCGTGTGTCGTGCTGACGCCGAGATACAGCATGCGGTCAAACCTGCAAGCAGAAGAAGGATGAATAACATATGCATAGTGAGGCAAAACGAATGGGCACATACCGTCCAGGCCGAAGCAGCGCTGGGTCAAGCAGATCAGGCCTATTCGTAGCCCCGATGACGAACACGTCCGCGCCCGTCTTCCCGCCAGACAGTCCATCCAGCTCCGCAAGCAGCTGGCTCACAATGCGGTCCATGACTCCGCCGGAGTCGCCATGGTTCCCGCGCTTGGGCGCAACCGAGTCAAGTTCGTCGAAGAAGATGACACAAGGACGTGCGTCGCGCGCACGTTGGAACACTCGCCGGACGTTGGCCTCGGACTCGCCAATGTACATGTTAAGCAGTTCAGGGCCCTTGACGGAGAAGAAGTTGAGCGCGCAGGAAGTTGCAACGGCTTTCGCGATGAGTGTCTTGCCCGTTCCTGGGGGACCGTAGAGCAGGACACCTAGAGGGATATGAGCGGCGTCAGGGAGAGGTAGGACCAAGACATACCTGATCGTTGCTTCAGCCCGTCTGCGAAGAGCTCGGGGTGCTCCAACGGCAGCTGGATGGTGTCCAGGATATCCGCCTTGACGTGCGCAAGTCCACCAACGTCGTCCCATGACACAGAAGGGATCTTCGGCGCCCCAATGCTCTCAGAGTACGACGCTCTCGCCTTACCCAAGGCAGAGTCAAAGTCCTCCGCGGTCAAGGGAATGCCCGAAGAGAACACGTCGTAGACATTACTGCTTCTGAGACGCCGTCAACGCTAGTCATGTCGCACTGGATAGCTCTACTCACAAGGCATCGATCGAACGTTGCACTGCTGCAGCCTTTGCGCGGGCAGCAAGGTCCACGAGATCGGCAGCAACGAGCGCTGCTGTTTGGACAGCAATGTCCTTGACTGAAACGTCCGGGGCAAGCGTGCTATTCGCGAGCGTCGAGAGCAGGATGTCATATCGTTCCGCTTCGCCAGGAGCCTAAGGAGGTGATGCCCTTGCGTTGAGGGGAGGTGCGGCGCGCTTATGATGTACATACCTCGAAGAGGACTTCATGCTTGAAGCACGACAGGATCTTCGGCGGTACACGGTCGTGACTGTCGGTCGTCCCAAGTAACAACACGGGGAACCCCGTCAAATTCCACGAAGGTTGCAAGCCTGCTATGCAGTCGCGAAGGACCTCCGCAATAGCCGGCTCTGTACAAACGTCAATCGTCTGTTATAAAGCGATGCAGTATATATACTCACCCTTCCCGGGCTCAAGACCCTGCGTGCTCTGCGCAAAAGCGTCGATGTGTTTCAGGAGAAGAATGCAAGGGGAACACGAAGCTGCTTGCTCGAACCGAGCCTGCAATGTTCCCTCGGTTTTCGCGTCAGTATCCCCTATCACATCATAGCAGTCGACCTAACGACACATCAGCCACAGACATCGCATCGTGCAAAGCGGTTACTGACCTCCAAAACATGTATGCCCAGCCGCTGCGCGACCCAGCTCGCCCTCGTAGACTTGCCAACACCTCTCGGGCCTTCCAAGAGTATAGAGAGCTGCAGGTGGTAATCAACCGCCCGGCGGTTCAGAGCAGCAGAGGCGAGCGCAAGCAATTTCCCATACGGGGTGTCCGGATCACGGATATCGTTCGCTGGTGCAGGAACTCTCTGACCTGTAGCACGGTGAATACACGGTGCACAGCGACAAGAACGGTGACCATACCAATACCAAGGTATTGAGCCATGTCCGGAACGCGAGCATGCTCGAGGCCTGTCTGCACCATCCGCGTCACCGAAGGGTCTACCCAGCAGCCGAGCTCGCCGGCCGTAGCGGCGATGTACATGTCCGACGAAGACACCTCGCCGAGGCGTGATGGAACATTGTGCTCCACGTTTGTGATGAGGAAGTACACAACCTCGTTGGGCTCGCCATGAGACTCTGCCCCGCTGTGAGCCAATCAGTACCTGTTTGGCACAGTAAGAGACCGCCACTAACTCGAATTCAGTATCTAGCTCATCCGCATCCTCGTCCTCTGAGGTGCCATGGTGCCTCAGCAGATCATCCGTGTTGATGGCTACCGCAATGACGTCTCCCTGCTTGACCAAACGCGTGGTATCCTTGAAGTACCCCTGCAGTGCCTGCAAGAACAATGGCTGATACGTCCTATCCGTAGAAAACGCCGAGGCGACTCTGGCAATGTTGACGGTGGTGGCGGTGGGTATCGTTGGCCGCTGGGAACCAAACGGGCTGGGGCGGATAGAGACCTCCGGATCGCGCACAAGACCTGGTTGTGAAGATAGGTTGTGTACGATCTGCGGAGATATATGTAGTCCACTACAGGGACCGCGAAGTCAGCGGGGTATCTAGCATCAACAGGCATTAGACTTACGGCCTGCTCGCAATGTCGTCCCGCGCGTGTACGCGTGCAAGGCGGAAGCTGTGCCCATGGCTAGACCTCACGATACCCTACCCAACTTCAGTCCAACGCCGTCTCGTGGCCATAGAGCGGACGTACCCATTCCCCATCCAACACACCTATGCGGCTCAACTCGGAGGTGCGAACGTAGACCGCGCATTCATCTTCCAAACGCGACACCTGCCGCTGCAGCACGTGTGCCCTGTACGTCCGTTCCGCGTGGCTGAGGTGCAGGTTGCCGTCCGCGCTATGCGCCCCGTTCGTGGCCCCATTCGCCTTGTCGCCGTTGGGACTAGGCGCGGGGGAAGCGGGGAGACTGAGTGGGCGGAGTACAGAGCCTGCAAGGAAGTCCTCCCCAATATCGAACTCGCCCGCCTCGGACCCAGACAGCTCGTCGAGGTCCCCATCCGGGATGTCGGGAATGGCGTCCTCGGAAATGTCTTCGTCTAACGCCGGTAGCGCTGAGACATACACTTTCGTAGTGCCGCGCCGTGCGACACCTTGCTGCACCGGGGCAGACATCACAAGCTTGTACTGCAGAGAGGCCGCAAGAGCGGCAGACGAGGACCCGGAGGCCGCGCTGGGCTCACGCGGCAGGGTGTAGGTCTCGCCCTCGCGAAGCACCATATCGTTCGTGAACAGCCAGTCCTCCAACGCGGTAATGTCCGTGGACGCATACGCATAGGCTTCATCCGACAGAGCTGAGAAGATAGCTTCGGAGAGGGTGACCGGGCGTATAACGGTGACCAGGTGGGTGGGTTCCGCGCCCACCGGCGCAGAGGGGAATATGGCGGGGTGCTCCGTCTGCCAGCGCGTCGGAAGAGAGAGCTCCTTGACCTATGCACCGTCACTACCACTCGCATCTTCAGCTAGGGCAGACTCACATTCCGGTCGAGCACACCCCAGCAGGTTATAGACGGAAGCCCGGCAGAGCTCCCAGCCTGTTTATTCCCAGCACGCGCAACCGAGAGCGCAATCCGCTCCTCCTCACAGAGCAGCAGCGCGTTCCAAACGTGCTCCGGCACTCGCGCGGTGTCGGCGGGGGCATGGTGGAAGGCGGGGGAGGCTTGTGCGTGGGGCGGCCGCTGGAACAAGAAGGCCATCGTGCGGGGTCGGCGTAGGCGCCCGTGCTGCTCTCTTTTTCACGCTCGTCCACGCCCGCGCCCGTGTTTTCTCCTGCCGCCCTCCGCTCTCTTCAGCGCGCCGGCACATTTACCACTCCCAGCGACTCCGAGAAGACGCTGCTGGACATCCGAACTTGACTAAAACCTGCTCTCTGGGACCTTGTGAAATATGAGCAGAGGACGCGGATTTGGCGGCCGTGGTGGTGGAGGTACGTCTGTCCAGCTCTGTATGCACGGCGCCGCTCAAGTGAAAACCATAGGCCGCGGTGGTGGTCGTGGCGGGTTCATGCAGAGGGACCAAGGCCCTCCTGACCAGGTCTTCGGTGCGTCCCCCGTCCCACCCGTCTCCACTCCTCCCCTCTAATCCGCCCCTGCAGAAATGGGCACCTTCCTGCACGCAGTCGAGGACGAGATGCTCTGCCAGTCGCTCATGCCGGACAAAGTGCCCTACTTCAACGCGCCCATCTACCTGCAAAACAAGTCCGTCATCGGCCGCGTGGACGAGATCCTCGGGCCGATCAACGAGGTCTACTTCTCAGTGAAGATGGGCGACGGCATGGTCGCGAACTCGTTCAAGAAGGGCGACAAGGTCTACATCGGTGGCGACAAGCTGCTCCCCCTCGACCGCTTCTTGCCGAAGCCCAAGGTTACCGGTAAGTTTACACTTTGTCCCGAGTGTGATTTCCGCAGTGCTCAAACTTTTTTGCAGGTGTGAAAAAGCCCCGCGGGGGTGCACGGGGTGGTGCTGGTGGACGCGGCGGTCGCGGCGCACCAGGCGGACGTGGTGGCGGACGTGGCTTCACTCGGGGCGGAGGCCGCGGCGCACCAAGAGGACGGGGCGGATTCGGCGGCGGAGGTGGCGGAGGCTTCGGTGGTGGTGGAGGATTCGGCGGCGGCAGCAGCTTCGGCGGCGGTCGCGGTGCACCAAGAGGACGCGGCGGATTCGGGGGAGGCAGTCGGGGCGGCGGACGCGGTGGGTTCCGCGGGTCATAGTCTGCAGACGTGCCCCAGTGTACTTCGCGGTGTACGAGTCTCCCGTTGCTTTCGCTCTTTCTTTCCTCTTCTGTCTGTATCCTACTCTGAGCGACGCTCTCGATCGCTCTGGCAAAATCCAAAAGTACATAATCCCAAGACAAAACTACAGGTATGGCTACAGTGAGGGTATACAGGCAGGTCTACATCTTGAGCGCCTTGATTTCGTCCGCGACGGTCTTCACGCGTTCCGAACGCTCCTGTTGTACGGGCACCGCCTGCGAATGGGCCAGTCAACGGCAGTCGGGCGGGGCATAAGTTGAGGTACACACCTGCTTCAGCTCCTCAATAAGAGCAAACGTTTGGGAGGCGACGTCCTCCATACGTTGGTGCGCTTCTGCCGGAACTGCATCGAACTTTGAGCAACGGACCACAACTACCATGAAAATGCAACGCACTCTCGTCCGGGACCTGCACGTCCTGCTCGCCCACCTCCGCTAGCGCAGCCGCCTCCTCCGCATCGAGCTCCGCCTGGCTAGCCAACAGTTCGCGCATCTGCCTCTCGATCTCCTCGGGCTTAGTGCGGCGCTCGCGGGCAATCTGGAGGTCCCAGCGGAGGCTCTGGTCAGAGAGGGACCAGATATGGCGGTCGAAGCCCTCGTCGAACGGCTCCATGTCTGCATTTCAACCGCACAGGTGAGCGCCAGAGACCCGGGAAGGAGTGAAAGGCGCACCTTCTTCGTCCTCGTTGATATCCTCGAGGTTCTGGCCGTTCACCCTCACGTTCGGCCGCGTCATCTCAAACGTCTTGTCGATGAACTGAACGCAGCCTCAGAAGTGTTCACGCGCCCCTGGAGAGCAAGCGACAGACCTTGTGGAGGTGGGCGAGGAGGGCCTCACGGTCTGCGGGTGAGTTGTTGCCGCTGAGCTGCTCATCGAGTGCGGTAAGGGCGGCGATGGTGTAGTTGCGTTTTATGCGGCGCCAGTCGTCGAGGGTCTCGCAGGAGATGCGGGGGAGGTCTTCGCGCTGCGCCTCGGCCGACATCGTGGGCGGAACAGCGTCGCGCCTCGCACGCGTCCGTCTCATACGCGTCCCGTCACGCGTCGGTCACGGCCATCATTGACAAGAAAGCGGATAGGATACATCTACTAGTACACAGCACACTGATCTACTCCGCGGCAGCGGCAAAGCCCTCGAGCTCCCCCGCCAACGGTGCGAGCCCGTCGAGCCACGCCGCGGCGCCCTCGACGTTAAAGAACTCGGTGCGCACGAGGGTCCCGCCCGCCTTGGGCACGCGCCCCTTCACCACGCCCGTCAAGTTCTGCCAGAACACCTTGCGCGGGAACACGTCGAAAAACTCAATCGCCTCCAGATGCGGGCACAGTGGCTCCCGCCGCTCCTTCACCAGCTCCCCCACCAGGTCCTCCAGCGTCCGGTTCCCCACCGACATCACCCGCAACGTCCGCACCGCCGGCAGCGCAGGCAGCATCTCCGCCCACCGCTCCGTCGTGATCGCAAAGTCGTACGGGTGTCTTCTCGTGAAACTCCCGCACAGCACTACGCTCTCCACCTGCGCTGTATCTAGCGGCCAGTCCCCGAAGAAGCGCGGTCCCGGCCGCGGCTCCAGGAAGATCGCCGTGATCTGCAGCGCGGGCGTGTGGAACTCCTCCGCGCCGCGGTACGCCTGCAGCGTCAGCTCGTGATGTGTCCATACTAGCTGCAGCCGCTTCGAGCCCTGTAAACACCCCATCGGCAGAGGGGCCGCAGAAGTGTACGCGGGCATGACCTCGGAGAAGTCGTCCCCAAAGTCGAGCGTCGCGTTCAGTGTGACGTTTGTCTGCGCGGGGAGCTCAAGACTCGGGAGGAGGGCCGCGATGCCCGCCGCGGGGAAGCTGTAGATGTCGAGCGTCTTGAGGTGGGCGAGGGACACCAGACGCGGGTCTTCGTTGAGGTCCTCGTTGAACGGGCCGTGGATGCGCAGGTTCTCGAGGGACGGGCCGTGGATGCGCAGGTTCTCGAGGGACGGGCTGCGTTCGAGGAGGTCCAGTAAGACGAACAGGGTGGGAAGCGCCCCTTCCAGGCAGATATTCGTCAACGCGCAGGGGCCTTTCGGGAGATACGGCAGGCGCATTCCGCGAAGGATGAGGGAGCGCAGCAAGGGCGCGCCGTCGTACTCGACCGGAGTCACTTCCGGAAGCGCAACGGTAGGGCGACGGGCGCCAGGCGGGAGCTGCAGTCTCTCGAGGAAAAGCTCTTCGAGTTTCGGGGTGGCCTGCAGCAGCTTCTGCGTGACGACGTCGAGGGCGAGCGACGGCGGGATGCTGACCCGGAGAACGCGCGTGCGGTGTATCTCTGCGGTGAGCGAGCGCACGGTGGCCACGATGGGGAGCTTCTCGGTGGAGAGTGAGACACGGAGGGGGAGTGCCTTGGAGCGGTCGAGGAAGGTGCGGACGCCCTCGGGGTGCTTGAGCGCAATGCGCGTCCAGAGTATGGGCGCGTGGAGGGCAATGTCGCGCCAGTGCCGGCAGACGTGGGTGACGCTAATGAGATCTGTGTTTTCCGTGGACGCGTCCTCGACGCAGGAGAAGATCATGTTTAGGAGTTCCGGGGGGAGAGAGTTGATGGGCGCGACGAGGTTGTGGATAGACTGGAGCTCTGCAATCTCCTCGTAGAGGCCGTGGACGGTTGCACGCCGGAGTTCTACTTCTCTGTGAATGACGTCCCGGATGTCTTCGACGGGCATTGAGTTGTGCATGAGGGCGGAACGCATGAGGGCCGTGCTCTGCCCCGTCGGTCGCTACGGCCAACTTGTTACAACCGAAGACAGTCCCCGAGTGCGGTCAATGCGGCACTCACGTCCTCTGCGCCGGGTGCAGTCATTCTGAGTTCCCCACGCGAGTATAGCTTGAGTGAAGAGAGTGGACGGAGAACAAGGAGAAGACGGGACGACGGCCGAATCCGAGAATCCCGGATGCGTCATTGCTAGCCGACTCAATGATCGCTTCAGACTCCGAAAGCACCTCCCCCGCACAACACAGGCGCGAGAACGCGAAGGCGGGATGAACGCGACCGTGAGCACATCCCCGAGCACGTCCGACCCCCGACGCCTCGCAACCCTCCCCGACATCCTCGCCCGCCTCTCTGCCATCCAGTCCGATGAATCCGAGCTCTCTGCGGCCCTCGCGGGTCTCCTCTCCGCCCACGAACCCATAGCGGCCTCCCTGAACAGCCTCAAGTCTCTTGCGCCCCCACTCGATGCCCTAGTCGCGGACACCCGCCTGTTCGACCAAACCGTCTCGTTTACTGCCCGCACTGCTCAGGATGTCGGGGGGCGCGTGCAGTCCCTGGATGAGGAGATGCGCAGGGTCCGGGAGGCCTCAGAGCGCGTCAGCCAGATCATCGAACTCAAGGTCCGTCCTCCGTCCTTACCAACGTCATATATCGCTGACACTTGCGCCGTTTTAGTCCTCTCTAGCAGCGCTACAAAGCTCTATTGACCAGCAGGACTGGGAAGCCGCTACCCGTCACTGCGCGAGGGCAATGGCCCTCCCGCTCGACGTCATCTCCGGCCCGTTCGCAGAGACCGCCGTCGTACGTCCCATCGCCCCCTCAGTGTCCCCCGTCCGCTCACATCTGTTCAGCCCACACCAGAGAGCCATCTTCCCCCCGCACAGACACTCCAAGCTGCGCGCGAACAACTCCTCGCCGTCTTCCGGCGCGAATTCGACAAGGCCTCCCGCGCGCGCGACGCGAATGCGACAAGCCGCTTCTTCAAGCTCTTTCCCGCCATCGGATGGGAAGCCGAGGGGCTGCAGGCGTACGCATCCTTCGTCGTCGAGCTCGTCAAAGTGCGCCCGCCCGCGTCCGCGAAGAGTACGTCCGTCCATCCCCCGCCATGCTTCCTTGCACCTAATGTTCACTAGCGTCCTCGCCGCTGTACTACATCACCGCGCTAACCGCGCTGTTTGAGAGCATCGCGCTCATTGTGGACCAGCACCAGCCGGTGGTCGAGAAGTATTATGGCGTGGGGAAGATGGGCCTCGTCCTCGAACGGCTGCTGCAAGAGGCAGACCGCGTCGTGAAGGACCTCGTCGAGGGTTGGGAAGAGGAGCGATCGATGAAGCGCAAGGTCGGCCGTAGCGCTCAATATGTTGCACACCGTTGCTCACGCTGGTATAGCTCTCTGACATCTCATCCACACCTCTGTCGGCGGGTATCCGGCCAAACACTGCAATCGACCTTGTAGATGAGGACTTGGTCGACGCCCGCGAAATTGACAAAGTACTCACAGAAGCTGCCAGCATGAGCGGGCGATGGGGCTTGTTCCGCAAGTTCATGCATGACCGACTAACGGTAAATTATTTGTATCATAAGAGGACCCCCAGCTTCTAATCATCTGGCTTTTCAGGAAGACATCGAGGATGACGAGGACGACGGGGACGAGGACACGACTCATGCGCGGACGAATCTTACAAACCCCTCACGTCCCCCTTCAAATAGCGGCGGTGAAGACACCATACCTGCCGGCTTCCAAGTGGTCGAGGACTCACAGGCCTGCAAGACCATCGAAAACATGCTCACCACATACTACACTCCCCTGGAAGTATGGTACACGCGCTGCGCGATCGAAAAGGTAGAGTCTCGCCCACTTCGCCCCCGATAACGCTGATGTGTCCCTCCCTAAGGCGCACCGATTATCCACACACGACCTGTCCCAAACACCAATCACCACCACGACCCCCGACGACGCCTTCTACATCCTCAAGTCCGTCCTCTCGCGCATGCTCTCGACCGCGTCCGCCGCCACGGTCGAGCGCACGTCCAACCAGCTCCGCGACGTCATGGACAAGGACTACTCCCGAGTGATCAAGCAAAAGCTCGACAACGTCTACAAAGGCGGCTCCGCCGGGCCCGGCGCGCGCGGGGAGAAGGCCGAGCGCGAAAACCGCCAGTCCTTCATCGTAAGTCCCCTGCGCCGCCCCCGTCCTGTCTGTGCCTCATAGCCCCCGCCCAGATCCTGCTGAACGACCTGGACGTGTCGTCCTCGCACATGGAGCGGCTTGCGAAGGACCTGGCCCAATCCGCGCATATCCCGCAGCACTTCCTCGACTCCGAGGTCGACGCCGTGCGCGCCAGCCTGAACGGCTTCGTGAACCTCGTCCCCAAGTTCCGCTCCACGCTCCGGGTGCGTTTCTCTCTTCCCCATCATATAGAATCCAATTTATGCTTACGATCTGACTCGAACAGGCGGGCGTGGAGCAGCTCTTCAACCAGCTGCTGCGCCCAAAGCTGCGGACGTTCATCCCAGACGTGTACAAGGACGTGTCGTACGTCTTGGACGAGGATGGCTACTCTGGGGCGGAGCTGCAGGACCTCGTCCGCAAGCGCTTCGTCAAGGCCTGGGAGGGGCTGATCGAGGGGTACAAGGTGAGCATTTGGCGCGAACTTCTGTGCGGCCCGTCGCTAAAACCGATGGTCAGGACGCATTTACGGAGAGCAATTACCGCTTGTTCTTCGGCCTTGCGCTGGACGTCCTGGTGCGCCCATGGGAGAAGTTTGTAGTCGGCCTCAAGTACAGCGAGGTGCGTGCCTGCTATCGCCCGGCCGAAGTCTTCTCTGACTTGGCTTCCATTCTGCAGCTCGGCGCGATCCGATTCGACCACGACCTCCGAGCGGTGGTTGCCTACCTCTCGTCGCAGACCGTCTTCGGCGACGTGCGCGAGAAGTTCGTCCGCCTGCAGCAGATCGGCACTCTGCTCAACCTGGACTCGGTGCGTGAAACGATGTCCCAGACCCTCGCTTTTACTGACATGAGACACAGGAGGAAGACGTGGACGAGTTCTACAACGGATCGGGGATCGCGTGGCAGCTCAGCCAGCAGGAGGCCCGCGCCGTGGCGAACCTGCGGGTATAGGATATACTAGATAGTCGGTCCCGAGCCGTATACAATCCGTCTGCTACTCTACATACCATCAATATACATCGATACCTTCAGTTATTGCGTGAACACGCCATAGTCCTCTACCCTCGCCTGAGCGCGTCAAGCCGTGCTTGCAGGGCATCCTCGTCTGAAACGTCCGGCGCCGCGGTGTCGCTCTTCCCACCACCACCAGAGGAGGGGGCGCCGCCGACAGGACCGCCGAGCGCAACCGCTTGCCTGGGCTCCGTGAGTGGAGACGAGACTGCGATGCCATTCGGCGCATCGGAAAGCTACGCGTAACGAATCAGCTTCACGCTCGCCGCACGATGCACAAAGGGGCGGAACACATACCTGCTGGGAGAGGTCGACACCGATCTCGTCGAGCACCTGCTTGAGGATCTTGTCACCCTCCTCTTCCTCATCCTCAAGATCGTCCTCCATGACGTCGTCCACCGCCTCAGACATCATCTCCTCCTTCATGTCCATCGTCGCGCTCTCGCGCTCGAACTCGTTCATAATCCGCTGGATCTGCGGCAAATTCAAGCCCCGGTTCATCGCGCCCATAGCCTGCCGCACAGCGTCAGTCGTTACGAGCGCAACCAAGTAACTCAGGTATGTGCACGCACGCGGGTCGCGCCGCGCATCGCGTCCGCCATCTGCTGGTTGCTGCGCAGGGTCTGTATGCGGAGCCCGACCGCCTGCAGCTGCGTACGCATCTGGTAGAACTTCTGCACGTAGCGGCGGGTGCGCACGAGGTCCTTCGCCATCACCTTGCACGCGTTCTGTCCGCACACACAACTCAGTCCGACTGGCAGCACACGGAGGGGAGGGCGGGGGCGGGGCGCACCATCTGGCCGGCCTTTGCGCTCTTCTTGATGTCCATGATGAGCTTCTTCTCCTGCTGCTCGAGCTTGGTGCGCTCGCGGTCGAGCTCGCGCTGCGCCTTGGCAAGCGAGCGTTGGTGCTGCCGCAGCCGCTCCGCGGGGGTCACGCTGCGCCCGAAGAGCGTTTCCTAGACATTGCGGGCCATTTCAGCGAGTACCAGACACACAGGGATGAGCGTGCGCACGATGATGTTCATGGGTGGTGGCGGTCAAGGAGGAGGAAGTGGAGATGAGGTCACAGACGCGCGCGCTACGCTCCTTGTATCCGACCACCAACCGACCACAGCTGCGCACACCATGGCCGACTCCGGTTCAGGGCTCGTGCACATCGGCGCGTCCTGCGCACTGCCGTCGTGCAACCTGAACGACTTCTTGCCCATCCGCTGCAAGTGCGACCAGCTCTTCTGCAGGGACCACATCCAGCCCGATCTCCACACCTGCCCGCTCCTCGCCCAGGACGCGCAGCCCGGCGCGTCTGGAGCTACTCTCAAGCTGCAGCGGTGTGCGGCTTCGAAATGCAACAAACCCAGTCTTGAGGCGTACATCGCGAATGCCGCGGACACTGCGGATCGGGCGGCAGCACTGTGTCCGGGGTGCAGCCAGGCGTTCTGCGCAGAGTCGGTTATGTCCTCGTTCCTCTGCCGACTCCCGCTGCTAAAAGTCCGGTTGATGTACAGGCATAGGGAGCCCAAAGCGCACTCATGTACTCCTCCAGAACCTTCAGAGCCTGTGCCAGAGAAGAACGCGGTGGCTAAAGCGCTCTTGTCCAAGCACTTCGGACCCTCGAGTACTGCTACTGCAAGTGGTACATCTCGTGCTGCTGCCTCCGCAAATCCCAAGAAGCTCGCGCAGCAACGGCAGCTTGCTGTTATGAAGATGCGACACAAAGCTAAACCCGCCGACCCTAAGGATACCGCGGCGTCCGTGCCCGTAGGCGAGCGGCTACATGTGAAAGTCCGCAAGGCGGAGGAGGAACCAGTAGCCGAGCGTATCCTGTGGTTCAAGAAGGTGTGTTGTTATTATTCTCGTCACTGAACTGCGCACTGGACTCTGCGTGCAGTCCATATGGACGGGAAGGGCGGTGGATATACTCGCCACACAGCTTAAGATGACGATCAGCGATTCGCAAGTGCGTCCGCCTTTTCTGGTGACCGTCTTCGAGGACCTTACCTGCCCAGCCCGTGAAATTGCTGTATGTAAACGACGAAGGGACGTCCGTGACACTCAGGACAGATCAACCGCTAGTAGACCAGATCCACGATGGAGCCTCCGTCTGTCTTTCCCGGTGACCCTCTATATGTATACCATACCATTGTACAACACCAATCTCAAACAGAGTCACCTCACACACGCTCGCTCCAGAGAACAAACCATTGGATAGTCGTAAATTACCATTACATTGAATCCCATAGCACAGATATGCAGATCGATCGAAAAGCGTATGGACATCACAGCCAGGGCGCCCGCTATGCTACCAGAGCAGCGAGCCTCCGCAGATGGGGCACATTCAGGTATGCGGGCACGTACGTCTCCAGCCCAGACACCTCTCGGGGCAGGGGCAGCTCGTACGGGCCGACCTCCTCCGTCTCGGGCGCAAGGAGCAGGTGGTCGTTGCGGTCGTTGGGCGATACTCGTGATGCGACGACGCGAAGGATCTCGGGGGAGATCGGTGTCTGACGGCACCGTGTCAGCGAAGCTTTTCCGCCCGAAGACCATACTACGTACCTCGTAGTCGGCGACGTAGTAGTTCGTGCACATGCGTTGAATTTGTGTGGGGGTGAGCATCCAGCACACGTCGTAGATGATCTCCAAGTCGGCCGGCGTCGACTTCTTGAGCTGCAAAAGCTTGGTTGCCTGCATCAAATGCTCGAGCTGGAGCGTGCCCTCGGGCATGTCGTGCGACTTGCACCACTCCTCTATGCGAGTGATGTTGTACTGGATTTGCATCGCTGCATCGAACGCATCAGTCACCGCCCTGTATGTCTCTCTCGCATATGCGACGTACCTCGCTTCCACGAAGAGAAGTTGCGCCTCATGAGGAGGTCGTTGAACGCGGTCACGCCGATGAGCTTGAGCAGCTCCGTGATGACCTGCTGTACCACGCTCTCCTCCATGTAGTAGCTCTTCAAGCTCCGCCACACCTTGTTCAGGAGGTTCAGGATGTCGTCCATGCTGAACGCGGGCTGCGAGTTCGAGTTCAACAGGCGATTGAACAGCCGTCCGCCGCCGTCCGTCGTAGTGAAGCCCGGCAACGACTGGCTCTCGATGAGCGCGGGGATGACCATCTTCGACAGCCGTTTCTTCGTCTCGAGCATCCACGTGTGGTAGATGTTGTACTCGAGGCTGTCCAGGTCGTGCTTGACCACCGAGACGAGGCGCTCGTAGTCCGCCCACTCGAATGGCCGCACCGCGTTCTCCTCGCCGGGGCCGATGCCCTGGAGCATGTCGCTCTCCGCGACGCAGATGAAGGAAAGCATCTCGTGGACGTTCGACAGCCAGAAGATGCCGGGTATAATCGCGTCCTCGGTAGTGAAAGACTGCATCGAAGGCGTCAGTAAACATACAGCATGCAAGCCTCTCAATACTCACCATGACATGCGACTGGATGGTCTGCATCACGTTCGCAAGGAACCGCTCGCTCTCCGGAATGAGCCCGTACTTCCACATCTCGTTCGTGATGAGCGAGATGAGGTTGGCGGGGAACAGGATCTCCTTGACAGCGGCGGGGCTCGTCAAGCTGGGCGCGGGTATCTTGAGTCCACGGATCAGGCCGTCCAGCACGTCCTCGTCCAGACGCTTGATGTCCTGCATCAACCTGATCTTTTCTTCCGCGGGGTCGTCGTACATACCCGACGAGCGGTCGAGCACGCGGAACTGCGGCAGACCATCTTCGCCGTTGTACGCAACAGAGACAGCGCGGGGGTTCGCCGTCTGGCTCCGCTTCGCCATGAACATGAGCTCGTCTGCGGAAGTACGGTGGTCGGAGGGGCTGATGGCGTACACGCCTGCAGAGCTGTGTCTCCGTTGGTGACTGCGAGCAGCAGCAGACATCGCTGCCGCGGCGCCGTTGGCAGTTGGGGCTTCCCCGAGACGAAGCGTAGGTGCAAAGGTCGGTGATGTAGGCTCCGCACGAACACCGCGAGTCAACGCGTTGAGCGCAGTCGCGCGGTTGAGCTGCTCGCGCAGGCTGCTGACCTCGCTCTTGAGCGTCTGGATCACAGAGCTGTCGTCTGCGTTCCTGACCGGGGTGCTGTCGATGGTCTTCTGCTGGGACTCTAGCTGAGCGGCCTGCTGGGCCAGCTCCTCCTGCAGTTTCACAATCGCTAACTCCTTCTCTGCAGCCTTCGCCAACGCCTCTTCGAGACGCTTCTCCACATCCTCCTTGGCCTTGAGGAGCACCTCGCGACGCGAAAGCTCCTCTTGCGCGCCTTGGAAGTCGGCCTGCGCCTGTTTCGCACGAGCATCCGACTCCTCGTGTCGTGACACGGCCTGAGTGAGCTGAGCTTCGAGCGCTGACACCCTGCCCTGGAGCTCCTTCTTCTCCTCCGTCCGCTTCTGGAGATTCTGGGTAAGCTCGACGACCTTGTTCTCCAACCGGTACGAGATCTCCTTGAACTTGGAAACGGAGCGCGCCTCTGCCTTGAGCGCCTTGAGCTCCTTCCGTGCAAGCCGCCGACGCATGCATGACTGGATGAGGATGACCTTGCTGACATCCGTGCGGTATTCTCTCCGACGAAGCCTATGCACGCACAAGTAAGCATCAATCAAACCTTTACTAGGAGATCTACGCACAGTCCGCGGAAGAGGCTTTGCAATGTGACGACGGCGAATGTGCGCTTTGAGTCCTTGAACAACCTGCGCGCCAGAGCACCACGAGCACCTACCGTCACACGGTAAGGACATTTCACACAAAGATACTACCACGGGACACGTACGGCTCTGAACGGCAGTGATAGACTGCCGGATGGTGAGGAACCGCTTGCGCTGGAGGTACCGCCGAATGCCACGCTGCAGCCGGATCGCAGCAACGTCGCGGCGGACCTTCTCGACGAGCCTGCGCGCAGTGATCCCCCTCCACCAGGTCTGGATCTTGATCGTCGCTGCACGGAGGTCCCTGTACCGCTTGACCGCCATGCGCCGCCGCATGTTCTTCTGGACGATGGTGACGAGTGAGTTGAGCCTGTTTGAGCGCAGGGACTCGAGCGCAGCGAGCATGCCCGCGCGGAAGAAGATCTTCGTCAGACCGGGCTGGTACTTGTCGGGGTCGTTGATCGTCTTCTCAAGGATGCGTGCACAGAGGGGCTTCAGCTCGAGGTTCTTGATCATGGGCTCCCATTCCGAAGAGTGAACGAGCATGTAGTACCTGCAGCGAGTGAGCAACGTCAGTGTTACTTCAAGGCGGGAACCGGTTTGTGACTGCAAGGCACACGTACCGCTCCGCGAACTCCTCATATGTCCACCGTGAGGGATAACCGGCGCAACTGATACGAATAGTCTCGAGAACACCACAAGCACGTAGTTGACCGAGGACCTGCTGAGGCGTGAACTCCCAGGCGCGCTTCTGCTCGTTCGGCTTGATACAACGAATGTAGTGCACGTTCGTCACGTTCAGCGTCTCCATAAGGTTGACCAAGGAAGCCTTGAAGATGGAAGCCTGGGTCGGCTTCTTCACCGGGCCTCCCGGACGTTTGGGGCCCGACGCAGCAGTAGCAGACGAGATGAGTGACTGACGGCCAGGATCTGGGATGACGGACGCGCGGCGGTTACCACCGCTCGGGCTGTCCGAGACGGTAGGCGAGGGTGGAGTAGCATCTGGCGGCTTCGTCGCAGTGAAGGCGGCGTCGAGGACCTCCTTCAAGAACATGTTCTTCGTGCCCGTGAGAAGCGCCATGTGCTCGTCCGGAACCGTATCCCTGTTCTTCTCGAGGAAGCCCTCAACCTCGTAGGTGACGTCGAGCGCATAGTGCGCAATGGTAAACGCAGAGTTTCCGAACCGTGGCTTCTTGAACACCTTTGCATTCTCCGGTTTGCCGAGCTGGTTGTGGAGCTTCTGCAGGAACGACTGGTCGGTACCGGAGGGGAGACGAGACTCTTCGTCCAAGAGAGCCATGACACCAAGCTTGCCCTCGATGACATCGATACAAGGCTGGTTGTCCGAGAACTCGATGAACGTCCAGTTGATCTTCTCGCGCACATACTCCTCTTGCTCGAGCTTGAACACATGTTGGTTGAATTCCTGCTGCAGCTTCTCGTTGGCGTAGTTGATGCTGAATTGTTCGAAGGAGTTCTAGAGACGATATCAGTGGCATGCACCTCTGAACGTTAGCTTGTACCCACCTTCTTGAAGTGCTCAAACCCGTAGATATCGAGCACGCCAATGAACATCTCCGCACGACTGGCAGCCTCACCGTTCTCGCCGGCCAAACTCTCGTTGACAATCGCGACAAGCCACTCGAACAAGCACGCGTACACGAACTTCGCGATACTGTCTCGCACGACGGATGCCTGCGCGCCGTTGAGCGACGTGACGATCTTCTCTGAGCGTGTTGTGATCTGCTTCTTGATCGTCCACTTCTTGAAGTCCGCAAGAGGGACGCCCAGAAAGCGTGTCGAGAGCTGCAGCGCGGGGTCCGTGTCGTCGATGATAGCGTCGTTGCGAGTCTGCGAGACCTTGATGTTTCCTAGGTGCAAGAGCGCAGAGAGCAGCTTGAACACGGCCCACTGCTTTTCGACCGAGATACCAATGGTCGAGAGCGCAATCTGCGTTTGCCGGAACTCCTCAGCATCGTCTACTCCCGCGATTGGTGTTGACTGGGGACCGCCCTGGCTGAGGTACTGGAACTTCGACACATCAGTATCGAGGCCGAGGTCCTTTCGCTCCTTGAGCGGCGCGCCGGCACAGAGTTGGTAGAAGATGTGATAGTTGCGCTCGGTGAGTGGCTGGAAGACGACACGTGAACGCTCGAGGAGGTATGTGCGGATCCGCGCGCCAACGATTTCTTGGTCGCCGTCGAAAAGAATCTATAGGATGTTAGCACAGGCGCGCGCAATTTGAGGTACGCGACAAACCTGGATATACTTTCCGAAACGCGAAGAGTTATCGTTACGGGTGGTCTTAGCGTTACCGAACGCCTCGAGCACGGGGTTGGTCGCGAGGATCTGCCGCTCGACCTCGCTAGACTCATCCAGGGACGCCTTCGTCCTTGTTCTTGTCTTCGAGTCTGGAGGGTTGACGGACGCGATGTAACGCATGATGAACTTGGCCTGCCAGCGAATGAACGCCTGCAAGGATGCTCATGTAGCATAACACTTACCGACTCTGTCTTCCCGGCACCACTGCATGGGGATAAGACGCGTGTATCGCGACAGCATTCAGTGACACGCACCTCTCGCCGGAAACGATGATAGTCTGGCCTGTGCCATCCCTGCTCATGGCGGTGTAGGCGTCCTCCGCGATGGCAAACAAGTGGGGCTCGAGCTCGCCTCTCCGGCGGCCATTGTATGCTTGGATGACCTCTGGGCCATAGAGGGCGACGCGTTGGAAGGGGTTGACAGCGATGAGGACGATACCGGAGTAGGTGTAGATACTGTGTTGTGCGTAACGATTGCGGATGGTATGAAGGACTGCGGAGTGGCGTTAACGACCTGTATATAGTCAGAGTATAATGCAGAAACGACCACGGACCAGAGGGTTCGTTCAAATGAGAGAGGGTTGCGAGGTCATCAGCAGTTTCGAGGAGGGGGGGATTGCGTAATGGTGGGAGGCCCTCCTTGCCGTCCTTGATGTCCTGCACCGTGGTATCGATCTTAATTTCCTGTAGACGGCAAGCAACGTGGATGAGCAGGAGGACGCGGAGGGCGAGGGGTGGGAGAGAGGGCGACCTTGCCGCGTTCATCTACAAAGACCAGCTTGACGGTGTCATTCGTGCGGGAGGCGGTTGAGACCTCTGCGGAGATCCAGCCGAGCTCCTTGTCGGGGAACCAGACACGGGTGCCCTTGCTGTATATGTTTTCAGCCATGGCGGGGGGACGAGGGCCGTCTGGTGGTCGGGCGGGTCGTAACAAGTCGTCAGCTATCGTCTGAGGCCAACTCCAGCTGCTCAATTAAGCCCCCAAATCCCTGTCACGCCCGTGATCGGCAACGTCACGCATCGTTACCATCCGTCCTGTGCTCTTCTTCCGCTCTCTCACTCATTCAGAAACACTCCAAGTAGCAGACACAATCCATGCAAGTCTGCCTGGCAGTCCTCACGCTTTCCCAGGCAAAATTGAAGCTAAAGAGACAGACTCTCCAAGTGCGTGACAGCCACGTGGCCAGGAGAGCAACGCGCGCCTAAGCGCCGGATCAGAGATGTCCTGGCCGGTGTGGCTGAAGGATCTGCTCTGCCATACATAGCCCCGCAGAGCATTCTGTCCCCTGTTCACCCCACCACCTCCTCTGGCTCTCGCTTGCTAGTTTCATCGAGCTTGATCCATGCTCTCTAGCATCGCTTGAGGTCATTCAGCCAGGACAAACGTCGCGTTCAACACCGCAGGAGAGTTCTCGGAGTGCCCACCAATTAACATGGCTACTGTCTCTGTTCTCAAGAGTTCGACCGTGACGGTCAAGAGCTCCAAGGTCTGTTTTCATTCAAAGTTCAGTCCATGAGCGCGCCGTACAAACTGCTTTGGATTCAGGGTACCAAAATAATCACGCGCCAGAAATTGCGCAAGGTGTGCAACTTCGTCGTTTCAGCCACAGCCTGCCGCAGCGCTGACCATAGGTTCTTCCGCACAGTACTCCTGGCTCCCTGACGTGCTCAGAGTCAAAGGAAGCGTGCGTAGCACAAATTCCTGAGCCTTGAATCATGCACCAATTTTCTCCAGATTGTACCGCGTATTATTGGTCCCGTCTTGACCGTCACGATCTTCGCGGCTGGCGCTGCCTATGTCTGGTCCAAAGGATACGATGTCTCCCTTACAAACTCTGTCGTCCCGTTGTTATCTGTCGTCGTGAGTGTCTCGCACACTGATGACCGCTCGATGCCACGGCGCTCACCAGCTCCACTGCTCAATAGGTTGGTTTAATTCTTGTATTCAGGTCAGTCGTGTGATCATGTAGGTCATAGCGTCTAATGTGGTCTGACACCTGCGCCGTCATTCAGAAACGGGTGAGATCTACGCACCACCTCCTGAGCGTCACCTTTTCTGAAACTCGGGTTAGCACCTCTTACGATCGATACTATGAGGGCCGCAAAGACTTTGGCACCATGGTCTCGCATGTAACTCTTCCCCTTCTAACCCTCCCCTCCCTCTCCTAATGCCTCTCTAGATCCGCAACCTCACGCGCCTCATCTGGATCAACGTCTCCAACCCGCCCCCCGACGACGCCGCCAAAGCCAAGACGCCCTCCGCGAACCTAACGCCCACCCAGCTCCGCCGGCGCAAAGTCGAGACCATCAAGCTCTGCATCGCATTCGCCTACGCGACCAAGCACTACCTCCGCGGTGAGGATGGCCTCGACTGGGAGGACTACGCCGGCATCCTCCCCGCGTCCGCCGCCCGCCTCGCGCGTGGGGCGTACGCCCCTGCGAACAAGGACTACCGCTACCGCGACGGCGGCGCCCCGACGAAGTCGCCCTCCGCGTACACCTCGTATGCCGCGACGGACTTCACGAGCCGGCGCGAGAGCGGGGAAAACACGGGCGCAAGCACGCCTGGGCTCGAGGTGGACGTCGAGCGCGGACGGGTGCGCGACACCTCGGCGGACGCGACGAAGCGCATTCGCGTGAAGCGCAGCAAGGACCGCCTGAAAGCAGCAGGAAAGACCGCGGCGACGCCGCTGATGAGCTCGCTGCAGCACACGATTGACTTCAGCACGGACCCGGACGCGCTATCGACGCCGTTGCCCATGGTGTACGCCTGTCCCATCCATGTTTTGCAAAGATCGCCGCTGACGTGCACGTATAGACTTGCACACGAGCTCTCTCGCGCGCTGTTCAAGTTCAGACGGGACGGCTACCTGGAGACCGTCGGGCCCGCCGGTGTGAACGCAATGAACACCCTGTCCGTCTCCCCTTCACATTCTCTCACTGTCCACACTAACCACGCTGCAGGATCCAAGGCATGCTCGACATGATGACATGCATGGAGCGCGTCGCGAACACGCCGATTCCGCGCTCATACAGTATCCACCTCAAGCAGTGCGTCTCGCTGTACCTCTTCGTGCTGCCCTTCGTGCTCGTCAAGGAGCTCGGGTGGGGCATGGTCCCTGTCGTGACCGTTGTCGCCTTCACGCTCATGGGCATCGAGGGCATCGCGGACGAGATCGAGATGCCGTTCGGTGCGTCTCCTTCCCCCTGGGTCATCCGAATGCGTGCTGACATTGATTCGACCTTGTGCCAGGGCTGGACAAGTCGGACCTTCCGTTAGGTGAGTTAGAGTTGCACCCCGCCGTCTTCCCTGCACCACTGACGCCATCACGCTATATAGAACGCTACTGCGAAGACCTCAAGGAAGAAATCGAGTAAGTTTACCTTTCGCCCGCTTACCGACCCGCGGGGGCTTATCATCCCCACCAGGTTCATGGTCGAGAAGCTGCCCGAAGGCGGGGAAGGCATGTACGGATACGACGACGGCGAAGGGGATGACTAGTCCAGCATTCCGCGGAGTACTTGCACGCACTTACGAACACTCACGATCCTGTATACCCATGCACAACACACCTGAGTAGAAATTAAAGTCGAGTGACACGCATATATGCTCTCCCAGGGTGATAATGCACACGCCCGCACTGCACGTACTCTACGCAAACTCCGGCTGGCAGTGCTGCCCTGGGCCGTACGGCTGTTCCCGAGCGTAAGTTGGCAAATGACGTGGGGACCGGGGCGCAGACGCACCTTCTCTGTGAGCGCCGTGAGACCGGCTGAGTTCTCGCTCGTATGCCGGCCGCTCTGGGGCCCTGGCTTTGGCTTCTCGCCCTTCGCGAACGCATCCAGCACCTTCTTCGTCGTCTCCGCGGTCAAATCCTCCTGCATACAGGGCGTCAGTGGCTGTCTCTATGAGACGGTTGAGACACGCACGTAGAAATCGTCGCCAACGACGAGCATGGGTGCATTCGAGCACGCGCCCTGGCACTCGACCTCAATGACAGTGAACTTGCCGTCCTTGGTGGTCTCTCCAGGCTTGATACCGCCGAGGTGGCCGCACACCGTGTCCAAGATATCGTACGCGCCGCGGAGCATGCACGGGGTAGTTGTGCACACCTGCACAAAGTGCTCGCCAATCGGTTCCCTGGCCAAAGTTTAGCATGCAGTCAGCACAGGGCGGGTGATCGGGACGCACCGGTTGAACATGGTGTAGAAGGTGGCGACCTCGTAGACGCGCATAGGCGGCATCTCGAGGAGGTTTGCGATGTAGTTCATGACGGAGATGGAGGTCCAGCCCTTGTTCTGGCGCTGGCCGAGGTCGAGGAGGGGGATGACGGCGGCCTTCTTGTACTGGGGCGGGTAGTGGGAGATGATTTCTTGTGCACGCTTCAAGTTCTCGGCGTTGAACTCGAAGGGCACCTGGGCTACGTCAGACGTTAGGTTCAAATTTTAAAAGTAGCAAGCTAACCTTCGGGTTGTTGTAGGGAGTGTCTCGATGCTAGACATGGATGTGTGAGCGCGGTCGGGAGGGACAGGAAGGGTGTGATACGGACAACGAAGAGCGCATCTGACCGCCGCGACGCCGAAGAGGAAATGGCGCGGGCCACTGGCCGGGCGCGGGGGAGGCGAACATGTTTTGTGAGGGCGCGTGCAGCGAACATGTCGGGCGGGAGAGAGCGTAGGGGATCGGTCAACGAGACGGACGGCGGAGAGAGGGCGAAGAGACGCTCGGTCGGGCGCTCTGGTGAATGGGCGGACGCGGACTGGCTGCAGCCCACAGCCACGTGGACCTGCCATATGCGGCAAGTAGTGTAATCGTCTCGCAGCGTTCTCCGTGCCCGGATGGTGAGAAAGGCTCCGGCGGTCGTAGGCTGGGTACATTGTTTGAAAGGCTAAATTACAATACGATCCTGGGCGGTGCCTACGCGACATCAGGAAAGTGGGCTCGTGAGCACCGCCGGGGGTCAGCAGGGCGAGGGGTGGGCCACTGGGCGCATCGATAGTGCTCGGTGCAGCTCGCTGTGCGCAGCGTCGCCGGGAGCAGAACACGCAGCGTATGGGGACGATAACGTTGCAAAAAAACGGGGGGGACGGGGAGCTGGAGCGGGGCTTGGGTGGTCCTGTGACGGACGCATCTTCCCGCGCCCACTGGAACTGTGGCCGAGTGCGCGAGTCGAGCGCCTGTCGCCGTCGCCCGCCCAGAGCCGACTCCCCTCTTCTCCTCCCTCTTCCCGTCCTCCACCCCCACCACCACCCGCCCATCGCCTCCATCCTCTGCACCCCTGCTCTCGTCCGACCCACTCGACTGCCCGCCCTGCTGTGTCTCAGCTAACGATTATTCTATCTGTCCCATCGCCTTAGCCGCCCTCTTTTCCTCCCACACATCTCCTTCCCTCTCCTTCTCCTCTCTCTCCCTGTAGCCCTACCAAGCCACGATGGCCACTCACGGTCCCATCAACGGTGTCAAGATTTCTCGTACGTCTTCCTCTTGCTCTGAGCCCCCTCCGACCCTTCCCTTCTCCCGGGCTCGCACCCACCCTCTTCCTACCCCCACGCGCCCAATTTCCCGCATCGCGTCCATCGCACCCTCTTCCCGCATATTCCCGTTCATGAACCTCGAACTTTCGCTAACCGATCCTTCTCTGCCGCGTTTCCACCCATAGCCGTCGACGATCCCCGCAAGATCGTCAAGGTTGTTGCCTCGGACGGCAAGTCCGGCGACCAACGCGACCTCATTTACACCAACTGCAAAGTCATCGGCAATGGCTCCTTCGGTATCGTCTTCCAGGCAAAACTTCTCGAGGAAAACGTCCCCACCAACGATATTGCAATCAAGAAGGTCTTGCAGGACAAGAGGTTCAAGGTCCGTGCGCCGCGCCTGCTCCACCATTCGCGGGCCCACTCACTCTGCGCCCCCAGAACCGTGAACTGCAGATCATGAGACTCGTATCACATCCCAACGTCGTCGACCTTAAAGCCTTTTTCTACTCTAATGGAGACAAGGTGAGCCCCCTTCCCGCCCTCGGCCCCCGCCCACACGCATAGCATCTCCCATGCCGCGACTGACCCCAGCCCTCGAACCCAAAGAAAGATGAAGTGTACCTCAACCTTGTGCTCGAATACGTCCCAGAGACCGTCTACCGCGCCAGCCGCCACTATGTCAAGCTCAAGCAACCCATGCCCATGCTCCAAATCAAGTTGTATATGTACCAGCTCCTCCGCTCCCTCATGTACATCCACTCCATCGGCATCTGTCACCGCGACATCAAGCCCCAGAACCTCCTTCTCAACCCCGCCACCGGGGTCCTCAAGCTCTGCGACTTTGGCTCTGCCAAGATCCTCGTCGCAGGAGAGCCGAACGTCAGCTACATTTGCTCGCGCTACTATCGCGCCCCGGAGCTCATCTTCGGCGCCACGAACTACACCACCAACATCGGTCTGTCCAAGGTTTCCAGTTACCGTAGCTACAGCCTTACTAACCGCCTCACGTGCATACAGACATCTGGTCAACTGGTTGTGTCATGGCAGAGCTCATGCTCGGCCAGCCCCTCTTCCCCGGTGAGAGTGGGATCGACCAGCTGGTGGAGATCATCAAGGTGCTCGGGACGCCGTCGCGCGAACAGATCAAGACCATGAACCCGAACTACATGGAGCACAAGTTCCCGCAGATCAAGCCGCACCCCTTCTCCAAGGTACGGCCACTCTTCCCAGGGTCGAAGACCCCCGTTGAGAGGTTATCGCAGGTGTTCCGGCCGCGCACGGCGCCCGAGTCGATCGACCTCGTCTCGAAGTTGCTCGAGTACACGCCCGAGGCGCGACTGAGCTCGGTTGAGGCGATGTGCCACCCCTTCTTTGACGAGCTCAGGCAAGAGGGCGCGAAGATGCCGAACGGGAAGGAGTTCCCGCCGCTGTTCAACTTCACTCGGGAGGGTACGTATCTCTGCGTTTCTCACGATATGCGGACGGTGATACTGAACTTTGCGCTCTGCAGAGCTGTCGGTACGGCCGGACCTGAACCGGCAGCTGGTGCCGCCGCACTGCGAGGCGGAGCTGGCGTCGCGCCAGATTCACCTGGACACGTTCGTGCCGATACCATTGGACCAGCTACGGATCTCCCTGGACTGATGAGCAAGAGAGCCTGAGCCCGAGCGCAGCGGCTGCCCAGTCTGCGCGGTGGGACTTGTAATAGCGCGTTTTTTCCGTTGCCGTTTCTGTTTCTGTTCGGTGTTCCGCCGCCAGCCCGTTGCTGCTCGTCCAACCGCCGCCGCCGCCGCCACGCTCACGCATGACACAGCGCAGTCCGCGCCTGGAGGGCCGCGGGGCGGCGGCGGGTTTCCCATCCCAACTCCCCTCTCAACCTCCTCTCCCGTTGTCGTCCTTATATATCTTGAATCGCAATGGCTGGGCTGTGGCTGGGCTCGCTCGCTCTCGTCTCCTCCGATCCGTCCTGACTCGTGTTTTGGTGACCCGATGTTTGTATGCACACGCGATGTTGTGAAATTGACCTGATGGCGCACGATGGAACGCAAACGAATAAACATTACCGCACATGTATGACGGGATTGCAGCATGAGTGAATGTCGCGATAGTCAGGCCAGTGAGGACCGATGGCGCAAAGCTGAAAACATACGGGCGGGGCTGGGCGCCTGGAGTGGCGCGATGTCGCGAGCTCCTCACGCGACCTGCACAATCGGCGTCTATTTCGGCCCTCACCCGTCTGCTCGCTAACCGCTGCGACTCTTTCCTCTTAACGCCATCCGCTTTCTCTGTCCTCCCCGTCCCTCTCCCCCTCCTCCTCACCGTCGCCATCTCTAAACGATGTCCGCGCAGTCGCTACAGGGCGGCAACAGCGCTGCTCGTGTCTGCGATACCCTCCCCGCACCCCGCCTCGCCTCCGCCGCAGACAAATCCTGCTCCCGCTCCCCCAGCCCATCTCCGTCTGCTCCCCCCGCCGTCTCCGTCACCTCTTTCAACGCCCAGATCCTCCTACCGGAATCGTCAAATAACACCCCAGACCGCACACCCTCTCCACTCCCATCGTCATCGGCGAACACACCAACCGGCGCGGGCCCCGCCAATCTTCCGGAGATGTCTTCCCAGCCCTCTGCGCGCAAACTTTGCGTACGGCACCAGCGCATGGCGGACGAGGGCACCAACCTCAAGCTGCAGCAGGTGAGCTCCCCGCAGACGATGCGTGCTTATCCGATGCGCCGCGAGCGAAGCGAGAGAACCTACTCGCTCGCCCGCGATATGATTGTGGGTCCCGCGCTCGGGACGGTCTGTGCACCCGCGCGATCGTTCCGGGTGCGCCCCGATGCGCACGGTCTCGCCGCATCTACACGTAAAGTGCGCGTACTGACCCCGCGCCCCCAGGCACTCGATGCGCTCCCCGTCGCCGAGCGCGAGGCCGTCAGCGCGATCTGGTCCGCGTTCTCCTCGTCGCCCCATCCGCGGCGCGCGCTCATCCTCCAGGGGCTCCTCACTATGTGCTGCTTCTCCCAGCTTTCGCTCCTCACCGAGCAGCTCGCGCAGCTCATCCGCATCGACCCCTTCGCCGTCCTCCCGCGCGAGGTCTCCCTCAAGGTGCTCGGCTACCTCGACGCCACCTCTCTTTGCCGCGCCGCGCAGGTCTCACGCCAGTGGAAGAGCCTCGCGGACGACGATATCCTCTGGCGCGGGATTTGCGAGCAGCATATCGGTCAGAAGTGCCTCAAGTGCGGATGGGGTTTGCCCATCCTCGAGAAGAAGCGCCGCCCCCTCCCACCCGCCGCATCTGCTTCGACGTCCTCTTCATCCGCGTCCGTGTCTTCGTCGCCTTCCCCATCGCCAAGCCTGCCTGGGCCGAGCTCTACGTCTAGGCTGAAGCGAGCACATGATGACCCGGAGCCAGGACCGTCCGGGGCGTCAACGCATTCAGCAAAGAGGTTGAGGCTAGAGGAACGCAACCGGGCAGCGTCCCCGCCGTCAGAAGCCATCGTTAACACCGTGCCCCCCTCCGCCTACCCTTCCAACCCCCTCATCGTGCCCCTTTCCGAGACCCCCGCCACCGACTTGAAAACCCGCCCGTGGAAGGACGTCTACTGCGAGCGCCTCACGATCGAGCGAAATTGGCGGCGCGGGCGATGCACCGTGCGCACGCTCAAGGGGCACACCGACGGCGTAATGTGCCTGCAGTTCGCGGAGACGCTCGCGCACCCGTCCTTCCCGGTGCTCATCACGGGCTCGTACGACCGCACCGCGCGCGTCTGGAACCTCGAGACGGGCGCGGAGGTGCATACGCTCGCGGGACACACTCGCGCGATCCGCGCGCTGCAATTTGACGCGGCCAAACTCATCACCGGCAGCATGGACCACACGATGCGCGTGTGGAACTGGCGCACCGGGCAGTGCGTGAAGACGCTCGAGGGCCACACCGCGGGCGTCGTCTGTCTCAACTTCGACTCGAATGTGCTCGCGAGCGGGTCCGTCGACACTACGGTAAAGGTCTGGAACTTCCGCACCGGCGAGTGCTTTACGCTCCGCGGGCACTGCGACTGGGTCAACGCCGTGCAGCTCTGGGACGCGAACGCGACCCCGACCGGGTGCGGCAGCGGCCCTAGTGCTCCCAGCCGGCTCGCTGTCGAGAGCGGGTCATCAGCACCACAAATCGACGCGGGCAAGATGCTCTTCTCCGCTTCGGACGACGGCACGATTCGCCTCTGGGACCTCTCCCTGCGCACATGTGTGCGCCAGTTCAAGGGTCACGTCGGGCAGGTGCAGAGCCTCAAGCTTTTGCTCGTCGACGACGAGCGGCGCGAGTCCAACGACCCCGCCACCGCCGCCGCAGACGCCGAGCTCCTCCTCGACTCCTCGCTCTCCCCGCGCTTCTCTTCCCCGTACCCAACCGCCTCCCCACTGCTGAAGCGCAGCCACACTACGCCCGCCGCGTCTGCACTGGAGTGGACGACGCCCGCCTCGCCGGTGAAGCGCCAGAAGCCGGTGCTGATCTCGGGCAGCCTGGACAACACGATCAAGGTGTGGGACATCGAGACGGGCAAGGTGCAGCGCACGCTCTTTGGGCACATCGAGGGCGTGTGGGCCGTCGCGAGTGACAAGCTGCGCCTCGTGAGCGGCAGCCATGACCGCACCATCAAGGTACGTTTCTTATGTTTGCGCACGGCGTTCTGGATGCTTACCGCGGTTTGTTCCTCCAGGTGTGGTCGCGCGAGGAAGGCAACTGTACCGCGACGCTCGTCGGACACCGGGGCGCAGTGACATGTCTCGCGCTTGGCGAGGACAAGATCGTGTCCGGGAGCGACGACGGGGACATCCGTGTCTGGAGTTTCAGCGGGTAGTGCAGCGTGTTCCCGAAAAGTTTTTCTGGGTGAGATGAGTTCAAGTTGGAAGTTGAGAGATACGGTGTACATTATATTGCCCTAGCGTATACCCCCGCATAGTTCCCCGCCTGTTGTATCCTGCTCTTCCCCGCATCCTGGTGGTCGCTTTACCATGCATGCTTAGCTTAGCTAGCTTAGATCGGCTCATGGATTCACTGTATCTTTCGGTGCCTTCCAGTCCACTGCGATTTTAGAGCCTGCAGTGTTTCTGTAGCAGTGCGTCTGTGCCTGAACAGCGCACCGTCTATATAACCGCCAGATGCCCGATTCAGCTTTGGGGTGGCGTGGCCGAGTTGGTCTAAGGCGTCGGATTTAAGTATTTCTTGATTCCCGATGGGAGTAATCCCGCGCGAGTTCGAACCTCGCCGCCACCATTTTGTCTGTACGTCCAAAACTCTACCTCCCCGCGGTCGCGAATATGGTCGCACCACGCAGTACTGTGACAATCCAAGCACCGATTGCAAACACCAGACACGACAAATATTTTACATGACAGATCCCAAGAAAGCCGCCCATATTTCCTTGATGCAAGCATGGTATACTCGTTTCTTGCTGACGACCGTATTCGAATTCCAGCGATCACCCGAACAGCTGTTTGATATTGTGTGTCAGATAGGACAGGAATACAGCAGTAGGGGTCCACGTACACCAGAGATGCTATCCTTGCCTCCGGGAATCTCGCGGACACTAAACAAACACATTGAGTACATTCAACCGCAGCTGTTTTCAAAGGTTCCGTGAGCAACATACCGGCGGGTAGGCTTGAATCCGCTGTTGTTGCTAGTGTTGTCGGGGGCGTCCCACAGACCAGCGACACTGGTCGTGCGCCTGTTCCTGAGATGTAACGTTAGATTTCCGCCCTGACTCCTACCCCAGGTCATGAGCTTACCTAGGCGCGTCCGCTGCCTGAAAGTCATACAATCACAGTCAACGAGCAACCCACTTGTTCAAAGAGCGAAACCACGTACAACATCACCAGCCTTGGGTGGTGCGCCAGAAAGCGCGTCCTCCTCCACGACATCGTCGAAGATGTTGTGCTGACGGCCACCAGGCGGGTCCCGTACACGGCGGGTGGGCTTGAAGTCGCTCACAGGCGGAACTTCTTGTGCTGAGCTTCGCGTTCAGCACGGTGCTCTTCCATATATGATGGGGCATACGTACCGGGGGCGGCGGCGGTAGCGGCGGCCTCCGTACCAGCGGAGGACGCGTCGGGAGCCGCACTCGCGTCGCCCGAGAGCTTGCCGAAAGTGGCGTAACCTACACCGTTGCCAAGAGGCTCAGTATGCTTAAAGTGATAGGGTGTACAGTGACTTAGAACACGCACGCGGCAGCTTCTGAATGTTGGTGAAGTTCGGGTCGACGGTGATCCCGGCGTACCTGCGGGGAAGCCACTTAGCGCGGTCTTTGTGCGCGGGGGAGGCGCGGCTTACTTAAGGAACTCAAGGAGGGAGCGTTTGGTAAAGACAACGCTGGTGCTGTCCCAGTCCAGCATACCTATGAAGGCGCGGTGAGGAGTGGGTGGTGGAACACAGGTACAGGCACGTACCAAGGTTCGCGGGCCAGTCGCGTTCCTTGTCCATGTCGATGGTGTTGGAAGGAGTGAAGCTGCTTGTGTCTGAGCGCGACATGCGGAGAAGAGTATGGCAGAACACTCACGTAACGGGAGAGGAACTCATCGCTGGAAAGGATATACAGGAGCAGAGGGAGATGGTGGAGGGGAATGAAGGAGGACTGTACCCGAACCCAGTCGCGTCGTTCCAGCTACGCGTGCCATAGACGCCCATTACTGTCATTACGTAAGCAATATTTCCTTGCGGAGAGTCCCGTTGCTCGCCGTCTGCCACAGTGAGCTCACTCTTCCCCCGTCCCATACGCCCTCTCCCTAATATTGAGCGCGATGCTGGCAATCGCTCGAAATCCGGCGCTGCGGCCGACTGTTGTCTCTGCTTCTCGCATGCTCTCAACAGCCTCTCATGCCGCCCCGTCATTTGCCTACATCGACCCTGCACATTCTCAGGACCCGTCAGTACTCACAACACCGAGCGATATTCCGCCGGCACTCAGGGAAGAACTAGAGAGTGCACTCAGGGTAGACCAGGCCGGAGAGCTCGCTGCAAATTGGATCTACAAAGGACAACATGACGTGCTGGGTCGGGATCCAGCCACAGGACCTCTCATCCAGGCGAGCACTGCTCTCCCGTCCCCCACCGCTATTTTTGACCTGAATGGACAGGATATGTGGGACCAGGAGAAGAAGCATCTCGCCGTGATGAACAAGCTGCAAATTCAGCATGGTATACGACCTACACTCCTCTGGGAGTTCGCCCGCCTTGGCGGGTACGGTCTCGGGGCTATCACCGCTCTGATGGGGAAAGAAGCAGCAATGGCTTGCACGGAGGCAGTCGAGACAGTCATTGGCGAGCATTATGACGAGTGCGTCCTTACCCGCGCTTATGACACGAACCGGGTGCTGACCTTCCCTGCAGCCAACTGAAGGCCTTCGAGCAGCTACCTGCGGACCATCCCAGTGTGCCGTTGTTAAAGGGAGTGATCAGGGAATTCAGGGATGATGAGTTGGAGCACCTGGACATTGCGGTAGAAAACGACTCGCAGAAAGCGCCTGCACATGCACTCCTGAGCACGGTGGTAGGCGCAGGGTGTAAGGTCGCCATTGAGTTGTGCAAGAGGTTCTGAGGGGGTTGCGGACATGTAGAGGCTCGGATACAGTATACCGGAGTAATTTGTAGAACAGACGTAGACATCCAGCTCAGTCTGAGGCCTCGGGTGCGGGCGCGATACGTGCAAGAGATTCGCCCTTGCGCTTGCCAACCCAGTTCCACTTTACCTGCAGGAAAATGAGCGGGGAAGCACCGAGAGGAGAAGGGAGCGTACGTCTTGGCTGTAGGCGATAGTGAAGATGGCGGCAGGGAAGACAATCATGCCCAGGATGGACTGCCTCGCTGTCCGCATGTTGAAGCGGAAGTTCTTGTACACCGCCTCGCGCTGTGGTTGGATAGACCTAAGAAACGTGGCTGGCAGAGAAGAGGGGGTGGGGGCGCACCATGGTGTTCCATCGCTCGACGGCGGGGTCGGTCTACAGCATGACGCAGCAGTGAGCGTATATCCCCAGTGAAGATGAGCACCACGCTACCTTCGTGTACCCTGTACATTGCGAGGGTCTGTCAGCTACGAGGGAAAGAGCGAGGGGGAGGGTGCGCACCGTGTCCTGCAGCCATGATGGAAGACAATCACAGAGTTGTTGGTCCGCCCAAGCGCCCAACTCTCTTCCGCTAACCACCATCATCCCCGTCCTTTCCCCCGTCCCGACTCACTCCCTTCCTCCGTCATGGCCTTCAACAGAGAATGGGATCAAGGAAAGCAGGCAGAGTACGAGCCTTGGAATCCCACAATGCGACCAAACACCCACATGCGTGAAGAGGACTACTACGGCGATAGCAAGCGTAGGAAATTCAACGACGGCGTGCGCTGCGGCTTCCTCCGCCTTCTACCCGGTTTGGCCTCACCGTTCATCTCACATAGGGTTACGATCCATCTCAAGCATACGACAACTCCGGCTTCGGTGGCCAACAGTACGACCAGGGCTTCTACCAAGATGACCGCCACCCAAGAGTAGGTGGTGGAGGCGTCGGCGGTGGCGGCCCGTACAACAAGAAGCGGCTCGTCCCCAGCGACCCCAGTCCTCATGTTATCTTCCTCGGCCTCGATCCCGACTTCACAGAGTCGGATGTGCGTCGCTCACCCTGCACGCCCAGTCCCCGCGCTAAATCTTAGCCACCTTCCAGATGCAGGCGTACCTGACCAGCAACAGCTGCAGCATCGAGTCGGTCACCGTAATCCGAGACAGAACTACAGGCACTTGCCCCTTCGTACTTCCTTTGCATGCAACAGCGCATTGACGTGTTCTTTCTCCGCCCCGCGCCCCGACCACGCACGCACAACAGGTGTCTCCAAAGGCTTCGGCTTCGCGCAGTTCACAAGCACCGAGCACGCCCGCGCCTTCGTCGACCCGCTCTTTCCCTTCATTCAAGTCCCCCCGCCCGCGTCTCATGGCGCAACCGCGACTGCGGCCTTCTACCGCGCCCTCGAAGGCGGTAACCCCGCACCCCCAGGCGGTCGTCGCATCAAGATTGACTACTCGCAGAGCGCAGCGCCTGGGGAGAGACGCGCGAAGGGGCCATTCCAGACGAACGATGGCACCCGCGACATTGGGAACACGCAGGCTCCTATACTACTCTTCCGCGGCCTTGACCCCCTGTCGGGACCTCAGGCTATTGCCCAGGCCATGAGGTCCTCTTCAGGCATAGGCAAGATCGGCGCAAAGGGTATGCGGAGGATAGTCCTCATCAAGGACAAGAGCACAAATAACAGCTGGGGGTTCGCATTCGTCGAGTTTGTTGACGTTCAGGTAAGCAAACCCCCATTCTAACACGAAGAACATCATTCACAGCGGTTTATAGTCCGCTTCTGCGGTGCTCGCAGCGACGATGTCGCCCCAGCTGCACCCCAATGGCTTCCGCATCTCGGATCGACCAGTCGCAGCTTCGTTCGCACATCCGTACTCCTTCCAGCCCATCCCAGAGCACGCGTTGCGCGATGAAGCATGTCTATTGTCGACGCCGAGTCTGGGCGGCACCGAAGGGGTATGGCTGAGGTACTGGGACGAAGCGTCTACGGCTATGATCCTCGAATTCAAGGTCGAGGAGCCCGCGAAAGCTACGGAAACGGCGCCCGCAGTAAAGGAGAAGAAAGAGAAGAAAAAGAAAGGTTTGTACTATTCGCAAGGGTGACTGAAGACCGCTCTTACACCCGCAGCAGATGCGAACGCACTGGGAGCCAAGGTGGAGGCGTCGGCGCTGCCCGTGTCTGACAAGCCTGTTACGTTGGCTTTCAAGGGCGGCTTCTCCATTGGCAAGCCTGGGCAGGGGGGTCCGTCTGGTCTACCCAAGAAGCCCGTGCCCCTGACGCAGGCCTTTTCCATGGATGACGGGGGAGAGGGAGATGAGGACGGCGCTGCGAACGAGACGACCACGACCGAAGATCCGAAGGGTTTGTCTGGCCGTTGGGAGACAGTTGCGCGTGCGGGTTGGCTGACAGATACCGGCTGCTGTAGTTGCCGCTGCTAAGAGAGTTGCGCCGTTGATTGCCAGTAAGAAGGTCAGTTGCAACGACTGGAGCTATGTGTCCGCGGGCTAAAGGACAGCGCGTCTGCAGACTGCCAACAACATCACCAAGTGGAACCAGGTGCAGGACGTCCTCCACCACGATGCCCCGCAAGAGATGCCTGTGACTGTACAACCGGTGAGCATCATTATTTCGATAGGTGTGCTGATATTCAACCGCTACAGGCTGAAACCCCAAAACCCGTTGTCATCGCTCCCGTGCATGTCCCCGTCCCAGCACCTACCCCAGTGGTGCCGGTGAAGGCTGCCACTCCTCCAGAGGCTGAGACAGAGTTCGAGTTTTCGGATACCGCAGCAATGACGTGCTTGCTATGCGCACGGAAGTTCAAGACTCTCGATCAGCTCAAGAGGCACAATAAGGAATCAGACTTGCATAAGGTACTTCACCGTCGCAACTCTCCCTCGATGCACCCCATATAACAAATACTCATCTTATTACTAGAAAAACTTCAGAGACGCCGCACTCCGCGAAATCGCACGCGAGAAAGCCACCGCCGCTCGCGCAAAGGCTCTGGAGGCTCAGGAAGCTCAGGAAGCGCAACAGCAGCAACAGCAACCCAAATACCGCGATCGCGCCTCTGAGCGTCGCGTTATGCACAACCAGCCGGACATCCCGCGACCCGTGCCCGGCGAGGTGTCCGCACCAGCGAAGCGCAAGTCAGAGGGGCCTCCGCCTCCACCGTCGCCGCCTCCACCCCCGCTCAACCCTGGCAAGGATGAGAACAACGTCGGGAATAAGCTGCTGAAGATGATGGGCTGGAAGGAGGGCCAAGGTCTCGGGACAGGCGGAGAGGGCAGGGTGGATCCAATGTCTGTATTCTCTCTGCGTTCGCGTGCTTCGACTTTGCTGACGTCGGTATCAGTCAACCTGCCATCTATGCTGCAGGTGTTGGATTGGGCGCCGCGAAGGCGAAGGATATCACGAAGATTGCGAACGATTACTCTGGCTACGTCAACCTGGCGAAGGATGCGGTAAGCCCGGAGCTTCATTTGACTCTGTTGCCTTACTAAAGTTCGCTGTCAGGCGCGCGAGCGATATGGCAACTGAATGCAGATCCGCTCGCCTGGAGTGTTGCTGTAGTTCTTATCTTATTCCGCTATCCATACCACTTGTGCTATAATCTTCGTGTGCTCGCTTGCAATTGTATACTGTCGAAGTGCTTTGCTCCTATTCTACAAGGTGTTCCCGTCATACATCACAACCCGACCCAGGTAAACTCCTTCTCCACTTGGAACTCGCTCTCCAGAACGATATCCTCGCTGCTCTTCCCAACATGCACCCCATACGTGCCCTTCGGCGCCTTCCACTGCTGGCCCGTCGTGTCCCAGTACGACACCGCGTACTTGTCCAGCCCGAGCACGACGCGCTTGCTCTCCCCCGGTGCGAGATCACGCGCCTTCGCGAATGCGCGCAGTTGCAGCCGCGGGGTAGTCAGCCCGATGTCGGGCAGGGAGACGTACAGTTGCACGACCTCCGACCCTGCGCGGGAACCGGTGTTCGTGACTGTGAGCTCGACCTGCACCGCGAAGTGATCTGCCGCGCCCGACTGCACGCTTGACGCAACTTTGAGGTCGGAGAAGGCAAAGGTCGTGTACGACAAGCCAAACCTGTAAACCGTTGTGAGCGCACGATCCCCAACCACCCCTGGGAGGACCGACGTACCCGAACGGGAAGAGCGGCTTGATGCCGCGCGCGGCGTAGCCCTTGTACCCAACGAGCAGGTCCTCGCGGTAGTGGATCTGCCCGTGCTCGCTGCGGAAGTTCGGGAACGCAGGGATGTCCTGCACGCGCACGGGGAGCGTTATCGGGAGGCGGCCGCTCGGGTTTAGCGCGCCGAAGAGGACGTCCGCAAGCGCGTTTCCAGTCTCGTTCCCCGCGTACCATGCCTGCACGATGCCGTGCACGTCGTGCACCCATGGCATCGCGACCACAGAGCCCTGAGAAAGGACACAGAGGGTCAGCGAGTGACATGGGGTGTTGCTGGTGTGGACTTACCGATTGGATGCAGACGATGGTGTTCGGGTTCGCCTTTGCGATGCGCGCAATGAGCTCGTTCTGGGTGCCGGGCATCTCCAGCGTCGGACGGTCGAAGCCCTCACTCTCCCAGTCGGGAGAGAGCCCAGCGACGACTACAGCGACGTCGGACGAGGCTGCAAGCTTCTCAGCCGCAGCCATAGCTTCCTCGGGATCGATCTTCTCGCAACCTCCAAGCCGCTAGATAGACATGCGCTCAGCGTTGTGGGTTGAGGCGAAGCACGGAAGGTCAAGACGTACCACACCGCGCATCAGGGCGGGCTGCGAACGGTCCGATTCTGTGTCTTCAGGGGCCTTGGTGTTCGTGTACTCGACAACGATGTCGACCGGCTTCCCCGCCGTCAGGGAGACGGTGCCCAGCTCTTCTACCGTACCTTGACTGCATACGTTCAAGTACAGGCGTCAGCGTTCAGCATCCCGAGTAGACTATGCAACAGCTCGCATACCCGTAGAAAAAGTCACCTGGCCGCTGCTTCGTCCAGTTGTCGATGGTCAGTTTGTCGTTGACGAACAGCTTCGCTCGCCCCGCAACGGTCAGGCCCAGTTCATAATCAGCCGTCTTGTCCATCGTCAAGCTTCCGTGAAGTTTGATGGTCCATGTCTCAGTCAGGCCCTTAGGCAGGAAGTCATTGAGCTTGACACGGGTGTCTTGGAGGACAAATTCTGCAACCGCGTCGCCTGTGGGGTTTCCGTTGGCATCGTGGTTGTAAAAGGTACACGACCAGCCGGGCTGCCCTGAAGGGGTCTTCAGGTACGCCTCGAGCGTCGGGGTGTACTTGTACGCTAAATCGTGTTCGTCAGCGATGACATCGCTAGCTCGATGTGTTGAGCAATGCTCACCGTAGCAGCCAACCGCGTAGTCGAACTCGATGCCTTTCGGTGCATTATCCACAATACCCGCGTAGGGAGTGACGATGTAGCTCGCCTTCAGCGCCGCAGACCCTCCGCCCGAGATGATCCTGTCCTTCATGTTCGGCCCAATCAGCGCAACGCGCTTCACCTTCTTCGCCTCTATCGGTAGGACGTCCTGCTCGTTCTTCAGCACGACGATGCCCTCAGCCGCCAACCGTCTGCAGAACTTGCGTCCCTCCGGTGAGTCGCGCGTGCGCTCTTCCCCGTCACCAAACACGACATCAGGGTTCCTCTGTGCCTGACGCTGCACAAAGGAGAGGATGTCTTGCGCGCGCTCGTCGAGCGTCGATGGGAGCACCTTCTGGCAAGAGAGCGTGTGGTTCACGAGCAACTGCGTGCGCCAGCGCGGCGGCCCGGGCATCTCGAGGTCCAGGCCGGCGTTGATCGAGAGGTCGACGCTGTACGTGCCGAACCTGCGAAGGGGAAGCGAAAAGGAAATGGCCGCCGGGGTATCAGAATGTGCGAAGGGGGCATTGCGGCGGCGCGACGCACCAGTCGCTCATGACGATGCCGTCAAAGCCCCATTCTTTGCGCAGGATGTCCTTTAGGAGCGTCGGGTTTTCGGCGCAATGTACGCCGTTGATTCTTCCGTACCTAAATTCGCACAAGATCAGCAGCGCGCAGACTGAGTAGAGCGGCGCTAAGAGATGCGCACGAAGTCATGAAGGCCCAGGGGCGGGCCTTCTTCTGCGCCAGCATGAACCTGACAGACCGGGCAATAATGCCGGCATGTGTTCGTGAAATGTCCCAGAAACGTCAGTGTTTGCGTGCGCACGGGTATAGGTATATCTCGCGCAGGGCGCGGTCGGACATAACTGATTCAGCGGCGGTCCGCTCGTGCTCTTGGTCATTTCCGACGAAGTGCTTAATGGTCGAAGCGACGCCCTGTGACTGGAGGCCGTTTACGTACGCAGCCGCCAAGGAGCCTGTTATATGGTCAGCGCCGACGTAAAGCGAGAGACGTCCGTGTGAAATGACCAGATAGGTGGGGGTCCTCTGAGAATGACTCGAAGGCGCGTCCCCCCAGCGGGTTGCGCTGAATGTTGCACGTCGGGGCGAGCAGAATGACGGAGGACTTGATCTTGGCCTCCTCGCCCAGGAATTTCCCGACCTCGAACAGCAGGTCGGGATCAAAGGTGGACGCCAGGGACGTCGCGCACTGAAGTGAATGGCTTAAATGACGCAAATGGCATTTAGAGAGCCGCGACGTACAGGGAGGCATTGCGCCGGAGTAGATACGAAGTGGGAAGAGCCTCTTACTCCCTAGTAGCAAGCAAATAGCGTCAATAACTTCGACGGGTTAGATGGTGTGTACTCAACAGACGTTGGGACCGTCGCTCATCCGGACGGCGGGGATACCAAGCCGTTCGATAGCATTGGTGTTCCACCAATTAGGACCGCTAAGGAGCTTGATTTTCTCATCCGTAGACAGCTTGCCGACCAGGTCGGGGATGGAGGCGTCGAGAAAGCTGCGAGACATCAGTTGGCGAGCTCTACTGGTGGGTCTCTGTGTATGAGGTGGGCGAGATGAGCAACGGCTTGTGCCCGAAGCGGGCCGTACCTAGCCTGTGAACAATTTATATGTTCAGCGTCGAGGCGGAGAAACTTCGGAAGCGTGTACAAACATCACGCGAAAGGAGGCAAATGACGCACCCAGCGCGACCTCCCAGGGCCTCCCTGTGAAATCCCGCATTACTTCGTCTTCTCTCTGCAAATGAAGGGGTGCGAGAATAGACGTGCTATATAACCCTGAGTAGACTAGATGCCGCGGAGTGTTACGAACAAACCCCATATGTGCCAGACCGGGGAATTGGGACGTTGCGGGTTGCAGCAAAGATGGTCGTACCTGACGACATGACGCCGACATTCGGTCTTTTAGAAGGAGAACGGTGTCATGAGATGCACACGAGCGCGGCGCTGGCTCTGCCGAGCGTCGATGGCCCCGGTGAGAGTCGCAGACCGTCCAAAGAGCGTCCTCCAACAGACGCCCAAAGGTGCGGACCGTGCACTAGATGGATCGGCCGATGCCGGCGAGTTCGAGGATCGTCTTGAACGTTCACCACGCCCACTCAGAATACAAAAGTACACATAACGCAAGACGACATAGCATCGCAGCTTGACCGCTCTCGCTACTCACCACACCACAGCCAGCTATGTCAGACGGCATCTCGGACACCCCACTCAACCTCGCCCTCCCCAAGACCGACGCCACCCTCACCATCCGGGTGATCAAGTCCTTTGAGTACCGCACAGAGAAGAGTCTCGTGCTGCACCATGTCAACCTCGAGACCACCACAGTAGGCCAGCTCAAGGATACGGTACGGCAAGGTAATCGATCGCGCTGCCATACGTCGACTTTTTTTTTTTAGCCCACTGACCTTCTGACCTCCTTGCTGCAGCGATACAAACTCAGGGCGGATGGAAGCCGTACCGCAATGCGACGTTCGGTACAGTTTCCCCTTTCTATCTATCAATAATCCGGCCCGCTGACCGTCGGGTGTAGATACGATCAAGCTTTATACAAAGGCGCACGGAGCGAAGGTCGGTGCTTCTGCTTCATCCTAAGCAAATTCACTTATGAACTGTTTTGTAGACGACAAATCTCATCATCAACCTCGATCACGACGAGTGGATATTCGAGGACGATTCGAAGACTTTGGCGGACTTGGGTCTCGGTTAGTCGTTCCGAATTAGGACGTGGATCGTTTTGCTGACTGGACTTTTCCAGAGAACGAGTCTGAAGTCAGCTTCTTTAACCGCGTTGCGTACGAGGAATTCAAGAAGCATCCCGATGTGAGCCCAGCTACCGGACTCCTCGTTGTAGCACGTCGCTGATATCACCTGCAGACCAAATGGGAGAGCTGATCGCAGGCGTAGCTGAAGAGCGAAGCAGATACCAGAAAGGTTGTACTTGTATTGTACCTCGGGGATTGTGTCACCACCGCCTACTATTGATGTATCATGCAGAACTGCGACTTGTGTCCTGTGCAGAACGCTCTATACCGCCGTGCCTGCTGTGGTGAGTTCACGCGTGGAGATGTCAGGATAACTCGTAATCCTCCGGTCAGACTTATAACTTGGAAATTACAGCGAAAGTCCATGTCCAGATACATGGGCGTCGCCATATGAATCTTGGCCAAGTTTGGGAAACCCTTTACTGCCGTGCTTCTCGCCTTGCCAGCTACTGGCCAAAGCTCTGCGTGTTCGCGCAAACACATCGATGCGGCCTCTTCCTCGTTCCCTTGCTCTTCACTCACCACCATACCGTGCACTGTGTGTCTATCTTTCCAAAGTAGAGGCTCAACGGAGCCCTCGTGATACTCTCGCGGTGCCGCCGTGGTTTTCGCTTGGTGCATGCCGCAGGCCGGGAACTCCCGTGCGTACGTGGCTGTGCTGTGCGTTCGGCTTCCCAAATGGGCGAGGATCTACGTTCAACCTCGTTCACCTCGTTAGCAGCAGCCCAAGCAAGGTTTCCTATTATTCCCCCCACTATAAGTGGATCACCCGGCGTTTTCCTGGGAAGTTGATCTTTTCTCTTTACCCCAACACTCCAGTGCAACCTCGACTCTGACCTACGGCAAACCCACTGTATACTACCTACTTCAGCTTATACCGACATGTCTGCTCTCGGGAGTGACAAGGTGCGTTCAGCAGAATTCACGTAGTCTCTGGTGTGGCTATCGTATACGTCTCACATGGTTCTTTTAAGCTATAGGAGGTACCGCCCAACGGCACCGGGCCCAGTCTGACTCCGGACATCATGCGCACTTCGATGAGGATGGAAGACGTACGAGACCTGGTTCGCAAGCCAGTCAAAGTAGAGCTCATGGCGCTCCGCAACCTCTACGAAGAAGTCGCGCAGCTCCAGTTTCAACACAACCGCGTCGCACCCATCAACTCACTCCCTATCGAGATGCTCAGCATGGTCTTCCCGCACGCCAACGACGGCCTCATCAACATCACGCACGTCTGCAGACTCTGACGAGCCATCGCGCTCGACAACCCCGCTCTCTGGATCAGGCTTATATAAAAGCATCCCTATGCCGTCGAGACATTTATGCAGCGATCCAAGAGTCTTTCTCTGGACGTCTCCCTCAGGTTCGGGAAGCAAGGGCTCGACGGGGGCGTCTTCCGCGCCATCGGCATCAATGAACTCCCCCGCACGAGAAGTCTCCACATGAGCCTCCCACCATCCATGGCCGAGAGGCTCGCGGGAAAGGTGCTCAGGTCAATCAGCCCGCTGCGAGAGGAGCTGTCGATCAAGGAATACCCGTATCCCACGGTGTCCACCTACGAAACGGCAGGGGCAACCATTCGATGTTTGTAGTTGATACAGAGCTTGTCGTCCCTCAGAACATGATATGCACCAGTTATACACCAGCTCCAGTAAGTAGCAGTAACAGACTAAGAACGAGCAGCCTGAGATATCAGGATTTGCGCCGCGGCTATGCTATGCAATTAGTGCGAGAATGTCGGATTAGGCGGACCGCGGCCCGAGTTTGACTATCTACTAACGCTTAAAATTTAACGTTCAACTATGAGCCTCATCAACTTACCTCAGACTACTACTGACGCGCCACCGCCAAACGTGCTGGCAGATGTTCCCCAACACAGCGACGGACTCTGATGAGTTTGTACTCGACTGTCGGGATGCGGACGTATGTTTTCAACTCTGCATTCATCACTTGCACCGTTCCCAGCCCGTAACCATTGATTTATACGTACTCGGACAGGACAAACAAATCAGCGACACCAGGCCCGAATCGCTGCTGCGCCTGGCTCTCGTGCACAACTTGATGCCAGCAGAGGACGTCAGGGACGCGGTCCGCAAGGAAGTCGAGTCGCGGCGCACGACGATTCACACCCTCCAGGAAGAGATCGCCCGGCTGCATTCCGTCTACAACCTCGCCGCGCCCATCAACTCACTCCCACCCGAGCTGCTCGGCATGGCCTTCTCCCACCTTGGAAGCCGCTCGACACGAAAGGCGGATCTAGTTAGTGCCACGCACGTCTGTCGGCACTGGCGCGATGTCGCCCTGCACGACCCCGCGCTATGGGCACACGTTGGACACAAGCACCCGGAGGGCGTGAAGACCTTTCTGCAGCGCTCCAAGGCGCTTCCGGTGGATGTCACTCTTGTCACCCCGGAGCTCAGGCCTCAGGACCCGGGCAACTCCACCAAATGTCTCTCCCCGATCGCGTACTTTGACTTCCTAATATGGTAATGACCCTTGTCCAAGTTGGCGTATTTGACGCCTAGAAATGTCGTTAAGCGCCCATATCCCTGTCCAAGTTGGCGTATTTGAGGGTGTTTTCGTGGCCGCTATGTGGGCGCTTAATGAATTGTTAGTGTATTCTATGTCATAAACCTGGTAGAGTGCTGTTTCGCCACGGCGTTACAGCAAAGAGTCGCGTTGTTGCTTGCATTATGAATAAAATCGGGAAAATCCTGCAAATGTGTGGCTAACGTGCAATCACGTGACCTAAACCTTGTCCAAATTGGCGTATTTAGCGCCCAAAAGTTCGCGTATTTGAGGGCAAAATTCGGGGGTCCCAGGGGAGAGACATTTGGTGGAGTTGCCCGGGTCCTCGGAGCTCCCGTTCGTGGCCACCGCGATTTTTCTCACCGCAGAGATCCACCGCATGCGCAGTCTCTGCGTCAGCATCCCCCCTTCGGTGGGCTTGCGATTCATTTTTCAAAGCCTCAAATCTGCCACCCCGCAGCTCGAGAAGTTGTCGATTACGCAGCGCCGACGCCCACCTAACGCGCTGGGTGCGCCTCAGTTTCTTTCTTCCGAGCCCCCGACCGAGTTCGATGGCGCGCCTACACTGCGCTCTCTGACGCTCCACAACGTGCCTTTGCCTTATCTCCCGAAAGGCCCCAGTGTGCTGACGAACCTCGACCTCAAGGAGTCGGTTATCGACTCGTCACTACTACTCGATCTGCTGGAGCGCAGCCCATCGCTCGTAAACCTCAGGATCTCCGGCACGTTCAACATAGAAGGACTCCAAAGCCAGCGCACAGTCGCCCTCCGCCATCTTGAAACCTTCACGTTCGAAGGCCATCCTTTGCGGGGGATCGGCAACTTCCTTCTGAGCCTCGTGCTCCCGAAACAGACCACCATCTCACTCTCGAACATCAGGGTGTTCCACGGGGATGAGTTCGTGCACATAATACCCGCGTACGACCCCCTTACGCCTCGTTTCACCTCCCTCCAGGGCTTGAAACGTCTCGAGCTCGCCTGGAAGGAGCCGGACGGGCTCACCATGCGCGCCTACCGCTCCTCCGACTTCCTCGCCCCCGTGCTACACATCAAAACAGGCCCTTACCCCGACCCCCTGCGCCTCAGCGAACGGTTCTTCGTGAACTGGCCGATCGACGCCTCACAGCTCGACACCCTCGTCCTCTGCGGCGACCCCCGGCGTCATAACAGCGTCACACCGGAGACGTGGGCCGCGATGCTCGCTGCAGTGCCTCTGCTGAAGACGCTGCGCGTGATGTCCGTGAGCACCGCGTCGCTGCGATGGCTCGCGGGGGTGCTAGCGCAGGAGCGGGCGCACCCGCTGTGTGCGCAGCTGGAGACGCTCGAGCTGTTCGACGTCAATCCTGCGCGGGCTGAGTTCTGGGACGTCATGAAGGATGTGGTCATAGCGCGCTCGCCTACCGCAGGCGGACGGTTGAGCGAGGTGGAGTTGTTCAATACGGGCCCCGCGACCTGGGGCGCGGCAGACGCGTTGTCAATCTCGAACGCGGGGGTAAGGCTTGTGCAAGACCTTGATTGAGACATAGGCTGGCGTACAGTTGGGCGGGACATGTTCACAATGTGCTTTCTTTTATGGATTTTGCGTCCGTTGGGTGTCACTAGCGGTTCTAGATCGACAACAGCCAGTTTGCCATAGTGATCGACAGTGAGCGATTGAGTAGTGTCCTGTTGCAGGCTAGAGTCGCACTTCGTGGTATACGGAGAAGCATGATTCATGAAGGGATACTACACGCTATGAATGTAACAGGATAATCTACGCGTACTAGTGAACAGCATAGCGTAACGTCGTTACGGGAACATACATGGATACAAGGGGGAAGCCAACCATTAGAGCAAAGCAATGCAGCGCGCAAACCAAGACGGGGATACCAAGACCAGCTGTGGAGGGTCAGGCTTCTCTGAAGAAGCAAAAGCAGGAAGAGCGGAGGAGCGCGGCAACGGTCACCGCTTCTCGAACGCGAAGCCGATGTAGACGTCTGGCAGAGAAGGACGATGGTCAGCATTTGGGGGTACAAGCACGGCAAAACAAGTGTGTACGCACTGGCAGCCTCCCATTGGTCTTCGTCCATCTGGCTCTCGCCGTTGGCGTCGACGACGTGCATGCGCTGCAGCAGCGGGCCAAACTCCTCGTGCTCGTGGTGCTGGTCGAACACGTCGTGGAACTCGCCCTTGTAGATCTGGTGCAAACCGAACTCCGCCGCCATCCTATGCACGCGCGATATCAGTTAGCCACGACGAAGGTATTTATTTAAAACGGACGGGACTGGACGTACTGGACGAAGTTGTCCCAATGCACGACATATTCCGGCACGTCGTCGACCGCATCCTGGAGATAGAACCAATAGCGGTGTCCGAACATGGGCCGGGGATCACGTTGCTCGAATCGGATTTTGTACACGTTGTTGCCCCAAGTGAGATCTTCCGCGGCAGCGTCCTCCGGTAGTTCGTCTAGCTGCTCCCTGTAGTCACGGAGTATGAGTATCTACCGGATGACTGCCACAAACGCAGGGCTACAACTCACATGAGCTGCTTGGCGTTAGGGATCGTACCCACAAAGACGCCACCCGGCCTTAGCCATGACGCAACGTTTCTGAGCATTATGCGCGCCTTCCTCTCGCTCTCAAACGCGTAGTGCATACAGAACTGCATCGAGACCACGTCGAATGGCGTTGCGAGCAGCATCGGCGGCAGCACGTCAGACAACACATGGCTATAACAGTCGAGCGCGAAGAACTCCGCAACGAAACGAGCGCCCTTGGACGTCATATGGCGTTGTTTGGCCTGGTCAATGGAGACCGCGGCGATGTCTGTCAGAACGTGAGCAACGAGGTGCGCGACGACAAAGCGGAAACGGACCGAGTCCAACATATTCCGCGACGTTCGCTTTTGCCCACTTGTTCAGGTCCCCGCCCTTCCCACACCCCAATTCAAGCACACGCCCGCGCAAGCGCGAGCCTCGGCGTTGCGCGCTCGGCGCCGCCGTAAGCGCAGGGTGCGCAAACCGCGTGATGAGCACAGACTTGACCCAGTTGTTGAAGCTCTTGAGGCCGATGATGGGCGAGTCCTGGCGCTGCGCCACGCCCACGTCTGGGCGTGCGTTGTCTATACATAGCGAGGAGACATGTCAGAACCTTGACAAGGCGGACATGACGTCAGCAGGGGCAGGAGGAGGTGGTACGCACAGTGCTCGACGACGGCCGCAACATCACCAGATCGCTGTTTCTTCCGCGGGCTCTCCTCGGAGGAACCGTCCTCCTCGCGGAACCGCTTGACCGCGGGCGGGTCGTCCCCGAGCAGGTTCTCGACGCGTTTCTGTTTGCGGAGGATCATCGTGCCCACTCCACCTGTGTAGTTGCGGTACCGCTCCATTTCCGCCGGAGATAGAGGGATGAGCACAGACGTCGCCGGCGTAATCCTGCGCGGCGCATATGGTATCGCGCTGCGCTTCATGGACGAGGGTGGTGGTGGCATAGGTTTTGGCGGAAGACTGGATGCAGGAGGGGGCAAGGAAGAGGTTTCTGCCGGGCGCGGCTGTTGTGGTCGTGGAGCAGGTGGCCTCTGTGTGGCTGGGGATGCAGTCCTGGCCGGAGCCGGTGTGGCTGACGACGAAACAGGCGCGCGCGGCGAGGGAGGGCGAGGTTGCCGATGCGTCTGTGGCTGCAACTGTTGTGGTGCTGGTTGAGAGGGCGGCGCCATGGGAGCAGATGGGAGCGAGGCGGTCGAGACAAGCGGCGAGCGCTGTGGCGCCTGCAGTGGGGGAGGCATGGACGCACTGGAGGCGAGCGGCACGAATCCGTGCGAGCTCGATGGTCGAGAACTGCTGGTGCTCGCCCCGGCACCCGAAGTCGAAGGCCGTGAACCCGCGCCTCCAGGGAGCGCTAGCGCCGGAGAGGGGGTGGCCGACCCGCCAGGCAGCGCCAGACCGGACAGCTCCCTTTGTGGCGGGCGTTCCATCGCACGAACGGGACCACCGAGCGCCATGGAGGAGGAAGATGTGGTTGGGCGGGCGTTTATGCTCCCTGGGTGGGTGAAATAGGACGATGCCTCGCGCGTCTCTCGCCTAGTACTGCCCGTCGATGCGGCCTCGGACTGGCTTGCGAAGGATCGCCGGCGGAGGGGCGTCGAGTGGGAAAGCTGCTCGACGTCCTGCCTATCGTCCGAATCGTGCAGGAGGAGGTGCGAGAGTGTGGCAGGGCCGCGTGGCGTGGTGGGCGTGAAGAGGCCCTGGGGCGTCGCAGACATTGGGGTAGGGGGTGCGGCAGGCTCAGAGTTGAGCAGCATCGATAAATCGGTAGCACGGCGAGTGAGTGGGCTGACGGACGCCGCCCCAGGACTATGTTCGGAGGAAGAGGGCGTCGCAGATGTGGGGGTGGTGAGGATGGACATGCCCGAGCCAGGTGTAGAGGATAGGGGCTGGGAAGCGTGGTGGGGCGCGTTATGCGACTTAGCGGAGCCGATGTCGATGTGCATGCTGCTCCGCGCGGAGGAGGGGAGGGCGAGGGAGGAGGTTATGGGAGAGTTGAGGACGGCATCGCGGACAGGGTCGAAGGCCGGCATGGCATCCCCCTGCTATGTTTTCTCGCTTTTTGCACCTCCTCGCTTCGAACTGGCCCGCGATTGGACGAGGGCTATGACGACTCTTCAGGAGCGTTGCCTCGAGCTTAGCTCACCGTTTCTGACAGCGCGGTCGCTTTAGTCGTTGGTAGTGCGCACCAAAAACAGACAGATCTGGCAAATATCGGCCCTTTCTCCCTGGTGGTATGTAGGTATGTGCGCTCCGGGTGCGCAGTGTCGAACGCACGTTGCTCGTACAGGTGACTGAGGACGACGAGAGGCAAGGAGCGACGAGGAGGCCGAGGCGAGGGGCGCGGTCGTGGGGGATAGCGAGAAAGACTCAAAGAGCTGCGCGCGGGCGCGCGGCAAGACTCCCACTCCGCCCTCGCCCACCGCCCACGACGTCCTGCTCGCCGCCCGCTCGTCGACGACGACCTCAACCTCGATGCGTGACTACATGGCGGTCACCCCGAGCTTACGTCTCGGCGACCAGCTCTCCCGGGCGAATATATGTCTGGCGCCTCAGGCACGCTGTCTCTCGCCCGACTGATCACGGTCATCTCCGTTCTCCTCCACTCTCCCCTCCTTCCGCCGTTATGTCGCGGGACTTTGTAACTTACCACGGCGACTGATGCTTCCAGGGACCAGTTTAGACTTTGACCAGACCTCGGCGCAAGCTGAAGAAGCTTTTTCTGACGAAGGCTGGTCGCTAACCCCGCCGGCCAGCGTCATCGCTACTGCGCTCTATTCACTCTCACATGTGCCGTAATGTCGGCTTGACTGCCTTGGACGGCGACAGGTGCGTTGCGTTATGCTGTTTAGGCTTGTCTGAGATCGCCGCCCGCGTCGGCATCTTGGTTTTCCGGGAGGCAGGATAGCGACGACGCCCACAGCTTGTCACTCTACCTTCCGTGCATGCAGCACAAACAGCCCACCGCTAGAAGAATGGTATCGTACAGACGTTACACACGGGCATAAGTAACACCGTGAACCCCGCGACGAGTTGCGGAGAAATCCCAACGGCAGCCGGCTGGCCTGGCGCTCCGCCACCCAGCCGCTGCCAGTACTGCCCCCTGGGCGAGACTCGAAACTGCCCGAGCGCAGATCGTCCTCGAACGTCGGCCAGGGCCTGTCGGAGCCGCCTCCAGAACGCCCCGCTATACAACGGCAACGGTAGGCGACTTCGGCCGTTCGACGTCCTCCCACTCGTCGATCGCCTGCCCCTGGTCCAGCGAGTTCGCGCGGCGCCATGCGCCCCTTCGGGTGAGGCGCACACGCAGGACCGCGAGCCCGCGCGCGAGGAGGAACGCGAGGACCTCCGCGACGCCGACCCCAATGATGTATCCTGCGAGCTTCGCGCCCTCCTTCTGCGGATCCAGGAACGAGTACGCTGCGAGCGCAGAGAGGTGCCGGGAGTCAGTGTATGTAGAAGACGGGTGCAGTGGCCGCGCAGGGTCACACGGGTGGACGTGGGAGAGGAGAGGTACGTACTGTAGAAGCCTTGGGTCGCGTGCGTGATGTACGCGACGCCGAGATAGCACGCGAGCATGAATACGCAAAGGGGGAGGTGCAGCCAGGGGCTGGGGCCGGCGTTGGTAAGTGTAATTTCGAACAGGGCGTATGCAGAGTTCATAGCGTGTTGGGAGATGTTAATCCATGCTGCAGCAATCGCAGCGTCAGCCAGTATAACACACACGACGATATGTGCAAAGCTCACTGTCGAAACGTGTATCGAATGTACTTGGGCCTGATAGCAGCGCCCAGAATATGACAGTCACCACGAGAGCTGAGGAATTACACGCGTTAGCGGCGATCGCGCCAGCCTTGACATAGCGGCAGACTCACGGTAAGTAGTGATAGTGGAATACAGCAGTGTGTGGAGGAGCTGCAAGGGCCGTGGCCACTTTTGCAGCGGGTACTCCTTTCCTCCCTTCAGCGCATAGCACAGCGTCTGGACGCCCGCCGCGAAGTAGTACGCGACGAGCCCAATGTACGACAGATGCGTAAAGTAGGAGAAGAAGCTGCCGTGGACGATCAGCGCCGTTCGAGCAACCCGCTCAGCGAAACAGGCATCACTCACGAGTCTGCGTCATGATCCCTGACTGCGTCCCAGATCAGGTGGAAGAGCACCACGAAGAGCGCGTACGATCCAAGCGCGAGGCGGATAATCGCGAGAACGAGCGGCGAGCAGACAGGCGAGGTAACGAGATTGCGGTTTGGGTCGAATGGCGCGCTGACGCCGAGCCACGAGTATAATCGCGCTCCCGAAGCCGGCTTCGTGGACATCTCCAGCTAGTATGTGTTCTGTCTTCCGGTGTAGTGTTCGCTGGTCGTAGTGCGTTTCTTCAAACAGCACTAGAGGGTCGCGTGCGGAGCGTTAGGGTCGACGTGAAGGAGGCGTGTAAAGAGCGAGGGCGGCCGCGTTGGCCAGGTGGGTATGAAGAGCGCGTGAGGGCAAGAAACCAGAGCAAAAGCACCAGGGGTGAGGTATGAGAGAAAGGGAAAGCTCGAAAGAAAGGGCGACCGGTCACCAATCGAAAAGCCAGGGGGCAGGGGGGATGATCACCAGGTGCGGCGGCCACCATATTCGAACGCGACGGTCGGCTGCGCCTCTTGCCGGCCGATATTTCTCGCATGTGTCCTGCTGATGGGATCTGAGAGAGCTTGGGAGCTGCGCAACTTTGTCAGTTCGAGATCTGCGGAAAGACCCTCTCCCATCAGTGCTATCACGCGACACGCGAAATAAACAAACGCGCGACACGTATCAGGACCCCCGACATTGCCGCCAAAGGCCTGATCCACAAAGTTGAAAAAAGGCAATGTCTGTCCGGTGGATCAGGCCTTTGGCGCCCTGATTTTGTCCGGGAATACACCAGGCCTACCCGAGTTTTCGTGAATTTGTCCGGGCCAGATCAGGCCTAATCGAGCACGTGCTTCGAATAGACGCCAAATTTCGACTTTTGCGGGTCTAAAAGGCTACAAATCGGGGAAAATGTCCGGTTTGGCACCAGGCCTCACCCAGCCTGGCGTCAGTATGTCCGGAAAATGGCATCAGGCATAGGCGATTTTCGGGTCTTTTTTGTCCGGTTTTGCACCAGGCATAAGGGTTGCGGTCCTCAAATTTTGTCCGAAAACGGATCAGGCCCTTGGCAGAAATGTCGGGGGTCCTCACGTATCGCGTGTGTACCTCATCCGCGTCGACGTCCCTTTCAACCTGTGGGGGTGTAGCGTTGAGGTACGGTTGGAATTTCGTGCGACACCTCGCAAGTTTGAAGCCTAATGCTGCGGTGGAGGACACAGGACGCCCAGATGCTATTTACATCTCCTCAGGGCGCGCGTGAGTATCAAATGTTTTCATCGCGTGGCGGCGTATGATCGAATGCTTCCCGCCACCAATCACACTGTCAAAATAGTTGCAGTCTTGCAGACGTCCTTCGTTTCGGTAAGCTGTATCCTACACAGTACTCGTACATATTAACAGACTATATAACAGGGGAAAATCAGCAGGGTGCTGTAACTCTGAGTGACCGCACCCTCGATCGACAGCACGATGGCAACGACTCCTGAGTCGCCGGCCTAGGTCCAAAGTCCGTCCTCCGTCCTCCTCGAATGGGTATCTCCAGCCTCTAGGTATCTCCACGGCGCGCGAATACGACAGAATACGACGCGCACTCGCAAAAGCTTCAAACGCGCCCACCCAGGGCCCGGTCCACGTTCGCGAGGATATAGAGGTCGTCCTGCGACATCGTGAACCACGACTCGAGATCGATCTCCTCGGGTTCCTCGTAGCCAAGCGGCGATGGTCTTGCAGGGCGGAAGCTCGCCTTAAGCCGTTGTCGGTCCGCGAGTGTCCGCGGCTGGGCGGGGGCGACGCCCGTTATGCGCGTGCGTTTCCAGAATTCGCTGATTACCGATTTGGTGTATGATGGGACGAAGGTTTCTGCGATGCCGTCGTAGAGGTCGATATACTCCACACTTGAAGTGGAGGGGTAGGAATTGAGCTCCTCTGCGAAAGAGGTGTTGCCGGCTACATCAACACATCTCGTGAGCTGACCGTGTCGTGCTTCCAAACCCGAACCGTTATGCGACTGACCATTCGATGAGGATGCGTATTCAAATGCAGGCTCAGAATTCACAGACTCGACCCCGTTGCTGCTGTGTTGGACGGCATCACCGGTCCAGGCGTCTACAAATGGTGTACATAGTGAGCCGCTCGTCCGTATTCCTTAGCCTCAACCAGATACTCACCCAGACCTTCGTACGCTGCTAGGGGCAGAAATCGTCTCTCATTGGGGGAAGCGAGGTCTGAAAGAGGCGGTGAGCAATCCAGCCGACAAGACATCGTGGTCCGTGTTTGCTCACCTGCTAGCCACGGATCGTCGTCGAAGAAGTTGTTCGCCCATCCGGATGAGCTGGGTTCTCGTTTTGTGTCATTTTTCGGGGACACGGGTGCTTCATATAGCGACGATACAAGTGCAGTTGCTTGTAGCACTGTGCATGGGCATGAGGTCAACACACTGGCTAAGTTGGAGGCCACACCACACGGGAACTCACCTGGAGCCTCCGCCTTCGCTCGTTTGCTATCCCTGCAATCCTCGGACGTATGGAACGCTTCAGACCTCGGTCTTTTGCGATTGTTGTGAACAGGGGGTTCCCAGGAGGATGGTTTGGGGTTGTGGCTTATGAGGCCGGTCGGAGTCTTCGGCCCTTGCGATGATGAGGGGTGGGCGTATATCGATTGCGCACATCCAGAAGTGGAGGGCAGGAGGCTGGTGAAGTTGACACGCATAGACAGGGCCATGGTGGGTGAGTGGAGGAGGAAAGTGAGGTTTGAGGACGAAGCGCGACGGAACGAACGCGACCCTGGACTAGCCACTGGTCCTCGCGTATATTGCCGGCACGTGACCGTGTTTTGGGCCCGACGCGCCGCAAAGGGCGAACAATGGCGCACCGACCGCGTCCCACAATGGCGGACAATAGCGCGCCGCGTACTATTTGGGAAAGGGGATGAACCACGGTGTGTCCGGCTTGCCGCCCTGTGCGTCCTCGAGCTCCCGGCGGACGAGGGAAGTGCGGTCTCGACTCAGCGTTGCGGCAGCCATGAGCTTGGGGCCACTGCCAAAGACAACTTGGTCGACGTACGGCGCCCAGGTGCGGAGGACGTGAAGAGCGTCGGAGTGCAGCAGCTCGTGCAACGAGTTAGGGCTCTCGTAGAGTTTAGGGCTCAGTATCCATGCAACTGTCAGTCGCGTAGACCTGTTGCATCGAAGCGGGGGCGTAGGATTGCTACGCCAGTCGATGACATCGCACTGAGTAGAAGTAAAGTAAGCTAACGCCCGTACTACTAAGTAATGAGGTCGTACCGCGTAGACCGTATCGTTGACACACGTCTGGAGGTACTCCAGGCGGGGGAACCGTGAGCTTAGAAAGTATTGTAGCGTCCAATGAGGTCGATGATCCGCTGTGCGCACATGGCTGAAGTGCAAGCGGCGTAAGTAGGGGCCGAAGGCGGTTGACGCTATCTCAAGCTGGTCGACAGTGCACGTAACAAGGTGGAGTTGCGACGGCGTGCAGGCGTTACGGAAGTAGTGCAGAAAGGATCCATCACACCCGAGTTTCCGGAGCGAAGGGAGAATTATCTGTGGTCGTGACGCATCCGTGATCGCCTCTTCGGACTTGCGAGTCAGGAGGGAGAGTTCAGTGAGAGATGAATGGGCAGCGATGAACTCGAGCAGTTGGGAAGAAACGTAGAGAGTCGTATGCAGGGTGGTGAGGGTAGGCAGGCGGGCGTCGAGCAGCCCGTGTTGCACGCACTTCTCTGCGCAATGAAACGCCGGGATGTCTAGAACGAGAACGTCGAGATTCTGAAAAGCCCTCAGAGCTAGCGTCAGGGCCTGGATAAGGGCATCGTCCAGATCAAAGTGGCACCGAATGGTGAGGTGGCGGACCATGTTCGCAAAGCGGCGGGACGTGGTGGCATCCCCACACAGTGCGCGCAAGGATTCTGGGGTATCTGCGCATATATTGCGACACGAAAGGATTTCTTGTGCAAGGCCGCGAAGACTGCGGCATACGAGCGCGACGTTGGCGAGGTGATGTTGGTCGTCGATATGCATGAGGATCTCCTCCCAGACTTCTAAAGGGAGCCATATAGACGAGCTGCGAGGAGTCCGTGGAGCATCGCAAGGCCCTTGAAGTCGTTGAGATAGTTGACAGCTTCTAGTATGAAAGCGACTCACGTTTCAAGCTTTGGCCCTCTACATAACGCAGGATTATGTGGTAAATATTAGACAGCGTACTCTCGAAGCTGTGTTTTCCCTTACTCTGAGGTTGAGAGGACTTCCACGCAAGCATACGCTTGAATACGTTCGACGCCATAGGCGCCGTGAGAGGTCGATCCTCAGTAAGGAATGAGCGAGCAGATGGTGGTGGAGAGGGAAGAGAGAGCTGGGAGAGCTGGAGGCGTGCGTGGCCGGACTTCCCCCACTGGAACAGCTTCGATGTCAAACAACTGCCAAGTTAAAGACCCTGCGCCGCGCCGCCGCCGCTTCTTCTCGGGCGCTGTTACAGAGTATTTTGGGATGCGCCGTACCTGATACCGGTCTGCGTGGGCTCCGCCATTCGTCAACTGAGACTCCGTCGGACGCCGGATAGCACATCCCAGTCGCACTGCGAACGCAGGCTGTGCCCTGGTTCACACCGACACAACAAACACATTTGAGACGGGGAGCTCAACTTGAAACAACCACTGTCAGTGACCGGTTTGGCACCCATTCTGGGTTCGCTGAACATGGGTGTGAATGGACGTCGGGTTCTCGTACAAACCTTGCAGTATCAGTGAGGCTGCGTGGCGATGCGAAGAGGAGTCGCTCACAGCCGGCCATCTCGGTCCCCACGGCCAAACATACACGTGCACCTGTGGCTATGCTCTGCGCCTGCGTCCGGATTTGGCCGGGTTCAATTTTGCTCGGCGAGTGCCTTCAACACCACCGGCAGTGGCAACCTGTCCTAACGTCAACGTTTTTGTTATGCCAGGGAGGCTACCTATACGGTGCGTTCGTAACGGGCGTGTACAGATCGTTAACTTTATCTTAGGACACTTCCGGAGAGTCGGTCATCGACTCGGACCTACTCTGGCCGCCCAGTCAGCCCCGGCCTGTCAAGTGGTCAGCCTCCAAGTTCACCCAGCTGCTCCCTCCAAATACCGCACCCCTTCTTTAACCTTTGTAACCTCGAACTCTCCACTGCACTCAAACGGGCCTTCAACAACCCAACAACATAGAACGCGATGTCTGTATGCGGTAGTCAGGATGCCAGCGTATGTCCTCGGATGATGTCCATTTACCGCACCGCTGACACGATTTACTTGGATAGTCGGAGCAGGACAGCACTACCAAGTTTGATTTCATCAATGCTTCGATGTCCCCGGAGGACGTACGGGATGCCGTATGCAAGGAAATCGAGATGCGACATGCGGCGATGCTCGCCCTGCATGAAGACATCGCGCAGGAAACCGAGCTGTGGCCCACGGCGGTTCTTAACCTGCACAAGGAAATTTCCCAGCTCTGGTCTATCCACAATCTCGTCGCCCCCGTCAACTCGCTTCCGCCCGAACTGCTCAACATGATTTTCTCGCTGGCCGGCGACGACCTGGTCAGCGTGACGCATGTCTGTCAGCACTGGCGCGACGTCGCACTACACGCTCCCGGCCTCTGGACGCACGTCGGGCATACGAGCCCTGAAGGCGTGAAGACCTACCTGCGACGTTCTAAAGGGCTCCCGCTAGACATATCCCTCACGGTCCTGGAGATTCCGACTGTGGGCACTCTGCGCGCTCTCACCGCGGAGATACATCGCACGCGCAGTCTCCGCGTTACCCTCCCACCGTCGGCAGGCCTGCGGCTCGTCACGCAGAGCCTGATGTTGCTCAGCCCGCAGCTGGAGGTGTTGTCTATCAGGGACTGCGGCTCCCCACTTGGTGTCCTTCCGCCCTTACCTCGTGCTCCTTCTCAGGGGCGTCCGGCTGATTTCGACGGCGCGCCTTTAATACGCTCGTTGACGCTCAATAGTGTGCCTTTGCCCTATTTACCCAGGGGTCCCAGCTTGTTAACAAACATCGAGCTCACTGGCAAAGAATGTGTCGGAGACGCTCTGCTGGTACTCGATCTCCTGGAACGCAGCCCGTCCCTCGAAAGGCTGAAGATCTGCGGTCCGTTCAATCACCGCGGACTCGTGCTAGACCGACGCCGCACAGTCTCTCTCCCACGTCTCAAGCGTTTCAAAGTGCGTGGGCGCTTCCCGACGGGTGTCGGCATGTTTCTCGCGAGTCTTGTCCTTCCATCGCAGACCGATATTATGGTTCACAAAGAGTGGAGTCACGCTCGCCTGCAGTCACCGCTTGCCGACCTCGTCCCTGCGTACAACCCAGGAAACGTCAAGCTGCACTCTCTCCGAGGCCTCAAGCGACTTGAGCTTTCGTGGGGATACGGATATGGCGGCGGCCTCACTCTACGGGCCTATCGACACAGCGAAGACTTCCTCACGCCGGTGCTTGATCTACAGGTGTACGGCAACGAGGCTCCGGGCGAGCGGTTCATCGCGAACTGGCCCGTCGACGCGTCGCACCTCGAGACCCTTGTCATTTGCGGCGGCGTGGATCCTAATAGTCGCTCCGTATGGGATCGGGGCGACCACGGCATCACGCGGGAGCAGTGGGCGGCAATGCTTGCCTCGGTGCCTATGCTGAAGAGGCTACGATTAATGTCGGTGAACGGCGACACGCTCGAGGGGTTCGCACTGGCCATGCGGCTAGCGCCGGACCAGGTGCCGCCACTTTGTTTGCAACTGGAGACGCTCGAGCTGTTCGACGTCGACCCCAAGGCATATTTCTGGGACACCATGAAGAGTGCGGTCATGGCCCGCTCTACCGCGGTGGAGGGACGACTTAGCGAGGTGGAGCTGTTCAATACGGGCTCGGCGACATGGAACGCGCCGGCCTCGTCGTCACTCTCGAAGATGGGGGTGAAGATCATACGTGACGCGGATTCGGACACACAGAAGATATCACAGAGACTGGCGAAGCCTAATGTACAGTGATAAGTTATCATGTCAAGTTCGTATACGTTTACTACTTTGAATGATGGCGATATACCTGACTAACCTTTCTTGGGTATTACGCGCGCCGGTGGGACTAGTAATCTACACGAAACGTATGGGGCCCCCCTTGTCACGTATCTGTTTCTTTGCAAACTTGATTATCCCGAACTTGAGCGAGATACGTATGGCAGGCTTCCGACTCGGCGGATCCCGATACCAGTGTGGGTCCAAGTTCACATGAGCGCCTAATCCGGTCAGGGCAATGCCGACGGCTAAATAAATTAATGTGGCACTTCGCTGTCGTCTCGCCAGTTCGAACATTCATGACCACGACCACCACTGTCACCATCCCCGACACCCCCGACGTACACCTCGCTCGCTTTCTGGACGGACCTGCACCCGCCGTACCGCTGCGCGCAAGACCGGCATCATGAATGTCTTACAGGGGCTCAGCCACGCTCAAGCGCGACTCAGCCGTATAACGGGCACCCCTACAAGCGAATCTATGGCGACGGAAGAGCTTATGCTGTCAGTACGGAGTCAAGTGAACGCACGACGGACCCAGATACACGACGTTATGCACCACATTGCTGGACTTCACACCACCCGTAACTCTTTCGCACTCGTCAACCGACTTCCGCAGGAGCTACTCGCCACAATATTCTCCTACGTCTGCTCAACTGCAGACAAAAATGTGGACGTAATTAGCATGAGCCACGTCTGTACGCACTGGCGCACCGTCGCGCTTGACGCGGGCGGCCTCTGGACCCACATCGCTCTTACCGACCCCCTTGGGATCGAGACCTTCCTCAAGCGCTCAAATTCGCTACCCCTCCGTATCTCCTTGACGGCCTCGCACTCCCCGTTCAAACCCATTTTAAATCTCGTCTCCTCCAACATCACTCGCGTCCGTAGCCTCAAAATATGCATCGCCACTACCGTCGACTCGGGGTTCATTACGCGCAGGCTGAAGCTGGTCGCGCCCGCCCTTGAGGAACTATCGATCGAGAAGTTTCAACTCCGTAGCAAAGTGGAAAGGCCTCCCCCAGCCGGCACACGAGTCGATGTCTTTGACGGAATGCCCTCCCTCCGCACTCTCTCGCTCTGCAACGTCCCTCTGCTCTTCCTCCCCAAGGGCCCGAGTGCTCTGACAAAGATTGACCTCCACCTCAAACTTCCCAAGCTCCCCACCTTACTGGACCTGCTCGAGAGCAGCCCCCTCCTTGAGTCCCTGTCCCTCCACGGCACTCTCCACGGCGACCTTGTGCAAAGCCAGCGGCTCGTGACGCTCCCGCGGCTCACCTCCCTCTCCGTGCACACCTTTCCCCCACAGGGCATCGCGAGCCTGCTTTCCTCCATCGTGCTCACGCCGAGCGCGTCCATCGCGCTGCACGCCTCGCTCGACATCGTCAACTCCTTTGCGGATATCTTCCCAGACCACCCAGGTCCGCCTCCCGCGCTCGCCGGGCTGGACGGCGTGCTGCGCCGGCTCGAGCTGCTGTGGTCGGACGGGGAGGAGCTCACGATGCGCGCGTTCCGCCGCGCGGACGACTTCGCCTGCGCCCCCGCGCTGCAGGTCGTCGCGTCGCACGTCCAACCGGTCATCGGGCCGCGTTTCCTCTGCGACTGGGCGTTCGACACCGCACACGTCGAGACCCTCGTCCTGCACGGCAACTGGGCGCCGGGGCGTGAGCACGAGCCCAACGTGCCGCGCGAGCACTGGGCGGCGCTGCTCGCCGCGCTTCCTGCGCTGAAGACGATGCGGCTGATGTCGCTCGGCTCGGAGGTGCTTCAGAACCTCTTCATGTGTTTCGCGCTCGCGGGGCTGGACCCCTGCCCGAAGCTGGAAACCCTCGAGGTGTTCGATGGGAACCCGGGACATGTCTTCTGGGGGGGCTTGACGCCGATCTTGAACCGGAGACGCAACAAATGCTTCAGGACGCTGGAGCTGTTCAATTCAGGCGAGCTCCCCTGGGGCGAGGAAGTCGCACAGTCGTTCAAGGATTCGGGGTTGGAGATCATTCATGACGATGACGATGGCCAACTTGCGACAGAACTTGCATAGTAACGAAAGACATACTAGTGACTGCTTTAACTTACGTTAATGGAGGGAGTGTTCACCAATCACGTATACTACCGCTTGCTATAGAAGTAGCCTCACTCCGTTTGAAGCTTGACTGCAAATCTGCGAAGGTGGGATCGTCCGTCGGGCACACGATAATGATTCACGAGCAGCACACGCAAACACTTAGCTTACTAGTACATACTCCTCGGACGAAGCAACGTAAGCAAACAGGAGTTAAAACTAGCTGTAACATACACCCTCCAATACACCGCATCTCCAAAGGAACCATCCTACTAGTAGTTCCGCTGCAAATCTATGACGCCATGCATCATCTACTGGTATACATGCTGTAGCCCTGGGGGCAGTTGCATTTGGGGCGATCAGAACCACTTGTTGGGCTTGAGGCCGATCCGGTCTAGCACGCCCTTGAACGACTGAGGCACGAGCGCGCCGAGCGAAGTCGTCGACTGCAGCTTCACAGGCTTGCCCACGACCTCCAGGCTGTGGAGACACAAGGTGGGTCAGATGTGATTGGGGGAGTATGATACTGGGCAAAACTCACTGGTATGCGGGCTTGCCGTCAATCATGATCTCTACTCGTACAACGGGATGACTGTAGTCTCTTGTGTCGACCTCGAGGGATGCCCTGTTACACCATGTATCAATATACGAGCACGGACGATAGACGGCGAGCGTGATAATACACACCACTTATAGTTCCCCTCGGCGATATACCGGATGACATTCTCCCGCGGGATCTCGTCGACGTGCTTTACGACCTCCTGCGTGCCGTCCTCCAGGAGGACCACCTCCTCGCGCGTCTTGTTCACGACTTCCTCACTACGGGGCTTGAGGGTGCGGATGAACGGCACGTAGAACATGCTCAAGGGGCTCGTCGAGATCTCGAGCACGTTGTGTCCAGAGTCGCCGCTCTCGAACTCGATCGCCGCGAACTCGTGGCGGTCGCCGGAGAGCACAATGAGGTTAGGCACAGATTGGAATGCGCTGAGCAGTGCGCTCTTCTCGTAAGGGAACGCGGCCCAAGTGTCAATCACACCCTCGTAGGTCCAGAGAGCCGTGAAGGGGACGGAGGACACGACGAACTTGAAGACGGCGGTGTTGTTGACCTTGCCGAGCCAATTGTATAGTGCGGTGAGCTGCTTGTCACCGAGCATAGTGTGGGTCGCTGGGTCGTCCGAGAAGATGTCAGAGCGGTACTTGCGCGTGTCCATCACGAAGAACGCGGCGTCGCCATAGCGGAAGTCGTAGTAGTATTGTCCCTCGTCAACGGAGTCGTAGTTGGCCTCCGTGTTGTACAGCTCGAACGCGTTGGTCGCATTCTCGAACGGCGGGAGAGACGCGTTGCCCTGTCCGGCGTAGTTGTTGATGATCTACCACAATGTCAGTTGATGTGCCTTTGTAGCGTGTACGATGTGTCGCACCTCATGATCGTCGTATGTATGGATGATCGCTGATTGACACAGCCTCTTAGCATTCATTATCAACGTGAAGGTGAATTTGAAGACGTACGCAGGCGCTCATAGACTTTCCGGAAGCTGGGGCTGTTGTAGTTGCGGCGGTAGAGGCGTTGGTACGCTTCTTTGTCGTCACCGAAGTAAGCAGGCACGTCGGCGTAAATGAAATCTCCCATGAAGACCATGAACTCCGTAAGGGCTACAGACTCTACCGAGCTGGTAGTGTTGACGGCTGCCGGAGCGGTGGCGTTATCAGCGGACGTGCTATCTGCTGTTTCAGAGGTATTCTGGGCAGCCACAGCGGGAGCAGGGGAAGGGGCGGGGGTAGAGGTACGCTGGGAAGGCCAGAGGTATTCCGCGAGCAGATCCATACCTTTGAGCCGGCGGCCGCTAAGAGGGGAATAGGGGAAGTTCGGCGTCATGCAAGATGTAGCAATGAAGCGGTAATAAGAGCCGCTGTGCAGACGGGGATCCGGGGCAGTATGGAAGCGGATCGGAGTGGCAGGGTAGGGAAGCACTGTGCTGTTGATGTCTTGGAACCGGTCTGACGATCATATTTACTGTCAGGTGGATTCAGTTTCGCAAGAGATATGAGCGTACATTCGTACTGAGTAGTCGGCCATAGCCCTTGCAGACGGACGGTTTGTACCCAGTCGTGCTCCGCGGTAAGGTTCGCGACGGGACCCTCGCGCCAAGGGGCGTCAGAGTCCGTCTTGTCGTCCGCCTGTCGCCATACAACGTGCACGAGGTTCTCCGTCGCATTTGTCGAGGGGTAGCGGACTACAATCTTCGCCGAGTCCGGGTAAAGCGCGCCGACGCGAGTGAAGACGACGTCAGACGCGCTATCAAAGTACGGGAAGAACACAAACTCCGCAGTCGCGAGTAGAAGCAGAGTATTGATGACGAGATTGGCCCTACGCAGCGCGCGCACTGGAGAGGGTATAGAGAAAACTACCGTCGCGAGGGCCGACTTGAGCTGCTCCTAAGGGTTAGCATAGCGCGAGTGAGTGATTTTGGACGCGACACACTGTAGGGGACTCCACGACGGGTACTATCGCGGTCGTTTCAGATACCACGACGTCGGTGACAACATCGCCATTCGTCTCTGACTTTTCTGCGATGGTTACGGACTCCTCCTTGACCGCGACGACTTCCGAAAAAGCGGGAGCGCCATAATGGGATGCAGCGACGTAGGCGATGTATAGGACCGGAAGAACGTATTTTAGGTGGGATTGGGGGGCCTGTGAAGACGAGAATTAGGAAGGCGTTGTGTGGTATGTTATGCGGACGCACCACTTCGAGAAAGGCATAGGCCAGGATGCGATATAGAGTAGAAAAGGCCGAGCTAGCGACGGCGAGGGATGCCGCCATTGCGAGGTTGTGTCTTGCGCGCGTCGTGAGCGTCGTATCTGGGTCGTGAGCGTCGGGAGGAGAGAGGTGAGGAGCGTGATTGCGGACGGACGCTGGGCTGGAGCAGGTGCGTGAGGTGATGTCAAGCCGGCGCTCGCGTGGCTGTTGCCTTTTCGGGCGGAGGCCATTGCGACCGCCATGGGTGTTCCCTGCTAACAACGCTCATCTTCTTCCTCGACGTCGGTGCCATCCTCCTCACTGCCTGCTCTGACGACTTCTCATGCATCTCTAACGAGCTGTGGATGCTGAGCTTTTTTCTGCGACCTCTGTATCTTATTCCCTCTCCCGGAAGACTTGATTAACGCGTTTGGCATCCAACCACTTCACCTGGGCGCCCTCTCGCCGGCCGCTGCACCTCCACCATGGACACTCTCTTTGGCAAACGGAAGAACAGACCCAGACAAGCATCCATTATTGCCCAGGATGCCAGCGAGCGCGCCCTCCGCCCCATGTCCGGTGCCTCTGTCGCCACTACCCGTTCCGACACTACTCGGAGCTCCCGCCAAGTGCCCTCGATGTCGCCCTTCGACCCCCATCACCACCACCTTTCCAATCTATACAAGCACAATACGCAGATGGACGAGTTCTCATTTGCGCGCCCGGAGAACGACGAGGAGATCGAGATGCTCTTCGAGAACATCATGCGCATGCGCGGGCTAGAAGATATACCGCACCTGTCCATCGACCAGAAGTGGCACATCGTCTACAATGACGAGCAGATGCGCTGGTCCGACGACCGACGGAGAGACGAGCAGTCCCGCAAGCAGAATGAGACCGGAGCAGCAGCAGCGTTCATAGAGGGCACGCCGGAGTGGTACATCAAGAAATTCATGGACAGGACCATCACGCCTAAGCAAGCGTCGAGTCTGCAGGTCTCCTTACGAAGCAAAGAGATGAGGTGCGCTCCTCCGGCTTTCTATCATGCTGCATACTAATCGAAGTGTTTGTAGCTGGTTCCGGCATTTCGTTGCAATGCAAGGCACATCCGTGCTAGGCCAAGCATTGCAGAGCATCAGTCGCAAGGGCCTGCAGAGGTACGTCTTATGTTCAAGAATGACGGTGACACCCCAAGCATGCAGCCAGGAATACCATATATGAGACAGCGGCGGTATACAAACATGAAACGAGTAGCAGCCAGGCTCGTATTGTGTCTGTGTACCAACCGATCATGGTGGATAATGTCCCATTTGGGACATTGAGTCTTCAATCCGAAGCGTGGCCAGATATTACCTGACACCGTATCGCGACTCCGAAGGGATTGTAAATTCCATTCCACTTGAACTTCTGGCTGGCAGTCTTGGGGGTTACCCACCACCTTATGCCGCAGTTAACTGATATACTACAGACGCAAGGATGATATTGATCTCGAGTACGAGATCGCCAAGTGCCTCAAGCAGATCCTGAACCACCAGGTATGGTCGGTATGTTCTGTGTGTTAAAGCTTTGTGCTCAAGCTTCGCCTAGTTCGCCGCCAACGATGCGCTCAATCACCCGATGATCCTGACTCAAATCACGTCAGGCCTGAACACACCTCATCTGCCCACCAGGAAACTTCTCCTAGAGCTGCTATGTTTCCTCGAGTACTACAACGACGGACAGTGTCACAACCTGGTCGTCAGTGCACTAGAGGCCCTTAGCGCGGCGAACAACGAGGCAGGGAATCCATATGCCTACTGGTTCAAGTCGCTCGAAAGCGCATTAGCAGGCAGAGGCAAGATGGGTACCCTGGTCGGTGCAAGTGACGAAGTTAAACGCCATGGCGGCGTCGACCCGTCTCTAAACGACTACACGGTGCGCTTAACGCAAGCATACCGGGAGAGCATCCACTAAACTACCCCCAGCTGTCGAACATCATTTTTGTGAACGCGATCATGCTGAACATCGACGACCTCGAGATCCGCGTGCACCACCGCTCGCAGATGGACTCGGCGGGACTGCAGCGTATCATCGCGCACTGCCGGACCTTTGGCGTCCCAGTCATAGACAAGCAGCTGCAGATCCTAGAGCAGCTGATGGCGGACGACGAGGCGAAGATCAAGGAGCGCGTTGACCAGGAGATTTTGCGCGACCTTGCGAACCCCGAGGACGTGTACAATGCCCTACGCGCGAAGATCGCGGACACAAAGGCGCGCGACTACTTTCTGTCGATCATGCAGCATATGCTCCTCATCCGCGAGGAGGGCCCTGCGCTCGCGCATTACTACCAGCTAATCGATTCGCTGGTAGCGGACGTCGTGCTCGACAAGAAGCTCGTAGGTGCGGAGCAGCGGCTCGGACACTCGGTCGAGCGGATTATCGCACACTTCAACGAGGCCGACCGCTACCAGGTCCTCGAGGACGAGCTCGCGAAAGCGAACACCGCGGCGCTACGGTTTCGGCTCGAGAAAGAGGCGCTGGAAGAGGAGGTCGCGCAGGGTGAAGGCGGTCTAGTCGGCTCCCTGAAGAGCAAGGTCGCGCGCCTGGAAGAGAAGTTGGCGATCTCGCGCGAGAACACTCACAAGCTCCAGGGCCAGCTAGAGAACCAGAAGTCGGGGTACGAGGAGCAGATTGCGCAGCTCGAAGCGCAGATCATGGAGCTCTTCCGTATGCTCAAAGAGGTCAGCCGCGGCGTCGGCAAGATCATTGACCACGCGAACGCGGGCGGGATGGACCGCAAGACACTCATCGACACGCTCGAGAAGCACTTCCAACGGGATAAGACAATCAGTATCCTGGAGGGGCGACGGAAGCGTAAGGGTAAGGGCGGCGAAGGCGACGTTGAAGGCGAAGAGGGCGAGGGCGAAGGGGAGGACGATGAAGACGACGGCGACACCCCAAGGAAAAGCGGCAGTGTGCGTCGTCGCGCCGCACCCTCGAGGGGAGGGCGGAAGACGTCCAGGATGGGGATGGCCCGTGTGTCCGAAGTGCAGAACGGGCACACATCGCAGTTCATGGACGCTGACGACGCTATCGAGCAGGAGCAGATCCAACAACAGTTCGCTGAGGGGGCAATGGTTTGTCTAATTTATCTGGTGTCCGCAGCGAAGGGCGATATTGAAGGTCTTCCAGCAGAACGCCATGCGCGATCCGGCGTCCTCCAGCCCACGAAGCATTCGCACACCTTCTCGACGGACCAAGAACCTTCCGCGCACACCCTTGGGTAGTAAGTGCATAATTTGTGCGCGGCCTTGAGTGATACTCACCATCCGTAGCACACTTTACCGCCGACAGCGACAGTCGTACAGTATCGCTGGCTGATACTACTGACGACTTCGACGGAGACAGTATGCTCCGAAGGTCAAGCTCACTCCGTAGCCTGGCCTCCAACCCGACGACAGAGGCGACCTCGGTCAGCTCTGGGCTGTCATTAGACACGGCTGCGGCCGGGAAGTTTGTTCCTGGCTCTCTCGATTCACCAGCACAGCCAGGATCGCTGGCGGACCAGCTTCGGAGACATCTCACAAGGAGAGGACGTCCTCCATCGGAGCCGAGTCCGCTCAACTCCCCGATCCCAGAAATGGCAATACCGCCTATGCCTCCGCTGCCCATGTCTCCTCCAGCTGGTGCCCCTCCACCGCCTCCGCCTCCGCCGCCACCACCTCCGCCACCTCCACCTCCACCGCCGCCGCCTGGAATGAAGCTCGGTGGTGGTCCGCCTCCACCTCCTCCACCGCCGCCACCGCCGCCTGGTCCTCCACCCCCTCCGCCTCCTCCTGGCGCCAAGGGCTTTGCGACTCCGAACCGTACATCGCTGCTCGGCAGCAACATATCGAACCTGCTTGCGGCACGCAAGGATATCTCGATCACGCCGAGCACAAAGATGAAGCAGCTGCAGTGGGACAAGCTGCCGCCGCAACAGGCGGAGCGTACGGTGTTCAAGGAGGCGTCGAACGACGACGCGTGGGTCAAGAAGCTCCAGTCGGACGGCGTGTGGATGGAGATGGAAGAGGACTTCAAGGCAAAGCAACTTGTGATCAACCTGATGGGTGCGTCGGATAACCTTGTCGAGATCATCCTGAGGGCTTTTAACTAACGAGAGGTGCAGCCAAACAGAAGCGCGCGGAGTTGAAGAGTGTGCTCGATCCGCAGACCAAGAAGCGCATCGGTATGTGGGTTTGTCGTATATATGTTCCTCCGTATTATAACGCAATGCTGCAGAGATCCTCATTCAAACGGTGAAGAGGCTCCAGCCCGAAGAGCTCGCGTTCCGCATCCGCGACTTCGACCAAGACGTATGCACGCAGGTGTTCCTCAGCGAATTGCGGCCCGTTTTGCCCAACCCGGAGCAGGTGCATACTCACCGGGCGTCGTGTAGAGTAACAGATGCTTACTCGGTTTTACAGGTTGGAAAGCTCAACATCTACCGCAACGCCGATCCCGAGGAGCTCGCTGGACTGCATCCCTCAGATCGGCTCATGGTACAGCTCATCAAGATCGATCGCCTCGGCCCTCGTATCGAAGGCATGCTCTACAAGGTCGTCTTCGACGAAACATGGACGCTACTTGACGACGTGAGTAGAGTGCTTGGATAACGTTACGATCAGATGCTGATTATGGAGCAGAGTGCACGCAAGCTGTCTGAAGCTGGGAAGTCTTTGCTGGACGCAAAACACTTCAAGGAGCTGCTCAGCGTAAGTTGTGATGACGTGCATGTCTATTTATGAGACTGAACGGCTATTCATAGCTCATCCTGCTCATCGGTAACTACATGAACGGTACGGGTGTCAAGGGCGGCGCGTTTGGCTTCCGCGTCAGCAGCATCAACAAGGTGAGCTACGATTCCGCGTTCTTGGCCGAACAACAGTACTCACGATGATATACAGATGGTCGACACGAAGTCGTTGCATAACACGACCCTGCTGCACTTCTTGGAGCGAACTGTTGCAAAACACTTCCCCGATATGGAAGCGTTCCTGGACGAGTTGGCTGCCCCTGCTGAGGCTTATCGAGGTAGGAACATTACACGTCTCGCTGATGTTTCATCTAACCGGGTTGTATCACAGTGAACTTGCTGGATGTCCGGCGGAGCCTTGGTGAACTTCGTCAGGGCCTGAAGGCGATTCGCAAGGAGCTCACGGAGCACTTCTCCGACATGGACATGAACGACAAGTACGGGAAGCAGATGTGGCAGTTCATCGGCCGCGCAACGTCGCAGCTCGAGGACCTCGTGGATGACGTGAACCATGCGGAGTCGACCTTCTCCGAAGTTGTCAAGTATTACGGAGAAGACGAGAAGAGCATGAACTCCGCAGAGTTCTATGGTGTCTTCAAGACATTCGTCACTTCGTATAAGGTCTGCTTTATCCAGACATGGCTTGCACGTGCATATGTGCTGACCCCTCGTCCGCATACAGAAATGCCGCGCTGAGAACAACGCACTAGCGGAAGAGCGTACAGCCGTAGAGAAGCGGCGGCAAGCAGCAGAAGACGCGAAGGCCAACAAGGCCAAGACCGCGGTGGTCACCCCGCAGGTCGAAGAGGACAACGCTGCACTAGACAACCTACTAGAGAAGCTGCGCAACGGCGACAGCGTCGGCCGCAAGGCCCGACGGACGCGCAAGAGCACCGCCCCGCGGGCGCCCTCCGTGCCGCTCACGCTCAACACGGAGGCTCTATTGGCCGCGAAGTCAGGCGACGACACCGTCGACATCGCACGAGACATGCTCGCGAAGCTCAAGGCGGACGGCTTCGATGCTATCACGCCGTCGACGCCCACCGCGAGCAGCATGCGACGCCCGCGGCGGAAGCGGGACACAGAGGGGGTGGCGGCCCTAGCGGCACTGGGAGAGAGCATCGGCTCGCCGGACGGGCCCGTGCCAGAGGACTCGGATACCACACCAGGATCTCCGCCCCCCGCGGCGTTGGACTCGATAGAGGAGCACCCCAGTAGTAGTTAGCTGTATTGACCTGTACCCCCGGAAGCATCGCCCCTCTCACCGCCCGCATAGTTGTATACCCGCGCCCGAGTCACTGTATAGCCTACGCTCTCCACATTGCTGCCTAGTTCTCTTCGTTTTACCCTACATGATGTATTTTGTTCAACTTATTCGCCTAGGACAAGACTGGGTTTGTGCACAGATGGCAGTAACCGACATCTACAACTTAGAGCTCCCACGGTGCTCCAGCCATTGCGAGAGTTCGGTAGTCGACCGCTGCATGAAGTGGTCAGCCAGTGCTGAGAGGTAACTAGTTAGGTTGTGCATACCTTCACCCATGCCGCGCGCGAGCGGATCGTGTCCAGAGTCTGCTTGAGGGCCATGTCGAACTTGGAGGTGTCCTTGTCCTACAGATATAGATTTCAGTATTGTCTTCAGTCAGAGCGCCCAACGTCGTCGTACCTTGAAGAACGCAGCAGTCTCCTCGTAGTCCTTGTCAGACGAGAGCCCACCAAAGGAGGTCTGTACACGATTAGAATTGAGTTGCAGGCCACAACCCCACCAGGCAATACGCACCTCGGTCCAGCGAATGAGCCCGAAGTTCCCCGCATAACGTTTCTCGAACTACAGTCGCCAATATGAGTCTGCTGCACGACTGACACCAACGTTATCACCCTCCGACTCACCGCGGGGAAGTTCTCCTTGAACTTGGTTGCGAGGAAGCGCCTCGTAGCAGGGTTGCGCATGAGGCCGCCTGCGTAGTAGAACGTGTCCTGGTCGCGCGCCTCGGTCATGATGAACTGGAACGTAGCCTCCGCGAGGCTGAGGTCCTTGCTCGCGCCCATCGCCTGCATGGCGGAAAGGCCCTGCGAAGGACTCTTGGCCTTGATCGCGATGCGCTTGACGGCCTCCCACTCCTCCTTCCCGCCTTCCTGCACGGCCTGTGGATAGCGTATGTGGTCAGCCGCGCGCCAGGGAGCATCGCGGAGAAGGACGTACGGTTCTAAAGGTAACGGAGGTGAGGTCACTGGGGATCTTCGAGTCGTCTCCGGTTTTGAGGAAATGGTCGAATCGACTCTTTAGTTCGCTCAGCACCCTGACGCGACGAATGAGCAACACATTCCTATGTGTACAATCACAAAAGGCATACCAAGGATCCCCTGCTTCAGCACACTGCGAGATCGCAGTGGTGCGCAACTGCACGTCATCGTATGGGTCGGAGTCCTTGTACTCGAACCCGAGACGCTTCACGATCGGAACGAACAGCTCCTGCGGATACCGTCAGCATTCATCTGACCATCTGGATCTTTGAACTTACCCTGCGGAATACGTTCAGACGCTCGACGACCCCAGGGTTCTCCCACCACGTAGATACGATCGTGGACAGGTTGGTCGCGATGGCATCCCAAACCAGATCTAACAGAATTGATTCGTGAGATGCGAAAAGTATTGGAGATGTGGATGCTTACACTCTTTCTCGCTGTGCAGAACGCTGATAAGCTCAAGAGTGCTGCTGACGGTCGAATAGCCAGCCCTCGCGAGCGCCAGTGAGTCGCAGACAATGCCAATTCTGTCCGAGAGGGTGAAGGGGGAGTTGGGCGCGGCTGCTTGCTGCCCGAGCTTGGTGAGCCTGTCCGGAGAGTACTGGACCGCGTCTGGCCGATCGATGAGCCTCATGCCAAAACTGTACGATATGCACGCCGAAGCTTACAGAAACCAGTCGTGTCCGCATTGAGCTTGAACGGCTTGCTGGTGTCGAGCGGGATGAACTTCTCGCGCTCATCCAGGAGAGTAGCCTTGTTCAAGATGCTCTTGCCCTCATTGTCGACTATGAGCAGGTTCAAGGGGAGAGTCCTGCACACAATAAGCAAGTGGCCCAGTTGCGAGTCAAACAATCAAATTGGACCAACCAGATTGTCTCGTTGTCCTTGGGGTCCGCCGGCCCAGTCTCGAGGAATCTGTCCTGCCTGACGTGGATGCCGCCCTCCTTCTCCGTGACAGTGAGGACGGGATAGCCCATCTACAAGCCACAGCTTAGAACTACAGGCGGTGAGAAGTTGTGTTGGTTTACCTTCTTGACCCAGTTGTCCATCATCTTGGGAATGTCCAGATCTACCGCTCGCGTTAGCAGACATCTGGTAAAGTAAGGGCCAGATACACACCGGTAGCGGCCTGGATACCCTCCCACAGATCCCGAGTAACACTGTTTTTGTACATGTGCTTCTTGAGGTAAATCGACACACCCTTCAAGAAGCGGTTCTCTCCGACATAGCTGGCCAACATACGAAGCACTGGAAAGGAAAACAACAATGAGGCCCTGAGATGTTGTATGCAACAGAATTTTCATGACGAACCGGAGGCAGCCTTTGCGTATGACAGGTGGTCGAAAATCTACATGGAAGAGTTAGCTATAGCCGGCATCCCAGCGCTGATTAGCCGCACTTGCCTGGTTGATCATGTTTGCGTCTGGGCAGTCAACCTCGATAGGATGCGACGAAAGCTTCGCATCCAGAGCACGTGCACGGTAGAAGTGAGAAGGCAAGAACTCCGCGTCCAATTTCCACTCCGGGAAAACCCTGAAACGGAGTCGGGTCAGCGTGTCTCTATAGTTTATAGTTAAAGCTCATCGCTCCTTACTTGTCTGCGGGGAAAAGGTAAGCATGCAACATGATATAACGGCATCGGAAATCTTACCCAGAATGATCTTCTCGCCCATCTACAACATCTTCAATACGAAGAAACAACCCAGAGTTCTGCATGTATGGCTCACCAGCGTCGCGAAGCCTGTTCAAATGAAGACATCAGTACGCAGGGGTACATCTTTGAAACACTAAACCTCCACCTTCATTCAAGTACAGGTTATCCCACCACTCCATGGTAGTAATGTTTCCGAACCTTCGAAACACTTGAGCCGCAGCCCAAGCCGTACGAGGGTGGCGCACTTACCACATGTGCGCGACTTCGTGGCTCTGCGTAGCAGCGACGTTTTGCTTGTATTTGATACTCGAAGAAGCCGGGTCTAGCAGGAAGGCTTGCGTCCGGCCGGTGATCAAACCCTACGCTCATTCATCAGCAGGTGCTTTCGGAAATCAGAGTGTCTCCATACCCAATTCTCCATGGCACCTGAGGGTAAGATCATAAGTGAAGTTATCGGCTTTTTTTATCTGGACCCTACATACCGGAATCGAAATCGCTTGCCTGGAGGCGAGAGGATTAGCTCACCGGCGACATTGCGTGATCGAGGACACCAAACATACCACCAAGGTATCCAACTTGGGCAATGGGTACTCAATGTCGAATACCTCTTCGTAGAGCGGCAAGACAAGGCGCTTGATGTCGAGTGCGAACTGAGCCTGGCCAATGACGTCCGCAGTAGCTAGTTGCGAGGGTCAATAAATTATTCAGAGTAAGTTGCGAGGACAGATGAACCTACCATAGATGCGCAATGGCCGCACTTTGCCGCTCAGGGGGCTCTTGTAGGAGCTCTCGAGGTACTCGAACGGTCCATTTGCATAAGCAACCAGATACGTAGAAACCTAGTGTATTTCCATTTCCGTTAGGTCGTCAAGAATATATCACAGAGAGGGGTGCAGCCTACCGGGGGAGTCGCCTCGAACTGGGTGATTTTCCACTGCCCGGCATCGGGCAGCGTAGACAGCTTCTTCGCGATCCAGGGCTCCGCGATCGCGGCGTCGGGCTTGTACACCTCCTCCGAGATCGCGGGCATGTTGCTCAGGTTGACAGAGTTCACGCGCGAGACAAGCGTAACGGCGAACGTCGCCTTGAGCAGCGGCTCGTCCCAGCAGGGGAACGCACGGCGCGCGGCGGTGGGCTATAAAGGGGTGCTGTAAGCACACATGAGACCACAGGACATGAGCCACTACACGCCTACCTCGAACTGGGTAAGGGTGTATCTGAGCTCGCTGTCCTTGCCGCCTGTCGAGCGGTAGTAGCCGAGCATGTCACCGGTGAGCTCGCCCTTGAACGCGACGGAGAGGCGCGCGCTCGCGCCCTTGGAAAGCGGCTTGGCGAGCGAGTACACAACACGCTCGTTCTCTGTGTCAAGCTCGCGCTTGGACACGTCGAGAACAGTGTCGAGCGCCCCGCCCGTCTTGAGCGAGGCCTCGCCAAGCTCGAGGTTAGCTGTATTGAGAACGACGGCGGACGTCTCCTTGTTTACGGTGACGCTACCGGCCTCGCGTGTTAACATTGGCACAAATTGAGGTTCGTTCGAGCTTACTCAATGTGGACGATGCCCTCGAACTTGGAGTTCTCGAGGTCGGTCCACACAGTGAGGTCATAGTGTGTAGGCTTAACGTCCGTGGGCAGGCGGTAGTCCTGCTGAGCAGAAGCGGGTGCGCTGGCAGACATCGCGAGAGGTGCGGCAGATACGGAGCAGCTACGGGCACTGAGTAAGGCAGCTAGATTGCGCTGTTGTTTCTTCGCGGCACGAGTGTTAGCAGTCCGTGAGTGAGGGGCTTGAGCACCGGTGGGGCCTTGGAGCGCGGTAGTGTGGTAACTAGCAGTGGCCGCGACAGGAGAGGGCTTGGGGGCAGTACGTGCAGTGGATGAGAGGGCAGATGGTTGTCTGGAGCGAAGGAGGAGGCGTACGCACGACCTCATTTGGGCGGATGGGGGGAGATACTTTGTAGGTGTCTATGGATCCCATCGTCATCGGCCATCGCCGCCTCCCGCTCAGACTGCGAGCGCTTGCGGGAACCCCGCGTAGATATGCCTCAGGCCTCTAAACAGATCGCCGTCCCGCGAACGTTAGCAAGGCACACGTTGCAAATGCGCAATCTCGTGCTCGACGTCGATAAAGGGCGATCGTCTGTATGTGGGCTTCTCGAGCCAATGATCTAGCATATCATATCTCCGTGTACGTACTTACATCATCATCGACATCAGGCCATCCGGGCACGCGATGGAACGGGAACATGTAGAAGAAAGGCAAGGCGGGAGAAAACGGTCCATTATACCACGAACGACATTAGATGGGTGTCGAACGCAGGCCGGGAGTGTAACGACACAAGCGCGCAGGAAGAACAGGAACAAGGTACAGCGAAAATCAGGTCATATGGATATGCATGTGATAAACAACAAGTAGAACGAGATGGGAGGTGATGATTCGAGGCAAAGGTCAAGAGGAGTCGATGGAACAGATCGCGAGAGAGGTAGCCCATGTCGGATCGTGAGATGAGGATAGCGGCCATGGAGAGAAACCAAACCACAGGCGTAGGAAGCCTTTACTCCTGGCCGAAGCCGACGGTTTCCCTGCGCACGCCAGTCAGCAATCTCGCACAGCTTTGTAAGTCATGAATAAGACACTCACTCTACAGCCCACGTAAGCTTCTGCTCCAGCGTCTCGTAGTCCTTGTACGGCGGGAGGTCGATGCGGTTGAAGCACGTGTGGCTCTTCGGCAGCTGGTTCGGGTCGCCCGACTTCTCAATCGTGAACCGCCTCGGGCCATCGGACCCCTGTAGATCCTTGAAGCCGTTGACGGGGATACGCGACGTGCCCGTCGCAAACTGTAGCAATCGCGACTTGCGCTCGGGGGGCCAGCTCCGCACGCACTTCCAGAACCACTGCACGACCTCGTCGTTGACCTCGTATCCACGGTAGTCGGTGTACTTCATCCAGTCGTCGCTATCGTAGAACGTCAGCACCGACAAGAATAGCCCGTACGGGGTAGTAGTGGACTTACACATCAATCTCGGACATACCGCCAATGAGCAGCTCGAGCTCGCGCTCGTCGAAGACGTTGATGAGGTCCTGGGGAATCAGCTCGCTGAAGCCCGACATGAACGCGTCAAACTGCTCCTTGACACGCTTCGAGATACGGTACTCCACGACCGCGAGCACGTAGTCCTTCTTGTTGTCCTCTGTAACGGGGACATCGCCACCACCGGGTTTGAGCTCGACGGTGACCATCTCACCGAAGCGCTCCTCGACGGTCGTGAATGTCTCGTCGATGACGTCGGTGATGTCGTTCTCACTGAGATCGGATGAGTGGGGGGTCCAAAAAGGTCAGGCAAGGGTGTCACTTACAGCATCCAAGTGAGACCACGGTGCAGCTCAGCATCGACGCTTTCAAGATCGGCGAGCGTCACCTTCTTCCGTAGGATCATCTTGTAGAAGGCGGTGACGAAGTACGCGTCAAGGAAGCGACGGTGGAAGATACCGAGACCCAAGCAACGACCGATGAACTTGAAGTAGTTCAAGTGCTCGGGGTTGACACCAGACGCAGGGTTAATCTGGAGCGTGTAGTTGTCGTGTGCCGAGTACTCGAACAGACAGTAGAACGGGTTGAACATCTCGTGCGAGAGTAGGAAGAAGAACTCCCTGTATGAAAGTTAGGAATGCCGATCGTGCCGCAATATGTGCACTAGAACGCACCTAGAAAGACCTCCATAGTCGAGACCGTCCTCACCCTCGAACTTAATCATGAGCCGCTTCTTGAGATCGTTGGGCGTCTGGCGCATGATCTCGGCGTAGCTGTCCTCGAAGATATGGTTACGCCGAACCTTGATCTGACAGTTGCCTGGTTGGTTGCGCATTGCGGGCTGGCTGCGGAAGTAAATGAGCTTCCGGCGGAAGTCACGCTTGTACTGCGGCACGCTGGCATCGAGCGTCGACGGCAACCTCGGGTCGTCCCAAGTCGTCGTCTTCGTGTTGTGGTCCACGAAGTAGACACGGGCAGTGGAAGTGAGACGCATCTCCCATCCTGAAGGAAGGGGCCCGAGCTGCGAGATCGTCTGGGGCTGCAATGCGGCGTTCTGACCGTTGGGGCCCATGACCCGAATAACGGTCTGCCGACGAGGGTCAACCCAGGTCGTGGTACGAGTGTTGTGGTCAACATAGTAGGGTCGGCCTTGGAGAGTGTGACGCTCCTCCCAGCCAGCAGGCAGAGGACCAGGTCCTCCCGCACTCGGTGCTCCAATGGCTGGTGGGGGGCCTTGCTGCTCCTGGCCAGTCACAGACCCCGTCCGTGCTACACCGTTGTTTGCCTCCAACATGTCGTCAGCGAGGATACGACGATTGTGCTGGTTGCGGGCAGCATTTGTCTCGCCATCCTGGGCATGCGTGTTGACGCTCTGGCTGGCCGAAGGGCGGTGCCAGGTCGTTGAACGGGTGTTGTGGTCGACGTAGTAAGTCCGGCCCAGCGGGTCGATACGACGTTCCCAGCCAGTTGGCAGAGGCCCATACTGGTCTTCGTGAGGGTTGAAGTTGCGCGTCTGGGCATTGTTGTTGGAAGCGGTTTGCGCGGTAGCACTGGCATTGGTGGTCGCCGGGGGCTGTGCAGACACCGTGGTAGAGGGCGTCGTGCTAGTCGTGCTCAGCGGACGGGCAGGGGCAGGGGTCGTCGGCTGAGACTGCTCAGAGGGAGGAGCGGTGGGGGAGACTTGGGGGGTGGGCATAGTGGCGTGAGCGTCCTGACCTGTTACGTGCGCAGCGGCGCTCGAACTGCGAGAAAGCGTGCTACCGGCGGCAAGATTGGTGCTACTGGCGCTGGCAGACGGGCCCGCGATGGAGAGATTCCCAAGACCTTCGGCGAGTGTGTTGGATTGGGAAGGGCCTGGGTTGTTGATGGGCTGGCTGACGTTGGTGGAGAGGTAGAGGATGAGCTTCCCGTGCACGACCAGGTTGTCGTTGGACTTTTTCAGATCCAGGGTGAGCATCTCTGGAAGACAACATGTCAGCGGAATCCATCCGCAGTCGTAATCAAGCTTCCGTGTACAAATGACGACGGAGGGGCGCTTTCGGCGGCGACTGCTGACTACACCAGTGCAACAAGGGCAGAGGACCATGTGGTTGCAGTGGTCTGGCTATGGTAGCGCAGCGCGTCGTATGACAGAGCCCGAGTCCGCACACTCGTCCTTGTATGTGGAATACAACGCACCATGGCCACCGAGCTCCAAGTCAATGACATCGCTAACTTTGACGTTCACCACTCCAAGGAAACCCTGATCCCGCTTCTTGAACTTGCGCTGGTCAAAGATCTGGACTGCGATGACAGAGTTATCCTTGACAGTACTGGGACACAGTCAGCACTCGCACAGGTCGAAGGGGCGATGCACGCACATGTCGAAGCTCTCGTTCCAGTACGGGTTAAGCGTCTTCTTCATGACGCTCGTGGTGTGGGTCTGCTCTGCATCGACGGTGATAACAGCGAATGGGTCAGGGAGACGGAAGACCTCGCGCTTGGACAAGCCATCGGCGGCAACGACTGGGCGAAGAATGAGCTGCGGGCGAGGCGTAGACGAGGGGAATCGTACCTGTGATCCTGATGCGCTTCCTGGGAGAGGGTAAGAACAAGGACATTATAGGAAGGACAAGGGGAACTCACGGAGCACTCGGGGTCGCCGACATCGCAGAGTAAGGCGGGCTCAACGCGGCCGACGCAGACTAGGATGGTGCAAAAGTCTCGAGGAGGACGCGGGGAGGAGGCTGGAAGAGAGGTGATGGTCGCGGGCAGACTGGCCGTACGGCGGACAGACTGGAGACTCCGCCCGTGTCCCCGGCGCTTCCTCTCGGCCTCCGGCCCTCCCCCGCCCACAGCCTCCCTCACCATGCCGGCCGTCCCGGCGGCTGCCCGCTCCCTGGCCGAGCATCCCCACCTGCTCCTCCCGGCCCCAGCCGCCGACATATGGCTGGTAGCTATTCATAGCCTCTGCTCGGTCACTCAGGCCTCCGAGTCCGCAACATAGCCAACCATCCTACGATACAGTGACACCATCCAGTCTAGCCGAAAATATCGTATGATGCTGACAAGTGTTGTCCATCAGGTATTTTGGTTTGCGATTGAATCACAACAGCACCAAGTAATACTCGGAGCCATCCTCGTGAGTCTTTCGTCGTAACAGCCCTGATCACAAGTATCCTCTGAAATGTGTATATAAGGCCCCGGGACCAGGATTGTCGAGACATCGGAATCAAACATACGCTCCTGCTTATTAGGGCGACAGAAGCTGGTGGGAGAGCCTGGAGACCATATGCATCTGCGTTGTGACGGACACGATACGTGCGAGCTCGTAAGGACGCGCATTGAGACCACGCATGGCAGGCCTGTGGCCCGACGCTTCTTTGGCTCTCTATGTCATCGCAGACTTCGCTCACAGCCCTTCTAGGTTTCGATAGCGTCACGTCGAGCGGAAGAGAATCGACATCTCCCTCCCTCGTCCCCTCCGGTGAGTGCACACTCTGGATGGCCTCGTCCGTTGCATTCGCTGACCCTCGCATCTAACCTGGTATGTCCCAACCTACCGTCGGAGAACAGCTCCCCACCCTGAAATTCAAGAAACGACACCATTTCGCCCCGAACGCAGTCTGCATGGACGGTTCTGACCTTTTCGACAAACAACAGTACTCCGAGTCCGTCAAGAGCGTCAGCGCCGCCGAGGCCGCCTTCGCCCCGAGGCTCACATCCGTCCAAAGCTTCGACGCTCCCTTCCTCGGCGAGAACGTCCTGTAGCCGTGAAAGGATCAGCGCGTCCGCATCCCGAACCCCCTCCGCACGCCGCGTCCAACTACTACTCTACGGAGGAGATGGCCACAGACATGTTTCCAGAGCCGCTCACCTCCTTCCTGGAAATGGAAGCTAAGTTCCCTCTGACCGAGGGGGAGTTGGAGGTGGTGAGGCAGTAACCGGTAGTGGCGAGCAGAAAGGCCGTCGCCGGCATCGTGCTGAAGTTCGCGCAAGTTCCGCCCAGCACCATACCACGCTACCTGCTCACCGACGGCCAGCTCCCACCCCGTTGTGGAGCCTCAGAATGACAGGGCTCCATACGTTACCAACATCGACCACGCCTTCGTCCTTGTGGTCGAGATCAAGAAGGAGCCCATTCTCGAGGCACACGAGGCTAGCATCCTCGCACTCATTGACAAGGAGTTCGAATGGCCCGAGGTGATCGAGCGCATGGACGAGCCGCACAGGATCCTTTTGGTGGTGAGTCCTGACCGGCGATCGACCGAGACGTGGACGTGTCTGCTGTTTACCGTACTGGACGACCGTAGGTCTACCATCAGCTAGCTGCAGGCGGGACCGGCGTCGACCTCCTCGCCGGCGACAACACTGTGTACATCCTCGGGTGGAAGACGAAAAAGCGGCGGACGTCGAGGGGGAGACGACCTCATGCGGTGTACTGCAGGTCGACGGACCGTACTACACGCATCCCAACCCGAAGCACCCGAAGAAGGGCAAGGGGCAGTTCACGCCCCAGATGTTGTTCGAGGGGGGCTGCTTATGGAATTCAGGTGCGTCAATCGACGAAAGAGATGCACGATGCTTTGAGGACCCGCGTGGGCGCCCCGAGGTCCACACGCACCCCCCGCCATCCTCGTCCTGCACACGGTCACCGACGACACTCAGCGCGTCGACGCCTAGGGTGGCACGCAGTCGGAGAAAGAGACGCAAGGGGATGGCGTGGCACAGTCCCGGGTTCCGTCATGGTTGGTTCGTATTTGTTGACCCTTCCATATCATATCTAATGTGCTCTTCATCGCGCTCGCAAGTGTACCGAGCTGCCTAAGCCCTCAACTCTGCGTGAGCTGCAAGTCCACTGGCGCCAGCGCTAGGAGAGCGTTGCATCGTTCGGGTTGCCGTAGACGAGCGCCCCAGCGGCCTTTTCCGCTGTTGTCTGACAAGCTCCCTAGTCCACTCGTCGAGGCTGCACGCCGCCAGCTTCGCGATAGCGGGGTACCGCTCACGGACGTCACGCCACATAACACGTCGTGGGACGAGGAGCAGATCACCCTGGTAGACTTCGTCGACCCCTTGCAGGTGCCGGAGCGTTGAACTAAAAGGTCGCCTTTGCGGCGGATGATAGAGCAAAGTAAAACTGCATCCCCCAATGAGCGCCGGTACAAAATATGCCCAATGTATATGGGATGACAATAAACCACGGTGCTTGGGCCGCAGTTACTTAGTAGTGCTGGTCAACGACGACTCGGAGTCTGGAAAAAGTTATTGAACCCGGTCAAATCCGGACGCAGGCGCACAGCATAGCCACAGGTGCACAGTATCATCTCGCATGGTTCACTCCGCGGAGTCCGTCGTTCTTCCTCCTCCGAGCGGCGAACAAGCCGAGGCTGGTTCACGGGACCACTGCAGTCCTTGATATAGTCCAAGACAAAAGACTCTTCGAATCTCTGCTGACCTTGAGCGGCACCGCCCTGGCAAACCACTACTGTTGCCTCTCTCTCTCCTGCGACTTTCCAAGTTTTCAAAGAAAAAATCCGCCCTGAGAGCAGTTGCAGTATGTCACACCGGAGCTGTGAATGGCTTGTACTGATAGAAAAACACCATCATTGTACTACAGGAGAATGTCCCTCGATACTTACCCTACTTCCGCTTCGGATCGCGTGCTGGCCTGCCCCGAGCTGCTTTCACTAATCTTTGACTCGTTTTCCGTACCAGACCTCTTAGGAGATATACCACCTGATTCATCGCCGTCTCAAATATCTCGTCTTACAAATAGGGCCGCGCTAGCGTCGTGCGCCCGTGTATGTCGCCGCTTGTCCGGCCATGCCCTCGACGTCCTCTGGCATACGCTGGATGACGTCATGCCTCTCCTGCATCTCTTTTCTTCTTTCACAAAGGTTGAAGTGCACTACGTAAGCATTCTTTCTAGTGGCATAATCTATATAATTAACGCAATACCTAGATGTTATGTGGCCGGCTCGACGCAGACTGGACTCGCTTCCAACAGTATGCGCCTCGAGTTCGAAGTCTACGGTACCGGACACAAGACACAGTGCATGCCTCGGTCTGGACACTCCTCGCTCGAAGGTGCAATGGCCATGGGTTGCTCCCGAACATATGGAAGCTCGATGCCATGGATATATCACTCGCAGACATTGCTCCAGTCACCCTCCTATTCGCGCCCAGCATGCGCGATGTACACCTTGCCTTTGACGACACCTCAAAGCCTGTCTCCCAAACAGCTCTTTCCCCGGTTGCATCTGCCTTATTTGATGAGCTCTTCAACGTAGCCGGGCCGCACCTGACCGAGCTGTGGCTGTTCCGGCGGTTCCCACTCGCCCCTTCGCGCATATCCGCCTTCGAAGCCTGTCGCAATCTACGCCATCTACTCCTTGTCGACTTGGACACGGTTTTCGACATCCGTGGTATCCGCCTTCTCGAGCAGCTTGGACCTCTTCTTTCGCTGGCACTAACAATCCGGCTGGACGACTCTCAATCAGCGGTCACGGAACTTCACCTGGACACAGGGTTCCCCGCGTTGACCGGGCTATGGGTATGTGGCAGCGCCCCCGATGTCGCCAAGTTCGTGCCCGCGGCCCGTCCCGTTGCGCTGCACACCTTCGATATGACCATCACGGGCTCGACGGACATGTCTAGTCTGCAGCGATGCTCAGCCGACGTGGGCGCCCACCTTCCCCGAACTGTACGCGAGTTTCGCCTGGCCGCCAAAGACGTCTCGCGTCGAACCCCCACGGCATCGCTCGGAGACCTCCTTAGACCGTTCTACCCGCAGAAACGCATGCGGTCGGTTACATTCGACCTCGACGACCATGTCCCGCATACATCTGACGACGACCTCCGGGAGCTTGCGCAGGCGTGGCCGCGGCTAGACTATATCAGGGTCGGGGGCGGGGCGGTGGTACATCCAGACGTTCGCATCCTAGCAGCGCTTCGCCGCCCGACTGTCCGCGGCCTTGTCGAATTGGCGCAGCACTGTCCACGTATTCGGGCGATTGACCTCCCTGTCCTCGACACAACGCATCTGCCCTCACGGGACACTATCCCCGTACTCGGCCGCATCCGAGCGAAGCACCTCCGCCTCTCGTGGGTCTCGTCGACCGACAAGCGCATGCACTTTGACTTGGCGGTGCTGCTGGACAGGCTGTTCCCGAACCTCGAAGGCATCACGATTGCAGCCGCTGGTCAAGAGGTGCCGGGGAAAAAGATGTACCAAATTCTGGAGGCGATGCAGATGGGGCGCAAGCACGCCCGGTTACTCGGAAAGGATCGGGGCACAGGGATGCTCGCATCGGGGGAGGGGGATGAAGGCGATGAAGATGAAGATGAAGATGACGAAGACAGGGAAGAAGAGGATGCGACTCAGGGGTGTTCTGACACGGCAACCATCCGAGTAGCCTAGTATTCTCCTACGTCAGTACGAACTTCGCTCTTTGTGTTGATGGTCTAACATTTTCTGTTACAAACCCTTCTCTACAGACCCAAGCCGATGCTGGTTCAACTCACCGTGAACACTCATAGACGAAGTGTCTGAAGCAAACTGAAAGATTTTGGGGGCGAGCGATGCTGTAGCGATAGGACTAACTTAAGCGTTGACTGACTAGCATGATGGCCAAGACGGTGCTGTATTTGTTATGTACTAAAGAAAGGCTGTTACAGGTATAGCGTTATTAAAGTCATTATACGTATACGAATATGGCGACTTATCATTGTACTTTAAGATTCGGTACCCCCTATGATATTCTCTGGGTCCGAATTGACGTCGCGTATGATTCTCACTCCCATCCTCGAAAGTGACGACGAGTCCGGGGCGTTCCATGTCGCAGGAGCCTGTATAGAACAGTTCCACCTCGCTGAGTCGTCCCCCCGCCGCGGGAGAGCGGCTTATGGCTGCATCCTTCATCACGTCCCAGAAATTCGCTCGAACAACTCGAATGCCTCCAATTGCAAACAAAATGGCTGCACCTGTTCTGGCGCTAGCTGCATGGCTAGTGTAAACGCCTCGAGCGTCTCGCCGTTCATCGACATCAATCGTAGGGTCTTCAGCGCAGGCACCAAAGCAAGCATCGCCGCCCACTACTCCTGCGTGATCCCGTGGTCGTCCCGAGCCCACAGGGAGCGTCTGCCACTAGTAGTCCCACCGCAAATGACCAGGGTCTCGAGGTGTGACACATCGACCGGCCAGTTTGTGAGGAACCGCTCGTCGGGAGGCTCTTTGCCGTACACCTGTAGATCAAGCACCGGCGCGATAAAGTCCTCGCTGTGTCGGTAGGCTCGCAGAGAGAGGCCCCCGTATCCGTATCCCCACGAGAGCTCGAGTTGCTTGAGGCCCTGGAGAGAGTGCAGCTTGACGTTCCCTGGGTCGAACGCAGGGATGAAGTCCGCAAGCGGCAGCTGCATGGGATTCCACTCTGTGTGAAGCGTGATGTCCGTCTGCGCTGGAAGCACAAGACTGGCGAGAAACGTGCCGGCCCCCTTCATGAGGCCCCCATGCAATTCCAAACGCTTGAGGCGCGGGAGAGGGACTGTGCGGCGTGGGTCTGGTACGAGTCCGCGGTGATTGAACGGACCGCAGATCTTCAGCCTTTCGAGGGCCGGGCTGCGTTCCAAAAGATCGAGTAACAGCAGAGCGTCCCCGACACATTCTTTACCAGTGAGCTCGATGTTTGTTAACAAGCTGGAGCCCCTGGGTAGATAAGGCAGAGGTACGCTATGGAGCGCCAACGAGCGAAGCAAAGGTGCGCCGTCGAAATCACCCGGACGCCGCCGACTCGGAGATGGAGTACGAAGTGACGGCGGTACGACACCAAGTGGAGAGCCGCAGTCCCTGATAGACAACACCTCCAGCTGCGGGCTGAGCAACATCAGGCTCTGAGTGACGAGTCGCAGACCTGCCGACGGTGGGAGGGTAACGCGGAGCCTGCGCGTGCGATGTATCTCCGCGGTAATGGCGCGCAGAGTGCTCGCAGTCGGAATCTCCAGGACCGTGAGGGATATGTCTAGCGGGAGCCCCTTTGAACGTCGCAAGTAGGTATTCACGCCTTCAGGGCTCGTATGCCCGACGTGCGTCCAGAGGCCGGGAGCGTGTAGCGCGACGTTGCGCCAGTGCCGGCAGACGTGCGTCACGCTGACCAGGTCGTCTCCAGCCAGCGAGAAAAACATGATGAGCAGCTCTGGCGGAAGCGAGTTGACGGGGGCGACGAGGTTGTGGATAGAGTTGAGCTGCGAGATTTCCTCGTGCACGTTGAGGTTCGCCGTGTATCGCATCTCGACTTCCTTGCAAACGGCCACCCGTACGTCCTCTGGGGGCATCGAGGTATAAATGAAAGAATCAAACTTGGTGGTGCTGGCCTGTTCCGCCTACCCAGATAAACCGTGTCAGCGGTGCGCTAAATGAATATTATCCAAAGACATACGCTAGCATCCTGACTACCGCATACAAACATGGTGTTCTATGCTGTCGGGCTGTACAAGGCCCGCTTGGACGTAGTGGCGAGTTCGGGGTTACGATAGTCCAAGAAGGGATGCGGTAATTGGAGCGAGCCGCTGGATGATCTTGAAGGCTGACCGGTACCCAGGAGCTGGGGCTGAGTAGCCTCGCTGGCATGCAGAGAAGGTTGACATCAGGACAGGTGGCCACGGTGCTGAAGGTACCTACAACATAAGCGCTCTGAACCCCACGTCTCCGAGTTCACTCCGGATACGAGCTGCCTGGCCTGACCACGAGTCACTCACACAAGCACCCCAACCCAACATAAGACAGTATGCGATAATATATATGCAGGTCTGTATATGCGGATGATGGATCTACCATGCGTGGAATCAGGATGCGTATAGTGGACAATGCGCGGGCGATCACGAATATAACGTATACGATGCTGACGTCGTTCATTCTCTCTCTCGTCTCTGCGGACGGTGTACGGAATACTGGGTCTGGGTCTGGATTGATTGTCAATGCGATGTGTGAGGGGGAACAGGGAACAGGGAGAACAGAAACAGAGGAAAGGGGGGATAGATACGGCGGCGGGAAGGGGTACTAATGGTAGAGTGTCCGGAGCGGAACGATTCACAACGAAGCGGTGGAGAGGAGGTATGGGACGGGGTTCGGAGTCGAGATTCCAAGCAGCAAGAGCGCGCGCCCCTCCCCTTCCGAACCGTCCTTCCCCATCCACAGGCGAATCTGTGCCGGGTATGAGGAAGGTTGGGGGGAAGAGGAGCGCGCTAGAAGGGAAAACGCGATAGAACAAGAGGCCACAGCCGCGGAGGAAGGGGAAAACACGGAGGGGATAGATAGATGGCAGGCGGGAACAAAACACAGAGGATAAAAGAGATGATGATGGCACAACGAAGTGAAGACAGAAGACAGGATGCAGAGTGTGAGGGGAGGGAACAAAGCAGGAGGAAGGGGGCGGAAGAGGGAGCTCTTCGCGCCGGCCTGAGACCGTCCGTATAGACATACATATATGAGATAACAAATGGGGTGAAGATGAGGCCAACAGGTGGATGTGGTTGGTGGGATGATGCGGATGTGGGTGTCTTGATGATGTGTGGCGGGGAGGTTGTGAGGTAAGGAGGAGGGGCAAGACGCAAGGGTGGACGACTTGAGGAGACATATCGGCGATAATCTTGGCTTTTCTAGCTTTTCCGATAATGGTTAGGCCTCCCCGCACCTCCCGTCCTGGGTGGGCATCCGAAGAGGAGTCGACCCAAGGCGCGAGAGCGGCGACGAGAGAGGGATGGCACGAGAGGGGGCGACGATAAGCGAGGGGACGACGAAAGGAGAGCTTCACGCAGCGAGGCGCGGACGATGCATAGCGAGCGTCATCAACGAGGGGCATTCCTGGGCATAGCGGGCATACGTCCGCTCGTCGAAGGCGAGCGGGGCGGATGGGGGTTCCATAGGTGCGGTCATATCGAGGACTTGCTGCGAGCACGTACGACGTTGGCGAAGCGTGAGGTGACATTACGACATGATCTTCTTCTCGGGCTTGTGGGCGAACTTTAGTGAGTGTAGACTGGGACGAGTCCGAAAGCGAAGCGAATCCGAAAACCGAGGAGGGCACGAAAGAAACCCGCAGGTCGGAAGAAGAAAGCGAGTCACAAAGCTCAGTACCCCATCGTCATGCGCGCCGGGTTGTACGTCTCCGCTCTTGCCAGCGGTGCGCGGCCCATCTTCTTCCCCTTGAACACGACGTTCTTGCTGGGTGGCGGACACGGGCTGTCGCCGATGTCCGTATCGTCCCCGTCGCTCTCGTGTCCGCCGGGGCTACCGTCTTCCTGGAGAGTGTGGAGGCCACCTCTCCGAGTGCGCGCCGCGTTCGCTGCAGCAAACAGCGAGTTCGGGCCGCTGCTCGGGACCGTGTTGCGCTTCGCCTGCACACCCTGCACCTGCTGCGCGGCCGACGTCATGGAAAGCATCTTGCCCTCGCCGTACGCGTACGACTTCGTGCGCCCGAACTTGCCCTTGCGGAACTGGTCGAGGTCCTCCTTGCGCGACGCGGCGTAGTGCGGGTCATCCATGCGCACATACGCGCTGGGCTGGCACCGCGGGCTGCACTCCGTGTAGTACTGTGAGTACCCACCTTCGAGGACGTATACCTCGGGGTAGTGGACCTTGGGGTACACGTGGTTGTTCATCGCTCTGTCCTTGGAACGGAGGTGCTTAGCACTACCAGCTCTGTCAGCACCAGACCAACGCTACACAAGAAGGAAACACTTACAAGGTCGGGGCTCTCTTAACGCTGAACTCACAGTGGAAGACGAGAATGGTCTTCTTGCTGACATCCCCGCTCGTCGACGGCTGGGGCTTCTTCGCAGACATACCGAGTAGGAACTCCTCGACGCCCGCCGTGGTGTTGATGTTGATCGCACCGGGGATGTGCCCGCCGAGGTACTCGTAGTCGAATCGGCAGTCGATGACGTGGAAGTTCTCCGCCTGCGTGTTGAACTTGCCGTCCAGCAAGTCGTTCAGCTATTAAGCGATCCCTGTAAGTCAACCGGCCCGCTTCGCACACCGAGCCCTGTACATACCGTGTGGCAGTTGATTCTCATCAACCCATCCTCGCGCACGCGATGGCACGGCAAGATCTTGCCCGCAGCCTCGTTGTCGCCGAAGCTGCCCAAGCCAGACCCGGCGTTGAGGTACTTGCTCCGCGGCGTGTCCCTCTCCGCGACGGTCCGGGCCTTCTCCTCTCGCTCCTCGCTCCTGCGCAAGCCACGACCCGAGACGGCCTCTGCGTCACGCTTCATGAGCGCGGTCGCACCGGTGATAGGACGGAAGTCGTCCGTGCCGTCGCAGCGACGGATCGTCTTCACCTGCTGGCGCTTGGCGTACGCCTGCGCGGGCGAGCTCATGTCGGGGTCTTGGTCGAAGCTCGCATCCTCGCTGGAGAGGCTGAGATCGACCATGCTCGGCGGCAGCATGGCAGAGAACGCGCGACGAACGGGGGCCAACCGCGGGCGCTGCGGCTCATCCCGACTGGCCTTCTCATCGGATCCGGAGGGCACAGGGTAGGCGGTGAGAGGATACGGCGAAGTGGACGTGGGGGCTTCGCTAGGTTGAATCATCGCGCTCAAGGCAGGGCGACGAGGGCGCTTCTTGTTGGCGTTGAGAGCGACCGCAGGAGGCGGGCCAAGACCGAGGCCCGCCGGCTTCTTCTGGTTCGAGAGCAGCGAGCTGCTAGCCATGCGCTCCAACTTGTGCACCGTGGGTGACGACTGAGCAGGGGATGAGATGTAGCCAGGTTCTTCCTCGTCGAACAGGTGCTGATGGCTACGGCGGAGGCTCTTAGAGTCGGGCGAAGAAGAGCGACGCTTCTTGGGGAAGGGTTGGCACGGGCTCTCAACGATGCTAGAGACCGATGAGACGTTGGGATCTTGGAGAGCGTGTTGTTCCTGGGCGGAGGACAAAGCGTCGAAGAAGCGATTGTTGAAAGACGTCACAGTCGGAGCCGCAGAGAGAGGCACAGGTGAGCCAAGGGGAACGGGAGCCCCAAAGTTGAACCCAGTGATCGTCGCTGCGGCGGACAGAGGCGGAGTGAGCGCGTCGGGCGCGGACGTCGATGGGGCGAAGTTGAACGACGTGTCGACGTCCATACGATCTGAGGGTGTCGACGGAATGTCCAGAGGCTGACAACACGCATATCAGTCCGGGATTCACGGAGCGTGCAGTTCGGGTCCGGTCGCATTGGAGATGAGACTGACCTGACTGAACGCGTTCTCGTCTTGCGGACGTGATGCCGACATCCATTCGGTGGGTAGCCCGGCGCGTTGGAGACGCTTGCCGCTATTGGTACCAGTACCCAACTTGGAACCAGAGAACTGCGCAGAGGAGTCCGTGCCGTTACTCATGTCGCGACCGAATAACCGTGCAGCGCTCGTGGCTGCGCGCGGGCGACCAACAAAAGGCTTCGGTTGTGATGTGTTGCCCTCATGCGATGGCTGGAGCATGCGTGGTGGGGCGGGAGAGATGTCCATAGGGACGTGGTCGGGGTTCTCATTGTCGGGAGTGAGGAGCTGTGGGTCGCGGATGGGGGAGTTCAAGGACATCGTCGACGCGAAGGAAAGCTCGAGGTCGAGGTCCGCGTCGAATGCGGGCTGGGCGAATGCCGCCCTCTCGTTACGCGCGGGGGCATCGCGCTTCGCGCTTTTGCCGCTGAGGAAGGATGGGACGGCAAGGTGGCTAGAGTTGAATCGGGAGTTACTGAAGAGGGACATCTTGAACTGTCTGTTGAGCACGCGAGTCTTGAGGTCAGGCACGCGTGACTTGGGGTCGGATGCGCGGGACGTGAGGACGGGTACGCGGGACTTGAAGTCGGGTGCGCGTGTCTTGAGGTCGGGTACGCGGGTGGTGTGGTCGGGCGGTGGGTTTCTCTTTTGCTTCTTGGCCGGGCGTGCAGGAGGTTCTAGCTCTTGGTCTACGAAGAGACGACGCCGAAGGTTTTGCGACATGGCGCGCGATGTACAGGGGAGTGTACAGGAATGTTACAGAGGTGGATGTTGAGGACAGCGCGTGTGATCGTACAGGCAGAGATGAAGGTGAGTTGACCCAGACCGAGACGATGCGAGGAGGCAAGGTGGGGGAGGAGATGAGCGTTCGAGTTTAAAGGTTTTATAAGAAATGGAAAACGAACCAAAGGCAGATCTGGCCAAAGGCAGCGATCGTGGCTAGGTAAAGCTTTGTTACCGAGAATTCGGAGAGCTGTTGGGAGTCGATGAGCATGCGCTGAGCCGATAATTGATGGATAAGACGCAAAAGGAGGGCTCGATCAATCCTATTGTCCGCTGCATAGACGGAGCTGCGGGCTCGGGGCGGAACACGGGGGTAGGACAGGGGATTGTGCGACCGAAAAGGCAGGAGGGCGTCGGGGCCATATATACCGAGCCAAGCGGAGACAATGAATGCGACAGAACAGGTACGCAGCCCGGGCTCCTCTAAACGCTTCTCCCAGATCCATTAATGCCCCTGCAATGGAGGGCTAACCTCTGTCTCCTAGCCAACAGGCCTCGAGAGGCGTACCGCCGTCAGGCACGAAAAGGTGAATGCGCGCATTGGGGACATATATCCGACGTCCACCAGTTGGTCCTGCAAAGCATTCCACCCCCGCAGCCACCGTCTCGCGAGCGCAATCACTACCACTCACAAACGGCCGCGTGGGCGTATCCACCTCCACCTCGGCGTGTCACTATGCGCGGAGCTCTTCAGGCGCAGATGAAACGTACGAGAGTTCCCCAAGGCTGAAAAGCCAGCACTGTCATCATGGATCATGGGCTACGATGACGATGCCCTATGCGCTGTCCGGCCTCCCGCGGATGGTAATGACCGGCAATGGGTAGAAACGAGAGGCACATGGGGAACGAGGGCACTGAGAGGGACACTGACCTTGAAACGAAGGAGCGTGAGGCGGAGGAGGCCGCGCCTTGAGAGGAGGGGGATCAGAGTCAGCTCAAAGGACCTCGAGGACGAAGCGGCGCTGGCGAGCGAAGCGGGGTTCTCACGCGAAATGAACAGGTTGAAGGACGCGTCGAGATCCGCTCGAGGGTCCGCTCCTCCGGGCGCTGCAGCCGGCCGTGCGGTGCGATGTCGGGGACGAAGATGTGGGTGCTGGTCGAAGAGAGAAGAAGGGGCGTCGCAGGGTATGTCGTCGGGCGGTGTGTCGGTCGCAGCGAGCGCACTGGTGTCGAGAAAACGAACCGCTTTCGGACGCCCGCCTTTGTTTGCGCGTTATTTGGTTCGTGTTCGTCTGACGTAAGTCGCGTCTCCTCCCCGCCGTCCGTGACCGCGTCGGCTTTAGGGCAGGCTCATGCGGACTTGGCGCGCGTTTGCCCCACCTCCTCCTCATACCCCACACAGCGTAAGGCACGAACGTCATGTGCATACGTATACTGCTCCCTCAGGATGGACGTATATATACAGCTGCGCCGAGTGCTTTGCTGCGACACACATCACCTTCACCATGTCCACAGGAAAAGTACTAATCATCCTCTCCGATGCCGACAAGTTCGCCATCCGTAAACAAGACGGCGGCAGCGTCTCCCAAGAAGACACAGGCGTCTTCCTGACCGAACTCGCAACACCCCTCGGTCAGCTTCTTGATGCCGGCTATGAAGTCGTCGTACGTATTCTGCTCATTGTCAATCATTACGAGTCGCTTACATGTCAATTTACAGTTCGCCTCACCCGCAGGGAAATCTCCCAGCGTAGACCCGCTCTCCGAGTCACTCCTCGTCTACTTCGGGAACTGGTGGACAAAGCGAAAGGACCAGGAGCTTATCAAGCGAATGGAGATCGAGAACAACATCCGCAATCCTCGCCCATACGGATCCATCTCTGACGAAGAGCTCCAGTCCTCCGCCGGGGTCTTCATTCCCGGAGGCCACGCACCTATCACCGACCTCGGCGAAAACCCTGAGCTTGGCCGCATCCTCCTTCATTTCCATAACGAGCACAAGGCCACAGGTAATGCTCTCGAGCACCATCATCACCAATGCGGAATGCTGACAGAGGTTCGCAGCGATAATCTGCCACGGCCCGTACGCGCTACTCTCAACCAAGTACGCGCCCAACTCGCCCGGATTCGCGTACAGGGGGTACAAGCTTACCTCCTGGTCCGACGCGGAGGAAAAGCTCGTCGAAATCCTCAAAGGCGGCAAAGTCTCTAACAAGGTGGAGTCTTCCCTTGCGGCCGAGGGCGCCGACATGATTAGCACGGCCGGGAAGAAGATGGGCGGCATCACTGTCGACCGCGAGGTCGTCTCTGGCGCCAATCCCATGGCCGCGACCGCGCTAGGTAACAAGTTTATCGAGCTGCTCAAGGCGCACTGAGTCGCTCTCGTGCATGTATAACCGCTTGTATCTATAGCACTCTATGATTTGTATCAATACACCGTTTGCACTTGCGTTTTCTATGCTGTCCTGCCTGCAGCGACGACCCGTCTTTCATCAGCTTGAGAACGCGCTTCTCTTCTGAGTCAACTCCCGGCAGTTCTCTTGGTTCTCTGCGATGACGTCGAAGCTGTCGATGGCGATCAGCGTAGGTAACACCAACGGCGGAGGAAGCACGTACTAGGGGAACACGCTCTTCAAGTTGTCGTAGTGGTACTCTGGATAGTTCTCCTTGATCGCCTTGACCAGCTCCTCGAACACAATCTGCGTCATGGCTCAGTACACAACACCTCCAGCGATTCTGTATCACAAGCGCACTCACCGCATACCCCTTCTCGTTCAAATGCAGCCCGTCCGTCAAGAACCCCTCCAGCCCCACCTCATCCCGCCCCGCCGCCTCATACAGCCTCCCCCAAAGGTCCACCACCGGCACACCCTCCGCCTTCCCGACCTCGCTCACGGCCTCCGCATACCTCCGCGTCGTTTCGAACTCCCTGTCATTCTCGCGTGGGGGCTCCTTCGCCCGCTGCGCGCGCCCGCGCTGCCCGGTGCTCACTGGGGGCGGCGTCATGAGCACGACGCGCGTGTCCGGCGAGTACCACGCGGACTCGGGCGCGCGCACCGTCCAGAGCATCGTGCGGAGATTCGCGCGGAAGCGGTCGAGCGGGACGTATTGCGCTTTCGGCGGAGGCGCGGCGTCGTTCGCGCCGAACCAGATGACAAGCAGGCGCACTTTGGGCGCGTACTTCTGCTCTTCCTTCGTCGCGAAGCACTGCAGTCGCGGTCGTCGTTAAAAGACGCGTGCGCGTCCCTTGGGTGTGCGTGCGCACCTGCTCGAAGACAGGCAATGCCCACTCGGTGTTGTACCCGCTGAACCCGCGGTTCAGCACATCCATTCTCCTGTTATACACATCTGAACAAGGTAATGTGGACGCGTGCAGAAGGTTTCGTTAGTGCATATCGCGCGCGGGGTATAATCGGAGAACAGGCGTACGAGCGAGCTTGGCAGCGAAGCCGTTCAAGTCGAACCCGCCCTGCGTGAGCGAGTCCCCAAGCAGCATGATCGCGTCTTGCACATGGGCCGCCATTGTATAGATCGCGCCGAATGTGGGTCAGCGGCGCAATGGTCTCTGGTAGTCGACGTGGTGAGCCAGTGCGAGACGGCCAAAGAGCGGCGCACGATCGTATCGGGCGGATCGGGACGAGCGCTTCCGACGGGTTCACCGCCCACGAGCCTGACCAGGTACCACTGCGACCACCGCTGGCAGAAAACACTAGTACTGAACGAAAGGCGACTATTCTCTATATCTATACGCATGTTATCGGAAAGAGCTGATCCACCTTTGGCAGTTACAAAGAAGTGCTTTCAGCCGCTACACCATGGCTAGCACGCATATCCGAGTCCAGACTCTTCCGGCACTCGCCTCCTCTTCCCGCCTCTCCCCCGGCGCACGATGCTACTGGACGCCAGAGAAATAGTCGAGGCCCACGTAATGTGCTCCGCAGCACGTTTCCCAGAGAGTCGGGCGGCGGACCGTGCGGCCAGCCGCGCTCATTGTCCTGCCCCCCTGCGCGATCGCTAAGGCGGAGAAAGAGGACGGAAGGGCGTTTGTCCACGTAGACATGCGCGCTACACCTCCGTGTAATTCCTCACCCGGCTCGGTTACGCGTCGCCCTGCAACGGGTCTTACCCACAACTCACTTTACCCACCGGTGAGGCCGCTGAGCAACGAGTCGCGGCCGGCGTATAAGTACCTCCCTCCCCTCCCCTACCACGGCAGGCCCCCTTCTTTATTACGCTCCCGTGTCTCACATCGACTCCCCCCTCTCTCTGACTTCGAGCTCGCTTTCGTCCTATCCAATCTCAAGGAAGGAGACTCCCCTCATCGCTTTCTCGACTTTAGCCACCGTACACCCAGCTTTTAACGGTAAGTCCCTCCTGCCCCTACCTTTGGCATCGCTTGACCAGTTTTCACCTTCCAGCAGCAAAATGAGCTCTACCTCAGTTGACACACTTCGGCGAGACCCGATGATTCGGTTCGGCCAACTTCAAGCCAGCTACAATGCTCGGCGCCGCGGCCCCGTGCACAAACTCCCCGTGGAGATCCTGACCCAGATATTTGCCAATGCTCTCGCCGAAGAAGTTGACAGCCCCTACCTCCTCCAGGGCCTCTCCCAGGTCTGTTCGCAGTGGCGGAGCATCATTGCCGATGCCGCGCTGCTTTACAGATCCTTTAGGCTGGAGAACCCCATCTTGACGGCCCGCCACTTGGAGCGATCGCGTGGTCTCCCCCTCGACGTCGACATCCACGACGTGAAATTTAACGTATCCGAGACAGTTGCGCTGATGAACAGCGTCTCCATCCTCAGTCCTCAGCTGGATCGGGTACGGTCGCTGAGCGTGACCTCGCACTCATCCAAGATGAGCGCCTGGGTGCTGGGCATGCTCGAAGACTTTCCCGACCGCAGACTGACGAGCCTGTCTCTTGCGCTTACCCGTCAAGAAAAGCCGGTATCCCTTGGCCTGCCTGATTCGGAAGAGACAGCGCAGACCTTCCGCGGACTCACTTCGCTGAAACTGTGCAATTTCAACATTGGGCGCGCTCTCCTCGAACCATCGGCTCTGCAACACGGTCTCATGAGCTTCAGCCTACGCCGCCTCGAGCTGGTATTCACCGTCGCGCCTCCGCCGACGAGCGCAACCCTCATACACTTCCTATCTCGCTGTCCAGAACTCGAAGAGTTCACGCTGCACTCAGTGGACCCGGTCGCATTCGAGCGCAAGAAGGACGGAATCGATCTGCCAATCTGTCAGCTTTCGAAGCTCAAGACGTTCAGCTACCACGCGCCGAACTTCAAGACGCTCGCGGATGTCATACGTCACATGGAACCGGACGCCTCTCAGATGCCTAAGTTTGATATATCATTTCCAATGGACGACAAGGCCGTCACGACACTCCTTTTCCGGCAGCGCGACAATGGCAAACGAGTTTACAAGCTGGCATGCATGGGCCAGAGCTTACGGCGTATGGATGTGCGCTCCTCCGGACAACAAATGCAGATCCTGGGCTCCTACAAGCAGGAGCGTACAACCTTAGATCCCGACGTCAAGATCGCTCTCACATCGGACGGCCTCATGGGGACGCCTTTGGAACCAAGCCTATTTTTCTGGTCGTGGCCGATCAAGGACGTTTCCAGCGTCGAGGTTCTTTCCTTCAATTTGTACGGCGCCTTCGCCGTTCCAGCCGATCAAGCGCACTGGGCCAGCCTGCTCCGTCCGCTGCGCGCTCTCTCGACCTTAGTGGTGGCCGGGGCGTGGTGGATAGACGTTTACCAGCTATTTATGGCGTTGGACACCGCTCTACCCGACAGCTCGCTTCTATGCCCCAAGCTGGCTACGGTGGAGCTTATTGATACCATCGGGTATAGCAAACGTCCGGTTCCTGGCTCCAAGTCTACCGCCATCGACGCGTTAAAGTCATTCGCTCGCTGCAAGAACTTGGAGGTTCTCATTCGGAACAATGCGTAAGCCCGGCACCCCGCGGGTCGACAAAGAAGACGCATCCGTGATTACCTCGTGGTCTTTATTTGCTCATGATATTCGCACAATGTTTTATTTTTACGACAACCCTGTCCCCCTCTTCGTTCCAACCGCTCCTCTTTGCTTTCGGACTGCCTCAGCTGTGTACATGTCGCTGTATTTGTATCATCCGCACCCTCTGTAGCATAGTGTTTCCTCCTTATACTTGTATACCTCTCCCAATATAGTCAAATCTTTTTGCTGATGCTAACGCTAGTCCTGATGCACATGCGTCGGCATCTGTGTCGCGATGCTAGTACCTTTCTCAATATGGTATACAACATACCCGAAACGGCCCACCACACTTGCCACGTTTTAGCGTTTAGCGCTGAGCATTCCGAAATTGTCCATATTCCACTGGCGCCGGCAAACGCCTGCTCACGCTGGACACCCGACCGAACCAGTGGACCTGTCAGACGACGGTAAGTTCCGCGACAGAGTCATTTTTTTAGTCGGTCTGATACATAATGTGCAGTATGGCCTCTCAATCGCCAGAGCAAGTCTTGGCTCACGTTGCACGAGAGAGCGAATGGCGTCTCAAAGCTCTCAGTTCTTTGTCGACCGAGCTAGTCGCACTCAGGCAGCTTCACAACACTGTCGCACTCCCCAACCGCCTGCCAGAGGAGATCATTCTTGAGGTTCTCAAGAACCTCATGGACCGCCGCCAGGGAGACGTAGTGCACATCGTACGCGCTACCCACGTTTGCAAACGATGGCGGGATATCGCCCTCAACGCCCCGGCGCTCTGGACATATTTTGCCATCGACCGTTTGGACGTTACCACCGCGTTTCTCGAGCGTTCGAGGAGCATGCCTCTCTCGGTCTTTCTCACCAATCCGCGCCACCCCATGCACCAACTCTCTCGCCTTCTAGCGCCACACCTGCCTCGCGTGCGCGGGATTCGAGTGCGCTGCCCGCCCGACCAGAATATAGAACGCTTCTTCGGCCGGCTATCCTCCCCAGCACCGATGCTCCAGGAACTGTTGTTGGAGAAGCGCCCGAAGCCAAATGTTGAGGGGCCCGATGTGTCCCTAGTATCGGCGGCACGTCTTTTCGGGGGGACTTTCCCCTTTCCGTCGCTCCTCAAGCTCTGCATTCGAAACGTCGGCATCTTTCCAACCGCTACCATCCCATGCTCCCTATTGACCCTCGACATTGTGCAAACCACCTCACGCGGCCTGCCCAGCCTGAAACGTCTGGTAGAGTTCTTAGGACAGTGCCCCCTACTGGAGCAGCTGCGCATCGCAGGACCTCCGCGACCGCAGGTCGCCGACATTATCGACTCTGGACTTCCTGTTTCCCTGTCCCGTCTGCAACAAATACACATACAAAGCTCAGAGGCATTCATGTACAATCTGCTGAACCGCCTGAGCGTGCCCCCCACCGCCCTCATGCGCCTCCAAGCACGATACACCGGGGACGGCTACGATATGATCCCCCCTTCTTCCGAGGGGACCCTCCAATGCTTCGCCGGCCTCCGACGGCTCGAATTCGCCTTCGACGATGGCAAGTTCAACCTGCGCGCCTTCCACACCCCCGACGCCGCCCTCGAGCCTGTACTCGAGCTCGAGCTCGCGATCCCCAGTAGGGCCCAGGATGATATGTCCGAGCTCATGTGCCCCTGGCCACTGGACGTATCCCAAGTCGAGAGCATCGTGGTCTCCGGGCCTCCGAGAAGGCTACACAACGTGAACGTCGGCCATGCGCTCTCGCACTTCCCCAACCTGACTTCCCTGCGGGTGGTGTCCATGTGCGGTCCCACACTGAGGGACTTGCTCAACTACCTCTGCATCCGGAGACCCCCGGTTGCTGGAGGGCCGAACGACTCCGAGACGGCGCACGCGGAGCTCACAGAGCTCACAGATCCCGCTGCCATTGCCGCATTTCTCTGCCCAAAGCTCGCGACGCTGGAGTTGTGCGACATCGATCGGGGTACGCTCATCAAGGAGCCTCTGCACAAGGCCGTCGCCCTACGTTCTCCAAGTAGGGGTGGGGCCCTGAAGGAGCTGAGCCTCTATCTGGTGCAAGGCTGGGCCGAAGTGGAAGCTATGGAGCTGGCTGTTGCATCTGAGGGGGCTATCACACTGTGTGTGGACATGGGGGATAAATGGCTCTCTATGGAGGCGGGAAGCGAGACTCCTCGAGAATTCACGGTTCACAGTCCGGGTGGAGATGGCCGGAATTCGTCCGTCCAAGTCGAGCCGGAGAGTGATGCGTACCTACAGGAGACCTAGCGTGGTAGACCCCATGACGAGAAATTTAGTGAGCTATGTACCTTGGCTACGATATATGACGATAGCATGACCTCGCGTAATTTCATCTTGATATTCTCTGCACGCTTATTTCCATGTCCGATGTTCTCTCGCAATACGCCTACAGCACAAAAGTGGCATCAACCAAACCCGGCCCACTCGACAGAAAAGTATGTGACTTCCTGCGACTGCTCGTCCCACTCGCAGAACAAATGAGACTTCTTCGTCGCCGTACCCAATCGTCCATGCGCCACAACTTCCATCGGCATAAGAGGCGCCTTGGGAGACTCGATGACGGTCGCGACGAAGTGCGAGTGGTACCGTAAGGGATCGCCTGAATATGTGTGTCAGTGATTCCTACATTATCCATGTGCAGATAAAAGCTTACCAGGGTATACCAGGAAGTCGCCTCCAAATTTGATGCCTCCACCCATGAAGTTTCCCTTCTCCCAGAGGTCTTGGAACACGCGACACTTGGCCCGTTCGTAGGGGGTAGTTGGGTACGACCACACCCCTGCGGTACGAGCCGAAGCGAGGGTCGGGTGCGCGTGTCCACGGGGAGCATACCACTTCAGCTCAGACGAGCTTGCTGGAATTGTCACGTTAAACGTCGGCGGTGCGGGCTTGCTAGGGGTCGCTGGGCGCTCCTCGACGAGTCGGTCCGAAGACGCCTGGGCAAACTCCTCAGCAGAGATCCCTTCCGCTATGGCTTTCGCGAGCGCGGCAGCAGCTCTTTTTGCCTCGCGCTCCTTGCGCTTCCGGATGGCTTCCTCGGAGCTCGACAATTTCGCGGCCTTGTCTGATGCCCTCTCGGCTTCCGATATTGCGATCTGCTGGATTGCAGATGCTTCTCGCTCCATATTCCAATGTTCCAATGCCTCCGCGGAAGGCGGTTGGTGAGCATTTGGGTCGTCGATTAGCACCGCGAGTTCTACGGGACATGAGCGTCTGTCTGATATGTTAGAGATACATCGAAGACGTACGCTTTTCCATGAGTAGCACAACCTCTTCCGGTAGCAGTACGAGAGGTACTCCGAGGAAGACATTCTGCTGAGACAGATGGGGCAGCGTTCCGGTCAAAACGCCGCAAACATGGTGTTTCGCGCGTAGAGCTGCGATGTCTATCCTTCTCTCAGTAAATTAGCTTAAATTGAAATGTCGCTCTCAAAATTTACCCACCCTCTACGTCCCAGACATATGCCTTGTCGTTGGAGACTCGCAGCTGGATTTTGCGGTCGGAGTCGGAGTCAGAGGCCATTCTTCTTATTAGACGCCCGTACACCCAAAGTTCTCGCCTCGTCACGCATCACACCTATCACACCAGATCACACCTCGTCACCTCGCGCCCCCTTAAGTTCGTGCTCACCACCACCACCACCACCATCACCTCCCCCCCCCTTCCGTGCGCGCGCTGGCATCCAAACTCTGGTGGCGAAAGGCTTCTCATAGCCGCATGGGATGAGTGGTAGATGCGAAGAGTGCGGTGCGACAACTGAATGGGACCAAGAACTCGGTTCCGCGATATGCCTCCAATGTGGCACGCTCGCGGACCCAACCCAGAGCGTGTTCACCTCTCACTATGACTACATCGACACGTCGGCGCGCGAATACTCTGTTTGGAGTAATGTGCCTGGCGGCGGTACGCTGCGAGGTAGAAATGGCTGGGCCCTGGCGGGGCAGGGCAAGGAGGCGCGGGATCGCAAGAATACGGTATGCCAACTTGTTTCGCGAACGTAGGATGCAACTAACGTCGGATATAGATATCCATGCACGAGTTTATTCGTACGATTGCTACCCGCCAGTCGAATCCTGGTATAACTTCGCGCGCGCAAGGTATCTTCGACCAAGCTATGAGGCGTGGTCACTACCGCTGGGGACGCCGGGCAAAGCTGACCGCCGGAGCGGCACTCGCTATTGCCCTACGCGAGGCGCACAAGAGCGATTCGATCCGTGACATTGCAGTAAGTCTCCCTTTGCCCTTAATAAAGATTGGATGGATCTCAGCTGTTCCAGGGCACTTGAGTAATGAACGCGTGTTGACGCATGGCGTATCTCCTAGTACCTACTTGACGAATCGCCCAACGCAGTTTCGCGCGCGTTCAGCGCGGTCGTCGAACTGCTCGACCTGAAGCTGTCTACCGCGGACCCCGCCGTGCATTTGCCGATGCTTCAAACCCATTTGGTCTCGTTGGTCGATATCACCCAGGGTAACACAAGTAGCAATCCGCTGCCCGCTCAGCTCATCAAGACACTATCGTCACTCCTTTCGCAGCTCACGAGCGTCATGCGCATTGCCAACGCTCTGTCGGTCCTCCTTGAGCGCACACACATGCTAGCGCATCTTCCCACCCAGCCTACCGCATGCGCCATACTCCTGCTCGCACTCGAAGCAGAGCTGGGCTCCTCCCTACCACACGCCGGCGCATTGGCCCAATCACTCGGCGCACGAGTGGGCGCAGGCAAGGGTGTCGTGATGCAGCGGTACAAGCAGATCTACGACCTCGTCGAGGAGTGGATCCGGGAGGTACCCTGGCTGGACGCGCACGAGCGTAAGCGCGCGAAGGGGAAGGCGGGCGGGGGCCGCTCGAAGGTCGCGAAGCGTGTCGTTGTCGCGCGGGGCCTCAAGGACGTCGTACAGTTTCAGGAGGAGATTTGGCGGAAACGCGTCGAGAGCGCTGGCCGGCCGCTACTCGAGCTCGAGGTGGACGAGAAAGATACGGGCACGGACGACTGGGATGGGAGCCAGATATCTTCCACGGCTTCCCAAGCTCCCTCTGGCTCTGGGAGTAGTCACGATGGGACGGGCCCTCGGAAAGGCAAGAAAGCGAAGACGCACCACCCAAAGTCCATTGTGGACGCGTCGCACTTCCTCCTCGACCCGCTCTCAACCTCCGCACTCCCTTCTCCCGCCCCGCTCGGCTCTGCGTTGACTCGCTGCGCCTCTCCGAGGACCGCGGGGCCAGGTTCCCCAGATCTGCTCACGCACCTGCTCACCGCGGACGCGTCCTCGCTTTCGCACGTGTTCCGCGCTGCGCCGAGCCGGCTTCAGCTCCTCGCCGCGGATCGTGGGGGTGCGGACGAGTCGTGCATTGCGGACGATGAGCTATTTGGAGAGGATGAGCTTGAAGGCTTCATGCGTGCCCCCGAGGAGGTGGAGGCGGTGCGGATTGCCATGGGATGGGATGAGGACGGAGATGCCGATGGCGGAGAGGGGTCGGCTAAGGAGACCAAACGGGGGAAGAAGCGGAGACGAGATGATGTCAATGAGGGCGATGAGGCGGGACAAGTCTCGACAACGGGAAAGGGCAAGGAGCGAGCCGTGGGATCGAAGAGAATCAACATGGACGCGCTCGCGAGGTTGCTGGATCCAGAAGCGCACCCCGTTGCGGAACAGCCCGAGCTCGAGAACGAGTATGGTGGCACCCATGGCGTGGGGGTATTCGACGAAGATGAAGTTGACCATGAGGACAAGGACTTCGAGGAGGACGAAGACGGCTCTGTCGGGACGGTCGTCGGGAGAGACGACCCGTTCACAGCCCGGTCCGCACCGGACGACGGAGGGGAGGTTGTGGAAGAGTGGCGACCGTTGTCACCGGGAGGTGGGGGTTCGGCGGAAGACTGGTATGACTTCTGAAGCTGAAGGTTTAGAATCTTTAGATTTACCTCACGAATCATGTATAGACGTATATATTGAAACTAGTACGATACCCCGATACATACGATACTTTGTTCACAGAACATATACATTAACGCACTGGCCTCGAGCCCTATGGTACCTACTCCGTTGTGGAAGTATGATACGGTCGACCGCTTTCAGACTACAGAAGCCAGAGGGCCAGCAAACGCCTAGACCACAGTGGACTCGACAGGCGAAACGCGATCACGAGCGCTCAAGAATCGCGTATGTCGCGCGTCGCGTCCTCGAGCGACCGGTAGCGGGATGACAGGCAACGTGTTACGGAACGCCCGCGCAAACTGGTTTTGGTTCCAATGGTGCTGGCACTTGCTCGTTACGGGCTCATGCGTACGTTGCTGTAGCTTATGTCGAAGCGCGGCGGTGGCCCCGGACGCGAACACGGTCGCGGGGCCGCGCGTGCTGGTACTTAAGAGGCGGGGTCTCGCCTACGAATCGATCCTGGTTCCCCCCCCCCCTCCCCCTCCGTTCGCTCGACCATCGCTGCTTCCTCGTATAACGCCCATCGCTTCGAATCTCGAATTCATCGACGTCGACTTTACCGCTCAATAGCTCCTCCGTAAGAATATAAGCGCTCTCTCGGACCTCCGTGTAAGTATCCGAGCGTGTTTAATGGTTGAACGTTTCGTATCGTATAGGTACTCCGATCTGTACGCCCCTCCGCCGAGGCAGCCTCGCCCGAACCTCCTCGCGTCGAGCGAGTTCTCCACCTTCAAATCACTGTCCACCACCACACCATAGTATAAGCATACTCGATCTTCTTTAGCATCCTGTTCGCCCACTCAAACTTCGATCAGCACCACATCAAGCGCGAGCTGGTGAGATACACAATTCCGACGAATGCAATCAGTAGTTTATGCGGACTGCGGGCGCGGCAATAGGGCGGACGCGTCGCGACGCGCTCATTAAGCAACCGCAACACGGTCACGCGTGAGCACAACGTACATACCTACCCGCGGCGCCTGCTCAGGATCTTCAGCTACACCGCGGTATCAATATCCAGTGTCTCCAGGCCGCAGACCCCAGTTCTTGGGGTGGTCCCCGGCCGAGAGCCAATCGAGGAACTAGCGCGGCGAAGCCCATCGCAAGCCCGTCTTCGGCGTACACTCTGCGGAGGGGAAGCCCACGCGCGAGGCTCGGTTCATACGCATTACGCAAAACGGACCTTGAAATGGCTTCGACGGGGGGTCTGGTGACCGCGCGCGGGAAGCAGCGAAGACGATGGGGCTCGACGCGTTCCTGTCTAGGGCGGGATCGCGGGCTCTGGCGCGCGGGCCATACACCCTTCTGTGCGAGCGTTGGGGCGCAAGCATGTCCGAGCGCGGCCGGGGTTGCCTCAAGCGGCGCGCGGCGAAGGGCGTTGGCAAGGACGTCGAAGCTCGGCGGGCACTAGATGGACCCGGCTTCCCATGGGACCCTCGGTGCGCGACCGTGGCTGACACCCCAATGCCGACGAGAGCAATGGGGAGGAGGCGCGCGCGGCGAGGATGGAGATATACACTCTGCCACGGACGGATCAGACGTCGTGACGGCAGCTGAGAGGACGGACGCGCACCGAGGGACTGGGACGACACTGGGGAGGTGCACTCATGACCTGGGGGATTGTCAGGCGAAGGACGCGCGAGGCGATACTAGTGGCTTGTCCCTGCGGGCTGCGGGGAAGTTCTCAAGGCTGCCTGCGGTGGGTGGGACCAGGGCGCGCGACGCACGTTTGGGTGTGCCTTTCTAGGGCATTTCTGTTCACCGCGGATGTCTCGCGCAGGTCCGTCCCAGAGGATACGCCCCGCGCGGGTTGCGCGCGGGCGAGCGGATGAGACGAGAAGAGTACGCGAGCGGGGAAGAAGGATGGAGAGCGGGTGGAGAGGGAGGAGAGTGACATAAGCGCGGGGCGCCTGTTGTGTGGTGGGCGGAATGGGACAGAGCTGCCGCATGTGCATCAGCGAGCCACTGGACGGCGGTCATAGACGGGCCTGGCTCGAGCCCTGGCTACCCTCCGCGCGCCCTGCCCTGCCTTCTCTCCAGCCTCGCTCAACGCCCGAGTGCTATATAAACCCACTATCGCCCCATCCGCCTCTTCCCTCCTACCCCCATCCTCCTACGATGGCACCCTCGTCTCCGCACCACCAGTTCCAGTCCAAGACCTCCGACGCCATCCGGCGCAGGCTCTCCTCCGTCGTCTCGAGCAAGCGGCCCAATGTCCAGGCCTACTCTTCGCTCACGGTACGCGCCCATCTAATCTACCCGGCCCCCGCCTCATCCCATCTCCCGATCTGCTCAGCCCATGTGGGCTGGTATCGCAGGCACCGTCATCAACAACAACACAGCTTTAGAGCTCGCGATCTCCATCCACGACTCCGTGTACAACACCGACTTCGCCTCCTCCACCGTCCCCTACAACCCGAACAACCCCGAGGAGCAGGCTTCGAACGTGGAGAAGCATGTCCTTGAACTCCTCCGCAAGTTCGCGACCGAGCACATGTGCAAGTTCCTCGGCGCCGGTGTGACCGTCAGCCTGCTCAGAGAGGTACGTGTGCCTTGCTTTGGTCTAGACGGGGCGCACAAACGCGCGCGAGGATGCGTATCGCGTACGGGTCTCGCCCTTCGCTCTGCTAAACGGCGGCGGGCCAGACTCGCGGGTCGCGTTATGGTTACGTCTTGATGCAACGGCCAGTGGGCCGGAGAGGCCCCAGCTGGGCCTCATTTCGGTGCTTCCGAAGGGATCGTCTGGGCTGGCTGCTTTCGCGGCGAGTTCGAAAGAGCCAGGCGCGATCCGCGCGTATCTGCGATTGGCAAGCTGGCACCCAGCCTAGCAGCAGAACACACGCTGCTCAGGCTGCGATGGAGTTCTTCAGGAACTGAAATTCGAGCCATTTCGATTCGTCCCTCCTCGGGCTTCTATCAGCAGATCTGCATTACGCCTCCCGGACCATCTGGAGTGACATGAAACTTATCGCGCACTTCACAGGCACCCAATCTCTGCACGCGCCTGTGGTTCGACCTGGACATCGTCCCCATCGTGTTCAACATCAAGCCGTTCCACACGGACTCCGTCACTCGCCCAAACATCAAGCACCGCATCTCGTCCACCACCGGCTCCTATGTGCCCTCCGGCGCAGAGACGCCCACCGTTTACTACGACCCCGCGCAGCTGCCCGCTGGCCAGGCGAACGTCACCGCGACGCAAAACAAGCTGCCAATTCCCCGCACTGTCGATGAGCAGGCCGATTCTGCTGCCCGGAAGTGCATCATGTACTTCGGCCCTGGCAACAACCCACGTTTGTCTATCGGAGCGCGCAACCAGGTTACGGTCGACGCGGGCGGAAAGATCCACCTCATTGACGACATCGACGAGTACCGCAAGGGCAACAGCAAGGGCACCTGGAACTCCGTCATCAAGCTCGCCGACGAGCTCCGCGAGAAGAAGATCAAGATTGGTTTCTTCTCGTCTACGCCGCAGGGAGGTGAGTGCTTGTTCTTTCATGGCTCGTTGGCGTCGGCGTCGAACCCCTGCGCAACCCCACGCCCGGCCATGTTCGCGAGTTGCCGCAGCCGGGGTCCTGAAACTGAATGGAATGCGGGGTAGTGAGAACTTCCCCGGATTCTCGGGGCATGTGATGCGGGGTTTGATCGCTTCTCGTGGCGGCCTGTGCTTCTCGAGGCTTCTCGCCGCCACTCATTCTCGCTATCGTTCTGGATCTTCGTATCGGGACGAGTTATCTGATCGAGTCTCTCCACTTCGCCGCACACAGGAGGAGTCGCGCTTGTGAGTACTGTCTTCGTTCGCACGCATTCTGTGCCTGATGCTGAGAACCCGCTGCTATAGATGCGCCACGCGCTCATCCGCTTCCTCAACCTCCTCGACGTCGATGCTGCATGGTGAGTAGAGTATTCAATCGAAGCATTCGCTCCCGTCGACGGAGCGCCTGTGCTTTCGGACATATGTTCTTCCGGGACCCGTCTTCGGAGCGGAGAACACGTACAACATATGGTATATGCTAACCTGTATATCCTCATAGGTACGTGCCGAACCCCTCGCCGTCCGTATTCCGGACTACCAAGAACAACCACAACATCCTGCAAGGCGTCGCCGACCCCAACCTCCGTCTCAGCAAGGAGGCAAAGGACAACTTTGATGCCTGGATCCTCAAGAACGGTCTCCGCTGGACCGCAGAGGGTGGCCCCCTCGCACCAGGCGGTGTGGATATCGCGTTCATCGGTGAGTGGAGACGCTGTGCGCTCGCGAATGAGTTCCCTGACGTGAACATTGCTGTCTTCCGCTCCGTCTAGATGACCCGCAGATGCCGGGACTCATCCCCTTGATCAAGCGCGTGCGCCCCGACCTGCCGATCATCTACCGTTCGCACATCGAGATCCGAAGTGACCTGGTCCACGTCGCGGGCTCGCCGCAGGAGGAGGTTTGGAAGTACCTCTGGAACAACATCCAGCACGCAGACCTCTTCATCTCGCATCCGGTCAACAAGTTCGTCCCGAGCGACGTCCCACCGGAGAAGCTCACGCTCCTCGGCGCCGCGACCGACTGGCTCGATGGCCTCAACAAGCCGCTCGGCGACTGGGACCTGCAGTACTACATGGGCGAGTTCCGGCAGCTGTGCGTGAAGGAGAAGATGAACGAGCTCGGCTGGCCGCTGCGCGACTACATCGTGCAGATCGCGCGCTTCGACCCGTCGAAGGGCATTCCGAACGTGATCGACTCGTACGCGCGCTTCCGGAAGCTCCTCGCGGAGAAGGAGCCCGCCACGGAGCCGCCGCAGATGCTCATCTGCGGGCACGGCGCCGTCGATGACCCCGACGCGAGCATCATCTACGACGAGACGATGCAGCTCATCCACACCAAGTACGCCGAGTACGCGAAGGACTTTGTTGTCATGCGCTGCCCGCCCAGCGACCAACGTGAGTTTTGCTGCGCTGCTTACCCAGAAAGAGAATCTCACATGTACCATCAGTGCTCAACGCGCTCATGGAGAACTCCAAGTTCGCGCTCCAGTTGTCAACGCGCGAGGGCTTCGAAGTCAAGGTCTCCGAGGCGCTCCACGCAGGCAAGCCCGTCATCGCCTCGCGCACGGGCGGTATCCCCCTCCAGATCGAGCACGGCAAGAGCGGCTACCTGTGCGAGCCCGGCGACAACGCCGCGGTCGCCTCCCACATGTTCGACCTGTACACGGACGACGACCTGTTCGACACCATGTCCGAATACGCGCGCACGCACGTCTCGGACGAGGTCGGCACCGTCGGCAATGCCGCGGCGTGGATGTACCTCGCGGTGATGTACTGTTCGCGCGGGGTGCGCCTCCAGCCCAAGGGCGCGTGGCTCAACGACCTCATGCGCACGGAGTGCGGCGAGCCGTACGCGCCCAACGAGCCGCGCCTCCCCCGCGCAGGCCTCAACGTCCAGGGCTGACTGGCCTCCTCGCTTGCGGGTAGCGCGCGCCCGGATGTACCGAGCCGCGCTGGCAGCATACTGAGTCGCGCCATGCCCCAGCCTGGTCTGGCGGGGGGCCGCGCGCGCCCGACGAATACCTCTGTGGACGTTGTATCTAGGATGGGTGGAAGGAGGGAGATATGCTCGAGTGCTCCTGTTGTTGTACGAAAATGCGCGCCCCGCTCTGTTGCTTTCTCTTCTTTGGCTGCTGCTTCTGCTGAACGCCGTGTAGTACTACCGATTCCCCGTCTCGTGGCGCGTGTACGTGTTCTTGTGTAGAAAACTGTAGAAATATAGATACGTGCTCTTCTGCGTAGCCAGCTCTGATCAGACGGTCGCTCCTGCCAAGTACTGTAAAGATCAGAGCATAGCGGCGGGTCACAGGTCACAGCGGCCCCCGCCCCGCCGCTATTTGGCCTGTGTCACTGGTCACAACGGCTTTTGGGGCCCTAAGCGCCCATTTTGGACCTCCGGAGCGGGCGCTTACGCGCCATATATGGTAATTTTGGGCGCCTCGCCGCTCCGCCGCTACGTATCCCGACGGTCACAGGTCACACCCGGCGCCGCTATGCTCTGATCTTTACAGTACGTTGCACCGAACCTATCGCGTCCGTGGTAATCCAGTCCACCGGAAAGGGCAGTCGAGCTGCCCGATCATGAATTGAAAGCACAGCCACCACGCGGTATTTGGGCACGGCCGAACGCGCGCTAGAAAGCGTCTTTGGCTTCTCACCCACCTACCAATCCATCATCTCGCGAAAAGAGCCTCTCCTCTTGACATAACTCGCGGTCATCCATGTATTAAGTGTCTTTGGCTGCCCTCGACGCCCCGCTTTGTCTATTGGCTCGCGTTGGAAGGAGTTTCTAGTACTTGAAGGACAGCTCAGCTCGCTATTGCTCACGCTTCTGCCCCACACCGTCCGTCGTGTCTTGATATCCGGCGAGGACCCCCTCCACGAACACCATCTTACTTGACTGCGACGTGCACTATGGAGGTCGACATGACACCGATGCCGATGCGAGTGACGCGTTCCGCAACGAAACGCGCGCGCTCCCCGTCCTCACCTGGACAATATGATCGACCCTCCGTACGTCTTTTAGCCACCAATGTGCGAGGCCGACCTTTTCCTGACCCTATTGCTCTACGACAGAAACGGGTAGCTAGCACTCATGACGCGAGCGTGCCCATTGCCTTCCCACCCTTCCAGACTTCCCCGGCATCACACGGTCTCCCCAGCTCTCCTACGTCTCGCCCGCGAAACATGCCGCAGGACTGGGTGTCGCAAACGCAAAGCATGCGCCTCGAGAGCCCTGCTTCAGAGCAGAGCGGGTTCAGCACGCCCATGACGGAAGAGGGCGGAGACGTGCGCATAGATGAGGTCATGACTGACGAACCCATGGTACGTCTCTCTCCCTTGGCAATACTCTACCTCTCCAATACTAACATTTCATCGATATCAGCCAAACGACGAGAACACAATGTCTGTATCACCTCCACGACCATCCCCATACTTATCAGTCTATGGACCATCATTATCATCCCTCCGTCCACCCGAGGCAGCATACCCCTCCCGAAGAGATATACACCAGTCCCAGAACCCCAACCGCCTTCAAATACCCGCAATCCAGATACAAGCCGCGACCCCGTCCCCCGTCCAGATGTACACACAGCCCCCGCTCGACAGCCCATCACTCTCCTCGACCTCTTCCGGACCCACCTTCGCCTTCGAGGACGCTTCCATGTGTTCCCCCTCCTCTACCTCATCCCCACACGCAGGCTTTAATGCCCAGTCGCAGCAGACACCAACTTCTGCAACGACGAAACGGCAGCGCTTCACCATGGGCCCTCGCGCGGACTGTGAACAGTGCCGGATGCGCGTCAAGGGCCATTATATGCACTTTGACTGATATTTGACGTCTCCCCGGTTCCGTGCCAGTATTGTCACCTATATCACACGTATCCCATGTTCTCGTAGAGGCGTCTCCTTTCCTGACTGTATACAGGAAGTGTTGTGTTTGGTCCTCCCTTGCTTATACCGCATCCTCAGATATGACCATAATAGTTATCTAGGTCCGTTCCCTCTGTCGCACCCTCGAACTGCTCTCGCTATTGTTTTACACCAAACGCTGATTCACCGGTACAGATTACACGTTGTGTTGGTCCCTAATGCATCCATGATTGTGACATAATCACCCATACATGCCTTGTCTGCCCATTTGACCCAAGGGTGCTTAGTTGCCGAACGCACTCCTCTTCTTCGCCAGCTCGCGATAGTTCTCCACATTCTCAGCAATGACGGACCATCTACCAAAACGATGAGCACATCAGGACCTGTAGTAATCCTGGCTATCGAGTACACTTACTCCGGGAAGACCATTCGCAGACGGTCATAGTGATATTCGGGGTACTTCTCCTCGATCGCCGCAATCAACGCGTCATACGCAACCTAGCAAGCACCTCTCAGCTTCATCCAGTCACCCTCCCAAAAACCACCACGCACCTGATACCCCTTCCCGTTCAGATGCAGCCCATCCACCAAAAACTCGCCCACCCTCTCCTCATCCCCACCCGCCGCCTCCCATATCTTCCCCCACACATCCGCGACCGCGACGCCCTCCCTTCCCGCGACCGCCCTCACGCCCTCCGCATACCGCCTGCTCTCCTCCAAGCTCCGATCCGGGGCCTGCACCGCGCTCCCCGTGAACCCCGCGAGCGCCGCCGCCCAGCGCGCGGGCTGCACCGGGGGCGGCGTGAGCAGCACGACGCGCGTGTCTGGGGAGTACCGCGGGGACTCGGGGGAGCGCACGGCGCGCACGAGCGCGGCGAGGTTCGCTTCGTAGCGCGCGAGCGGGACGTGCTGCACGCTGTGCGGGAGCGCAGCGTCGTTCGCCCCAAGCCAGATCACGAGCAGGCGCGTCTTCGCGGCGTGCTGCGCTTCGTGCTGCGTTGGGAAGCACTAAAAAAGAGGGGGCGTTCAGATGAGGTTGGGCGTTGGGAGGGTGGTACGCAGAGGTGGGTACGGACCTGCTCGAAGACGGGGGTGATCCAGTCGGTGTTGTACCCGCTGAGACCACGGTTGATCACGTCCATCTTGCGCGAGTAAGCCTCTGCGGGGCGATGCGCATGCAGAGGTCAGCTACACCTGATCAATATCGACCACCTTGTGATATGCCATATAGCATCGCACGGGTCGAATCCGGGCGCACCTGTGAGCTTGGTAGCAAGCCCATCTGGGCTGGCAGCAAACTGGGTAATGGAGTCGCCTAGCAGCACGATCGCGTCTTGTACGTAGGCCGTCATGTTTGTTGATGTAAGTTACAATAGGCTTGCAGTAAGAGATCCTGGCGGAAGAAAGAGATCTGCACGATGATGATAACGTGCTGACTGCTTAGTGGGAACTTTCTGTGACACTATCTATATCCTTGTAGATCGCTGCGCGGAGCATCGCTGTTAGTAATGCTGCGGACACAGTTGCGCTTAAAGCAGCCGCGGTGGTCGAAACCTAGTCGAAACCAGTCCCGTACGCTGTCGTGCGAGGGAAACATTTGACATGCGTTGATGGGATGGGAATAAGTTCAATAAAGAGCACTGGCACGCACAGCCATCCGGATTATACATCGAAGCCTGAAAATAACCAGCATGCCAACAGACAGAGAAGAACCTACACGGCAATATGATAGCAAGTACGTCCGTGTTCAAAAAATTCTGCAGAGTTGAAAGCGTAGACTAGTGTATGAGTGTCTCGACGACGTTCACGTCAAGCTCTCTGAGGCATGCCAGAAATTCGTCGTCCGATCCGATGGCATCGCGTACCTTCAAGCTCAAGGTAGGGAATCCCCACTCATTACGCTTGCGCAAGGCGTTGACCAAGCGATCCCCCAGGTCGCGGGTGAGCGGCAAGCTGACAAGCTCAAGGCACTCCAGCGCGGGGCACGGGAAAGGAAGGGTATGAGAAGGGTCCCCACCAGGGCGCCCCAGGGCGTCGATAGCAAACGACAGGTCCTCGATGGTAGGTTTGTCGAAGAGTAAGTGGCGGAGACGGGGAACCCGGCAGAAGACGGCGTGCCAGTCTAGGGCGAACGCCGACATCGATGAGGATGGAGAGCCGATGGTCTTGATTACTTCGAGCGACTCGGACGCTGCTGTGGGCACGCATGGAAGCGTCATGTTACGGGCTTCGTCCGTCAGTGTCAACGCGATGGTAGGGGCGTGGGCCGGGAAGAGAGTAACGTGGGCATCGCCGTTGTCGGCCACCTCAAACATCACACTGGTAATTGCGCTTAGACCTGGGAGACGGCGCCGATCGAGAGGGAGGGCGGCGATGAAGGGGCCTATGGACGGCCACGTGGAGCACACGGAGAGGGTGTAACGAGTGAAAGCGGGGAGCGTGAGGTGTGAGAGGACACTCGCGGCGAGCTCCGGCGAAAGCCCATCGACCGAGAACACGGAGAGCAGCGGCAAGGCGACATCCCACGAGCCGTCGCGGGGCGGTGTACTGTCCTTGAGGTCTCCTTCCACGCGGAGGCGTAGCTCGACCAGCTCAGGGCATCGTCTGAGGATTGAGATGAGTCGGCCCACGGTAAGCCCGGTGAGACGCGAAGTGCCGAGGTCGAGGACGGATAGGTTGGAGTAGACGCCAGTACTCCATGGGATGACCATGGGTCGCATGTGGAGATAACGTAGGGAGGGACTGGAGGATGGTAGAGTTCGCGCGGTGGCTTCATCTTCGCCTGGGGGAGGGTAGAGATCCAAGTCCAATATCTCGGTCCATTCGCTGTCCACACCAGGCCCGAGTATGCACAGCGTTTCGAGGTGCGGGGAAGGTCTCCACGAGAGCTGTTTCGCGACCTGGGCCGCAGCCGCGAGGCCACTGGCTTCGATTATGAGTGAGCGGAGGCGGCTCTGCAGATTTGAGAGGAACCGGAATTCGATTGCCTCGTGCGCATCTTGCAGACGGATATTAAACAAAGAGTTCCTTGACCGCTCGATGAACGCATGCACCCCGTCTCTGGACAGACTCGTGACGACGATGCTGCTCCAAAGTTCTGAGACGTCCAGCGCGATTGCTCGCCATTTCCGACAGACGTGGGTGAGGGCAATGAGGCTGCGGCTTGAGCGTGGATCGGATATGCGGCTGACGTCGTTGAAGATCTGAACAAGAAGTTCTATCGGGAGACGCTGCATGGCATGCGGGCTCCGCTCGTTGCGCATCTCACGCAGGCGAGCGATGGTGTTCTGGAGTTGTTGCTCGTATTGGTCGGCGGCTTCGCAAAACTCTTCGTAGGGCAAGAGGTGAAGCGAGCTCAAATCCGGCTCCCAGTACTGTCGTATGGCTGAGGAAGAGGCATGTCCCCCTCCCGGAGGGTTGCCCGACGGACCTGCCTGCCAGTGAGCCATAAATCTATAGCGACGCTGTCAGACGCTGAAACAGCGTTACTAACCTTCTGCATACCGTAAAACCTAGATTAACAATTTTGGGGATCAGAGGAATGAGACGAGGTCTACGGGATGGCACAGTGCTGGTTATGGAGAAGACGCAAGCCTGGCTGCGGTAGCGCCGTTGAACGTAGTCGTTGTGCCACTCCCAATATGGCTTCCTAGGCGCTCGAACCGCAGAGCAGGTGTGTAGCTGTGTATAATGACTGTGGGGAAGAGGGTGCTATGATCATCCAAAGCCGGGAAATTGTTCAAGTCGCATTTCGGAACTGAACCGCCAGGCCTTATACACGCCCTGCAGTGCATGGTATTCCGAATTACTTGAGTCTTGAGGGAGTGAGCACACAAGCACATACAGTCACTGCGCGCGCTCTGGCCTTTTAATTCCAGGGGATATCGACCGCTTGTCCAACGATCATTCTCGGTGATAGTAGTGCACTCCGAGACCGCAGCAATCAGTCATACTTCCGACCTCCTCTTCCTAGGCTCGGACTCCCCCCATAACCTCCCGCTCGAACTCTCGCTCTGCCCACATCCGGCACTCCGCTCCTAGCGCTCACACTATCCAGCTCAATCGCCTCGCCCTCCTCGATACTCTCCACACTGTCGCTGGGGACCCGTCTATGCCGCACGCCAGGCTTCCCGCCGCCACCGTACGCTGAGCTTGGCGCGCCACCACTTGTGCCGACGCTGAGGATGCGCACAATCCAGTCGTTCAACCAAATCACGAGCGCGAAGACTGGGATCCGGATGGGTACAAGCGGCGACGGGTATCGCACGACGTCGTCGACCGCGCTTCGGCTGCCGACCGACGTCGAGGGGTTGTAGGGGTCGACCGGTAAGGGGCGTGCGTATATCGCCATGATGATGTACTGTGATGGATGATGTGTCAGTCCGGCAAATAAGAGACTATGTCTTAGAGAATCCTACCGCAGGAAAGATGAGAGCAAACAATGCAACATTTGCCAGGCTGCTGCCCCACATGCACAGCGCAGAAGTGGGAAGACCTGTGGAAGTGTATGAGCCTCAAATACCTACACTGTGGACTGGACACCACTCACCGAATGCGAAGTAGTATGCCCATCGCTCTTCCAGATGGCGCACTCGTCTTGAGAGGGAGAATCCTCTCGCTATCCAAATGAACCTGCACAAAGTATTGAATGTCGTATCCTGCTACAGGCACGATGCACTCACTCAAAGCAGTAATAGCTATAGGGCCTGTCAGCACTCTTCCAAAAGCGCAACAACTCAGAGTGACTGCACTCACGCGTCTATCCAGCAGAGAAACACGAAACCGGCAAGAGGTCCAACATACGGGATGTACGCCAGCGCAAACGAAACCACGACGGACGTGCAGACCATGACGCCGCGGTAGGCAGAAGTGGCGAGCGCGTTGAGCATGCCGCTGTATGTATTAGGTGGCTGCGCCGCGGCGCGCGATCCGTGTTGCAGCGTGAAGGTGCGTTTGGCTATGAGCGTGCACCATGAGCTCTACAGTAATCGTGAGAGATGAGTGCGTGAACGGCTCCTCATAACAGGCTGCGAGAGCACCGCTCTTTGCATTGCATGATCAGAGAATGCAAAATATGGCATCACGGGGTGGCGCACACGCCATCCTATGATAACGGCAACGATATTGGCTCATCAAAGTGCGTGTAACGGCCAGGCAGAGGAATGGCATATAGCAACCCAAATCACACGAGCAGGAACTCACATTTAGGTAGAACGAGACGCCAACAACAGGCAGTAGCCAGAGTACCTGGTAGAACCATCCAACGTTGCGATGCAGCCATTTCTGTTGCCCTTGCGCGAGTGGGAGGAGCAGCCAGTCAAAGAAGTAGATGGACACGAGAGAGACGGTGTTAAGCATGAGCGACTTCAGTACGTTCGAGCGTATCTCAGAATCACTATAAAGAGTACATCAGCTCCTGGTAGCATGCATAAACTCTTGCCACGTACCTCGCAATGAGCTTAATCACTGTGTCCCACCGGAAGGCATCAACGAGCCCGCGTCCCGCGCATGTCAGCTGCAGCCAAGCGGTCTCTTGCAGAGATAGGAATGTGGGGTATGTTGCCCTCGATGAGACGTACTGCGGAGCCTGCGAAAAGGTCGAGCCTGAGGGAGATGGGGGCGCGTATTGAGGACGCGCGAGTCGGGGAGGCCTCGACATTGTCTGCGACGCCGACGCGGGGTGGCGGACGGCGAGAACGTGTGCCACCACACGCCCCGGAGCGCCCGTTCAAACTCCCTCCGCCACCGGGTCACAGCCGTGACTGCGTCGCTTTATGGCAAGTCTCCTGGTTCGATTGTCTGGCTGAGGCACTCAGGAACTCGGCACGTCGAACTAATTTCCACTCCGTTGAGGCCTTGAGAAATTTGAGTAAGACGAGGCGTCCATGTACACATTTTTATAAGACTACGAGCTGAACTACACGCGGCCACAGCCAAAGCAATAGAGGTCCGAGTCCGACGCCGTGTACAGACCGATATAATACGCGTAGTTTCACCATCCTATGGACACAACAATGGGGGGCACGATGACTGCGACGACAATGCAAGACAGACACACGACGAGCACAAACACAGCAGCAGACGCGCGATACAACATAGGGAAGCGGCTCCTCCTCTCCCCTCTCCCTCCTCCATCCGAGCGCCGCAGGCGCTCACGAGTTCACCTTCCACAGCTGTCGTCGGCGCAATTTGCGCGTGACGAGCACACCGCCTGATGAGCTGTTCCCGCCAAACGCGAGCACGACGGTTTCCTCCGCGCCTGTGCCACGAGAAATGCCCTGCTTGCGCAGCTCGATGGCATCTTTTGCGAACTTGAAGCGCGAGTGCACGGATCCTGTGCCGTAGAAATTTAAGCACCTTGTAATAAGAGGCGACGCGGATGATAGGGCTTACCTAGCTGGAATGTTGGCGACTCGACTGCCGCCTTGAACAGATCAAACGGCACGCGCGAATACACCTGGATAAGGGTCTCGCGACCCGCGTCGGCGTGTTGACTGGCACCCTCGGGCAATGGCGTCGTAGGAGTCGCCTGTCCGCCATAGTTGACTAGGTTTGGTAGCGTTACAACGAGGAAGTTGAATATGTCCTCGCGCAAGCGGTGCGCGTACGGCCCAAAGATTGCTGTACGCAGGTGTGGAGGTTGATCAACGGTCGGCGTGGATGACCCGTCTGACGAGGCGGGTACGGTGTCGACAAAGTCCAGCCAGGACGGCAGAGTCTCGAGGCTGATCGATTGTTGGCAGATTTCGTATGCATAACTGCATAGTTCTTCCATGCGTCCGAGGAGGCAGCCCGCGGCAAGAACGCCCCGCGCGTTTTCGGGACGGATATTAGCAAGGGATACACCGGAGTACAGATAAGCCAAAGCTGCGAGAAGGTTAGCGCATGCTCAAGCTACTGGAGAACGGCCTTGCGTACCATGATGAAAGCCCTAAATGGAGTATGAGCGATAATTTCTACTGATAACGATGAAACAGCTACGCACCTCATCAGTGACCTCCGGTTCTTGTTCAAGATTAACGTAGATTATGTGTTGACCACCCGTTTGTGGAGACGTGGACATCAAGTGCGCAAGGTATGGAGACCGGGACAAGATGAGTGCGTGTAGTCGGTATATAGTCCCGCGGACATGCTACACCGAGCGTCAATGACACTCGAAGCGCATGGAAAGAGTAAAGAGAACACACTAGTAGTGTATCGGCGTAATTCTATGACTCGTGGTCAGCGCGCGTCACACAAAGGACAACAGAGAGCACGTACTCCGGTCTGGAATCCAGACTGGTATAGGTGGTTCACAATGTCTTCATTGTGCATCTGATAGATAGACGGTGGTCTGTCGGCGGACATCGGGTCAGCACAATCGCGCTCGCAAGATCGAGAGCACGTCCGGAAGGTAGATCATCTCATCTGAGAACAAGACGCGACAGATAGACGCCCCAGCGACAAAGAGGAAAAATCTCCCCGTCCCATAGAGTTCGGCTCGTCGCGACAATATGGTAAGGCTGAAACCGTACAAGACCGCCTGCACGCGCGAGCGATACTCCACGCGAGCACAAGGTCCTACGCACGTCATACTTTTTCACTTCGCTAGAGCCTCTCACGCGCGCCTCTGGTCGCAAACAGCAGAGCAAGTGTGCCTACACGACCACGCGAGCCCGCTTCTCCTGGCATACAGCACAAGCAGTAACCCGAGTACTCACTGAGCATATCCGTTGGTGGCAGGGACGCTTGCGCTCGTAGAGGGGCTGGTATGATTCGTGTACCCATCCTCCGCGCCCGATGCTGCCACGCCGTTGCTTGGTCCGCTGTGTCCGTTGATCATCGTTGACATGGTGTGTATGATATTCCCGGAGCTCGAAGAACACAAAGACGCGATTGATGAGGACAGCCAAGGACAGCGGAGGGAGGCCGTACGAGCAGGGTGAAAGAACAGACGAGCACCTCAGACGCCCACGCGACACGCGAAAGCTCCTCAGTCACGCTACAGTCACCAGCAGTCACAGAGTGATCACACAGCCAGTTTAGGAAGGCGGCAAGTGGTACCGCTGTGGCTGCTTTCGTTTTCTGGTGTTCAACCACAGCGGACATCCTAGGAACCTGTTATATGAGCAGCTGGTGTTTGGAGAAAATGTCGGTGAGTTCTAAATGATGGCGTGGGATGACTGCGATTCTCACTGGTGGTCTTCGAGGACAGTCAGCGCTCGTAGTACCATGAATGCATGTTTCTTCCACTGGTATCACTGCATACCGTAACGGAGTACGAAATATGCACATGGGTCCTCCGCCAGACAGTCAAGCTTATAGGTTAGTCTCGGGCGAGCTAGCGATTACATGGTCAGGCTTAGGGCCTGCGTCTTGTGCTTGAAAGTCGAGGGGAACTTATCAATCAGCTCGCGACAAACAGCGAGCTGCAGCACCACTTGCAGCACCGAAGATTGATATGTACGCGGGTCTAGGCGCATCGTTCAGAAGCGTTGAGTCCATTGCTATACAATCATCGATATTCACAGGGAAGTCAACGCTCTTAGCTTGAGAAGCCTCCGACTGTATTGCTCATCTCATGACAAGCTCACCGCAATTGAATCCATCCCTCATCTCCAGTTCGCCAATTTCGTGCACACGACACGCGACCACCCTATTCGACACTTGAAGCGAGGATCTACGGACCGTTCTCCTGCGAGGGCGCCGGACAGAGTGCGGGGAGACGTAAAAGCGAAGGTCGCCTCGACAAACTGTGGCAAATCCTTATTGAATGTCGCGTGCACCCCGTAGCTTACACATCCCCGCGCAGCCGCCCCTCTCGGAGGGCACAGACCGCTCTCGAGCCCTGCTCACCGACAGACCCCGCGCACCCGTTCCGTCCAGCACATGTCCTCCCGCTCCTCACGCCCCGCGTCCGGACTCCCAGCCAGCCAGTTCAAGAAGCCGACCATGTCCGTCACCTGCCCATACCGAACTGCCTCGCTCCCCATTGACCCTGAACCCTCGTCTTCGCCTTCGCGCCGGGTTACAGGTTCCTCGGCGAGCGGGGCCGGCAGCGCGTCCATCGCCACGAAGGATCGCATCAGGTTGTCTGTGATCCCCAGCGCCCGCGCCTTCGCACCACATATCGGTGGGTACCCCGGTGGCGGGCTGGCATATCTTGGGCCCTCTTCTGCCACTTCCGGGGCTTCTGTGTGGCCATGAGCCAAAGGAAGCAGCGTACGCGAAGCGCAGTGAGGCGAGGACGCACCGTCGATTCTCCCCCGACCTTCCGACGCGCCACCGCTCGGGCGCTGCGTCTCCACGTCCGTCGTCAACGCGGGGGTGATCTAACGCAATGCAGGCACAGAGGCGCGTCCCCGGAGGGTGTTCGACGCGATAGGCAGTCGGTCAGCACAGGTCCGCGCCCATAAAGCACGGGTAAGGGAACATCTGCTGACCATGTGCGACCGGTCGGAGGCAAAGTGATCAAGATACACGTCGGCGCGTATGACTCTGAACACGCTATGCGAGATCGTGCCGCACGCAGGGAAGCAATGGGAGGGCGATCTGATGAGTGCCGTGGGGACACGCGGGGACGCGTTTAGGGCGTGCGGGGCGTACCTGTGGAACCTCTCGTCGACGCAGCTGCGGGCGCGCGCGGCGGCATAGGGAAACGTCCCCGCGATGTAGTCTGGGCGGCGCGGTCAGCATGCGCAGCGGACGTGCGCGGCATCAGGAGCGCGATCGTGTGCTCACGCGCGCTCGAGCTCGTGCGATCAGGGCAGAGCGAACGGTCATTATCACGTTCTACCGGAGGGCGGGAATGGCGAATGAGTAGAGACAGAATGCTCACCTATCCATGAGCAGGGCACAGGGAGGGTCGTGTCAAAATCGTAGACCCAGGCATGGCGCTCCGCAGTGCCCTGCGAGTCCGACTCGGGCGTGGGGGCGCCATCAGACCCGGGGTCAAGTGGGGTGCGGGGTAATAGAACGAGTACGACGTGATAATCCCAGACGACGACGCCACTAGGTGTCTTCTGGCTCCAGAGAGCGACCTAGACGGTGGAGGAGGTCAGCCAATGTCCGCTGAGCGTCGTCGCCGTACATGTAGTCGGTGGCTCAAGAAGGCCCGGCTTTATAGTTCCAGCAGCTTTCATATCGAGAGGCCGTCTCGGACGTTTTTGCTCTCATGGAGCTTGGAGCACCCTATATTGAACGCGACAGCTTGAATCCGGCGCTGGAGCCAGGACTCTTGCAGGAGTGCAAGCGGGGCATAATCCTGTCGGACGCCTGGCATGTGCTAAGTAACAGACCAAGTGTAGAAAAGCTGTCTATGCGTCAAGCTACCTCGAGTAACATAACATACATCGAGTGAGCTATAGCGCAAGACTGTAAGAACGCGGACAAGACGGTGGTGCGGCCGATATGAAAGATGCTGTAGCCACTTTGAAGTGCAGTGGAGAGAAGGTAATTGAATCACGGACCGTTTTACCGCCGTTGGAGATGAAAACGACGTAGATCTGCCACGGCCAGGGCCCACGGTCGTCCGCAGTGGAGTCGGCATCCGAAAGTTGAGTAAATGCTTGAGCGAGGAGGTAGATGTTCTCTTCACAATAGCAGGAGGTATAGACGCTGTCGGAAGGGAGTGGTGGCGGAGAGGTGTCGATGTTGGAGAACAGTGGTGGCGGAGGCATGTCGGTTTCGGACGAGAGTGGTGGCGGAGACGACTCCGGAGAGAGAGCATGGTACATTATGATTGCGATGGTGCAGAAGACAGGTGAACGAGCCAGATGGTGCAGAACGTAGGTAGAGAGCAAGATGCAAGATGCGAGCGATACGTAACATGAGTGAAAGATACGCCCGGTCCTAGTAGTGACCACGATGGCCCATTACCCTGCGCTATTTACAGGAACCCTCCTAAGTATAATACAATGCGACTCGGCATGCTTCGCTTGAGTAGACCTGAGGGTATGGTAGTGCCGGGCGGCGCGGGGCTCGCCGCGAGGAGTGGGGGTGCGCGGTGGGAATGACTCGCAAGGCCGGTGCATAGTCGTGACTTCGTGATAGACAGTGGTGGGATGATCTGCGCGGACCGAGTTGAGCAACTGAACTGAACGAGCGGAAAGAGGGATGGCGCGCGAACGCGGAGCGGGATGGAGAGCGGGAGGGAGGAAGCGCGACTCACAGTGGGTATAGAACATCACATGGGGTATGAGGGGTGATTACATCACTGGGCCTTGCCCTGCTTCCCCGAGGACGGGACCGCGGAGGGTAGAGGGACCTGGTCGATGCCCCATGACCCCTTGCCATGGAACGCGTCCACGAACTTCTTCTTGAGCAGGATGTCCTCGAGCTCTGGTGAGGAGCGCTCTGGACGGAAGGGGACGAAGATGGGCTTGTGTCCGGATGACTTGGGCGCGGCCCGCTTGGGCTGTGGCGCGTGGACGGGGGAGGTGGTGAGGATGATGGGGCCCTGGCCGTTGTTCGCGGGGGACGCTTTCGATGGCGAGTGGTGGGGGTACTGCGAGGGGGCGGCAGGCTTAGGGAGGAGCCCGGAGTTGTTGGTGAAGGGGTGGGTCGCGAGGGGGTCGAAGGACTTGAGCACGGAGTTCGACATGATGTGCGGTGAGAGTTGGGTGAGAGTGCGGTGGCTAAACGCGAGGATGCGCAGGGGTGAGAGCGAGGGCGAGATTTACGAGTGGGGATGTCCGATGGGATGAGGGGATGAGGGGAAAGTGGAGCAGGAGTACTTATACTCGGATTGCGATGAGGATAAAAGAAAGAAGAATAGCGAGCCCTGGCCGCTAAGTTGTGGCATGGGCTCGTGCCCGATGGAACGGACGGAAGAGAGGGCCGGGAAAACCACGGTGTCCATGTTTGCGATCGGCTCCCGTTCGGTCACCTGTTTAGCCCTCGTCCCCACATGTCGATCCTCGACCGGGATCCTGGATCGCGGCAGGCGCCCGGTTCCTCCCCCGCCACGCGCCAATTTCGGCTCTGCTCGAATCTACGATCGCGCGCATCGCGATCTCGCCGAGAGCCCACTTTCCGCTCCACAACGCCTGTGCTTCCTCCCCCCATCATCCATGGCCAATCATATCCTAGCTCTTCCTATCGTCTCCCATTCGTCGCCCGCTCGCTCGGTCTTGGGTGTTTCTCCGAACCTGCCGGTCGTCCGAAAGCACTGGAACACTGCTGGTGGTTCCTGTCAGCCGTGCCTGCCCCGGATTGCCTGGGAGCCTTGCGGCAAGAAGGAGATGCGGTCAGCGTCCGTGAGGTCTTACGGCACACGGAGCGCTCTCTGACAGTGCGGGGAAATGATGCAACGACCGCAAATTTGGTCGTCTGCGCACACTCTTCGCCGCCTCGTGGTGGAGCCCGCTTTCCAGCGTGTCCAGAGGCCCCGCCAATAGAGATGTTTCGCAACGCGCGATTTTTCGTGCCCGTGAAGTACCAATCCAGAGCGGAGCAAGGTCAAAGTTCACACGGGAGACACCTGGAGCAAGGCCAAAAGAGCTCCAGCCGAGGCGGGGCAAACGCATTGCGAAATAGCTCTAATGCCTACAAGTACCTCACATAGATGGTGAAGAGTAGTCCAGGTTAGTTTCGTTCCCATCCATTCTGGCACCCGCAGCCTCGCAGTCAAAATGGTCCTGTACACCGCTTCTCAAGGTATATCGACTTACTGATTCTAGCGAAGCGTTGGCCAGCTCCGTAGAGAGTCCCTAGTACGTCTCCAGCCGAAACGAGGTCCGGGTCTGAGTTGGCGGTACTCACGGGGGCGGTTTGATATGCGCCGCGTGTACGGCGTACGTTTTGAGGTATAGGGACCTCTTTGTTCAAGGTGAGTATGCTTGCCACGAGGAATTATGCTCCGCTCAATACAAAACTTCGCTTCGGTGCAGTGCAAAGCCTTGCTAGCCCGGAGTGCCCAATGCCCATGATCATTTGGTCTGTTCGATACGAGGCATAGGGCTCCGGTAACCCCCATCTGTTCTAGGCCTTCCATTAAGCATCTGGGAGGATTGCCAGGGGTCCCGTGTCCATCCATCTCTGCTAAGCCGACTCAACTCATCAGCCTGTACGTCCCGCAACGGGGGAAACATTGACACGATCGCTATCACCCGCCGGCGCCGTATGTAACCATCACTTCTCTTACATGCTCGTCAGTCACGACGCTTGTCGTCGCGCCGACCGTCCGACAGCCTCAGGATCCGGACGAGGCACTGAGTCAACACGGCTTCCCCAGTGCGGGGTTATGGTGCTCACAGCCGCCAAATCCGGTCTATTACTGGCGTTCGGGCTGGTGCAGTGGCGGTTGTGGCACAGCGACTGCCCAAACGGACGGGCTTGGCTCTCAAGAACGCGAGTGCTTCCCGGCCGTTCTACCCGCATACCGCACTGTCATGGTGCGTCAATCCTTCAGTTAAGAATCTATTTTGGAGCCTGGGTACCGCTCAAGGCCCCATCGCTCATGCAGTTTCATGACGGCCTGTGCTTGCTATGGAGGGTCGTCCGACTACGCATACCCGCCCATGTGTCACCCTCTTGTTGCGTGCGAGGACGCGGACACCTGCCGTGTCGTAAACAGCCAGATTACGTCGGGCGCGGGCACAGCCAACCCATCGGAGAGGGCGTTTTGCTTCCTCACATTGAACTCAGATGACTCAGAATACGTCTGCACACCTTCAGCTCTTCGCCCAACTGACACGCTCTGGCACGGTTCAGGCCACGCGCGGTCCGAACGGCCTAGGAAGCACCTCACGCATTCCCGCAACTTCAGTGCCAGTGGTTTGACGCAAGCTCAAGTGTGGCCTTCGTCCATCTTCTCGCCGCATGGCGAGAAGGCCGTTCTGGGATCCGGTCGCACGATTGGGTAATTATCTACACGTACCCCGCACGAAGACGTGGGGGGCGACCCGACGGTGAATAGCAACGCAGTGCCGGCGCCGCGCTGCCCCACGTTGTCTCCCCGCAGCCCTCCTCGGCCTTGTTCCGCGGTCAAAGAAGCACGAAGGCAAACTCGAAGCGGCAACGGACGCAGACGCGGCCGCGTCAGGTGCCCCGCGCGCGCAGAGTTTGCGTAAACGCGACCGGCCCAGAGGCCCGAAATCCATGAGAGAATGTGTCCTGCTTGTCGTTGCGCGAGCAGACGTGCGCGCCCGCTACCACACCGAACACCCGTTTTGCGCCCTCGGCGACTTGCATCGTACGATATATCGGGGCCCCCGCAGCCCGTTGTGTGCGGGGCGCTGTCACGTTGCTCGTCCGCGTTCGCACCGGTGTCTGAACGTATGGACGTCGGCTTTCCGTGCATCACCAGCTCGAACCGGTCGTTCCGAGCGCACATGGCCTTGGAATCTGGCGCGGACGCTTAGCAGCCACCCCGCGTCTCATGCTAAACGTCGGCGGCCCTCGCGACAACAACGTCAAGGGCACCCCCGGACCACCCTCCGGAGTCCGTACCCCCTTCAATGCATCGCCGACGTGCGCGATCCGCTCAACAAACTTGCACCCTAAACGTGAGCGCGTGCGCGGGCGGCCTGGGGATGAATTGCCGGTGCGCCCGCATCGCGATGCATCCGCCGCTGCGCCTGTGGCACCGCCGGCCGACGCTCGGGCTCGCTCGCGGCAAGGTACCTGCCGTATCCTGCCGCTCCACTCTTCGCTCAACACGCACAACTACGTTCGGGGGACAAACACAGGAGAGGAAATAGCACGGAACAAGACGGAACACGGCGAACAAAATCAGGTTAGTACGTTTTTCATTATCGTCGTCCGCCCTGCGAGTCATCCTGCTCTATTATCATTTCCCCCTCTCCAGGTCCGATCGCGGTCAGATGGGCGGCGCTGCATCGACTGTACGCAGGTCACTCGCCTGCGCTCCACCACCTTAGCATCGTCTTAGCATGCAGAGCGGGGACCCGTCGTCCCGCCGGCATGCACGCTCTCCGGAATCACACTCAGGTTCGCGGAGAAGGTGCGCGAAAGCGGTGCAGCTGCATCCCAGAACGAACGACGCTAATTCGCCGGCCCAGAGCGCTCGATGGGGGAGGTCGATGCAAACAATGACGACACGACGCGCAGATCGACTGCATCCTGCTCGCACGCCGCGTGGGTCGCCCCTACTCGAGAGTTGAGATTCGACGAGTCGATGCGCGATAATTGCGGCACCTGCGCGCCCCCACAGTGGCACTGACATGTACGGCCTCGTACTTCCCCGGGGGGCCAGGAGGGGTGCTCGCGGTTGCAACACCGCGACGCCGCGCCCAATACAGTCGCCTCTCCCGGCTCGGCTTATCGCCAGGCCCGCACACCTCCCGCGCGCAATCGACTCCACCATGCTTGCAGCGGCGGCGGAGACGGCGGCGCTTCGAATGATGTGCGCTGCCCCAATTCGTCGCGCCCCAGGACTTCCAGGACTTCGCGGGGCTTCTGTTCGTACGCCTTGGCTCAGGGCTGGCCTGGGTCGCGCTATCGACGTCTGTTGCGTCATTGTTCCTGGCCCGCTGCGGTGGAGGGTGGGTGGGCGCGCACGATCGTGCACCGCGGGAGGTGCCTGCGAGTTTAGCGTTGTTCGATCAGCGGGCGTACCCCAGCCTTGACCATTTGTAGAGGGGGCATCTGGTGATTGTCCCAGGTGTGCAGAAGAGTGCAGATCCGACCACCATGCGGGTGGTAATGGATGTAAATGTCTCTATGAGCAAATGTTCGATGATCAGCCCTTATTAGACGCATTTGAATCTGAAAATCTTCAAAAAGCATAGGTACGCACCAACTACCATAGAAGTCGAGACGGCGCGGCGAGTACAGATAGCAATTCCTCGTGATATCCGAGGCATAGTTGCATGTGAATGTGTTCGATGTCGGCTCCCATATGTTGTTAACGTAGATCCCTATGTGTGTGTCATTTCTGTGTTCCGACGGTGAGGAAGCTTGTGTCTGCGTTGCCAGTGCCGGTGGTGTATATCATGAAATCGAGATGGTTGTGAGCAAGCCGAAAGTAGGATGCCACGTCGGTTAGATAAGATGAGTGCTCAAGAGCGTCTATCTAATCTCTCGATCAAAGCCCGGGCGCTTCCAGAATTTTTGCCACCGTCCAACGAAAGCTGGGCTTCGAGGTATTCCAGTCTCGACACCGTCCGCTAACTTGAGCTCGTCGTCTACCATCATGTCCACGACGCTTCCATTATTCTGGCACTTGTCCTCAGCAAAGAAGAAGGAGCGGCTTGACGCGTCCGTGAAGCTTGTCGCCGCGCTCGAGCATTTCCAGTCGCAGTTCGTGCCAAAAGACTCGCCGGAAACTTCAGAAGACGAGGACGAGGACGGAAACAAACCGAAGTCAGACGGCCTAAACCACCTCAATGCCCAAGACGTTGCGTACTCAATACGACGTCTTGTACGCGGTCTGGCCAGTCCAAGGGAGAGCAGTAGGATCGGCTTTGCGGTCGCCTTGACGGAGGTGCGTACAGTTAATTCGGAGAGATGGAGGTGGAAGGGTACTCTGCGCAGAAGAATTCCACAAGCTTGCGCTTTGGTATCACTGTTTAACTGCCCCTTGTGCAGTCACGGCATTGAGCGGAGAGGAGAATACTCGTAGTGAGTGCAGAGACGGGCCGGTCGATCAGTCCGTCGCCGTTCTGCTCTGCCGACACGGAACGAGAAACATCGTAACTTGGACACATAGGAAGATGCGATGCCGCGCTTGCAATGCAGTCGAACGTGGAACATTGTAGGGCAAACCAGTGGCAGCCGGATATCCCAGACCCTTCCACTTCCCTTTTTCGATTCTACCCTGTATTCGTTCGCTCACTCGTGACATGCAGCTGTTGTCCAGGATAGACACTGTGACATGCTCTCAGATCGTCCTACTCGTCCTCGACTCGTCAAAAACCCAGGGCTCCATGACCGGCCAGGAAGAACGGGACGTATTCTTTGCCCGTCTGTTTGGTCTCACCGCTGTTATTCAGTCTGGTCTCCTGCTGCGCGAAACGACACTGCCCTCTTCGTCGACTGCTGCATCGGATCTGGAGGGCTACACGGAGGTTATCACTGAGCTGCTCGCGCTCGGAGAGAAGAAGTCTTGGCTGCGCGAGAGCGCCTGGTGGTCCATCGGTCTCGCGGCAGATGCCTTGGCAGCGTCTGCAGTTTCCTGGAAGGGCGAAGCGGTGGACGCGACAATCTCCGCGTTATACTCGGAGACCAAGGCGTGGACGCCCGAAAAGGTCGCGCTCACGCTTAAACTACAAGCCGCCTACCCTTCTCGCGAGTGGAAGAAGCTGCTGGCGCCGACGTTCAAGAACCCTGATCTGCTCAGCACGGGGAATCTCTCGACGCTCGCCCGGATATTGAAGGTACGGTATCTTGGCGCTAGTCAAAATGGCGTTTCCTCGCACATAACACTCACTCCGCGCGTTCTATGCAGGAATCCGATGCAGACGAGGACCAGGAGACAGATGTGCCGAAATCGGGCTCATGGAAGCCGCAGCTGCACTTCGTTTGGGACGTGCTCCTCGATCAGCTCCTCTCCAAGGACGGTAGCGCTCGCGCGTCCAAAGGCACCTTCCCAGAATTTTTCCGGATCGTCGTTGATGGTATGTTGCCTCCCTCCGCCGCTACCGCGCTTTCGCTCCCGGTAAGGCTAACGCTTATCGTGCTGTTCCGCAGAATCTCTGTTCGCTTCGACGTCTTCGCCCGAGCGGAAATACTGGGGCTTCCAGGTGTTCCAGAGGGCGCTGCCCCGCGTTACCGCAGATGACATGCCCATGCTGTTCACGAAAAATTTCATGCGCTCATGGATCAATCACCTATCGAACAGCGACCGCTATCTGCACAAGGCAGCCAGGCAAGTGGTACGTCTCACCGCTCCCTATCTCCGCGGGTGCGCGCCCGCCTCATGCAAAGGCTAACTTTGACTGATGCAGGTAGCAGACATCCAGAACGCAGTCAAGGGGGACCCCCGCATTGGGTTCTCGCTGATCCTGCAGCTGACGGGCGGCAACGGGAGCCGGCAGTTCGACAAGCTGACGAAGACGAAGACGGTTGAGTCTATCCTTACGTCAATGGACGAGGAGGGCATTCAGAGCTACATCGACTTCCTGCTCGAGCAGGTCGACGATGGACCCTCTTCCGAGACGTAGGAGCCTTCTGTTCTCATGCGCCCCTTGCGTCGACGCTGATCGTCCCGTTTTGGTGCAGGGCGGACATCCAAGCTCTCAACACGCGCCGGGCGTGGGTTATCGAGCAGCTGGCCTCGCTCATCCGCAACGGGGCGATTCCTAAGAGCGACGCGTGGATTCAGACGATCCTCGATTGGCTGGCCGTGCATGGTCTGTTCATCGTCTCCAAGAAGTCGGAGAAGAGCGTTATTCTTGCCGTAAGCGCCCCGTCCAGTGCGCACGAGGAACCGCAGGTGTAACTGACTCCGCGCCCCTCAGCTGCGCAGCGTTCCCGCCCCTGCGTTCTCGGAGGAATTGCGGAAGATCTGCCGCGATCGCCTACTCGCGTGTCTGGCCGAGTTGACGGTACAGACGACGCTCGTGAAGGGTATGTCTTCGTGGCCTATACTCGGGACGCGTCGCGCTGACGGTGACAAATAGATGAGAGCAAGACGGCGAAAGTCGCAGGGGTGGCATCTGACGGAAGGTTGTGGGTGTCGAGACTACTCTCGACGATCCAGCAGCTTGAGAAAGACACGAAGCACGTCCGCCCGCTCTCGGAGGTCGATGAAGAGGAGACAGAACTGCGCCAGAAGGCCCACCAGATTCTGGCCCGCCTCAAGGACGTGAGTTGCCTTACCCTCCGCCCTCCAAGGCGCCGCACTGAATACATGTACGGCAGGCGCCCGAGGATCAGCGTGAGGCCGCAAAGGGTATTGAGCTGTTGCTCTCGTCGACGCTCCTCCATCAATACTGCGTGGACGAAGATGATGCGGACACAGACGCCCTGGAGGTTCGTACAACGTCTATTCACTCCTTCACTGCCATCTCATGTGATATCCACAGAGCTGCCTCGACGGCGCTTCGCGCATGTTCCCCGCCGAGGCCAAGAAGAGCAAGAAGTCGCGCAAGTCAATGGGCGAAGACAAAGGCAAGGAGAAGGAGCTTCCTGCGCCGATCGACGTTCTCGCCGACACGGTCATTGGCTTCCTCGAGAAGGGCACCGCGTACATGCGGGCGGTGGCCAATCAGGTCTTCTCGCTGCTATCGGGCGCGGTGCAGGAGAGCACGATTGATCTCATTCTCACCGTGAGCGTCCCGCTGCTGTGTGGACATTGAATTGCTTGCTTATCTTCCTGGATGAATCTCGGTGCAGCAATTGGAGCGGCGCGATCCCGAGGAGCTGATGGCAGACGAGGACGAGGACGTCGACATGGACGACGATGAGGAACAGGAAGACGGCGAGGGAGAGGATGACGAATCGTCCTCGTCATCGGAAGGCAACGAAGACGATGACGAAGAGGAGGAAGGGGACGAAGAGGCGGATCTAGAGCTCCGGCGCAAGATCGAGGAAGCGCTGCGTGTCAACGGAATCTCAGCGGCGACGGGCGACTCCGACGACGAATCGGAAGAGGATCTGATGGACGACGACCAGATGCTCGCCATTGACGAGCAGCTGGCCGCGGCCTTCAGGGCCCGTGCCAGCGGGAAGGGGCACCGAAAAGGCAAGTTTTCAGACTTCATGGTTCGCTGTGACCACGCTCAGACTTTCCCCACAGACACCGACGCGCAACGGGAGGCCACTCACTTCAAGAACCGCGTGCTAGACCTCATCGACATATTCGTGAAGAAGCAGTCAACTAGCCCACTCATCATCCGTCTTATCCTGCCTCTGATTGAGCTGACTGTGGCGACGGGTCCGGATGAGAAACAGCTTGCGGACAAGGCGACCGGTATCCTGCGAAGCAGGATTGGCAAATCCAAGGATGTTCCCACCTCGGTGCCGAAGGAGGACGCCGCGAAGACGCTGGAGGAGCTGCACACGCTCGCCAGGAAGGCGTCAACGCCTGAGGTCTTGACCACCCTCAACCAGTGCAGCATCTACCTGTCCAGGGTTCTCTTGCATCACGATGCTTCCGAACCTGTCTTGAAGGCCTATCGGGAGTCGCTCACGGACTTCGTGTCGCGCAAGGCATCGCGTCTCAACCCGACATTCGTCGGCGACTTTGTGAAGCGGTATCCCCAAGCTGCGTGGAGTATTCGGGACGACTTTGTCCAAGCCCCCGGAGTTGCCCTCAATGGCTTCCGTCAAGCGCAAGCCTTCCACTTCATCAACACGCTGGTCAACCAGCTGCAGGCTCTGGTAAGTAACAGTTCCGGCGTCACTCCCTTCGGTAATCTCACACCTCATGCAGGGCGACCGCAAGCCGGAGATACTGGAGTTCATGCCCAAGCTGCGCCAAGCTATCCTCGACACACTCTCCAATGCGTGCACCAGCGAGTCATCGCTGACGCCCGCGCATGCTAAGGAGATCCTCAAGCTCGCTCTCACCTCTGTCCGTCAGACAAAGCGATTCACTGCGACCGTCGAAGAAGCCGCGTCGATCTGGGAGCCTTCGAAATGGACAGACCTTTCCGCGACGCTCGCCGCCAGCGAGCGCTTCAAGTCCGCAGTCGGGCTGCAGGCGATGTGTAAGCAAGTCGTTCAGCTACTACAAGAAAGCAGTACAGCAGGTGCGAAAGCATCGGGCAAGGACAAAGCGGCGACGAAACGGAAAGCGGAGGCGGTGGCTGCGGAGGAGGATGAGATTGAGGGTACTGCTGCGCCCGCCAAGCGGGCGAAGCACAAAAAGGCGCGGAAGGAGAAGAGCGGCTAACTGCTCGATGTACCAGACCGGCCACTCGTACTAGTAGATATCGACTTCAGGAGATATTGCAGGTCGTTTACGGACATGTGTCGCTCGACTTCAGATGAACCGGGTCCGAGACATCGCCGAACGAGTTCCGCGCATTTGCGCATCCTGCGAGATTCAGGCGTTAGCTGTGGACCGGTCCCAGGACGCTACGATCGGCGGAACGCTCACTTGGTCCGCTTGATCCGCTCTTCGATCACAATCTTCATGTTCGCTGCTTTCGTGGTTGCGACCTGCAAAACTGTCTCCGGCAACCCTGCGAGGCGCGCGCATTCCACTCCGAAAGACTCGGTGACAAGGCCAGGCTCAAGGCGGTAGAGGAAGGTGACCTCCCTCGTCCCGTCCACGCGCGTTTCCTCGGTGAAGCCCATGTGCATATTTCCGACGTCGGAGGGAAACATGCGCTCCAGGTCGGTCGCGACCTGTGGATAGTGGGTGATGAATAGTGTCTTGCACTTGACCTCCTGCACGAGATGCTGTAACACTGCGCCCGCTATCGCCATCTATGATCCGGCGACAGTGAGCGGGGGCGAGCGGAGAGTCGAGAAGAGGCCAGGCTTACCCCGTCAAACGTCGACGTCCCTCGGCCGAGCTCGTCTAAGACCACCAGCGTCTTCGAGGTCGCCATTTGCAGGATATCGCTTGTCTCCTGCATCTCGACCATGAACGTAGATCGCCCGCGGGCCAGTTCATCCGATGCTGTGAGGCGCCGTTAGCTCACGCATAACGATATTGCAACCTCTGTCTTCGCTCACCTCCCATCCTAGTTAATATCCCGTCGAGCAAACTAAGTTTCATCGACTTCGCTGGGACATACGACCCAATCTGCGCCATCTGCAGGAATCACATAATGAGTAGTATGCCAATGAAGACGGAATTTTTTACTCACGACGGCACACAGTGCGGTCATCCGGACCGCAGAACTCTTTCCGCCCATGTTCGGACCTACGCGGCTCGTGTCAGCGTATCCTACAGGCGATGGCCAATCCGTACGCACCAGTAATGATCCTGTGCCTGGTCTCACTCCCGCCCATCCTCACAGAGTTCGGGACAAACGGGTCCGTCCGCAACGCCTCGATCATAGGATGTCGACCCTCCACGATCTCAAGCACATCATTCTCCGAACCTTCACCTTCCTTACGGTCTACGAACTCGGGACGCGCATACCCTTCCTGCGCAGCGACCTGCGCGAGGCTGAACAAGCAATCTGCCACTGCGAGCTTGTTCACAGCGTCGCGAAGGAGCGCGTAGTACTTGTCGGTGATTTCCGCGAGGAAAGTGAGGAATGCCTTGCGGGCTTCTATGGCGAGGCCCTCTTTGTACTGCGCGCGCTCCTGCAGCTTCGCGCGCACTTCGGGCGTGTGATATCTACGCGCAAACTTCGTGCTACAGCCAACCTAATGTTTCAGACATGTGGAGGGTGAGCTGCAAAGCGAACTACTGTACCTAGAGAGCAGCGTCCAATTCACGGGGATGTCCCTGCGCTCGTCCTTACGGATTTCGACGACATACTGCACGAGGCGAAAACGTCAGTCACTTTCGTCGTGGATGGTATGGCAAAGTACCTCTTCGCCGTTCCACTCCGTATACTTCAGCGCTGGCTTCTTGAGAACCTTGCGGATCGTCTTGAGCTCGTCCATCAACTCGGACTCGGCTACTTGTATGCACTGACGCATCCTCAGCGATGAGCAAAACTCTGGACACCAGAGAACCGTTTTACCCACCGCAGTCAACGAGTCCAACTCCGGAAACCGATCTATGTCCGTCCACATAGCCTCCTCCTTCCCCTGCTCCGCCGCCGCGAAGTCCACCGCATCACAGATCTCCTTGACCGGGTCCCTCAGTCTCGGCAGCGACTCCACAATTCCCACCAGCAGCCCCGCGTGCAGACCCGCAGCCGGCGCGGCCTGCTGCGACTGTGCGGGGTGCGGGGGAGTGAAGGTCGTGGAGACTCGGCGAAAGGCTTTGAGAAGAACGGCGAGCTCCTGCGGGGTGCATTTGCCGTATTGGATGCGGCACAGTCCGCGCGCGAGGTCAGGGAGCCGGCGGAGGAGCTCGCGCAGTTGCGTGAGTCGGGGCGACCGGTTCGAGAGGATCTCTTCGACGGCGTCCGTCCGCTCGCGAAGGGCACTGTGCGAAAGTGAGCAGCGAGAAAGCTCGATAATGTATGGCGAGGAGAGCGTACGCTGCGTCGACAAGGGGTTTCCCTACCCAACTTCTCAAAAGCCGGGCACCAAACTTCGTCGAAGTCCGGTCCAGTATCCACATCAAAGAGCCCTTGGTAGTGTAGTCCGTGTCGTTGACATAAATCTCTCTACAAAATGTCATGAATACCTGTTTTGCATAAATCTGCTTACTTACAGAACTGTGCACTTACAGGTTTGTGAGCGTATTGGCGTTCAGTAGCATGTGTGTGCGTTCAGTAAACTTGGAGAAGAATCGGGTCTCTCGAAGAGCATCTGCTACGTTGAACGTGGCCAGATAATTCAGCGACTGAGCGAGGGTGATGACAACGATCTTCGAGAACTCCGTAATCGCTGCCATCAAGTCTCCTACGTCGAATAGTGTTGAGAAAGGGCGCGGGAAGGGGTACGTATGAGTGCAAACCGTTGTTGAAACCTTCCGACGCGTTAGCATGTGTCTTGTCGGTGTAGAACTTCGACAGAATCGCGAAGGCATCTGTGTACGCCATTTGCTTAGAAAATCGCTCTATGCGCATTCGATGCTCGGTGTGCGAGTGTCTGAGGGAAGACTGAGCATGAATCATATATGAAGGAAACTCGGGGAACACTTACTCGGTGAAGTGTTTGATCATCTTCTCTGTTGCAGGACTGAGTTTCTTTGACGGCAGCAGGAGTTCGTAAGGTTTTGTATGAACCATCCTGGTCTGCAGTCAGATAATTAGCGATGCAGTCACTTCGTTTGTGTTACTTTACACGTACCTCCAGTTCGGTACGCATATGGTTATCTGAGGTTGTATTTATAAGTTATTAAGTAGAACGCGCAGGGCGACCGCTTCACCTTCGAACTCGTCCCATACGACATCCCCAGTGCTCGGAGATATGGCAATCATGGCTATAGTGACTCGCTCATCTGTTCCCATACCGCCTTTTGGCTCTTCCAGGAAGCACATAAGCGGAGGTGCTGAGTTCGGGTCCAACTCATCCACAGAGTTGAGATCGTCTACGAACCTACACAATAGTGAATATACGTTGATATCAGCTATCATACAACTCACGTTGCGGCGGTGTACATATGTGTCACTTCGCGGCCGAAGAGTTCGTTGCGAGTCTCTCCAGCCTTCTTCAACGCTGCCGTTTCCGTCTGCTCTACTATGCCGACCTTGTAGCCATGCGACAGCAGTCTGATGGGGAAATGTTCAAGCAAGATACTACCACATGAAGTGTGTAACGTACTTCTTCATATGTACATCGCGACGATGTAACGGTATCATGGCGGTCAAGAAATTCCGCTTAGGAAAGCAGACCATTCCCAGCTCCTTGGATGCAATCTGCGCAAAGAGTGAGAGACCATTGAAGCGTGCTAAAATAATGCAAACCTTGGCGTCCTCATCAAAGAAAAGCATCTTATACCCGGACTGTATCATGAGGACAGTACCAGGGTATTTCGCTTTCAACTCTCGGACCTGTGTGCAGTCAGCAAACGGGTGGAACACAACTCAAAAATGGCCTACTTGTAACTCGAATGGGGTGTAAGGCTGTCCGCTTGGGCCAATTTCTTCTGTCTTCTGGCTCTTGGAACGGCTGGGGCCAGCGACAGGAGGACCCGTCTTCTTCGCTGTACCCTTCCCCTTTCGCTTCCCTTTCGAGCTCGAGCTGCTGAACATCTCCATCAACTCGCCGAACTTCTGTTCTGCGTCGTCTACGTCATCTTCCGCGGGCGCAGCCAATATTTCCGCTTCCTCCTCCACGTCCGAGCTGGGAGCTGCGTCGGCCGAACGGTTTGTGTTGTTGAAGACATCGGCACTCCCCAACAGGATTCTCTTCGCTCTCTCGTGTGCGTCACGCTGCGTAGCGTCTTCAATCACTTTTTGCGATTTGCTCGGTGAACTGGGATTGAAGCGCCATTGCTCGGCATGTCCGCCGCTCTTCGTGGCCGCAGCCCCAGATTTGGATGCGGACGCACCTGGTCGTCGGGGAGAGAAGAAGGTGCTGGTTGTGGTTCTCTGTCTCTTACGCACGGGTGCAAGTTCCTCATTCTCCGAGTCGAGAGTGAGATCAATGGGAGAGTTTCCTCTTTTGTTCTTGCTGCCGGCCTTCCCCTTCGTGGGTGTGCTGGGCCCAGATGTGGCCCCTGCAGAGCTTTGAGACTTGGAAAAGAATGAGGATATTGTAGCCTGCGTTCCATGCGGGGCAGACATCGACTCTGCCAAAGTGAGGCCTCCAAGACGTGCGCGAGGGCCAAAGTTTAAGATGCGGGGAGGAGGCAGAGGAGGCAGGTGGCGTCGGCTTAGACGCGCAGCTCGATCACCGCATCACTCAGTAACGCGTCCGTCACGCGACTGTCACGGGCACTTGTACGCGTCTCATCACGTGCTAGGCGCCGTCTTCCTCTCCGTCTGCCCGTCATGCTCCGCCAGGCCACTCGCTCCCTCGTCCCCGTCCTCCGCGCAAACGCACGCAGGGCGATTCCGCGGAGACATGCAGTATGTCTCGCGAGGACACATGCGACCATCTCCACCTCGGAACAGGCCACCAATGCCACAAACCGTACGCTACCAGCGTCATCCGTGTGCATTCGTTACTTACCGTGAATGAGCAGGGGCCGAGGTCACTCTGAAGCGGTTCTGGAAGTCGGTCGGAATTGACAAGCAGCAAGGGGGCTACGCCGTCACCCTTGACTCGCGGCCTCTCAAAACTCCGGGCGGAAACCCCATGATCATCCCACCACAGAAGAGGCTCGTAGCTGCGCTGGTCGCGTCGGAATGGGAGAACCAGGACACTGTGCTTAAGCCTCATGCACTACCTATGGTATGTCGCCTCCCTGGACTGTACCAACACCGTTTTAACAACCGTATAGACGTCCATAGTGTCAAGAGCTATCGACGCCTTCCGCGATGACGAAAACACGCGGAATGAAGTACGCGCACAGTTGCTGAAGTACTTCGAGACGGATACCATCTTGTCAGTTCTGCGTCACTTACGAAGGTTCCGGTATCACTCATATCCCGCTCTCCACTTAGCTACCACGCGGACGAGCCAGCAGCTCTGGTAAAGCTCCAAGAGGAACACTGGAATCCCATCCTCGACTGGGCGAAAAAGACGTTCGGTGTTGACATCGTAGTGTCAAACTCGCTCGTCGTTCCCTCTCAATCTCCTGAAACCATGAAGAAGTTTGAGGATATCCTCGCTCAGTTCTCCCCATGGGAAATGGCTGGTACGCACGGTCTCTGCGCTACTCCCCTCACTTGCGGCTATTGACGGCGTGAATCTAGCCATGGAACGTGCTACCTACAGCTCAAAATCCTTCCTCATCGGCCTGGCGCTTGTCATGCGCCGGTTAGACGTCGACCAGGCAGCCCAGGCCGCACACGTCGAGGTGAACAGCCAAATCGAGCTATGGGGCGAGGTTGAAGACAGTACGTCGTCCTAAAACATCTGTTCACTTGTATGCGTTCTCTGACAGCAACTTTGTCAGCCCACGATGTAGACTATCATGATATGCGGCGTCAACTCGGTAGCGCAGCGTGTCTGCTTGCTGCATACTGAGCAGCGCTCACTCCGCCATCTACTATACACTACATCCTAATCCACAGCCTTTCCGCTCTTCTCGGCCTATCAGGGGTTCGTTCGCGCCCGCGAGACCGCCATATTCATATATTGGGCGACTATCATGACACAACTAGTGCAACTACCAAGTTGCATTCTAATTGACATCAGGTGCGTGGCATAAATACCCTGAACGCGGTGCTCGTATTGAACTCACGAACTCGCCGGCATCACAGGTCGCAGTCCGTCCGACACCTTTTGAAATAACACTGCATCCGCCGGCCTGTGTGTGCCACGGACAAGATCGCCCTGTCTTGATATCATCGGAGAGGCTAGGCCATGAGGGTCACTCCCCTGCGATCTGCGTACTCCTCCGGCGATATTCCTCGCCGATGCCCACAGAAGCAACCCTGCGCAAATGAACTCTCTGCCTTTGACAGCAACTGCTTGCAAGAATCAATACACTGACGGCCGGCGCTGTTTGCGCTCTCTTTCCACACTTGATGATCACGCACTCACACTCGCAAGAATCTCAGGGTTGACATAGATAGACTCGGATCGTCGACACCTTGGATGATATACGAACGCCACTCTGCTCGTCCGCAGGATTGAAGACGTGAGTGGCTTCAATGTCTGTTTTCTCCCAGTAAGATGACCTTACGTTGACACAGGCTCGGCCGCGGGTGGTCGATTGCTTGCTTCTCAATGCAAGGGTCTCTACTTGTGCCGTAACTCGCGATCAACAACCCTGGAACCCATTTGCTCTATGACGAATCACACTACGAGCGCGACACTCAAGCAAAGCCGTGTGACCCGCCAGCAGATCGCAGCCATGTTAGTGTACGTTGGGCGCGGTGCACCATCTAATCTACGACCACACTCCTCGAGTGCCTGTCAAGACATTGCATCCGTAAATTGGTTGCGTATTCTCCTATATCTGTCGCATGCATCGCATCGCCGGGAGCGAGTACGACCGACACCAGCGCAGGCCTCGGACGTGTATAAAGTGACCACAGAAGTGTCGCCGTTCTAGCATCCCAAGCCTTTCATCTCTTTCTTCTTGGGTCAACAGTCCCCCTTTTTTCTCCTTCACTCCTTCCAGCCAGGCGCTGTTATATCTTTGCTACCATGTACGCCAAGGCCTTCGTCACTCTCTTGCTCCCCATCCTCGCGGCCCATGCCATGCCTGCCAAGCGCGACGGTGAGTGCGAAGATACTCATCAATCCATACATGATTTCCTGACAGCTCGTTCGCAGAATACGATGACGCTCTGTCGCTGATCACTGCGGGAGACACGGACCGTAAGTGCTCGCCATCGTCACACCAAGATAATAATCTAACTTGCGCCTCTCTTTCAGCTACTGGTAAGCCACATAGTCTTCCTAAACTTACGATATAGGGCTCAGCAGCAACGTCTATCGTAGCTTCTGCGGAGCTTAACTCCATCCTGTCTTCGCGTCAGTCTACATTCCCATCCGTGACACCTCCGATATACTGACGCCAAAACAGCTCCCACTGGCACTGCTCGTACGTCCCACTTATAGCACCAGCTCGAAGCTTTCGCTCACCACTAGTGCACGCCGCCATGCTCAGTCGCAGCTTTAGAAGGTACGCCCCACTCGCTAACCCGCACTCCTTCCTTCGGTCATATTGATACTCTCCGCCACAGCGAGCATCATATTGGACGAGGCCAGCCTCGCGATCCACCAGCTGCCCTCCGCGAGCGAGAGCCAGTTTACCGCGTACATCACAAGTGAGTGCCCACGCCTTCGCTGCCTCGGGTGTTGCGGCTTACGAGTACCCCGTGGCGCGTCCTTCGCCGCAGCCATCGCGGGCGCGCCTGTCGTCGAGGTCTCCTCCATTGGCGGGCCCGCGATTACGGTCGCCACAAGCACCGCCGGTGCAGCCACGACCTTCTTCGCCGGACACACGGTCTTTGTAGTCCCCGGCCCGGGGAAGAAGTCAGTGCATCGTTTTATCCGAGGTTTTGCTGTGTAGATGCTCATGGAGTATTGCAGGAACGGGGCGTCCGAGCTCAAAATCTCGAGGCCTTTGCTGACGGGTATGGTTGGGGCCCTTGGAGCAGTCGCTGCTGGAGCGATGATGATTCTCTAAGAACCGCTGCAGGGCTTCGGCTTCGGCACGAGCTGAGTAGCGTCCCTGTATTCGTGCTGTTTTCACAATATGTTGGGCGATTCTTTAACGTTTTAACACCGAGGCACACATACTGCATTCTAATCGACATCTGGTGCGTGTTGCAACCCGCCCTGCCACGTGGGCGAGTCCCCAAGCAGCATTGTTGTGTCTCGCCCATGAGCCGCCATTTGAAAAATTGCGCTGAATGTGGGTCAGCGTTGCGATGGCCTTTGGAAATTGGTAGTCGACGTCGTGAGCCTGAGAGACGGCCAAAGAGCAGGGCGCGCGATCGCATCTCGGGGCGGATCGCGACGAGCGCTTCGAACTCCGACGACTCACGAGTTCGCCGCCCACAAGCCTTCGGGCCACCAACAACCACCGCTGGCAGAAAATACCAGTAATAAGCGAAAGGGGACTGTGCTCTCTATCTAATGCATGTTTTAGGAAAGAACTGATTTACCTTTGCCAGATACAAAGACTCAAGTGCTTTCAGCCGCTACACCGTGACCGTGATCCATCATGGCCACTGAGTGCGCACGCATGTCAAAATCCAGACTCCTCCGGCACTCATCTCCTCCTCCCGCCTCCTCCACGGTGCATGATGCTACTGGACGCCAGCAAAATATACGAGGCACACGCGGTATGCTCCGCAACACGTCGCCCGGAGAGTCTGGCGCCGGGCCCGGGACCGCGTGACTAGTCGCGCTCATTGTCTTGTCCCCTGCGTGTTTCGCTGGGGCGGAGAAAGAGGACGGAAAGACATTTGTCTATTAAGGTAGCCTTTTGCGCTACACCGCCGTGTAATCACCCATACGCCTCGATTATGCGTCGTACTGCAATGGACTTTACCCACAGCTCATTCTACCCACCAGCAAGGCTGCTGATCGACGAGCCGCGGGAGCCGTATAAATACCCCCTCCGGTCCCCCACTACGGGCCATATCCTCCTGCGTCTCACTTTCACTCCTCCTCTCCCGTGCTTCGACTTCATTTCCGTTCTATCCTATCTGGAGGCAAGGGGAAGTTCCTCTTAAACAGTTTCCCCACTTCGGCCACCATACACTCATTCTCGAATGGTAAGTCCCTCCTCTCCTCGCCTCTATCATCTCTTGACTGGTTCTTGCCGTTGGACAGCAAGGTGGTCTTTACTCACTGGCAGGTCGAGCAATTTCGGCGCGGCCCGATGAACCGCCTCCGTCAACTCCAAACGAGCTGCAACCCGCGCCGACCTATCAACAAACTCCCCACTTCTTTACCAGCCTCCGAGCTCGCTTTCGTACCATCCAATCTGGAGGAAGGAGACTCCCTTCACCGATTTCCCCACTTTAGCCACCATATACTCGGCTTTTAACGGTAAGTCCCTCCTGCCCCTACCTCTGGCATCGCTGGACTAGTTCTCATCTTCAACAAGATGAGCTCTACCTCAGGTGACAAACTTCGGCGAGACCCAATGATTCGGTTTCGTCAACTTCAATCCAGCTACAACGCTCGGCGCCGCGGCCCCGTGCACAAACTCCCCGTGGAGATCCTAACGCAGATCTTCGCCAACGCTCTCGCCGAAGACGTAGACAACCCGTACCTCCTCCAGGACCTCTCGCAGGTCTGTTTGCAGTGGCGGAGCATCGTCGCAGATGCCCCGCTGCTCTACAGATCATTCAGGCTGCAGAACCCCACCTTGACGGCCCGTCACTTGGAGCGATCGCGCGGTCTTCCCCTCGACGTCGACATCCACGACGTCAAATTCGACGTTTCTGAGACAGTTGCGCTGATGAATAGCGTTTCCACCCTGGGTCCTCAGCTGGATCGGGTACGTTCCCTGAGCGTGATCTCGCACTCGTCCAAGATGAGCGCATGGGTCCTGGGCATGGTCGAGGACTTCCCCCATCTCAAACTGGCGAGCCTTTCGCTTGCACTCACCCGCCAAGAAAAGTCGGTCTCCCTACGCTTGCCTGATTCGGAAGAGGCAGGGCAGACCTTCTGCGGACTCACTTCGCTGAAACTCTGTAATCTCAACATTGGGCGCGCGCTCCTCGACACATCGGATCTGCAGCACGGTCACATCAGCTTCAGCCTGCACCGCCCCGAGCTGGAACACACCCTCGCGACTCCGCCGACGAACGCAACCCTTATCCGCCTCCTGTCTCGGTGTCCAGAACTCGAAGAGTTCACGCTGCGTTCAGTGGGCCCGCCGCCCGGTCGCGTTCGAGCGCAAGAACAAGGATAAAATCGATCTCCCCATCTGTCAACTTTCGAAGCTCAGAAGATTCACCTACCACGCCCCGAACTTCAAGACGCTGGCAGATATTCTACGACACCTCCAACTGAACGTCTCGGAGGTCACCATATTCGATCTATCCTTTTCGCTATCGGACAAAGCGATCGCGCTCTTATGTCGGCCGTGTGAAGGCAACCGGCGAGACACTGCATCTGATTGCAATCTGGTGCGTGTTGTACACGCTCGGAATGCGGTGCCGTATCGAACTCATAAACTCGCCGAGATCATAGGTCGCAGCTAATCCTACAGCCTTAAAGGTAGAACTGCATTAGTAAGTCTGCGCCATCGAACAGTAATGATACCGTCGGATCGGCTGCACCCGTGAAGATATATGCGCCTGCAATCTGAATCCTCTCCTTAAACTCGAATTGACCTTGGCAAAGACGCTATTCCTTTAGTACGAAGTCATGCCTACGGCGAGGATGCAAACACTCGCAGGCGCTGGATGACTATATACTATTCCTAGTCGGATATCAACTGTTTGTGGGGATCACCAATTTGACGGCCAGCGCTGTTTGCAGCGCCTTTCTACACCTGAGAACGTACAATCGCTGACCTCGCAGGATTGAACTGACTGCCCTTAAGGCGTCAATGTCTGCGGCGCTATCTAATGTCTAAACGTCATTATGTACAGGGTGCCGTTCACCGACGGAAGTACACAATGTCTCCAGGCTGACGCACGGAGTACCAACGACAGGTAGTGTGCAGCTCGTCCAAACGCTCTTTTGTACGGGACAAGCTACTAACATCTAGAACTCACTCGTTTAATGATGGACCACGCCAGTGCTACGAGCGCGATCCCCTGCAGTAAATTGGCGGCAACAATTGAAAGCCACCAGATTACAACCACCTCGATGTGCATCGAGCGCGGCAGTGCTCTGCTTGTCAGTTACGGCGGACGCCTCCGAAGCATCTCAAAACACCGCTTCGGAGACTAGCTGAGTAGTTCCTCTCCCATAGTCGTCGAAGTGCATTGCTTCATTGGCAGGGGCCAGTGCCGATACCACCGACGCGTCGGGACTCTGTGCTTGTATAAAATGCACACTGGCACACAGGTGACGCCGTTCCAGCATCCCCAAGCCTTTCATCTCTCTGCTTCTTGGGCCAACGTCTTTCATCCTCTTATACTTCACCTCTCCCAGCCAGGCGCTGTTTTAACTTTGGTACAATGTACGCCAAGACTTTCGTCACTCTCCTGCTCTCCGTTCTCGCCGCCCAAGCCTTGCCAGCCAAGGGCGATAGCAGTGAGTGCAGATCACTCCTGGTACCAGGAAATCGTCTGACAAGTAGCTCGTAGTATACGATGAAGCTCGGTCACAAGTCACCGCGGAAGCCACGAACAGTACGTGCTCGCCGCCATTGTATACATGGCTCGGCGGAAGTTGATGAACCTTTGCCTCTTCCATACAGCTGTCGGTAAGCCATATGATAGTGATTCTCCTTTGCATATTGTAAAACTTAACAACGCCCACGGTAGCTGCTGTGGAGCTGAGCTCCTTCCTGAGTGCGAGTCAGTCAGTCTCACCACGTGTGACACCTGCGAGATACTGATGCATAGTAGACCCAACCGCAGGACCCGCTCGTATGCCCGCACTCTACCACCAGTAGGAGACCTTGGCTCACTACTAACCCACCTCATCATCCTCAGTCGCAAGTGCAGAAGGTACGCTTGACCAGCTCACCCGCAGTCACCTTCACCTATGCTGACACATTCGAAAAAAGCCTCCCTCATCTTGAGCGGGGTCCGCCGGGTGCTCAGCCAGGCGCCGTCCGCGAGCCAGAGCCAGTTCATCGCCTATATCACGAGTGAGTCCTAGTACACCTCCGCCACCTCGGTGTCGGGATGACCGCACCTGAACACCCATCCTTGCAGCCATCGCGGGCGTACCCATCGTCGAGGTTTCCTCCATCGGCGGGCCCGTTATTACCCACGCCACGTCCATCGCCGGAGCGATCCCAACGCAGTTTGCTGGTCAAACATTCTACGTAGCCCCGGAGAGGAAGTGAGTGTATCATTCCATTGAAGTTTGTTGTGTGGATGCTGATGAGAGGTTGCAGGAACGGTGCATCCAAACTCGTGGTCTCGAAGCCTCTGCTGATGGGCATGGGCGGGGCCCTTGGTGCAGTTGCTGCTGGGGCCATGATGCTCCTCTAGGGAGGAGAGCGGGCTGTCTGAGCTTTTGGAACGAGATCAGTATGCCCTTGAAAATTCCTCAAAACTATTCCAGAGATGATTCGGAATTAGGCAAAGAAGCTGAAGTGCTGATGGTGAGCTGATGATCTAGCGACGACGCTGCAATACCGCACCCCGGAAGCATCTCCTTGTCGGGCTCGTCCGGGTAGCATGCACTGGCCACCCAAAAGACGCGGGTGCAATGCGTATCCTCTCGGAGTCCTTCGCTTAAGAGTTAGCTTGGACCACCTACACGCCAAGTAGTTTGCCGTTGCAGCGAATAGCTAAGTTGTAGAAGCGAGAGTGCGCGGGCTCGGGGTGGCAGTACTTGTGTGCTTGAATTACCATAAACAAATGTCAACACCGCGCCACACCGCGCCTGCCTTAGTGCCGAAGTTGATGCCACAAGTTCGCCTTTTCTCTCACCTCGATGCACTCATTCATCGTCATCTCGCTTTCGTCTGGTTAGGCCCGATCACGGTGCCATGTCCAGTCACTATACGGTAACGTACGTCTGCCGCTTGATGTCACTTCGTTGCCTGATTCGTGTGTCGGACCGTCGTGGGACCGTTGTACGTCCGCGGCGTTTCACGAAGGCCAGGAACGAGCATTCTTCTCGGGGGCTCGGTGATACTGATGTTCTCTCGGCGTCGCCGGACGTGTAGATATGCGGGCTCACCGCTTTCCTGTGGATTCGGAAACGAAGGAGGTCAACACCAGAATCTCATTCGCTACTACTACCCAAACTTTTAACTTCGCCAAAACCTGGCTGCGACACATCTGCTTGAATGTATCTTGACTTGATTTGCGACCCAGCCCTTTGACCGCTACTATTCTGAGCGTTTCTATAGCTCCGTACTGATGGAGCGCCGAGGAAGCCATGATTCGGAGATGGCGGCAGGTTCCAACCGCAGCAAGGTTTGTATTTGGTATATATATTTTCAAGCACCACTTCGCCATAGATCCAGCTCGCCTCCGATTCTCAAGAGAGTCGACGCCCTCGGTATGTGAGGACATAATCAGTGTTATCGACCCTTCTGACGATGTCATAGAATCATGGCTGCAATCACATCCAGTATCCCAGCGGGAGGACATGCCCCTGCCCCAGTTATACAAGGGTGGTCAGGCCCAAATCTCAGCCAACTTCATATCTTGCCCTACAAGGAGTTTTGCCAAACCGCCGACAAATACGAACGGCAGCTCGAAAACGCCATCGACGAGGACAACATCGACGATATCAAGGATACCGTTGCTCGCCTGCGTGGCATGCGCAACGCTAAGAGCCCATACATCGTACACCGCCTCCCGACTGAGCTCTTTGTCAAGATCATCATTGACGTCAGCGAAATATCCGATCCGCGCTCGAGCCGAAGCCTCATAGCCCTCACTCACGTCTGTCGGGCATGGCGAGCAGCTGCGCTGGGCGTCCCCGAGCCCTGGAGCAATATCGTCATCACAAGTTTATCCAGAGACGGGGTGTATTCGTTCGTCGACCGCTCTAGGAACTCGTTGCTGAACCTCCGTTGGCAAGCTTCTCGCTCGCTAGTCAACTTCCGACTCCTTGCGGACTTTCAGCTCCGCCTCCGCTCGCTCATAGTGGTGGCTGAAAACCTCGAGGTCATAGCGCAGGCCGTGAACCAGCTTTCGTGGAAGCCTTCGCCGCACCTCGAAACCATGTGCTTGCTCGGGCCTGGTGCCGGTAGCGCGTGGGGTAGAACCCTGCCGTTCGACTCCCTCCCAGTTGCTGGAGAAGAGGAACCGCGGCCTCTGCCATCCCTCACACCCTCCCTGCGTTCTCTTCGCATCCGTCCTATGTTTTTCCCATGGACTTCGGGCATCTACACGAACCTAACCGTCCTCGACATCGACACCACTGCGCGCCCCTCAACGCTGTCGGAAGGCCGACTCTTATCGATTCTCCGGCGAAGCCCTGAGCTTGTCGAGCTACGGCTGCGGGCGGAGGGAGGTCTCGCCGCCCTCACGGTATCGCCCCGCGACGGCTCGGGGAACATTGCCTTGCCCAAGCTCTCCGTATTCTCGGTTGACGGGTTTTCACCCGAGCTCTCTATAAGCGTCCTCTCGCAACTCACGCTGCCCGCTTTCACTCGCTACAGCCTTTCCCTTCATGCGACGGGGCACACGGGCTCCTTCGTCGCGGCCCTTCCTCAGGACCGGAGCCGCCTCCCGGGACTGGCCGCAATCAAAGCCTTGAAGTTCGAGGTGGCCGCGGACGGCAACATCTGCATCATTCTCTGCCCGTCCGGCACCCCTTACGTCGTGCTGGCGCTAACGGACGCGCTACAGGGCGCAACGCTTCCTTGTGTGCCCACAGTTGCACTGGACTCACTCGAGGCCATAACGTTCATCGGCTCCCCATCCTCTTCAAGTTCGGCGTTCATCCTAGACCGGCACGCGGTGTTTTGCCGGCTTCCTCGACTCCGCCTCCTGCGCTTCGATCGACCCGCCATTCAGGACGTATTGCGCGCCATTGATTGCCTGGGGCTGCCTGGCGTGGACCTCCCTCACTCCCTCGCATTTCCGTGCCCCGAGCTGGAGTGTCTCCAGCTCGCCAACTTGTCGCTCACCCATGATCTAGAAGTCTGCGTGGCGAACGTCATGCGCAGGCGTGCTGAGTGGGGTTTCGCTACCGTGTCCTTGGAGATGCACAGTGCTGTCGGCTCCGACGCTGACCTTGCGTTGCGTCTCGGTGAACTTGGTGTGGTCATTGTGGACTCCATACCTTAGGATGTTGTATAAGAGTGCGCGTATAACATGATAGGATCATTGCTTCACCTCCCAACGGTTACGTGCAAGGTTCACTACTCCCGCGCGGCCGTGCTATTTTACTGGCGGAGTTCGCTACATTTAGACTCGTTGTTTCAAGACCTGTACTGCTACCGTGATTGATTGATTGTTCACCTCAAAGACCGATGCCCACAATCCAGTCTGAGCCTCTGAGGCGCCCTGGATGATATGTGCGGTGGGTGCACTGTTCCCCACGTGGCGCTCAGGACCCCGGAGTCCCTTATGATACTGCGGCCCTTTGCAAATCTGCCAAGTGAGCGATCAATGTGCCTGAAATGGACTGCAGGGGTCCATCTCAACCTCTTCCTCCTCCTGGGCCCTCGTCGACGAGTCTCAAACGCTCTACATTCTTCTCGCCTCGCTCTTTTTCGTCTCGTTCGTCGGCAAGGGTGACCCCGTCGTTGCATCGTCTGGATACGTCAGCTTCAGCTTCGAAGCGGCTGTCAACTCCGAGAAGAAGGACAACCATATCTAGCTTCGCGTCTCCAACTCGTGTTCTACACGTTGCTCTCTCGTTTCTCTCTCCTGCAGCCTACTCCTCTCCTCGTCTCACGTCTGTCTGGCTTTCTGATTGGGCTCTGCGCGTGTTCTTGCGCGCACATTTTGCCGATATCTCCATAACTCATTACTGCCGTCTGGGCGCATCTCGCTTCTTCTCCGCATTCTACACGCGATCTGACATTCAACGCTTTCCCGTGCCACGCTCTTTCAACGTGTTTCCAACGAGGCTATCGAAACAGGGTACCCTTGCTCACACAGTAGACAATTACCCATGCACCGCTTCCGGTAAGCATCTCGCCACCTCGTTCTACCGACCACAGCTCAAGTCCACCGCGACTCCCCTCTTGATCCCTTCGCTCGTGTTCTCCGTCCCTCAGCAAACGATCAGACGCAAAGCGCGTTCCAGTCCCTGAGGCGTTGGCCCCACGCACTGTCGACACGCAAGAGGTTCTCCCCTCGTTGCCCCCCGCGAGCGATTTCCGCACGTCCCTAATCTTACCGGAGTACGTGTGCTTCTTTCCCGCGCTTTTATTCCTGCTCACCGCGCACTTCCCTCCCGCGATGCTACAATGGTACAGTCTCACCCGACGCTTCAGCGTGTTGCAAAACTCCACCGGCGAGCCTATCGGGCTCGATGAGCTGAAGAGCAAGTTTGCAGAGCAGCGCGCGCGGGGGTCTCAGAACCAAGTGACGGAGGAGGAAGAGGATATGATACTGGAGGCTCTGGGTAGGCTCCACGGCAGGAAACCACGCACACAAGGTCAGCACAGCGGTTATGAATCGAGCGAGAGTCGGCCGAATGGAGGAGATGGCGACGACGAGGACACGGATGCTATGCGGCAGTCGGTGCGCTCCTCGAACTCCGCAACAACACCCTCATTACATGGCGCTGCCTCGAACGCCTCCCTCTCCTCCGCGAAGGGTTCGCATTCTGGCCGGCGGATGAGTAACAATTTGTTTGGCTCGGGCAAGTTCCGGGATCAGGCCTACTTCATGCGCAATACCAATCCTAGTACTGGGCGCCGCAGCGGACGTGGAGGTGGCGCTATCGCTCAGTCGGACTCTAGCATGAGCATGAGCACCATTGCCAGCGCGCGTGGGGACACCAGTACCTCAATGTACTCTGACAGCCTCCGTCCGGTCACGCCGGAGGGCAGCACCTACACGCACTCCACGCCTTCCAGCCCCGGGAACAACAGCACGTTCTCTAAGGACCGCAGCTCGGACTATGCCACGAGTAACCTAAGCAAGCGACTGTCGAAGGCGTTGTCCCCGGATGGGCTGCGGCGAGCGTCGATGGCCCTCGACCAGGCAATTCGAGAGTTGGAGGAAGAGGGAGACGATGAGATTGTCATGGAGCGATCCCCGGTTGTGCACGCGCCCCACAGAGATATGAACGGTTCTCTTGCAGCATTGACTACTGCGGTAAGTCTTGCTTCAGATCACTCATGTACATCCTCCTGACACCGCTCGAACAGTTCGAGCCAAGCTTGTCTTCGCCTTTGCCATCCCCAGGCGAAGAGGCGGGGACAGCGCTGTCGTCCGACGACCCAATACTCTCGGATGAAAATCAACGGACGTCATCCCACCCCGGCTCGCGTACCACGTCACCGACCCCTCGTTTACCTGGCTATATTCCGGGCATGCCGCGCCCCATGACTCCTAGGGAGGCCATCTTTGACAACGAAGATTTGACGCCCTCTGCGACACCCCGAGCAACATCACCTCGTCTACCAGGCCTCAATACCCAAGTCTCCCCCTTGATACCCCAGAGCATTGCATCCACTCTCAACAGGAGCAACTCTGGCGCTTCGGCATTTCACCGCCCAGTCTCCCCTGCACAGGGCTCGACTCCTCCCCTCTTCTTCAATCGTTCTATGAACGGTCGCTACACACCCGAGGATCGCCAGCGAAATACAACCAAACTCCCCTCACCCACCGCTGAAGCTCCGGATTCCCCCGTGATGGGTAGACGCCGACCGATGTCGCCACTCTCTGGTCCTGCATATCAGCCACTCGCCGCATCATCACCATCTTCTCGCCCCCCTTCTCGCCCAACCACGCCATCAAACGTGACGTGGAATACGGCATCCAGTCCAAACGGCACACCTCAGAAGTCTCATGGGCGCAACGGGAGCACGTCTGGCCACAGTCGTAACGGAAGCACCGTCAGCTTCACCGACCAAGGCGCAGATACGCTAGACCGAGCAAAATCCACATCCCGCTCTCTCCGCTCGCCCGCCTTGCCTGACTCTCCTTGGGTCGACAACGGCCACTCTGGATCGTTCGCCATTGCGCAGCCCGACCACCGTCCGCCGTCCGCGATGTCCGGGATGGACCTCGGGTCTCCCGCACAACACGGAAACCGGATTCTCCGCTCCCCTACCCCCACCTACAACGGCGCCCGCTCTCCAACATCGCCCACCTTCCGGGACTTTGGCGCGATCAATGGGGACGGCGCCATCACGAGTGCACGCTCATCGAAGCAAACACAGCACGCGAGCTCTCATTCGTTTTCGCTTGGTACGCCTAACGCGCTCCTTTTCTCGCCCATCGCGAACTCTTCGCGGTCGTCTCTTGAATCTGCCGGCTCCAGCTACCACACCTGGGACGAAGACCACAGCAAGGATCGCCTCTCTGGGTTGCTCAATAGCCTGGACTCGGACTACTCTCCGTGGCACGATATCTCACCAGACAAGTCGGGCCCGTCGACAGCTGGAACCTCCCCCTACGACGCGCCCGAGCCTGAGGATGCGGTACGGCGGGAGGTCGGGCTGACGAAAGGCGACTTCGTGACTATCCAGGACAAGCTGGTCGGCACCGCACTGTCCAAGGCTGCAACGCCAGAGAACCGCGCGCGCGCTGGCTCGATCAGGAGGCGTCGGCCGTCTACATCGCAGTCGAACTACTCGGTCAACGGAGAGAACAGGGCCAACTCGACCCCCCAGCCACAGCCGCAGGTGTCGCCACAACACGTGGTGACGTCATCGCGACCTTCCGCGAACGACCATGTCGCGAAGGCCAACGCGTTGCTCAACGCGGTCGTGCACAGTATCGAGTCTCCTCGCCCTCGCCCAGCGGAAGCTTTGGCGGTCGAAGAGCCCTCGTTAGCAGTCCCCGCTCCTGCTGATACAGAGCAGTCGAGCCCGATGCGACGAAACAGGGCGCTGGCGGACGCGCTTTTCGGTATTGAAGACCGGGACCGGACAATGAGTCCCCCTATGCCCACCTCACCTCCTCAGATCTCCATCATGCCTGAGTTTTCTGATCCAGAGCCGGACGAGGACGAACCCATCCAGTCTGTGTTCTCTCCCACGAAACCTCTGCAGACGCCGAAGCGGTCGGATTCATTACGACATGCTACTTCTCCTAGGGTGGCCATGCCGCCTCCACCCGCGATGCCGCTATCACCCCTGTCACCCACCTCAGGGATGAACCCGTCCGAACTTGCTCTCGAGGTGCAACGCAGGGCAGAGGCCGCCACTGCCGCCTTGCGGAAGTCGCCCTCGATTCCGAAGATCGCTGACGGCTCCGGCAGCGTACCCAGGAAGCGGATCAGCCCGAACAAGATCTCTTCCCCCACTCTCGTTTCTGCGTCTACTAGCGTTGATGCCATTCCATTGCGCTCCCCTACTGCTTCGCCTTCCCCGCAAAACATGCAGACGTCGAGCAAGATTGGTTCGCGGTTCAAGAAGCTGCGTGGGACCATCCGGCAAAAGCAGCACATCCCCAATGGAGAGGAGGTTACGCCGTTCCCGCTCGACATGCGGAGCCCAACTACAGGGCCGCCGTCTGGTAGTTCGCCTAGCCTGGCACTCCGGACCGACCCCATCCCCATATCTGCTAGTCTTGCGGAGCCAACGAGGTTGAAGCCTCCGCCAGCACCGTTGCCGAGCCCACCTGCGTCTGCAACTCCAGGCCTGAAGGGGTTCATGGCGCGTTTCCGCAAGTCTCGCCCACCGGAGCCTCTGATTCCATCTCGACCTGTGCAGGGACCGATGTCGGCCACCGCTTCGAAGACTATGAGCATGGCGGGTCCGTCCCCCGAACAATCGTATGGCCCGATGCCGCACTCCGCCCCAGCCCTGCAAACGATGTTCCGAAGCCCCAGTCCGGCTGGCCCCACTTCTCCGCCCCCTCAATCGCCGACGCCCAGACCACCGCAGGAAGGTTTCGCAGGAGAACCCTCCGCGCAAGCCCAGACCAACGATGCACTCAGGCAACTGTTCGATGCGGCCACGAACCTTGGTCTCGACCAGGCGGCGCTCAACGACTTGATCGCCCGATCGCCTTCGACGTCCTCGCGGTCTACTGCTTGGACGAAGCTGACAAGGGCGACCTCGCCGAATGAAAGCAGGAAGAGCCAAGTGCCCGTCATCCGGGGAAGAGCCACGCCAGAAAGCATGCGCTCGCCGATATCCGAGGGTCGCCCTAGCTTCGACGGGTATTCTCCGAGGCCGTCGACCGACACGCGCCCGCCCGTTCGCAAGGGACAGGAGTCGCCTCAGCGCCCACGCCAACAACAGCAGGACGCGGCCCAGAACACCGTCGTGCGGCGCACCATCATTTTCCCCTCCGATTCTAGGGCCTCTGGCTTCGACTTGGGTGCATTGGTGCGCAAGCAGTCGGCGTCCCGCAGACGCGCCTCGGTCGGCTCTAAGTCTTCCATCCACGATCGAGTGCCCACCCCGCCGCCTCCTCATCGGGCCGGAGGGCGGAGGTTCTCTACCGACACGTCTCCCCCAGTGCCGCAGCTGCCCACGCCGTTCTCCGTCCACGCTGAGGGCTCCCTTGCTGTGCCGAGTGGGGTGGAAACGTCGAACTCCGCTTATGACTCTTTGTGAGACGATCCCCTCGTTTAGACAAGTCAATGTGACTAATAAATCAGGCATAGATACGATATGTATGCTGGGGACGGCAGAGGCCAGATGCTCAGCGCGGAGTCTCCCGGCGCGGGCAGCTCGCAAGGTCAGCGCGAGGCCATACCGGAGTCAGGGCCGGCGCTCGAGGTGATCGAAATGGCCAACGGAGAGACGATTTGGTGCGTCATTCTACACTCAATCTTTACGTCTTTTGCCTCACACGCGTTTGCAGGTCGATCGTGAACGGGCTGCGTGACGATGACGGCGAATCTTACTACGGGGACCGTGCGAGCTTCTACTCCGAGTACTCGGTGAAGGACACGAACGAAAACGTCAAGCTGTTCTTCAAGGAGCACGAGCGCAAGTCGTCGAAAGGCAGCACGAGCTCCTCTTTCCTGTCGCGAAAGAAGCCGCAGCAGCCAAAAGGTTCCGCACGACCGGAGACCAAGGTTTGTGTGCGCTTGCCGGCGTCTAATACTTTCGCATGCCTATCGTGGCTCATCATCGTTTATAGGTCTTCTTCAGCTCGAGTGCGCAAATAGGCCGTCTAATTGAGAACCTCTCGCGTGGTATGGACTCCGGCTCGTTCAATATTGCCGGACCGGGGCAAGGGGGCCGCTCACAAGGTCACGTTGGTCACTCGACCGCGTCGTCTGTAGGGTCTGAGGCGGACGCACGTTGGACAGTCGAGGAGGAACGGCTGGAGCACATGCTCGGGTCTATGGGGGGTAGCTGATTCATTTGCCATGCTTTCGGGATCGTTCTGCCGCTGCTATCATTTATGTTTCCGTCGGGACTCAGACTTGTGTTTCCCAGCGCTATTAATCTCGCACCGGACCGATCGTTCACTGCTGTGTTCCGAGGGTTTATGCTGCATCGTGGTCTACCGTGTTAATAAATATTTGGTCCGTGGAAATTCTCGCGGCTGCCTCCTTTGTCCGTCCGCGCTCACATCCCCCGCCAGTCTATCCACCTGTTCAAGCAGAGTGCGAGGAGCGCGTCCCGGATGAGGTTCTCCTCGTGGAAGCCGTACTCCAGCAGCGCGTACGCGCGGCCGATCTTGGGCAGCTCGCGGGGTGTGGGATCGTATCGGCCGATCCTGGACTCGGGCTCCAGCGAGAAGAGCTGGGGACAGGATGGCGGTGAGCGTTCTGAACAATGATCGTCCCCCGGGGGAGCGCCCGCGCACCTCGTAGCCGTATGGGTGCTTGTCCCCGACCCTGCGCCACTCGAACTTCTCGCTCCCGCCCCTGCCGGACTGGAACGAGCGTGCGCTGTGCGCCAGTAGGCGTTCGTCAGCGTGCGCAGTCTGAGTCTGGCGAGAGGCGGGAGGCGGAGAGGGACGTACACGCACCTCTTGCTCGAGCCGTGCTTGACGAGCTCGGCCATGGGGGCCCTGTCCGCGCCTTTGATCACGGAGCCGAGGTGGACGGCCAGGGCCCAGTCGAAGAAGGCGACGACGGACTGCTCGTTGTACGTCACCTGCATGGGGGCGGGACCGAGAGCGAATGCGCGCGCGAGCGCAGAGCCGCAGCGCGAACGACGAGAGCGGTGCCGCGGGAGGGGACGCGGGGTTTGGGGGGCAGGGGCGAGCCGGGCGCGGGGGACGGGGTGAGCGATCTGGTGGGGCCACGGCGACGATCCGATGGGAGAAGCGCTCACGGTGGTTCTGGTGCCTTGCGGAAGGTCGACGGTGTCGAACTTGTACACGACGGGCTCGTCGCGGTGGTACCCGATCGCGACGCACTTGTGGCGGGGGTCGCCCTGGCCGGTGAAGTAGAGCTCGTTGATGGTCTCGCGCGGGGCGGTGGACGACGAGGCGTGGTGCGACATTGGTGGGGGTCTCGGTGGGTCGAATCTGTGCTGCCGGTGCTTTGCTGTCTCTGCTGGAGGGCTCATCTGCAGAGTTTTTATAGCGGCACATGGACGTCTCCCGTCCACGGCCGGCAGCCATGAAGCACCTCACTTCCCACTTTACTTCGACGTGACGAGGTGGTGACCAGGGTGAGCACGTACGATCGATGTGGGAGCGTTGCCGCACGCCGTCGCGGTTCTGCGAGTGGCCGCCGCTGACATGCACACGGCCGGGTGGGGGACTCCTATCGGGCACGCTATCTACCGCTATCACGACGTCCCATTCACTCCCGGGCGCGGAGCGCGACAGGCTTGGTGGCTCGAGATCACTAAAAGGCTAATATAGGCACAGTCCGGGACGTCCGCGCACGCCAAATCAGAGTCCGCGCAGCCGCACCCCCTCCCAGCGTTCCCATATGCATGCCGTTCCTATTGGCCCCGGAAATTGCGAGGGTTCTCCCGCGTAGATTCACGCTGGCAGATCGGCTCGCTCGATCTGTCCGTCCACTACACAAACTCGCGTCGGCACCGCCCGTTTCTGTCCAGCGCTGCCGTCACCCCCGCGGCGTTCTGCAGACGGAGAGTGGCGGCGGCGACCGGTGAGTGCGCGCAGCGTCGCGAGCCCCCGGCCTGGACGGGGGCGCGCGTCCCTGCGCGGGGACGAGCAGGAACCTGCCGTGCCCGCAGCGGCGAGCAAGAGGCGACGGCGAACGGGCGACGGCGAATACGTGGTGCGCTCGGTAAACGACCGGGCCTGGGGCGCGCGGGCGAGGCGAGATATGAAAGTGCTGCCTATGCTCATGTGTCGCTATCGCAGGCATCGCACCCGCCTCGCAGGCGTGCAGCTCCCACCGCGCTACTTCGTCCGGCCGCTTCTGGTTCTTGGGCCCTCTCCCGCGGAGCGTTCGACCGCGCCAGATGAACACGGGCACGGGCACGAGCAGCAGAAGGCGAAGCGCGAGCAAGAGGGCGGGTTCTCGCCGTACGTGTGCGCCATGACGCGGCGTGTGCTTTGCCTTTCTCGAACCTTTCGAAGGGCTTCATACTCGCCGCTGGGGTCGTCCGAGTGCCCCCGTCCGCACTCCCGGGCTGGGAGGTGCGTCAGCCGCTACACTGCGGGCAGAGGGCGAGGGCGAGACGCGAGGGGGCGAACGTGCAGCGGCCGCCCCCTCGTGATCAGCGTTGCCTGAGCTGACGTGTCGCAGATCGTCCACGACTGATGCATTGCGGATCGAGGGCAGGCCCGCGTGGGGTGGCCCACCCCGCTCGTGCGGCGGCGACGGTGGTGCGGTGTCATGTTTGTGCCAGCGCAGGCCGTCGTCGTCGAGTTGGCGACCTCGATCGCGCACTGCACCCGCCGGCGGTGGCACGGCACCCCCCAAGGTTCGCGGGGCGGCAGGATGACGGTCAGCGACTGAGTCTGACGCACACAGGCACAGAAGGCGCCTGCGCCCTTCGCGGTGGAGCCCGAAGGCCATCCGAAACAAATCCTTGCTCTGCACAGAGACGACAGAGGGCCTGCCGGCTGTATAGGCTCGTTTCATTTCCCTCGGCGCTGGCAGCAGCCGCTCGGACGAGGGCCTTTCCTCCGCGGAAATACTTGTTCCTAATGCAGCATGCGCGCGCAGGGTGTGTGAGGGGGGCAGCCGAGAATAGGCAGCGGAAGGGGGGTGGGATGGGTCGACGCGCTCCCTGGTGCAGCTTCGCGGGTTCTGCAGCCCGGCCTTCTTTCATCTTCGCCATACGATCCGCTCGCGGGGGCGACGATTGGACGAATACGGGCGCTAGCGGGGGGCGGAAGCGGAGTGTCTGTGCTCTAACTGACCTCCCGAAATTTGCGCCGTTCATCATCGCCCTCCGCTCGTTATGGCCGGGGTGGAGGAACGCCGCCGTGTTAACCCGTGCTGTTGCGCGGAACCCGGCCGCATGCCACACGGATCCGGACGGGCCGTGCGCATACGTCGTTTTTGGAGGCCCGCGAGATGGGGTGGATTGGCCCTCGTGCGGCGGCTGGAGAAGACGCGGTGCGATCTGAGTGGGCCAGCGGCGGGCACGAGGCTGTTCTAGGGCGGGCCATTCGCTCGGGGGCTGTCATATCGGACTCTCTCGAAGACGGACCTCTGAAGCGACGCGTCCGCCGCCCGGGGCTGGAGTCGGAGCCTGAGTCCCGGACGGTGAGGCTGCTCTGCACGATCGTTTGATCGGTTTTCTGTATTTTTCTTCTGCGGAGGGGAACATGTGCTGCTCACTTAATTTCGCGTGTGAGCGGTTGCAGTGGGCGAGCCAGCATATGACGACTGACCGGGCGTGTGCACGCGTGGCGGCGAGAGCACACGATATGTTCGCGGCGGCTGACAATGTCGAGGAAGCTGTTCGAGAGCCTCGGGGTGGCTGCACGCGTCGCGGTAAATGAAAGACCCTGGAATGAGCGGGAAGGACAGGGTGGGCGCGTAAGCGAACGGAGGTGCGGTGCACAGTCACGGTGCGGCGGCGTGTTACGCAGCGGCTTCGAAGATCTGTTCTGTCGCTTCGCGGAGACTCGGGAGAACGCACGATGGTCGGGGGCGGCTCGCCCGGCCGGGCTCGACGCGATGGCCCTTCGAAAGGGGCATATCCCCCGGAACGAGGGCGTACTGCGGCGATGGGGCCGGCGATAGAAAGAGTGTGAGTGAACGACGGCCGTGGCACGCACTGGCGCGACTGGAAGACGGACGGGGCGGCAGGAAGGGCATGTGGGTGGGTTCGAGGAGGACGCGGTGGCGCACGAGGCGGGGCTGTGAAAGTGGTATCGGTCGCGGACGCTTTTGTGAACGAGGGCACGGGACAAGTGGAGACGGCGAGCTGAGGTCGAGGGTGACGGTGTAGGCAGTCGGACAGATTGAGGGCCGGTCGGGAGGGGCTTGCGCAGCATATATTCGCCCCTTCCTCGATATGTTTTCGCCATGTCGCGGGGAAACACGGGGGCTGGGCGCGGAGGCCGCCATCGGTCGTCGTGGGCACTGCCAACGAGTGTGTCCTCGCCCACAGACGATCTTGACGCGCCGGTCACGCCGTGACGGACGCGTTTGTCCCCGCCGCGCTCCACAAGAGCTTATCCATCTTCGCGGGCGCCTCCTGTCAACGCTCTATTCAGTTTCACTCAATCACGTTCAATATGCCCTCGACTGTTCCTGGCAGTGCGCACCCGAGCGTCCACAACACATGCGAGGGCGATCATCCCACGTCTCTACAGACAGTCTGCCATCGTCGCTCGTACCTTGCTCGACTGAGAAGGTGTGTCTTGCTCGGTTCAGACCATATACTATGTCATGCACACAGCCTGACGTGGGCAGCTCGGGCAAGTTTTGCGGGATCTCGGTTCTACCACCTCATTTATCTCCTGTGTCGAGCGTCGCATGTGCTGTACGAACGATGGTGGTGATTGCCTTCCTTCAAGCAAGACGATCCGATTTTTTCTGTGGCAAGCAGGTGAGTAGACGCAGGCGAGGCAATTTGATGGCGCACACTCACGGAAAACCACGGTATTATCGACGTCGAGTAAGCAACTGTTAATATTGCATGCTCGCCGGAATCCTCACTAATCCTTGTTCTGTCTTCCCAGAATCCCAAGTGACGTTTCGATTAAAGTTTGCCTCATCCATCATTGCACCTCATGCACCACTCGCCATATTCACGTGGTATTTGACACAGAGCCTGTCCCTCTGATTTTAATTGTGTACATCCGGATTTACTGACGCAGCGTTTGAGGCTTTAAAGAGCCCCGGTGTTATTTCTGATTTTCACCTATGATGCACATAAAATGTGAGTGGTTTACGGAAAGCCTATTCTCGGAGCCGGTACTTAGCTCTACGATCTATCAGAGCCGATCCTTCGTATGATGGCCTCCGTCTCTGAGTTTCTTAAGCTCGCGCCGAAAGAGCTCCAGCGCTGACGTTCCGCCGTAATCCCGTTTATGAATGAAGAACTCTCTTGTGTCTCTCCCAGCTCGAATTTGACTTTAAGTTTTGTCAACGTTGTGTGTCTCGACCGTCTCCTCTCCAGCGGCGCAGTGTCAGATGCCAAGGATTGGCCATCGGCAGCTAGTATGGGCGGCAACGCAGCCCGCGCTGGCAGATCGCAGTCCGTTCGTAGTCATCAAGCGCCGCACCTCCCCTTCAAATAGACAATCCCCACTCGCGACCGCGCGTTTCGTGTCGCTTCAGCCTGAAGTGCCCGTCCAACAGACACATGCGTACAGTGCAGCAGAGACGACACCGAAGTGAGATTCCGAGATTGCTCGGGTGCGCGGACTGCCAGCAAGCAGTGCGCTTTCGCCAGAATTGCAATGATGGGAGCACAGCCCCACCCGCGTGTCGAGCGCTCCTTTGGGCGGTCTGCGCGTTTGATGAGAAGACCATGAGCGACCGTGACCAGCCTGCCCGTGGAGGTCGCCGCCAGCCTCGAAGCCGCCCGGGGCACCCCCGCCTTCTCTCTCCCCGCCATCGCCCCCCCACTCGCGCCCTCCATGCTCCCGACGACCCGCAAGGACGCGAGCGGCTTCCACGCAAAGCCCGACACCGCGCTGCTGTGCCTGCGCTTCCTCGCCCGCCGCTACCTCGTGTTCGGCATCACCGGCTTCGTGCTCTTCTCGCTCTTCCTGCGCACGCTCTACGTGCGGCGCGAGCCCCCCGCCCCGCTCCCCGTCCCGCACCTCGATCCCAAGGACCAGACCCCCGCGGAGCGCTGGCCGGGCATGCGCCTGCCGCCGCTGTACCCGCAGTACCTCCAGCACGAGCACCGGCTGCCACAGCACCGCTGGGACGCGCCGTCGCATGTGGGGGAGCCCAATATGTTCTGGATCCCGGGGCATAGTGCGGGTGCGTCCCTTTTCTTCTGTCACTGTGTCCTCGATCATGCTGAGACGCGTGATTGCTGGTGGCAGGCTCCGGGTGGGGTAACATCATGCAGGAGATCCTCCTCAACGCCTTTCTCTCCTACAAAGCGAACCGCGCGTACGTCCCCATTCATCTCGCTGCTGCGTGCGCCCCCATCCCCCACGCGTCTGACTGCCCGCCATACCCCGCAGATTCGTGTTTTACAACTACACATGGAACTCGGACCTCTCGCAGGACTACTCCGACTACAGCGGCAAGCCGATCCCGTCCCGCGTCCCCCTAAGCGCGCTCATCCGAGGTGTGTACTTCCATTCCTGTGCGATCGCTGCGAACAAGGCTGCGCGAAGATGAGAAGAACAGAGCAAATCCCGTGGCGTTAGTGGAGGGTCGCGTCCGGGTGCGATGAACCCGTAATTCGGAAGTGGACTGGCCATTTGGTTGCGAACCCCAGTTTCTGGCGATGCGGCAGCGGAAGTCGAGCCTGGGTACGCCGTGCGCAGGCCCGCTGGAATTCTGTTGTTTCGTCTGGTCGCGGGCTGCTCGGACGGCGCGCTCGAGCCTCGGAGGCCGAGCCCGCGACCGAAGGCCGAGTGCGTCCCTGTGACCACGCGCGATGAGTGCGGGTCCCCTCGAAAACTCGATGTTCTTTCCGATGCGGGCATGCCCGCTGTGAGAATCATACGCACTATGCGTTTTGCTGGTAAAGGCATTTCCGAGGCAAAAGCCAGACGCGCCAACGCTGGAGGTTAGAAGCCAGAACTTCGAGAGGGATATACAGCTTCTTGCTCACTGCGCTGGTCACTACATACTGCTTTACGAATCTTGTCTCGCCCGTTCTCGCACTGACATACACATTCCAGGTCCGATCGTGGGTGGAGTATGGCCCTCTGGCGTTAACGCCCCTCTCGCAGTGTCAGAAGAATACTGGCATCACGCCTGCGAAGGCCGCAAGGTCGTAGTCCCACGCGCAGACGTCCACGACCACGTCTCGACGTGGTTCGTCGACGCGATCACCACCGGCTGGGTTAACAAGCTGCACTCGCTCGACCACGAGCAGTGCATCGAGGCGGGCGGGGACGGCGGCCCGCCCTATACCTGGGTGTGAGTAGCTCGTGCAGCGACCGTGGCCCTGTAAGCTAACTCTACGTATCTGTGTATAGCACATTCGGCGAAAAGGACGCAATGCCCGGAATCTGGCCCGAATTCCGCACATCGCCCATCCTAACGCACTTCGCGCACTCCGCGCTCGTCGAGCTCGCCTTCGACACAAACCGCGAAGTCTTCTCCCCCTCCACCATCGCCGAGCCGCCCCTCTCCGCCGCGCCGCTCTCCCTCCCCGCCGCACAGCGCTACCCGGAGCTCCCCGGGCTGCTCGTCCTGCACATCCGGCGCGGCGACTACGAGGGCCACTGCGCGCACCTCGCGCGCTGGTCCTCGACCTACCTCGCGTACAACACGCTCCCCGAGCTCCCCGACCGCTTCGACCCGCCCCCGGGCGGCGCGTGGGGCGAGAACACGCCCGAGAACGTCGCGGTGTACATGCAGCACTGCTTCCCGGACATCGAGCAGATCGTGCGGCGCGTCGAGGACGTCGCGCAGACGGACGCCGCGCGCGGGCTCGAGCACGTGTACATCATGACGAACGGCGCGGTGTCGTGGGTGGAGGAGCTCAAGGCGGCGCTGGGCGCGTCGGGCCGGTGGAAGAACGTCGCGAGCAGCCGCGATTTGGTGCTCAATTGGGAGCAGAAGTACATCGCGCAGGCGGTGGACATGCTCATCGGCCAGCGCGCGCAGGTCTTCATCGGCAACGGGGTGCGTGGTGTTCCTCTTTTGTTCTTGTGTCGCTGGCGCTGATACCGTGCCGTCCAGTGGTCAAGTCTGACAGGCAACGCCGTCGTGATGCGCATGGCAAACGGATTCCGCCCAGACAGCACACGGTTCTGGTGAAGACACAATACCCGCCATCTTGGTCAAGTTTTCCGCGTCACGCCAAAAACGATCGAAGGCCGCTTTGGGGCGCTCCGCCCGGCCCTCTCATGGATATACCACCCCACGATATAGAGCGCGGGCTCTACGCCAGTCATTTGGGCTGGCGCTGCTCTGGGCATGACCTAACGTAATTATGCGAGGGCATGTATAGATATAGCACACTATAATATGCTGCTGTTACAGGGACGCCTCGGGATGTAATGGGAGCGGTTCATGATCATGCATACAGATGATGGACGAGGGAGACGCGTGAATACAATGAGTGTGGTGGATGGGGTAAGGAGGGGGAGCGTGCAGCAGACGTAGGTCGTGCAGTATATACCCAAGAAGGTACGGCCGAGACAATGCGAGAGGTTCGATGAGTGGATGATGATAAGTAAAAAATGCATGCATATGTAGATGTGATCAGTTCAGATGTCCCCTGTCCAGCGTCGTTAGGACCCGCCTTGCCGCTATTTTGTAGGCGCGGCGGGGGCCACGGTCGGATCCTTCCAGTCTTCCACGGCGACGCCCATATACTGCGGCAGACGCTTCCACACGTCCCGCCGTACGTCCAGGTCGCGTGCGTGCAGCATCGTGCGGCACGGCTCGCACAGCGGCCAGAGCTCGACGACGTCTTCGATCCAGTGCTCCCACGAGTCGAGCGCGGCATAGCCCGCGATGTCGCCAATAGGGTCCTTCTGCAGCCCGTCGAGCATCATGTTGAGGATCTCGCGTAGCGCCCGCTCGCAGCCCTTGGACGTGCATTGCGGGCTCGCGGCCGGCTTGCATATCGTACATGCGCCGCGGGTGCTCGCACGCACGAGCTCCGTCCGGCCGCGAAGCACGAGCTCGAGGTCCTTCGGCTCTAGCCGCTCTGTGCTACCATCAGAGCGCTCGACGCCGGAGGTGAGTTCAGCGTCGAGCTGGCAACACAGGTAGAGCGCAGTGGGGAGCACTGAGTCGGTGTGGGTGAGGCGGGCGAGGTTGATGGCGGTGATCGCGTCTTGGGGTGTTACATGCAGGAAGAGGTTGCCGTCCACACCGGCCGTGTCCCAGACGGTGAGGTCGTTCGTAAAGTAGAGTTTGAGATGATGCATGGCGCGAGCGTGCAGGTCCTCGACATGGTATTTGTGGGACATGCGCACGAGCGCGGCGAGTTCAGCGAACTCCATGCGCTCCCCGGGAATTACGGGGAATCTATTCCGAGCTCAGTATGAAGGGTGTTGTCAGGGACAACATACGCACTTTCGTAGCCCACACATCACCCGCAGGAGGTGACGGAGGTCATCTGGCGGGTCGGATATGTGCACGACAGGACAGCTCTCCATGGTTTCTGAGGTGGAGGGCTGGGCCATGGAGAAGAGATCGCGGAAGATGATGGAGTGTCGGGTAAGCAGGCCGCGGTAGACACGGAAGGCGGCATCTCTGCATAGGAGGACGATGTTGCCGTCGTCGAACCAGAGGTCGGAGTCGCGTTTGACAGAACCACTAAGGGTCGCGAGCTCAGCGGGGAGCGAGGCAGTATGCTCGGCAATGTTGACGCGCCATCGCTTGACAACGCCATTGGGGGACATCAGGTCTCTGGCGCGGGAGGTAAGCATGCGGCGTTTGCCCATGGCGGGGTGTACGGCAGTGACCGTGGAGGAAGAAGAGGTAGGGGAGACGCACGGCGATTTGGACCTGGAAGCAAGGTGCTCGTCGGGCTCTGGCTCACGGTGGTTGGCGAGGTCGGGGAAGATGATCTCGGCGTCGGGAGACTGGGGCCACTCGTGGGGAAGGCTAGGCGAGGGCGTGCGAGAGGGAAGGGGCGTTATGCGCTGGAGAACGGCCTTGCGGAGACTCATCGTACGCTACGGCAGACGACGTTCAGCGCTCGGGGTGAGAGAACAATGCGGAGTGGCACTCGCTTCGGCTGTCGCCTCGCATCGCCTCGCCAAAACTCCAACCGCGTCCTAATTGTCCACGACTCACGTGATCGAGTTTTGCCCTTTTATGGCAGTTCCCTCGACGCGTTCGTGCCTGCCACTCAGAATCGGCGAATTGCTCAGGCCTGACCGCGTCGACGCGTCTTGGGGGGACGGAAATCGCGACATGGGGAGAGAAGAGGAGTAAACTTGCGATGTCAAAACAGACACTCTCCCTTTATACTCGCCTCGCCCTCCCTGCTTCTGTGAAGAGCTCGCGACTTCTTTCTTACTTCACCCCTCTAAAACGGGCCATCGCACACAAAGGTCTGGAAAGTGCCTCGAAATATGGACATGGCCAGCATGCTAGCATTTTCAGAACGGCGTCATCGTAACGGTACACAGAAATATAACGAGGTCGAAATTTTAGGAAACTCCGAGTCCTGAGAGGCTATGGGGCGGCGTGTTTGCGGGATCTCTCAACAACGTTCACGTCAACCTCGCAAAGGGGCGAGAAAAATGCGTCATCCTCGCCGATAACATCGCGTACCTTCAAGCTCAGTGGAGGAAACCCCCACTCATTACGCATGCGCAAGGCGTTAGCCAAGCGGTCCCCTAGATCCTGGGTGAGCCGCAAGCTGACGAGCTCGAGGCACTCCAATGCGGGGCACGGGAAAGGAAGGGTGTGAGGGAGGTCCCCACCAGGGCGCCCGAGGGCGTCGAGAGCGTACGCCAGGTCCTCGACGATAGGCCTATGAAAAAGTAGGAGGCGGAGACGGGGAAGCCGACAGAAGACGGCGTGCCAGTCTAGGGCGAACGCCATCGATATCGATGGTAGGGGGCCTCTGGTCTTGATGACCTCGAGTGATTCGAATGCAGCCGTGGGCACGCAGGGAAGCATTATGTTACGCGATTCGTCCGTCAGCGTCAACGCGACGGTAGGAGCGTGGGCCGGGGAGAGAGTGACGTGGGTGTTCCCATTGTCGGCCACCTTCAACGTCACGCCTATAATCGCAGCCAGACCTGGGAGACGGCGCCGATCGGGAGGGACGGCTGCGATGAAGGGGCTTATGGACGGCCCCTTGGACCACAAAGACAGGGTGTAGCGAGTGAAAGCGGGGAGCGTGAGGTGTGAGAGGACGCTCGCGGCGAGCTCCGGCGAGAGCCCTTCCACCGAAAACACGGAGAGCAGCGGCAAGGCGACGTCCCATGCGCCGTCTTGGGGCGGTGCACTGCCCTTAAGGTCCCCTTCCACGCGGAGGCGTAGCTCAACCAGCTCAGGGCACCGTCGGAGGATTGAAACCAGACGGCCCACGGTGAGCCCGGTGTGTCGCGACATGTCGAGGTCGAGGACGGTCAAGTTGCAGTAGACGCCCGAAGTCCACGGGATGACCATCGGGCGCAGGTGAAGATAACGTAGGGAGGGACTGAAGCACGGTGAAGTTGTCGTGGCCGCTTCATCTTTGATGGGGGGATGGTATCTCGGATTCAAGCCCAAAATCTCGGCCCACCTGCCGCTCGCACCAGGCCCAAGTATGCACAAGGTCTCGAGGTGCGGGGAGTGTCTCCACGTGAGCTGTTTCGTAGCCTGTGCCGCAGCTCCGAGGCCCCTGGCTTCCACTATAAGCGAGCGGAGACGGCTCTGAATATTTGAGAGGAACCGGAAGTCGGCTTTCAAGCGGGGATCTTGAAGACGGATATTAAGCAGAGAGTCCCTAGCGCGCTCGATGAACGAAAGCACCCCGTCGCTCGACAGACTCGTGACGACAATGCTGCTCCAAGGTTCTGAGATGCCCAGAGCGATTGATCGCCATCTCCGACAGACGTGAGTGAGGGCAATGAGGCTGCGGCTCGAGCGTGGGTCGGATATGAGGCTGACGTTGTTGAAGATCTGAACGAGGAGTTCGGTGGGAAGGCGTTGCACGCGGGCATGCGGGTTTCGGTCGTTGCGCATCTCACGAAGGCGAGCGATGGTGTTTCGCAGGTGCAGTTCGTATTGGTCGGCGGCTTCGCAAAATTCCTCGTAGGGCAACAGGTGGAGTTGCCTCAGATCCGGCTCCGAGTACTGTTGTCGTATGCCTGAAGCAGACGCATGCCCCCCATCCGGATGACCAGACGGCTTATTTGCAACCATGATCCTATAGTGACACTGTCAGAGGCTGAAACAGCGCTGGCATTTTCTTTGCATACCTTGAAATGTGAAATCTCTGAGGTGGTGACTGGGACGAGATCTATGGGAAATTGCTGGTTACGGAGAAGATGCAAGCTTGGCTGCGGTTTCAACGTACCAGTCGCCGTCTCCCATTATGGTTTCTTCGGCGCTCAGTCCGATCCCACGGTAGGTCGAAAAAACTTAAAGGACCCAGTGGGCGAAAACTGGTAAGTACTCTCGAGGACTTCAGAATATGCATTAGCCTAGCGCGCCTTGCTCACGCTTATACCACAGAAGAGAAAAACATGTGTCCCCGTGATGTTACATGTGTCATGAAGTCATGTATGTGTCGTGATGCCCATAGATGCGGAACAAACGCTAACATCTCGTGAGTCCTCGGGAAACAAGCTCGTTCCCCGCCTTGATGAAGAAATAGTCGCCTGCAGACCAAAGCCCAAATATAAACGATCTAATTAGTCCGACCAAACATGCAAGGGAAGGGGGCGTACCATATACGATGCCCGTCAAATTGTTCTGCACGGGGTTGTTCACGGTCCCGTTCGCGAGCAGGCTCTGCCACTCTGGGCGCCACGCGAGCTTCGTGTTTGCGTTGAGCATCTGTGCAATGGCATATTTAAGTGCCACCCCGCAGAGCGATTAGCCAAAGGAATGTACCTTGATGACCTCGTTGGTGTAGTACACAGAACCAGTGATGTTCAGGATGGAAAGTTCCTGGTCGGCAAGCAGCAGCAGGGCACTGGCTGCGATCGTCGCCGCAGACGAGTCCGCAGGGCGGGGCGGTACAACAGGTGCGTTGAAGTCCCTATGTATCAATCAGCCCCGCGTTTCAAGACATGCGGCTGGCTGGGGACAAACCAGGGTATGATGCCGTCAGAGGGCGTGTTCGTGATCCAGTACTTCGCCATCTTGCGGGCCGTCTGAAGGTAGTCGAACTGGCGGGTATGCTTGAACACTTGTGGGGAACATCAGACCGTATCCTGAGGGCCCGGGGAGAAAGCATACTGTTTGCGAAGCCGTAGATTCCCCATGCTTCGCCGCGGCTCCACGTGCTACAGGCAGCATCAGTCGGGGTCAGTTCTGCTTAGCACAAAAAGGACAATGAGATGCACCTGTTGTCCGCATAACCTTGCGATGTACGCTGGCGGATGACCGCGCCAGTAGTTGAGTTGTAGTCAACGACGTGAAATGAACCCCCTAGCGACAAAGTTCCATCATAAGTTGGCTATTTTGGGCCGAGTCGCGTGTAACCCGCGTACCATCTGCGCGGATATGGTTCACCATCGTCTTGTCCGCATGTGATATGGCAATATCGCGCAGCGTGTGGTTTCCGGTGAGTGCCTCCGAAGCAAAGAGAACCTATTGTAGCATATTTAGCGTCACCTCTCTGTACGAGGTGAGTACATCTACTATGTACCTCTAGATTCATCATATTATCGATGATGACCTGAAAGAGTGGTCAGTGCGAAGCGGTGCGCATCCCATTATAAAACATACCTGAAAGTCTGTCGGGTCTGCAGCATCCCAGCTTCGCGTGCATCCCACGATAGGGCTAAATCTAGCAGCAAGCGCAGTCGCAAACTTGTTGACGGCCTCGATAGCTGTCGTATTTCTCGGATTCCTGCGAGGTACGTCAAAACATGATTTCCAGCTGGCTTGTCATCCAAACGAACACTTTGAGTTCATCCATGAACGGATAGCTGAGGAATCCGACGTCATGCCCTACGCCCGTATGAGTCTCGAGCGGGATTTCGCCCGTGCTCCACGCGCGTCCAAGGGTGAGCCACTGCGAAGCGCTCCCCGCACTAGAGCCACAGAGCTTCGTGCGTTCATGCATCGCGTATAGCGTGGATGGGAAGAAGCCGGCGGTCCATTGGTCAGGAGAGAACCAGATCCAGTCGCCTTCGGTACGGTCCGTGTATTGCGGGTACTGTGGTGGGCTCGTGAGAGATAGTGCTGTCTTGAGTACCTTCTGGGATACTAAGGGAGAGAAGAGCTCCGCAGAAGGCGACACGAAGCCTGTCGCTGCAGATGAGACTCCTCCGACAGAAAGCGCTACGAAGAGAAGGCTGAACGCAACCATAGCTAGCATGAAGCTCCAGTGAAGAATCAGAGCAGAGAGGCAGACATGCAGAGACAACGGTCTTATAAGCAATTGTCCAGCATGTTCAAGGCACGCCGAGCGATGGTTCCGATGGAAGAAACAGTCCACAGAACGGAGAGCACACTTTTGCAGCAACTCGTGACGCTCTTCAGGAGCGTCTCCTGAGGCAGCCGGGGCGGAATGCCGTATGAATGCCGTGCATAGGTAAATCTGCCGTGTTCAAGACATCTCGTGTGCGGGCAGGAGGGTGCAAGGCAACGGGACCCTTAAGTTGTCTCGCATGCTCCATTACCGAGCCATCGTCAGCCACCTCATGTAGCATCCACTGAGTCAAAAACACTCACCGAGCGAACTTGAAAGGGTATCCTACGATCCATGAAGTTCGACGGAACGTCGGGAGAATTCAGGAGTGGGCGCATGATTGAGTCACGAGGCGGAGCGGCGAAGAAGTTCCACATGTAGCCGCATCATAGGTGTCAGTCTAAGTGTAGTCCTATATTGAGCTCTTATCGCCTCTGAAATGGGATGTTAAGGGACAGAAGACAATACGCCTGGCCAGGCGTGGATGAGATTGCCACAATATGGTTCAAGTTGCGGTCGGCCGAAAGCACGAAGGTATTTGGCGCCGTGGTGGTGGCGGATATTGCGAGATCTGGCTGGCTTGTTCTCATCTTATCTTATCTCCTAGCACTGCCTTCTGCCTTGAACTTCATTCACCCCCCGGGGGCGCGCACAGGCCACCACGACCCAACCTGACTGAACCTCCCGTATAGCCCACGGTAAGTTCTATGCGAAGTACGGCCTCAAAAAATAATCCTATTGTATCATGTTTCATGGCTAAAACATATTAGGAGCTGCGCTAATTGACTCCAACAACATTCTCCACTCGATTGAAGTCCGAGTCGTGCAAACACTTCAGGAACGGGACCTATCTTGACGACAACACACGTATCTGAGAAACCGATTTTGTGTCTACACTGAGTAAATAAAACACTATAAAGTGGATCATCCCGCTGACCGAATATTTTGTACCTCCAGGATGTCGTCTCAGCCGCCGGAAGCCAAGGCTCCGTTGCCCGCAACCATTTTGACCGCGCTCCAGCAGTTCACGTCTCAGGACTCTATTTCATCGAGCTCGCTCCATCCATTTGCATCTAATCCGGAAGAAAACATCGCTGCCTTGCGAAAACTTTTGGACACCGCCAATCAAGCGGCACTCTCACTCAACGCCCATCTTGCCCTCCCGTTATCCAACCCGAAGCTTTTGTCGCTGTATCGACAAGGGACGAACATATCTCATGCAGTTCAGCAGGTGCGGTTGTATCTCCCGTAATGCACGCCAACAGCAATGAGTATCGCTGATGCCACTGAATCCAGGCGGACCAGAACGTGCGCTATGTCGTCAGCTCATTGAGAAAACGAGTGGGCATCACATTTGGAGAAGACATTCCTCTCGAACGGACACAACTTCCCGAATGGTTCTTGAAAAGGCTTCTGGAATGGGGCACGTCGGCCGGCATGGAAGCTTTCAACGACCCAGAACGCGACGGGCACTCTACCGTCGTCCTCGGGGGAAAGGTTCTCGTTGTCGACATCGTTTTCTCTGTGGACCGCACAGACCCTATTCGACCGATTGTGTGCGTCACCACCTGTAAGACGTCGTATGCTATCCCAAATAGCACGGCCACCTCGTCCACCGGAAACTCGACCTCCTTGGACGGCTTTTTGGCAGAAGCGATCCGCGCGTTCCTAAACGAGGTTCAGAAAGAGGATGCCCAGCGCGATAGTGTCGAGGCCGCGCGGCTGGGAAACCTGCTTTCCGATCACCTCACATACCTGATGAAGCTGGATCATCTGGCCATCAGCGAGGGCGACGGCGGCCTGCGATGGTTTAGTTTCATCGACCGCATGTCGGTCGACGTCGAGAAATTGGCCAGCAGCGAAGCAGACGCCCTAAGCAGGTAAGCCGAACCATATATGTGCACGTCGTATCGTACACTCATGCGCTAGCGCAGACAAGAGGCTGGATCCAAGTTCCCTCTTGACATCTTCCTCATGCGGTCGCACGCTCTGCCATTACCCTACCTCACAACACCGTCGATATCATTCCTCACATATCTCTCCCCCCTCGCCTACCTGAAACTCCTGCGAACGACACCCACCTCTCCTGCAGAGGCCGCTCACCTCCCCAAGCTCGATGTCCCATTCCAACACTTCCGCAAGTTCCTCACCTCCCATCCGCGGCCACATGGGGTAACCACGGCCACCCTTTACCTTTCCCCCACCGCCCCGCCGGCGTACCACGCGGACTCGATGTCGATGTCTGCCCTTGACACACGGTCCTCCTCCACACTCGTCCCAAGCGCTGCGGACATGGAGCACGTCTTTCCCGCGGCCCGCGAGGCGCAGGGCCCTCAGGGCCAGCAGTTCACGTGGTTGCTCGACTTCACGGAGGGCGGGAAATACCCCGGGGTCGTAATGAGCCAGTCGCGGATGCACGAGATTGAGCTCGCGGTGAACCCGTTCGGCGCGATGGACCATCTGCAGAGCGTGCAGATGTTGCCGTTCGGTTCCGGGAGTTGGGTCGATCTCTTGGTATGTGGTTTCGCTTTCTGGCTCGCTGCACGAATGCTCAACCCTTGGGGCAGCTCAACTCGCAGACAACCATCTCTCCGGAAAGATACACGACTGTATTCGTGAGCTAATCCATTGGCCATTGCATGCTATATCGCTTAATCGTCCGCACTTCCAGACATCTCCAACAGCGGTACATCCGCCACTGCAATTGCGCCTGACCACGCCCGATGAGCCAGGCTTCATGCTGGAAGCCGTTCCGGTGCGGAGTCTGAAGGAAGTCTGGAGCATCTTGGAGGTACTTCCTTCGTCCAGACGTAGTTTCTCCAGCGATACTGATTCGCCCACACCCTAGATCGTGCGCGAGCAGTGCTGGCTGAACGAGACGCTCACCAGCTGCACATGGATTCCCGAGGGCCTCACCCTCCCCGAAACCGACACATCCGACGATATGGAAGTCACAGAGAGCGACCTCCAGTCCGTGCTCAAAGGTACGTCCCCGCCTCACGCTATACCCCAACCCACACTCACCGCCCCCATTCCGCCGCGCGCGCAGGAACGGTGCAGCCGCGCAGCATCCCGGTGAACGTGTACCTCCCCGCGCACGCGCCCACCGACGCGCTCTTCGGCGGGACGGACATGGACGCGTTCGCGCTGGGCGGTGCGGGCCCGACGCGGCGCGCGCGCATCGTGATGACTGCGCCCGAGCGGCCGCCGATCTCGGGGCTCGTCGAGATTGGGGTCACGTTCGACCCTGGGCGGCCGCGCGGGGTTGCCGTGGACATCAGCGGCGCGATGGGCGTGGACCTGCGCGTGGACGTGTTGGAGGAGGTGTGCAGGCGCGGCGGCGTGTTCGGGCTGCCCGGGAGGGTGTGGAAGAAGGCGCATGAGATGCTATGAAGCTTAAAACACGTCGACATCTGCACCTCACACTTGCCGGCCATCCAGAAGCAGGCCAAGTTGTACTGTCACTGCCGATCACGATGCTGCTCGCATATATAACAGACGTGTGTTGATCCCGAATACCCGTTGCAATGCACGTACATTGACATATTATATGAATCATTCGAGTATGAGATGCCAGCAGGACGTAGCCCATCACAGACGAAAACGGCCACCATCAATATTAAGTATCATCATGGTTAGTGTGATCGTCCTCCCCCCCCTCTACAGATCACACATCGTCTGCCTAGGGGAGACAAATCATCATGGCCTTCTAGCACTAGCTTTCTTTCCCTTTTTGCCTTTGATCGGAACTTCCTGGCCGTCATCACCCTCGCTGTCGTCTTTGGCGTTGATGGGACCGGCGGCGTTCCTCCCTTCGAGCGACCATAAGGAAGGTATTACGGAGGGCTCCTTCGCCGCCCCGGGAGAGACTGCGAAGCCGAAGCTCGAGAATGATGATGGTCCGAACACACCGTTCATGGACGACGTTGCTTTGACTGGAGGACCTGTAGTGCTTTCCGAGGAGGTTCTCTGTGAAGGTGGCGCAGTGGCTATACGAAGACCAAGCAGGGAGCGCAAGAGGGGCCCGGCGTGGGGTGCTTGTCCCATCAAGACCTTGTCGAGGGCGTCTTGCAGGGAGGCCTGTACCCTGGGGTCAGAGTAGTTCTGTGATAGGTACGAGACCGCGTGTTCCCGCAATCGGTCGTATCTGTGCGTCGCAAAATCGGATATTCAATATGCAAGAACTCCAAGACCGTGACCAGTGCCCAGCTGCACTTACCTCGCGAAGAAGCGCGAAAACGCCTCCTCGACGATGTTGGCTGGGGTCAGGCGCGCTAGGATAGCATTGTAGGCAAGGTCCTGCAAATTCGCGATGCCGTACTGCACGAATCATCTACTCGTTAGTATATATCTTTGCGCATGCGATCAAGCAGAACTTACAGACTCCGCTAGACGATACATGGACTTCGGAGAGCAGAGCGGCGCTTTCGTAGCACCCCCAGCCGTGAGCATTGAGAACTGCCTTTGCGATGCGCCCGCTGAGCGAAGGGGCATAAAGTTGACTTTGCCCGTGTAGAGATAGAAGACACACGCGCATAGACTAAGATAGAAGCGATCAAGATGCCGATACCAGTCTATCAGTGTAGGCCTGCACAGACAAAGAGCGGAAATTGACTCACGTTTTGTGTGCGACGCTAGGTAAAAGGATTCGATGCTGGGGCGGTCGGCCCTCAGCAAGATGCTTCTTGTCCTCGTCCGGAGCGCTGGGCTCCTCGTCCTTGCGTTTTCCCTTGCTATCGGGGGTCATGGGAGGTTTCGAGCTTCCGGGCGTGGGTGTATCTTCCGCTTCCTCGCATTCGTCCAGGTCGCTGTCGGACTCGTAGTCGTATTCATCCGCAAGGGCATACTCGCGGATAGCTACAGAGGGGTCCGCAGTGACTTGGCTCTCCGCGAAGCCTGATGTCAACACTAAATAATATGGTGTCTTATGAGTCGATCAAGCTAGGATTGTATGTGAAGACCGTGACGAAGAGACTCGTACATTTTGCGAAGTGCTCAGAGTCTTTCAAGATGGAGCCTATCGCGAGCACTGGAAGAGGATGTCCGATCTTGCTCGAGCCATCGCCGAGATAGACTGTTCTGCGTGTGAAGGCATACAAATGCACGTCGCGAAACTCGGTTTTGGTAAGGGATTCTTTCAAGGCTCGTTCTGTCGGGGAGAGCTCCGATGGGGGCCCAGAGTTGCCAAGTGAGGACATTGCAGAAGATGGGAGGTGTCGAGTACTGAGAGTCGACTCGCGACTTGGTTGTATGTTGTATAAGGGAGAGTTTGATTTGCCTGCCGGCTACCACGAGGTGGGACGGCGCTGCGGTAAGACGTACGAGAACATCCGTCTCCCGCACGTTTGTAAAAGAGAAGTCCAGTTTGATTGATATGAAGCGCAGTAATCAAAACCGCTGTTCAGTCATGCTGATTGTCGCAAGTGTCGATGACTGCACGAAATCCAAGCCGTGAGATGAGAAGAGCGCTCGCGTGAGGCAACACCGGTCGACCGTCTCCTTCAGTGAAGCTTGTACGCCGACGTCCTGATAATGCTGCGTTATGACCGACACGGCATACTCCCGCAAACGGTCGTACCTGCCGTTCAAATATATGGTCAGATAGCTCACAGGGCCTGTCAACGAGGGAGTCAGGTGCACGTACCTCTAGTAAAAGCTTGGGGGAGCACCGCGGTACCCATGAATCCGTCCGAGACCACCTCCGTCTGAATGGTGAGGAAGGTAGACTCGGAGATTCGATGCTGACCTTGCCAGTGTACAGGTCAAATACATAGGCACGCGTCAACTACAGAATCATCAATAAGTTGGTCTGCAATGAACAGCCGATGCTTACGGTGCGCCGCCTGGGACCTTATTAGACTCCGATGATGAGAGTGTGTCGACCGCTCGGGTCCCCTAGAAAACACACATCTACTATATGCCAGAAGAGTATACAGAAGGGTATTGTAGAGTACGCTATGCAACAGGAAAGCACCAAAACCGTCCGTCCACGCCCGCCCGCCAGCCGCGCCGCGGCGTCCTCACACGCTCGCCACGATCCTGCAGAAAAAACCAATCAGTCAGTAAACACGACAGATGGATGTTTGAGAGAAGGGACGCACTCCTCGGCCTTGTTGAGCGCTTGGAGCATGGAGACGACCTCCTTGCGGCGGTTGACGACGAACTCGGACTCCTTGAGGAGCTCGTCGAGCACCTCCGGCTTGTAGAGCTCCTGGAGCAGCTCGCGCTGCAGGTTCTCCTTCGAGTGGTTCACGAGCGTGAGCGTAATCGCCTTCGGGACCATGTCGATCATCTCGCGCTTCACGATGTTGAAGTACGAGTGGATGAGCAGTTCTGCAGCGCGACGGGGCATGTCAGTTTAACGGACGGACGGGGACAGGAAACAGGGCGGCACGCACTGATGACCTCGGTCTCCATCAGCTCCCTGTCGTTCAACGCTGCCTGGGGCTTGATCACGGACGGGGGCTGTATATGGGGTGAGCTTCAAATCACACAAGGAACGAAAGTCAGGTGTGCTGACCGCCTCCATGATCGCAGCGCCCTTCTTCTTTGGCGCCCCCTTCTGGAAGAACGACCCGAAGAAGCTTTGCTCCTCCTTCGCGTCGACGTCCAGATCGCGGTTGTTGTTGAGCTGGGCGGAGGTGACCTTGCCGCTCTTCTCTCCGTGCTGTGGCTGCTTGTTGGCGTTCAGACGGTCGTTGACGAGAGCCATCGCCTTGTGGCCGTTCAGGAAGTCTGGGTGCGTCGTGTTCACGTAGCAAGCTTGCATCCTGTGCGCGAAGTGTGTAAAAGCGCTGCACCTGTATGCGGCAGAACCGACTACTTACGCTACGAGGTCGGTCACAAGCTTGGTCGTAGGGTTCATCGAGTTTTTGAAGAAGTTAACTACAACGGAGTTGAAGCGGTCCCGCAATTGGGGGAAGCGCCTGAAGGCTTGCTAGTGGGAGGTTAGTGGACATACTCATTTTACCGTTACGGAAGAGACATACAATCTTGACCAGAAGCTGACTGAGAATACGGATCAACTCGTCGTAGACGAGCTGGCAGCATTTGAGGGAGGGATCCTCAAGCCGCCGAATTTGTTGCTTGACGATGATCTCGAACGCTTGGGTTCCGACGAAGAGAGAAGGGGTCGAACCCTACAAAGAGGATCAGCTCGCTGTCGGAAACAATCGCTGGATTGGACTGACCGAAGAATTATACAGGATGGTCCGGATGTCGCCGTCCTTCACCTGGTCGAACGGGTCGATTGTCTTGATGCCATTGTTGAACAGCTCGTGGAACACGAAACTGATACGCGCACCACCAGAGAGCTCGTTTAATGACAAGTCGTTGGTGTTACCGTCGATGGTTGTGCGGAAATCGGAGCAAAACTCCGTGATCACAGAAAGCACGATGTTCGCGGAGTTGCCCTCTCCCAAGGCGCCACCGAGAGTTTGGAGTTCTGCGTTGAACTTCTGCTGCTGTTGCGTAATACGAGCTTTGATGTCGGGCAACGTATTCCGGATGTGCGCCATGAGGATCTGTTGATTTCACTTAACGAAGCAAACCATCCACGAAAGCGTAAAGTACGCACGACATTGAGCTTGCGCGCCAAGAACGGCGTTCCACAGTACTGCGCCTTGTTGGCGTACGAAGGATGGGTTTCAAAGTACTTACGCTCGTGCTCCAGAGCAGCACTGATGGCCTTGCCTTGCTCGATATCACGTTGCCCACGGTTAACCACAGGAACATAGCCCAAACGAAGAGGAATGACACGGCCCGCGAGGATATCGACAACGTCGGTACCCTGGTCCCTACATGTCGTCGTTAGGTATACCTTCCCCAAGACCATATGAAGACAACTCACATCAAGTCAACCTTTGTGAGAACACCAATAGTTCGCTGACCCTCAGGGTCGACCTCCCGCGCTAGCTTCAAGCCATCCGAGTTCGCCAAATCTGTGTTGGCCGCAGTGACGGCAAGAACGATACACGCTGGCCTCGAGATGTACTTCAGTAGCATATCCTTGATTTGCTTCTCGATATCGCGCGGCTGGTCGCCCACAGGCACCTTGGTTAGACCAGGAAGATCGACCAAGGTCAATGTGAGGACATTGGGAGAGTAGATGCGCAGATTAATGGGGAGCGGCGAGATACCCGCATTCTTGCCGGTCTTCGCCTCCGTGTCGCGCACGATCTCGTCTCGGATTTTGTTGAAGTCGTAGAACTTCTGTCCAGGGAGATGCAAGAACTCGCCCCATTCGTCGGGGTTGGCAGCGGTGTCGCCTCCGGACTTCAGGTCCTCAGTGCCGTTGGCTGTGAAAGACGTGAGTATACAATGACTATCGTTGGATAAGAGGCGCACCCTTGCCGTTTGGGGACCCAGTTGGTTTGCGGTTGATGAGTTGCAGAACCTGAGCCCGGCTGGCGTTAGCTCCGAGCGGGCACCAATCAATATCAGTCGTACCAGAGGTCTCCGGGTTACGATACCCGTTCCTCGGGGCAGAAAATCACGTCCGACGATGTTCTTAGGGTATCCAAGGGTCAGCCGGATAGAATTCCGGATCGTGTTTCGCAGCGCACCTCGAGCACACTACTCTTGCCACTACTTTGACTGCCGAGCACACATATCTGCGGAAGGTCTATTTGGGACGCGGACGAGCCGACCGCGGAGAAGACGTCTTGGAGCTTGTTTACAACGTTGACAATTTCTGTTCCGAGACCAGAGGTAGCCATGGTGGAGGACGAGAGGAGAGGATGATGGAGGGAGAAAGAGAAAGCGAGAGCACGCTGAAGTCGCCGTGGCTTGACACAGCCGCGTGTCGCGTCCACGGGCGCTTGCTCCGCGCAGCTTGACTTTCATCGCCTGCTCTCATCTTCTGCTGCTGCGACTCGTTCCCTCGCTTGCTACGCAACCTCCGACACAGTCCGCCGCAGCCTGCGCAGGGGAGGCAGGCATGGTGCGGTGACTGGGAGAATGTATGAGGTGAGCCGCACCATTGTCGATCTACCTCAGGCGTTCATACTGACCTTCCAGCAGATGCCCTTACACCTTACACACGAGTGAAGTTGTTCATTACCAAAAATCATATATACCTCACGCCCACGCCTTGATGGGTATTCAACATGTAGGTATTCTGCAGGCTCTATCAGGGCCCCCGACAATCCTCCTAGATGCTCTACGCAGTGCCCGGACCAAAATGGACCTTCCGGGAGCTCCGATATACCGTACACAGAGCGGACCAACAAGGGGCTTTCTGGATGCGCGAGGCCTTACATAACTCGGACCAACCTCTGGTTCATAGGGTACGGTGATTTTGGCCGGGCTAGTCAGCCCCGGTAATTCACGCTAAATGACCTGTCTTGCCTTGTTAACCATGTTAAATCAGACCTTTCACTACTGGGTCGCCGGGGAGCGAGCGAGGACGAAATATGCATCCCTAGCATTTCTGCCAAGGCGATCTGTTGGTAACACAGGAAGATTCGGTGAGCTCGTTGTATAGGTCGGCATTGGCCACCCTAATCCACCGTCATGGTCTCCTTAAACTGCAGTTACCGCCCGACCGCAATTCAAGCTTCCAAGCTTCGATAATGCTTTGCAGCCTCTGTAAAGGCGTATGACCTCCCACTGGCCCCTACCACTGTCATGTGGTTTTCATCGCGGCCTGCCGTCTTGCAGCAGAAATTCGAGGAAGTCAAAGCGACCAAGGTCGGTAAAGTACCGTCATTCACATCCGTGATATTTCAAGGAATATATACCAGATCTGTGAGAGTGACTCTCACTGGGACCAACGACTCCCACTGAGAGCGAGTGGCAGTAGTGAGAGTCACTGAGCCAAGAAACAATGTGGTCAGATCGCGCATGCGTCATGTTACCGCGATCACGACGTGTTGCGTTGCGCTCGTCGAGTACGAAGACTGGGTGCTCTGCCCCACAGAACTGTGGCTCCGCGCATGTCTGCAGACATACCTCGGGCTCGTCGCGCGCAGGATCTAGCACGTGTGGCGCGACGCGTTACGAGCGTCGACCACAACGTCTTCCCCGCCGCGAGGAGCTAATTACGGCCGACCTGACATGCTCGTTGGACTACATCCAACCGCGTCCGAATGGCCAGTGTCTTCGTTGATTTATATCATGTCCACTCATCGAGTCCGACTGCATGACATGCACCAGAAGATGAGCCACACGAGCTTGTCTGTGATGCGTGGCTGACAGCTATACACTCGGGTCCCCGGGATATGCCGGAGGCATTGCTCTGAGTGGGAGTTGTTTGTCTCAGTGAGAGTGACTCTCGATGTTTTGGTCGTCACTCTATTCCACGCTCGGATGGACCTCTGAGAATGACAGCTAATTAGCTGGGTAACTAGACCTCAGGTCCTGATTCACCGCATCTTGCCAGTGCTTCAGGGAGACATTTGGAGTCGCGTCGAGCCAAAGTTTTGGTTTTTGAAGGGCCATGGTTGCGGTCGCGCCACTAGTGCGATTGCGCGCGACGTGTTACGCGTGTCGCCTGCGAGCCTTTACGAGCACCTCACGACTGCGGCTGGGGAGGATGCGCCGCCTACGGCATTTTGGGGTAAAATGGTGAGTTCGCTGTCCCCGTTTAACCCGCCTGTGAAAGTAAGTAGTTTCCGAAACTTATCCTTACCAATTCGGTAGCTCTCCCTCAGGGGTCCTGTTTGCTCTATCGTTGTTCGCTATTCATGACGTCCGCCGTGCGAGAGGCGCCGGAGATTACCTCATGCCTGGCAGGGTCGCCTGGCGGGCGGAGAAAGAAACTAACAAACAGCGCATTGTTCTCCTCCTATAAAAGCTTGCTAGGTTCACGGGGTTTCACATCTTCTTCCTCCACGACGCGTAGCCTGACCACATCATGAACGCGCCCTTCACCACAGCGGACAGAGCGATCGCGGCATCCTTGGACCCATGCGATGCACGCGACGTTCGTTTGTACGCGTATTCTCGGCGGACTACCTCTCCAGGCTGGCAAGTGGCAAAAATCGACAAACCGCTTCCTATCATTGCTATGAGCACCGTGCTTAACCAAACGGAGCACTTCTCCACTTGTACGTGAAATCGCTTGATCGATGTATCCAGTTGTTGCTCACGTATGTCCTGCCATTCAGTGCTCACCGCCGGCTTTGCCGAGACGGGCGGTAATGCTCTTTCGAGCTATGGCCCAGATGAAATCGCCCAAATGCAAGCCGGAGATTCCGAATATGACTACGAGTGTGACAGCGATCTGGATGAAGTAGAAGGAGAGGACGATGGTTCAACCGCATCTCCGGCGGCATCCGACCACACTTCAAACCTGAAGGGTAAGCAGAAAGACGCAGCAGGCGTCGGGTCTTCTCCTCCCGTCAAGTACACTATCCTCATCCCCAACATCGCTTTCAAAACGTGAGCGAATCCTTTAATATCTTGAGCGACTTGTTAATCGTTCAAACACTGTTACTACACAGCTTACGTGCTTGCGTGTTCTACCTATACACGGGAAAAGTGCACTTCCTTCCGTTGTCTTCGGCGCCGTCTGCCGAAGGAGGCATACAGCGGGACCACATGGTCTCTGTCGCTCGCAAATCAGGTCTGCCAGCATGTTCGCCGAAATCTCTCTACCGCCTTGCGGATGCGGTGCGCCAGGCTCTCTCTTTTCTGAGCCTGTAAACTCATTCGAAACTATGCTGGCACAGTACGGGTTGAAGGACCTGCAGGTTGCTGCCCTGAATGGCATCATTTCCTATCTCTCACCAGAGAACCTTGTTCAAGAATGCTTTTCCGTCTTCTTTTCCATGTACGTTCTTCCATGCTCGCAATAGTGCAGTACTCAAGTCCCGCTGCTACACAGGTACGATGAACCCCGCCAGCGCGCGATGATCAAGCTTCGCAAGCTCTATGATCACCCGAAAGTGCAGGAAGCACTGCCCGGGGTCATGTCCAAGCTAGTAGCGGGCGAACTACCGTATGCGACCGCCGCTCTGCAAGAGCTTGTCACCATCCGCGCAGGGCGCACCGTCCGCTTCGTCGAGCCCCAAGCTGCATCTTCATTCTCTGCCATACTGCAAGAGAAGTTCGCTGCAGCGGCTGAGCCCCCAGTGACGTCGGAATCGGAGGCGTATCCGGACGCACATTCGAGGACCCCGACGCCGCCTTCGTCCTCTTCCTGGGCATCCTTCAAACGCGCGCGCAACAACTCTCCGCCCTCCCCATACAGAGGCGGCTTCGACGAGTGGGGCGTCCCTGGTTTGTCTATGGACCATCACCATCGGCACGACATGTCCGGTCCGAGCTCTGGGCGTTGGTGATGCGACGTCGCACTGTAACGCATCCAGCTGCAGCACGGATCTTATGAGGACCCATGGGATCGTTCTCATGTTTCTGCGATGCCCACATGTAATATCAAGTATTCTCTACGCAGCGGCTACCTTCAGCTTGTTCCTTTTTCCATCTCACACAATATATTCTTTTGACACGGCGGAAGTACCGACGATCGGGATGTGCGATTGTATATCGCCTTTCTTTTAAGTGCATGGTGCACTCAAGGAGCGATCGGTAGTCTATCTGATACGCCGATTAGTGCGTCAGCTCACCCCGGGATATCGACAGATATTGCTGCCGAACTTGCGTGTACAACGATTGTCGAGGTTATGTTCACGCGTCCACGTAGATGCAGGAGGATATTGAAAGTGCGTGTGCGCGTGATAATGTCATTGTACAGCTATGAGCATATGTGCATATAGGATGGTAACGGTCGCATAACGAAGCCAAATGATACGGAGGAGGTGCCGCCAGGCTGCGCTGGCGGCCCATTATAAGAATAGAATTAACCGTATGAAGGGAGTCGTGGGATGGAACGGAAGTGCAAGTCGTGGACGATACAGTGCTGGTGCGAGAGGGATGCTGGTGCGAGAGGAAGACTGGTGCGAGAGGAAGGATGGTGCTACAGAATCTCTAGAGGAGGTGCGGGACTGCGCGTATGCTACAATGTTGGTCGGGCCGGAAGGTATATGCGGGAGCGGGAGCGTGGTGGACGGAAGCGGGCGGCATGCGGGGGAAGAGGCGGCGAGAATGCGTGTGCGGGGACTATAGCGGCCGCAAAGGGGCGTCGATGCAGGGGGAAAGGAAGGGAAGGGCGAATAGGTGGTGGGAACAAGGTAGGCGGCCGTGCGAGGGCGGCAGGCCTAGTCGTCGAGGAGGAAGTCCCAGTCGATGGCGACCTCGTTGCTGCGCTTCGCGCACCAGCCCAGGCCGAACGCGCGTTTCCAGTTTTCGCGGCAGCGCGCCTCGGGCTCGCCGCGGTGGATGTCCCACATGCGGAACGTGACCGCGCCCGCGGTCTCCACCACGACCTCGTCCTCGCCCCCTGGAGCGTCCAGCGCGAGCGCAAGCGGGAACGCGCCGCTCCCACTGCCACGCTTCTCGCCAACCGCACGCCCGTCGGAGACGTAGATCTCAGCGAAGCGGTGTGCGGTGTGCTCGGACACAGACACGACGGATGGGCGGCGCGACTGCGTGAGGCAGACGTTGCGCATGATCCTGTTCGTGAAGCCCGCGGAGAAGGTGACCTTCTTGCATGTGGACGAGCGGTGGATGTGGCCCTTGAAGTCTGACGGGAGCCAGATCGTGACGTCCGCATCGGATGCGGACTGCACCTCGAGCCTGAAGTTCGTGGTCCGCGAGGGCGTGAACTTCCGGCACTACGATGGGCGGAGCGAGCATCAGTTAAAACGTCCGGCGGGCGTCGTGCCGGGGCACGTACCACTTTCACTTTCATCGAACTGCCAGAGTCGGATCCGACGTACATGGACAGCCGGTGGTCGTAGGGCTGATTGTGCGCGCGATAGTGCGGCAGGACGAGGGAGACGTCGATCGCGCGGTCGTCCGTCTCGAGAGCGAAGTCGTGTGACGCGTGCTCTCCCGCGCCCATGTATTTTACTCTATGTGAGCCCGTAGGCTGCTCTAGCAGGCTTTCTGTACTCATTGGGTACATCGATCCCTGCGCATCTGTCAGTTACATGCGCCCATCAACAGCGGGGGGCAGTGATCAAACTCACATGCGAGCAAATCGAGGACATGGAGCTGATGCGTGATATTGACGAAATTGAACGTGGGTGGACCGGGTCGTAAATGCGGAGTGGAGAACAGAAAACCGGGCGGGGGAGGGGGGGAATGTGCTGTGTGGACCGCCATGGGGATGGAGGATATAAGAATGCGGATGTTGTACGAGCCGCCTTGTGCCAAATATGGGAGCTGTTGTACTTGCCGATGGGACCCGGCAATCCGGATCGCACGCAACGCTTACCCTCACCGTGTTTGGAAAACAAAAGGCAGTACTGGGACAACGGATCCCTCGACTGCCCTGCGCGGCGTCAGCTCAACGCTCGTCGCCGTCTGTTCCATGTGCAGGCCACCGTGCATCATTGCCGCCATGATGGCCCGTGTCCCGCCCGGGCGCCCACCACGCGTTTTGAATCGGGCTCTTGGCCGCCGGCGTTATTCTTTCCTGCACCCTCAGAGATGCGCATCAGTGATGTTTGCGATGTCCTTGTCGGTGTACTGGAGACCCTACCAGGAGCGCACTGTGCCACCTATTGACGACGAGCGCCAGAGTGCCCGGCGCGAGAACATTGCAGCAGGACAATAGCGCCGCCCGAAGCGCGCTAGAGGACCCGTCTGCGCGTGGGTCCGGCGTGTTGTTGTGGCTTCCATTCCCGTACAACGTCTTCGCCGCGCTTAGAACAAAAGGGCTCCCACGCCTGGCAGACCGACAATGCAAACCGGCGACAGCGAGCTAGCCAGCAACAGCCCTGCCTATGTCCACTTCGCGATCTTCGACGCCACATGACTAGGTTCGTGCTGCGGGTTCCAACCGCAAGCGGCGCCTTCGGGCTGGCATTGGCAACGCGGTATCCGCGTGCGGTGGGCGGACCATGGCCTGTGGGTACCCGTCGTAGCGCGTCTCGTAAGTGCGGCGGGTTGCAGACTGTGGATGGGGGTAGGACTCCTCGGAGATGATGTCGACGGTGTTGTTTTGCACAGCTGACAGTCGCACCACACAGCGTCTGAGGTCGGAGTCGGCGTTGCGCCTCCTGTAGGTGAGTCGGTCATTCTTCCTCCTGCTGTGCCTTCTCCTGATTCACCGTGCGTATTTTGGTGCGGCATCCCGTGACTCTCGGCGCTGCAAGTAGGCGCGGTGGACGTGTTGATTTTGTACTGCGGATCATACAATGATCGCCTATTGGAGGTAGGTTTGAGATACTTGACGCGCCCGGCGACCGTCGGTGAGTGCATTCGCAAACCTCGACCTCGGCCAGCTCGCTAAGCGGGATGATGAGTGCTTGAAAATATGCGTTGGGTTCGGGCTGGCTACCATCATCCCGAACGCGGTGTTGGACAAGGCCCAAGTGAGGTCGGTGCTCGGAATTAATGCTGTACGGTCCCGCCGGTTTCTGCGAGACACGAGGGTTGGAGAAGATGGCTTTCACACCCTCTCGGGAGGCAGTCGAGTTTCTGGATACGTTCCAAAGGCGTGGCGTAATCCCCTGGGCTGATGTTTCACCCCCACAGACTGCCACCGAGGTTCCGATCCTAGAACGGCCGGGTAGTATATGTGGCGTGTAACCGTGCGTTCTCCGAACTTTTCGCACTGTGACACACCTAGCAATAGACCGTCTCACAGGCCTAAATTTGAAGCCGCGCGTCGTCGCTAGCTGCTGGCATGTCCGACCCGGCCACAGCGCTCAATAGGGCGCACATTTGCGATGACGGACTAGTTGTTGAAGACCGGCCGCAGATGGGAAACCTGCATATGAATACCCAACTGAGGTTTAGGACTTCCTGCCGCCGTGGCGTGCTCCGTTAAGTCGATGTTTGATCTCTACGGACTGTGAACGGGTTTGATCCTGGGACGACCGGGTTGTATCTGAGGTGGGTCGCCGTGTGTTTTCCGGACCATCACACTGCAACGTACCTAGTAATAGATCCTCCTGAGGCCGCGCGTTGTTGCCAGCAACTGGCACTCCCGGCTGGGCCACAGCGCTCGATAGAACCCACATTTTTGATAGCGGAGCAATCATTGTAGACCGGGTGCGGGTACGAAACCTGCATGTGAATATCAAGCTGAGATTTTGTTTGGCAAGCCCGTATATTTTACGTGTTTCGGACTGATCAAGAAATGTGGTTGTATGCGCCAGGCCAGATCATAGGGTAAAAAGAGCCTGAGACGATCCGAGAGTTTGAGCGGCACAGGCTTTCCAATTTCGCGGCTTAGCAGATAATGTGAGCTGCACAGATATCGGTGTCTTGATATACGTAGTGAACACATGGAGGAAGAGGACAAGCCGCAATTCCAGTAAGCCGACAAGGGGGAATGCAGTCATTGTACCGGCGCTTCCCATCGACATCCCGGCGTCTACGAATTTGGACGTCGAGGCAGTGAGTCCGTTATGTGTATCCCGACATGCAAACAGCAACGGTCGCTAAAGTTACAGTGTGTGAGAGTACATGGAGAGGCTATGGGCTACACACGATTCCTATCCCCTGGGTGCAGAGTGAGCTGCCGCCGGCCGCGCGGTGGACTCAAGCGAGCTCTGGAGAGCTCTCAGTGTTCATGATCATGTTCCCCCTCTCCCACCGTCGAGAGACACTGCTCGAGCACCTCAAGAAGGGCGGGATTCTCTAGCGCCGCGGCTACACGTTCCTTGTCGTTGAGTTGCTTGTTCACTGCACAGATGAAGGACGTGAGCACGCGGGAGCGGGAGGTGAGCGAGGCCCAACGACGTACGTGCGTGCTCGCTCTGATGCGATCCCGGTTTGACTTTGATGTCCACCTTGAACCGCTGAGGCAGACTTCGCAACAAGCGCACTCGTATAGAAAGTCCTGTGATGATAATGAAACATAAGCAACTTCGAGCGGGATGAGGGCGGCCGTTCCTGCACTTACCAATAAATGTGCTCATGCCGCAATGAGGCACTGTTGGTGTGAACTCCACGGTGATCCTATCCGGATACTTGGTGTCGAATGTGATTTGTGGTGCGGACACGACCGCAAGCTGCTCGAGAGACATGCTTCGATGCTCGGGGTCGGATATTGACCGGATGAGCTCTGAGGGTATATCGCAAGATTAGCCTTGACAAACAGGCCGAGGAAGTAGAGATGCCCGCACCAAATATCTCATCTTGGTCAATACCCTCCGGTTCGTCCGATTGATCGTATTCTTCGTCCTCTGTCTGTTCTCCATCATCTAGCCAGAGCGAGTGCGGCTTCGCGTAGGCGTGCGCCGCCTTTTTGGCCTTTGAAGGTGCAAAGATGGTCGGATTCGGGTTGAATGCTTCTGAAGACATGACAGTATGTGGTCAAGGCAGTGAACACTTCCACTCCGGAGTGTGGCTGGAGTGAGCGGTAGCTGAGTCAGACGCCGAGAAGGACAGAAAAGAAGCTTTGCGGAAGCGCGCGCGAAGATCGACGGAACTTGCCGCGCCGTGCCACTGGCCACAACGTCAGTTTATTATTTCGGGACCGCTTGGCATCGAGCATCACCCACTCCTTGCTACTCACCACGTACTCTGTCTCAGCTCTCAACGTTGAGGATGGCACCAAAGGTCAGTATTCTATGGCTCTGACTCGCAGTACATTGTCATATTTATGCGTTGTAGAGAAAACGCTCCGCAGAGGACACGGTGTCTGGCGTGGCTGCGATAGCCACTCGTGCCTCTTCGCGTCTCAAAACCATTGCAAGCGACGCCGAAGCCGCATCATCCGGACTCGCTATGACCTCTGTGGATGGAGTGGACGTGGAGGTGCGTTATTTCTATACTAAAGCTTAACTCCTTTAGCCTCAAGGGGGATCAATTTACGTCTCAGCTCGCGCCCACCGCCAAGAAGGCGAAGCGCACCACTTCCAAATCCACCTCCACGAAGACTAGCAGGACCAAAGCTGCGAACGATCCGCTCGCATCGAAGTACGTGCTGCCGTATCTCTCTGCTCATGCTGCTCAGGAACCCTAACCTTGTACCGCGCTAGTCCAAATGAGGTATGACACGCACCATATATAGCTACTTCTCTGCTGACTCAGCCCCCAGACCGCTCGCGTGTCCCGAAGGTGAGCCCGTCGAGCTCTCTCCCTCCACACCCCCGCTGAATGAGCATATTCTCCCTCCTCTGCTGCTTGCGGAACTCCCATCACGACTCTCACAGCAACGGTGCCGCAGGCGGCTCTGCGAAGTCTGGAGCAGCAAAGGCCTCGGCGCCGGAACCTTATAGCGATGCGCATGCGAAGCAGCTCTTCGCGACATACCAGGATCCGGATACTCCAGGGGAGATAGGCCCTGAAGGGTTCGAGAAGCTCTGCACGGACCTGGACATATCTTTGGAAGGCGCGCTACCGCTCGTACTGGCGTGGCAGCTCAATGGATCGGAGATGGCGAAGTTCACCGAGGAGGAGTGGGTGAAAGGCACGAGCGAGCTTCGGTATGTCCTCGCCGACTTGACTGCCTGTGCCGGTACGCACGGGCTTGCTTGACGCGGAACTTATGACATATGTATAGAGTTTCGAACCTCCTGACCTTGTCCCTGGCCGTCCGGGACCTGGAAGACCTTCTCCTCCTTGACAAGCCGCCCATACAGCCGCCGTCCAGCGCCAGCGTGTCTGCAAAGAAGAAGAGCACCGCGGTTTCCGTTCCCAACCCAACTGAGCCGTACAATAAACAAAGGTACTACCAGTATGCCGCTTCCAAGGACAAGGCATTCTCGGAACTTTATACGTTCTGCTTTACCCTAGCGAAGCCTCCGTAAGTGCCAGGAACACCCCGTTGTCTCCGGCTCTAATCTAGCTCTTCTGACAGTGGGGGAAGGAATATTGACATGGACGTGAGTTTCTGACGGTAACGTTGTCCTGTTAAGAAAGTGTCTCACAAAGTCTACGTTCCCTTAGACCGCGAACGCGTTCTGGTCTGTGCTGGTGGTCCCTAGGTATCCCATCATGAGCGATATCTTGGCGTTCATTTCGGTAAGTTATGCACGTCATAGATACTGACCCCGCGCACTCATATCCACTTCCAGGAGAAAGGGACGTACAAGGGAGTCAATAAAGACTTGTGGAATATGGTAAGTCTTGCACGCCATGTACGCTTCCCTACCGCGGGTGCCTGCTTGCAGTCATACGCGCCTCCCATGCTCGCCTCGTGCGGTCCCGCAGACCATGACCTTGTTCTTCCTATGGTATAACGGCACCCGCTAACCGATTGCATTTGTCCTATTGTCTTACAGACGCTGGAGTTCTGCCGCACAGTACAGCCGGATCTGTCGAACTATGAGGCTGACGGCGTACGTGCTCCGTTCACTTCCCAGCATGGGGCCCCACATTCTCATGACACTTCATTCTTACAGGCATGGCCTACAATGTTGGATGACTTCGTCTCGTGGAAGAGGGCCTCTGGCCCCGGGCCCGCAGCCCACACGGAAGAACATGACATCGAAGTTGTTTGACGTATCTCTTCCTCCAGGGTTTCTCGACGATCGGACAGTGCACCATCTACCACGCTACCACGACTATCATCACGCTTTGCATATGTATTCGCTATCGTACTTACCCACTGACTGGCAACGGCGCCGTCAGGTATAATCAAGCTTGGATGTGATCATGGACATCTTCTGGGGACTTCTACGAAACATGCCATCTTCGCTGGGCTCCCTGGGTGGGCGGCTTTGAGTGCTATGGATGCTGATGTTTGCGACTTCCCCGATCGCACTCGGAGGCTCAGGAAGCCGCTGGCGGAACGGTGAGTGCCTATTAACTTCGCGTGGCGCCAGTCACTAAGAGGTTCAACAGCGGGCTGCAAAAGGTGCACGTTATCCTTGTAGGCGTCGCCGCGAAGATACTGCGCTCGGGCTGCGGCGGGTACAGCAGTGAGGCGAACGTTTTGCAATCAACCACTGTCATCGGTCTCGGGCACGGGCACGGGACGCATACATATCGCACTAGCGGCTATTGTGCGGCGGGGAACTTCTCGTTCGCTCATTTGATGATGGAATGCGTTCGGGTTCTACGGGGTCGGCTAAACAACAGATAGGCCATCGGCCATCTCGTCTCACACATGATTGGAGCAGATATATCTGTGTAAGCAGAGGATGTTCCCTCGTTTCTTTCTCCCCGTAGGTTTCATACAAGATGTCAGACGCCAGCGCCAACGCGGCTCGTGTTGCAATTGTGACCGGGGCGGCGCAAGGAATCGGAGAAGCCATCGCCCTAAGGTTCGCCCGGGATGGGTTCGACCTCGCCCTTGTCGACCTCCCGGCGAAGCAAGAGCAACTCGACGCGGTCGTGAAAGCCGTCGAAGCATTAGGAGCACGCGCCACGGCCGTCTTCGGGGACACCTCTCTCGAAGCAGACGTAGTCAAATACGTCGAGAAGACGGTGCAGCAATTCGGCGGGGTCGACGTGGTACGTAACCTCCGCCGCCCTCACACTCAGGGAGAGGCTGATCGTGCGGCTGCAGATGGTGGCGAACGCGGGTATTTTCAGCTACAAACCGATCCTGGAGCTGAGCGTCGAGGAGTTCGACAACGTGATGGGCGTGAACGCGCGCGGCCTCATGCTCGCTATCAAACACGCCGGCCGGCAGATGGTCAAGCAGGGACGAGGCGGGCGGATTATTGGTAAGCAGCTCGAGCAGCCTGTGCCCCAGTGAGACCGTCTCATGAATATTTTTGCAGCTGCGGCGTCTTATGCGGCCAAGACAGGTGCGACATCGGTACTCCGTGCAAGACCGTATGCGTGATCTGACGCGTGCGGCCTCACAGGAATTATGAACTCGTCGGCGTATAGTGCTTCCAAGTTCGCTACGCGTGGGCTCGTGCAAAGCGCAGGTGCGCCACGTCGACTTACGCTTCTCCTCGTACTTGGGCCTGTATTGCTGACCTATGGATGCAGCGCTCGAGCTTCGGCAGCACAAGATTACCGTGAATGCATACGCACCAGGCCTCATCATCACCCCGCTCAGTGAGTGTTTTGAGATGCACCGTCAGCGCATCTTGTCTGAGCGCGACGGTCCATCCCCTCAGCAACGCACCCTGATGATGAGAAGAACGGCGGCCCTGCATCTACAGGGCTGAAGGTATGATCTCGCCCGCGACCCTCCAAAGAGCGCGACCCTGACCATGAGCCACCCGAAAACAGAACGCCGGCATGCCTCAAGATATGAAGGCAGGGACGGCTGAAGACGTGGCTGAGCTGGTCGCGTATCTAGCTAAGCCGGAGGCTTGGTATGTGACAGGTACGTCTGACGGTGATATGCCTCCCACTTGTCATTTTGACATATGCTCTCAAGGGCAATGCATCAATATCAACGGAGGGATTGCGATGGATTAAATGTTGAATGCCTTGCCAATAGCCTCTGTATGATCAAAGACCCTCAAGTCATTGAAGTACTTACTCACCGCGTTGGCGTCGGAATCATTGCATGCAGGGTTTTGAAAATGGTCTTGACTTTGTACGAAACCTGGTACGTTTGCGGTGTGGTAGCATTCCAACACATCTCGTGCAGTCAAGTAATATAAGAGAGCCCTAGTGCTTGCAGTATCACGATACGACGCTGCAAATTTGCTTGCTACGCCGCCAATAGAATGTTCCAAAAGTCATGTTGTACATCAATGGCACGTAATGACGCTAGAACATATATAAGCGTAATTGTTTGATCAAATCCTGTAACTTGTGTAAGGTTCGGCGATGTCGACTGGAACTAGTATTGGGCGCCTATACTCTGGCGTTCAGTAGCGTCATGGATCACTCGGCCCGACGGGCTGTACAGTGGACCACCACGACCGCCTCAACGGTCTCACTCTCCTGCTATGCCATCTTGCTAAAGCACCTCCTGGACACCTCATATACCGCTCTCCCAACGCTCTCCTAGATCCTTGCTATGGCCGAACCGCGGACTAGAGCGGACGTCACGGAAATCAAGTCTGTCCTCCGATTGAGGCTCTCGGTTCACAGATACAGCGCTGTAACCCATGATTGTTCGCCCCCAGGGTCGCTTATGACTATTTATTCAACGCGCACCATACGGCGACTAAACTGAAGGATGCCGCGCTCGCGGGGCGGCTGCTACAAGGTGTCGATGCGGGCGCGGGGGTGGCGGGCAGGAGTATGGCTTGGAAGGTGCATGTCCCGCTATGCTTCAACTGAGTGATTTGTGCTGAATGACATGACTCCAAGCTGTTTCTAGTACCCAATGAACCCTTGCAAGGCACGGCTGGGGTGGAGGCTGTCCCGCCTTTGAAGCCGGTGCAGGCGGCGCGAGAAGCGTACAAAGCGCTGCTTATGGAGCGGATGCGTGCCCCGGATGGGGGATACGAGGAAGGCTTCATGGTACCCGGACTCGGTACGTCTCCTCCAAGGACCGAGAAGTCTTCTGGAAACCTAGACACGAACAATCCGCTGAGTTTGCACGATGAGGTGCGCGAGTTGGGTTTGTGATTGGTTTCGGAGCTCATATTCCACCAGAACCCATGGAGGGAGTGGTTTTCGGCGATGGAGCTGCGCAAGACTATACTCCAAGACGTAGAGAGAACGTGAGTGCGTACGCTCCGTCGGTAAGCCATCGCCCGACCTTGTTATTTACAGGTTCCCGGATATGGCGTACTTTCGAGACGCGGAAGTGCAAGCAGAGCTTACCAACATCCTCTTCCTCTATTCGATCATGCATACCGACATCGGCTACCGACAAGGCATGCACGAACTCCTCGCCCCGCTCTACTACGCCATCGACTACGACTCCGTGCCCCCAGAAACCAAGAGCGATATCGACCCTGCCCTCAAGGACTTCTGCGCTCATCAGTGGGTGGCCGCCGACGCATGGCTTCTATTCACCGCTGTCATGAAAGGCGCCGGACGGTGGTACGAGTGGCAAGAAGCGAAGGCACAGCCGGAGCCTTCGCCGCTGCCCTCCCATGTGCAACTCAATGTTTCCACAAATAATGCGCAGGTCAAGCCCTACATCGCCCCGATCGTCGAGGCATGCAACCGCGTGCAGTCCGTGTTCCTCAAGGGGGTCGATCCGGAATTGTGGAAGTCAATGCAAAGTGCGGGTATCGAGCCCCAGATATACGGCATGTATGTTCTGGTTCTCCACTTGATGCTGAACGGTCGCTAACATGCGTAACAGTCGATGGCTTCGCTTGCTCTTCACGCGGGAGTTCAATATGCAGGATGCAATGGTTCTTTGGGATGGCTTGTTCGCCGTAGATCCTTCATTCGATCTGGCACTATGGATATGCGTTGCTATGCTCGTTCGGATCCGTAACAAACGTATGTTTTCGTCCTGCGATCGTGTGTGACACGACGTGCTCATCTTCTGTACCCAGTGATACCTGCCGACTACAGTACGCAGTTGACATACCTCCTCCGATATCCAGGGGATGCTGCGGCCGCTGGCGGAAGTTACGAAGAAACCCCCGTCCACCACGCAACTCTTTTACTTCGCCAAGCCCTCACTTTACAGATGTCCCCAACCCCGACAATCGGCGTTTCCGTCATTCACGAGAACAAGAACCTCCTGGGCATCACAACAGAAGTCCCGCCTCCCGATCTGCCTCCCGTGCGCCGACGTAGAAGAGTGGAAGAAGGCCGCCAGTCGTTCACGGATGGTTCCTCTCGGTCGGAGCCTGGAAGTAGCAAGAGCGCGCACAGTCGTGGGCAGTCCAGTCCTATGGGCCTTCCGGAGACGCTTGCCCGCGGGATTCTGGAGAGAGGGGAGAGCTTGGGAATAAATAAGACGGTTATGAACGCCGTCTCTGAGCTGAAGGTTAGCATGCAGAGTCTGATACGACGGCCGTAAACTGACATCAGCTTCAGCGAAATCTACCTGACCTGGCGACCGCTTTGGGTCGACTACCGCTCACGCCGCAGCCGGCCAGCAATTACCCGCTCTCACCCGAACGACCCGCCACAGAGAGACCCCCATGGGAGCCTCGAAGTCGCTTCGAGATGGAGAGGGAGATCACGCAACTGCAGGGTCTACAGAGGAAGCTCGGAGATACCGTCAGCTGGGTCGTGGACACGCTCTTACTGGACGAGAGTGATCTTGCAGACGACGCTGCCAAGAAGACGTTGGAAAAGAGGAAGCGTGAGGCTCTGGAGTGCCTCTCGTATGTCCGAGACGTCCTCAAGGGCACGGTGTCGAATGTGGAGGAAGACCGTCTGGTCAGTGAGGAAGAGCTGCGGAGGAGGCGAGAGAAGGAGAAGCACGAGAGAGAGGCCGCTGAAGCGTTGAGCAGGCGACATTCCACCCCACATGTGCCGCAGCCCGCTGCATCCATACCCATCGAAGCACGGGCGCAGGGAATGGGAGCTCGTCGCTCGCAGGACTACTTCACACCTCAAGCACCCGGAGCAAGTCCACCCGCACGTCTAGCTGTACCCCTGCCTCCAACTGCATCCACGGTACGACATCCTCCAAAGCTCTCTGCCATCGCCTCCGCACCTCCAGGTGGCGCAGGTCCCGTCTCGCCGTCGGCACAGTCGCCTACATTCGGTGCACCATGGAACTACACCAGATCGACTTTCTCTGGAGGTATGCCTCCGATCGCGACCCTACCACGCGTGCCGCCCCGGACTTCGACGGTCCTTCCGCGAGCCGCTCCGTTGCCTCCGTCATTCAGGGTGCCGCCACCCGCCGCACCCCCGCCTTCGGACAACGTCTCGCGCTCGGAGCCAAAGCCGAGGCCTGCTCCTTATGACCCGCTGGGTGCTATACCGTAGACGTTTGCAGTCTTGAATGTTGTACAAAAGCTCTGTGTACGGTATCCCGTAGATGTGCTGTCGGAATCCGAGGAAAGCTACGAGACTGAGTGCGATTTGGCGAATAACATGCGCGTCAGCGGGGACGGAGGGATCGAGCGATCGAGGCGCGGTAGACGCCGGACGGGATAAATCACGCGGCTCTGATTGGTTTCGGCCGGGGACGGGATTTCGGTGAGCGGGTGCCGAGTGCAGTTCGTCGTAACGCCCTCGAGTGAAGGCCGCTCTGCAGACCCCCATACTCCCCTTCCTCCTCCCCGTCGTCCGCGACATCCACGCCATGTTCAGAAAATCCCTCCCCAGGGCCCTCCGCGCCACGCAGCGGTCCTTCAGCTCCTCAGCCCCGGCGCGCAGGGTCGTCGCGACCAACCCTGTCAAGGCCCAGGAGGTCCAGGTGCGTCTGCCCCGCATTCCTCCCTGGCGCGGCGTTTGACGTAGCCTCGGGCGCATCACAGGGCTGGGGCAAGTACCCCCTCATCGAGCACGAGTACGATGCTATCGTCGTGTAAGTCGCGCTCCGCCGTGTTTCCTGCGCCGTCGTCGCTCATGCATACACGTGCGTTTAGGGGAGCGGGCGGCGCCGGTTTGCGTGCGGCATTTGGTCTGGCGGAAGCTGGATTCAACACGGCATGCATTACGAAGCTTTTCCCCACCCGTAGTCACACTGTCGCGGCCCAGGTACGTTCTGTGAACCTCGGTCTCACTTGGTTGCTCATATATGCGGCAGGGTGGTATCAACGCTGCGCTCGGTGTAAGCCCCGCATACTTTGAAGTACTATGGACCAAGGGAGACTGATATATGCGCGCAGAACATGACCGAGGACGACTGGCGGTGGCACATGTACGACACGGTCAAGGGTTCCGACTGGCTTGGTGACCAGGACGCTATTCACTACATGTGTCGCGAGGCGCCCCGCACCGTTATTGAGGTATGTTTACGCTTCTCATATCCTTTCACGTGGGTCTCATTTGCTTGCAGCTTGAGCACTTCGGTTTGCCCTTCTCAAGAACGAAGGAGGGCAAGATCTACCAGCGTGCTTTCGGCGGTCAGTCGCTGAAGTACGGCAAGGGTGGCCAGGCCTACCGCTGCGCAGCGGCGGCGGATCGTACCGGGCACGCTCTCCTCCACACGCTCTACGGCCAGTCCCTCCGGCACAACACCAACTTCTTCATCGAGTACTTCGCACTCGATCTCATCATGCAGGACGGCGAATGCGTTGGTGTCATCGCGCTGAACATGGAGGATGGCACCCTCCACCGCTTCCGTGCACACAAGACTGTCCTGGCCACCGGTGGTTACGGGCGAGCGTACTTCAGCTGCACGAGTGCGCACACTTGCTCGGGTGACGGTAACGCGATGGTTGCGCGTGCTGGCCTGCCCTTGCAGGATCTTGAGTTCGTGCAGTTCCACCCTACGGGTATCTACGGTGCTGGCTGTCTCATCACTGAGGGTAAGTCGCAATATCCCTGTAGCAAGGCGCATATACTCACTTCAACTGCTCAGGTTCGCGTGGTGAGGGAGGCTACCTGCTCAACTCGGAGGGTGAGCGGTTCATGGAGCGTTACGCGCCAACGGCAAAGGATCTTGCGTCCCGCGACGTCGTCTCGCGTTCCATGACGATTGAGATCCGTGAGGGTCGTGGTGTCGGTCCCGAGAAGGACCACATCTACCTCCAGCTCAGCCACTTGCCCGCTGAGATCCTCCACGAGCGTCTTCCCGGTATCTCAGAGACCGCGGCGATCTTCTCTGGTGTCGATGTCACCAAGGAGCCCATCCCCGTCCTCCCTACCGTCCACTACAACAGTAAGCCACCGCATATACGAGCACTTTGAAATGTGCTAACAATCTGTTGCAGTGGGTGGTATTCCTACGCGTTACACCGGTGAGGTTATCACGCAGGACAAGGACGGCAATGACAAGGTCGTCCCTGGTCTGTATGCTGCCGGTGAGGCTGCTTGCGTGTCCGTCCACGGCGCCAACCGTCTCGGCGCGAACTCGCTCCTGGACATCGTCGTCTTCGGCCGTGCTTGCGCAACCCACATCAAGGAGACGCTCACCCCTGGCAAGCCTCACGCGAAGCTGCCTGAGGATGTTGGTCTCCACAGCGTTGAGCACCTTGACAAGATCAGGTACGTGCATGCGTGTATGCTCATGTTCGCCAATGCTGACACCCCTTACAGGAAGGCGGACGGTCCCCTCCCCACCGCTAAGATCCGGTTGGACATGCAGAAGGCCATGCAGGCCGATGCCGCGGTCTTCCGGTAAGATAATGACAAGTGAGCTGCTGTTAATCTGCTCACTCCTCCCATAGTACCCAGCAGTCTTTGGACGAGGGTGTCGAGAAGATCCGCCAGATCTACAAGACCTACGAGCAGGTCGGCATCAAGGACAGGAGCATGATCTGGAACTCGTCAGTACCTATCTCCCTCGTTGTACAGATGTAACGCTAACAGTATCCCTACAGTGACCTCGTCGAGACCCTCGAGCTCCGCAACCTCCTCCAGTGCGCCGTCCAGACCATCACCGCTGCCGCCGCCCGCCAGGAGTCGCGTGGTGCGCACGCGCGTGAGGACTTCCCCGATGTACGTACCGTATTTCCTACAAACTGCAGCTCGACATCAATGCTAATCGTTTCGCAACAGCGTGACGACGAGAAATGGATGAAGCACACGCTCACGTGGCAGCACGACATCGAGTCGCCCGACGTCGAGATCAAGTACCGCAAGGTCATCCACGAGACGCTCGACGAGAACGAGTGCAAGTCCGTGCCGCCGTTCAAGCGTGTCTACTAAACACCGCGCCGCTCGTTTGCGCCTCTGGCTCAGGAGCATCGTGGGATCGTCGTGGCTACGCGTAGCTCCCCCTCTTGGCCTGTCTTCGATAGTAGTATCAGACACTTTTACCTGTTGTAAAGCCTTCCTCTCGAATCGTAATTGCCTATTAGAAAGCCATATAACTCGTAGGCCGCTGTCGGACATGTGGACGTTAATGCTGGTGTAGCAGACGCTGCTTCATGCCATGCGTACAACACAGATAGATATGGACCACGTCGCAACAACAGAAAAGCACCAGACAACCACAGCGACGTATACAGCAGAGACGTCATTTACAATGGCCCGTCCAGATCAGCCGCATTGAACTGAGCCTCGGGGAAATAGCGGGCGCGGACGCTTCGGCCACCGAAGTACCGTCCATCAAGCTCCCGCACGGTCTTCCACGCGCCAACTGGGCCGCCGAAGAGCACGAAGATGCGCACTGCTTCCTCGGGGTTCTCCTGGGGCGGGTAGACGGCGTGGACGATGACCCGCTCGACTGTGCCATTCTTCGAGCACTCGTCGCCTGTACGCATGAAATACACCGTCAGCGTTCAGGTCTAAGCAATTGAACCCGCGCGAGAACTGACCGATATCCTCCCTCAGCTCCTCGTCCTCGACATCCTCGAGCCCGACCATGTTCGTGAGCACCACAACGCGGCTCGGCTCGCCGAACCGCTCGCGGTCCTCGCGCCCCTTCGCATCCTCGTTCCGGTTCACGATCTTGCCCATCTTCGCCGCGTTCGGCGCCGCGCCGATCGCAGGGGGGCCCGCGGGGACGCTGCCCTTGCCTTTCCCTTTCCCCTTGTTCCCCTTTCCCTTGCCGCCGTTCTTGCCTTGTGCAACCTGTTCGACCGTCAGCGCGTGCACGATGCCCGTGCCGTCGACCCCTAGACCCTGGCCCTCCTTGTGGCCCCACTTCGCCATGAGGCGCGCGGCGAAATTGTGTGGGTCCGGTCTTAGAAGAGGGAGCATCAGCACATGTATACGATGCGGGCCTTGGCCCACTTACTTCTTCGAAGACTCGGAGCTCTCTTCGGGAGGAGCGCTTGAGCCGGCGCTGGCAGGCTGGGGAGGCGCGAATCCACCTTTGGGAGCAAGCGCGCTGAGCCGTGCGGCGATCGCTGCAGCGGCGTTCTTGCTGCTGCGGACTTTGTCTTCTGTGAGCACTGGGGCGCTTGCTGGCGAAGGGGGCACGGCCGGAGGAGGGAAGGACGGTGTAAATGCCGGTGGAGGACTAATGAAGGGCACTGCGCTGGGTACATTAGGCGGAGGAGGTGGCGGCGCGGCCTGCTGGGACAGCGCCAAGCGGCGGAGATAGGCCTCTTCACCTGACTGCACAAATGCATTTGCAGGCGGTGGTGCAGGCGCCGCTGCGAACGCGGAAGGAGCATGGCCGAGGCCGGGGACGTCATCGCTACCACCCTCTGACAGTGTGAACGAAGATGACGGTGGCATAGTGGAAAATGAGGAGGAAGCCGCGGGGCCACTGGAGAACGAAGGCCCGGAGCTGGACGAGAACGAGGGAGGCGGCGGGCTTGTGAAGCTGGGCCCTACGGGTTCGGTAGGCCGGATGCCTTGGGATAGCGCCAGACGCCGCTGGTATGCTTCGTCTCCGGACAAGTCGACGGGCATGGGTGCCGGCGGAGGGCGGGTGGTCGACGAAGAACTGCCTATGCCGCGCGGTCGATAATCCTCTTCCTCCGCCTCTTCTCGCTCTTCAAAGCGACCTTCCAAAACAGTTTATAAATGAAACCTTTATGGATAGAGTGCAATACTCACCTGTTTTGCGAGGACGCTCGTCTTCGGAGGCGCTGCGGTTACTGTCCGAGTAACTGCTGCTGCGCCGGATGCGCTTGCGGTCCTCACCGCGTCGCTTCTCTTCCAGGGCGCGTTCCCGGCGCTCCTCACGCTCCTTGCGTTGCCACATCTTGAACTCATTGTAGTCGTTGGGCCGCATTGGGTCGTAAACTTCAGTGGGATCCCAAACAACAAGCGCTTGTTGTATTTTATTCTAGATATCTGCCTTCAATGGCGTTGTCATGGAAGAGAAAGAGGAGATACGCACCTTCTTACCCTTCTTCTTGCCACCCTCGCGTTTTCCGCCCTTTTGAGACTTGAAGCCGTTGATGTCATCGTCCAATATCATAGACGGCGGTTTGACTTTGCGGCCCCATCCCTGGCCGGGAGCCCCCGATTGAGGAGGAGCCTCCGGCTTGCTTGTAGACGGCTCCACGAGCGCCGGCGGTGCAAAAACGACCGCGGTACTGGATATAGTCGCAGCAGCCATTCCCGCTGCATTTGCCACGGTGACGGAGGCCCCGACCGGAAGCCGGGGCACGGCCGGCTTCGCCTTGGGAGCTTGCCTGCGCGTGGGCGCGAACGCCAGGGCAGCGGACCATCCTGGCGTGCCGAGATCGAGGGGGCCATCGGGGAGAGGAGAGGCATGGACGGATGGTCTCGTGAACAACACGCTCTGCAACGGCGATGCTATAGTGGAAGAATACCGGCTGTGGCCTTTGCGCTTGCGCTGGGCTCGCCCGTCGCGCTGCCCGCGGGCGCGGGCGCGTTCTGCGCCGCTGGGTCGGTGGGTGCTGCGGTGAATGTTGTGGCCGGTTTCTCAGAAATAGGTGTAGGTGCGGGGATAGCTGGGGCTTGAGAGGATGCGAATGCTTTGGTCGACGAGAATTGAATGCCGCCGTAGAGGCCGCCTGCTCTGCTCGACATCTTGGACGACGAGCTCGAGATGGTTAAGGGAGAACGAGTTAGACGCCCGAGCTGTAGGAAAGCTGCGTCTACTCCGGTGCTACTAGGCGCCGGCACGCCATAAATGTCCACGACAATTCGGGCCCACGGATGCAAACTCCCAACAAGTTAGTACATTACTGCATACAGCGATCCTAACACAGAGTGATACATGTGTAAACTTCATGATGTCAAAACCACATCGAGACCGAGAAGCTCATTTCCTCGCTCCGCATAGCGTGCCACCACCCGGGAGGAAAGAAAAGGAGGTCGCCCGGCTCAAGTGTTACACTCATCGCAGCCGGAACGACCCAGTCCCAGAAGTCGGGGAACTCCGCATGACTCTTCTCCAACTCTGCCGGGGATGAGGGAAAGACGTCTACACGAGTGGTGTTGCTCATCGAGGGACTTTCATGATTAGCGGCCGGGTTACGTGGTGTCTGATCGCTGCTGTCCTCGGAGGAATGCACCTTGTGCGACGAGGGGGGAGGATACGAGTACATGTGTGACGACGCTTCCGGAGGTGCGAGCCATATCGTCTTGCGGCCTACCACTTGTGCTGCGCGGGGTTCAGCATGTTATAAAGTCAGATCGCCGGTGGGCGTACCATAGACATTGAAGAACGGATCCTAAGTTAATCTTCAGTACGAGCTCCCCACGCAGTATTGACAAAGTACTCACAGTATGCGCAGGTGACACCGTGTTTGCCGGGCCCAGCCACGCGTTCAGCACGAGTTGCTCCTCGTTGCTCGGCGGAACGTACTGCGGATAGTTCTTCGGCGGGTCGAGGGAAGAATACACATAGTCTGGTACGACGATATCGTTTTGGAGAGCAGGAAATTGCTTGAACAGACTATGTTGCGCGAGATATAACACAGGACGCGGCTCAGCCGAAGGCACGTCGTCGATGCTGGCGAGAAACTCCTCCCAGGGCATCATCCGCTGCGTCCAGTCATCGCTGCGATAATCGCCGCCTACCTCGACAGGTACCACTCGTCCCGGCCCTGCCGCAGAACGAAGGTAGTCGAGCGAACCCCAAGGATGTTCATTGAGCGCCGGACAGTCTGCAAGAAACCCACGAAGGACGAAGGGTTGTTGTGAATGCCGAGAGAGGAAGGAGGCGAGGGAAGGAGGCGCGTCAAGACAGCGAACAGTGTTTTGTGCAGTGGGAAGGCTCCGCGGCGTCACTGCAGGCGTGTCGCGTATGGGTGCACCAAAAAAGCTATCACCGCGGCCAGCGGCAGGGCGATCAAGGCACTCAGATTGAATTCCTTCGATGAGGTCGAGGACAAGGTCCAATCTGCCGTCCCCCGCCGCACCAGCTATCACGATGGCATGATCCAGGTGGCTGACTGCTGAAAGCGCGCGCGTAGCCTCTCCAGAGGCCCAGAAATCCAGCACGTCCCCGAAGGCTAGTAGAATGCAGGCATCGGTGTAGACGCGTCGCCATCCACGAAGTCGCTGCGTGGAGCTCGATGCCATGGCTGCATGGGCGTGTTTCAGCAAGTCCTCCAGACCAGTGTTGCCGGCGCCGCACTGCGATGACGACGCCTGCAGATCGCCCGAGAGTAGGTGAGCGGCGTGCATAAGCGTGTCTGCACTGGTTTTGTCGCATGCGAGAATCTCTGACATGGTAGAAGTCAGAGGGATGTTGAGATGCAGTGTGAGATACGTTAATTACCTTCCGTATTTAGGTGTAGGTGGTCTTGCAACTGTTCCGCAAAAGCCAGGAATGCCTGACGAACACCTGCAGGCATCCTGGGACACGAAGAGGCAATGAGCGCTACAGGGTCCGGTGGAGAAGTTCTGTGCCCCTGCATCTTCGCTCCCATTGCGAAGCAGGACATCGCTCGCTTGTCATAGACGCTCTTTCCGAGTTGACTTATGACATTAAGTGGGTATTATGTGCACCGTTCAGCTTAAACGTTCCCGAGAAGTTACCAGCGCGCACAGTGCGACGGTAATCTCCCGGCGGTATGCTCAGGAACGGACTAGCTCGCACATACCTTAGCGGCCTACAAATCAACTTCTGAGTGGGAACTACGTCCGAAGAAGCACGAAGCCCTGGCCATACGTAACTTCCCGTGACCCCGGGGTGAGCTGTGCACGTCGTCCAGCCTTCTTTCGCCCTGTAGTTGTTCCGCAGCAAGGAAGACACAGGTTGTGTTCCTGCCCCGCGCCTGCTGTCGCGTCCTCCTTGCTCTGAGCACCGGTACCTGAGCCAGTACGCGAGAGTGGACGAATGCTGGAAGGTGAGGGACTCGGAGACTGGGGAATGATGCAGCGGGTGATGTGGCGGCGTCCCCGTTTGGCGATCATCTTGGAAGAGATCTGATATGTGACGATGTGACGGGCACGCCATCTCGTTCGAGTTGGTCGAAGGTTTGCTTTCGCCACGCGGCACGCAACGTCCAACACCCGCCTCTGCTCCATCAAAAACACAACGACGAGATAATAGAGCGACGCTAGAACACATCTACATACGCAGCGTGCCCCGCCGGAGAACCTACCTTTTGTCTGGCAGATGTGGCCCGAGCGCCAGGTGACGAGGGATGACGCGTCACGCGTGACTGTGTCAAATTTTCGTCACAAGCGAGAGATGATATAAGGTGCAGTGGTCGTGGCCCCGGGAGCGTGAGAATTCCCCGTTATCCTGCCTTTGATCTTCAGCGCCGGGTGGCGGTCCGGTTTACGTAATGACGTCGAGGTGCGCCCACATCCCATTCGGCAGCTCACGTCGTTCGCGGGCTTACGCGCGGGTGCTGACCAGGTTGGACCGGCTCCTCCTCCTGCTCGATACGGGGTCTTCTGCGTCCGTGAGGACCACTGCTGCCAAACAACTAGCTCAACTTGCCGCGAAGAGCGTCATCAGCGACGTCGCAATCGTCGAGGACGATGTAAAGACCAACAGACACCATGCGGCCGTCGGCGATCCCTCCGGGTGGTCGGAGCTGATGGCCGTTTTGGCAAGAGTTAGTGCTTGTTTCACGTAGACAAACAAGGTGCTAACTTCCTATAGATTCTTCCATACCTGCACTCCCGATCACACGAGACACGCACGGCAGCCTCCACTGCGCTCTCACAGATATTCTCACTCGTCCCGCTCTGGACGCCCGGTCCAGGCGCGGAGGCGAAACCCTACGGTGCATCTCTCACACTACCCGCACCGGAGTTCCCGTCCTTCTCCGTGCGCGAGCTCATGGAGAAGGGCACGCTGCTCCTCGCCTCCTCCGGCAAGGAGTTCATCAAGCCGACAGGCATTCTCGCGAACTCGAACGAAGTTAAGAAAGCGCGGAGGGAGGCTATGGGGCGCCTCGGTCTCGACTTCCTCGAGAGCGTCGGCGGCGCGGACGACATGGACCTCGACAAGGAGCTCGCCGCAGAGGACGCAGATCCGGACGTCGAGATGGCTCCGCCGACGAGTCCTGCAGTGAAGAGTGAGGACGAGTCCGTGCCCATCTCGCCAATCGAAGAGCCTGTCGACGTTAAGGTTAAGAAGGAGGAGGCGATGGCTGGACGGTCGAAGTCGTCGACGCCCGCCGCACCTTCACTCACCACGACACCCGCGCCGGAGGACATGTCAGCGCTATCCGCAAGAGAGCGCAATCGACTGAAGCGCAAGCGGAAACCGGGGAATGCGGCCGTCGTCGCCGCTCCTCCGCCGTCTCAGGGCGCCAACGCGAAGTTTCAGGCTGCGTCCGCAGGACCAGCGAAGTGCGCAGCTCTCAGCTTCGACCGTTCTTCGAGTCACTGACCCGAGCGTTTAGAGCTCGTCTGGTTGTCAACGGCGATAAGTCTGCGCCCAAACGTACAGACAGCCCTAAGTCGCCAACGGATGGTCCTGCGCCGGACCGTGTCGTCGTCGACCCGTCAAAGGGCGGCGCCGTCGCGCCCAAGACGGAGAGCAAGTCGAAGGCGCTCGAGGTTCAGCCTGGGTGCTGGGTCTGGGATGGCCTGGTCAAGCTGCTTGAGGTCGATTTGTTCAGTGCAGCTTGGGAAGTACGTCATGGTGCCGCCATGGCGCTACGAGAGCTACTGAAGGTGCAAGGGAAGTACGGCGGCATGAGAGGTCAGATTCTGTGGTTTATGTTGATAGGAAACAAACTGATGTACCTCCAGCGGGCGACATCGAGTGGGACGAGAACCTCGTCGCTCACGAGAAGTGGTGCAATGATCTCGCTGTGAGGTTCTTGTGCATCTTCGTTCTCGACCGCTTTGGAGACTTCGTCTCTGATCAGGTACAGCATACTCACCGTCATACCACGGCAAGCACTCACGTCGTATTGCAATAGGTCGTAGCGCCGGTGCGCGAAACGGTCTCACAGACCCTCGCCTCCCTCCTTCTCCACATGCCGCGCCGATCAGTGCTACATGTCCACAACGTCCTGCTTCAGATGATCCGCCAGGACTTCCCTATCCCCGTTAAACCCACGAACGGGAAGACGAAGGACGCTCATGCAGAGAAAGGCCACGTCTGGGAAGTCCGTCATGCCGGACTTCTCGGCATCAAATATGAGGTCGCTGTCCGCAGTGACCTTGTCAGCATGGATATCCCGGAAGACGACGACATGGAGATTGATGACGGGAAGGAGGTCCTGAGGGGCGTGGTCGATGCTGCGGTCCTCGGGTCAGTATTTCAGTGACGGCAGATGGACTTGCTTGCTGACGATGTGTTGAAGTCTAGGAGATCGGGACGACGATGTGCGATCCGTTGCGTCGTCGTGTTTGCTACCTGTAGCGGCCTACCTCGTCAGGCGGTTACCGGAGGAACTCCCACGAGTACTTGCCGTTCTCTGGAGCTGTCTAAGAGACATGAAGGACGATTTGAGTTCGAGCGTTGGTGCGGTAATGGATCTCTTAGGTTAGTCGGCATTTGAGCTCTCACGGCGGCTTGTGGCTTACATGCTGCACAGGCCAACTAGTCGCATACCCCCACGTCATTGAGATCATTGCGGACGAGTCGCGGTCGTAAGTCATTTACATCGCTGCAAGATTTGTGGCTAACGAACTTCTCAGACATCCCATCACCACTCTTGCGCCCACGTTATTCCCGTTCTTCCGGCACACGATCGCGAACGTACGCTTGGCCGTCGTCAAGACCTTGCACACATTCATGACTGTGGAGCATCTGTCGCGAGCGTGGATCACCGTGCCGTTCCTGCGCCTGCTGTTCCAGAATCTGGTTGTGGAGGAACGTCTGGACATTCGCCAGGCGACCCTCGCCACATGGCGCGAGACGCTCTCCATCCTCAGCTCAACACCAGGGTGGATGGAGTCTTGCGTCACGCAACCAATCCTTTTGGAGTGGTATGCGGTGCTGATGACACCACTCGGGTTACCTTTGGATGCGTCCAGCTTCTACGACCCTACCGTCGGTACCGACAGCGGTGGACCATCAGAGCGCCATAACGTCGACAAGAACATGCTTGCGCAGGATCTTTCCCTCATCACCATCGAGGTCGTGATTCAAGCCAGGCTAGCTGCCTCCTCTGCGTTGGCGTACATTATTGCCTTCTGGCCGCTCACGGTATGTATGCATAGTGCGCGCTCTATACATGCAACTAACGAAGCTTCAAGCAGAGCGAGCAATCCTTCTCGGTCGACGAGATGTTCAAGCCGATCCTGACCCACTACATCGACTCCGCCAGCATGCTTCAGAAGTTCCTCGCAGCAATCATCTCCGAGTGCTGGGCGCGCGAGTACGACACGCGCGCCGCCCCCGGCGCCCCGCTGCTCATCCAGGCCTCCCCGCTCGCCCTCGAGCTCTCGGAGAAGACGCTCGCGTGGCTGCAGGCGGACCCGCCAGCTGCGTACCACGAGATGGCGCTGACGCTCGCGCGCATCCACGGCGAGTGCCTGAACCTGCTGCAGTCGTTCGCGTACGACTGCAAGCTCCCGCAAGCGGCGATCCCGCTGCTCGGGACGGACATCGACGTGACGGGCACGAAGCCGGGCTGTTTCACGATCGACACCGCGCACGCGGCGATCGGGGACATGTTCACCAAGCTCAAGGACAGCCTGGGGCGCACGAAGAAGCGCGAGCTTGCGATCATCAAGGAGAAGCGGCTCAAGGTTGTGTCGAGCATCGAGCGCTATATTGAGGTGAAGGCGCAGTATGACGTGCGCGTCTCCGCGGCGTTTGCGGCTGCGTTCGTTGCGTTCAAGAGTACGCCCGACAAGGTCAGCCCGATCGTGAAGGGCATCATGAACAGCATCAAGGTGAGTTTGACCCAAGGACACTGTCTGAGATTGGGGCTAACGATTGTGTTATAGACCGAGGAGAACCTCGACTTGCAGACGCACTCGGCGGCGGCTGTAGCGCTCTTCGTCGAGTTCTGCGTTCAGCGCGACCTCGGCCAACCTCCGGACAAGATTGTCAAGAACCTCTGCACGTTCCTGTGCCAAGATGTCGAACAGACGCCTACTTTCTTGTACAACAGGAAGATCCTCGATGGCGTCTTGTCATTCACGAAGCCATCCTCTGCCTCTGCGGCTGCTAGCAACGGCAAGGACGGCGGTGACAAGCACGGCGAAGACCCTGCGAAGGCGCGGTTGTCGCGTCGCGGTGCGAGGCTCGCTTTCGAGAAGCTCTCTGCCAAGTTTGGTCCGCGGTTGTTACAGGCTGTACCCAAGATGTGGCAGTCCATGGCCGGAGGTCTGCTCAGCGCGTGCGCTACAGGTTGGTGCACGAACTATTGAGCTTGCTTGACGGTTCTCTGACGAATTTGTTAGACTCCGTGAAGAAGATGGACGAGCTGCTCGAGAAGCAGCATGGGCAGGATGTGATCGACTCCCTGAGCGTGCTCGAGGCCGTCGTCCCTACCTTCCACGAGGAGCTTTCGCACCATTTCACGGAGCTCTTCCCGCACGTCGTCCTGGCTCTTAGGAGTCGGTTCGCCATCATACGGCAGTCGGCAGCGCGGTGCTTCTCGACCATGTGCGACGTCTTGACCATGGATGCCATGCGCTACGTGATCGAACAGGTAGTACCCTTCCTTGGTGACGCGTCGGTTCTATCGAATCGCCAGGGTGCCATCGAGTTGATATACCGTGCGTGTTTCTTCAAAGATGCAAAGTCATGTATATTGACTCCATACACAGACATCGTCCAGAAGCTCGACATCAAGGCGTTACCGTATGTCATATTCATGGTAGTACCCGTCCTAGGGCGGATGAGCGATCCCGACGATGACGTCCGCGCCACCGCGACGAACACGTTCGCTTCGCTGGTCAAGATGGTTCCGCTAGAGGTAAGAGCATCTTATACATTGCGTTGCGTATGCGACAGCAGCTGATGCATGTACAGGCTGGCCTTCCTGATCCCACCAACTTCCCAGAGGACCTGCTCAAACGACGCGAGGAGGAGCGGCAGTTCCTCACACAGCTCCTTGACGGGAGCAAGGTGCAACAGTACGACATCCCCGTTGCGATCAAGGCGGAGCTGCGCAAGTACCAGCAGGAGGGTGTCAACTGGCTTGCATTCCTGGCGAAGTACCAGTTGCACGGCATCCTGTGTGATGGTGAGTGGAGAGCGGTTTCCACTGAAGGAGCTTCATCACTGACCATCATATGCAGACATGGGTCTCGGCAAGACGCTCCAGTCGATTTGCATCCTGGCTGGCAAGCACTATGAGCGAGCGCAGAGGTACAAGGAGACCAAAGCCCCCGACTCCAAGCACCTACCTTCACTCATCGTGTGCCCACCGACGCTCACGGGTCATTGGTACTATGAGATCCTGAAGTACGCGGAGAACTTGAAGCCGGTCCTCTACACCGGGAACTCTCGTGAACGGAACAAGCTCCTGCCCAAGCTGAAGTCCTACGATATCGTGGTTACTTCGTATGAGGTCGTCAGGAACGACGTCGCGAGCCTGCAGGACATCAACTGGCACTACTGCGTCCTCGATGAAGGTCACATCATCAAGAACGCGAAGACTAAGTTGACGAAGGCCGTCAAGTGCATCAAGGCCGTACATCGTCTCATCCTCTCCGGTACTCCTATCCAGAACAACGTCCTGGAGTTGTGGAGCCTCTTCGACTTCCTGATGCCCGGCTTCCTCGGTACCGAGTCGTCCTTTAATGAGCGTTTCAGCAAGCCGATCCTCTCCAATCGTGATGGCAAAGCGAAGACAGGCGAAGCGGGTAAATATCATTTCCTTTCACACCGCTTACTGCGTTCCTAACACCCTCCCCAGCTGCGCTCGCACTCGAGGCCCTGCACAAACAAGTCCTTCCCTTCCTGCTTCGGCGGCTCAAGGAAGACGTCCTCAACGACCTTCCCCCGAAGATCATTCAGGACTACTACTGTGAGCTGTCTGAGCTGCAGAAGTTCCTGTACGACGACTTTTCCAAGTCGAGCGCGAAGATGGAGGTCGACGACGTCGTCCGGTCGCACAAGGAGAAGGACGGCGAGCAGCAGCACATCTTCCAGTCATTGCAGTACCTCCGGAAGCTCTGCAACCACCCTGCGCTCGTCCTCAAGAGTGACAAGCAGGCGATTAAGGAGGCCCTTGCGAACTGCGGTGCTCATTCATCGACCGGTGACCTCAGCGACATCCAACATGCCCCCAAGCTGCTTGCGCTTCGGTACGTCTATCGCCCTCAATACTTATCTTATTTCGAGCCTGATGTTGTGCAATAGCCAACTTCTCGTCGACTGCGGTATCGGTATCGCGGCTGGCGCAACCGGTGACGCGACAAAGTCCGAACTCGTCGACACCGACGAGACCGGCCACGGCGCGTTCTCGCAACACCGCGTGCTCATCTTCTGCCAGATGAAGCAGATGCTCGACATCATCGAGACGGACCTCTTCAAGCAGCACATGCCCGCGGTGACGTACATGCGGCTTGACGGTGGGACGGATCCCAAGAAGCGTCACGCGATCGTGCAGACCTTCAACGCGGACCCGAGTATTGACTGCCTCCTGCTGACGACACATGTTGGTGGGCTGGGCCTCACGCTCACTGGGGCGGACACGGTCATCTTCGTCGAGCACGACTGGAACCCGATGAAGGACCTCCAGGCTATGGATCGTGCGCATCGTATCGGGCAGAAGAAGGTCGTCAACGTGTACCGTCTTATCACCAAGGGCACTCTGGAAGAGAAGATCATGGGGTATGTGTTCAGTAGGCACGCTGAACTCTGTGCTAGTACTCACGTATCGTCTCTAGCTTACAGCGCTTCAAGCTCAACATCGCGAACTCGGTCGTTACTCAGCAGAATGCGGGCCTGTCATCGATGGACACGGACCTCGTTCTGGACCTCTTCAAGCGCACATCAGAAGAGGAGGACGCGGCCGCCGCCGCGAAAAAGAAGGAGAAGGACCCGAGCGCGCCCCCGGGCGCGAAGAACGTCCTGCGCGGGCTGGAGGACCTCCCGCCCGAGGAGGAGTACCAGGAGCTGGACGTGAAGAGCTTCATGAGCTCGCTGGGCGGGAAGCAGTAGTGCGCGCACCATATCTTATTCGTTCATCGTTTGCAACGCTTTCGGACCGTCGCCACGGATTAGACCAACGAACCGGTAGACCCAATGTATTCTGTAGCTGTACTCCCCCAATAGTTGTATAATACAGTATAATCGCCCCCGTCCGCCCTGGCCTACGCGCTACTTAGAGTTAGTTGTAACTTGCCAGATTTGTAGCTGTGTACTCATGCATGTCGTGGAGATGCCACTTTCTCGAAAGCTCTGTTTAAATTGTCTCTCCACCATCATACGGTCAATGCTGAGTACTGAGTGCGAGCTTCTTTGTGGCGTGACAAAAAAAATCTTGTACGGCTGCGCAGTAACTGAGCTTCACAGGACGTGAGGAGCGTGGAACACATGTTTTCCGCATTCAGGAGCTAGATATACACGAGAAGCCGAGAGAAGTCGCAAAAAGCTAGGAGGAACCAAAGTATCCCGTTCTCCACGCATCTGGCGGGAATGGAAGCCTCCACGACTGTATGCAGTGACCTCACTGTTGAGGCGAGTTGAGTGTACAAGCAGGATTTGCTCCGCATTCGAAAATCGGGGGTCTTTCTCTGTCCGCGCGCGTGCGAATCCACCAAGTTGCCGTGGTCACCCAACCTCCCATCAAAGCACATTATCCTGCTCCCCATCGGTGTTCGCTAATGCTTGTTGGGACACTTACGACTACTTTCCATCTCAATACCATTACTCTTCAGGCCACGAGTAATAACTACAGTTCACCAATGTTAGTGCGACTGGAGGAAACGGCGCATCTAAAATATACGCACCGCTCGCTCGCGTCACTGACAAGTGATAATTTGGGTATATCCGAGCCACCCGTATCCCCGTCTTCCGTGTTCTTGACCTCGTGTCGGAGAATGCGAAAGGTGGTCCACCTCGGCTGTGACGGCGAATACGCAGACGGTACGAGCATTGCGATCGTTTGCACAGCGGGCGCCAGGGTCTCCGCCATCCGCGCCGCTAAAGCCCGAAGTCTTCCCTTGTAGTGATATACATGCTCGTCCTCGAAATGTTGCAGACCTCGTCGGCCTATGATAGGGTCCGGAGCGTGTACAGCATCCAAATGGACCTGCAATGTCCGCAGTCTGGTAAGCCGCTTTAAGGCTCCTGCGACTCTCTGGCACACATGCTGGTAAGTCTACATCTCCGGGCGCGTGGAAAGGACATACGTCTGCACATTCAGCCTCTGGCTCCCCCGGCTGGTCGCGGACGTGAGCTCTGTACCGGCAAAGGCGCAAGAACTCGAGATCCGGGAACATTGTGGCGATGGTCGATATTAGCTCGTCCTCCGCGAAGTCCACGTAATATTCGATCTTGAGAGTGTGAAGGTGGGCGGACCTGCAGCGACCTAGGACTGCCAACATTTCGGACGCGGGCAAAACTGGAGTACGCCGCGACGGAGGCAAGTATCTTTGGTCATAACGTTGGGGCCATAGATCACTGAGATAGGGAGTGAAGCCGTCTAAAGAAAGGCTTCGAATAGAGGACGACACACGGGAATAGAGCTGATCCTGGAGGCTAGGATATGTGACAGTAAGCGTTTCCAAAACTGGCAAGATGGGAGTTGACGGGACACCCGCGTGGGGCGGCCAAACCAGCACCCGTCGCACTTGGCCTTCATCGCAAGCAAGCTTCAGACAGAAGGAACGGAGTTGCGGCATCTGTTGCAAGACCGAGATCAACGGGGGGACATGGCCATGGGCCGCCGCAACGGGCGCATCGCCATACAGTTCCAGAGAGCGTAGCCGAGGCCACTCTGCTGCTCCTAAGGCGTGGTAGGGCGCCGATTCGTTCGGTAAGACGAGTGTCTCGAGTGAAGCACGCAGCTTGCCCAGAACGAACCCGAGTGCTTCCGTCTCCGTATGGTAAGCGCGAGGTCCCGGTCGGCCATGGGGCATGGAATAGCGAAAGACAGCAAGTGGCGGCGGGGCGAAGGTGGGATCGTCGGTGAAGGTTAGAGGAGAAAAGAGATGTCGGCGAAGGTTGAATTCTCTCAACGTAGGGACCGACATAGCCAGCTTCAACGCTGCCCAGGCGACGCCATGCACAATTCCATCGTCGCTTAAACCGTGCAACGTCAAGCGGAGTAGCTGCGGCATCTCGTGAAGAAGTTTTCCAAACTCCTCGGTATCCAATCTATTGCACGCCGCCGGATAGTTGATATTTACCGCGCCCCTCCGCGACTGTTCCGCCGCTGCGCTTTCGCACCAGTCGGTAAGCGCGAGATATCTGGAGCATTTCCTGTGTTAGTCTACCGTTTGTGAGACAAATACGAGCACATACACCACATGCTGGCGGGTACCGGTAGGAATGAACAGGTCGAAATGCATCGGCACGGTAAGTGGACACCTCAAGTTTTCAAACCGGGCAAAGATCACCGGGGCGCACACCAGGCGGATCGCGCGGCAGATCAGCGAGAACGCTTTCAGATCGTCCCACCTGCTTGCTAAGCAGAGGACCTCGATGATGCACAGTAGAACGTCTTCATTCAAGCGAGTCAACGACGATCTATTGAACAGAAACGTGTGAGATGCCAGTAGGTCAAGTCTAAGAAGCACGCCTTACTGTGAATCCATTCCTGTCTCTCTGGGCGCAATTGTCCTTGCCTCCGAGTAGCTGCTGACCATATAGTCCCAGTATGATATAATATCCGCAAGGCCTTCAAGCTTCCAAGGCAGGTAGATAGCTGTGATAATTGTCGAAGAAGCGATGCAAGCCAGGAACAAGTCGAATCGATCGACTAGCGCGCGCCGGGGCCCCGATATCGCGCGGGCGCTTGAACCGGAGTAATTTCGGAGAAGCTGAGAGTGTCTACTAAAGCGCCCTCCATACCAAACCTTAAGTTCTTTTTCCACACCGTACAAGACCGTACACCTACCGTACACACTCCGTACACCCATACCCAGCGTCGCGATCTCTTAGTTTCCTTCGATGTTTCAAGCAGTAGGTCCACGCATACCCAGCCCGCTTCCATGATTGTCTCATATACATCGGTGAGTCGAGGTGACTATCGATTCAACTTGAAGTTCAAGTTGGCTGCAGCGCCAGCCCCTCGATTTACTACTATGGATTGAACCTGTTGAGATCTCTCATCAGTGTTGTCTAGTATCGACTGTTGAATACATACGCCCACTGTTCAATTTGCTGTGCAGCTGACACAGCCGACTTGCGAGCCAGCGGGCACGCCCCATTCGCTGACCAGGCCGGTATAGATACCGGGGTCGCAGTCGATCGAGCGTATCTAACAAGATTGGCTTCCGCCGTGCGTATCTCTGTTATTAACCTACTAGCCCGGTCGGAAACGCCCTCCACCATAAGGTATCTCGCATTTACCTGCTATCACCTCACCTGACTCACGCCCAATCTGCCACAGTCCTTATCTCCCCCCGGGTGTTCTATTCCCTCGCCTTCAGCCCGTGCCGTAGATATGTGCCTATGTCTGTTATCTCTCAGGAGGCCGTCACCGCGGCGGTGCTGGGCTATAAGAGCACACACCGTCTGGCTCATCCACCGCTGACCGGAACTACCCGCCCTCGCAAACATGGTCTTCTCGCCCCGACTCAGCGCAGCCGTCATCCTTGTCAGCCAGGCTGCACAGGCCCTCTGCTCGATTCAGTACCCCGTCGGCTTCGCCAACACCGGGGCTCTCGATGCGCTGAACTTCACGGAGATCTTCGCGGCTCCGGCCGACATGTCGAACGCGCGCTGGGAGCGGGACTCGTTCCACGGTCTGACGACGTTCGCACGCGCGTCTCCGCTCCGGTGCTTCGGCGCGGACGCGGACTCGGGGTACGATGTCGCGGTTATCGGCGCGCCCTTCGACACTGCGACAAGTTTCAGGCCAGGGTAGGCATACATTTCCATATGTTCATGACATCGGAGTCGAGACGCTGACCCCCTACTTAGCGCACGGTTCGGGCCCAACGGCATTCGCCAAGGCTCCCGTCGTCTTGGCGTAGACAGGATCAATGTGGCAGCAAAGATCCGCGTCAGCGACCACTTGGATGTCGTTGACTGCGGCGACGTACGTGAGTACAGGTTTAGCACTCGGGCGGACATGAAGTAGAGCTAAACGCATATCTCAGCCATGGTCTTGACCGACAACAAGGTCGCGCTGCGGCAGCTCGAGCTCGCCAACGCCGCACTCCTTACGCGCACCAGCTTGCGCTCGTACTCGGGCAAGAGCATCGCGAAGGATGGCAAGTTCCACCCTCGTGTGCTGACGCTTGTATGTGCTCTTCTGTGGTATGTTCCCGTACCCGCTGATCGCGTTGTTGTATCCAGGGCGGTGACCACACCATCACGCTCCCTCTTCTGCGCGGAGTAGCCGGCGTGTACGGCCCGGTCAGGTACGTTGGACAACTGCGTTTTTGACTGTATAACCTTGTTGACGGTGCCCGTGCAGCGTTATCCACTTCGATAGCCACTTGGGTGAGATATGGCGGCCCCTGTTAACAACGCTCATCGCTGACTGACCATCGCTTTTACAGACACATGGAAGCCCAAGCCAATGGCTGTAAGTTCTCGCAGCATGAACGAGGAGTCAGCAAGCGTCTGACCAATATTCTTACAGGGCGGGCCATGGTTGCCTGACGAGGAGATCCCCGTCAGCCACGGAAGCTACTTCTGGTACGCGTGGAAGGAGGGTCTGCTTGCCCCCAACAACGCGAACATCGTACGCATCGTACAGTTCTCCGTTGCTTTCCAGAACTCACCGTGTTCTTTGTAGCATGTCGGCATCCGTGGCGCGATCAACAGCTGGAAGGACTACGAGGAGGACCACGAGTTTGGTTGGGTCATCTCGCACGCTGAGGACGTTGAGGACGTCGGATGGAAGGGCGTCGTGAAGCACATCCTGGAGACCGTCGGCGACAACCCTGTCTACAGTGAGCTACTCCGTTTTGGTCGCGCTGCACAGATTATTGAACATTTCGCTTCTAGTCACGCTCGATATTGATGTCCTCGACCCCGGAGTCGCCCCTGCGTACGTTCCTGCCATGTCTTCATTTTTTAACACTAATTAACACCTTGTACAGTACCGGAACGTAAGTCTAATGGTATCGGTGGAGCTACGTTTCGCTTGCTAAAGTGAAGTAATCCGTCAGCCCTGAGATCGGAGGCATCACCACCAGAGTAAGTTGCGCTGCTGTTCGCACACGTCCCAAGGCTGACCACCGCCACTCCAGGAAATCAAGAAGATCCTGCAAGGACTTTCTGGCCTGAAGATCGTTGGCGCGGACATTGTCGAGGTCGCCCCTGGTACGTCCACGTTCTCACTCTTGTACAAACCACTGTGGACTGACCACATGTGCCCCGACTGTGCAGGATACGACACTCAAGGTACGCGGCCCTCTGATGGGCATCGTGTACACAAGTACTGACAAACTTCGCCTCGCAGATGAGATCACGCAGATCGCGGCGGCGAACATTGGCTGGGAGATGCTCGCGCTGATGGCGAAGACGCCTCTCACCGAGTAGAGTACTCTTCCACGCCGTAGTGAGTATGTCGGAGGGCGGTGCGGAAACTCAGGGAGTTCATCCACATCAGTGTAATTTATGACGCTCTCAAGGAAAAGGATGTAGGAACACATTGGACAATGCTATCGTCCATACTCACCCAGCCGCCCGAGTGACGTATGAGAGGTTTGTGTCAAACCTTGAACATGCTCGTGTATCGACTTCGAAGTATGATTGTTTGGGCATCTATTTGGCGGGGAGGGTAACCCGGCGAGTATGTCAGACCGTTCTTACCCGAGCCAAGTTGTGACTTAGTAAGCACGTCGCCTTGGAGGATGACGAACACTAACACCTGACAGAGCAGGTGCTATAGCCTATGGGATGAATGCGTACTAATCCGATCGAATAGGGCCCTATATACAGCCGTGCATGAGAACGGCCAGCCACAACCGCACTCCAGCTGCACAACTCTTTCATCTCGACCACCAACATCATGTCTCTTCCCACCATTGAAGTCGTCTACAGGCCCGGAACGGAGGCGTTCCGCGCGAAACCCAAGGATGCATCGTTCGTAAAGCCCGCGTTCGACATCCTCAGCCAGCAGAAGGGCCAGCTGCAGTGCGTCCGGGGCCATGATAACCGCTAATTAGGCTTGAAAGTACAATCGGCCCTGATCGGACGCTCATTTTGCGTGCAGGAAGTTCTTCGGCCTGCAACACGAGGATAAGACGTCCGCCTATGTTATCGTCGGTATGTATCTCGCGGCGGCCTCCGAGAGATGGTATCTAAAGTGCTAACGATCGTCTCTTACACAGCTTGGGAGGACCTCGAGGACCACAAGCGGCTCATGAACGACACCGAGACGTACCCGCGTCTCGGTGCCGCGGTCGGCAGCTTCTTCGACGTGACCGCGAAGGCCCCGCAGAACATGGTGCACGTCCGTCCGACGAGCGACCCGTTCAAGGCGTTCGAGGCTCCCGTCACCGAGATTGCGTACTTCACGCTCAAGGCGGGCACCTCGAAGGATGCGGGCGAGCAGCTCATCGACACGCTCTCGAAGGCGATGATCGCTGCAGGCAGCGCCGACGGCGTGGTGCACTCCGCCTGGGGCCCCGTTGTCGAGAAGGACAACGTCATTGCGCTCTTCATCGGGTGGACGAGCGTTGACGTATGCATTTTTCGTGCCAATGCTATGCTGGAGGAGCGTACGCTGACCGGTTGCGTTTACAGGCCCACCACAAGGCGATCTCCGCGAACACGACCCTGGCAGGCCTCATTACACAGCTCAGGGCGGCTTTCGAGGTTGACTTGGTCCACGTTGAGTTCACTGCGGCCTAACGAGAAGGACGTACGAAGTACCATAACCCTGTAAATTAACCATTCAAGACACTGATGTTGTTATCTCCGAAAGGCCAGGGGCGTACATGCCGTGTAGCTCTCACTGGCGCGATGTCAGACGGCTTCGTGCACGGACGGGAAATGATCTTGACCTCGAATGCGGACGTAAGTTCTGCGCGTGCACCTGACTCGCCTCGAGAGCTCACTGTGAGACTACTGCATACAGTCGTTGAGGCTTCCGTTCCAGTCAGACGCGTGGTGACACGGGACACTTTGATTCCTCCTAGCTTCGTCCTGTTTCTCCCTGTTTCTCGTGTATCGCTAGCTTCTGGATGCGGAAAACGTGTGTTCCACGCTCCTCTCGTCCTGTGAATCCCACCTACCGCGAGAACGTACGTGAGATTATCTCACGCCACGAATAACCTCGTACCCAGGCATCGATCGTATATACGATGTGCATACGATGGCGGCGCCGCAGCCAACTTGTTCAATCCATAGTGGTTGCCTCAGGTTCGGTCAGCATGATATATATTCAACTATTTAAGCATACCGTGTACTCGTGGACCAAGGCATCAAAGAGAGCGCGTCGAGCTCGGGGCTATTGGCCATGGTGAGTGGTGTGGAAATCGAAAAGCATTCCACTGGGATCTCGCACCAGTGCCACGCGCGGCGCTATAGTAAGCGCCGGCTGCGCGATACCAGGCGCGCGCCCGGTGTCGATCAACTCGGGAGTTGCTCTTGACTTCCATCTCCTCTCCGATTAATCATCACAGCTGTCTGCTTGCGCTTGGAAGGCATCGCAAATGCCTGAGCAAATTGGACCCATGATCCATAGTTTCCCTACTTCCTCGCAGGCAGAAGCAAGTCCACCCAAGGAGGATAGGATGGAGTCACGGTGAAGAATATCTTCAAGTTCCTGGTGTTGTACGCGCCACCTTTCTGACAAGTTGGTTGTATATAGACGTCCTTTGCACCCTCTGAATGAAGACACAATACGCTACGTTGTTGAGGTCCTTTTATCGAGCGGACGACGGAAAGACCTACGCGCGTTCGCGCTCACCTGCCGCTGGATTCGCGACTTATGTCTACCAGCGATGTACGCACGATTCGAAACTAAGATGACAATCACCGTACCGCAACATTTCGACCTATTCATTCCGACAGGCATCCGCCGGCATGTGAGGTGCGCCTTCGTGCTTGTTGCAAATACCTATACCATGGGCTGACACGCAACTTGTACAAGGGAACTTGTCCTCAGGGACTTATGTGACCCGTGGCAGGGTCACGAAGACCGAAATCGACCGAGGAACCCCGACATATTTATGCTGTGCAGCAGACTAGACTACGAGGAATTCACTACCCTTCTTCGCGACACGGTGCAACTACAGTGCTTGACGCTGGAAGGAGAAACGCAGACATTTTACGAGTATGTACACGGCGTCTCCTGGGACGCCTTGAAAGCGGCCATGTCGGTCCCATCATTGCAAGAATTCAACCTTCGCCGCCATCTCTTTTCTCCTCTGACCTTCACCGACGATCCCACCTTCTTCCCGCCGCCACTCACTGCATTTCGCTATTCCATGTTCCATGGTCGATCGGGACCTCGCGTTTACCATGCGGAGACGGAAGCACTCGGGTTCATTTTGGGCAAGCTGCGTGACTCACTCGAGACACTCGCCTTGCCGAACGAAACGGCACCCTACCACGTCCTGGCAGCAGCAGAGTGGCCTCGACTACGCTCTCTGGAACTATATGGCGATGCACCCGTCGCGGCGGCCCATGACCCCCCGGTAATCTCGGTCTTGCAGCAAATGCCGCAACTTCGTTCCTTTTGTCTGAAGCTTGCTTGCGATGAAGGCCAAGTGCGAAGGGTGCTGGTTTGGCCGCCCGACGCGGATGTCCCGTCCATTCCCATCCTGCCAAGCTTGGAAGTGCTTACCGTCACCTATCCCAGCCCCCAGGATCAGCTCTATTCCCGTGTGTCGTCCTCTATTCGAAGCCTTTCTTTAGACGGCTTCACTCCCTATATCAGCGATCTATGGCCCCAACGTTATGACCAAAGATACTTGCCTCCGTCGCGGCGTACTCCAGTCTTGCCCGCGTCCGAGATGTTGGCAGTCCTAGGTCACTGCAGGTCCACCCGCCTTCACACTCTCAAGATCGAATATTACGTGGACTTCGCGGAGGATGAGCTGATATCGACCATCGCCGCAATGTTCCCAGATATCGAGTTCTTGCGCTTGTGCCGGTACAGAGCTCACGTCCGCGACCAGCCGGGGGAGCCAGAGGCTGAATGTGCAGACGTATGTCCTTTTTGCGCGCCCAGAGATGTGTACTGTCGCAGGAGCCTTGAAGCGGCTTACCAGACTACGAACGTTGCAGGTCCATTCGGATGCTGTACACGCTCCGAACCTTCTCATGGGCCGACGAGGATGGGAATACTTTGAGCAAAAACATGTAAACCAGTATGAGGGAAAACTTCGGGCTTTAGCGGCGCGGATGGTGGAGACGCTGGCGCCTACTGTGCAAACGATCGCAATGCTCGTACCATCTGAGTATTCGGCGTCACAACCATGTTGGACCAACTTTCGCATTCTCCGAGACGAGGTCAAGAACACGGAAGACGGCGGTCCAGGTGGCCCGGATTTCCCCAACTTCAGTGTGGTCAAAGACGGTTACGAGCGGTGCGTATGCAGCAGATGCGGTTCCTTCAGTGCACTAACATTAGTGAATCTCAGGGATTACTCGTGGCCTGAGGAGTCCATCTAAGATGGAAAGTGGCTGTATATATTCCAACAAGTATTAGCGAGCACTGATGGGGAGCAGGACAATAACATGCTGGGTGACAACGGCAACTTGACCTCTTAAAACGACTCCTGAGATATATTTCAAGTCAGTCAACACGAGGTTTCGAAGATCCTTCGGGTGCCCCATGTGGGTTTTTGGGGCTAGATAATATGCGAGGAATACAAAGACCAAAAATTCAAGGTAGCCCGGAGTCTGAGATCTGAGACTGGAGGCCTGAGGCCTGAGGTTTGAGGCCTGATGGGAGGAGGAGCGGAGCCACATCTCACTCACTCTTGTTGTGGGCGCATCAGACGCCCGCTTATCCAGTCTCTCTATAACTCCCACCATCGACAGACAGATTCTGAGAGCTCGAGTAGCACGATCGCGTTACACTCAACCCTGGGTATCTCGTCCTTGTAAATCATTCCAGATGTCTACTCCGTGGCCTCGTGTTGCTGTGTCAGATCTCGGGAGCATGACACGCGAAGAGATACTCTCGATTAGTTCTCAAACTACTCATCTTTCATCCGGCACACCGCAGTGCAGCCATTGCGGCCAGATGGAGTACCAGATGGGGAGGAAGCTGAAGCGATGCGGCGGATGCGCCGTAGCCATGTACTGTAGCAAGGAATGCCAGAAGAATGGATGGCCAGGCCATAGGTACGTCGGAGACGATACCAGTATGACTCTGATTATCCTCAGTTCTTGACCGTTCCTATACCTATGCTGACATTCCTTGTCTTATGAAGGGAATTCTGTCGCCGCTCTGACGACCCCAGCAGCCCGCGCGCCGACGGCCACTCATTCTCGGGGTTTCCTTCAGCGATTATTCTGGGAAACGCGATAAAACTCTGGGCCGAGATTAACGACTACGGCATCACTGTCGTTACCAACGCTGCTATACTCCTAAACAATGACATCCGGCCTCCTGATTTCTCCCGCGAGATCTGGGCGTTCATGTTCGTGCTCGACGTGGGTGCCAACAGCCAGGGGCCTGATGGAAATCCCGCGAAGGCGTTCCAGCTTCTCCAGGTATCCCTCGTGCGCAAAGAGGGGCTCGGGCCGCTGTCTGACACATGGGACCAGGCGGTGGACCATTGCCGCCAAGCAGCTGTGGCTAGGCGCAAAGAGGAACCTGTACATCTTCTGGCCGCGTACCTCCCCGCCGTCTTCGTCATGGCGAACACCGGGGTCACCACTTGGTACCATTTCCCCGTCTACCTACCGCGACGTGAGGACGCGTTCTCTCTTGATGGAACACGCCGCTCCATTATTTCGGACGCCCACAGGATGTGCTCGGAGGCTATGAACGCGGGCGATATCTTCCGGGTCCCCGAGGAGTCTAGCAGATACAAGCACACGCCGGACCTCGGCACTGTCGTTAAATACGGCAAGAAGTGGATGTGGCAGGCCCGCGACGAGAACGTATACTGGGACGCCCTAGCACGCCGGATGTCGCACAAGGACAGTCCGTACAAATCTGGCCTGCCTCCCCGCGAAATCTGGGCGCGCTTTCAAGGCCTTTGAGCGCGGCTCTTATAGTGAGTATTTCCTCAATTCCGGAGACTCACATTGAACGTACTGGTTTGTAGGTGGACGACGTCTATGACAGCGATGCAGTGTAAGTTTTTTTTGTCCTGATATGCTACCTCGATGCGCGACGTGAGGAGTTTGAGAGGAAACGGTGTACTTGTACGGCTGTAACACCACGACTATGAACCTGCGATTTATGTACCTCTCAATCAGCTTCGCGGTCTGTGGGATCCCTCCACCTTTTCCATGGCTTGCAAAGTCAACTATAGCCGACTCATCCCAGTAAGCCATGTGTTTGGCCGGAAACTCAATGATTTAAAAGCTCACCTTCGCCGCTTCCATTACGTTCGGGCGCCACTCGCCCTTCTCCTCTTCGACAAGGGCTTGGAGGATATCCTTCCAATGCGCCCATCGGTCAGGGTGATACCCAACTACGCCCGTCCACGTTCCCCCACTCCTTCCCGGGGAGGTGATGATCTTCGTTTCACGATCCCAAACCTCGCGGCACGCGAACATCTGCGCGCCTGCGACCCGCAACCATATCATCCCCGTCTCCATCCCCAGCTCGCATGGGAACGTGGCGTCGCTGGGCTTCGACCTCCATACGTCCTCGGGGAGTGAGAGCGGTTCGAGGTACCCGGCGACCATGACCATCGCCCAGTGTGGATCCTCGACGGCGTCCAGCGCCCAGAGGCACGCACGGAAGATATTGTAGTTGAGCCATCCTGTGCGTGCGCGAGCCCAACCCCGTCCCTCCAGCGTATCCGGAGGGGTGTCACCTGCAAGAATGGACTCGCCCAGCTTCTCATCGTATGGCCATATCCTCTTTCCTTCGTCGTCGTCGTCCGGGGTCAGACCTATTGGTTAGTGCGTCAGCACTCATGGAACGGGCGAGACTGACAGCGGGCAGCAGCGGGCGGAAGACGGTTCCACGCACCACGATGCATGGTCTCGGCGACGGTCGCACCCCAGAGCGGCAGGTCCGCCCAATCGAACGATTCGCTCCAAATCTGCCACTCGCCGTTTTCATTCCCGTTCGCCTTGATCGCGACAAGCACGTTCACGAAGAAGTCATGACGCGAGGGGTCCTCCATCGCGACATCGGCGAGCGCGAACCAGATAGTCCACAGATACCCTTCCAGCCCAAGCGTGTCCCCGTCTTCCTTACGTCCGCCGGACGTTTCGTCCGATGCGGCCGCGAGCTGCACTGTGTGGCGGCACTGCGCGACGATTGTCGAGGCGAGCGCTTTTGCGGAAAGCGTCTTGTCCTGCAAGGCTGCCGTGGCCAGCTCGATGGGTGGGGGCGTAGACATCATGATAGGTGGGTAGGAGGTGCGTCGTCCACGATCGCATCATCTGAGCGACCTTTTAAGACGCCTCAGGACATACCCGCGTTCCCTGAGAAACATCGTACAGCATGTCATAGCTTTAAAGCGGTGCCGCCGAGCCTCGCGGACGGCAAACTTGAACGCGATGAAGGTGAGCCTAGCATGTAGCACTCACCCAGACCGTGTCGGCAGTGCAGCACTCATCCGGACCATGTTGGCATTGCAGTGCGATGATCAGCGCAATGTCGTAGGAAATCGTCTAAACTCGCCTGGCCAATACTCCGGGAGTGTAGCAGTCGTATATGCGTGTCGGTGTTTACAGGCTTGATTAGGCCTGCAAAACGAATAGCTGCAACACGTGCGCGCATAATGTGATGAGGGGAATGATCCGCCAAGAGTGCTTTAAGAAGAAGATCCGATGTGTTTCTTGTTTATGCCCGGAGTACAAGCGTCGAGAGGTGACTGTTTTCAATTAACCAAAGGTGAGACCTTAAACGAGACAGCAACCTTCGGAAAATCGTGTAGTACGATGTCATCTGAGAACCCTCTTGACACTGGTTCGAGAACTCCCCCCCCCTGCTACTGAGTCGCGACGGCTTCCCTCTCTATTTGCTCCATGGCCTCAACCGCCGCCTAGAGATAGTGAGTATGTCTTGATTCCATAGAAGCAAAATTGCGTACCTTCGCCGCATCGATCACATTGCTCCTCCAGTGACCTTGACTGATATCACGGAAGATGCCCTTCCAATGTTGCCAGCGCTCCGGGTGATAGCCATCTACGCCGTCCCACGTCCCTCCGCTACCCCCAGGGCAGTTCCCGAAGGGCCACTCCGGATTTCCTTTGGGTCCCAGTATCTCCCGACATTCGAACATACGCTTCCCTGCAACGCGTATCCAGACCTCCGCCACCTCGAGCGCGAGCTCAACACTGGGTCCAATGTATCCGAGATCCGGCATGGAGTGCGGCTCTAGCGACATGCTCATCGTTGAGATCCCATAGAATGCGCAGTCCCAGACATCGAGCACCCAGAGGCGGGCCAGAAACGCGTTCAAGTTCAGCCAATTGCGGCGTGCGCGGGCGCCCGCACGCGAGGCGACCGAGTCGACGGGTGGGTCTCCCGAGAGAGCCGCGATGCATTCGGGGTCGTTCGTGGAGACATACCTCCTGTCTTCGTCGAAAGCTTCGGGACCTATAATAGCGACGAGTATCGTTGAGTCGACATTGTGAGTCAGATAAGGCACGACGCACCATTCATAGACTCCCGAGCTTCAAGGCCAAAGGTAGGGAGATTGGCCCAATCGAAGGAAGTCCTCCAGATGTTCCAGTCCTCTTGGCCTCGGGTTCTGACTTCAGAAAGGATATAGGCGAGGCGGTCATGGAATGATGGATCCTCTTCGGCGAGTCTGAGCAGGGTACTCCAGACCTGGCTGAGAAACATCTCCACCCCAGGTGTGTCTGTGCTCTCGTCCTGACGTGCGCTCTCCGGTGCTTCTCGTACTGATGTTCGACATAGAGACACAATCCGGTCTGCAACTTGCTCGTATGAGAGCGTGGAGTCCTGGAGGGCTACCACAGCTTCCAGCACGTAGGAACGTGCCCAGTTATACATAGGGTGGAGGGATACGCGACGTCAGGGTTGGATCTGCTTGTTAGCACCCTCGCAGCGGTCTTCAGAACACGAATCAGCAGCAGAAGGAGATATTTTCTGAAGCAGGCACTCACCGCTTAGGGATGTTGCAGACAGTGGTGCCTTCGACGTCTGTGGAGATGCTCAGGGTTTATGAAGAGGAGATACAGACGTTGAGGGGTGGTTCGGCGCATGCGTTTCCGTGCGCGTGCCTGCTTGGCATCTTCGAATTACATATGGTCCGGCGACGGACGGTTCATTGTCCGTATCGATCGTGTTGGATATTTCCAAATGGCCGCGATTGACAGCCAGGCAGGTATACATCCACCTTACAAATTGCAACTAGACTAGTCTTGCGCCGGCGTGATTCGGAGTCCCTGCACGAGTACGAGCGAACTCCCCCCGATCTAGGGAGCATGGTTACATCGCGCGTCGTTCTGGAACATAGGCTCATGATCATCTCGTACGGTCTATTGCGGGGAGAGCTACACATCGCGTACCTCAGGTTCAACTGCCATGGGGAGCGATTGTAGGCTGGCATACCGCCGTGAACAGCAATTCATCTTCAAGCGTGTCGCGCTCCGATAAGTGAGGACGGCAGCTATGTCTTTCTCCGCCCCCAAAAACCGCGTGTCTTCAACAGAACTACATAGCCAGCTTGGTGATGCAACACTCACATAGCAGTGTTCGTACCAGTGCATCGTGTCATGGGTTCTGATGAGTATTCCGCGAACGATTGTGCAACGAGCAATGTCAGGGCGCAATTGGGCACCCCAAGGACTTGTGGGCTCACCCATGCTAAACAGATGGACGAAATCCTTTTATATGTGGCGTGGGGAAGCGACATAACTCGCCCAGGACTTCTGTAAGACTGACCCTGCGTCAAATCGTATTGGGAACACTGGAGACAACCGGTTCGCAGTGCGGCGGGGCAGGTATTGTTGGAAGATTCAGTAAGCTTCAGGATTTCGAGTAATGCGAATGAGAGAATCTGAGATATCTGGTTACGAAGCCGCGACGGCCTCTTGCTCGATTTGTTCCATGACCTCAACCGCTGCCTATATATAGCTTGAGTACCCTTGTCCTCAATCGACGCAAAATTGCATACCTTCGCCGCATCGATCACGTTCCTCCTCCACTGACCTTGACTGATATCGCGGAAAATAGCCTTCCAGTGCTGCCAGCGCTCCGGATGATAGCCATCCACGCCATCCCAGGTCCCTCCACTGCCCCCTGGACAGCCCCGGTTTGGAGGCCAATCCAGGTTCCCCTTCGGTCCCAGTATCTCGCGACATTCGAACATGCGCTTCCCCGCAACGCGCACCCAGAGCGCCGCGACCTCAAGGTCGAGCTCGACACTGGGTTGACCAACGTGAGACTGACTGGAGTCCGAAGGCAGCGAGTGTGGCTCTAGCGACATGCGCATCGTTGAGATCCCATAGAATGCGCAGTCCCAGACATCGAGCACCCAGAGGCGCGCCAGGAAGGCGTTCATGTTCAGCCATTTAAGCCGTGCATGGGCGCCCGTGCGCGATGCGGCTGAGTCGACAGGCGGGGCCCCAGAGAGAGCCGCGAGATACTCGGGGTCGCGCGCGACGGTCCTTCCGTTCTGGCCGTCAGGCTGAGGACCTGAAGTAACGATGAACGTCAATTTTGTATGTCTGAGAAGGCATGACGCACCATTCATGTTCTCTCGGGCGCAAAACCCGAAGACAGGGAGGTTCGCCCAGTCGAAGGGAGTGTCCCAAAGTGCCCAATCCTCCCGACCTCGGGACTTAATTTCGCAGAGGATACTGGCGAGGCGGTCGTGATAAGATGAATCTTCTTCGGCGAGCGTGATGAGGGCTCCCCAGACCTGCCAGAGGAACGTCTCCAGCCCGGGTGAGTCTGTATTATCGTCCCCTTGTGGTGTCTCTGGCGATTCTCGCACTGCTCTCCGACATAGGGATACAATCCGGTCGGCGATTTGCTCCGGTGAGAGTGTGGAGTCTTGGAGGGCTGCCCCGACTTCCACTGCGAAGGAAGGCACCTTGTTCGAAGACATGACGTGTACGGATGCGCGTCACGATCAAATCTGCTTGTTGGCACTCTCGCGGCTTGCTTGAGTGAACAAGTTAGAAGCAGAACGAGGTATGCTCTTTAGTATGCACTCACCACGTAGTAGATGTTGCAGACGTTGAAGAGCAAGCGCGTTCAGCCCCTGTGCAATGATCAGAGTTTATCAAGAGTAGATTAACTTGGAAGGTGGTTCAACGCATGCGCGTTCGTACGCCACGCGCCTGCTCGGCATCATCGAAGTGCACATGGTCCAGCAACAAACGTTCCATCGACCGCATCGATGGTATTGGATCCCAAAGCCGCCAGTCTGCTATATCCACCTTGCAGGGAAGACTGATCCCGTCCCGGCATAGATAACTCGTGGTAGTGACATGCAGAAGTACGGGAGCCCTCGTTGATCGCCAAGTCCAAGCAGATATAGCACCATACACCTCTCGAACACATTCATGGCTTTTCTCTTCGCCGGTCGGAAAAACCCTGTTTTTCGTAGGCCTGGGTTCAACAGCTATGTAGAGTGATCGAAGGCCAACATACCGCCATTAACGGCGACTTATCCTTAGGCGTCGCGTGGCCCACAATATAAACTGAGAACCGTTCTGCCACCTCATGCTCACTAACGGGAGCTTAGCCTCTTCTGATAGTCGACGACGACGGGTCATATTGTGCTCCTACTTAATCGGCTTGGTGCGCCGTATAAATTGCAGCAAGTTGCATAGGCCGGTGGCCCGTCTTAACGCTGGAAGCAAATGGGGTCAACAGGGTAGTACATTGAGCCGCAAATATATTGCTTACCTCGCCAGCGTCACTGGTTGCTGATGAGCCTGACCCCAAAGAGCTGTTGGGAGGCCCCGTGAGCATAACAGCAGACGAATCGTGTGAATGGAAGCGAAGACGTATGCAGATGCCTATAAAGACCGTCTGCGCCAGAAAAATCCTAAAAATGCCCCCATCATCTCACCCTCGTCGTCTGCTAGGCCATCGTCGTTGTCGCATGTGAGTGGAAGGAAAAAGAGCACTCGTGGTGGTGGTATGAGATGAAACGCACTGGGCTCTGACAACTTTGATGTCATGCATTACGCTCGATAACATTATCGGCGGCGGCTTAGAAACCCGTTAACTGATTCTAGCCTCTTTTTCAAACCGCTTCTGGCACAAAATTGCTCAACAAACCCTTTACTCCCCCCTCCAGGTCGTTGTATCGTCCGACTCCCAAGGGGCAACTAGGCCGGGTTTCAGCGACCTTCAAAACGTATGGATACGGACTCCGGACACTAGGGAGGCATTACTAGTACTCGTACCACGTAGCGTACTCGTCGTACTACGTAGCGTAATTAATATGCAGGATATACTCAGTGACTGAACTTCGTCCAAACGTGGTGCTCCTGAGTGCCGCTAGTGGACTCTCGATCGTGCCGCCGGGAGCCTCGTCCGTAGATTCGAAGTGAGCGCTCACAGTGCGCTCACTGGTCGAGCAGTATGGCGCTTAATCGCATGAAGCGTCGTAATAAGTAGTGGGCTCCCTTAACGCAAGCCTTTGTAGCACTCTCTCCCGTTTTGAGCTTCAATATCACATTCAGATATTAATTTGTATCTTGTGAAGTCTCCCAAGATGATGAGCCAAAATATCGAGGTGCGAGGAAGCAGTACGAGATCTCAAGGACTAGTGCTGTCGAAGAAATCATTTTTCAGGACCCCGGACACCTGAATGAGTGAGCTCCCCAGCTCGGCCTAGCTCGGCGGCCCGTTGCGTTCCTCCCCCCACCCAAGATTACCTTCGTCTGTCTAGGGGAAACAAGATCGTTGAACCGGCAATCCTTTTTCTCCTCCAATATGTCGGCTGAAGTGACAGCGACATTGGCCAGCATCTCACAACATGACGGAGGAATCAGCGACGAAAATGTTCGGGCGTTCTGCGAGCTCCTGGACCAGATGCGGGTCAGCATGGCCTCGACGAAGGACACGGTCAAGTCTCTGCGAGAAAAGTACGCCCATTGCCATCTCTCGACGTCCGTGATTCTAACACGCAGCATTTCAGACAGAGCAAAACATCGGAGCTCGACACGCGCAACGGGATCTCTCTGCTCTCGCTCAAACACCACATGATGCTCTCTTACCTCCAGTCCCTCAGCCTCATCACCGCTCGCCGCGCCATCGGACATTCGCTCGCAGACCGCTCCCCTCCCGACGCCCCATTCAGCGCGAAGGACCGTCCTGCTCGCGGTGCCGGCGCGGGCGACCGCGTCGACGCCACGATTGAAGCGCGCATAGTCCTCGAGAAAGTGAAGGTACTGGAGGGGCGTATGAAGTACCAGATCGACAAGCTCGTGCGCATCGCGGAGGAGGGCGACTCGGCGGACAAAAACATCATCAACGGTACGCATCCTCTCTCTTTTCGTACTAAACAAACCCACTCACGCGGCCGAGCAGACCCACTCGCGTTCCGCCCCAACCCGCAGGCCCTCATGGACCAAGGCTCCGAGGACGAGGACGAAGATGGCGCAGACACGCGCGGTGGGCAGCGCGACGGCGTCTACCGCCCGCCCAAGCTCGCGCCGATGCCCTACATCGAGTCGCGCAAGAACAAGGAGAAGGACCGCTCGCGCCGTGCGCCGGTGCCCTCCGCCCTCGCCAACCTGGCGCACCTCGACCCGTCTGCCCCGCACGCGGAGTCAACGTCTGGCCTCGGTAGTGTCCCCGCGCTGGCGTCTGGCCGCGCGCGCGAGCTGCAGCGTATGAACGAGTTCGAGGAGGAGAACTTCACGCGCCTGGTCATGAAGAAGAAAGAGTCGCGTCGCCGCGCGCTCGACGAGGCGGACCTCGCGCTTGGCGGGTCTGGCATGGCGTCTGGTCGTCGTGGGCGCGTCCCTGGGGTCGGGCTGGAGGACGAGTTTGGCGACATCCTCAAGTCGGTCGGCAGGACGCGGAGCGGGGCTCTTGGGGATGGGTATGAAGAGCTGCGGCAGAGGGGCAAGAAGGAGGGCGTGCTCGCCAGGTCAAGAGCACGCTCGGGGGACGACGCGTTCGAGGATATGGGCGAGGATGGACCGCGGCAGCGGAAGCGCAGCCGGTTCGAGAAGGAGGTCAAGGCGGTGAAGAAGAGGACTTCAACGAAAAGCAGAAGATAATACTTACCATCGTGTATTGTACTGTCTGTCTGCATCGTGTACTGCGTTTACACATACTTTTGCATTGCAACTACACTGCGCGACAACAATACGACGTATGATCTACAATGGCTCTAGTCGATACAAGGCACTCTTATACAACATTCGTTACGCCTTCTGCTTCGCCGTCCGTGATGCATCCCTATCGGTTTCGCCAGTTCTGGTGCATGAAGCCATGGCGGTTTTGCCCTTGAACGGGGAAGAAGGGTGGGGTCGCGATAGCGTTGAGCGGATACTGTCCCGGTCCCGGTCCATGCCCGAACGGCTGCTGCAAGAACGCACCCCGTCCCATGGCAATTTGCCCGGGCATAGGACTCGCGGCCCCCGATGGCGGCGCAGGAGAGTTCGCTGGCGCGCCCGCAGGAGCGGGTGGTTTGAAGTTCTGTATAGGCCATATTAGTCCGTTGCGCGTAACCGCTTCCTGGGGGAGAAAACCTACGTATTGCCGCCCCTCGCGATAGAGCTCCTCGAGCTTCTTGTCGAATGTGCCTTCCGCCTCGAACTGCAGGTGCACCTTGTACAGCTTTAGCGCGGAGAGCGCGTCCTCGATCGAGTCGTGCGTGTCCGTCTGGATGTTCTCCTTCAGCACGAACCAGGTGAGGAATCGCAGCGAGAGCCGACGATGACGGTGCTCGAGGTAGAACAGGTCAACGGTATCGATGACTTGTTCAGGCGGTACGAAGATGTCTAGTGCAGGACGTTCAGGTCCTAGAAGCTATTGAGCAAGAAGAGTGAACGCACTGATGATGCGGAAATCCTTCGACAGGCCGTGCCCTATGAAGATACAGCCGCTATCCACCAGCAGACGCAGCTTCTTGTACACCACTTTGAGCGGAGTAAGTGTATACCGCGATAGGTTCGGGTCCAGGTCCCCGACTGCGACATAGCCGTATTAGCAGGGTGCCCGCGCGCGACGCAAAACAACGTAAGCGTACACTTGATACCAGAAAACTCGGTCAGGTAGTCCACGATGATCTCGCTGGTGTGGATATGGTCGTCGATGAACGGCACGCCCTCCTTGGGACCGTCGCCACGAAGGACAGAGACGCGAGCCAGGGAAAGTCGCGCGGGTCGGATGACCTTCTTCGTGCCGTCCGAGCGGTACTCCGTCTCTTCCTGCTGCATCGAGACGAACTCCGCATCGATGGCGATGAGCGTCCCGGGTCGAGGAAGCTCCTCGTAACGTAGGTTATCGTGCTTGATGATACGAGGGTCCCGGTTACTATTGCATTGTCAGTAAGCCTGTCGCATGGGAGGTGCATGAACCTACACTGCGATGTTCGTGTCTCGGCATAGAATCGTGGGGTCCATCTTGTCCGGCAAACTATTGAAGTTTAGCCGCTGTCGGATGTCGACGCGTTCGAAGTACAGAACTGCCGGGACCTGTTGATACATGGTTCAGACAACGATCGCAGGGATAGCGAAGGTAGACGACTAACCTTCCAGTTGGACGGTACACTCAATACTTCTTCCTCAGTCATATTCTGAACAAGGAAGTCGTTGAATATGAACCACGGTTCGGGATCTTGCGATGCCTCCGCTTCGGGTACTGTCCCACTCGTTAGTCACATGAGGTACAGAGCAATCAAGTACCAACCTTTGACGAGGGCGACAAGATGCGAGTTCGCGTCCTTCGCCACGACCTGCACGACCATCGCCTGCAACCACACGCGTATTCGTCAGTCTCTAACCCACCACGCTGACCTGATACGCACCCTAAGCTCGTAAACGACGGATTCCGGGTCGTCCATGTTCTCCAGCTGCCCGCGCAGCTCAACTCGAGGCTTCAGGAACGTCTGGCGGCGCTGGTCGCGCCAGAATTTGTGCGTGTCCTCGTTATGCACAGCTGCGTTCACCGCTAGCACCGGAGGGAGGTCGCGCGAACGGATCGCACGCCGTGACTCGAACGTTGCGAACTGCTTGCACGTCTGGCATGTCGCTTTGTGTGTCGTCCTGCGAAGGAGCGAGTTGCGCAGGATGGACGCAAAGTCTGTCTCGTGTATTGGGTCGTTGGTTGGTTGCTAAAAGTAAGACTCATTGATCAGTCTCTGAATGTAACAGTGATATTATAAGGATGCTCGACGGACCTTGCGGACGGGGTAGATGAGGTCAATGAGGTGCGTCATGTTCTCCTTCTCGCGGATTGCGTTACAGCTCGCGCACACGATGACGTTCTTCGCGTCGATTCCTAGCAGCTGCGTGATCGGCGCGGGCGCAGGCGAATGCGGGTCCGCTGGGCCGGCATCTGGAAGTACGGCAGGGTTATGCGGGAACGAGTTGCCCTCCGTGCTCAAGCGGTCCACGAGGAAGCGGTGGAACATCTGGATCATGTGCGCATACGTGAGGTCCGCGCTCTCCCGCCCATAGTCGATGAGCTCGATTGCGTTGTGCACTGCGGCAGTCAATAAGAATCTTGGATGGGGGAAGCTAAAAGGCACTTACTCTGCGCTAGGACCCCGACAGTCTTGCAGAAGTTGCTCGCCTGGCAGTTGGTCCCGTGTGCGTCTTCGAGCATGCGCGCGACGAAGCCGATCTCACATAGCAGACAGTGTTCGTGCGGACAGTCCGTTGTGATGTGTGACTTCGCCAACCGTCGTATCGGCATCGTGTAATGCATAACCTGCACGATGGGATTTGTGTAGGAGTTGAGAATGTGCGTCTCAAGTCCGCTGAAGGTTGTTCTGTTGTAAAACCTATGCCATGATTTAGCAGTCTGACTGCCATGCATGTCGCCTGGCATGTCTTACCCAAAGTCGAAGTCTTCAACGCCGAACTTGGAGTACTCGATCTCCACTTTGCGGTAACACCTTGGGATCGTGTCCGGAGCGTACTCGTACGTCGGCGTGACCGGTTCGGACTGCGAACTAAGCATTGATACGACGCCATATTCGTGATTTCGATGCACCTACATCGGTATGCCGAGTCTTGCCACTCCTGAACCGCCCGCCCGCCTTCTTAGGCGCACTCGAGACAACGTTGCGTCTGCCCCGAAGTTCCTTCGGGAGCGTCGCATACGCTATCGAGTCATTGACCTTGATGGAATTCAAGACCTGCTGAGGAATCTTGGCAGGGGGCGGGAAGTACAGCGTCCTGGGTATGAGGTCCTTCGTCCACGACGAGAGGAGATCGGTGTTATAGAAGGGAACTCCGACAGAGCTTAGCGGACTGTAAGTCTGTTAGCACCGGATAAACGAACGAAGTGCACCACCTTACGTCGAGTCTGTCCATTCGATATCGGGAAGCGATTCAGCAGTGTCAGGCCAGTCGATGGGTTTCCCGTCAAATCCGTTGAAGGGCAGCATTGCATCCTCTTCCGCTGCAGACAACAAATGTACTGCACCGTCGGAGTCCCCGAACGCCATATATGCTTCGCTGGGAGATATCGCCACTGAGTTTATATAAGATGCCATGTCCAGCTGCGAGATAGTGAATTAGCGGATCTAGACGGGCTCAAACGTTTGGAACAAACCTGACAGAACTCGTTCGTGGAAGGGTTGGTCGTATCCACAATCTGGACAAGCCCTTGACTCGATGTGATGGCAAGGGTAGTGGCACGATTCGGAAATCGCGTAATAAACGCAGGGCCTGCTGAGAAGGGTATGGGCGGGAGGGGTTTGAGTGTCCGCAGGTCGTAAATCTTCACGAGAGGATCTTGGATGGGACGTCCTTGTCTGCTCCCTCTTAGTACACGCACACCATTGTTCGATGTCGAGCTCACCGTACGCCTAGCCCTATGGTATACAAAAGCGTCGAAGACGTCTCGATCCCCTGAATGCCGCTAATATGAGCCTTGACAGAGCTAGAGGCGACTGATCGACTGGTGAGATCGCGCGGGTCGTGTAGTCGAATCCAGCCGTCTGCATCGCCTGACACAAAGTACGACTGCGACGCGGTGTAATGCAAATGCGTCAGTATTGATGGTGCCGGCGTTCGCCTCATCACAGTGCCGGTTTGCGTGTTCAACAGGAGCAATTCCGGCGTAACGGTCGAGACTGCGATAGCGGACGAGTTTGCGGGCTTATTGGAGAACGTTGCGATTTGATCTCCCGGTCTGGGAACCAGCTAAAGCTTTATAGCAGAGATGGAGACCTATAGGATGCCTCACTTGGAATACCAGTTGTTCACGCCGCCCTTGCTCCAAGAACCGATTCCCTCGCTCGTGACGCCGCACGCCACCACGCTGGTGTCCGTCGCGAGAATCTTCTTCACGGCATAGTGACCCCCTACTGGATAGTGAACGCCCCGTAGTCCTTGAGGAGTGTAGTATGCGCAGACATGTCCCGAGTTTGTGCCTGACCACAATATGTCCGAGACCGGGTCGAACGAGAGCGCGGTGATGGGCTGCGGGGAGACATCCCTCTGATAGGTGAGCGATGGGATTTGGCGATACGCACTCGACATTTAACCCAACATACGCCGCCCCAGCCTGGAACCAAGCAGAGACAAGATGGTGGTGAGAAGCAGGAAGGGTCGGGCCACTGGGCGCTTCCACCAGTCCAAAGTTGCGGAGCGCCCGGGCCCGACTACTGCCAGTGGCACAGCTCCCTCTCCTCCTACCGACCATAGGGCGATGATATCAATCTGCTAAGTTCTCTAACTACTACTTACGACCAGAAGTCCTTATGATATCCTCTTGGTAGTTGAGGTTTTTTTGCGGTGTCACGCACCGCTGAATTTTGCCCATGCTCAAATAGCCAGTATAAAGTTCTTTTACAAATTGGAACCAGGTGAGTCCCTCTTTACGGCTCGTCAAAAGGCTTGGCATTAACGGGACAGCACTGCTTCAAACTGCCACACGGTGTTCCTCGGGATGGGCTTGCTGCCTTTAAGATGCTTGTGAATCTTGACGCAAGGATCAAGCGCCATGCCTGTTACCCCACCCATCGAGTTGGCCATCGCAGCCCTGCGGGACAAGACGCTTTCCGCCAAAGCCCTCGCCTTCAAGATTGTTGTTCAGTGCCGCAGGGCAGTGCAGCTCACCACAGCGGATGCGGTCACGAGCGGGCGCGCGGAAGGCGGGGACACACCGGGATTGGAAGGGTACTTGTGGAGCATCTGGGGCTGGCTCACCGAAGTCGCGATGAGGGATCCCTCGCGGCACGACTTCTTCGCAGGCGTGCTTGCCGCGGTCAAGGCGAAGTACAACCAAGACACCGACTGGGTTATCTGGGGGCAACCATTCGACTGGGCGAACCTGCCGCTCTGGGGCCCGACCGTCGCCGAGACCATGAATTGCGGTGCGTGATGTGTGTTCAGCGCGCCGCGCTCTGAGGCCGGCCGTTTTGAAGGCCGTACTGATGCGCTGTACCACAGGCCTGATCCCGATCCACGACGAGGAAGGAGTGGTGGTGTTGATTCAGCCATATGATGAGAAACTGGGCCAATCCATCCTCGCGGGTGACCCTGCTCCGGATACGCCGGAGGGGTGGGGGTGGGCCCGCGCCCGCACGAGATGGCTCAATTACAACGCGTTTCGCGCACGCCTTTGGGATCTGGCCGTCGACGAGGATCCGCACTGGGCGATGGTGATGGTCGCTAGGTACCTAGAACCGCTCTCGCTCCCAAAGGATGTCTGGCGGTCCAAGCCCGGCGATGCCACGTTTCCGCGTGAGCTGGGGATGGAAACAGGCATGACATGGTTGCGGGTCGCGGGCGCACGGATGTTTATGTGCCGCGAGGTCTGGGGTCGCGACTCGATTGCGGCCACCGGCGTGGGAGGCAGCCGGGGAACGTGGAAGAGCGTGTCTGGGTATCACCCTGACCGGTGGACGCATTGGAAGGACATCCTTCAGGCTCTTGTCGGGGGCGAGAAGGGCGAGTGGCGCACGAATGTGATAGAAGCGGCCAAGGTGAGCTTCACATTGCTAAGCCTGAGTGAATGGCATGGCTTACCGTATTCGCGGCCCGCTATAGTCGACGTTGGATGCCATGGAGAAAGCAGAGGTTGAGGCTCGCGGCCTGCAAAGTTGACTGGTAATCAGTACGTAGCGTTCGCTCACTCCCTTTGCCATGTTGGGCGGCGAGTCATAGATATCGCGTATAGTTTTTTGTCTTGCTCGGTATATACTGGGGTTGCCCGACATCGTCTTGGACGATCAGCTATACCGCCACCAGTGGTCGCTCTCGGGGTCGTCCTCCCAATGCCCTTCGCTGTGCGCAAATGTCAGTGCGTATACAGGGAAGAAACGTTGTCGCACGCACTTCTCCCATTGGTAATGAGGCATTAGCTCGAAGCCATGTCCGCTTGAATCGCCATAATCGACCTTGTCCCAATCCTTGCTGTCGGTTCGGAGGACGCGAATCGTGGCCCAGTGCGGAGCACTTTTCAGATCTGGTGACGGTACCAACATCCTGACTGTCCGCAAAGCGGGGGACAACATCGGCACCATTATATCCATGAGCGCGCGAAGGTTTCCCCGGTACGCATCCATCGACATGGGGTCGAAAAGCAGGCCACCGAAGCACCCCGTTATGAGTGTCGGAGAAGGCACAACGTCAAGATGGATCCGCAGCGTCTTGAGCCGCGTGAGCGGTGCCAATGCTCGTGCGACGCTCTGCGATGCAATTACTTAGCTGATAAGTTCGTGGTCCGATACTGCACGGTATGACATACCATGGCGCAGTCCTCCTGCGATTCTTCCGCATCTTGAGCGCGATACCGACGCAGTTGGAGAGTCTCGAGGTTTGGAAACGCAGTGGCGATGTACGCTAGTAGTGCGCCCTCTGCACCGTCGACGTGATAGTCAACACTAAAGGAGCGCGTAGAGGATGTAGGACAGTGGCGTAGAATCGCCAAGATCTCGGACGATGGCAAGGTTGAATTCGATCGTCCCGCATCATCATACGATTGTCGTCCGGCGCCCAAAGCGTGGCTGGTGTAAGGAGCGAAATCCTCCAAAGAGAGGCTCCGTAGAGACGACGGCAGGTGCGAGTAGAGCCGATCTTGAAGATTCGGATAGGTAACCGCAAGTTCCTCCAGAAGCGGTAGCGTTCGAGTGCGTGGCGGATCCACGTCCGGAGGCCATATGAGCACGCGATCTCCGCAACCTTCGAGGAGTGCGAGTGTGAACCGCAGGGAGCGGAGTTGAGGCATCTGCTCTAGAGCTCTGAGCAGAAGAGTAGAGCGCGTGGGGGCAGGCGCATCACCGTAGAGGCTCAACGACTGTAGACGAGGCCACTCCTCCCTTCTTAGCGTGTGGTAAGGCGCTATATCGCTCGAAAGTGAAAGGATTTCGAGCGAGCTACGTAGCTTGTCGAGGACGAACCCGAGAAGTTCGGCTTCCGCCGGATACGCGCGAGGGCCTGGGCGTACGTCTCGGATGGTGCACCGAAACGCGGTGAGAGGTGCAGGAGTGAAGGTAGGATCTTCGAAACACGCGTGGGGGGACTCGACAAGATGGTGGCGCAGATTGAACTCTCGCATGGAGGGAGCGGACAATGCAGTTCGCAGCGTGTTCCAGGAGACCATGTGCAGATACTTCGGGTTGGGTCTTGATGCCAGTGTCAGGCCATGCAGCTGCGGCGTGTCGTGCATGAGCTTTTCGAATGACGCGTCGCTGAAATTGTTGCAGAGACTGGGATATATGAGGTTCATATTCCATCTCAGAGCTTCGTCGGGATCTCCAACGTATCCACACCGATCCCAGAGTGTCAGGTGCCTAGAGCGTGCACGTAAGTTCACCGTCGCACACTTCAGACAGATATGATGATATACCTCACATGAGGACGAACCCACTCAGGAACATATGAGTCCAGATCTCCGGGCAGTCTGATCGTATTCATCCTGCCCGTATCCTGAAAGTGTGCGACCGCCGCTGGCATGCATAGAGCGCGAATCCAGCGGGAGGTCTGCGAGAACGCCCTTAGATCCTTCCAACCCTCAATTGCGCATAATATTTCGATTACGAGTAGTATAAGGTCTTCGTTGAGGCAGGGCATCGACCAGTGGGGGATACGAGGGGACACACGACGGTCGCGGTAAAGTCGACAAGATCGGTGTCTGCGCGCGCCCATAACTCATTTAAGCGCTGATCCGGCACTCACCGGCGCTCGGGCCGCACCGGAGCCAGCCAAACTTCAAGTTGGCCCGTCGTGCCGAATTCCCTCCTCCTCCTCCCATCTCCGTCGGTACACGCAAACAGTCTGCTCTGTTGGCACTATGACGGTACACGCGCCTGAAAACACCTAAGAGACCGACGGGCCCACCTCGTCGCTTGAGGCGTGGATACGGAGTAGTTGAAGCGCGGTGTCCAGACGGTTTTCGCGTTTACTGCTGTCCGCCGTGCGAGCCTCATAGTATACGCCGATGCACTGAAGTATTCTATGCCGCACAGACATGGCACTTGGTATTCTCCCAACTCGGCGAGATCCTTGCCCGAATTTTCTTCGACGCCTTGATACACGCTACGGCGTGTACGGCCTACTTCTCGTGCGGCGGTTTGGCCTCCCGGTTCTCACCCAGTAATCGGAAGGTGTGTATCGTTCCCGATATCTACAGCCCGTCGCTGCTCGTGCTAACAAACGCCGCGCAGAACCCCCATCTTCTTCCTCCCATCACCCTTAAGCGCGTTACTTCACTGCCGTAGAACGCCATCTCGCAGCTCGCAGTGTCGCCGGGATGTGAGGGCTATCATTCTTGCGTGCGATTATAAGTAGGTTAAGTAAGTATACGATACGTTACTGCGCTCACACGTACGTCGGCACGGGCGCCACGGAAAGCAAGATAATCCAGGCACCCGCAAGGGCATACACGGAAGGTTCTGTCGTCCAACTGGATGCGGGTGCGCGCAATACCCAGTATCAAGAAAGCCGAAGGAAGGTGAAGGAAAAAGACAGAGCCAGGTTTAGCGAGAACACCGGCTACTCTCATTTATAGTGCGCGAGTGTTGACGCGGACGGATGCATTGCAGAGTAAACTATAACGAGGTCCGCCGCAGACCCCGTGACCAGTAGTCCGCTATTCATCTTCTGTGGTGTTGAAGCTAATAAATCGACGTTCGCGAAGCTCACAGAAGCGGTGCCGCCGAAGAAGGCTGCACGATCGTCAGAAGAAACATCTGCAGCCGCCCTTGGCACCACTGCCCCGCCATCTGGCACAGCGGACGTGGATTTGTTCGAGGAAACAGCCCCTCTCGAGGTCGTTGGGATTGACTGGATTGAGTTAGGTTGCATCAATGTGTACAGGCTAGGTATGCGAGCACTTTCATGTCTCAAAGTACAACTAGTGTAGTGTATACTCACGCACATAATCAGGAAAAAGTAGACTGGTGTGTTAAGGATATGTTCAATCGGAACCAGTTGGTCACAGCAGAGGCATACGGGACGAACGCGCGTACGACGGCACAGGGTGAAGCCATGCGTTGTCAGCGACTTGCTGACCGCTTGGTCCTGGGTTTGATGCCGATATGTGTACTGATACCTCCGCATTATGCTGCTGAAGCCTGTCTTGGATCAGTGTCGACGGACGCTCTCCAGGCGGGCACCTAGAAAGACGTTCAAGCGCATTGTGTGCATATCAATATTCTTCTCTCGTGCGACGCCTACGCCTTCGCGACTTCAAAAGTGGCTCTGGTGCTCAGCTCTGACGTAGGTCCTACTTACGCGCCGTACAGACGTCCAGTTACCCCCGGAGCATCCGCACCCAGCACAATGTCGGGATAGGCGATCGCGCCAGCATTGGACGACGAACCAAGCACTCGATCCCTGGAGCTTTGTCTGCACACCGCCTCCGCAGCAATGCAACAATGGAGGCCCCTGTCGCGCGCATGGAGTCACCCTATGGCAGGACCAAGCTCGCTCGCACTCGAGAAGGTATATAAGTACGACCCGCGAGGGGCAGTAAGTTGCTCAGAGCTACCAACTCCCACAACCTACTACACGACCACGGAAAGGAAGCAGCAGCAACGTGGCGTAGTCTGTCGGATTCCGTCGGGTGAGTAACCGGCCTTGCACTCGACATCTACGAATGTGCTCACCTCTCGGATTCGTCAGAACGCAGACCCCGGACGACGAGGACGAAGTCGGCTGGCGCTTTGCGCAAGACCGTGCGCTTCCACCAGCCCATTGCCATCTGCGAGATCCTCCACGGCCGAACGAGAACACGGCGCAGTGCCGGTCCCTGCCAGGACCGACCACGGCGGCCTCCTCGTAGCCCGCAGCAGCAGCAGCCGACGCGTGGTGGCAAACGGGACAGCGCCAGCGGTCGCGCTCGAGGCGCCGCGCAAAGCAGGACAACGCGAGCGTGCGCACGAACGCGCGCGCAAGAGTCGGCCGTCGAACCCCTAGTCCGCTCCTCCCCAACGGACAAGGCGCGTGGTGCGCAGGACCGACGAAGAGGATCCCAAACTGTCGTCGAAGGGCACCGCGTTGGCGTACAAGCTCTACCCGGAACAGGTTCGGCTTGGTGGTGGACCCGTGGCGGCGGTGGTGGCGAAGCGCCTTGGGTGGAGGGGTAGCCGGCTGTGCGCCTGCAGTGTCTGCCAACACTGTTAGACGATCAACCGCTACATGCCCGACGCTCAGCGCTGAGGGGGTGTTCGCCGTCGGAGAGCACCTCGACGACCTGACAGACCTCCAACGTGTCTCGCCACACCTCCTCGTCTTGTGCGACATCCTTCGTGTACTCCAACTCAGGCCTTCCGCATCGCCCACCAATCCGTGCCTCGAGTAGCCGCCTACGCACGCGCCGCGCTGGACTTGAAGACAACTCGTTCGACCTCGTACGAATGGCCTATCTTACGCTACGAGTCCGCCGTCCTGTTCAGCACAGGGTACGAAATCAGCGCACTGCTCCGACTGCGCCCAGAACAAGGCGCCATCGCGCGCATTACTCACCTGGACGTCGCCCCGGACAGAGGCGGTGCGCCCCGACGCGGCCTCTTGGAGCGGCGGCGCCGGAGCGTGCACGAGGACGAGGGTATGTGCGGATGACGCTGAAGAGTCGCTGGGATCGGGCGCGCGGCTCGACGAGTGCTGCAGCCTGGAGAATGGGGTTGTCGCGTTCGCGTTCTTATACCGCGCCCCTACGGCCTGCCTTTGTTCCCTGTTTGCTCAATGCTACCTTGTTTGTCGTGTACGTCTGATGCGCGTGTCGCCTTGCTGATCGACGGGGCGCCGCGTGTTCGCGATGTTGTATTCTATCTGGATGTCGTTGTTTTCCTGTGGCGGCCTTGTGTTCTGCGCAGGTGCGTGTATCGTGGTGTGGATGACATAGTCCTCCGCGTGCCCCTCTGATTCGAACGCGCCAGGCGAGGCTCTGTACTGTCTGAGCCGTGCGCCACTGGCCCACTGCCCTTCGGTCCGATGAGCTGCATTGACGGAATTATTGGGAAGGATTTAGAACTGTGCAGCGTTGTATGTATTCATGGGTCAGAAACTAAGGACAGATAAGGCGACGGTATCTCCAAAATGCACCACTCCTCACCACCGAAAGGCTATCGATATCGAAGGGTCGCGGGCTACCAAGCTGTTGGAGTCTGATAGTAAGTATACCAAGAGGGAATCGATGTCGTTCCAGATGGAATACCTTTGCCTTTCAACATGGTTCGATGGCCTGCCTGCGGCGCGCGAGGACCTTGCGTCTGAGTCTCTCGGTTGTCCGTCGTCGCGAGGCCTCTTGAGGACGGATCGCTACTGTTGTAATGGCTACAAGTTCGCCCTATTAGTGACTCATGTTCTTGCATCCATTAGGGCGGCATGCTTACGTTCAGTGTCGGGGTGTGAGTAGCACAACACGTAGAATGCCGACCAGACAAGGTGCGGATCTAGCAATTCCTGTCCGAAATGCAACTCCACCGAACGGTTCCATATCCAATCCTCCTGCTTCTTCCAGACCCACTTCTTTTTCTGCTTGACGAGGGCTCCGACATCTGGTCTGAGCTCGCTAGATCGGGCGTAGTAGCCACATGCGGGAGCGCGCAAGACAAGGCCTGCGTTCATCGTCCCGATGACCATAGCAACTGCTTGCTCGAAGACCACGCTGCAGGCGAGACCTTCCAGGGGCCCCGTCATCCTGTTGCGGGGGCTGACGCCTGCGTACACCGGGTATGGGTGGAATGCCGCGATACGGGTGCCTTCGACATGTATCATCGCTGGGAGCGAGCCCGCGTAGCACAGGTGCGGGTTGCACATGCGGATTTCCTCGGCTTGCCTCTGACACGCCGCGTCTAGGGTCTCCCACCCGCCTCGGACCACCTCGTGGAGGTCATCTCCCTGAAGGATCCAGGGGACCTCTGCGCTCAGCCGAAACGCGCAAGAGGGGTTGGCGGGTTCGTCTACGGGAATGAGCTTGAAGACTACAATGGCCGGCGTCGCGAAGTTGGTCGTGACTCCGCCGCGGAGCTGGACGGCGGCATTCATGAGGATCTTGATTGCGTATTCGTGTGCGTATGTGACCCAGTCATTGAATCTCTGGACCAGACCGATCGGAGCAGCGTGACCATTGAGTCCACTCTCTGCAGATGGCCCTTGAACCTCGGAGCCTGAGGGTCGGCACACTTTCCTGTGAAAAGGTATCAGATATGCGTCTCGGAGTAGGCTGTTGTCGAAGAGACAGCGTCCCAATCTGACTGTGGTTCTTGAACGTACTTGTGAGCGCGCCATCCAGCCTTCTGGCACTCCTTGCTGCAATACAAGGCGACTTCACAGCCGTTGCAGCGTTTGAGCTTCGCGTCCGTCGGGAGTTGTGACCGACGTTTATTGCAATGTCCGCAAACCGACGAAGGGTAGAAATCAACGTTTACAGGTCTCCAGTCTAGTTGATCCATGAAGTTGAAGAGGTTGTGAGGAGATGGCAGTGAGAAGCAGAGAGCTTGCGCGTCCACTGCGGCGTCGTGGCACATTTACGTATAGTAAACGGCAACTCCCGCCGCGTGCCAGTGCCAACATTCCAACATTGAAGCCAACTTACTGAATTATCGTGCATTAGAGTCCCCCGCACAGGTCCTACATACACAGAAAACCAAGGTGCACGTGTTTGCTACCGCTTGAATTAACATTCGATATCTGTATACGGTGGAAAGTTGCATCGTTGAGGTTCTCTGCAATAACGAAGGTCAGCTCCGGATACGCGCACGCTGACAGACACCCACATTTCCCTCCCCGCGAGCTCCGCACGCGCTGTCGAATGAGCGATGCCATCATCCCGAACCTCAGCGTACATAACGAACGAACCGGAAGGAGGCTGTGCTCGGGAATGTTGAGGGGTAGTACATCTCAATGGTCTCCATCGACGGACCCAACGTCTTCGCGAGCACGTTTGCCAGTGCCTTGAGCTCACGCGTATACATAGCGACGCGAGGATAAATTACTGCAGCTAACTCATGTGAGTGGGCATCTATCCACCACCGTAACCAAAACACTTACCTCTGCGGTCTGGATGTGCAAATCTCGAGCTTCATAGCACGTAAAACATCTGCCAGAGCATTTCCGGCTTCATGCCGGACCGCAAACCTACGGCGCGGTTCCATGCCCAGCCCTCCTGCTTCTTCCATTCCCACTTCTTTTTCCCTTTGACGAGGACACCGACGTCAGGCAGGAGCTCGCGCACTCTGCAGGGGCCCGAGGGTCCGCGTAAGACGAAGCTGGCATTCATGGTCCCAATACACATGGTCACAATCTGCTCGAACACCATGCTGGTGAGGGGACTGATAGGGCCCGTGCCGTGGGTGCGGAGGCCGTATATGGGGTACGGGTGGTATGCCGCGATCTCCGTCCCTTCTACCCAGACCATCGCCGAGAGAGAGCCGACGTAGCACGGGTGCGGGTTGTTTGCGCGGATCCTCTCGGCATCCCGTTGGCACGCTTCGTCCAGGTCCTTCCAACTGTTTTCGGCCACAATGCGGACATCGTCTCCCTTCAGGACCAGGGGCACTTCTTCGTTGAGCCGAAATGCGCAGGCAGGGTTTGCGGGTTGGTTTACACGTGTCAACTTGAAGACTACGATGGACGGAGAGGCGAAGCTGGCGTCTATTCGGCCGCGAAGCTGGACGGCGGCGCTCATGAGGGTCATGATGCCATATCCGTGAATGTTTTCGACCCATTCGTTGAAGCTCTGGGCCAGGCTGATTGGGGCAGAGTAACCCGCAAGTTGGTCTTCAAGCCGGGTTTGGTCTGAGGGGCGACACAGCTTCCTACATAAACATTGTTAGGTATGTTTTTGTGGAGCAGGATGCGTTCAAAGTGACCACACCCCGCTCTCACTCTGTGTATCATACGTACTTGTGAGCGGGCCACGCAGCCTTTTGGCAGTCCTTGCTGCAGTACAGGGCAATTGAACACCCGACACAACGTTTGAGCTTTGTGTCGGTCGGGAGCTGCGATTCAAGTTTCTTGCAATGACCGCAGACCGGCGACGGGTAGAATTCGACGTTCAAGGGGGTTGAGCCTAGTAAAGCCATGAAGTATGGTTCGCGAGGGGACGTGGGCGTACGGGGAAGAGCGTGAACGTGTACCTCAGCGCCGTGGCACACGTAAGTGAAAGCGGCAATTCCCGCTAGTGAAGCACTTCCATTTCTCCTAGCGAGTAGGAGAATATGTTGCTTGCTGAAGTCCCTCATCCGGGCCATTATCCTTGAGGTAAAACGAAGGTCAGCTCACATAATGGACAAGAACATCTTTGCGTACATGTGGCATTTGTGGAACGGTGTTCAAGGCTCGCATACGGTAGGGAAACGAGCGAGAGGCTGACGACGAGCAGCCCAGCTAGCAACAGTAGGACTGAGGGAGGAACTCGAAGAGCCCGCTGAGCGATACAAGCAGCGCATGAAAGGTTGTACGGTCGCAAAGCAAACGGTGTGGTTGTAAGCACGTATAGCGGGGTGTACTCGCAGCGAGCGACAGGTTGTAATCGTGACAGAGGTGTTTAGTATAAGGACGCGGATCGCGGGTTTACACCATTCATACTGATGATACACAGATAGTCAAAGCTCGCAGAGTTCTAGGGACAGTTGGCCGAATAAGACTGAGTTCAGCAACAGCATTCCATCTCGGCGGGGCAACATTGGGCATATTAAACTTACACTTCATATTCGTGCCAATCATACATAGCTTCAAAGCCACGCGCTTCCTGAGAGCGTGAGGAGATTAACGAGGACTACTACGTCCGACAGAACACTCACCATGATCGCGCAGCGACGGAGCCTTCAAAGACTATGGAAACGCGCCCAGATCTCAAACGGAGCCAAGCCCGACTTGTACAGGCTGCCGCTGCGCGACATCCGCCGTGCGAGAGCAACCCAGTACAGATGGTCGTCGCGGCCCTCCCATGCCCACTTCTTCCCCCTCCTGACGAGAGTGCCAATGTCCGGCATGGGCCTGTCGTATGTCTTCGGGGGCCGGAAGATCGCACCCGTGCTCATGGCCTCCACGCACATCAGGCGGGTATCTGCGAGAACAGCGCGCGAGGACTCGTCGAACGCGTACGCATCGCCGGGTCTGCGCGACGGGAGAAAGACGGAGAATTGTTTCCAGACCCCGATTCCAGTGCCCATCACGATGAAGATCGCGGGGAGGACTGCGGCGGGGACGAGGGTGGAATGGCGTCTGAACTCGGCCTCCTCGCGGCAGAGGGTCATCATGGCGTTCCACGTCCCGTTGTCAGAGGCCAGCGGCCCAAGCTCTTCTCGCTTCACCAAGGACCCGTCGATGAGTTGGAATCCCTTTGCTGGATTTCCATCTGTCCCCTCGTGCTTGGGATTCAAGGTGATCATGAACTTGAAGACGCGAGCACAGTCGGCCAAGTCGGCGGGAATGTCGTCGTGCAGGAGTAGGGTGGCAGAAGTCACCGCCCTGAAGGCATACTCGTGGTTCTCAATCCAGTGTTTCATTGCCCTCATCAGAGCTTTCGGAGACTCATAGCCCGACAAGGGCAGGGCTTCAGGGTGCGAGACTTCCAGGTTGTCGGCAGGGCGGCAGGAGTCTCTGAAGCGTGCAATTGATGAACATAATAGTAACACGATGAGTCGGAGGGAGAGCAGCTTCGTACGTACTTGTGGGTGGTCCATGCTTCTCTCTGGCACTCCTTGCTGCAGTACTTGGCCGTTGAGCACCCACCGCACCGCTTCAGCTTCCTTTTCAGAAACACCTCCATCTGGCCACACTGGCTGCACTGTGGTGTGCTAGCGGCGGGGTCGGCGGTTGCGGTGATCGCGAGTATCTCGTCGGGTGTCAAAGTCGCTAAAGTTGTCACGTCCAGTTGAGGCCGTGACGAGGACATTTGAGCTAGGCTGGAGTGCGAACGACAGCAGACCCTGAAGAGAACACGACAGTACTGCCTTTAAACACGCGAAGGGAGAAGGGGAGAGAGAGGAGAGACCTAACGACGCGACATTGCGCGTTAACTCCCTCGATCAGATCTCAGATCCGAAATCGACTGAGTGGTGATCGAGCGCGACAGACCTTGCGAGTCTCCAGCCTCGGTGCTTCGTGAGTGAGTCCATCGCGGCACCTTGGTCTCTGACGATACAAAGTAAGCATGTTGCGTATTCTAAAACCACCCATTCTCAAAGAAATACTATCGACAAAGGTGTGACTCCGAATAACAGTTCATACGCCATCTCCTTCAAGCATGCGTGCAATATGCCATCCGAGCCGTACAACCGCACAACCACTCGGATCTCGCTGTGGTACCAACGGTCATGTTATAGAACTGCGCACAGAGGATCCCGAGGTCACTATGTGCCATATATGTTCTTGGAAGCACATGCACCTCTCTCCCCTCGACATATTCACCCCACAGCTCACAAGTCATAGAACTTCTCCCAGATATTCACAGGATGTGCCCCGGTCCTAGTCTCCCCAGGGCGGCCCATCCCGATCTGCGTCCAATCCCAGTCCACCTTATTCTTCCACTCCCACTTCTTTCCCCTCTTCACGAGCGTGCCCACGTCCGGATCCGCCCTACGACTGTTCGCCGACGCGCGCATCACAAACCCGCCATTCACGATCCCCATACACATCTGCACCACATCCTGCATGACCGCGCGCTCCAGCGCCCCGAGCGGCCTGCTGTCGTCGCGCACCCGCCTGTATATCGGGAAGTGGCGGAACGACGCGAAGCCCGCGCCCGGCACGACGACCACCGCAGGCAGCACGCCCGCATACGTCTCGTCCGGGCGCTCGCGGTGGATATTCTCCATGATGCGCTCGCACTCGACGCGCGAGCCGTCCCAGCCGTCCGCGAGCGACCCGAACTCGGACATCCGCACGATCTCCGGCGCGCCCCCGAGCCGGAACGCGTTCGCGGGCGTGCGCTCCCCAGGGGCGTTCTGGGCACGGGGCAGCGCGCGCAGGACGATCGCACGTGCGGACGCGAGGGTGAAGCCGACGCCGCCGTTGAGGTGCGCGGTTGCGCTTGCGATGATGCAGAAGGCGAAGGAGTGCGCCTCGCCCCAGTCGACGATCGCGTTCTCGAGCGCTATGAGCGCGGGGTATCCTGCGAGGTGGCTTGGCCCGATGTCGATGCCCGACTCCTTGTCGGTGTGGCGACACAACTGTCTATCAGGTGAAGGTGGGTGAGTATCAGACAGCAGCAAGTCTGAGAAGCGAAGGACGCACTTGTGTCGCGGCCAGGCGGTCTTCTGGCAGTCCCTGCTGCAGTAGAAGGTCACGGTGCACCCGGTGCAGCGCTTCAGCTTACTCCCTTGCAGCTCCGACTCCCGTTTTCCGCAGAGAGAGCATTGAGGCAGTTCCTGGAAGCTGGGATAGAACGGCGCACCAGATCCGGCTGAGCTTGGGCCCGATGTGTTGTCCATGGCGAGGTACGAGCCGACGATGTGTGCAACTTCGTGTTTGCCTGGCGGCTCTGAGCACGATCGATTAGCGCGGCCATGCTGCAGGTTTATATATGTAAAGAGCCGCAAAGAACCTTGACCCTATGATCGACGTGCGAAAGTGAATTACTGGTGCGCAACGCCTCTACCAAACGGCAACCAAGAGCACGGTGATCAATTGTCCGACCCTTATGGGTAAACAACGTCACCGCCCATTCGGTTCGTAGCGGATGCCTCTGAGAAGTTGGCATGACAAATCCGGGCAGACATTAATACAATAGGCATATTGTGTGAGTTCTCATGCAGATACAAATACCATCCACAACCTTATATTGTTACCATTCCGTTGCTCCTGAGTTCGTAAGTTTCCGCTTCCACAGCGTCCATCCTTGACAAACGACGGGGGATGGATATAGATGCCGGGGCATGTGTATGCACATGTCGTATCGGCTGTGACTAGCGTGAGTGCGTTCCTGCTCGCCCGAGTCGCATATGAATCGGACGCACCACTGCAGCGTACTAGCTGGTATACTTATCAACCATAAAAGAACCGCTCCCATAATTTGGCGGCATTGAGGCCAGTCTTGCGGGGCATGGCCTGAGGCAGCTTGTAATCCGACTGCGTCCAATCCCACCCAGGTAGATGTTCCCAGCGCCACTCCCTCTTCTTCTGCCGGACCATCTTTCCGATGTCGGGGAGACGCCTATGGCCAGGTCCTGAGGGATGCTGGAGTACGAGGCCGGCGTGCATGATGTCCAAGCAGTGGCTGGTGATGTCCTCAAAGACGGAGAGCGAGGGCTCGTCGGTTAGATTGTCGCGGGCTGGCGATAGACGGTGGATGACAACAGTGCTGATGGACATCACGTCGGAATCTTGTAGGATGTATAGCGCAGGTAGCACGCCGCATTCCACGGAATCGTCGCGATAGATCTGCCTACGAACCGCCGCCTCCCGGGTCCGACAATTCGCGTGCCATAGGGCCCACGATTCCTTCAGCTCCTCGCCAGCACCTGTGAGGCCCTCCGCTTCGGCGCGGGATACCACTCGTACCACGGAAAGATGGAAGCTTTGTGCAGGGTTTCCGTCCGAATCCGATCGGGTCCTAGGCAGGGGGCGGACGAGGAACAAGATTGCGTGAGTGTCGGAACGGACGTGTTTCGCGAAGCCACCATTGCGGTACACGACCGCCGTGGCCATATTTGTGAACGTGTATGCGTAGAGCTCCCCCCAGGCGAGCATGGCGGTAGTAAGCGCGGCGACCGTCTCGGGAGGAGCTGGCGCTGCAATGTTGCTAGGTGTTGGCGGTTCCATTCCGGTATAGATGCGCACGTCGTCTTCCCGTTTCTTCCACTGTGCGCGGCATGGTTGTCTGGAGTGGCAATTCAGCGCGCGAAGGAGTTAGTGATAATATGGGTGCAAGTAAACAAATGCTATCGTACGAGTTCCGAAGGACTCGAGGTAGCATGAGAGTAGACACTTACTTGTGCGCTGGCCAACCTTTTTTCTGGCACTCCTTGCTACAATACATAGGCCCTGAACATCCGGCACAGCGCTTCAGCTTGTTCGTCAACTCCGACTGGGTCCGAAGGCAGACAGCGCAGCGGTCGGCGATAACCAAACCAGTTGACGGTGTAGTAGCCATCTTATGACTCAGAACGTGTTAGCTTAGCTTGACTGGAGGGCTCAGTATTGGAGAATGCGGTCGCGAGACTAGGCTGAAGAGGCCGATGTTGTTAGATTGAAGATCGTCTCAAGAACGAGTGAAGGGTTCCGAACTCCCCGGGGCCATTGATTCTGTCAGTGCACACTTTGTACCGCCTAGACCGAGGGACAATGACAGATTCCTCCAGTACTATGAGCAAGGTAAGATCGAGACAGATTGTCGTAGTCCGAGGGCAAGGGGAGAGTAGTAAACGTTCTCGGGAAGATAATTATTGCGCCTTTCCGTAGCTTTCCATACTTACGGATACAAACATATGACAATATCTGTACCAATTAGGGCAGTATTTGGTCCAATCGTGAACGCGGTCAAATGTTGAGCGCCTCGACATGTCTCTACCGTTACCCGTACCTATCGCGTACTGCTCTCTTTCATACGCTACCACCCTCCAGTCTCGAGCACATGCGGTCTCTGCTGAACTTGCTTTGGACACGTCCGCCCAGCAGTATATGATACACACGTATTCTTGTCAGCCCTTCCCCACCCTCTGGCCCTCTCGAGGCGCTTTGCAGATGTGCATTGTGACTATTGAAAGCGGTTCATTTCACCGCCAGGAGCCTCGGCAGCATAAATCAATGCCCGACGACGTGAATACGACAGGACCTCCGATCGAACGGGACACCGGAGCCGCACGCTTCTGTGATTGAGCTATCAACTTGGTACGCCCCGTTCATGTTCGAGTTCATTCTTTCCAACACCTACCATGGACGCAGACGACCATACCGAGTGTTGCCACACCATCGCCACTCTTCCTACCCCAGGCCACGCCCAGTGCGCGCACTGTGGCAAGCGGGAGCGACAGCTCTCGGCGGACACCAAGTTGAAAAGGTGCATGGGATGCTCGGCGGTCAGGTATTGCAGCAGAGAGTGCCAGAAGGCTGCATGGCCAGAACACAGGCAAGTCGTCCTCTCACCATGTTTGCGCTCATCGGCACTCATGTTATGATATACGCTTGCAGGCGCACGTGCGGCTCCGCAGGGGATCTTCAAGTTGTGACCCGTGCGGGACATGTTGCCTCCCTTGCCCAGGCTCAGGCCGTAAACAACTGGGTTACGTACGTGCACGAGTACGGGCTCGAAACGCTGGCCAACGCCGCCGTACTCGCCAACGGTGGTATCGCCGCCAACCTGGGATCTCCTCGGGTCTTGCGCTTGACGTTGGCCCCTGGCGAGGACTCGGGCGACGGAGGAAACCCGGCCTCGGCCTTCCGCCTTGTTGACGTCTCCATCGAGCACAAGGACGACGTGCCCGCGATCACAAGCTGGGAGCTGGTCCAAGCAAACTGCCGCAAGAGAAGACGGTACCTCCGACAGAGACTCCCGGACGTCACCGTCCTCGGCTGCATCCCCGCCGTCTGCATTCTCGCGGGCACGACCATCGCGACGATCTACACTTTCCCCATCTACGGGCTTCGGAGCCGGCACATGAAGGCGATGCCTGGGTGCATCCGCGCGGTCTGCGAGGACGTCATGGCGATGTGCATCGAGACGGTGAACATGGGCCTCGTCCTGCGCCCGTCTCCGTGCGAGCGGTGCGTGAAGTGCGGGACGCAGGATGGCCCGCCCCGGGGCAGGCTCGTCAAGCTGGACGAAGGGGGGTGGGACTGGGAGGCTGTGGATGACTGGGAGTGGGTGCCGGCCGAGGACTTCAAGTCTCGTTCCGGCCTTGACCCTGCGAAGACTTGGAACCTGTATCATGCCTCCGAGTTTGCATACATAGGACACGGTGTAAGTATTCGTAGCTGTATATGTAAATCAAGCACATGCGCGACACAGAGCGAGAGAGCTGATGGCGCGGAGTCTCGGACGCGGGAGAGGACGGGTCGGCAGACGACTCGAGAGGACGATCTCCCTGATGGAAATGCGACCTCTGCCACGAAAATGCGACGATAATGCCAAGTACGGTGGGCCAGAGGGGACTGTCATGCCAAGGAGAGACTTCACAGCACAGACGTCGTGAGACAGCGCGAGACGCAAGACAGAACACACGGGGCCGCCTAGCGCGATTACGGCGTCTATCACTTTGCTCTTGCCTCTCATGTCGGCGACATGCCTTCTCGTTTACTCTGGCGATGCACCGCCGTCGGGCTCGATTGGCGGCACACAGATATACGCATGAATCTATCAGTGCAGACGCGGGGCCTCGTACAGCCCGCCGCAGCCGCCACCGGATCTCCCAGCTCGCGTACATATGGATCAACAACCTCAGCCGAGCCCGAGCCCGATTCCGGCTCATCCATCAACTCGGCTGTGCTGGAATCCACATGCATAGCCGCACCAGGATGCTCCCTCGAGCTCAGAAGACATCGGGAGAAGTCCTCCCGTGCGCTCGCAAGCAGCCCTTTCGAGGAAAATGCATCAGGTAAGCTTCTCGAGTCTGCCACTCTCGCCCTTTCGCAATTCCGATGTTTTCACGCTGCCATAGTACACGCAGAGCGGGAATGGCTCGACAACAGCCCTCACTACAAACTAGCCAGTGCGACTTCGTCTGAGCTGCCAATGTTGAGCACGAGCACGCGTACGTGACTCCTGCAGCCGGCAAACTGTAAGCTGACGTTATATCTAGTGTTCTACGCCTCCTGCGCACCTGCGCTCGGCTCGGATACGTGTGAGTGCAGGGTGGGAGCGCTACCCACCTCTCTGCCGTCGCCAGAGCGCATGGAATCGGCCCGGTGGGACGGCGTCATGCGAAGCGTACTCCCACGCCATGGCTCTCCGACAGTACTCGCTACGAGCTAGCCAGTACCACCCCGCGCGCTCTGAGCAGCACTGTGCCGATCGTGAGCACAAGTACGCCTACGTAGCTCCCACCGCATGCTGACGTTGAATCTAGTATCCTACGCCTTCTGCGGGCCTTCGGTTTGCGCAGATACGTGTGAGTACAAGATGGGAGCGCTGTGACCTGCCTGCCGTCGCCAGAGCCCTCGGAATCGGTCCGGCGGGATGGTGTTATGCGAAGCGGACTCCCGCGCGGCGCTCGACTCTTGAACTGCCACTCGCACCTCCGGCACGGTCTCTGCATGCGTGTGTAAGTATAGATCGCATGTATTCTTAGAGACCCCGCTGATATTGCGATCTAGCAGACGACGCGATCCAAATGGGCACCGTTAGGCCGAGAAGCTCACCGAAACGCGTACGGCACGAGCTACGACGAATACTTCGGATCGGATGGACGTGAGCACGTACGGGAGACGTTTAGCAATGTGTCTGACATTTTTTCTTTGCAGACTCGGACGGTGTGCGCTTGTGCGACGGCTAAGCGGCTGAGGAAGCTCGTTTGCTAGGGCGCTGGAAGACCATCGCGGGTGCGTTCCGCGGGCTTACTGAATCAGCGATTACAGCCGATATTCGGATGCCGCGCGGCCGCCGCATGTGCCCCGTATTGTCGCGTCGCCGGCGTCGAATGGGAATCAGCATCGGCTGGAGGTACAGATCAGTACCGGCCTGCATCCGAGTCCAGAGAGCGGGCGTGTGTACTCACTACCTCGGGCATGCGCTGGAAGTCTGACTCGGGCAACCCTACAAGGCTTCCCAAGGCTTCCTGCGCAACAATTTGCGAAGATGGTGCCCAGCAGTATTCATTCGAACTCGGAGGTATGTTGAATCTCGTGCTATCTCTGTGCACACTGCTCACGTCTTGCCGGCGTGCAGATCCGTATACGGCACCATAAATGTCCGGTAAATGAAATCACCGTCGAGATGGAACAGATCCGCTCACTGTCCACCGCATCTCCGCGCTAGCACAGCATCTGACGAGAGCTGCGGGGCTGTGTCGACGTTCTCAAGATCCGTGTCGCCGCCGTCCCCGCTGCCTGCTACTGCTGGGATATGCGCACATGAGACCTAGACTCGGAAATAGGCGAGTGGATCTGCATTCAGAGCTAGCCGGCACCGTCCTTGATTATTCCGGCTGGTACACCCGCAGCGAGTGCTTCTCCCGAGGCTTCTCGCCTCAAGTCTCTGGTTTCCTGTCAGCTTGCACCCTCCTGTACTTCTGATGTCTCCACGGCTGTCTGCTTACGAAGGGAGTGCGGGCAGGACGATAGAATAGGGCATATTACCGACATTGTGTGTGGCTCAGGTAGATACAGATCTCAGTGAGTGAGCGTGATCGGCATCTCAGGCTCCGGGTTGCATTCGCATAAGAGCCGTCGGGATATTTTACCTCCAAGTGTGACATGGGATGAGAATGATATGCATGCCAACACCGTCAATGTGCCCTGCCTCGACGATATCATGTTTCATTATGGAACTCAAGAGCTCGGGCCGCTTGCCTGCCGTCTTGGCTCGGTGTTCTATCCCGGTGAGCGTACACGCCGGTCTGCTCCCCGCCTCATGCTGCCTGCCGTCTAGAGCACCGGTGGAACGAGCCTGCGCAGTAATGGCGGGATGGGCGGCAGGGTTTCTGCCGAGTTTCGTTCCCGTACATGTGCTTTGAACTCGATTCAAATCGTCCTAGCTTGTCCAGCTGAATAGAGCTACATGGGATGATACAAAACATCATCCACGAGCACCCGCGGCCTGCGTATGTGAAAGATATCGGCCGTTTCGAAGCGAATATTGAGCGATTACATATGTCTCCCACGGAGCGGTGGCAAAGGCCCGGAGTTGTCCTGCTGCAACAGAGCATCCGTACGCTCGTACGCACAGTACAGGCAGGAGTAAACACGTTCATTAGCTCAAGAAGTACAGTAAACGTCCACAGGACAAGCCCGCATGTGTCGCGCAAATCAGAACGACTCGATGAGGTCGTCCGCGATCTCACCGCTCGGGAGCCTGCGCGTCCGCCACGCCTCGCGGTCCCACTCGTCCGTGTCCTCGATCTCCTCCGTCGCGTCCGTGCCCGCCGCGCCCAAGCCTGCGCTGACCGCCTCGTCCCAGAGCCACTCATCCGCGACCTCCCGCCCGCTCTTCGGCCCGTTCCGCTCGAACCGCTGCCCCCACATCCACCCCGGGTTCGTCACCGGCCGCGCACGGTGCCGCCCGACGTCGCAGCGCTGCCCACGCGGTGCCTCCGGGTTCGGGAACAGCGGCCCCGGCAGCGCGTTGTACACGCTCTCCCGCGCCGCGAGCAGCTCCCCGTCCGTCGCCGCCGCCCAGAACATCCAGCCCGCCTCCCAGTACGCGAGCAGCGTGCGCACCTTCTCCGTGGGCATGTCCCGGAGGTTGCTCATGTTCGTGAACTCGATGTCTTCCGGCCACCCGACGAGCTTCACGCGGTATTTGAGGAAGACATAGTCCCGGAAGCGCAGGCCCGACCAGTGCATCGTCGCGAGCGCGTCGTGCGTGAACTCGGCTGTGTGGGGTGCGGGCGATGAGTGTGTGTCAGCGTGCGAGCAAGAGGGTGGGTGTACTCACCGAGGCCCGTGGTGAGCACATCGCGCACGGAGCCCCGCTCGCGGCCGTGGGTGGTAGAGTAGTGGTTGCCTTTCGTTTCGCCGATCCGGAGGCGGCGTGCGGGTCCCATGTCGAGATTGGAGTGCGGAGGAAGAACTGAGAATGCAGATATCAGGGTGCGTGCAGTCCAAGCGTGCAGAGACGACCCACGAGGCGGGAGGGATGTGGGCGTATGACGAGAAGGCCGGTGTACGAGCAGACCTGGGTAGATATCCCGTGCAAGGCACGACACTTTCCAAGTGCACAGTCTTGACTGTTCGCGCTTCGCGCGAACGGCGGCTGCCTCTGTCCCATCCGACGTGTCCGCCCGCCTGTTCAGGCCTCGGTTAGTTCATGTTTCAGGCTGGCACCGAGCGCACATGGCTCACTCGGGACGAATCCACCGCCAAGCTCCGGAGTGGTACGCGGAGAGCGATCGAGTGCTGCGCATTGAATAATCGCCGCAATGTCGACTGGCTTTGGACCTCGTCGGTGCGGACTGCGAGGATGTCCCGTTCGCACTCGCGCCGTATTCAATCCCGGCATGCACGGCCACTGCATCGAGCCATAGAGCCTCCCGTACGATGCGAACAAGTCTCGCCGCGGACAGAGATCATCCGCACGCTTCTCGGCACGGCATACGCACTCGCCTCGTATGCGCTCGTTTCCACTCAGCGGGCGCGGAGGCAATGACTTCGTGATCTGAGGCCGTCTCCGAGTCGGAGATTGACCACGTGAGGACAGCTGGGATCCAGGGGACGTGGCTCGCGTCGCTCACTGTCTGTGGCATGGTGTCAGCGGTGTTCGAGTCGGGAGACCCTTCGACGCGTACGTGCTCGTCCCGTCGTCCAGCTGTCCGGGTCTCCTCGCGCAGAGGGCGCCGTGACTTGTGAGTATCCCGTGCGGATGCGCAAACACGTTAGTACTGGGTGCCTGAAATGCGAAGAGATTCTGTGAGCAGCGAGCCTTACAGCGAGGAACATCGAGCAGCTTACGAACGGATCCTAACGAGGCGGCATGCAGGACGCCTCTTCGACGTTGCAGTCCACATGCGATGGAGCGCACCACCGTGAGCTACACCGTCTGCGAGTGCGAGTTAGCGACGATCGGACACGGTCTGCTCGGACTTACACGGCGGCCACACATCTTCGCGCTTTCCCCAGAGCAGGCGCACTCGCTGAACGCGCCGCGGCGCCACGCCTCCCCGCCTGTGCTGCGCCCCAGGATGTCGAGCGCAGCTTGTCCGCGCATTTCCACGCGCCCGACATGCGCCACGGCGACTCGACCGGACGACGGACGGTTCGACCATGTGATCGGTCCTGTGCGAGCGGTGAACCGTCTGGTGCTTCGCCAGGGAGCGCGAGGACGACGGACCTGTGTATGTGCACTCCAACGCGCCGTTGCTCGCGGCGCACTTCTGTCTTGCATCCTTGGGTTGCCGGGCGCGAATCCGCCGGATCGTGAGTATCGAGGGACACATGAAGCGTCCATCGAAAGGGGGTGCGCTATTCGATCTATGTAGTACATGTGCACGCTAAATACACGTCGGTCTGCTCATCGGTCAGCTCCAGGATGCTTCGCGCAATGAATAAACACACCTCGTCGTCTCAGCGCAGACGCTGTCTCGAAAGCGAGGGAAATCGCATCTTGTCGCCTTGTCACACGGCCGAATCCACTTGCGCGGAACCTGAGATAGGTGCTCTTCCCAATATTGCTGGCACGGGGGCATACGGAAAGGCACCGATGGCACACGTCGCGCGCGAACAAACAACCCTGCCTCTTTGCCGTTACGACTGCACACGCGCACGGCGAGCAGGTGCTCACCCTCGCCCCCCAATACCGACCTACATCAAGCCGAGCATCCGTCAGTGCACAAATCTATTCGGATGCAGGCATATGTACCGATGCCCTGCTCGCCATCCGTATCTCGACGTCTCCCTGCCCGTCCTTCGCAGTACGTGCGCGGGCAGCGCGGTTTCGGACGGCTGCGGCGGACACCGGTCAGCATACCTGACAGTGCGGACGATTCCACCGCCCCAGTGTCCGCAACTACGTCGGCGTCGATGGGCGAAGCGGCGGGGACGGACACTGTGTCTAGAAGACATAGGCGGCGATCAATGGGGGCGTCGGGGCTACGCTTGCACCTGGCTGGCCGCCGTTGTGGCGAGACGGCGCGCGTGCATGTGCGAAGCTCCCTGCCGATGAGGCGCTTGGTTCGGCTCACAGCCCAACTCCCAGCCGCTGTATACACGTCTCGGGCGGTCGGCCCACGACTTTTGCGCACGCACTCCCAGGCCGCCTCGACGGAGGGATGCATCCTGCTCATGTTGTATCTGCGCCGAGAGACAAGGGACGACTGCGCGGCGTCCTCGAGCTGCAGCTGCGACAGGGCGCACATGAACTCGTAGCAGTCGCCAAGGGCGCACCCTGCCGCAGAATCCCGCGTGTGTCGAGCTCGTCCCGAAGTAGCCGCGTCGAGGAGCGGGCGCGAAACGATATTCCACCCGTGCATGCCCATACCCGACGCATGCGCCCCGCCTGGAGTCCGCATCTACGCCGTTCGTGTCGCATCTCCGCGCCCATTGATTCCTTACAATAGCTCCCGAAGCACGTACCTTGTGTGCGCGAGCGTTCGAGGATCCCCTCCCTGCCGTCCGTCCAACGGTGTCGCGGCAAGTAGCTGAGAGATGTGCAATACAGCTAGAACGCTGTGCAACGCGCCGACGGGACGCGGGAGCAGTCGGGGAGCGAGCAATGGAGAAGTCAAGCGGCGAGGTCGGATCGAGGATGCAGATCTCCCATTCGCACGAAGCGAAGGCGGCGGCGTAGTCGGTGGTGTTTGAGCGTGTGGTAGTCGCGGCACGGCCATCTTGTTGATCGCATTCGTCTCACGTATGAATCGGGGCTCGGTGTGCGTATCCCGGTGGCCCATGCGCGACCTTTCGCATCCTGCAAGAGGATATAAGCCTGCAACACGGGGGGTTATTCATCAGTATATTTCGCTCCCCCTTTTCGATCTCTCTACACACCTTGCTGGTCTCTCGTCGAAGCCTCGCCGGTCCCACACACAGCTGTGGACGGATGACCGCGGGTCAACGCGTGGTGAGTGATCTTGTACAGCTATAGCACAGTTTATGACTATCTAGAGAAGTTCTACAACGCGCATAGAACGTGAAAACACGCGGTAAGAGACCAACGACCGCGTTCAAGACAGGGCTTACGCGGCGAGCAGCACGGCAAGACGCCACAGATTGCGAGCAAGAAGGCGGGAGCGCGGGCGAAAGACAGAGGGAGCACCTCTGAAAGCAGGTGAGTCGCAGTCATCGTCCACTGTGAAAGAGCACGAGGGGAGCGGCGTACAGGCGGGCGCAAGTAAGCCAGCTTCTAGTTAGAGGACGCGGTGGCAGAGTCGCAGTACTCAGTCTCGAGCGAGGGGCGTGTATGCTAGAGTAAAGACGAAGGAGATCTAGCCATCCATTAGAAAACGTAGACGAGAGCCCGCGATTAGTGAATGGCTCGCGTCGCGAGTGCGTCGTCGAGGGTGCAAAGAGAGAGCGAGCCGCGAGGAAACTGTCCGAGCGTCGAGACGAGCGCCTGCAGGCAGCCAATCAGCGCTCCTGGCATTCTACGCGTGACGTCATGGCTCTGTCCCGTGCAGTACTAGCGCCCATTCGCGGTGCCGTCCCTCTTCGCGTACTGCATGAGCGAGGTAAGATCGAAACAGATTGTCGTAGTCCGAGGGCAAGGGGAGAGTAGTATTAGTATACGTTCTCGGGAAGATAATTATTGCGCCTTTCCGTAGCTTTCCATACTTACGGATACAAACATATGACAATATCTGTACCAATTAGGGCAGTATTTGGTCCAATCGTGAACGCGGTCAAATGTTGAGCGCCTCGACATGTCTCTACCGTTACCCGTACCTATCGCATACTGCTCTCTTTCATACGCTACCACCCTCCAGTCTCGAGCACATGCGGTCTCTGCTGAACGTGCTTTGGACACGTCCGACTAGCAGTATGTGATGCACACGGATCCTTGTCAGCCCATCCCCACCCTCTGGTCCTCTCGAGGCGCTTGCAAATGTGACATCGAGAGCGTTCATTTCACCGCCAGGAGCCTCGGCAGCGTGAAACAATGCCCGACGACGTGAATACAACAGGACCGCCGATCGAACGGGACACCGGAGCCGCATGCTTCTGTGATTGAGCTATCAACTTGGTACGCCCTGTTCATGTTCGAGTTCATTCTTTCCAACACCTACCATGGACGCAGACGACCATACCGAGTGTTGCCACACCATCGCCACTCTTCCTACTCCAGGCCACACCCAATGCGCGCACTGTGGCAAGCGGGAGCGACAGCTCTCGGCGGATACCAAGTTGAAAAGGTGCATGGGATGCTCGGCGGTCAGGTATTGCAGCAGAGAGTGCCAGAAGGCTGCATGGCCAGAACACAGGTGAGTTGTCCTCTCACTATGTTTATGCCCATCAGCACTCATGTTATGATATATGCTCGCAGGCGCACCTGCGGCTCCACAGGGGACCTTCAAGTTGTGACCCGTGCGGGGCATGTTGCCTCCCTTGCTCAGGCTCAGGCCGTGAACAACTGGGTGACTTACGTGCACGAGTACGGGCTCGAAACGCTGGCCAACGCCGCCGTACTCGCCAACGGTGGTATCGCCGCCAACCTGGGATCTCCTCGGGTCTTGCGCTTGACGTTGGCCCCTGGCGAGGACTCGGGCGACGGAGGAAACCCGGCCTCGGCCTTCCGTCTCGTCGATATCTCCATCGAGCACAAGGACGACGTGCCCGCGATCACAAGCTGGGAGCAGGTCCAAGCAAACTGCCGCAAGCGAAGACGGTACCTCGGACAGAGACTCCCGGACGTCACCGTCCTCGGCTGCATCCCCGCGGTCTGCATTCTCGCGGGCACGACCATCGCAACGATCTACACTTTCCCGATCTACGGGCTTCGGAGCCGGCACATGAAGGTGATGCCTGGGTGCATCCGCGCGGTCTGCGAGGACATCATGGCGATGTGCATCGAGACGGTGAACATGGGCCTCGTCCTGCGCCCGTCTCCGTGCGAGCGGTGCGTGAAGTGCGGGACTCAGGATGGCCCGCCCAGGGGCAGGCTCGTCAAGCTGGAAGAAGGGGGGTGGGACTGGGAGGCTGTGGATGACTGGGAGTGGGTGCCGGCCGAGGACTTCAAGTCTCGTTCTGGCCTTGACCCTGCGAAGACTTGGAACCTGTATCATGCCTCCGAGTTTGCATACATAGGACACGGTGTAAGTATTCGTAGCTGTATATGTAAATCAAGCACATGCGCGACACAGAGCGAGAGAGCTGATGGCGCGGAGTCTCGGACGCGGGAGAGGACGGGTCGGCAGACGACTCGAGAGGACGATCTCCCTGATGGAAATGCGACCTCTGCCACGAAAATGCGACGATAATGCCAAGTACGGCGGGTCAGAGGGGACTGTCATGCCAAGGAGAGACTTCACAGCACAGACGTCGTGAGACAGCGCGAGACGCAAGACAGAACACATGGGGCCGCCTAGCGCGACTACGGCGTCTATCACTTTGCTCTCGCCTCTCATGTCGGCGACACGCCTTCTCGTTTACTCTGGCGATGCACCGCCGTCGGGCTCGACTGGCGGCACACAGATATACGCATGAATCTATCAGTGCAGACGCGGGGCCTCGTACAGCCCGCCGCAGCCGCCACCGGATCTCCCAGCTCACGTACATATGGATCAACAACCTCAGCCGAGCCCGAGCCCGAGTCCAGCTCATCCATCAGCTCGGCTGTGCTGGAATCCACATGCATAGCCGCACCAGGATGCTCCCTCGAGCTCAGAAGACATCGGGAGAAGTCCTCCCGTGCGCTCGCAAGCAGCCCTTTCGAGGAAAATGCATCAGGTAAGCTTCTCGAGTCTGCCGCTCTCGCCCTTTCGCAATTCTGACGTTTTCACGCTGCCATAGTACACGCAGAGCGGGAATGGCTCGACAACAGCCCTCATTACAAACTAGCCAGTGCGACTTCGTCTGAGCTGCCAATGTTGAGCACGAGCACGCGTACGTGACTCCTGCAGCCGGCAAACTGTAAGCTGACGTTATATCTAGTGTTCTATGCCTCGTGCGCACCTGCGCTCGGCTCAGATACGTGTGAGTGCAGGGTGGGAGCGCTATCCACCTCTCTGCCGTCGCCAGAGCGCATGGAATCGGCCCGGCGGGACGGCGTCATGCGAAGCGTACTCCCACGCCATGGCTCTCCGACAGTACTCGCTACGAGCTAGCCAGTACCACCCCGCGCGCTCTGAGCAGCACTGTGCCGATTGTGAGCACAAGTACACCTACGTAGCTCCCAACGCATGCTGACGTTATATCTAGTATCCTACGCCTTCTGCGGGCCTTCGGTTTGCGCAGATACGTGTGAGTACAACATGGGAGCGCTGTGACCTGCCTGCCGTCGCCAGAGCCCTCGGAATCGGTCCGGCGGGATGGTGTTATGCGAAGCGGACTCCCACGCGGCGCTCGACTCTTGAACTGCCACTCGCACCTCCGGCACGGTCTCTGCATGCGTGTGTAAGTATAGATCGCATGTATTCTTAGAGAGCCCGCTGATATTGCGATCTAGCAGACGACGCGATCCAAATGGGCACCGTTACGCCGAGAAGCTCACCGAAACGCGTACGGCACGAGCTACGACAAATACTTCGGATCGGATGGACGTGAGCACAGTACGGGAGACGTTTAGCAATGTGTCTGGCATTTTTTCTTTGCAGACTCGGACGGTGTGCGCTTGTGCGACGGCTAAGCGGCTGAGGAAGCTCGTTTGCTAGGGCGCTGGAAGACCATCGCGGGTGCGTTCCGCGGGCGTACTGAATCAGCGATTACAGCCGATATTCGGATGCCACGCGGCCGCCGCATGTACCCCGTATTGTCGCGTTGCCGGCGCCGAATGGGAATCAGCATCGGCTGGAGGTACAGATCAGTACCGGCCTGCATCCGAGTCCAGAGAGCGGGCGTGTGTACACACTACCTCGGGCACGCGCTGGAAGTCTGACTCGGGCAACCCTGCAAGGCTTCCCAAGGCTTCCTGCGCAACAATTTGCGAAGACGGTGCCCAGCAGTATTCATTCGAACTCGGAGGTACGTTGAATCTTGTGCTATCTCTGTGCACACTGCTCATGTCTTGCCGGCGTGCAGATCCGTATACGGCACCATAAATGTCTGGTAAATGAAATCACCGTCGAGATGGAACGGATCCGCTCACTATCCACCGCATCTCCGCGTTAGCACAGCGTCTGAAGAGAGCTGCGGGGCTGTGTCGACGTTCCCAAGATCCGTGTTGCCGCCGTCCCCGCTGCCTGCATCCGGGGCGTCAATCCCTCATCTATTCAGCCAGCCTGCTCGACGACGAGTGTGGTGTTCCGGGAGTCCAAGAGGCGGTGGATATGCGCGCATGAGTCCGGCTGGTACACCCGCAGCGAGTGCTTCTCCCGAGGCTTCTCGCCTCAAGTCTCTGGTTTCCTGTCGGCTTGCACCCTCCTGTACTTCTGATGTCTCCACAGCTGTCTGCTTACGAAGGGAGTGGGGGCAGGACGATAGAATAGGGCATATAGAACCATACAATGTCGGTAGCATTGTGTGTGGCTCAGGTAGATACAGATCTCAGTGAGTGAGCGTGATCGGCATCTCAGGCTCCGGGTTGCATTCGCGTAAGAGCCGTCGGGATATTTTACCTCCAAGTGTGACATGGGATGAGAATGATATGCATACCAACACCGTCAATGTGCCCTGCCTCGACGATATCATGTTTCATTATGGAACTCAAGAGCTCGGGCTGCTTGCCTGCCATCTTGGCTCGGTGCTCTATCCCGGTGAGCGTACACGCCGGTCTGCTCCCCGCCTCATGCTGCCTGCCGTCTAGAGCACCGGTGGAACGAGCCTGGGCAGTAATGGCGGGATGGGCGGCAGGGTTTCTGCCGAGTTTCGTTCCCGTACATGTGCTTTGAACTCGTTTCAAATCGTCCTAGCTTGTCCAGCTGAATAGAGCTACATGGGATGATACAAAACATCATCCACGAGTACCCGCGGCCTGCGTATGTGAAAGAGATCGGCTGTTTCGAAGCGAATACTGAGCTCCCACGGGCCACGGAGCGGTGGCAAAGGCCCGGAGTTGTCCTGCTGCAACAGCGCATCCGTACGCTCCCGCGCGCAGTACAGGCAGGAGTAAACACGTTCATTAGCTCGAGAAGTACAGTAAACGTCCACAGGACAAGCCCGCATGTGTCGCGCAAATCAGAACGACCCGATGAGGTCGTCCGCGATCTCACCGCTCGGGAGCCTGCGCGTCCGCCACGCCTCGCGGTCCCACTCGTCCGTGTCCTCGATCTCCTCCGTCGCGTCCGCGCCCGCCGCGCCCGCCGCGCCCAAGCCTGCGCTGACCACCTCGTCCCAGAGCCACTCATCCGCGACCTCCCGCCCGCTCTTCGGCCCATTCCGCTCGAACCGCTGCCCCCACATCCACCCCGGGTTCGTCACCGGCCGCGCACGGTGCCGCCCGACGTCGCAGCGCTGCCCACGTGGTGCCTCCGGGTTCGGGAACAGCGGCCCCGGCAGCGCGTTGTACACGCTCTCCTGCGCCGCGAGCAGCTCCCCATCCGTCGCCGCCGCCCAGAACATCCAGCCCGCCTCCCAGTACGCGAGCAGCGTGCGCACCTTCTCCGTGGGCGTGTCCCGGAGGTTGCTCATGTTCGTGAACTCGATGTCTTCCGGCCACCCGACGAGCTTCACGCGGTATTTGAGGAAGACATAGTCCCGGAAGCGCAGGCCCGACCAGTGCATCGTCGCGAGCGCATCGTGCGTGAACTCGGCTGTGCGGGGTGCGGGCGATGAGTGTGTGTGTGTCAGTGTGCGAGCAAGAGGGTGGGTGTACTCACCGAGGCCCGTGGTGAGCACATCGCGCACGGAGCCCCGCTCGCGGCCGTGGGTGGTAGAGTAGTGGTTGCCTTTCGTTTCGCCGATCCGGAGGCGGTGTGCGGGTCCCATGTCGAGATTGGAGTGCGGAGGAAGAACTGAGAATGCGAATATCAGGGTGCGTGCCGTCCAAGCGTGCAGAGACGACCCACGAGGCGGGAGGGATGTGGGCGTATGACGAGAAGGCCGGTGTACGAGCAGACTTGGGTAGATATCCCGTGCAAGGCGCGACACTTTCCAGGTGCACAGTCTTGACTGTTTGCGCTTCGCGCGAACGGCGGCTGCCTCTGTCCCATCTGACGCGTCCGCCCGCCTCTTCAGGCCTCGGTTAGTTCATGTTTCAGGCTGGCACCGAGCGCACATGGCTCACTCGGGACGAATCCACCGCCAAGCTCCGGAGTGGTACGCGGAGAGCGATCGAGTGTTGCACACTGAATAATCGCCGCAATTTCGACTGGCTTTGGACCTCGTCGGTGCGGACTGCGAGGACGTCCCGTTCGCACTCGCGCCGTATTCAATCCCGGCATGCACGGCCACTGCATCGAGCCATAGAGCCTCCCGTACGATGTGAACAAGTCTCGCCGCGGACAGAGATCATCCGCACGCTTCTCGGCATGGCATACACACTCGCCTCGTATGCGCTCGTTTCCACTCAGCGGGCGCGGAGGCGATGACTTCGTGATCTGAGGCCGTCTCCGAGTCGGAGATTGACCACGCGAGGACAGCTGGGAACCAGGGGCCGTGGCTCGCGTCGCTCACTGTCTGTGGCATGGTGTCAGCGGTGTTCGAGTCGGGAGACCCTTCGACGCGTACGTGCTCGTCCCGTCGTCCAGCCGTCCGGGTCTCCTCGCGCAGAGGGCGCCGTGACTTGTGGGTATCCCGTGCGGATGCGCAAACACGTTACTGGGTGCCTGAAATGCGAAGAGATTCTGTGAGCAGCAAGGAACATCGAGCAGCTGACGAACGGATCCTAACGAGGCGGCATGCACACAAATGCGGCATGCTGGACGCCTCTTCGATGTTGCAGTCCGCATTGGCCAAGAACAAGTTACGATGGAGCGCACCACCGTGAGCTACGCCGTCTGCGAGTGCGAGTCAGCGACGATCGGACACGGTCTGCTCGGACTTGCACGGCGGCCACACATCTTCGCGCTTTCCCCAGAGCAGGCGCACTCGCTGAACGCGCCGCGGCGCCGCGGCGCCACGCCTCCCTGCCTGTGCTGCGCCCCAGGATGTCGAGCGCAGCTTGTCTGCGCATTTCCACGCGCCCGACATGCGCCACGGCGACTCGACCGGACGATGGACGGTTCGACCATGCAATCAGTCCTGTGCGAGCGGTGAATCATCTGGTGCTTCGCCAGGGCGCTCGAGGACGACGGACCTGTGTATGTGCACTCCGATGCGCCGTTGCTCGCGGCGCACTTCTGTCTTGCGTCCTTGGGTTGCCGGGTGCGAATCCGCCGGATCGTGAGTATCGCAGGACATATGAAGCGTCCATCGAAAGGGGGTGTGCTATTCGATCTATGTAGTACATGTGCACGCTAAATACACGTCGGTCTGCTCATCGGTCATCTCCAGGATGCTTCGCAAAATGAATAAACATACCTCGTCGTCTCAGCGCAGACGCTGTCTCGAAAGCGAGGAAAATGGCATCTTGTCGCCTTGTCACACGGCCGAATCCACTTGCGCGGAACCTGAGAGAGGTGCTCTTCCCGATATTGCTGGCACGGGGTCATACGGAAAGGCACCGATGGCACACGTCGCGCGCGAACAAACAACCCTGCCTCTTTGCCGTTACGACTGCACACGCGCACGGCGAGCAGGTGCTCACCCTCGCCCCCCAATACCGACCTACATCAAGCCGAGCATGCGTCAGTGCACAAATCTATTCGGATGCAGGCATATGTACCGATGCCCTGCTCGCCATCGGTATCTCGACGTCTCCCTGCTCGTCCTTCGCAGTACGCGCGCGGGCAGCGCGGTTTCGGACGGCTGCGGCGGACACCGGTCAGCATACCTGACAGCGCGGACGATTCCACCGCCCCAGTGTCCGCAACTACGTCGGCGTCGATTCGCAAAGCGGCGGGGACGGACACTGTGTCTAGAAGACATAGGCGGCGATCAATGGGGGCGTCGGGGCTACGCTTGCGCCTGGCTGGCTGCCGTTGTGGCGAGACGGCGCGCGTGCATGTGCGAAGCTCCCTGCCGACGAGACGCTCGGTTCGACTCACAGCCCAACTCCCAGCCGCTGTATACACGTCTCGGGCGGTCGGCCCACGACTTTTGCGCACGCACTCCCAGGCCGCCTCGACGGAGGGATGCATCCTGCTCATGTTGTATCTGCGCCGAGCGACAAGGGACGACTGCGCGGCGTCCTCGAGCTGCAGCTGCGACGGGGCGCACATGAACTCGTAGCAGTCGCCAAGGGCGCACCCTGCCGCGAAATCCCGCGTGTGTCGAGCTCGTCCCGAAGTAGCCGCGTCGAGGAGCGGGCGCGAAACGATATTCCACCCGTGCATGCCCATACCCGACGCATGCGCCCCGCCTGGAGTCCGCATCTACGCCGTTCGTGTCGCATCTCCACGCCCATTGATTCCTTACAATAGCTCCCGAAGCACGTACCTTGTGTGCGCGAGCGTTCGAGGATCCCCTCCCTGCCGTCCGTCCAACGGTGTCGCGGCAAGTAGCTGAGAGATGTGCGATACAGCCCGAACGCTGTGCGACGCGCCGACGGGACGCGGGAGCAGTCGGCGAGCGAGCAATGGAGAAGTCGAGCGGCGAGGTCGGATCGAGGATGCAGATCTCCCATTCGCACGAAGCGAAGGCGGCGTAGTCGGTGGTGTTTGAGCGTGTGGTAGTCGCGGCACGGCCGTCTTGTTGATCGCATTCGATTCGTCTCGCGTACGAATCGGGGCTCGGTGTGCGTATCCCGGTGGCCCGTGCGCGACCTTTCGCGTCCTGCGAGAGGATATAAGCCTGCAACACGGGGGGTTGTTCATCAGTATCTTTCGCTCCCCCTTTTCAATCTCTCTACACACCTTGCTGTCCTCTCGTCGAAGCCTCGCCGGTCCCACACCAAGCTGTGGACGGATGACCGCGGGTCAACGCGTGGTGAGTGATCTTTTACAGCTATAGCACAGTTTATGACTATCTAGAGAAGTTCTACAACGCGCATAGAACCTGAAAACACGCCGTAAGTGACCAGCGACCGCGTTCAAGACTGGGCTGATGATCTTACGCGGCGAGCAGCACGGCAAGACGCCACAGAGTGCGAGCAAGAAGGCGGGAGCGCGGGCGAAAGACAGAGGGAGCACATCTGAAAGCAGGTGAGTCGCAGTCATCGTCCACTGTGAAAGAACACCCGGGGAGCGGCATACAGGCGGGCGCAAGTAAGCCAGCTTCTAGTTGGAGGACGCGGTGGCAGAGTCGCAGTACTCAGTCTCGAGCGAGGGGCGTGTATGCTAGAGTAAAGACAAAGGAGATCTAGCCGTCCATTAGAAAACGTAGACGAGAGCCCGCGATGAGTGAATGGCTCGCGTCGCAAGTGCGTCGTCGAGGGTGCAAAGAGAGAGCGAGCCGCGAGGAAACCTGGCCGAGCGTCGCGACGAGCGCCTGCAAGCAGCCAATCAGCGCTCCTGGTATCCCAGCGGGCGCCTGCGGGCAGCCAATGAGCGGTCCTGGCATTCTACGCGTGACGTCATGGCTCTGTCCCGCCCCATTCGCAGTGCCGTACCTATTGCGTACTGCTCTCCTTCATGCGCTACCACCCTCCAGTCTCGAGCACATGCGGTCTCTGCTGAACGTGCTTTGGACACGTCCGACTAGCAGTATGTGATGCACACGGATCCTTGTCAGCCCATCCCCACCCTCTGGTCCTCTCGAGGCGCTTGCAAATGTGACATCGAGAGCGTTCATTTCACCGCCAGGAGCCTCGGCAGCGTGAAACAATGCCCGACGATGCAAATACGACAGGACCGCCGATCGAACGGGACACCGGAGCCGCACGCTTCTGTGATTGAGCTATCAACTTGGTACGCCCCGTTCATGTTCGAGTTCATTCTTTCCAACACCTACCATGGACGCAGACGACCATACCGAGTGCTGCCACACCATCGCCACTCTTCCTACCCCGGGCCACGCTCAGTGCGCGCACTGTGGCAAGCGCGAGCGACAGCTTCCGGCGGACACTAAGCTGAAAAGGTGCATGGGATGCTCGGCGGTCAGGTACTGTAGCAGAGAGTGCCAGAAGGCTGCGTGGCCAGAACACAGGTGAGTTGTCCTCTCACTATGTTTATGCCCATCAGCACTCATGTTATGATATATGCTTGCAGGCGCACCTGCGGCTCCACAGGGGACCTTCAAGTTGTGACCCGTGCGGGGCATGTTGCCTCCCTTGCTCAGGCTCAGGCCGTGAACAACTGGGTGACTTACGTGCACGAGTACGGGCTAGAAACACTGGCCAATGCCGCCGTACTCGCCAACGGCGGTATCGCCGCCAACCTTGGGTCTCCTCGGGTCTTACGCTTGACGTTGGCGCATGGCGAGGACTCGGGCGACGGAGGAAACCCCGCCTCGGCCTTCCGTCTCGTCGACGTTTCCATCGAGCACAAGGACGACGTGCCCGCGATCACAAACTGGGAGCTGGTCCAAGCGAACTGCCGCAAGAGAAGACGGTACCTCCGACAGAGACTCCCGGACGTCACCGTCCTCGGCTGCATCCCCGCCGTCTGTATCCTCGCGGGCACGACCATCGCGACGATCTACACTTTCCCCATCTACGGGCTTCGGAGCCGGCACATGAAGGCGATGCCTGAGTGCATCCGCGCGGTCTGCGAGGACGTCATGGCGATGTGCATCGAGACGGTGAACATGGGCCTCGTCCTGCGCCCGTCTCCGTGCGAGCGGTGCGTGAAGTGCGGGACGCAGGATGGCCCGCCCCGGGGCAGGCTCGTCAAGCTGGAAGAGGGCGGGTGGGACTGGGAGGCTGTGGATGACTGGGAGTGGGTGCCGGCCGAGGACTTCAAGTCTCGTTCCGGCCTTGACCCTGCGAAGACTTGGAACCTGTATCATGCTATTTGATGCTTGGGACTGGTAAGTGTTTACGTGCTAGATGGGAGCACTCCGCTCATTAATATCCCTTCTAGCTGGATGGATGGGCGAGTTGGGCGTTGCCCGCACTGCAGGGCTCTGGTCGTCGAGGATATCTTACTAGTCTGCGTCAATACGCCCCAGAGTGTTATGGGCATTGTGCGTAGCATCAATCTCTCCGTAATGCTCGCACTGACTTCAGCTCTAGTTTTGGTTGGGATTAATGCGAACCTCTTTCGAGTCTTGGTGGCTTGAGCGGAGGTTTCGAGGTTCTTGTCTATACCCAGTTTCTGATGATTCTCCGCGATACCCTCTTCAATAGATCGTATTCCAGCATGGATGCGTTTCACACCGCCGATGGCACCACCGCAGCATCCTTGCTCGGCCTCCCAGTATGGTGCAATCACTGGTCGCTTCCTGCTCATTCGTAGCTTCGAGGTCGAATTCATATGCTATTGCTACAGCTGACAAGTTAGTCCGTTATCGTAGACAAACCAAGGAGCGAGTACCACAAGAGCCTAGCGCGAAGGAAATATTCGCTACACCACATGGAGAAGGTCGAAACCAAACCCAGTCGTAAAGTCATCGTACGTCGTGCGTCGTGTGTCGCAGTCATGTCCATAAATCCCCCCTCACACCCGCATCCACAGAACCAGCGAGCCCATGAGGGTAGCGAAGCCCCTCGCGACGAGGGCGCCTGCGCCCCCGCCCGCCTCCGCCGCGCGCGGTTTGCACTACCACGGTACTCGATGGAGACACACTCGAACCGGCTGTCAAGCCTGATTTTTTTGACGCGTCAGTACAAACACAATCGATTCGTACGCATACACGCACCGTCTTCGGCATTACTTGCTCTACTGTCCAGGCTGACTGGGACAAGAAACTTGCCCACAACTCTTTTGGGTGCAGGTCGGTCTTCCTGAGCTCTCTCGGGACCATCAACGCTGCCCGTCCCCAGTCCCAGTCAGGGATCCGCTCCCATTCCCATTGCTTCTTCTTCCGGCGAACCAGGGTGCCCACGTCGGGACAGGAGGTGTTCACACGCTCCACGCTGGGCGGACGTAGCACGAGCCCGGCGGCCATCATTGTAACACATAGCACCCTGATGTCCTCGAAGACGGCGTGTGTCTCCTCATCAAGTGTCTCGCCCCGGTCTTGCGGCAGGCGGAAGACAACTACGGGTTGGATGCGCAGGACCGGCGAGTGCTTGATGCTGAATATCCCGGGCAATGCGCCGAGGGTGGCAGGGTCCACTTCGGTTTTCGAAAGGAGGTCCGCAGATACGACTTGACAGGCTGATACCACACCTTCCCAGTCTAGGGCACCTTCTGTACCTGCGGGGCTACAGTCTTTGAGGATTTTATCCTTGGAGACAGACAGCGCGTTAACAAGATGGAAGCCCGTTCCCGGATTGTCATCTGGTGTGCCCGCGCCGCTTAGTAAGGAGGCCACGAACTTAGGCAACGGATGTACGGCGAATCCGATTGCCAGAGAAGAATCGGGGGAGAAGTGGAGCGCGTAGCCGCCTTGGAGACACACCGTTGCAGTCGCTATGACCAAGAGTGGGTAGTGGTGGATCCCTATCCAGACGGATAGGGCGTGGTCGAGGGCCGCTACTGAGTCGGAAGGGACTGGTGAGTTGATGTCATTAGGAGCAGGAGGCTCGTCCTCCTTCCACTTCGCGCGACATGAGACCCTAAGTCATGGTGACAATCAGCAAACACAAAAGCTAAGAGATATATATCACGAGCATCGACTCCGCGCACTCACTTGTGTTTAGACCATGCCTGTTTCTGACACTCCTTGCTGCAATACACCGTCGCCGAACAGCCAGCGCAGCGTTTCAGTTTGCCCTCCAAATGGGATTCTGGGATACCACAGACACTGCAACGAGGAGTAATGATCAGGCTTCCGAGGGAGGTCTCAGAAGGCATTTGTTGTGATGTTGGCGACAGCAGGGTCTAAGTGACACTCGAGCAGCGGGACCAGGTGGGGAATATGTTGAGTAACACAGGTTTCGTACAGATTGAAGTTATATACCGAAAGGTCGTCGCAGCACCTCCGGTAAATCCTATCTCAGCCAAAGATATCATGCAAAGAGTATAAGCACGGAAAGACAAAGACTAACTGTACAAAGTGTCGTGGTGACGACGTAGTCAAGAGACAAGAGTACAGTATTGGTCATCCGTGGTAGAATCGCCGCCAAAGCTCTTCTGGGTGAAGTTTAGTCTTGATCTGCCCGCGCAGGAACGTCCCGCTAGCTACCGCACGTCCCCAGTCCCAGTCCGGCACTGGCGTCCACTCCCACTCCTTCTTGCGCATGCGCACCAACCTCCCGACGTGTGGCGACGGCCGACCCCCGTCGCTGGACGTGGCAGTCGGCGGGTGTAGAACGAGCCCGGCCGATATCGCGCTCACACAGAGCGTCCTAACATCCTCGAAGATCGCGCGCGTCTGCGCGTCGATAGTGTCGCCGCGGGTTGGGGGCAGGCGTGAGATGCCGATCGGCTGGTGGCGTAAGAGCGGAGAGTTCTTGAGCATGTACAGCGTCGACAGCGCCCCAACGAGCGTCGGGTCGTCTCCTTTGTGTGCGCGCAGAGTGGCCTCCATCGTGCGGCACGCCTCCCGCACCATGTCCCAATCGTACTTTTCTGAATGACCCGATGTGGCACTCCCGTCGATTTGGGCCTTGGACACAGACATGACAGAGCAAAGAAGGAAGCCCTCGGCGGGGTTGTCGTCAGAGCCGCGGCTGAGCAGGGAAGTCGCCACTGTCTGCAAGGGCTCCATGTCGATGATGAGCGTGCGCGGAGCCTGCCGGTCAAAATGCAGGGTGAAGCCGCCATTCAGGCACACGGTGGCCGTCGCTAAAAGGCCTAGCTCGTAATGGTGGGCTTCCACCCATGCATTCATTGCCGCCATAAGTGTCGCCACTGAGATAGGGGGAGAAGGCGATTCTGCGATTGTGGTATCGCGGGGTCCGGCTCCCGCGCCGTTGGCTCCCTCGGCGTCTTTGACCCATTGCGCGCGACATGCAGTCCTGACCGACGATGGTTAGTATGATTATCAATATCCTGGACGTACTAGACTACCCACCGGTGTTGAGGCCATGCCTTCTTCTGGCACTCTTTGCTGCAGTACATCGTTGCCGAGCACCCCCCGCAGCGCTTCATCTTGCCTTTGACCTCTACATCCAGTTTACGGCAGAAACTGCATCGCGAGAGCGTAGGGATGTGGAACGGGGTTGACGGAAGCATCGTTGACGGTGTAGTCGAACTTGGTCGCTGGTTGATATGTGGTGGTCCGTAACAGACCCCGAGAACGCGCAGCCGAGCGTCTTGCCAGACGCGCGGGAGCACCTTCAGCGCAAAAGGGTGCGCCCTTGTTCAAAGAACAACGGTCATGAGGCTTCCGGCGACGCTGACCACGGATCAAATCCCCATTGGCTGCAGTACATGGTTCTTTGGGTCTTTCCTAAGATAAGTACATGCCTGTAAGTCCCCTCAGGCGCCATCCGTCGGTCTCGATCTCTGCAAGCTGAGCCCCAGAAGGTATACCTTATACTTTATACTCTGCCATGGGAGAGCCGGCGTTGTTCCACTGGTCTCTGGGTGACGAAAGATCGGGTCGAGCCCAGTCGATGCCATCAGCCGGTAGCCTAGAGAAACCCTCGGTGAGAAACCAGCCATCTGGAAATAATGTTCGACATACCGTATCACCGCGGCCTCGCACACTGGCCGGATTGCCATACAGAAAGCGTGCCCAGATTTCGGTAACGTCGAGACCGGTCTGTAGCTCCGATTGGGGAATCCACTGTGGAGGTGGAATAGCGGCGCAGCCGCTCGGATCCCGCTCCCAGAAGTTACGAGCGGCTAGCCAATCCCAGTCCCTCTTCTTCCGCTGAACCATGATTCCCGCCTGTGGAGGCAGACGCCCGAATGGTATGAGGGGAGGCTGAAGGACGAGTCCCGCGGCTGTAGAATACATGCAGATGTGCATCACGTCCTCGAAGAGCGCGCGGTCCTCAGCACGAAGAGCTTCGCCACGGTTCGTCAAAGGCCAATGGCGGATAGCTATCGGGGTGATCGATAGCACGGGGGCGCCGTATATGAAGAACACGGAAGGAAGAACGCCTACGAGGGCATCGCCGGTTGCCGGTTGCTTGCGGAAGATCGCCTCCACATCCCGACACAGCGACATCCATGATTCCCAGCGGCCAGTCCAATTCGATTCGGGCGTGAGCTCCTGGAGAGCGTCCTTCGTCCACGACTCTACCTCGAAGACGTAGAAGCCTTCCGCTGGGTTGCCGCCAGCCAGGTGATGCTGCAGCCTTGGCAGCGTCGATGTGTGAAAAACGATAAGCCGAGGGGAGGACTCGGAGAAGTGGCGCTTGAAGCCGCCTTGCAGACGCACGACGGCCGTGGCGAGAATCGTCAAGGTGTACGAGTGGGCACGTTTCCAGGGCTCCAAAGCGGTCATGACGGCCGCGACGGACACGAAGGGCTCCGGCCGGTCGAGATGACTGGAAGTGCTCGTCGTGTCGTCGTCTGGAATTGTGACCCATTCCGCGCGGCAGGAGAGTCTAAGGTGAGGACGATCAGTGTCTTGAATGCAGCAAGTCTGGTCCTTTGCCGCATCTTTTCAGCGAAGCAGGTGCCATGGAACCGGAAGCTTGGGGTTTGCATGACCACCAGTGGCGGCGGATTTTTATATGCGCGACGCAATCACGGGAGAACAGAGACTACTCACTTGTGAATCGCCTATCCTGCTTTCTGGCACTCCCTGCTGCAATACATGATTTTGGAGCATCCGGCGCAACGCTTCAACTTGGAGCCATTCAGTTCCGACTCTGCCCGATGACAACTGTCGCACTGTGGATGTGTCGCGATATGTCTGTACGATGGAAGAATAGGACGTGACATTGACGTGCCGCACGGTGCCAACAGTTGGCGGCCTTTGGCGTTGACAAAGACGGGGGCAAGACAGGGGGGCAAAGTTGAAGGCGGCCTCGGACTCCAGCTGGCATGCGAACCTCGCGTCGAAGAAGCCACCTTTCAAACGTTGATTCGCGATATGCGTACCTGCGTAACGCCTATCAATACACATTGTCTGGAGATCTGTCAATTCTGAACGTACTTTTATCACCCAATGACCAGGCTGGACGCCGAGCAGCTTGAAAAAGTGTCCGCGCTCTATGTTTCGAAGAATGAGCAATTCATTACCGCTCGATACTTGCTGGTCGTTTTGCAGTGATTCAAACTACACCACACGGGCAGCGAGCCGCGCTACAAGATGTCATGCTTTGTGTCTTCCCTACGATACAGCCTCAAAAGTCCTCGTAGTCGTCCGTCGGCCGCAGCCCCTGCAAGCTCTGCATCACCTCCCTCAGCTCCGCCTCCACGAACTGCGCCGCCTCCTTCGCGACCCCGAGCTTCTTCTCCAGCTCGTCCGCGCTCATCAACCGCTGCTCACCGTCCTCCGCGCTCACGAGCCCGATCTGGTCGAAGCGGTTCAGCGTGTGGCCGAGACGCGGCAGCGACCCGCTCGGGTCCCACCCGTTGTCGTTGAAGGACAGGATCGCGCGCACGGCGGCAGTGTTGATGTCGCGGTGGAGCTCTTCGAGCTTCGAGAGCTGCACCTCCATCCAGCGTGCGCGGCGCTCGAGCGCGAGCGTCAGCGCCGCAACCTCGTCTTCCTTGCCTTGCCCGTTCTGGTCGTCGCCGCCGTCGTCGAGGAAGTCGTCTCCCTTCAGCATGTCCCGGAGGACACCGTCGAAGGAAGAGCTGTCGTCCCAGGTAGTGCGAGGCAACAGGCGGAGGAGGTCGGAGATGGTCTGGGTCAGAGTCTCGAGCAGCTGCTGGAAGGAAGAGACAGCATTGTCGATGGAAGTGGATGGCATGTTGTTTGCAAAGGAACCGCCGCCGACGGAGAGAGCCGACAACGCGTGGACGAGGGGGCCATACTCCAGAGGCACCTTCGAGGCCGGGTTGATCTTCTGCAAATCGAAGAACGGGTGCTTCGACAGCCCAAGCCAAGGAAACTGAACGTGAAGTTCCTGGAGCATGTCCTTGATGGACATCGGCTCGACGGGAGGGATGTCAACCGAGTGGGCGCGCGAGTTGTTCGAGCTGCTGTCGGGAGCACGGGCCTCCGGCAACTGGGGAGCGTCCGAGGTAGCAGCGGAGGGAAGGGTGGAAGCGGCGTCCGGCGTGTTGTCTTCCTTGGGGATTTTGATCGGCTTCGTGACAGGCTTGTTTTTCTTCGGCATCCTCGCGAGGATGGGTGCCTGCTCAACTCGCTCGGGGGCACCGGGAGAAGAGGCAGCGGGCTTCGTGGCCTGTACCTTACGACCGGTCTTGTCCGTGGGTGTGGCAGCAGTGGGCGACGCTGAGCTCTGGGCCTTCGCGCTGGCCGCCTGTTTAGTAGCCTTCGCAGCCCTCTGCGCCTCAGCAGCACGGTCCCGCTCAGCCCGCTCGGCGGCCTCTTTCTCCGCACGCTCCTTTGCGGCCAGATCCCTCTCCGCCCTTTCTCTTGCAGCCTTCTCGCGCTCGGCCTTCTCCTTCTCGGCCTTCTCCTTCGCAGCCTTCTCCTTTTCGGCCTTCAGCGCAGCCTGCTTCTCCTTCTCGGCGGCCTTCTCCTTCGCCAAGCGCTCTTTCTCCACCGCGCGCACGGCGGCCTTCTCCTGCGAAATGCGGGCGCGCTCGGCGGCGCGCTCAGCCGCAGCGGCTTTTTTGGCCGCCTTCCGCGCCGCCTTTTCTTCCGCGGCGCGATCCGAGGCCTCGGTCGGCGCAGGAGGTTCCTCGCTAGCCTGTGGGGCGTCGAGGGGAGCAGGATGCTCAGCAGCTGCGGACAGCGCAGGGAAATCCGAAGAAGAGAGGGCAGGAGACGGGGAGGGCGCAGGGGAGGGCGACGCGGAAACTGCGGACGCCAGCAAGAACGAGAGAACAGCACAAGCGAATAGCGACAGCGACGACGATGACGGGGACAAAAACAACAATACGGCACGGCAGGGGGAGAGAAGTCGAAGACCGAACAAGAACAAGTGTATGTCAGCGTCAACGTACTTTCATGGGGACCCTACCGGGTGGGCCAGATAGAGAGACAGCGAGCAGTGCGGGGCGGGCGTGGAGGGATGGGAAGAGAGCGCAGACCGGGCCGTTGGCACGTCTTAGATCAAGGCCGGTGATACAGTTTCCGCACTGAAAGCACGGCAGCTCGGTACACTGACCTGGGACGCCCACCCCGTGGAGCGAAAGAAACGGGACTCACCATGTGCGGATCCGCTCGTCTGCGACACCTCCAGGTTCGTCGAAGGCCCACTTGCGCCTCCGTAGCCGTGGTGATTCGAGATAACCGGACTTGTTACCGATTCGTCCGCAGGAAAGGACAGCCCCGGGGGAGGGCCGAACGACATGGGGTGATTCCCATAGGCCTCTAGGCCGGACGTAGGAAACCGTCCATTCTGCAGGGTTTGCGATAGGCTCGGAGACGACATGCGTGCAGACATGATAGCGGGATCGTTGTACTGAGGACCTCCGTATAAGCTTGGATCTGCGGTACAAAGACATGTCATAGGACGAGAATAAGAAAGTGCAGTAGTCAACATCATGTTACACGTATACAGCCAGAGGAGTCCTCCTACCCATCGGTCCGTTCCTGGATCCGTTCGTGCGGTCGCGACTCGACATGAGCAACTCCCTCAGTTGCTGCTCGCTGACACTGTTGTCGTACGCCTGCTGGAAACGGTTCATCTGCTGCTGCTGCGGTTGTTGTTGCTGTTGGTGATGGTGCTGCCCAAACGGCTGCTGAGCGGCTTGCATATGCTGGGCCAGCGGCGAGCTCATTGCAGAGCTGCTCTGGTACTGAGCGAACTCGTGATGCCGAGCCTGGAAGGGCCACTGCTGCGTCCCATGGTTGGCGTACTCGGCGGCGTTGTTCAAATGAGCGACATGAGACATGCTGTCGTGGTTGCTGAGGGGAGAAGGTGCGTGAAGTGGGGATGACGCCGAGCCTTGACGACCTCGCGCGAACCCGAACCGAGAGACCTTGCGCTCTTCGTCCAGCGGCGAGAATTTGCGCGAGGGCGCGTCATCCATGTTGTCCCCGCCGAAGGGGTTGAACGAACCAGTATAGCTTGATCCTGTGGATTGACGCTCGAGTGGCCCTCTCTGAGGCAAGGCGTCGAAAACTCCGCGATGTGGTTGCGATGCAACACCGAGTCCGGGAGGGGGCATAAGGGGGTTTGGCGGTGTCTGCGCACTCGGACGCAGCGCAGGGAAGGCGTCGAAGAAGCTTCCGTTGAATGGCACTGCAGGACCAATGTCGAAGTCCGGCAATGCGAGCGCCTCTTCCGGCACATCTCCAACCAGCTTGGGGTCGAGGTTGAAGCTGAAGCCACCGAACTCCGTATCGTTGCCCAGGGACTGGAGCATGCGGTCGAAGTCGGGGAACGGACTCTGGACGGCTACGGAAATCGTGGATTCCCGTCGCGCCCGGAGGTCCTCCATGAGAGCCTGTGCTTGAGTCGACATCTGGTATGACGACGACGCATGTTGCATGGGAATCTGGGGCGATGACGCAGCTTCCGAAGTAGCTCTTGACGACGGCGGGGGAAGGCCCGGAGGAGCAGCCAGGCCGGGCGGGACCACCGGAGAAAGACCTGGAGGGACGGCAGGAAGACCTGGAGGTGCTGCCGGTATCTCTTTCGGCACTACAGACGACGGGGACTGCGGAGAAGGCACCTCTGGTGCCGCCGAGCCAACATCTGAATCGACAGCGACAGATGACGTCGGCGATCGTGGAGGTGGAGGAGGCGGCGCGGTCTCCTTGACCCTCGCTTGTCTTGTTGCAGCAGGAGTGACGGGCCGATTTGGCAAGTGGCCAGCGGGTGTAGCAGGACGCGACGAAGATGCTTGTGAAGGCGCCTTAGCTACGCCCTTCTTGCGAATCTCAGTGATAGCAGGGCCAATCGTTGCCGTTGTCGAACCCGACCGTTGCTGTCGAGTTGTCGTGCCGGCACGTCGTGTTTGTCGCAATACTGAGTTCGCAGCGCTAGTATTATTGTGCAGCGCAGTGCTCGCAAGCGTGGTGTTGCTCTTGTTCGCCCAGGATGCTGCACGGGGAAGACCTGCACAATTGAATTAGCGAAACATTTGAGACGTAGATTGATTAATATACCTTCTGCCTCGTCACCTTTCTTGATCGTGGTAGTACGCGAGCGCGTCTCCGTATCCTTCATGGTGTGTTTGCTGATGCCCAAGGTTAAGGGGGAACATGAGAGAACAAAAGAGCCAACATACAGCGTTGTGAGGTCTTCCTTCGTGAAGCAATCCTTCTCGTCACCCCATTCATGAAGGTTCATACAACTATGGTCGGCACAGCTGACGCCTCGGAGGAACGCCATGCAGTACTTCGTTGTCCCATAGCTGCCGCGCATGATCTCACCGCCTCCACCGGGAGAAGAGGCACCATCGACGGCTGCAATGGCCCGTGCCGCATCTTCACGTCGGTGGTATGTGATGTACAAACCAATTACGGGCGCTCGCCCACCAGGCGGCGTGCGCTTGACGATCACAATCTTCGAGATCTTCCCGTACTGTCCGAAGTACTCATTCGAACGCAGAGTTGGTATGAGCTGCGTGGATGTTAGTCCGATCTCAGATCGCACGTCAATATACGGGCGTACCTCTTCCTTTGCAAACCTCGGCCCAAGCCCAACGACATACACCACGTTGCGCTGTACAACGCGGACATTTGCAAGGTGACGTCGGTTGAGGGTCTCTAGCTCCTTTCGTTCGCGTTCCCTTTGCTTCTTCTGCTGTGTCAAGCGCTTGTGACTGTAAGCCGAACCAAGTCATTAGCTTCCTCGTAAACTGAGTGTTTCACAACACGAGGAATGCCCAAGATGTATCGAAATGAGTGAAGATGTAGTGTGACGAGGTGGAAACAAAAGCGATGACAAAGGAGCCAACAATGTGCACCCCGTTAGTACACCCCAGTGAAGATGAACGACTACTCCCGCGAGTGTAGGGGATGTCGAGATGACCGCGACGCAAAGACATTTTGCCGTGCTGACGCGTTCGCTGTGAAGTTCTTGAGGAGCAAAACTTGGTCCGGGAAGCAGCACGGCGCGCCTACTGACGCATGTCTTACTCAGCGTCAAGCAGTCTCGGCGTCCCTCCTGACTGACGACACTCCCCGTCGCGAAGTTGGACACCCAGAACATGGGCAACGCCAAAGGAAATGGCCAAAGAACATATGTCGCGAAGGTTACTCACTCTTCAGGATTGATCGGCTTGAACTGGACCGCATCATCAGTGTACTCCCTCCGACACGCCGGGCAGCGGCTGTTGAGGTTCTCCTTGATGTGGTGCCAGCAGAATTGGCAGACCTGAATATGTGCGCTGTCAAAAAGAGGCCGTCGTCTGCACGTCGGACGATTGCTCACCTGGTAACCGCAAGGGCATGGCTTGAAGTTGAGATCGGATATGTCCATCTCCTCAAGGCAGAGTGGGCATTCCGCGTCCTCCTGTGAAAGCCATCGAAACAAGTGAGCATTTCCGCGCATACATGCAACGTAGGGCGTATACACACCGCCTCGTCGTCGCTCCAGTACGCGTCTTGCACACCCGCTAGGACGTGCGACTTAGACTGCGGAAGCGCATGGGTGGCGTGTAACGCCGGGGCCGGGAGGGGTGAGTTGGTGTGAATTCGAGTAGCCATGGGGCAGACACGCAGGACGAACGACGAGGGCGATGAGTGGATATGGGCGAAAGAAAGAGATGCAGGCGAGAGGCTTCAGTGGAGGTCGTAAACGCGACGAATGAGGCGCTTGCCGAGTTTTACGGTGGCATCCAAACAACACAGCCAAACACCGTTGTGCAGATAGGCGCCCATATCCCATGTTCCATCGTCCTGTGCATGTGCCCACTCATTCACACATTGCTTGGAATCCTCAACCGGTGCAGATGAATGCTCGCTTGTGTGATTATCTGTACAGCACTCGGATCGTTCTGCAGCTCTCTGGCCCTCGGCGACAACAGGTTGTGGCCGCACGGGAGCTGTTAACCCCGCGGCCGTTCGCGTGACCACAAGCTTCGATCCTCCCACATCCCCGACGAAGGTCCCTTCCAATCTTGAAGCAGGATGGTCCTCATGAGGTTTGTACAACCCCTTGAGGCTACCTGAAGAAGTATCACCTTGTTAGGCGCCGACATCTTGCCACATTCTGCCCGAACCCTCTCCCTGCAGAATTGTAACCCCCCGCCGCGATATGGCAGAGTTTTACCACAAACACAAGCGGAGGCTGAGGCTCTCATGCCTCGAGCGGTGTATGATGCGTGTTGCATAGCGGACAAAGATGGGCGGTGGCATTGGGAACATCAGCTGACGTGCCGCATGCAGTCCCAGCACACAGCTGCGCAGTGGATCCCACATCGTCTCCTTCACGGAGAGTACATTGCCGGGTATGGCGGGGTGGGGTGAGAAGAACGGCGAGTTGCGAATAGCGCGGCGACAGCGAACAAGGTAGCGTGGGTGATAGTACAGAGGTGGTGGCCTTGTCGAAGTTCAGAAGTCGTCATCCTCGTCGAAACCGCCCTTCCTCCGTTGAAACTGCGGAATGGCATGAGCACCTCTAAATTAACGGTTGCATACGTGAGACGTCTGCGTACCACAATAGCTCCCTTCTTCGGCGCGGATTTCGACTGTGCGCCATCTATCTGCTCAGACGTCAGAAACATGCACCAAAATGCTGATGCACATGGCGCTCACTTGGTCCAACAGTCCGATGAGTTGCTCCTCAGACACGCGCCCCCTCAGTTGGCCGGCCTGAACCATGCGCAGCAAGATGGCCTCGATCTGCTGTGCCCTCTCTGGGCTCACCAGTGCGATCCGCGCGACTGTACAGAAAAGTAACGGTCGTCTCAGTACCGGCTGATTCGTGCATGGGAGGGATGAGGCTCACGTCGTTCCCGAGCAGCGGGGTCCAAGACCGTCGCGAGCAGGTCTCGCCGCATCTGCTCCTCTGCCTCCCGCTTCGCCTGGTCATCGCCCGACGGCTGACCTCCACCGCCCTGTGCACCTTGACCCATACGGGCAGCTCGGATCGCGGCCAACTCGGGGTCCTCCATTGTGGTATGTTACGCGAAGAGTCAAACGCAGATGAGTCGAGGTCTGGAGTCTTGCTGAGCAATGTCAGAAAGCACCGAGTCACAGTCTAAGGATCGCTTGATCAGGATATGTCCGCAAGCACAAGGGGTACTTGGTGATGCAATCAGGCGTTGGTGGGAGAGAAAGACAAAAAGCACAAGCAGATTGGGTGCAGTTGACTCGGGGAAGGAAAGCAGGACGCCTGCAGCCGCCACAAACAGCATTGGCGCCCATGCCCCGAGGCAATCGAGATCCACGCGACGCAGTGGGCGCAGGTTGCGCGCTCGCCCCGCCATCGCGCTCGGCACCGGATGCCATCCTCGCCTTTTCTCATTTACCAAACCCCGTTGCGCAGCCCAGAGATACAAAAGCTTCTGGGCTGTCGCTCGCGCGCCCCTTCCCCTCACGATGCCCCTCAAGTCCTTCTTCAACTTGGGGAAGAAAGACAAGTCCCCGCAGGCGGAGACAGCGACGGCGACCGACTCGACTGCGATGAGACACTCCAGTGGCAGCGGCGCGAATGGACGCGCCTCGACCTCGTCCGATCCTACCGCTCTTGCGGAGGGCTTTGGACGACTGTCGATGGGGTCCGAGTCAAGGCGGCGGCAAGATGGAGGCCGTCCTAACGTGAACCCGGGCTTCGTCGGCGGTTTCGCGCCCCAGCCGCATAGAGGACCAGATGCGATGGATTGGGAACCAATTCCACAAAGTACGCCCTCCAGACCGCCTCCACCTGATGCGCGACACAGCGCGCCCGCCATGGGCTTTCCGACGCCCCAGACGTACCCCAACTCGCACCCGGGTCCGCTTCCTAAGCCTCCGAGGATGGCCATGCCCGTACCGCAGGGTATGTCTTTGACAATGGCACACGCGCTCGCAGGGGACAATCTTCCGGCCGACCCGCCACCGCCCCCGCCACCGCCCAAGCAGCACCTCCGTCCCTCCGCCCCCGCACATGTCGCGCGTCCGCATTCGGACTCGAGCGCGCTTCCTTCGCATACCCATCTCCAAGTGCCTCCTACGACCCCGCAGAGACCGCATCTCAATCCTGCGCCCAACTCCGCTCCGGCGAAGCCAGTATCGTCTGGTCCATCCCGCCCTTCAGCGCCGCCGATACAAACTCCCCCGCGCCGTGCGCGCGCTCAGTCCAGCCCTCCATCACCTATATCTGTAACCTCGTCCTCAGGGAAGAACGTCCCGAAGGTACAATGCTGTGCTATGACGAAGCTAGACAAGCGATGCACGCGCAAGATACCTGTGTCCAATCCCCTTGCGCTGCACAACGGAGAGGAGGAGCCGCAGTTCTGCCACCAACATATCAAGCTTGCGTTCATAGACGTCAAGTTCCCCTCGTACAAGCGCCCGGGTGAGGATGTGATTTACGCTGGTTGGTGGTTCTCATATATCGATGGTGCTCAGGCCGCTCTCTAAGACACTCACCTCACAGATTGGGTACCGGAATATCTTCAGGAATCCACCAAGACCGTCCTGCGCGAGGAGATGCAGAAGAAGGCGTCTGTAGCGGACGAGCCTGGGTACATCTATGCATACGAGATAGATGGTACGCCATCTTAATCTGTCCCCGAATAACACAACGCTGACACGCACTGACAGACGACTCTAACCCGGACGTCGTCCACATCAAGGTCGGACGCGCCGTCAAGCTGACGAAGCGGCTGGCCGAATGGGACAAGCAATGCCAGTCGAAGCAGACGCACCTCCGCGGTTTTTGGCCGATGAGCAAGGACGCCGCGGACAACGGGATGATGCGTGGGCGCGTGCAGGTGGGCGACCCCGGCCCTTACTGCCACCGCGTCGAGCGTCTCGTTCACCTCGAGCTCGCCGACATCGCACTGAACGCGCCATACCTCGACCCGAAGTTCCCGAATGTAAAGACCGACGTCATGAACGGCAACGCGCGTGCCGCGGCGAGGGGGCCTTGTCCTGACTGTGAGTCTCGTGTACCGGTCTTCTTGACGATGTCACTGAAATGGAGATGTCGCAGGCGGTGTTGTGCACAAGGAGATCTTCACCTTTCCCCGCGCTACGGGGCGCTACAAGGGCAAGGAGTGGGAGGATATTGTGCGCCCTGTGATCGAGAAGTGGGGTGGCTTCGTCGAGATATATGTGTAAGACCGCCGATCGATCGCTGACATTGTCACAAGCTGTACTCTATTCCACGGACCGGATACTCCCCTAGCTGTGCAACTGCTCTCCGTTATGCAGGATACCCTGCCGTCATCCTCTGTTCACGATATCGTTGCCATCTGTACTACGTACTCTGTTGTACCCGCTGCATGTATTTACACGTCTCAATTGTCTTGACACCGCCTACTGTTACTATCACCGCCTATCTGGACAGCATCCCCCTTTCTGCATTCTCCTTTCTCGCCACAAAACTTCCTCTCCTGAATCGCGCCCCTCGTTACGCGATCGGCGGGCGCCTAAGTTGTAGGCGCCTGTGTAGCCGGAGAACAATAACTTTAGCGCCCGAAGAGACAAAAGCGTTCTCGGAAAGTGCGGCATTGGCATTGGCATTGTTCTCCGCGAACCTATATAATATAGGGGATGCGCGACGCCGCCCCCTCAACGTTTTCTCTCCGCATCCGTCTCCTAGACTATCTTACTCGACTCTCGGACGTCTAACGAACCACTTCAACTACACCTACCCTACTCGCAGAATCACCAACATGTTCGCCAAATTCACCGCTATTGCCGCACTTCTCGCTCTCGCAGCCCCGATCACGCGTGGTGCTGTGCACAACGTGACTGTGGGTGGGCCGGGCATCCTGAAGTATGATCCAGAATTTGTCGTGAGTACTACCTTTCCCGATCTAGAGGTTACAACTTCGCTCACCGAGTTACGTGCAGAATGCGGATCCAGGAGACCAGATCATCTTCATCTTCCAGCAGAAGAACCACACGGTGACGCAGTCTTCGCTCAACGCGCCCTGCGCGCCTCTTCAGGACGGCTTCGACTCCGGGTTGTGAGTGCCGTCCAGCAACTTCGAAGGATTGATATCTGACGGTGGTCCACATTAGCGTCCCGGTCGCCGATGGCGTCACCGACTTCCCTCTCGCCCAGTTCGAGGTGAAGGACACGAACCCCGTCTGGGTCTACTGCCGGCAAACCGGCCACTGCCAGCAGGGCATGGTCTTCGCCGTCAACCCCGGCGACAAGTTCGCCACCTTCCAGTCCAACGCCGTCGGAAACAGCACCGCCAGTGCATCTTCTACGACCGCCGCCGCCTCCGACACCTCCGTCGCCACCGCCACTGCTCCCGCGAGCGTCGTCACCGTGACCGCGACGGTAACCGTCGACGGCCAGACGCAGACGACGACGTACGGCTCGTACCCCGGCTCCGCCGCGCCGACGTCGGTCGCTTCGCAGAACCACATGATCGTCGTCGGCGATAACGGCACGCTCACGTTCACGCCGAGCAACATCAGCGCGCAGGTCGGCGACACGCTCACGTTCCAGTTCGCGGCGAAGAACCACACCGCGACGCAGAGCAGCTTCGCGAATCCGTGCAGCCCGCTCTCTGCGAGCAGCACGAGCGGCCAGGTCGGTTTCGATTCCGGGTTCATGCCCGTTCCTGCGGGCGCGTCCGGTTCCGGCCTGCCTACCTTCACCGTGACCGTCAACGACGTGAGTAGTCGCGCTTTTAATTCGCCAGAAATTCACTCACCAGTGTCCACCCGCAGACTGCGCCCATCTGGGTCTACTGCAAGCAGACGAACCCCGCGAGCCACTGCGCGGCGGGCATGGTCTTCTCTGCGAACGCCATCGAGTCCGGCCCGAACAACTTCGGCGCGTACCAGGCGAAGGCGAAGGCGTCCGGCTCATCCTCGACCTCGGGCTCGAGCACGGGTTCGGGCGCGTCGCCGTCGAGCACTGCTGGGGGCGCGAACGGCGCGTCGCGCGCAGCGGAGGCGGGCTGGGGCGCAGGCGCCCTCGTCGCGACCTTCGCTGCCCTCATGGGCGCGCTGGTTCTGTGAACGCGGATGTGAGGAGGGATTTATGGACATGGCTACGACGCGCGACGCACGATGACTTTACGACTGGGTTTGGATTCGACCTTCTCCGTGTGGTGTAGCATATATTGCCTTCGCGCTCTTGTAGTACTCGCTCCTTGGTTTGTCTACGATATCGGACTGGCTTGTCAGCTGTAGCAATATCATATGAATTCGACTTCGAAGAGAAACACCTTATATCAACTCCACCACACGTCTCTCAGCGTCCATGGTCATCCATGGCGCGAGCTCATCAAGTCCGACCGCATCATCACTCAACTTCAAAGTCAAGGACCAATATCCAAGACGTCTAAACCGGTCGCCCTCCAGATCTGACCTTGTCACGAGCAGGCCCTCCCCAGTGATAAGGCCCTCCCCAGTGCGTTCTCCCCTATTGATCAGAATGAGCCAGCTTTCGCCCGCCGCCGCGCGCTCGTCGCTATCGAGGTAGAGGTCACACTGTCCCACTCGCATCAGGAGGGAGTCGTCCGCCCTGAACGTTCCCCGCCCGACAGCAAGGAGCCGTCCCGGGTCGCGCGCCAACATCGGCCCATGGACCAGCCCTGGGTCATTCGCCGGCTCTGACCCGCCGAACTGCAGCTCACCCATCTTGACAGACACGTCCGAGCCGGCCATCCGGGATCGCAGCTCGCGCGAGGGCGCGAAGAGCCGATAGTAAAACGTATCCCCGTAGCCCCCGCTCGGCTTATCAGGCGGCTCGAAGACGACCCACGCCGGCGCGACGACGGCGCGCAGCTTCAGGTGCCCGGCGGTGACCTGACCGTACGGAAGCCGCTCGTCGCGGAGCGTCACCGCGCACTCGAGGACGTCGCAGACGTCGACGATGCCCTCATTGGAGTTGTACGCTGCGCCCGCACGAACCCGGACGTGGCCGTCGACGGACGCCCACGCCCATGACGGTGCAAGGTACTCCGCCGGCCGCGGGCGCAGGTCGTCGTCGAGCCACTGGTGCGTGAGGCACTCGCGGTGCCACAGGAGGTCCCTCGGCAGGAACCCCTCCCACAGCCCGGCGACGTACCGCCCTGGTCGACACTCCGGCAGCCAGGTGTGGGCGAACTGCTCGGCGACGGCTGCGAAGGCCAGGAGCTTGTCTGTCTTGCGAGTGAGCAGGCGCTGGGTGTAGTTTGAGACTGCGAGACTCCAGAGCATGCACTGACGTGCGATCTGCTCCACCTGGGATAGTTCGGCGAGGTCTGGGTTGGCGAGCACCGCGAGCGGCAAGGGGAGGAAAGCGTGGTCTAGGGTCGAGCTCTGCACGGTTCTCATCGCGCGTAGGGAGTTCTCGACTGGGCGCGCATCGGTCTGGCAATGGTATCGGAGGGTGTCAGTCGTGTAGAGGACCTTGCGCGGGGAAAGGAGCCACTCCTGGAAACACCACGCGCGGCGGTCCACCGGCTCCCTCCCGGGGATAGATGACAACACCGTCTCCCCTCGTTTACCGATGCACACGCTCCCGAGACGACCGTTCCGGCAGTAGAAGGGTAGCGTGGCCCGAGAAGGGAGGGCTCGATCCTGCAGGAATCCCGCGCCCCCTTCCGGCGAGCTTGATGCGATGATCGTGAAGTAGGCATTCAAATAGATGTCGCCCATCTTCACTAGCTCCCTAACCCGGTCTTCGTCCGAGTCCTGGATGATACAGAAGGCGTCGACCCAGAGGTAGCGCATACGCAGGCCGTGTGTCACAGTGATGGCGTCGCGAATAGTCTGCGGGATAATCTTGTAGTCAATCCCCGCCTGATATGTCTCGTAGTTGGCTAACCGCGTGATGTGGGAAGCATTGTTGCCCCACACGTAGCTCAGTGCAACGTACGGCACGAACACATCCTCGAGGCTTTCTGTGAGGATGAGTCGCGGCTTTGTGGGGACCTGACAGTATATAACGCGAGTGGGAAGGGGAGTCTTCCTCGGTTTTAGGCACGAGGCATGGTTGGCAATGCAATCGTTGATGAGTCCTAACGCGAGCTCGCGAGCCCGAGGAGAGTCCACTTGGAGAATCGGCGCCTTACAAACGATTTCGTCCGCCGCTGGATCGTCTGTACGATAACAAGACTCTCAATAATCGCTCAGACAAGGCAAGCATGCCTAAAAGACGCACCTGCAGGCGTGTACATGCAATAGGTCATGTATCTGTCCGCCAGCTCACCCACACGAGCGTGAACTAGCAGGTACTGCGTGTCCGCCGGCTGGTCGACCGGGTTATCAGGATCCTGGTCCAGTTGGAAGTCGACCTGGATCTCGGCTTTGGGTCCCCCACTGGTGTCACCAACCAAGTCGACGAGGAAACGACACAGTTGACAGTTCGCCTTATCCCCTGCAAGCAAGCGTACCAGCGTCGTCCGGTACACGACTGCACCCCTGTCGTGCATCATCTTCTTCCACGAGAGCGGCGCGAGGGGTCCAGTCGCACAGTGGACGCAAACGGTCGATTGGCTAGGAAATCGGAACCAGTGATGCCACCAGGGGAGGAACGCGAGCCGAAGATCGTGCAAAGCCAGCATCGTACACAGATGAGCAAGAAGAGACAGGAGATTTCATTGTTCAAGTTGCACTGTAAGGGTATACGTACGAGGGGGTACGCTGCTGCGAATGGGCGCTGCTCAAATGAGTGAAAGCGTCGTTTACATAAGCGCCGGCACCTGCGCTCTCTCTCGCTCACTCACTCACCTTTGCGACGCCCCAACGACTCCCGTGGTACCACTCGTGTCTTCTACCGCTATTTGGACGATATATAACTTCCTCTATTTCCCAGGAGGTTTTCGTGGTAGGCCTATCGATGACTGCTGACCGGCTACAGTCACTGACGGTATGTTAGTACTAGTCATGCTGTTGAACGACGATGTTGTCCTCATGATAATCGACAATCTGCGTTCGCAAGATGTCAAGAACGACTTACGCGCACTGTCGCAGACATCACGCCGTATGCGCACCTTGTGCATGCCCGTCCTCCACTCAACCGTTCGGCGGGATAACTTCTCGTTTCCTTTTCGCATAACCTATCAAGTCCCAGAATCGGTGCGTCCATACGTGAGGTACGAGGTATACCATTCTCCCCACATCCACGCCCGTAACGGTACTTTAGGGAGCTCATACTGCTCGATAAATGTGACCGCCACTCCGGCAAGTACGACAAACGCCCGTGGTCGCGCGCGCCGCTTATGTGTAACATCTACAAGGGCGAAGCGATGGCGGAACTACTTCCTGCCATGCCCCTCCTGCAAATCGTCACCCTCAAAGTCAGGCATGACTCGTTCCCGTTCGAGCAAACTGTTTACGGACTATCATGGGACATAGTCAAGGCTATCTTGTCCGCTCGGGGGCTGCAGGAGCTCGACCTAGACGGTCATTTCTATTGCCTTACTACATTTACCCCTGATCCTGGCTTTTCTCCCGCACCTCTCACCGCCTTTCGTTCCGTGACCCCACACGGATTTCGGGTAGCGCCGGCCACCCGTACGTTCTCTGCAGAGACAGAGGCTCTAGCCTCTACGCTCAAACGGTTACACAATTCTCTGGAACGTCTCTCCCTCACGACCGAGGCGGCACCTTTGAATATGATACACGACACAGAATGGCCGCGTTTACGTTCATTGCATCTGGAAGGTGATATGCCCTCAACCACGCGCTCGCTATCCTGGGTCTCTATCCTGCAGTGCATGCCTCACCTGCGCGTCTTGTCCATCAGAGCCGATGTACCCAAGGATCGCAGGGATCGCCAACTCATATGGCCGCGGGACACGCCATTGAACGTCTTGCCATGGCCAGAGCTAGAGGACTTAGAGATCACTTACCCCGACCCAGAAGATCAGCTCTACTCTCACCTGCCACCGACTCTGAAGCGTCTCTCGCTTGATCGCTTCACTTTCTTTGCCGGCTATAACTGGACCTGGTACAAGTGGGCAGGGCCGTGGACAAGACCACAGGATGTCCCGATGCCGCGTGCTCGCGAAATCTGGCAGATCGTACGGAAGTGCAACACGCCCAATATCCGCACTTTGAAGCTGGAGTATATGACAGATGACGACGAGGACAAACTTTTGACCTATATTCCCAAGGCATTCCCGCACCTCGAGTCGATACACCTATGTCGGTACGGCATTCAAAATGATGTGGCTGACAATGAAATCACTCTGGTTTGTCCTTAGGCACGCTCTCGATACTGGCGAAGTAGCTAAATGTTGTTTGCACAGAAGGTTGGCCAGGCCATATCTCCTCTCTCGCGTCTGCGCACAATCCAGGTGCACCTTGACGCCGCACCTAGCCCTGAGCTCACGCGCCAGCGAAGGGGATTCATCTACACGAGCGAAACCATCGAAGCGTACGTACGCCAACTCAAGGAACAGGCGAATGTCTTAGCGCAGACGACTGGCCCGTCATTGGAGACGATTGAGATGTTTGTCCCAGACGAGGGTCGGATCTCATTCGACGTTGTCCGCACCGCAGCTGGATACGATGGTACTCCTCATATGACGGCTCATGTCGAAATCGGCGCCGAGGATAGAAAGTGCGTGTGCACATGCTGTTATGGGTTACATGCCTCCAAACTGATCTTCGTGTGCAGCAGATACCGTGATTTATAGGGAAGCAGCTCGTGGCTGCGAAGGAGACGCCGTAGTCTGAGGAGGCGGAGCTAAGGGAGGCGGCGCAGAGCTCGCAGGAGCTACGAGCGATGGACGACTACTAAGACGTCTGAGGCTGTATTGTAGGGAAGACACAAAGCATGACGTCTTTTTGCGCGCGCCGCTAACTGCCAATGCGTTTGACTCTGGTGCGGTTCGCTATTTGCACGATCGGTACTCAAGCTTTATCCGCGGCATCGAGTTGTTCACTGGCATGTCTAGGAAAGGTGCGTAACTTCGCTTCACGAGTACATACATACACTGACCTGCCTCCTGACCTTGCGTGTCTCGTCGTAGCGGGCACTACGTAGGTGTTCTGTAGGCGCGAGGCTTGTACTACAGCCTCCCCTCATACCCTTCGGGTCTTCCTCTAGCGGCCCGTAACTTCTGTGAGCCAGATCCAAAAGGCTGCGTGGCTATTACACCTTCAGAGTGAACCTCGTCAGCTATAGCCCGTTCTCGGGGTTTAGAAATCTAGGCACGCCGTTTGTATGGAAATCCGGCTAGTGGGCGAAGACTTAGCGACACGGTATGTCAAACATTTCTTCTAGATAGCTGGTTTCTCATCGAGGGTTTCTCTAGGCCACCGACTGATAGCGTCAAATGAGCCCGTCTCGATCTTCATTCTCATAGTCTTGCAGCTTATATAAGTTCTCTAGGCACGGAGTGGGAAGTACAAGGCCTGCCTTCCAGGGCTCAGCTCGCAGGAGTCGAGGCCGTCGCCGGCCGGTGACTGAGGGGACTTGAAGGTATGTATCTTAGAAAGCATACAAGGAACCGTGTGCTGCAGCAACTCGAGATACGGTCAGCGATCGGCGTCGCCGAGTGCCTCTGTCGTTCTTTTGACCGGTTTTAGACCCAGAAAAACAAGGAACAAGGGGGCTTCCTTTTGTGCATGGTGCTCCCGCGCGTCTGGCAAGACGCTGGGCTGCGCACGCTCGGGGTCTGTTACGGACAACCACATATCAACCAGCGACCAAGTTTGAGTACACCGTCAACGATGCTTCCGTCAACCCCGTTCCACATCCCCACGCTCTCGCGGTGCAGTTTCTGCCGTAAACTGGATGTAGAGATCGAAGGCAAAATGAAGCGCTGTGCCGGGTGCTCAGCAACGATGTATTGCAGCAAAGAGTGCCAGAAGAAAGCATGGCCTCTGCACAGGTCGGCATCCTCTCGCAATCTGGAATATATCTAAATTGATCCTGACCGTTGTTGCTCAGGATCGCTTGTCGTGCGCAGTGGGTCAAGGACTCTGAGGCGGCTGAAGGAGCAAGTGTCCTCCACGATACCGCAATCGCAGCATCGCCTCCCCCTCCCGGCTCAGTGGCGACCCTCGTAGCGGCGATGAATGCATGGGTGGAGATCCATACTTACACGCTCGGCCTGTTGGCGACGGCCACCGTATGCATCAGCGGCGGTTTCGCCTTCCATTTTGACCGCAAGGCCCCGCGGACGATCATCGTCGACATCGAGCCCTTGCAGACACTCGCGGCCTCCTTACTCAGCCCGGGGGGGTCGGACGATAACCCCGCCGACGGCTTTCTCGTCTGCGACTGCTTTTCTGTGTCCAAAGCCCAGCTCGACGAGTGCGCCACACCGGGCCAATCGGAAATAGTCGGCACGTACAATTGGGACATGGTGCAGGAGGCGTGCCGGACGATGGAAGCGACACTCCACGAACGCAATGGAGACGACCCGACGCTCGTCGGTGCGCTGTCGGCGCTGTACAGGATCAAGCACTCCCCGCTCATGCGCCACCAACCGATCGCCATCTCGCGCCTGCCTGCGAACCGCGGCGACGCGATCGATGCACGGACGCGCGCGATCTTCGAGGACGTCCGGACGCTCTGTGTGAGCGCGATGTCCGCTGGGCTCGTCCTCCATCCACCGACTGCGTACAGAAACGGGGGCCGGCCGTCGCCGCACATCGGCCGGCTAGTGCGCAGGCGCAAGAAGGAGTGGGAGTGGACGGCGGTGCAGGACTGGGACTGGGGACGTGCGGTGGCTAGCGGGACGTTTATGCGCGGGCAGCTCAAGACTAATCTCCATCCCGAAGAGCTTTGGTGGCGCTTCTACCACGGATGACAAGCATGTCGACTCCGAACGTTCTCAACATATATGTCCTGTTACTCTCGATGACCACCTAGACCGTGAGTGGTTTCAGGGAATAATTTCTATGCTTGAGCAAATGAGTGAGTGAACTAGCGATAGGCCTAGGATCGAGCGAGCGCCTGCCTGTCGGCCTTTGCCTGCAGCTGCACGATATCGTGCGTGATATTATTTCAAAATGTCCTTGTCTCTTGACCGTGTCGCTACCCCGACACTTTGTACGGTTAGCCTTTGTTTTTTCGTCCTTATACTTGTTGTACTATGTCTCTGTACAAGGTTGGACTCACCGCGGGTGTCAAGGCGACCTCTAGTAGTAGGTATCATATAACTTCGATTTATGCAGAGCCCGTGTTACTCTAAACCCTCTCCGCCCGGTCCTACTGCTCGAGTTCCACTCCGCCCCTGCTGTCGCTAACATCACAAACAATCCCCTCCGAAGCCTCCCCCGAGAGCCTGATCATTGTTCCTCGATGCTGTTTCTGTTCTCTTCCAGAATCCCAGTTGAAGGCCAAGCTGAAGCGTTGCCGCGGCTGCTCGGCGACAGTGTATTGCAGCAAGGAGTGTCAGAAACAGGCATGGCCTTCCCACAAGTGAGTACGCGAGTCAGTGCTCATGATATCTGTCCCTTTGCTTTCGCGCCCAGGCTCCCTGATTATCATCATGATGCAGGGTCGCTTGTCGCGCGAAGTGGAACGAGTACTACGGGTCTCAGGCTCCTGCGCCTCATGACATCAACACGCCGATCCCTTCGGACTCTGTAGCTGCCCTCGACGACGCCCTGCTCGTCTGGATAGGGATCCACCAGTACGAGTTCATGGTCATAGCAACCGCAACCATGTGTCTCCAGGGCGGCCAAGCCCTCCACTTCTCCCCCGATTCTTCTCAGGCAATTAGATTCGCCATACATCGGGACCCGTTGCCCAAGTTTGTGGCCTCCTTACTAGGCGGCACACGGGACGACAATCCGGCAGAAGGCTTTCATCTTAATAATGCGCTATCTGTCTCCAAGGATAAATTCCTCGAAGACTGTAACCCCCCAGGTACAGAAGGTGCTCTAGGCTGGGAAGGTGCAGTAACAAGCTGTCGGGACGTAACGGCGAACCTCCCTTCGAAAAATGGAGAGGACCCCGAATTGCTCCGAGTTGGCGCATTGCCCGGGATGTTTGGCATCAAGCACTCACCGATCCTGCACATCCAACCCATTCTTGTCTTCCGCCAGCCGCACGATCGGGGAGACACGCTTGACGAGGAGACACGCGCCGTCTTCGAGGACATCAGGGCGCTATGTGTTGCCATTATGGACGCCGGGCTCGTGCTACGTCCGCACAGCGTGGAGCGCGTGAACCTGAGCTCCTGTCCCAACGTGGGCGCCCTAGTTCGCCGGAAGAAGAAGCACTGGGAATGGGAGCGGATCCCTGACTGGGACTGGGGACGGGCAGCGTTGATGGTCCCGAGAGAGCTCAGGAAGACCGACCTTCACCCGAAAGAGCTGTGGACACGTTTCTTTTCCCAGTCAGCCTGGACAGCACAGCAAGTGATCCCGAAGACGGTGCGTGTATGCGTACGAATTGATTGAGTTTGTACTGACGCCTCGTAGACCTCGGGCTTGACCACAGGTTCGGGCGCGTCGTTGTCGAGCACTGTCGGTGGTGCCAACGGAGCGTCGCGCGCAGTGCAGGCGGGCTGGTGCGCGGGCGCCCTCGTCGCGATCTTCGCTGCCCTTGTGGGCGCGCTGGTTCTATGAAAGTGTGGGTGAAAAGTACGGACACGGCTACGACGTGGGGTGCACAATGACTTTACGAATGGGTTTGGATTCGAACTTCTCCCTGTGGTGTAGCATATATTTCCTTCGCGCTATTGTAGCACCCGCTCTTCGGTGGTATGTCTTCGATATCGGACTCGCTTGTCAGCTGTAGCAATAGCGAATGGATTGTAGTTTAAAACAAGTTGACAAACTGGATAAAGTTAGTGAGACAGGATTTGTGGCGGGAGTATGTGTGATGGGCAGCTGTATATCTGCGCACAAAGTACGGTAGCATCGTCCTCGAGACAGACGCAAAGCAATCATGATCAAAGTCGAGGACAAGTCAATGGGCGTCTATTCGGACGCCTCGGTCGTCCGCATTTGGCTGCCCGGGCCTAGTACGTACGCGTGCCTCTTGCCTTCGGACCACGACAGCCAGTACTGGACAACATCGATCTTACCATTCCTACTCTTGGTACCACGGTTTCTCGATTGTTCTGAGTCTACGCAATACGCCGGGTGAAACAAGATCAATTTCTCCCGTGGCTCTTGCTCGTCATACAAGAATCGATCTTCAATCGTCCTCCGAGGGCGGTCTAGTCTCGCAACTACATCTTTCTAACGCCGAGCTTTCTATTTAAGCTGGGCCACGATGTCATCGCACCCTTCAACACCATCGTCTGGACTCATCATTGCCGACCGCTGCGCTGAGTGTCTTCGGACGGAGTCAGAGTCGAGGAGCAAGCTCAAGCGTTGCGCCGCATGTTCAGGGTCTTTGTATTGTAGCAAGGAATGTCAGAGAAAGAATTGGACATTGCACAAGTAAGTGTGGTGTGATTTCAGGCTGCCCTTTCCTTGGAAGCTCGTAATGTTTGTTCCCTGGCACCCATATTACTCCTAATTCCTTTCCTCGCGCGCTGACTTAACCCTCTAGGAAAGCATGCCGCGCACAGTGGAAGAAGCGGGCAGACGATTTGCGCACGTTCTGGAAGATCGAGCCGCCAACTCCTAGCGATGCAACGGCAGCCACGCCTTCTGAGACAGTTGCCGCCCTCACTACCGCCATGAATACCTGGACGGAACTATACTCCTACACGTTCGCGAATATAGCCACGGCGGCGGTCTATAGCAATGGTGGCTTCGCCGAACACGTCGGGCCCGACCCCCATGCGATGTTGTTCTTCGTACGCCCATGGCGTAGGACCCAAGGCTCGGACGGAAACCCTGCAGAAAGCTTCCATCTTTCAGGGATGCGGATGGTGTCCCCGGAAGAGGGCGTGACAAAATTTGACAAGTCCTTGAAGGACGCGCGCGACTTCTGGCGAGCGAATTGGAGTCGGAGCCGGGAGACGGCGCTTCGCAAGGGGGTCTACCACGACGATTCCGTGGAGTGCGGCGTGATGCCTGCGCTGTACATCCTGCAAGATTCCGACGTGATGTCGATCAGCACCGTTGTCGTTCGCCGTCTATCGCCCGCCCGCGACAATCTGACCGACCAGTCCTCGCTGTTTGTCTTCGATGACATCATCGAGCACTGTCTGGACATCATGCAAGCCGGCCTCGTACTCCAGCATTCCTCAGGACCTGGTCACAGACGTCTCCCCGATATCGGGAAGATGGTCCGGCAGAAGAAGAGGGAATGGCGTTGGGAACGCATACCTGGGTGGGATTAAGGCTCCAACCGATTAGATTACGATTACTCAAAATGAGTATGTAAACAGTAATCAGTAGTAATCGATTACTAAACAGATTATACTCAGTAGTTAGTGTGTTATACACCCACCGGTGCCAAATTTTCGTTTGAACCCTTGTACAAGCTTTCATCAGTCTCTAGCAGCGCCCTATGAGGCACTGCAGAGGTTAATGGCGGCTTGCGCGACTTAAATCATGATGGAATGGTCCGTCGGCGCCGCCCCCACGGGCGCTAATGGAGAGGGTACCGCGAAGGAGACCGCCAGAATTGCATTCGAGGATCATATGAGTCTGATTTCAGTCCTCAAATCCTCAAAGTGCATAGTGAATGGTTGGTAGATGGGACAAGACTAGGTCAAACCTCCACATCCCGCCCTATATCTCTTCCAAGGCGCGGGTAAGCGCCCACTGCATACATACTGACTACTAATCGATTACACCCCAATAGACCGTGGGGGTAAAGTAATCATAAACAGTATACGGTTCTAATCGATTATAATCAGTAATTACACTAATGGGTTGGAGCCTTAGGTGGGATTGGGCGCAATCGGATCGCAGGCTGCCCCCGGCCAATCCCCGCAAGACTGACCTCGATGCCGCTCAACTATGGGGGCACTTCCTCTACGACTGATATCACTAGGTTTGGATGGTACGTCAAACTCATGTGTGACTCTGGCGAGCAGGAACTCACTTGCGCTGTTTATTTTAGGACACAACCAAGGTGAGTTGTATGTGCATCCACATGCACCGGCATTTATACGCCTCCCCGGTCGTTTGTACAGAGACGGGCGCAGCCGAAGCGAAGCCCTACGAATTCGGGAGCAACAAATTGGTAACGATATAAGGTGGTGGACTGTATTTGTATTTGTATGAGAACTCACGCACAGTATGCACATCGTATCTGTCTGCTCGAATAAGGCATGGCGACTTCTCAGAGGCATCCGCTACGAACTAAACGAGCGGTGGCGTTAGTTGAGCCGTCATATTGACTAGGAGTCGGTCATCGAGTGAGTGCGGAGCCATCTTGCAGGCCTGGGAGGCTCATAGCATCGAGACCGAAGCTGCTGAGACATTGTAGGATATTGCATGAGGGCACAGACGGAAGAGGACACTTACTTTAGACAGAAGAAGATATTTACTTAGAAATATGGCCTTCGTCTATATTATCCTCTCTAGAGTGTTTCAAAGCAGGATATTAAACATGCTCCCCTTTAAAATATGTCAGACAATCAGGAGGATGAGCCTAGCGAGCATAGTGGCAAGAGAGAGCTTGCGGTGGGGAGCCTCGCGTCCGAGTGAGGTGGATCTAAGATGTCCTGATCGAGTTTGTTACGTAATACGCGCGACGCAACGCGTCGCGGCAGTAGGCTCGCGGTGCGGACTCCAGCTCGTTCTCCCTCACTCCTTACTTTGCTTGTTGCGCGTTCTGCTTGTCTCCCCTAGGCGGACGGTGGTGACGATCACACCAACGCGCTCTGCTACGGTGCTTTCCAGCTAGTTCCACTACTCTAGTGCCACTTAGCCTCTGCTGTCGCCAACATCACAAACAATGCCCCCCGAACCTTCTCCGGAGAGCCTGATCATCGTACCTCGATGCAGTCTCTGTTGTATCCCAGAATCTCAGCTGAAGGGCAGGCTGAAGCGTTGCGCTGGCTGTTCGGCGACAATGTATTGCAGCAAGGAGTGTCAGAAACAGGCATGGTCTACCCACAAGTGAGTATGTGCATTTGATATTCGTAACATCTCTTTTTGAGCATCCATGCTTGCTCGTTCTCACCGTGACCTAGGGTTTCATGTCGCGCGAAGTGGAAGGAGTTGGAACCTCCGATTGACGACGGCATCAACCTACCAATCCCTTCCGACTCTGTAGCTGCCTTTGACAACGCCCTATTCGTCTGGATAGTGACTCACCAATACGAGATCAACGTCATAGCAACTGCCACTGCGTGCTTGCAAGGCGGCCACTCTCTTCACTTCTCCGATACTCCTCGGACAATCGTCTTCGCCTTAGCACCGATGCCTCAGTTCGTGGCCTCCTTAATCAGCGGCACACCAGTCGACAGTCCGGCAACGGGCTTCCATCTAGTCAATGCGCTATCTATGTCTAAGGCCGAGCTCTTCGATGATCATCACCCCCCTGGTACACAGGGCACCTTCGACTGGGAGGATGCGGTATCAGGCTGTCGGAACGTGGCGGCGGCGGCGGTTTTGGATACCGGAGCCAATCCCGCATGCATCGGCGCATTGCCCGGGATATTCCTCATCAAGCAATCCCCAGTCCTGCGCCTCCAGCCCGTCATTGTGACCCGCTTGCCACACGATCGGGGCGGCACACTTGATGAGGAGACACGCGCCGTCTTTGAGGACGTCAGGACGCTGTGTGTCTTTCTCATGTCCGCCGGGCTCGTGATGCGCCCGTCCAGCGGGGAACACGAGGGTCGTCCTTGGCCCGACGTGGGCACCCTCGTTCGCAAGAAGAAGAAGGAGTGGGGATGGGAGCCGTTCCCTGACTGGAACTGGGGACGGGCAGCCCCGATGGTCCCGAGGAAGCTCATGAAGACTGACCTTCAACCGGAAGAACTATGGACGCGTTTCTTCATCCAGTGAGCCTGGATAGCACGGCAAGTAATACTGAAAATGGTGCGTGTATGCGTATGAGTTGAGCAAGTCTGTACTGACGACTTGAAGGCGTGGAATAGACTTCTACATAGGTAGTTGCAACTGTAGGGTACGATAGACGCTTTGCCTTGTATGTGAGTCGGATGGAACTATGCAGCAAGCTTTCACCTTTCGTTTTCTCTGGCTATAGGTCTCAAGATTTATGTTGTAGCTCTTGGACAGCGTCGACTTGATTCATGTCATTGTTGGTCAAACATGCGTTGACCCCTACCTCGCGCGGAGTCACATAATAACGAGAGTAGGACCGCTGCTCATCATCGGGGACCGAGACCGCTCCAGGTGCGCATCGTCCTGATCATTATCCAGTATGAATTGTTGTTGGATGTCGAATGCCGAAGGTGTGCGGAACGCGCTGTAGTTGAGACAGCGCTCATGCCGTGCAGGGTCTGCCGTGTTCATGTCCGCGGCCGCACAGAACCATTTCACTACACTCGGTGACAATGCTACGCTCACGTTTCGCTTCGCGGCAAAGAACCACATGGCAACGCAGCTCGAATAGCTTCACGAATCCGCTCAGCTCGCTCGCCGCAAGCAGCACGAGCGGCTCCAAATCGTGAGTCCCACGGAGCACCCGTAAGACTGACCTGCGCTAACATCGTGTCTGGAAGTATACCTGTACCCGCGGGCGCATTCAGCACGCTTTATCCAGCTTCGTTGCTACTGGCAAGACGTTGACCGTGTGAGTTATCTCACTCATTGTCCGCCGGAAATGCGTTCACTAGCGACCTTGACAGACCGCGCACATCTCGGGTTGGGCCTCCTGCAAGCAGACGACCCCGTGAACCATTGCGCCGCCGGCAGGGTCTTCTCTACGAATGCCATCCAGTCGGGCACAAACGGCGCGTCGCGCGCGGCGGGCGAGTGCTTGGATGTGGGCGCCTTCCTCGCAGCCTTGACTACCCGCGTGTTAAGGCTAGCGATACCTGCACTTTACGCCCACCTCCCTCTTGCTCACCGTCTTGTATGAATAGGTTCTTGAGCAGTGTTTCTGCGGGGGGTAGTCACCAACTGTGTACAGGACACCGTGCGAATAAGAGGGACACATGCTTGTTTAATTCCGCTAAGAGGAATGGAAGTGCGCCAACTGGAAATGTGCGTCGGGAAATGCCGCTTGTACGTAGGTGTGCCACGAGTACACATGCATGCTCTTTCCTTCGAACACCCATCTCATCGCAACCTGTACTCCATGAACCCAATAGGTCCGGACCCTTTATACATCGAATTCTGGCCTTCGCCGGTTTGTGGGCATTGCACAAAACGCGAGTCTCAGCTCCCGACCAACACAAGGCTCAAACGATGTATCGGGTGCTCAATCACCTTGTATTGCGGGAAGGACTGCCAGAAGGCTGCGTGGCCCGCTCACAAGTAAGTACGGTTATCGTTTCGAACATATTCTGCTCCGAGAGTACACATACTGATTTGACGCATCTTTGCAGGCGGCTGTGTCGCCCCTCGGGCCCAGATCCACTTGGAGATCAACTCGCGGGTCACCCCGCCCGAATCAGCCTATTTCAAAGTGTTAACGAATGGGTCAAAAACACGCACGACTACGCGTTCATGACCCTCATGTGCGCGGCTGTCCAGCTCCGCGGCGGAATCGACGCCGCCTTCACCTCTCCACATGTGGTGGTCTTCAAGCTGACGCGGGTCGACGAACCCAAGAACCCCGCCGGCGCATTCCTGTTGAGTCCGGAGGTGCCGCTAGTCGTAAAGCGAGAAGACCTCGGAAGCCGAGACAACTGGGAGGAACTGGATGAAGCATGCCGACGACAAACCGAGCGCTTCCGTGCAGGCCCAAACCCGCACCCGTGCTACGTCGGGTCGCTCCCGGCTATGATCTGGGTCCAAGGCACCAATATCGCCGCATACCACCCATTCCCCATATACAGTCTCCGCACCCAGGGCACGGGTCCTCTCAACGACCTCACCAGCATAATATTCGAGCACGTTGTGGCCATGTGCGTCGGGACGATGAATGCCGGCCTTGTCCTGCATGGTCCCAAGGGCCCGTGCAGACCTCACGAGCTCCTGCCGGACGTCGGCGTCCTCGTCAAGCGGAAGAAGACCTGGGAATGGAAGAAGGAAGAGGGCTGGGTGTGGAACCGTTCAGTAAGTTTACAGGGCGGGTTGGAGCCGCAACTTCTCTGGCAGGCGTTCTACGTGTTTTGAAGCCTGGTATTTGCGCTCCGCTGCCATGGTAAGTGTTCCGCGACGCACTAGTCAATGCGAGATGAGGAGCTAACTGAAACGGCATGTCAGCTTCCATGATCGCGATTTGTCGTCGGGCATCTGTGCAACAGCCATTAGTTTAGAATCGGACTGTCTATGTCCATAGTATGTATTCGGTCAGGAAGAGTGCGGCGTGCACCCTAGGTAGCGCATCCTTCTGAACAGGACTGTTGAACTCTGTAGGGGAGATAATCCCCCTCTTATAAAAGCGCCGCATGCGACTTGCAGCAGCGTAGTGTGATAGCCATCGGATGTTCTGAAGTTCACGGTTCTAGACCCGCACTGACGCGCACGCGGCGGCGGATGTTGAACAAGAGGGGGCGTACTAGGCCCAGGGAAGGCACCGTGAGTATGACATCTCTTATCTTACACTTTAAATAATAAGCTGCAGTGGGCTTGCCTGAACATTGGTCTATGATATGCCACGATGAGGTATAACTGTTAGTAGACAGGGAGAGACCGAGCCTATGGGCGCTACCGGGTAATATATGGCGACCAGCTGCCACTACGCCACCCGTCAAAGTGCGACTCCCGTCGCGACCACGACCGTCATCCTGCAGAGCAATGTTCCAAGATCGGAAAGTTCCTCGATGCGACGGCTGCCGCCTAACAGAATCTGAGTTAAAAGTGAAGCTGAAACGTTGCGCCGGGTGCTCGGCAACGATGTACTGCAGCAGGGAGTGCCAGAAACGGAACTGGTTAAGTTCGCACAAGTGGGTAATTTTTTTCAAATCCGAGTAGGATTGTTCCTGATAGTTGTACTTCATTCTCGTGCACTTGTTGACCATTGTCATTTAGGGCAGTATGTCGTGCCGAGTGGCTCAGAGCGCCTCCACCCCAAGTTCAAGTTGTCGACCCGGGTGCAACGGACGCCAGTGTTGTCAATGACTCGAACCAGGGCATCCCTTCGGAATCGGTAGCCACCCTCGACACTGCGTTGCTTGCCTGGCTGCAGACCCACCACTATGGACTCATGGTCCTAGCAACTGCCACTGTGTATTTAAACGGTGGCTACGCTCTCCACTTCTCCCCCGACGCTCCTCGCGCGATCACAATCTCCGTCAAGTCAATGCCCAAGGCCCTGACCTCCTCGCCTGTCGGCCCATCAAGCGACAACCCGGGCAAAGGCTTCCATATTCTCAGTTCGTCGTCTGTCCCCAATACCACACTCCTCGAAGAATATGGCCCCGGATTCAACTGGGACGAAGCCCAGTCAGCCTGCGAGGACATGGAGGGGAAGATCCAAGATGTTATAGGAGATACCTTCCGCATCCACGCATTGCCCGGGATATTCCATATCAAGAACTCTCCGGTCATGCGCATCCGGCCTATCATGGCCACTGAGCTGCCCGGCCGTAGCGGTACGCTCGACGCGGAGACGCGTGCCATGCTCGAAGACGTCAGGACGTTCTGCATGGGCCTCATGCTCGCCGGGTTCGTGCTGCACATGCCCAGCGCGGAACATGGGGGCAGTCCCTTGCCTAGGGTGGGTTCCCTCGTCCGCCGGAAGAAGAAGCAGTGGGAGTGGGAGCCGGTCCCTGTCTGGGACTGGGGGCGTGCCGCCGCCGCGCTCGTCCCGAGAGAGCTCTGGAAGACCGACCATCCACCCGAGGAACTGTGGAGGCGCTTCTACTACGGGTGAATCTGGCTCGCACAACAAGATCCCGTCCATGGTGCAGGCTACATGCGTACGAGGTGACAGTTTTTCAGTAGTTTGTCGTACTGACTATATTCTCAGGACCCCTTTAGATGGCTTGGCCACTGAAACATCGCGATGGGGCCTCCGGGGGGAGGGATTTTATTGGCTTGAAATATCATTTTCATTGTTCTCTATTTTTAGCTGCGAAGATCCTGACAAGTTTTGACTACACGTCCACTGGCAACAAAACGTCCGCGCGAGTCCTATACGAACGCTGGCCACGTTCGCCTCGGCACAAGTACGCCCTTCGTATCCTGAACGTTTTATCGTCTGATGCTGAGCAGTCCTCTTCTGACCTGCAGATAGGGCATCGAAATAGGGTCGAGCTATCTCGCAGGATCGCCTACGCTCACAGCCCTCGAGAATGCGATTGTCGACTATGCTGGGCTGCACCCCCTCGCCTTTTTTCAACCTCGCAAGTGCAAATGCGTGACTGTATGGCGGTGTTAGTTCAGCCCTCGCGTCCGCGCGTGCGATCGTCGTGCGCGCACTCCCTCGCGCGCCGACCGCCCCGGGGAAGCACACGTCCTCGAACATATTCCGGTTTGTGGGGCGCTCCAGGAATCGTGCGGATGTCTGAGCTCGAGTCGCTCGCGGGATCGAGAGAGACTCCGCACGCGCGTCGAGTGTGAGCGCATCATGGAGTGCATCCACCGCGTGCGCCCGGACGACGAAGTAGGTTTGCATCAGTGCTAGTGCGCATATAAGGATCAAAATAAGGGCGAAGCGACCAGCGAGTCTCACAAAACGCTCGACTCGACTTTTTGCCGTCGTAGTACGGGTACTTATCCCTAAGAGAGGCGTCTGAGAGACCGAGAAACTCGCTGAGCTACTAACTTAGCAGTCCAACGTCCAACACGGGCTTAATTAAGCGCCAAGTACTGCCTGCTCGCTACGCCACAATCCAAACCACGACTGCAACCACGACTATCCTCTGAAACGATGTCTCAGCATCGAAAGGTCCCTCGATGCGACGGCTGCCGCCGCACAGAATCTGAGTCAAAAGTCAAGTTGAAACGCTGCGCTGGGTGCTCAGCAACGATGTACTGCAGTAGGCAGTGCCAGAAACAGGACTGGGTATCGCACAAGTGGGTGTTTCTTTAGGTCGTAAGACTGCGCACGACAGCTATATTCCGCTCTCGTGCAGTTACTGATCACCGTCAACCAGGATGGTATGTCGTGCCGAGTGGGTCAGCCCGCCTCCGCAACGAACTGTCCACTCGGATGCAACGGCGGGCCCTCAGGCTGTCGTTGATGACCTGAGTCTGGGCATCCCTTCGGAATCTGTAGCCGCCCTCGACACCGCGTTGCTTGCCTGGCTACAGACCCACCATTACGGACTCATGGTCCTAGCAACTGCCACTGTGTATCTAAACGGCGGCCACGCTCTGCACTTCTCCCCCGATACCCCTCGCGCAATATCAATCTCCGTGCAGCCAATGCCAAAGGACCTGACCGCCTTGCTGAGCGGCTCATCCGACGACAACCCGGGCAAGGGCTTCCATATTCTCAGCACACTGTCTTTCCCCAGCACCGAACTCCTCGAAGCATATGGCCCTGGATTCAATTGGGACGAAGCCCAGTCAGCCTGCCAGGTTGTGGAAGGGAAGATGCGGGATCTTGCGGGAGACAATTTTGTGGGAGATACAGGCTTCTGCGTCCGCGCGTCACCCGCGATTTTCCATATCAAGAACTCTCCAGTCCTGCGCGGCCGGCCTATCATGGTCATGTCCGAGCTGCCCGGCCGTAGCGGTAGTACTACGCTCGACGCGGAAACGCGCGCGATGCTCGAAGACGTCAGGACGCTCTGCATCAGCCTCATGTCCACCGGGTTGGTGATGCGCATGAACGACTCGGAGCGCGAGGACGACTTCGCCCCCGAAGTGGGAACCCTTGTGCGCCGGAAGAAGAAACAGTGGGAATGGGAGCCGATCCCTAACTGGGACTGGGGCCGTGCGGCCGCGCTGGTTCCGAGAGACCGCATGAAGACCGAGCTTACACTCGAGGAGCTGTGGGAGAGCTTCTACTTCGGGTGAATCTGGTTCATACTACGGGCGGTTCCGGTTACGGTGCGTGCGACCTGCGTGCGAGACGATAGTTTTCCAGTCGTTTGTGGTACTTACCATTGTTCTCCAGGCCCGTTTGAACGAGTTGGCCGCTGAACATTCCCCTATTGCGAGGGGACCTCCGGGAGTCAAGGCTTAATATATCCTATCTACTTTCCTCCATTTGTGGCTGCGACGATCTTGAAGAGTTTTGACTACACGCACGCTGGGAACGAAATGCCCGCGCGAGTGTTATATAGAAGTCGGCGACGCTCGAGCTGACACTGAAGTGTCTTAGTTGACATTCATGCAGGTCGCCCCAGGAAACTCGCACAACGCCCCAAGGCTAGCCGCTATACCGCAGGCGCAGACACCACAACACTCGAAGCGCTGACGACGGGCATCTCTACCCCCATCTTCTCCTCAACCTTGTCCTCAGACAGCTCTCCCGTCTCGACGTGAGTGAGCCCGCCCTCCGACTCCTTCTGCTGCTGCAATCCGTACTGGTCGTCTGTGTACGTCGGCATCGGCACCTCGCGCATCAGGACCACCGCCACGAAGCCCGCAGCACACACGCCTGCCATCACCCTCCAGATCGTCGCCAGGCTCTCAGCGAACGCCTCGCGCACTTCGGTGCGTAGCGGCTCGTGCAAGTGTGGGAGGGCCGGGATCACCGCGAACGCGATCTCCGCGCCGCCATCGAGCGTCTGGAGGAACGCCTGTGGCAGCTTCCGCTTGAGTTCGTTCTGGACGATCGTCGCAGAGATGGTGACGCCCCATGTCTGCGCGAAAGGGATGAGCTCGGGCGGCAGAGGAGTGTGTAGTAGCGACGCGCGACATACCTGGGCGAACGTGCGGAGGAAGTTGTAGAAGGCGAGGGCGGGCGCGCCGCGCGCCACTGGTAGCGGCGCTAGAATGGGGAATACCACTGCGACCCACTGTGCGCTCGGTCGCATCAATAGCGTTCCCAGAGATGCGCGTCGAGCAGTGGCATAGTACTCACGTTCAGCCCTATTCCGATGGCCGCTATGACCTGATATGCGGCCCACTCGGCCTTTCCCGAGTCCGCCTTGAGTGTGGACAGCAACACGAGACCGACCGTTGTCATGACCCAGCCTAGGTAATTTATGGGGCGATACATGCCGGTCTTCTTGACCGTGATCCCGCACGTCACCGCCGCGACGGAGGTGAATGCGGCGGTTGGAAGGACTTGTACGCCGGAAGTCCCCGGGCTTGACAGCTTACACGCCTGAAAGTACACGGGGAAGTAATCTGCGCGTACGAATCAGAACTGCGCAGGGTGAGGAATGCTTCGCCAAACATGCGACCTACAGATAAGGGAGATGCTGACGATGCCATGCACGAAGGTGGACAGAAATCTGCACACATACAAACGCTTGTCAGCTCAGTGCGAATATACTGTAACAATATCATGACGCACCCGCCGAAGCTCGTGCGATTCTTGAGGATATCGAGTGGAACTGTCGGCTCTCGTGGAACGGACATTTCGTATGCGAGGAATGCCACGATGAGCGCCCCGCCGAGGATCAGTGGTGCGAGAACGTGCGCATTGGTCCAAGGGTACGTGATTCCGCCCCACGTCAACGCGATGAGTGCGAGTGTCGTGCCCGCTATAATCAGGAAGTTTCCGCTACGGTACATCAGCATCCACTTTTACTGCAAGCCGGACACGCAGCCGGGAGGCGAAGTATGCTCACGTCCCATCCAGACGTCCAAGTTTTTCCCGGATGGTCCCTTCAGGTGTGCGTACGCGAAGGAAGACCGCGACGAGCGCGAACGCGATCCCTGCGAGGGGTAGATTGATGTCTGCGAATTTGATATCAGCTTCCGGTTGTCCGTTGCGATGACGCCAAACATAGAAGATTGAACTCACAGAAAAGCCATCTCCATGATGCATTTTGCGCGAGGGAGCCACCCTGCATTGCCTCCCGTTAGTAATGCCTTCACAGTAACGACATCAGGTACGATGTCAGACGTATACACTCACGACGACAGGACCGATTGCGGCGGCAAACGCCCATGCGATAACTACTAGCCCTTGAAACAGACCACGCTCCACGAGCGGGACGAGATCGGAGAGGATGATGGAGAACATGGTGTTAATCGCGCCGCCACCGATTCCCTGGATGGCTATGTACGTGGGTTAGCAGGCTAGCATACGCCCGACGTAAAACACGTGTGCGCGAACTTTACTCACTTCGTGCCACAATAATAATGCGCATGCTCCGTGCAGACCCACAAAGTGCGCTTCCGACAAAAAAGAACGCGACGGCCATCAGCATGATTGGCCGGCGACCAAACACGTCGGCCAGACGGCCACAGAGCGGGAGAGCCGCCGTACTAGCGAGCCCATAGGCGGCGCCAATCCAGACGAAGTCGTTGTCGCCGTCGAGGTCATGTGTAATGGTAGGAAGCACGGTCGAGACGGCAGTGACGTCGAGGGCGCTGAGAATATTGCAGACGACTATGGCCAGGAAGCAGAGCCAGAACGCAGAACCTTTTCGCGCCCCGGGCTGTAAGCGCGTCGCCGAGGCGGAGGACTGGGGAACGGCTGGGTGCATAGTCGCATGAGCTGTCTGAGGCACCACGGGGATGGGGACGGCGGGGGGCTTATGCAGGGGGGGGCGGGTTTCAGGGTGGAATTCCTAGCGTGGTTCGTGCAATGAGGATGTCAGTGAATCTCCGGTCTGAACGGACTGTGCGGACAATTCTGGGGGGGCATTGTCCCTTTAGGAGCGACGGCGGAGGATCCAAAAATTGTGCTGCCGAAAGCTGTCAGATTCTGCGCTTGCTATACATCGTGCTAACCATTGCCTACGACATCGTGTTAACAGCGCTCAGAAGCATCCGTGGGCAGTAATGGAACTCGCCGTTTGAGACTCTGAAAGTGCCGTGCATGTACATCAGCTGCCTTGAATGTCGTATCTGCCACGATGCAGGGCGTGCTTCACCGATAAGAACGCTTCCAAGGGTTTTCGCGGTCGACTTTGGATCTGGAGCAGGGACCCATGGGAGAAATGAGTCGAGGGAGCAGTGCTGTGACCAGATACATCATCAGTATGTACCGCGCTCTTGAAGTTTCTCAAGTAAACCATCATGGGTAACGAGCCTTGATCGACTACAGATAGGCAGCTTGAAATCTACCGAAGGCTGTTCGCGAGGCGAACGTTGCGTGTGCAGTGGCAGAAGGTACTGAATCGCTTGTAGTCCTCTGATAGATCTAGAGTCTGTGGCACTTCTGTGGCACACGATGCGCCATGACCGAGGATGTCTGAGTGATGTCTAAGAACCGATTGTTCCAGTTAACAGATTTTATTTATGAGAGCAAGCCCAAGGTTGGTACAGCCCGTGGTTGGGAGAGTGAAGCATACGTGTTCCTTGAAGTCGAGGACTCGGAAGAGCATCATGCATCATGTCCGAACAGATCCAAGCTGCAAAGCGCTCAGCGCGAGGGCGTGAGAAAGGATTACATCCCGGCCACGAGGCTCTCAGCGCTGCTCACTAGCGCTCAGCGCTCACTCCTCGTCCGAGTCGGATTGACCCCTTGGGCGATTCCAATATTCAAAGATGATCCACGCCATACTCCTCACGCACATCAACACATCGTCTAGGATATGCACCACCGTGTACTGAACCCTGCTCTCACCCGTCTCACGACCAGCCGAGCCGGTATGCAAATTCAAATCAAGTTACTCATGCCACAACAACACCTCGTGTACGTCAAACTTCTCAAGCCCGTATCTTTTACTCACACATCTCCAACATAGTTTGCGCGTCAGTTTGATCTAGCAATTTGAATTAGGTGTGCAGCATCGCGCCAACACCGAAGGCACAGAACTAGCTGCAATGGCCCTAGCGCGTCCGTCGCGCGACGCGCGCGGTACGGACTTTTCTGCTACTACTTCGCACCATCTGTTGACCTGCCGACTCACTCTTATAGCGCTTCTGGAGGTAGTATTCGCCCCTTCCCTTTTGGCGGCGCCCCGCGCATTTGACTTTGATATACTGCCGTCTTGTACCGGCCGCCGGGTGGAAAGATATGCATCACTCTGGCTGATGATGCATAACAGGCTTGCGAACAGGCCGGCGCTCTGCGCGCGATCCAATAAAAGGGTACTTTAAGCTTGAAGAGCTCGCCAAAATCGCCCCTCGCATTGCTAAGCACCATGGACTCCTTCGCGACCACTGCCAGTGCCCAGCCGACTTCTCTAGCGTCTCTATCTCACCTTGTAGAGAGCACATTTGGTGCATATCTCTTTGGAACCAGTGCTAGCCTGATGTATGTGTCCATGACATGCGAAGACATGTAGCTTGAACTGACCAGTGACTAGATTATACGGTATCAGTCTGTGCCAGTTCCGTCGCTATCTTTGCCTATACCCTACGGATGCGTCGTACATCCGTGCTATAGTCAGTTGATCGCTTTTTATGCTGCCAAGGGTGTCGCTTACCGGATTCGTATGCAGGTATTCGCTGTCATGTAGGACGCCTTTTTATGTCGGAATTCCATATGCTAACCTCAGCCGCACTTGGAAGGGTCTTGGAAAGTGTACACACTCCTATGCTTATGCATACCTGGTAAGTTGGTGTTTTCGAAACATATTCCGTCGCTCTTCTTATCTGGCAACAGTTACTACTTTCTAGTCTCAAATTACGCCAACCCGCAGACGTTCAATTCGCCGCCCTGGTATGTTAACAATCTACGCTGGCCTGTCCCTTCTGACGGCGCTCTTGCACAGGTCCCTCAAGGTATGCCGTCCATCATACTCGGTATCGCTTCAACGCGGTCTTACTTGCTATCCCGCAACAAACACAGATTGCACCCACCCTCGCAGTACGTCAGATCTCATACACGTCCATATCTACATGCCGCTCACGATACTGCTGCAGGCTGTGATCACGTTTACCGCACAGGTGTTCGTTTTCTATTGCCATCATTCTCACAGAGGCCTAGCTGCCTAACCGTCTATCGTCTGACACAGGTTTTTTGCTCGTCGAGTGTGTCTGCGTGAGTTTTACTAAGTAACTGTGACTTAAGCGGCGCAGCCCCTTAACATTTCATTTTGTAGTCGGATTCAAGTATAAAGTGGTCGTCGTCCTCGTTGTGAGTACAACATTGTACTATGCGGTGAAATACTGTTCATCGCGCGGCACAGATGATGTGCCTGATCGTACATGTCGGCAAGTGCTCCCTATTCTCCTACGGCCACGTCTGAGCTGATTGGATGCATTCGACTATCGCAGGCCTTGGAATAGGTACGAGTTAGATCGACATTTGTGACTTTTAACGAGGGTTCAACATTAAACATAAAATCTCTACTAGCTCTCACCGTTGTGATGTGATTCCATATCCATTACTTTTAGTGCCGTGATCCCTTGCTAATGAAAACATTGCAGAAACAACGTAGGCAGCATCACTGCCTACAACCGTTCCAACGAATGGCTTTTCTCCGCTCCAATCCTTCCTGCCTCTGTCGCTGACGGCTTGCTTACGAGCGCTATCATCATCGGCCTACGCCGCAGTCGCGAAACTTCCACACGGTAGGCTCTGACTTTACGCTTATAAACGATCGTATTGAACTCACACGTAGTCCTAGCGCTCATAGCGTTTACGAGCTTTTCATGCTCTACGTGGTGAACAGCGGTGCGTCGTATGCTTGAACAGCGGCCGTGTCGCGACTCGCTGCTGATTCTAGCGCAGGTTTATTCACGACGTATGCCGCAGCGGTCAGCTCTGGCGCATGGATTAGTGCTAACCGAGGTTTCATAACAGTCTCGTCAGCATCGTGCCCTATGTAGTGGTACGTTCTTTTCGCCGACCCTGCTTTCGTCTCCTTGACTTATCGCAATCCTACTCAGGGCGTGGTCATGCCCAAAACGTTCATTTGGGCTGCGGTCAGCTTCGTTCCCACTCGACGTGCGTTCCTGACAGAGATATCAATCTGTGTTCGAAAGCTAATCACAGCCCTGCCATCCGCGACAAAGTCTACGCAATGACACTGCTTTGCGTGTAAGAGCATTCATCCCTGCCAAAATCCACGCGGACTGACGCTGCGAGCAGCCTGAACTCTCGGAAGCGCCTCGCCGGTCGTGGACTGGAGATATTCGGGAAGGATGTCCCTATGCGGAGTATCATCGCCCGCGCCAACCACCTCGCGGCGGTCGAGCAATGGAACGCGCCCGCGGTGAGCTCGCACTTGCGCCTCCTCTATGTCCCCGCACACCGGCAGACCCGCTGACGACCTGCAGCTGCCCGACAGGGCGCCAACGAAGATCGCTATCAGCATTTCGGCGGAGACGGAGTCCGACGTGCCCGACACAGCGTTGATCCAGAAATGCCACTCTGAAGACCACCTTACGGAGTCGATGAAAACTCGAGGAGTCGCTCGCGGCGACTCCTCGTGATGCGACTCGGGTAGGCGTTGGCTCAGCGAACATTGTGTATGTTCGGTGTGTCTTCCTTGGAACCTGTACTATCAGTCTCTATCCTTCGCTCTGAGGTCGTGTACTCCGTATGTATCTAACTTCTGGACCTGACAGTGTACTTCAATCGAGTAATTTCTTATGCTTACCTCGCGGCGCCAGAGAATCCAGAGGACGGGTGCCGCGCTCCGCCGCTCTCATGAGCGCGCTGGTTCTGTGTATGCGGATGCAACGAGGGACTTATGAACATGGCTATAACGCATGAAGCACATTGGCTTTACGAGGGCATGCCTGGGCATCCCGGGGTGTAATGTAACATATATCGCCTTCGCGCTCTGGTAATACTCGTTCCTTCAGCGTACCCACAGCTCGGCGTCGGCTGTAGTATAAGCGTATAATTTTATGAGACCTAGTTCCGCAGCAGGAATGCCTCGAAACATCTAATGCACGGCACAGTGGAGAGTCGCGTGGGGGAAATACCAGAAGACAAACAAAGGATGCTGAGATCATGCCATCAACGACGTGTATGCGCAGGAGTCCGAAGTACAATCCATTGATGGAGGGGTATCGCGGAGGAGAGAATTGATACAGAGGTGTCGCGGAGGAGAGAACCTATACAGACAAACCAAAAACCGTAAAACAAGATCCTGGAGAGCTCCACTCAAGCTACCAAAACCCGACAGAGTAATCCTAGCTAAGATCATAGTGTAGATTAGTACGAAGCACTACGGAGATAATCAATGTCACGCACTATGATCATAACATTCTGACGCGTGTTGACGCTGACAGACAAAATACTTTCGCAGTACCGGGCCCCAACTGAGAAGCACATCCCGATTAGTAGAGCTCCCCCGACTTAACCATGGACACATACCAATTGCAGACATCAGATAGCATTGTACATAGCCCATATATCCTCGGGATGGAGGCCAGAACGAGACTCAAAGTCGTCGGCCGGCACCCACTCCCCACCGTCCACGGGCTGCCAATCCCACGCCTTCTTCTTCTTCCACAGCCGGACGTACGTCCCCCTGAACGGGCCCTTCTGACAATGCTCGCACCGCCCGCATGAAGACGGCGGGCGCAGGACGAGACCCAGGTTGACGGTCTCGATGCACATGGCCGCGACGTCCTCGCAGACCTCGCGGATGTACTCGGGCATCGCCGTCAAATGCCCGCTCTGGGGGGCGAAGACAGGGAAGTAGTGGAAGGTCGCGAAGGCGGCGTCGGGAATGTCGCACACGGCGGGGATGCAGCCGATGACGGTGGCGTTGGGGATAGTCTTGCGGAAGATCTCGGTTCTCTGCCGACACTCAGCTTCGGTGCCATCCCAGCTACTGATGAATCCGCGCATGTTGTCCTTATGTTCGAGCGACACCTCCAGGATGCTGAAAGCCTTGGCGGGATCCGCGCCGTCATCCGATCTATCTCCCGGGGCCAATGTCACGCGCAGGACCCGAGGAAAGCCGAGGTTCGCGGCGATACCGCCGTGCGCGAGGATGGTGGCATTCGCCAGCGTTTCGAGTGCTTGCAAGTGTATGTCGTCCACCCAGTCGTGCATGGCCTCAACGAGGGCGGCGGATGAAGCATACCCGGCACAGCCCTCAGCCTGGTAGCAGCTTCCGACGGACCCGCACTTGTTCCTGCATTCATATGAGTACCGGCGTGCGAAGGAAATAGATGAAGGAAGGCATACTTGTGCCGCGGCCACGCCGCTCTCTGGCAAGCTCTACTACAGTACATGGCACCCGTGCATCCCTTGCATCGTTTCAACTTGGCGCCTGCGGGAAGCTGCCGTTCCCGCTTGTTACAGTGTGCGCATCGAGTGAGGCATGGCGGAGGAAGAGTGTCGATAGTGTGGTAGCAGTTAGTGTGGTCGCCGGAGTCCATGGTGGGCGCGAGTCAAGAAGATGAACTTCAACATGAACGAGACGCACCATATATATGGCCCAACTTCACAGAAGCATCGGGTTCCGAGAGCCCTGCTCGATCGGGGGTCCTACCGTACATGCGCGCGGTGGGACACTAGATCTGCACACCGTTGGGACTCCCGATGGGTGAAATGAACGTTCTCGATGGTCACCGTGACATGTTGAAATCACCCCCGACCGAGTCTAGCGGAAAAGCGTAATAAGAGGGATGACGGCGATCCGTGCAAACCATATGCTATCAATTAGAGGTGTATGATGTCCAAGGTGCCTTTGAAGGATATATGCGCTCGAAATTGGTGCGCGACTCACAGTCCGTTGGTGGTGGTACGGAACTCCGAAGAGTGAGCGTCGGATGACAGTCTCGGATGATGCCGGTGCCTGCAGGGCCCAAACAGGCGACGGCTTTATTTAGGCGCCATAACCTTCTCTCCCATTGTCCGGGACAATGTCCCAAATATTTGTGGCACACGGCGTCACGGTAAAGTTACTCCAGATACTCTCTTGCGATCAAACACTTGAGGCTCGCATCTTCCATCTCACTGCCTGGACGACCAGTCGATTCACTTCGCTTATTGGTAAGTCTTGCTGATAAGCCAACTATTGGTATCTCCGAGTCGAACACTGAACTTCCTAGTCTGTCGGTCACTGACTTCTTCCACATGGTTAGCAAACTGACGATGCTGCTCTTAAATGACGATGTGGCTCTCATGATCGTCGACAATATGAGCTCAGAGGAAAGCAAGAACGCTCTATGTGCACTCTCGCAGACATCTCGTCGATTTCGCGACCTGTGCGTGCCCGTCCTTCGCTCAACAGCCCGGCTCGACAGCGTACGGTGTCCCTCGCGCATAAGCCATCAGATTCCGGAGTGGATGCGGCCATACCTGAGGTACGAGTCTTACCATTTTAATACCATATATACGCCAGTAACAGTTTTCAGGGAGCTCACGCTGCGCGATATTTGTGGCGACCGCACCAGCAGGTACCGCGAATACCCGTGGTCGCGCGATCCGATCATGTGCAGCACCTACGAGGGCGATGCGATTGCGGCTCTGCTGCCTTCCATACCTCACCTGCGAAAGGTCGTAATCATATCCTCACACGACCCGCCTCCATGTGTATCATTCGTATACGGAATATCCTGGGCGGTAGTGAAGGCCATCATCTCCGCCCGTGGGCTGCAGGAGCTCGACTTAGATGGCCACTTCTTCTGCCTCAACACCTTCGCCCCGGATCCAGACTTCACACCCGCCCCCCTCACCACTTTCCGATGCACAATTCCGCACCGGCGCTTAGTGCCAGTCACCCGCGCGTTCTCGACGCAGACAGAAGCTTTGGCTTTCGTGCTCGAACGGCTGCGCCATTCGCTCGAACATCTCTCCCTCACGATCGATATAGCACCTTTGGATATGATACGCGACGCGGACTGGCCTCGTCTACGCTCACTGCATCTAGCAGGCGATATACTCCCCACCACGCACTCGCTCCCCTGGGTCTCTATTCTGCGACACATGCCGCGTCTGCGCGTCTTATCCCTGCGGGCTGCTGTGCCCGATGACATCGACCATCTCACCACTCACCAGATCGTATGGCCGCCGGATACGCTTCTCGACACCCTGCCATGGCCAGAGTTGGAAGACCTAGAGGTCACCTATCCCGATCCCGAAGACCGGCTCTTCTCCCACCTGCCGTCCACGTTGAGATCCCTCTCGATCGGCCGCTTCGCATTCTTTGCCCACCATAACTGGGCCCTGGACGAATGGGAACAGCAGTATTCCAGGCCACAAGATGTCCCCATGCCGCGTGCTTCCGAAGTACTGCAGATCGCGCGAAAGTGCAACACGCCGAACCTGCGCACGCTGAAGCTCGAGTATCTAGCAGACGGCGACGCCTCGGAGGACGAACTTCTGGCGTGCATTCCCGCAGCATTCCCACGCCTGGAGTCGCTGCGCCTATGCCGATACGACACCCAAGACGACGCAGCCGCAGCTGGAACTGCACTGGTATGTTGTTATTCACGATCCCGATGCTCGTACAGTCACTCATCATACGTTCTACAGAGGGTCGCGCAGGCCTTGTCACCCCTCTCGCATCTGCGCACGTTCCAGGTGCACCTGGACGCCGTTCCTGACCCGGAGCTCGCGCGCGCGCGGAGGGGGTGTTACTACGCCAAGGAGAGCATTGCGGCGTATGTACGCGAGCTCAAGGAGCTGGCCGATGTGATGGCGCAGACACTGGGACCGTCAGTGGAGGCGATCGAGATGTTCGCCCCACCCAGTCGCTGTGTTCCATTCGACGTGGTCCGTTCCGCTGCTGGAGATGATGGTAGTCCTGGTACGGCAGCGCATGCGGAATTTGGGGCGGAGTATACCTGCTAGTGCGTGTCTACAGCTGGGGTTTGTGCTGGTGCATGCTGGACGACTCTACACTGATCTTCGTGTACAGCTAGTACTGCATATGATGAGCATTCGAGCAATGCACGACTTAGTCTGTATCGAGCGCATGTGTCAGTGCGTATAGATGACAAGACACGGAAGAGAGTATATACCACGCCAAGGGAGGATGCACGGCTACCGGAAGAGAGATCGGCTGAGCGGTGGCAATGGGGGCGCCGTGTAGTTGGTAGACCGCGGGCAGCACATCAATAGCCAACCATGGGGACTGAATACATACCCATGCGGGGCGGCGACGCTTCGCACGAGGCGGCTGGCGGGCAGTGAGCGACATAGGCAGGTACGCGGACCCAGACACAAACGCTTGAAGACCCGCGTCGAACCCGCATTGTCGCACGGCAGTTGCGCACCTGCATTGAGAACGCTCGTGGCGGCCTGCAATACGTCGGCATCAACTGACACTGTGACACCGCATTAGAATTAGACCTGCGTATAAGCCGTCGTCTCACGACGGTACAGGGACTGTGAATACACGTAAATAAGTAGAGATGCACAACTCCTGCCCTATGATAGCCAGCAACGTGCGTTTTATGAGATTGGCCGAGCAGGCTTACCTCGAGACCAGACCCTACACTGCATAGTAAAACGCCCACACCTTGTCCGGCTTGAAGCCCGATTCCGGATGGGCGCCGACTTCGTCTATGAACGCCCAGTCGAACCCGCCCATCTGCTCCCACTCCCACTTCTTCTTCCGCTTCACCATCTTCCCCATGATCGGCTCGGGGCGGCAGTGCCCACACCCCGTACACTCGCCCCGCCGCAGCGCCAGGCCCGCGTTCATCGTGATCATGCACATCTCGACGACGTCTTCGAACACCACGCACACACAGTCCGGGAGCGCCGCCGTCGTCCCGCACCGCAGCGCCAGGATCGGGTAGTAGTGCGTCGACACACAGTTCGTGCCCGCAATTCTTGACACGGCGGGCATGACGTCGAGGACTGTTTCCGTAGGCGGCATCTTCCTGCGGAACCACTCCTTTCTGCGCGCGCGCTCCGCGGTGATGTGGTCCCAGCTGCTGATCATCGAAGACACCTCGTCCTTGTGCACGATGGAGAGGTGCGCGAGGCGGAACGCCTCCGCGGGGTTCCCGGGGTCGTCCGCCTCGTCGTTGCCGGGCGTGAGCTCGAACAGCAGGATCCGCGAGCTGCGGTTCGCGGCGATGCCGCCGCGCGCGCCGACCATGGCGTTCGCGATGATCGTGAGCGCGGCCCCGTGCGTATCGTCCGCCCAGTCCGTCACCGCTTAGCCGAGCGCGATAAGCGTGTCGTACCCCGCAAGACCCCCGCTGCCGTTTGGACCGTCTTGGGGGCGGCGGCACGAGTACCTGTAACTGGATATGAAAACCGTGGCAGGGCGGGGCAGTAGGCGGAGGAGCGTACTTATGATGGGGCCACGCCGCCTTTTGGCATTCCTTGCTGCAGTACATGATGATGGAGCATCCGGCGCAGCGTTTTAGCTTCGTGTCTGCTGGAAGCTGCCGCTCCCGCTTCTTGCAGAGCGCGCACTTTGCCAGGTGGCCTGCATAGGCGACTTCTCCGATATCGTGGCAGGACCCGGGGGTGCAGCCCCCGGGATTGCAGCCCGAATGGGTGTGGGCGACTTCCATGGGGATCGCGAGGGAGAGAAGCACGTACCAAATTTCAGCTCATTGCAGGACCCCTGAGTGTTTGTGACTCCGAACAAGCCATTCGGTCGGCCCTATTATACGCCCCGTAGACTATACGAACTGCATTGCAGAATAAATAGGTTTGAAGAGCAGGCAATAGTACTTACTCTACATGTTCTCCGCGATAGCGGTGGTAATCGCAGGAGGAGGATGTCGGGTCGTTGCGCACGGTGTAAGAGACAACTGTACAACTATGACGTCACTCTGCCAGGCAAATGCCGCAGTGCTCGATTAGGTTTTACATTTCGGCCGCCATACACGCGAGTTACCTGATTCGGACTCGCTACTGTACGCCCTCGTCTCGCGCTCGTTTAGATCTCTTCGACGAACCAACGCTAGTACGGCGTCGGCGCTCGCACGCCCTCCTCTCGCTTGTTCTGTACCACGTCTGGTCACCCGAATACACCTCGTTCTCGCACGATCTCATCCGGCGCGGGGCCCCGACCCGTTACGACGTCGCGTTCGAGCTTCGTTCATGCCTCGTCATCGACTCGCCATCAATGGAAGCAGCGGGTTCAGACGCACGCTCAGGGAATATGGAGCGGTGCGGGGATCGGTGCAAATAAGTATGTATGTTTTGGAACGCAGGCAGGAGGGGCAATGAGACTCGATCGTCCCAATCGGGAATTGCCGTTCGTATAAGTATGTAAGTGATCCGCGGCGCCGGAAAGCCCCTCGCCAGTCTTTCCTCCTCATTCCTACTCTTCGCGGCTCGCTAGTTAGGGGTCGCCGAAGTATACTACACACTCACTTTTCAGTGACATATACAGCATGGAAATATCAGACCCGACAACCCTACAAGGCATCGCTTTCCACCCTGCGCCAGCTTGTGGATACTGCTGGAAGTACGAATCAGACCTCCCGGCGAACACAAAGCTCAAACGCTGTGTCGGCTGCTCAGTCGCCTTGTACTGTAGCAGGGACTGCCAGAAGGCTGCATGGGCTACCCACAAGTATGCTTACTATCAGCCGTCGCAAAGACACCCGAGACACATTCCAACTGACACATCTTCGCAGGCGGCTGTGTCGCCCCTCCGACTCGGAGTCGGCCCCTAACTCACTCCCAAATCAACTCGCGGGGCACTCCACCCCGCTCGAGCTGTTCACCAACCTCAACGAGTGGGTCTCGAACACGCACGACTACGCCTTCCGCACCCTCATGCGCGCCGCCGTCCTGCTCAACGGCGGCGGGCTCGCCGCCAACTTCGCCGAGCCGTGCATCGTCGTCTTCAAGCTCACGCGCGTCGCCGAGCCCAAGACGCCCGCCCACGCGTTCCAGCTGAAAGTGCAGGTGCCGCAGACGCTCAAGGGCGAGGGCCTCCGCGCGACGGTCAAGGAGGGGCAGGCGGCCGTGCACGCCGCGTGCCAGCTGCAGTTCGAGGCGATCCGGCGCGCGAATGCAGCGATCCCGGAGTACGCTGGCGCGCTTCTGGCGATGGTGTGGGTGGAGGGCACCGAGATCGTGGCGTACCACCCGTACCCGATATATGGCCTGAGGTCGGGCGACACGGGGCCCCTCAGCGAGCGTATGAGCCCGGTGTTCGAGGGCGTCGTGGCCATGTGCGTTGGGACGATGAACGCGGGGCTTGTCTTGCATCCGCCGCGCGGAAATGGGCCGCCCGAACCCGATGTCGGCGTCCTCCTCAAGCGGAAGAAGAAGTGGGATTGGAAGAGGCGGGAGCGTTGGGCGTGGAAGCGCGACGTGTCCTTGCCATCTAGGATGGATCCGGACCTCGTCTGGGCCGCCTACCACATACTGTGAAGCTCTGCACTCAGACTCCGGTAATACGCTGGTAAGTGCTTCCGAGTGGCACACTAGCAGGTGCGGGATCGGGCTTACTAACGTAGTGCGTTAGTCCTAGCAATTTGTCCTTGGGTACCCACGCAACGGGTTCGGGTGGCACCAGGAAGACTCATGACTCTTGCATCTCGCAACGGGACCATCGCAATAGCTGAGAGGTATCAGTACACCCGATGGTTGGAACGATTGGGTATACTTAGACTTGACCCCCTAGTATGTATATTAGACCTTGACACTTATAGCTACTCCTCGACATCATTATTCTCCAAATACCAGCCTAATTTTCAATGCTTTGCGATACGCGCACCCGCGCAGAGTACAAGGTCGCAGCAGAAGAACAACGCAACACCGACAGAAAACAACGCCGCGCACACGCGGCAGCCCCATCGATCATCCAGTGGCACAGAGTGCCACCCACGCGGCACGCGCATCAGACGTACACGACGAACAAAGTAGGATTGCGCAAACAGGGAACAAAGTAGCAGGCCGTAGGGGCGCGGTATAAGAACACGAACGCGACACCCCCGTTCTCCAGGTTGCAGCACTCGTCAGGCTTCTCGTCACCTCTGACATCCTTCCTGACACCAACTCTCGACCCCCTCAAACTGCCATCCACCACCCGCGCGTGCTGATACCCCATCCCTGGCCGCGCTCCGGTAGGGGCGCAACAAGAAAGTCCACCGGGGCGCACCGCGTCCGTCCTGAGATCCGCGAGCCTGCGTCCATACGCCCGGCGGTCCAGGTGAGCCTTGCGCGCGATATGGCCTTGTCGAAGCAGCGCACTGATCTTGCTCCCCGTGTTGACCAGGACGGCGCGCTAGGATACGCCCAACCTCTTGTAGGACGTCGAGATTCAGCGTGCCATGCGTAGGCGGCTACCGAGGCACGGGTGGGTTGGCATTGCTGGAGCCTAGGCTGGAGCATGCGAGGCATGGCGAGACCCTCCGCCGGTCCATGACGTCGTCCACGGATAGCCCTACGGTGGTCGCCTCCTTGGCCGTGAGCGTCGGGCATGTAGCGGAGGCGCGTCTGCAGCGTTGGCAGACGCCGCGGACGCGCAGCCGGCTATGGCCGTTTCCGTTCAGGAGTGGGGGTGATAGGTCGACGTATGACGTTCCTTGTCTCGCTGGCCTGACGCGTCCTGATCCATGGGTTCGACGACGGACTCTTGCGCGCGCGTCCGTGCGCGCGCCCGGGTAATCACACATGGTCCGACCCTCAAGCTCGGCCCTCGGCGCTGTTGCGCTCCTGTTGCGGACGATGAGAAGGTCACCCCGCGCGGTCCTGGCAGGGACGCGCGCTGGGCAGCCGACTCGCTCGCTCGCGGTTGAAGATGGACATCGCTGCGGGGTAGGGGGTTGACGAGGAAAGGGTGGGCTGGTAGGAGCACGGGGCTTGCGCGAACCGCCCGCCACCCGTTGTTCTGACGAATCCGAGAGGTGAGCACATCCCCGACCATCGAGCACAAGACCAGCCACTCACCCGACCGAACCCAACAGACCACGCCACCGGGCTACATCCTCCGTTCCCTGCTGCTGCCTCCGCCTCTGTTGTCGTGTAGTAGTTGTGGGAGTTGGCGCTCTGAGCAATCTACTGCCCCAGCGGGGCGTTCTTATATACCTGCGTGAGTGCGAGTGAGCTTGGTCCTGCTGCCAGCCAGGTGCGCGCGACAGGGGCTGGCAGCATTGTGCGTTGCTGCGGAGGCGGTGTGCAGACAAAGCGGCTCTGGGCATTGGGCGTTGAGTGCTTGGTCCGTCTGCCATGGCTGGTATGATCGCCTGCGCGGGCATTGTGTTGGGCGTAGATGCTCCGGAGGTACTTGGACGTCTATATGGCGCGGAAGTTGAGCCTATCCTAGAGCTTGTGAGTTACCTCGACGCTCGCAAGCGGCGCGCGGACATAGAGCCTCGCAGGGCGTACGCTAATCGTCTCCCGCCCGGCGCGCTCGAATGTCCTGCTAGGCTTCATCCCGGAGAGCGCGATATCAACGCTGGTCCAGGACTGGCTTCAGCAGCACAATGCAGTAGTATCAATGCGCATATACGCATCAAAATCATGGTCCAGCGGCGAGTAAGTCTCTAACAATGCGCGGCTGCACTTGGTGCCGTCGTGCGCGCGTTCATACAGCACGCCTCTGCTGTGACGAACCAGCTCCAATTGAGCATATCAATAACGCGCAAGACTACTACATCCTAATGGCATGCATAAGCATTCACTGTGACTGGACCGACCAGTAGAATGCTCGCATACCAAGTATATACAGCAATCCTAGATAACTTCAGTCGATCTCAACGACCTCGGGAGGTGTTGCTTCCTCCACTAAATCCATGATCGCTGAGGGTGGCGGAGCACCGATGGGGGTAGGTGCTTCTTCCGACGTTCGCGCAGCCTTCTTCGGCCGCGCCGCTTCTGTGAGCTTCGCGAACGTCGACTTGTTTGCCTTCTACACCGCAGAAGACGCGTCAATACCCAGCTGCTCGCCACGGCACCTGCAGTGGTTGACGCACCTGATACGCAACAGGGTCATCAACGACCTCCTTGCGGGTCTTCTGCTCCGCCTCCTCGGCTCGGCGCAGATCAATCCTCAGCTGTTCGATCGTCTTACGGTTCTCCGGCGCGCGGTCCACGTTCGCGTTATACAACACTATCCATCTGTGCCGCGCGGTCAGCCTAATGCTGCATGTATGTATGCGTCTGCGTACCTGCTATGTCGCTTGATCAGCGCGTTCTTCTCGCCGTGCGTCGAAAGGCCCCATTCGTTCAGCAACTCCACGATGCGCTTCTGCGGGTGGATGTCGTACGCGACTTTGGGGAGGTGTTCGGGCTCGGCGTCGTCCTCGTTTTCCCTTAATCTGCAACGGATTCGTCAATACTCGTTAACAGCAAGCAGGAGTGGCGCTGGCGACGAACCTGACTTTACCCTTTCCCTTCTCCTTGCCTTTGGCGCCGCCGGTGGAGGCTCCCGCGCCACCGAGTAGTTTAGACCACTGCTGCTTCTGCTTGCCCTTTGCGTCAACAGGAGCCGTATGGTTGACAGTCTTCGCTAGGTGCCGTTTACAGTCACTGTCGATATGAATGTTGATCTTCTGGGTGAGGACCGCTTTCTGGCATATGGGGCAATCGACGGTGCCTTGCGACGACGTGTGAGCAGAGGAGCCACTAGGAAGCCTGAGGAGGCGCGCGTACCAGGGAGTGCATCAGGCGTAGCAGATCCAGAGGGAGCAGGACTTGACGAGAGCACGATGGGATCGTCGTCCGACGCGCTCACCGGGCTACCACTTCGTTTGCGTTTCCGTGCAGGCTCGTCTAGGTGCGTCTTGGTAGACTTTAGTGGTACTGGACACGTCTTTCTCGCGTGTTCTTCATTGGCGAGTCGTAGGATGAGTGGTCTATCCACAGCGACGTCACGACCGAGCTCGAACCGAGGAGGGAGCAGGAGCGCACCTAGCGATCCTCCATGCCTGCACTGCGCTCTCTACGGCTGCGTTCTTCCGCAAGTGAATCTCTGACGCGTCTTTCCTGCACGATGGGCATGTTGAGTTTACGGGGAGTGCAGAACGTATGCACTGAGGGAAATCCAGGTACTAGTCAGATGAGATTGCCCTAGGCATGGCGGCACGAACGGCACTCACGCACCACGGAGCAGAAGGAGTGTCCGCAGTTCAGAGAGACTGGCGCGTCGTAGAAGTCACGGCAAATGTCGCAGCGGAGGGCGTCGTCGAGGGTGCGCAGACCGGGCGCGGTCGTACTGTCTGGAAAGTCGGTGGAGTCCGAGATCTCAGGGATAGCCAGCAGTCGGTCTAGCTGTGTGGCCATCTGAGCGGAGGTTTCGCAAGCAGTATAACGCAGGAAGGGGGGCAAAGACGAGGCCGGGCCCTGCGGATGGATGTGGGGAAGAGCAAGACGCGACACGTCGCGAGTCGCGTCTGACTGTCGCGATCACGTGTCCTTCTCGCCTCGGCACCGATCGCGCGCGCTCGGCGGGAGATCGCGCTTGTCAGAGGCGCTCACTACTCAGATCTCAGAATGAACATCCTCGGCCTCTCTCCAAACACTCCCCAACGCGAGCGGTACAGACCATCAGGATCATCCACAAAATAGCTAGCGACACTATGCGCGATCGAGCCGATAACATAGCGGGAACGCAATACGTACCTAGGTCAACGTAAATGATAGTACGGTAAGCTGCCCGGACAATGTCTTTCGCCCGCGCCCCCTCTCGAGCTTCAACACTGACGGCCCTGCCCTTCATTCGCCTACAGGGCACAAAGGAGCCAGAAAGATCGGCAGCAGTCGGCAGCACAATGTCTCCGTAGCCACGACATGGCCACGGGCAGGAGCTATCCAAGCGTCGATCATCGCCCGCTCATTGTCCACACCCTGGTGGCCCTGGCCGGGCAAAGAGGACCACAGTCGCTTTGACACACCCCGGGATGTATAAAACGTCTCGCCGGACGCAGTGGATTGCTCGAGGTTCCAACTCAACAACCACTACGCTACCAGCAAGACGGAGGCCACATTCAAGCTATGCCGCCCCCGGACTCCATGAAACGTCGCACGTCGATGACACGCATCCGCAAGCTGTCAAACTCGATCATGTCAGTGGCTAGACATCTCTTTCACCGGTGCGAATGTACTGACCTCTCGAACCGGTCAGAAATGCCATCCGCCCATCATCCTCCCAAACGGCGGAGCAGCCGAGGCTGACGCGTAGGATCTCGGTCAATGACATCAGCAAGCCCCTGCAGCTCGGGCAGTATTCGGCGGACCACTTCATCGCTGCCAATGCTAGCCACACCGCGCCGCGTCCCCGTCGGCCAGCGCGACCAAGCATGGACGGACGTCCACAAGCAATCTACAGTCCCCAGGCCGGAGAGCAAGAGCAGCGGTTGAACGCTCTGTTGCGGTCGGAGCGTCGACGCGAAGAGGAGCTCGCGTACGGCACGAGGTCGCGCCACCTCAATTCACCATCGTCGCCAGAACTATCCCCTTCTCGAGCGCCGCGTATCGCGCAGGGTACGCCGGCCGAGAAAGGCGCCATTCCGTTTCCCCGCAGCTCGAGGGACAAAGAGCCACGAGAGAGGCACCACCGGCAACAAACAGGCGAGTCAACTGCCGGACCTCGGTCCCCGCCAGGACAGAGAGAGGCAGTCTACTCGGCGTTTGCGCCGGTGAAGCGGACCCCGTCGTCGATAAGTACCAAGACGATGCCGGAGAGGAGGTGGGCAGAGGACGCGACGCCGCCGCCGACGCGCGCCGGACCCCCGCCTCCAGCCAACAGGGACGTGGGTGCGCGCGGAACCAAGTTGAACGCAGAGACCGTCGTGCCAGGGAATAGGACCTCGGTGTACTGCACGGACGCCCCCGCGACGGTCGGCCGGAAGGGCGCCATTCGCCGCACGTCGAAGACCAGCAACCCACCCCTTCCCTCACCACAGCTCAACCACCTCTTCGGGCGGAGCGAGGACGCCCTTGTCGCAACATCACCCCGCCCAACAGGGCTCCAGCGATCCCACTCAGCAGCCACGCACAGCACGCTCCGGTCCCCGCGCGCCCCGCACCCTCCCTCCCCACTGCGCCCCAAACCCGTCGAGCCGCGCAACGTCCCGCACGACGTCCACGAGCGCGAGCGTAGGCAGTCTGTGAGCTCCGTCTGGTCGGACGACGAGAAGGAGCGGGTCGTCATCGATTACGGTGGGATCGTTACGAAGAACTACCCGATGGAGATGGAGCCCCAGCAAGGGCAGGCGAGCATGGACCTGCGGTACCCGCCAGTACCGCAGGTCGTGCGCCTCTCTGGGCCGGACCCGCAGCGCGCGTCGTCGTTCAAGGCCGAGGTCGGGCACGTCGCTGAGCCAGGCCCGAGTCGCGCGCGCCGCGCGGAGCCTGAGCCTCCTGTGCCTGGGGGAAGCACGCAGCGTGAGCGTGCTGGGCGGACGCGGGACGGGCGGGGGCCGACTTACAGGACGGAGGAGTTCTCGACTTTGACGCTGTTGTGGAACGACGTCGCGACGAAGAACGGGGTGCCGGTGCCCGTGGGCAAGATGCCGGAGCTTCTTCCGAACGAGTGGCCTGTTCCGGAAACGGCGCCCCTGCGCGTGCAGAAGGAGTTCGAAGGGGAGGCGAGCAGGCTTCGGAGGATTATAGAGAGCCGGAGGTGACGCGCGCGGGAGGCCGTCTGGGATGAGGCCTGCAGGATGAGTACGTCCTGCGCTCTCTGATATACGCCCTTCGAGACATAGATACGTTGTTCGCCTTTGTATGTTCGACGTGAGCCACCCCGTCCGTTGGCGCCGTCTGCTTCGTGGACGCGTGCTTGTCGCTACTTTGTTTTTCGCGCGCGGTCCGCCGCTGCTGTACATCATGTTTTCCGGCTATCCTGTATCATATATATTATGTCCGTTGTATTCATGCATTTCCGACACATACCTTGTCTCGTATGTGGTGAACGTTGTGTGCTGCGGCTGCAGTGTCGAAGTTCGGTGGCAAGCCTAGGCTTCCCAGTTGGCCCCACCCAGGAAGGCACGATATACGCAAGTACTAGTAATGTTAGAATTGGTATATCGTACATGACTTGACCATGATACAGGTATATCACGCTCAGATGCGAAGCAAGAGTTTATTGAGTAGGAGACGAGGGAACTAGGAGTCCAATGGAGAGATATACAACGGCCCAAAATACAACCAAGAAATTAGACTACGACACGCCGGTCGCAAAACACAAGACGCACAAGACAAGAACAGAACGCCTGGGTATCGTCCTATATAAACTGCCAACGCTAGCCAAAGCGGTATGCCACCGAGCGTGTTCAGATGCGGCCAGAAATCATTCTTGAGCCTTTCCCTGTGGACCGTCCTTCGAGATAGGTTCGAGGCCAATCTGATGGCTGGCGCTGTGGACATTGTCAAGTCAGTACGCTCGGTATATACGACCGCGCGGTGAAAACGTGTGTGCTCACCTATCGTCCATATTAAAGTGCGTCAACTTGAGAAAGAGGGCTCAAGTGTCAGGCAATGCACATCGCACGAACAGGGTCCAAGGACGTACCAGCCTATACAGCGCAAGATATTCAGCCTCTCCAAGGAACTTCTCCGCGGGGTGGAAGCCGCACGAGCAAAACCGGCGACCGTCCTCGATCGCTTTCACCATAACCGACATCGTCGCGTCCTTCGGCAGCGAGAGCATCTCGACGAACCGATCGACGCGCTTCTGGCTGTAGAAGTTCGGGGGGTAATAGTGGAGGGGCTCGGCCGACCACAGGAACTGACCGTGGCACTCCTGCCAGTGCTGGATCATGCCGAGGTAGGGCTGCTTTCCGCGGCAGTTCGGATGGTTGGCCAGGATTTTACTGGTGCAGGAGAACATGGCGGTGGTCGCTTCCAGAAGGGCGAGCTCGGCTTCTTCGTCGAAGTCCTCCTCGGACTCGCTGCTAGACGCCATCTGTTTCCCCTTCCCCTTCCCCTTGCTGCCCTTCGCCTGAGATGGCCTCTGTAAGCCTCTGATCATGGCCTTCTCTGCCTCGATGACCTTGCGTGCGAGAGCTGCAAGGTCGCGTTTGGCCTTGGCGAGGTATTCGTCCGCATTGGCCAGGACGAGCTTCTCGATGGCCGCGCATTCGTCGGCGGTGACGTCCGCGTCCGGCTCCGCCCCAGTGAGTACATCGGTACACAGGACCAGCATGTCTTCCCACCCAGGCAACGTGAGTTTCCGTTTGTCCTGGTCGCGATCCTTGGCCAGGAACGCGCGATAGTGCTGCGCGAGCTGGTCCCGTCGGTTCTGCCACTTCACCTTGAAGGCCTTCTCCGCACGCTCTTCGCGCAACATGTCCAGGATTTCTACGAGCCTGGGGCGGATCGTGTTCCAGACTGATTGGCATAATTAGTGGAGGGCAGAGATCAGGGCACACGGTACGTACTCCTTGGGGTGAGCTTGCGGGGTTGATGCAGCATTGAATAGAAGCCGTAGTCCACGGCTGGCCCGGGGTACTCCGAAGGCGCATACCCGAGCTCGCGTAACTTCCCCTCGATGCTGTTCCGGACGGTGACAAACATAAGTAATGCTTTGTTGCCCAATGACAGGACGGATAGACTCACGCGGCAACGCGCTCCTGCTGAACTCCCTCCTTTTCCTTGGACTGCTCTTCTGAAAGCACCTTCTCCCATTCCCCGATGGCAAGATTGAACTACGAACGGCGCATGAGGTATGCGTCACGAGCAATCTAACACGACATCACTTACGTTGAACCTTCGGATCGTGTCGGCCTTACGTTCATCAATAAACTGCTGGAGGGCCTTCTGGTCTCCGCCCTTAATGAGTTCCTTGTATTGCTTTGCTACGGCTACAAACTCGGGCTCGTAGTAGGCGTTGCGCGACTCTTGATCCACGACCGTGATCGGGTCGATCTTATACTCTGAGATGACGACTGTGAGCATGCGTTCGAAGGACAGATCGCCATGCGAGCTCACGGTATGCGACGATGTGTGCTTTAGGCAGCAGGTTGAACACCTCGGGTTTCTTCGCGAGACCCGCCTCGCGCGCAAGCTTTCCGCCATTCCTCGCGCTACCCATCATCGGGGTCAATTGAGGTCAGTTCGATGGACACGTTGCCACGGCATACGTACTTGGTTTTCCAGCAGGGACCGCAAAAACGCCCGGGAATGGCGTAGTCTACATTGACGGATTGGTTCACTCCGCACGCCTAGCATTCCAATGCGACTCGGATGAGCTCTAGGTTCCCAGAGTAAGAAGTGAGAATCTTACACCGCAGACGCGCTCGAATATCAGATGAGCGTATTGCGCCTCGTTCATGTGCTCCGGACAATCCGGCATGCGCGGTATGACGTTCTTGCGTGCGGCGATCCAGATACTTCGAGCGCTCCGCGATAGGAGCATGCGCCGCAGCTCCTTCGACGTCCGCGCGAGTTGCAGGATGTCAACCGGCTTCAAATGCGAGGTGACCTGGGCGTCGCGACCATGAGCGATTCCGGACGAGCCACAGGTGGAAGCCTCGCGAGCACACTGACCTCGAAAAACACGTCGAGCGGCATGTTGAAAATCTCCATCAGCTTGCCTATGTCCTTGCCTAAGGCCTTCTTGCCCTTCGGCTCGCTGTCCTGCTGCTGCCTACGACTGTAGCGACTGTATGTTTGCAGGGCACGCGATTCGCTGCTGACTTTTGGCTTGAAGTTGTTCATGGCTGAAGTTGAGCTGCTGTAACGTTGGCTGCGTGAGGCTGCGGCAGCGCTGTTGAGGGCGATATTCGAACTTGAGGTTGAAAGTTGCTGCACACTATGACGACGCACACTGAAGGCTTTCCGGGACTTGGGAAGTATTTGCGGGGTATAGGGCTTCCGCCAAGCAGAAGGTCGACCTATTTAAGCGAAAAACAACAGATCAGTTTCGAGTCGGGTTTGCGGCCACGTCGCGGCGTATCGCGGCAGTCGTGGTTACGGCGGTGGCGAAACGCCTGCAGTGGCGGTGCCCCGCCGCCGGAAGTAATCATCCTCGGTGCCTCTCGGTGCCTCGCGCGGTGTGAGTCGGCGTGAGTTAGACCATCTCCATTTGACTTCGTAGTTGATGCAATAGAATTTAAAAGACAGCTGACAGCTGGATACCAGTCACGCCGAGTGAATAGAACATGCAGGAGATCCTGATAGCGGACGATCAGAGTGAGACAACAACACAGGCCTAGGCTTGCCAGTGGACCTGAAAGCTAGTGTTCGTGCCACGAGGAGTCCGAGTCATTCCGAGTCCGTCAACAGATGAGGATTCTCTGGAGATGCCAAATACATTGCCAGGCACGCTATCTCCATTCACGCAGAAGGGCTTGCATAGGTCGTTGGGGAGCGGTTCCTGAGTAGGAACATGGGGATAGTGTCACCACCAGCTCGAGGCCTCGTCGGTGAAGGGCACGAAGGTGATGTGATGGACAGTCTTATCGGAGCCTTGGCACGGCGGATTCTCTACGTGCCGCATCTATTATGCAACTCGAGGTCAGTAGACGGAAGAAACCAGTCTCGTATTGTATGGAACGCACCAGTCTGTACACTCGGTAGCAGTGCTTCGCGGTGGGTTTGGGGGTGAGTGCACTGAATCTCTGATTTTGCAGCCCGACACTGCACGTGCAAACAGGCTCGCCGGAGGCAGCGAGGTTTTCCACCTCGGAAAGGCGCGCCGTGTCTGGGAGTCCCAGTGCCTCCAGCAGGCGCTTCATGGAAGCCGCAGAGTCGCATACGGCAAAAGGCTTGACCGCAAACGACGCGTGCGCATGTTCCTGCTGCCAGTGCTCGAGGAGTCCTGCCCATGAGAATCCATGAGGATTCCATTCAAGAACACATCTGAACAATGCCGTGGGTCGGTTGAGCAGCGCGTCCGCGTCCACCGCGACGGCATTGTCAGCCGCAGACGGTATCTTCTTGCCTTTCCCTTTGGCGGAGCGCTTCGTGGTTGTGCTTGGGGGCTGACTGGCAACGGATTCCTCCTCGCGCAGAAGACAGGCAAGCTCGTCGCGAGCCCTGGTCCCGAACTCCTCGCCCTGTGAGAAGATATCCTCCTGAATCGCGGCGAACTTGTCCGGCACGATGTCAGCCTGAGGCTCCTGGGCTGTGAGCAAGGACTGCATGCAATCCAGTTGGACGGCATCCCCCCAGCCAGGGAGGGTCCGCTTTCGTAGGTCGATGTTCCGGTCCTTCTGCAAGAAGGCGTCATAAAGCACCTTAAGCTGCGAAAGGCGATTCCGCCACTTTTTCTTGAACGCGTCCTGTTCGCGAGCCCTACGCCGTTCTTCTAGCATCTCTACCAGCTTTGGGCGAATAGTGTTCCAGACTGACACACGGTAAGCCATGCATTGCAATGTCCCAAAGAAGCGCTAAACGTACTTCGAGGCGTGAGCTTACGGGGCTGGTCAAGCAAACGTTGGAATGCATGATCATAAGCTGGGATTTCTGAGGATTGGTATCCGAGCTCCACCAGCTTCGCGATGATGCTAGAAAGGAAGAGATGAGCAAGGCCGAAAGTGCGCCACGCTACGTTCAACTCACTCGGCGTGGCGCTCGCTTCTGGCGGCTTCGTCTCCTGTGGCCTTCGCACTTCGTGCCTCGGTCTCCCATATAAGGACAGCCATGTGGAACTTGAAATTTAAAATAAGCTAGGTAGCCAACGACAACGGACACTGAGCAGCTATGAGCGGACACGCACGTTGAATCTTTGCAGAGCGCTAGTCTTCTGTTCTTCGATGAAGCGCTGCAATGCCTGTTCATCCTTGCTCGCGCGGAGCTGGTCAAAACGTCCGGCTATGATAACAAGTTCGGGCTTGTAGAACACGGAAGAGGGTTGTTGGCTCAACTCGGCTGAGGGCTGCCAATCCCGGACTATGATGAAGTCAGTACCGAACATCAAACCAGTCAAACCAGATAAACCCTGTGGACATACTTATCGCCCGGGGACCATGCGCGCTGGGCAGTAAGTTGACCAGTTCTAAGAAACGGCCTTTAGGGATATCGAGTTCCTTAGCCAGAGTCGTTCCCTTCTTGATGCTAGATGTTGACGTCAATAAACCGTTTGGTATACGAATTCAGAGAATACTCCTACTTGTTCTTCGAACAGATCGCGCAGAATCGGACGGCGATAGCATAGTCGGCGAACTGAGCCCGGCCGGATCCACATGCCTGTGCGAGGGATGAAGGGTGTTAATATAGAGCCCTCGCGAAACGGTGCTTATATCTTCTCGAGGCATTGTGCTCGAGAATAGGCCGTCCTTAATGACGTGCAGGCCCGTCGTACCAGGATTGTTGAGATGGGGATGAAGGCTGCAAAGTCGAAGGCATGCGACCCCAATGCCACCCGGTGAAGAGACTGTACCCGAAAATACACTTACGCTGCAGACCTGCTCGAAAAGGAGGTGCGCCAACTTCGGTTCGCTGATCGCCATCTCGATGTCTGGGAATGGTGGTTCTATGTTCTTACGTGCCGCAATCCATATATGTCGGGAGTGTCGAGAGAGAAGCATGCTGCGCAGCTCGTTTGAGACGCGAGACAGTTGAAGTACATCGAGAGGATGCAGATGGGAGGCTATCTGAGAGCAACGCAATGTGAGCCACCCGACGTGAGCCATCCGACCTGGATTCTGAACGCATCAGGTTGAGCTTCCTAAGCGATGCATACCTCGAAGAACACGTCTAAGGGCAGTTTCATGACTCCCATGAGTTTGCTGACATTTCGCCCTGTCGGCTGCTTGCCCTTGGTGTTCTCGACGGGCTTCCTTCCTCTGTAGTAGGTGACTATCGGCTTGATTTTTTCCATAGTACAGGTGATCACAGAGGTCAAGTGCGAGGATGTTACTCAGCAACAGAATACTGCCACGAGTCAAGCTGGCGGTGAATGTCTGAAAATCGAGGACCACCCTTGTGGTTTGGGGAAGAAGAGTGCATGAGCGCCAGATGCCGGCGTCGCGGTTCGCCATGAGAGGCGCTACTGTGCCTCTTTTGGTTCTTCCTCCTCCATCATCATCGCTGAGAAATGCTGGCTGAGGGGTACAAGTTGCTGCAACGCATATGTACGTGGGCGAGTAGATCGACTTTCGTCAAACAGCTACGTACGTACGGTATCATATCGAACAGGGTAAAAGATATACATGCAGTAAAGCCATATTTCCATCGCCGTACCAAAGGAAAAGAAACCGACTCGGGGACCCTTCAATTCTCCCCTGCCACACGCGAGGCCTTGCCAGCGCGGAACGCTTTAAACGTGATCGTCGGAGTGGTCGAGTGCGTAGTGCTGAAGGCCGATCATGGTGAAACAATATTCGTTAGCGCAAGCCTCCCAGACTGACAGAGCAACCTTGCGACTCACTAGACATCAGGATCGAGGACATGTTCGACCTACAAACGCATAGAGAACAGTTGTGAGCGACCATCCGCACATTCCAACATCGCTGAAGAATCCCACTCACAATCTTGCTAAGCAACAGGTACGGTCGCTTACACCCAACCCCGCGCGTGCAATCGACGCCGCATGAGCACATCGCGCGCCCCGATCGCACGCGCTCCTCGACGGCGGACACCGGCGTACCTTCATGTAGTCCTAGCGCAGATAGAAGACGCGCGAGGCTCTCTCGCTGCCCCTCGTCCCAAGCCACGTCCACATAGGACGGTTCCCAGGGGTCACACGGGTGGTCATGCAGCCAGTGCTCCACCAACCCTGCGTAGGAGTACACACGACAGCAAGTGCCCACCTTGCGGTAACCGCGGATGGCATTGCATACAAAGAACGCTGCCGGGGTATCCAGCAGTGCACACGCTTCGTCGTCGCTCGTGCGGGTCCGCTCCTTTCCTTTCGTCGACCGGCCGGCGGTGGAGGGCAGAACGCCCGCTTCCGCCAGGAGTTGGACCATCTCGCGCCTCATCTTCCGCTGGAACTCCTCGACCTCCCTGCGCAGGTCTGTTTCGACGGCGGCGAATTCCTCTTTGGACACCTCCCTTTCTTCATCGGTGATCACGGAGATCAGGGCTTTCATGGACGGAAACTCGCGGGTCTGTACCCAGCTGGGTAGACTGGGCATCCCGATGAATGCGTCATGATATTCCTTGAGTTTCTTATGCCTTGGTGTTCCTAATTCCTTGATGAGGCCTAGCAGCTCCGGACGCAGGGTTTCCCAACCTGTAGATGAAAGCTGAATGAGTCGCCTTCCGGTCATAGACAACGACAAACGCACTCCGCTCGGACAACTCGCGCGGCTGATACACAAGACTCTTCCATTCGGCGTTGTGTATGGGCATGTCGCGTTTGTCCACTCCAAGCTCTCCCAGCTTGGCCTCTATACTACAGAAGGAGTCAATATCATGCCCGCCCGACCGTTACAGATAGTCATGGATAGGACCACTCACGTAGCTGCTCTCGCGCTCCGAAGTGCCTTATTTCTGCTCGCTCGCTCGTCCTCCCATCTCATTACGGCCTCTCTGAACTAAAACAAATGTGTCAATTGCGGGGACACGGCACGAACGCTGAATACAATCACTCACCTTCATCCTGATAAACACGTTTTGCCGTCGGTCGTTGCCATACGCCCAAGCCCCAGCTAGGTCGTGAGGTTTCCCCAGTGCCCAAGCTTGCTTCTTGATCGCAGCGAAGTCCGGTTCGTAGAAGCGGTCGTCAAGTTTGGGGGCAACGGAAGTCCAAGGAACATCGTCCGGTGCTGCAGGGGCGCATGAGCATTTCAACAGCATGAAGACAGGTAACTACGATATACACTTACTAGAGCGGGGGTACAATGGGCAAAAGAGGGCAATCAGTCTGACGCGATGCTCGGGGATTTTATACCGCTTCATCAACTCAGTGCCTGTTCCTACACTGCAGAAACGCTCAGCTCTGGAACGAAGGTGGGCATTCGAAGATTTGTACTTACTTCGCTTCCAGACATTGCTTGCAGAGCCGCATCGGAATCTCGTAGAGCGCATGCCGAGCCCGAGGAGCATCGCATGCCTTATCGATAGCAGGCATAGCTCGTTAGAACGGATATTACGCGGAGGACGAACAACACCGACCTCGCACGAGTGCTCGAACAGGACGTGCGCATACGCCATTTCGCTGATGAAGTCGGGGCAATCGGGCAGGGCAGGCACGATGTTCTTGCGTGCAGCGACCCAGGCGTGTTTGGAAAGCTTCTTCGAGCTCAAGATAGCTCTCATACTCTTCGAGGATCGGGACAAGTTCAGCATGTCCAATGGCGACAAGTGCGAAGTCACCTGATTGGTACTGTCAGTCTATCACCAGAGTCACCGAGGGGAGTCAGGGCGTACCATGAAGAATATTTGGTCAGGCATGTTGAGAAGCCGCGCCAGCTTTCCTACATTGCGCACGCCCCGAGTTTTGCCCTTAGTAGCGACGGTCGTGTCAGTCCCCGTGGGCTTTACAGCCGGGCCCTTTGCGTCGGGAGCAACTTTCGGCCTGTTAACGGGCATGAGAGGAGTAGGTACAAGGGTAAGAGTGTGAGGAATGTACGCAAGACGTCTGGAGAGCTTATAAGTAGGAAGCGGCGACTTCGTACTTTTCATTCGGGGCTTTGCTTCTTAGTCGAGTGGCGGAAGTGGTAGCGTGCTTTGCACATTCAAAGAACCTGCTACGCACGCGTCTTTCCGAGCAAACATCCATTAGAAGGGTATGTTACACCTATTGATACATTCCAAGGTGACTTCGTCTACAAACGTCGTCCTCAAGCGGAGGGCTCCTTGCCGGACCGGCGGGTCTTCTCGTCACCTGCGACAAAGGTGTATGCCGATTGTGCAGCGTTCGATGCGACCGAGGCGGCTCCCGACGCGACCGAAGTAGCCGTGTCGTATGCAGTCTGAGCGACTCCGCCGAGGCCAGCACCTACCCCGGATGCGCTGGGACCAGTGCGTGCATTAGCCCAGCCGTCATCTATGTAGTAGCTCAGTTAGCATGGCCAGAGCATAGAGAGCCGAGTATAAACGTGCCCACCCTTGTTGGAGGTCTCGCTGAGCGGGTCGATATGCGTCGACTCGATGATGCCGGGGCGGCCCTCGACGACGCCTGCGGTCTTGCTGAAGTTTCGCTGGGCGTCCTTGTGGCCGCTGAAGTTCTCACCCGCACCGGCGCCGACGGTCTCACTGGTCGGATCGGTTACCTGCGAAGCGCGAGTTGTCAGCCTCTGAAGGCGATGCGGAAAATGTATGGGCATACAAAGTTGGCGGTCATAGGGTCAACGGCAGCGACTGCAGTGGGGTTGGCAACGCCGGGATGAACACCGACGCCCTTGTTCCCGTTGAGAGTGGGGTCGAGGTCGTTGAGAGACATGATGGGTAAGTCGTGAAGTCGTACAGATTGGGGATGTGTGGGTAGGCAGATAAGTAGAAGAGGGATGCGTTTGATTTGGGCTAGACAGCGAGACGTTTGCGGTATATATGCTCAGCGAGCCCAAGGCGCTAAATGACGTCTGGTGAGGAGCTCACTCGGAGCACCTGCGTAACCACGCCAATCCTTCAGTGCGATGTGGGAAGAATCGCAGCGATGGTGCGACTGACGTCACTTACCTCAGTCGTGTGAGCACCTCGAAGGAGGCTGATAGCCACTCGTGCCGTGGTTCGGACACACGCGAGAGAACCAGCAGGGATGATCAGGAGCACCGACTGAGCAATAGCACCGACCTGAGGATTATACAGTCTGCCAATCCGGCATCTTTGAGAGTGAACAAGGAGGTAGATGAGGTGATTCGACCGCGGCGTCGTGCCCTTCATTCGGGGTGAATCTCAAGCACATTTGAGGTAGAGTTGCTGCAGATGCTGTTCAAATGATACTTGATCAATGAGCCCGTAGATAATACGAGGAGAAGTGCGTGAATGAAGAAGGCGTTGTTCAGCTTCCGTCCTGACCCAGAGAAACTGACTCTGAAGCAGGCAACCAAGTTAACTTTGTGTATGCGCCGTATGCGGAATAGAAATATGATGATACTGTAGAATGACGGCCTCCGATGACACTAAGGGGTTGATGAACTTCGTTAGTGCAACCTGCTGGAGACAGGATAACACATGCTTACATATTATCTACCAGTTCCGCTGGTCGGGGAAGAACTTTTCCCTTGCCTCTTTGCTGAGTATATGCACGGCAAAGTGGCCGGCGTCGATCATGGCCCAGCCACCGATGAAGCGACGCTTGTTGTTCAGCGGCAGCAGTGTTGGGGGATCGGCAGTGAGGAGCTATGGCTACAGTTAAAGATGATACTTTACGGGTATCGAGGGATACGCCTACCGTTTTCCTGACTGTCCGGATGACAGACTCGATGGCGCCGCGGTCCTCAGTCCCCTCTTTGACCTACACAAGATACATAAAATTACTGAACTGATACAATTACTCCGCGGAGCCATCCATTGACATACCTGAGCAATAACAAGCCACTCCCAGATGCCGCCCGTGTCTCCTGCGACGCCTTCGCCGACATAAGACCTACCTCGCTGTCTGCGTCCCTTCGGCATAGTCGCGGGTAATGGGGGCCCTGTCGCGGTTGGAATAGGCTCCCTCACGAGCAAAGTCCCAGGTTCAAGATGCGGGGATGCCTTCAACTCTGCATGAAGCCGCGCTATTGGGTGGTCGGAAGGGATTGCAGCAGGGAGAGGTGCGAGAGGCTTCGTCGGTGCTTGTGGCAAGGCAGATCGACGTGCATATGGTGATATCTCCTCTTCAGAGTCGACGAACCATGGCGTGGGAGAGGCTATTGAGGACGTGCTGGGTGACGGAGAAGCAGATGCAGTCGTAGCGGTGGTGGAGAGAGCTCGTCGCGCAAGGTTGAGCTGCAGACGCGAGCGACAGCGGAGCGCACACGAGCCCAGTGCTTGAGCTTCCCTAGCAAGACGTGAAGAAAGCATGGCCCGACGAAGACCTCGGACTGGTGGTGGAGGAGGGAGAAGAGACGGCGCTCACACAGGGCGCGATGAGCGCTCTGGACGCGTAGACGCCGGAAAACGGCGGGGGCGGGAGGGCGGCCCGCCGCGCTGCTTTGGGTAAGAGAGCGCCCATAAATTATGACAGAATGGGCGCCAAGGGGGAATCACAGGCTCCCCCAACAGAAGGCCTTGGCTCTGCACTGAGTTGGACGTCCGCCATCTCCTTCTTACGTCCCCACCACCATCTTCCGCTCTTTCCACCATGGCCGGCCTCCGTATGAGTGTCGTGGTCAGCGCGACGGCTTTCCTGCTCGGTGCGTACCCCCAGACCGTCATGCGCGTGTTCGCGCGTGTCCAGGGTGCCGTATGCTGACGTTGCTTTCCTTCAAATTGCATCGCCACCACCCCCGCAAACCTGTCGCGAAAATGCTCATTCTGCAGGCCTGCTCTTCACCCACTGGATCGCGGACTCGCTCACGCTATGGAAGTCGCCCGAGGGGCAGACGGACCCTCGCCTCTGGACCTCCGCGACGTACTACGCCATCCTCATGCATGGCCCTCCGCAGCTCGCGTACGTGTACGCTGGCGTGACGCTCGTAGGGGCGACCACCATCCTCTGGAGCCTGCGCGACGGGCGCGCGGGCAACCTGATGTTCGACGGGGGCAGCATATGTGCGTATCGCGCCCCAACGCATCCCGCTCATCGCGCGCTAAAGTATTTTACCCCACAGTCCTGTACCTGACTGCGCTCGCGATGTACTTGTATTCCGTCCTCCCCAGTACGTCATCATGTGTGTTCAACCTGGCACACTTACTAAATGTACACCCGCCACAGACCTCTTCGCGAACTTCTCGACACTTCCCCTTCCATTTTCATCCGCAATCACCGCCGCGAAACTCCCCCCTTTCCCACCTACACTCCGCGAGCCAACGCTCGAGCTCGCGTCTTCCCATCTTGTCTGCAGCGTAGTCCTCACTGGGGTGCTCGCGCTCCAGGCGGGCCGTTGGTGGGCGGAGCAGGCAGATGTGGACGAGGATGACGGGCCGGACGGCGAGGACGGGGGCATGCGCGGCGAGCGCGACAACGACGAGGCCGCGCCGGAGACGGAGAAGCCCGCCGAGGAGCCACAGGGCGACTTGCGCAAGCGGGAGAAGGTGGCGGCGTGAATACGACCGTGACAGAGCCGTCCCTCCAGCACTGGCCTAGCCGCACAGGAGGATCCTTGGGCCAATCTCTCCGGGGAGTAAAAGTACTTACGACGATACGACCGCTGATGAAGAAGCCCCCCACGTCTCGCGGAGTAGATGGGCACGACGACGGGCACGGGAGGCGTGCGTCTTGTGTCTGCGGATCTTGATCATATAGCATATCGGACTGCTTGCTATCTCTTGGACGTCGCTATATTGTACAGAGTCTTCCCTCGCTGTCGAATTACACGCTCCATTTATCGTCTGTTGCGGTTGCTGCTACACCACCCGGGGTTCGTGACTTAGCTGTAGTCGTGAGTTGCCGCAGTACATAGTACTTGCCGCAGCGCGAAACCTAAAATCGTGATTCAGCGCGGCACAGGCTGAGAGTGTTTCTCCTACATGCACGCATCGTTGATGCATATCATCCGCGCCGCACCGTAAGCATCCCGAATACGTGGATAGATTAAGTAGTCCGTATGACCCGGGATTGCTCACCTGCGCAATGCACGGCTTAAGCGTCCAAGTTGCGTATCAGCGGTCAGAATCTCCTCGGACCTCCATTCCCTACAACTGACATGTCCGGTCTGTCTCCAGGAGCAGAAATCAAAGTACTACACCGTGGCAAACGTCCATACGCACATGTGCCCCTCGAGGGCATGTTACTTTTTGGGCACATAACGAGCGCCTGTTCACTATCACACAGCCGGGCAGTGCCAGCACGACAGCATCCGTTCCACCTCGCTCGGTGCTACTGAAGGCCCGGAAATGAAAGAATGCCGTGCAGCGTGCCCACGGTTTCCATGCCAGCCTGAATGTAGTGAACGCAGTAGGACGTGTGCAAAATATTCATCGCGGTTCTCCTTGGGGCCGGTCACCACGGAGTCTGTACTCAAGAAATCCGAGTCGGGCTTCGAGCCTCGTAAACGCGAACAAATCAACATATGAACATATCAGACGTGAAAGAATTGGATCCCTCGTATAATCGAATACAACACGGTAGCTCGGCAGGAATCGGGAATAGGAGCCGTCTAAGGATGTCCATACGGTACGCGTGTATACATACGATTACGAGTCTCCAGACACACGAACGTCCTCAAGAGAACGATACATCATAGTACTGGTACATACGGTATGCGATGCGAGACAGAAACGGGCCCGAGGGGGCGCGCACTCCAGCGCACGCTGTCGGGTATACATACATACATACATAGGCATATCGGAGGAAGTATAAGTTCGGGAGCCGGAGGGAGGGGGACGGAACATGACGAGAAGGGCGGGACAGATCGAGTAGATAGATAGAGACGTGGTGGTGGAGTGTGAGGATTTACGGCTTCTTGGCCTGTATCATGATATGTAAGTCCAAGGGGTAGATTTTTAGTGCTGCCATGGACGTACCTTGGTCGAGCGCGTAGTGGTCTTCGTTGCGCGAGTGGCAGTCTTCTTGCTCGCGGGTGCCTTGCCAGTGACGGACTGCATATATCACACTTAGCACACGGTCTCAATTCGTTCCATCCAAACGAACCTTCTTGACAGAGTCCCTCTTGCTGGCTGTCGAAGTCTTCTTCGCAGGAGCCGCGACTTTCTTAGCAGGAGCCTTCTTAACAGGCGCAGCCTTCTTCGCGGGAGCAGCCTTAGCCTTGGGCGCTGCTGCGGCCTTGGGCTTGGGGGCAGCCTTTGCCGGCACAGCCCTCTTAGACGCAACAGCCTTGGGCTTTGCAGCGGCAGCCTTCGCGGCAACAGGCTTCTTCGCGGTCGCAGCCTTCTTCGGAGCAGCCGCCTTAGCAGTAGTAGTGCTCTTGGCCGGAGCCTTAGCCTTCGGAGCGGCTTTGGCGGGCTTTGTGTCGGGCTTGTTCTGACATGTCAGTTACTACCGGCACCGCACAGCCTCATAACCTCGTGTTTTGTCTTACCTCTTTGGTAGCAGAGGGTTCAGCGGGTCGCTGGTTCTTAGGCGGGAGCTTCACGCGCCCGGAGGGACCTAAGCGAGAGGTCATTACAAAAGGAAGGCATTTCCTTTGACCGCGGGAAACCTACCCTTCGGCAAAACGAAGTGGCCTTTCTCAGCCCCAGTCGTAATGGCCCTGCTTAGCTGGGTGGTCTGCGCTGCACCGAATTCAAGCTTGTACGTGTCCTCGACGAACCTACGCAGAGCATACAGTAAGCACAGCGCAGGGGGAAAGCGGGAGGGAGACCGACTTCTTGATCTGGGGTCGTGAGACGCCTTGGCGGGCATCCTCGGGGTGACCAGCAATGCACTCCTATAATTTAGGCAAAAACGAACTGTCAGCCGCGCTGTTCTGTACACATATAGTGGAGTCCAAGGTCTAGGGAGTGTGCCCGAAGCACTGCGCGCCGGATGCGCAAAGGCGCGGGGCATGACGGAGATAAGTGGCGCGGCGCGGCGGGCATGCCCTGCACCCTGCCCCTTTCGGTCGGCAGCGTCGACGATGCCCGCCGCGCGGCGGCGCGCGGTCAGAATGCAGCGGGAATGGTCGCTCTGTGCCCTGCAGGAGTGAGTAAACCAACCTTGATCATATCGACCCAGGGCGGGTGAGCTGCGGGGGCCCGGGGAGCCGATTTCTTGCTGGCGGCCGATTTGGCGGCAGGGGCTTTCTTCGCTGCAGACATTGCGCGGAGCTGTGTCGAAAACTAATTAAGTGTGTTTGGGAGACGTGTGGGTAGCGCTCTGAGGCGGGGGATGCGGACGGTGCGGGGCGTGTGGAAGGGGGGCGCGGGATGGTGGTGGTACGGGATGAAGAGAGGTCGTTCAGACTCCGAGGCGCGTCCAACCATTCAACAAACTGTAATCCTGTGTCACGTGAGACGCTATCTCAGGAACACGACAATATGCCTTTGCCAGCAGCTCCTATGGGTCCTAAAGGGTGTGAATAGTGAGAGCGCGACCCGGGCGGGCTGTTCGCGCGACGTGCAGGGCGTATATCGAGGTAGGCAGTCAGAAACGAGATGTTTGCGGGTTGCCACGGTTAGAAGCAGCGTACCGACTCAACGTATGGTTCAAATTTTCTGATTCATGTGCGCAGAGTTAGAATGCGGGGTAATGTATTCCTCACAGCTGTTTGCATGGTAATTGCGCGTGTTGTGGTGTTAAAACAAATGAAGAAGCGGACGGTCCCCGCCAGGCGACGTTCCACAGTGATGTCCATATATGGACGCGTCTCGCGCCGAATCTCGCGGCGGATCTGATGATCGAGGCACATGACGCGTGGTGACCCAGCTGGGACCTCCGCTCTTCTCCGCCGACCTCACCCAGCGAGACTCCCGCCCTCCAGCCTGTTGCGAACATCGACATGAGCAACCCGCAGGCTCTCCTCGCTTCTGCTCGCTCAGCGTACCGCTCAGCGTTGCGGGCTTCAGCATCCACATTTCAGGGTGACGCCGTCGTGCGGAATGGTGAGCGTGTTCTCTGCGTGCTTGCCATGTCAGTCGTGTTTACCACGTTGCTTCAGCATTCCGCTCAAAGATTCGTGGCGAGGTCCTGCCGTACAACCCTCAAATAGACGCAAAACAGTTTGAGGAGAAGGTCACGCTGGTCAGGGAGATCGCTGACGTCCTCCGGAAGAATGTCGTGCAGGCCCGGAAGATAGAGGAGGCGCAGACCGCAGAAGAGAAGGAGCTGTGGGGTGCGTTGCCATGTTTCTTTAGCGAAGGTTTGTCCAAGGCTAACTTCTTAACAGAGTTGAACATCCGTAAGGATACCGAGCTTGGGTCCAACGACTCGATCAAGACGGCCAAGACTCAGTCCAGTAGAAGTGCGCGGAGGCAGGATGGTCCGGTCAAGTAAGTCGGCAAGTGCCCGCAGCCTTCATTTCAGTTGACAGATCTGAACAGGTGTTGTCAATCATGACCAGCCCCGACGAGGCATCACAGCGTGAATCCACACCGGCCGTGCCGCGTTACTACTCCCAGCTAAAGAAGGCCCACAAGGAACGTGTCGTGCCGGAGCTAAAGGAGGCAGACCTTGAGGAGTCTTTTGTCAGAGGTGCTCGGTACTCAACATCTGTATCTTATGTCTTGTTAATGCGAACAATAATTGGGAACAGGAAGTGGACCTGGTGGACAGTCGGTGAACAAGACGGAAAACAACGTCCAACTGTTACATAAACCGACCGGTCTTCGAGTTGCATGTCAGGAGACGCGTTCTCTACAGCAGAACAGAAAAATAGCACGGAAGATATTGTTGGGCAAGGTGAGTCTCATGTTCTAGCACTCAATGGGCTATGCTGATAAACATTCACCCAGCTTGACGCGCTGTACAATCCAGGGTTGTCGAAGCAGGAGTTGTTAAAAGCTAAGCAACACGAGCGTGACCGACGCAGGAAGAAGAAAGCGAAGAAGAGGCAGAAAGAGAGGGAATCTGAGGCTGAGGCTGGAGCTGAAGCTACTGAGATGCGAGAACAATGATGACCTGCAGTGCGAGCCTTGGCACCAGCATGTACGTATGTTCGCCTCTTGCTACAGGCTACGTATACGTATGATACGTCCTGGTTACCGGGGGCGTTGCGCGGGGACATATACCGCAATGTGCGCGTGGCCGTCTGGTGGGAAGCGTCGACGTCGACGTAGAACGTCTAATATTTGCTCAATGCAGATCAGATTTCCATAGTTCTTGAGTTCTCTGACTGCACTTGTCAGGGCTAAAGGCATGATATAGACTTTAGCATTATAGCAGGAACTCGGGTAAGATTGCTATAAGCCATGCTACTTACTGCTACTAACTACTCGGCGCCGATCAAACTCGGCATGTTCCGGGCCCATTGCTCGACGACACGGCCGCGCCATCCACCACGCCCTTTACACGACGACGAGCACATCTTTCGCAACGGATCCTTTCTCAGATAACTAGGCTCTCAATCCACCACATTAAATACCGCTAACCATGGCATCCGGCGGGTTACACTCGCTTGCGACTATCATCAAGAGGTACGTCTCCGGGACGCGTACCGCATTCAGGTATCCTAAACACCCCCGTGCTGCAGACTCGAGGCTACCACCTCGCGGCTCGAAGATCTTGCATCTCTGGCGACATCGTATCTGCCACCCACCGCTCAAGGCGCTGCTGGCACCTCTTCGAACTCGTCTGCGAACGCGGAGCCGACCCCCGTTCCCCCGCCCGCCCCTCATGCACCCGCGCCCGCAGCCCCAGCACCCATTATCCCTACGGAGACCCCGGAAAGCGTGGTCGCGTACGATGAGCAGATTATTGAAGGGAAGGTGAAGCCGTGGGTCGAGCTCACAAAGAGCTTCGCGGTCGCCTCCGTGATAGACCAGGTGCGTATCACTGTAATCGATCGCCGAGGTGTGTCACGTTGACGGGTTGCTGGTCCGCAGGCTCTCTTGGTGGAGCAGGAGTTCAAGGACCTGCGCGAGCTGCTGCTGATCGCGGCAATATGCAAGAAGCCGGAGCAGGCGGAATTCGAGAAGCTCCTGGCTCCGCTGCTGAAGGACATTGAGGGGATCTCGCGCGCGAATGAGGTCGGCCGGAAGGACAGGGACTGGGTTAGCCATTTCTCGACCGTGTCCACGGCTGCGCCGTGCGTGGGCTGGGTCACCATCGTAAGCTGTCCTCCCCCAAATGCTTTGTGCGCCGTCCTTACACGCGGCGCTGTAGTCCCCGAAACCCGCGCCTTACGTGGCCGACCACAAAGAGTCGGCGGAGTTCTACTCTAACCGCGTCATCAAAGAATGGAGGGAGAAGTGAGCATGTCGTGACTGCTAACTAAACTTTTACCTAACGCTTCTCGCAGAGACCCTAAACATGTCGAGTGGGCGAGGGGATACATTGCGATCATTGAAGCGTTGCGCAAGTATGTCATGGAATACCACACCACAGGTCTCGCATGGAACTTCAAGGTGATTCGCAACGAGCATTTAGTACGCGACATCCAGCTCATTCACCGTAGGGTGCTACTCTAGAGCAATACAAGGCCGCATCCTCGGGAACCGCTGCGCCGACAGGTGGCGCGCCTCCCCCGCCGCCTCCACCGCCTCCACCCGTCGCCCCGCCGCCGCCTGCTGCTGCTCCTGGCGCCGCGCCTGCATCTGTCGGTATCGGCGCGGTGTTTAGCGAGCTCAACCGCGGAGAGGATGTCACGAAGGGCCTGCGCAAGGTCGACAAGAGCGAGATGACACATAAGAACCCCGCACTCAGAGCGAGCAGCGTTGTACCCGCTACCGCGCCTTCCGCCGCATGTAAGTCGGAGACTCCGCTTCTCGCTAACGGCAGTGTCTGATACTCGCACAGCACTCGCAAAGAAGCCTACGAAGCCTAGTAAGCCGCAAGCCCTTATGGGTAAGAAGCCTGCCAAGTTTGTGCTCGAGGGCAACAAATGGGCAATTGTGAGTTCCGTATATTCCGTAAAGAAACTATCTGTAACGCGGGATGAAACAGGAATACCAAGAGAACCAGTCGGCACTGACCCTCGACAACGTTGAGCTCAGCCAAACGGTGAACTTGTACGGCTGCAAGAACACGACTGTCATTGTCAAGGGCAAGTGTAACGCGGTCACCATCAGTGAGTCCACATGTGTCAACGGAGATGCTCATGCTCACGATGCTATTTTAGTCAACTGCACCAAGACAAGCGTGCTAGTGGACTCGGTTATCTCGTCTATCTCGGTGACAAACTCGCCCTCCTTCGCGCTGCAAATTACCGGCAAGGCGCCGACAATCCAGCTGGACTCGACGGACTCTGGCCAAATCTACCTGTCGAAGGACTGTCTGGAAGCGGAGATCACGACCGCGAAGTGCAGCAGCATCAACATCAGCTTGCCTGTCGAGGGCGAGGAGGACGGCGTGTTCAACGAGCACCCGATCCCAGAGATGTTCAGGACGGTTATTGTCGACGGCAAACTTGTAACGTCGACGGTGGAGCATTCAGGGTAGGCGGGATGATTGCAGAGTGTCGCTTCAGCGCTGCGGTGAATTTTAGGGGACTGGATGCATCCGATATTCGATATACCTGTCAGGCTGGAACTCTACGGTACTACACAACCAAGTATAAATTTTGTGCTTCTGCCCTCAGTTCATTCGTTGTGCTTGTGCACTGTTTTATATATAGCCTCAAGAACTGAATATGCAGGCTTAACCGAGACCTGTGACGGAATTGGATGTCGAGGACTTTGAGGCGTTCGGGATGGGTACTTGGCGGTTACCGGGGAAATTGATGCAGTGAGCCGACGCGCCTACGTCCATCAGCGCTAGCTGCGCGCGAACTTCAGACAGTCACCGTTCTGAGTCTTCGGTCCGCCTTGTCTCTTCCGTCTACCTCCGCGTCGTCCATCGCCTCCTCAGCTTCCTCCTGTCTCTCTCGCTCCCGGTCTCGGCGTCGGCAGCCAAGCACCTTTACAGACTAGGACAGGATAACACATGGATAACCCGGGGTGGCACGCACGCCATCGGGCACAAAAGGCAAGTCTTGTCGGTCGCGCGCGCGGGCGCGCCCACTCTCCCGGAACCTGACCGCCACACTTTCGTCCAGGACGAGGCGCGATGGAGTGCGCCGTTCAGAGGACCCGACGGCAGGTTCCAGCCTGTGGAGGAAATTGGCCCGATGGCGGAGCCCTTCGTCGGAGGCTTCAACGTCCCACCTCCCTCGCCGAACCCGTCCATCGCACCCCCGCCGCCCCCGCCGAAGGACCCGTCGTGGCTCAAGCCCGGCGTGCGCATACCCAGTGGGGCGAATGCGAGCTGGTCCGAGATCTCGCGCACTGAATCGACTGCGTCAGGCGCGCCCAACTCGCTGAACTCCATGTTCGCGAACATGAGCGCGGTCGAACGCTCGAACAACCTCCGCGTCGCGCGCATGAACCCGTACCTGCAGTTCATGGCGGGCCCGCTGCTGCGCTACGACACCGTGGACGAGCGCGGCGTCTGGCGCGGCGCGGCGATGATTGTGAGTAAGTACCGCGTGCCGTTCTTCTCGACCGGTGCCGATCGGATGCTGAGCTGTGCGTCTCGCCCGCGACAGCTGCGGATGCTGGGTCCGTGTACGAGCCGCTTCCGACGCTGACCTACCACTGGGACCCGAGCCGTGAAGTCGGGAACCTCAAGCGTCACGTCTCCAGCCGCACCCACGGCAAGTCGTTCGACCTCGCGCCGCATCCCGCAGATCCCTTGTCCAATGTCCATCCTGCGTCTCCCACGCGCTCCCACGAAAACGGCGAATATGCGGCGCCCGATCCTGAACAGCGCAGCGTCGCGGGGCAGGAGCTGTATGTATACTACGGCAACGGCGGGTGCGTCCTTCTGGCTGGGCTGTTCCGGACTCGACCGGTGCTGATGTCCTGCAGCACGTTCACCTTCTGGCGCTTCATGATTGAGATACCCCTTGCTTCACACGAGATGAAGATCAACTATACCATCAATAATGGCCTCGAGCTGAGCTTTCATGTGCCGGGCCGTAATCAAAATATGCGGTGGGCCGCTTATTCGGTAAGTGTACTCTGCGTTTACTGTGTGCAATGTTGCTTAACCTAGCATAGTGCAACGGGTTTAGTTCAGGAGTGAACTCGGACGACTTCCGCGGGCCAGGGTTCAAGAGCGGGTACGACCCGGTCTGGATGGACCTGCTCGCGCACCACGCGGAAGCGCCGTTTCACGCACTTGTTGGCGGCGGTGATCAGCTCTACTGCGACAGCATCATCCGTGAGCCAGAACTGCAAGACTGGGTGACCCAGACGAAGCCTGAAGCCAAGCGCAACTACCCACTGACGGAGGAAATGCGCCTGGCGATCGACCGGTTCTACTTCAACCACTACTGTCAGTCGTTCCGAAGCGGCGCGTTCGCTCGCGCCAACAGTACGATGTGCGCCTTTCTCCAGTCATGCGACATACTCTGATGTACTTGCGTGCTGATGCTTACTGTGCAGACCGATGCTGAATATGTTGGGTGCGCACGACCCTTGACTGGCTTTTCGAATTGCACTGACATTCCCGCTGTCACAGATGATCACGGTAAGCCCAGTTATGTGGTAAGAGAACGACGCAGACCTCACGCCTCTTACGTGTAGACCTGGTAAGCGCGACTCGCCGCTATGTACTGCAGGAAGCGTACGGACTGACATGTCCGACCCTGAAAAGATCGACGGTTTTGGCAGCTGTAGGCGATTTGATAACTTGTATCTAACTACGCTCACGAGTGCTTGTCTGCAGATCCGGACGAGTTGATGAAGTCGCAGGTGTTTGGAACGTAAGTTTAGACACAGACATCCCAGCTTTTTGTGCTGACCTATCTCGGACGCTGGGCGCGCTACAACGACATCCCTCCTTTCGTACATGCTAGGATCGGCGCGCGAGGTTACTTCTTCTTCCTGCTCTTCCAGTGTTTCATCAACGGTGAGATCTTGTCCCGTTAGCTGCTTGAAAACGTCGTGACGAACGCGCGTTAACCATGTGCCTAGTCGAGGTTGACGGCATCGACGATCTACACCATCCGTTCAAGTCGCTAATCATCGGTGGTCACGGTCCATATGTGCCGTTCCCCTCCCACTCGTTCCTCTCATGGATGGGGCCTCAAGTACACATACTGCTTCTAGACTGTCGGTAAGTGTGCTATGATACTGACGCGGCGGCGTGTGCCCGAATGACGGATTGGGACAGGGCTGAGCGCAAGCTGGATCAAGTCTGTAGTAAAGCGGAGTACGAAGCCGTATTTACTCGCATGCGCTCTGTGCCGCGCACTGTCGAGCATATGGTCGTACAGATGGGTATGGTACCATCTTGCATCTCTTCACGTCTGTATGCTGACAATCAGCATTGCAGGTATTCCGATAGCGTACCCCCGCATGGTCTTCCTGGAGAGCGCGTTGGACTCAAAGCTCAATCCCTTGGTTGCGCTGGGACGAAATGGGTCGATGGGTCTTTCGGGCTTCGTCAACAAGTTTAACGCGGATGCTGAGCTGCTCGACGACCTTGTAAGCACTTGAGTCCTACGCGTACTTGAAAGCTTGTGTGCTCATTCTTCACAGAACGATCACTGGACAGCGAAACTTCACAAGGTGCGCCTATACTTTGGCTGCAAAACAAGAGCATAGACCCACTCTTCCTTGTCGCATAACAGAAAGAGCGCAACTGGCTCATCCAGGAGCTCCAGACGTATGCGCTGGATAGGCACTCGCGCGTTAGCTTCGTATCCGGCGACGTTCATTGTGCCGCCGTGGGTATATTCAAGACCTGGGTAAAAGAGAAGAAAAAGGCCCCGGTGCTGCCTGCACTGGACCATCGCTACATGGTCAACGTCACCACTAGTGAGCCCTATTGCATTACCACTGATGCTACAATGCTTATTCCTATCGTATTATACCAGGTGCTATCGTGAACACGCCGTAAGTGATATCGCAGGCCCTTGTACATCCCTTTTTAAAGTTGGCTTCAGACCGCCGAACGGCGTCATCACTATGGTATCTGCGCTTTCTTCGAAGACTCACCGCACGTTACATCACGCCGATACGGACGAGACCATGGTGAGTCTACCAGAAGACTATAGGGTGGTTTGGATGCTGATGAATTGTGTCGGTGTAGCTCCCCATCTTCGAAAAGGACACCGATGGAAGCCAGCCCAAGAGCAAGTACATCATGGGCCGCCGAAATTGGTGCAGCGTCAAGTTCGACAACAGCTCAGGAGACCTCATATGGGACATCCGGATTGAGATCCGGAAAGGTTATGGTCAAACCACTGGGTGAGTGTTCTCTCTCGCCATCGTGCGCATAACTTCCTTGACATGCGTGCCTCAGCTACACCGTTCGTTCTCCGCCACCGCGTTGGCACAGATCTTAAGTCGCCTTCGTCTTCGCCCTCGCCGTCATCATCGACACCCCCACCCTCGTTCTTCTTTCACGTTACCGTATCATTATGCACCGACGTCGCTCGTTAGTCCTATTGCTCTCTCCCGCATTCTAATCCCGAGCCTGGGTAATTGCCGCGGCCAGCTCATCTCTAGCTCATCTTCCGCACTTAACTCTATACCCCCACTGTATCTATTATCCGCACAAGCTTTCGTGTAATATGCAGTCCTAGCTTGGTTGCTCGCCTCATGCTATGTCCGGGTGCTGCGTACTACGATATAGCGTCTTCAATAAACTCCCGCGTTTCCGCATCGTCCATCCCGATGTCCCCATCTGTCTCTACACCGCCGTCATGGCCTAGAAGGTCGGCGTCCTCGTAGTCCGTGTTGTACGCGCTGGTATCGTTATACCCTGCCAAGCCGGCCAGTTGCGCATCGATGCTAGACGCGACCGTGGGCGCAGGCGACGGTATCCGCTCGCTCCCCTCGCGCATGTCCGGGGTCGCAGCGTCAACGATGGGTGTGTCCGCGCTGGGGATGAGCATCGGCCCGCCATAGTCGAACGCGACGGGGTCGTTGCGGAGGTACATCGAGGACGAGGGCCACTCCGACGAGAGCTTGCTTTTTTTGGGCGCGGCATCGCCGTCGTGGTGCTGCGCGATTTTACGCTCGCGGCGGGCGGCGGCTTGTGCCCTGCGCTTCGCGTTGCGCAGCTCTTTCTTCTCTTGGTGAACGTGCTCGTCTTCGACTTCCGGCTGAGAAACACAGTCAACATGCAACTAGAGGATCTAGAGTGGGAGGATGAGCTAACCTTGTGCGTTTTCCGCGCCTCCTTCTCCTCGGTCTCGTCCAACGCCCACTGTTCGGACATGTACTCGCTATACCGTTCGCACATAGGTCGCCAAGTCGGCTTGATATCTGGCCTAGGCTTAATATCGACCTCGCCCGGGTTCGCGACGACAGCATCGATATCCGGAGGTGGGGGGATGTCGAAGTTTGGGCCTGGATTTATGTGCACCTGTGCGCCGTTGAACAGGGAGATGATGGGGTAGTACCCGAGGGTGCCGTCGTCGAACGGGTTCTCCTTGTGTTCGCGCAGCCCCTCCTTGTTCGCGCGTTTCTTCTGCTCGGCTTTATTTGGCGGGGTGCGCAGAGGGAGGTAGTCGTAGAGGTCCTGGAACGCGATGCCCTGGCACTCCCCGTTGACGAAAAATGCAATGTACGACTCCGGCCCCAGCGTCGGCACCGGGCGCATAGGCGTGGTCTCGGGCGCGATGCCCTTCCCGCGCGCCGTCGACGGGAGGTTCTTCACCGTCGCGGACTTCTTCGTAGAGGATGAAGGGAGGGAAGTCGCGTTCGTAGCCTTCGCGCGGTCGCTCGCGTCCATGAGCGCGACCATCTCCTTCGCCTGCGCGTACTCGAGCGACTCGAAGTACTCTTGGCCCTTGAACTCGATGGCGATGCGCTCGCGCCGGACGTGCGCGGGGTCATACGGGTCGCGCCGCTCTGGTTTCCGACGCGGCGGTAGGCAGATGTACATCCCCACGACGTCCCCTGTCCGGAATGGCCGCCCGTATGGACGTGGACGCGACAGGTGCACCTTCTCGCCGGTCTTGTCGCGCACCGCATAGCTGTACCCGTCATAGCCCGCTGGCGCGTTCAGCGCAGCCTCGCGGCGCGCCCACCCGAGGCGGACGTGACTACCCTCTGCGCGCTTTAGCCCCGGCGGCTTGTCCCCCGCGCCAATCTCGACCTTCACCTCCATGTACCACCGACCCTCGCGAACGGGCGCGTTACAGCGCGCGCTCCGGAAGCCCTTCTCGCCCTGCAACCCTAACCCATCCTGCGTGACCTTGATGAATGGACTCCGGTCTTCCCATGACACTCGAAAATTGGTTGGGTGGGACTCAATAGTGCGGAAAGGCAGGGTAGATTCGGGCGGTGTGAGTCCAGCGGGGGTATAGCGGAAGTTGAGACGGTTGAAGCAAAGCGGCTCCGTTGTATAAAACTCGGAATTGTGCCCGACTGGGACAAATCCGGGGTGTCTCGAGATGCTAAGTCGTGGTCGGGATGCTAGGTCGGCGTGTCGCGAACTGAGCACAAGGTTTTCTGGCCCTGGGGTAGCACCTGGGTCTGAGGGGGCTGGCGACGATGCTGCGGTGTGTACGAGTACAGCATGCTTGCGTTTCCGGGGGTTTTGGTGTGGGATTGGAGGAGTCGAGACGGGAGGAGTTGATGCTTCGCGGGAAACGGTGAGGACCTCCATGGGGAGCCTTGTCAAACCGCCTGTTGGCTTGACCTCTTTTAAATGCAGAGCCACACTCACAATGAGATGATATGCCGAGGAAGTGTGGCCCCACCGAAACAGGTAGAACAAGACCTAGCAGCACAAGAGAAGTCGTCCGAGTCGTCAAAATTGCACCAATTTGCACTGGAAACCTGGAGAATGTGCGGCAGAGAGATATTCTAGTGTGAGATTTCGGGTCGAGTAGACGCGCAGAGAGAGAATAATGTACAACAGGCGGGGGGGAGGAGGAGGAAGAGAAGGAGGAGCAGACAGGTGGATCGGTTGGCAGGACGAGCGAATAGACGCCGCACATTGATTCGGGCGACGGGCCGGCATCTTGCGCGCATATAGTACCTGTTTGGATCTCTCTCGTTCACTCACTCCAACTCTCATCTTGAGCCACTCGAGTCAGACACTGTCTCTTGTCTACGAAATGACGGCTTTGCGGTATATACAACATGCTGTCTATCTTGATGAGGAATAACTGACGGTCAATCAGACGAATCCAAAAGGTGCCTTGACACACCAGCGTCCTGCACTGGGGTGCTAACCATCGCTTGGGCTAGGAACTGAAAGATCTCACGAACAATCCGATCGAGGTGCGTAGAGGAATGCTTAATGAAGAGGTTGTTCTGACCTTGCCATAGGGGCTGACGGTTGAGCCGCTGGAGGAGAACCTGTTTGAGTGGAAATGCGCGATCAAGGCTGCGGTACGTTTCAATGCTGGCGGCCGGTTCATGTCATCGACCACGCTGATTCCGACCTCACTTCAGTCTGATAGCCCTTACAAGGGCGGGACGTTCCACTTCAACCTCAGTCTACCGGAGAACTTTCCCTTCAAGGCGCCCTCCGTATGTCCTAGTTCGTGTACCTTCACCAGGCATAGGCTTACCCGCACATCTGGGTGGCTAGGTAACGTTCACCACAAAGATATATCACCCTGGCATCAATGAGGAGGGCCATATCTGCGTGCCTGTACTTCGTGATCAGGTCTGTCAAGGGTGCTCACAATCACGTTATTATCTGGCTAACCTGCTTCTGTAGTGGAAACCCACCGTGACACTCTCGTCTGGTACGCGTCGGATCGCTGTATATCGCGAGCACGGCTGACGGCCATGTCAGTGTTGCATACCATTCAGGACAAGCTGAACAACCCGAGCGCAGACGACCCGTTTGAGCCTGATATTGCTGCGGTCAGTCATGTGCGATGTCAATCGATGGCCCTTGCCTCAATTTCTACCGTTGAATCGCAGCTCTTGAAGAACGACGAGGCGAAGTTCCTCGCGACGGCGCGGGAGTGGACCAAGAAGTGCGTTCTTATACTCTGTATCCCATTTTGTGTCTCCGACCATTGCTCTCCTATAGATACGCCTCACAGTAGAGCATGTATCGACGGAGAAACACGACTTTGTATCATAGCCAATGTACTTTTGAAGACGAGGACCCAATTGAAGCATGCGCAGCCCTCCTGGAATTCTCACGGTGTGTATACCACGCTACTGGAGCACGTCGGAAGAACACTCTGCGTACACCGCTCCTACGCGCCTAGTAGAGCGGTAGTAAACGGTATGTACACATGCCCGTATACCTTCGCGCGCGTCAGCTCCGGTCATATCGGGTCATCATCAATCGTGTGAGTGTTGTCAATGCATGAGAAGGTTTGGAGCTCCTCGCTGACAGATGTGCATCGCAGTTGATCTTCGGGCAATGGCAGTACGGTGGACCGCAGAGACCGCAGGGATTCTTTTCTGTGTCGTCCAATGAGAACGATACTCGGGTCAGTCTTCGGTACCACCATATGCTTGTCGATAGTAACTAGGTGAAGTCGTGTTCTCATGGGTGACGTATGACCGCGCTGCGATATGATGCTCGCCAGAGGCAACACGCGACGACTATAGAGGTATGTGGATGTCTCTGGTGTAGGATCTCAGTTCTGTATATGACATTGAGCTAACAGTGTTGGTCCTCAGATGTCAGATATGGCGCGAGACTGGCCGTGTTCCACCACTGGTAGGCTGGATTTCTGTCAGACGTCGCTATCACCGGCCTGCGCATCGAGGCGCGGTGTTTCTTAGGCGACTGGCGCGCACCATCGAGCGTTCGCGGTCGCGGTAGAAGGTAACCAAGAATAGACCAACGGATCTATGCGATGTCTACCGTTGACTGACGTCTACTATGAAGTTCCACTGTTACGTTCGCAGCCTGTGAGTAAACCGGACACAAGGAACGCCCTCGAGGGTATATAGCGCGACTCGCTTCGCAGCGGTCGTCAGCTTCTCTTTTGCTGGGCTTTGACAGTCTCCCTACTCCCTCTCTTCGTATTCTTTCGACACCGTGCCGGGCGCACTTTCTTTCCCTTCCACTCTTTCCGCTACACCTCTCGTTCAGCTCACCCTCAAGCCGTCAGCCAACATGCACGCCAAGATCTTCGCTACACTGCTGCTCTCTGTCCTCGCCGTCAACGCTCTTCCGGCGAAGCGGGATGGTTAGTCACTTCAATAATACTGCACGCATTTGTAGATACTGATCATCGTGATGCAAACTTGCAGACAACGCTTCTCGTAAGTGTACAATTGTCTCAGAAACCGCTCAGGGGTACTCATGCACATGTCCCGACCTGAAGTTTACCAAAGTCAAGGTAAAGATTAGCTCTGATGCATCTCCCAGTCATTGACAGCCCCCCTCTTCTTGTAGCGAAAGAGCTGCTTGACGTAGTCAACAGCGAGATTAGCGCGGCCGGACCCACCGCGTCCGCATACACTGCGTTCATCACCAGTACGCCTGTCCCTTTCACGCTTGATGAACAGTCCGTTTGAACACGCTTTCTGTTCGCAGCCATCGGGGGCCGACCTGTCGTCGAGATGTCGGAATCCGTGAGCGGCAAGGTCTGGGTGGCCATGACCTCGAGCACGGCGGCGGCGAGCGCGACAGCGCGTCCGGCCAACGACGCCGCCGCGGACCCGGCGAGCTCAGCAGGGAGCTCGACTGCATCTGACTCTCAGGCTTCATCGAGTGCTGCGTGTAAGTGCACGATGTACGGCGCGTGCTGCCGAAGTGCTCACATATCGGTTCGTGCTTCCAGCGACCAGCTCACAGGCGGCGTCGGCGACAGGGACAAAGTAAGTCCTGCATGATACTCCGAAGTGCGATTATGGCACTGACAGGGTTTGCTGGCATAGGAACGCTGCAGTGGGCGGGGTCTCCGTCTCAAGGCCGCTGCTCACAAGCATCGCGGGTGTACTCGGGGCTGTGGCCGCCGGCGCGCTCATGTTGTAGGGGATTGCGGTCTGTCGGTGTACGGTGTTCATGATAGGCATCGCCCTGTTGCGCGCAGGAGGGGAAAGCGTACGGCACTTCTCGGTATTCGAACATGCGTTGCACGCTGTCAGTCCCGGAAGCCTGCGGTCTTGAATATAGATGCGATAGATGGGGACACTGAAGCTCGGAACTTTATGTGGATGCTCCGAGTGGCTTGGTGAGGCTCTTTCCTGCTGTGCACAGTAGTGGCAGCTTGGTGGTCTTCGATGCCGATGAGGTCTCCTATCCCCTCCACCTCAAACATGTACCGATGCGTGAGTTCCGCCAACCTGCTTGTCAACATGTGGTTGCATCTCTGATGGAGACTGTTAATAGCCTTCAAAGCTATGTATCATGGTGCATCTTAGATATTTGGCCTCGCGTTGATGGCCGACGTGTAAGCTGTGGCTTTTAGACCTCCACCTGTTGACCGCAGGAACGCCGCGGTGCTGATATCTTCACACTGAGGAGCAAGCGGAGGGAGAACATCGCGCCCGCGAGGAACCTTGGTCGGAAACGCAATGTGATATGACGAGAAACGCATTTGATGTCCTCACACCAGCCTCACACGTGCTGTGCGAAGTCCAAGTCTACAGCGTATCGTCCCCGGATGGTTTCGTATCATCATTGTCCTCACGCACATTCTGCCTGCAGATAGCGCAAACAGTCACAGTACATGCACTAGTGCACATACCTGGTGCGAACCCACTTATACCGCTGAGGCTGCGATTGTTCCTAAACAACTAATCAATGGCTCTATCCGCAGGATGGGTGTGAGAGATTGAGGGAACGTGGACGTTCGGCGATAGAATCGTTGATCCCCCCGTGTTTAGCGACCTGTCATAGGGTGCCCGCAGCGATGGCTACAAGCGAACATCAACGTATCCCGGCACCGGGCAGGCATCCTTCGAGGGCGTCTCTGGACCGGATGGTATATATCTGTACGGGGCGGGGTGAGTGGGTTCCTCGTGGATTGATTCACCCCGGGCAGCTCACGCTTTTTACTTTCCTTTCGACTCTGAGAGTCGCCCGTACCTTCTTTACTTCGGCTTTTAATCTGTTCTCGACTCGCTATTTTCTTTGCCTTTCAGCTCTCGAGTTATTCCTCATTCTCCATTGCATTCGAATTTCGCCAAAATGTACTTCACGTCCTTTGTTACTCTGTTGATGCCCGTCCTTGCGGCGTACGCACTTCCTGCACCTTTCAAGCCTCGTGATGGTGAGTGTCTGTTTTGAGAGGCTCGCAAATTGGCATACTCGCGAACTTACTTCCTCTCTGAAAGGCCCAAGCCAGTCGCTGAACAGCACTAGCTCTCCTACCAGCACTACCAGTGGTGAGGCCGTATCATACGACTAGCCGTCAGTCCGAAATTGACGTCCAGTTGCTTAGGCACGGCTTCCGCGACCTCGGATCTCGCAGCCGGTACGTACCGCGTCACTTCGGATTGACACAAACTCGCTGACGTTCAACTCAAACAGTAAATTCAAGCCGAGGTCCGTTAGTCTAAGAGAGCATACTTAGCGTCCTAACTCACCAACGGAATCATTTCCATCCCTTCAGCGAGCTCTCTCCTCAAAGCGCTCCAGAACGAGATCAGCGCCGTCGACCCAAGTGGGACCGCGTACACCGCGTTCATCACAAGTGAGCCCGTTGCCCGCCGCGCTGTGTTTCCGGTCAATCTAACGAGCTCTGTAGCCGTCTCAAGTCGTCTTGCTGTCGAGATGTCGTCCATAGGTGGATCGGGTCAGGTCCAATTTGTGGCCGCAACGGCGACCCTCAGCACTCAGAGCCACGACGCGCCAACATTCACGGCTGCGCCAGCGTCGACTGGTAACCGGGCTAACGACGCGGCTTCGTCGCCGACTGGCTTGCCGAGTGTACCTACGGCGTTAGCGTCTAGTGGAGGACCCGAACGTGAGTCCAACGATGTCATGAGAGTTCAATGCTCTCGACAACTAACGACGATCTACATTCCCAGTCTCGAGTCTGTTGTCAGAGATAGGTACGGCTTTGCCAACGCTGAGCCACGTTCAAACCAGTCGGGCTGACTGTGGCTTTCATTTCTCAGCGAGCGCGGAACTGGCGGAGGTGACGAATGTCATCAACTCTGCCTCCAAGACGGCAGAATTGACCGCCTATATCACCGGTAAGCGCCCTGCATCCCCTCGCTGCGACTTAGAGCCGCGAGCTGACGGTACTCTCCCCGCTTTGAAGAAGTCTCTGGGACGCCGTACGTCGCGTTGTCGTCAATAAGCGGGCCTGCAATCACCCTCGCCGCGACGAGTGGCGCCCCGGATGCCTTCCCGACGAGCTTCGATGGGCTCGCGGTGACTGCCATTCCGTCGAAGTAAGTACTCTGCCGGTTTTTCCACTGAAATGCAGAGTGCTAATGGATGCGTGGCACACCAGAAATGCTGCGATGGGCCTCTCGGTCTCGAGGTCATTACTAGCAGGCGTTGTGGGTGCGCTCGGGGCTGTGGGCGCGGGGGCGATGATGATCTTGTGAAGGCGTTGTCAATACATTTGCTCCATGAACGTCTTCCGATCTTTACCTGGTTAAGATCTGTGCCCAGAGTGCTCCGTAGGCTCAACGTTCATTACTGGTTGCAAGTACAAAGCGGCGCGCCGCGTTCGCGATAACTGAAATACAACGATGTACCCCGTTGGCGCATGAGCCACTGATGGACATTGTGGCTCGTATCAAGAATACAACGTCCGCGCACGCTCCGTCGGTACTAGGCGCAGAAAACAATGTCGCGAGGAAACGTCTCGTGTACCTTACCTCCCGGTTTGTTACCGTAGAGACGCCTCGCTGCCACGAAAGTACAAGGGCGGAGACGCGCACAGAGTGATATAAAGAGTGTGTGATTTGCACCAATCATTCCTCAGACGTACAGCGGCGTCTCAGAGACCGTTCCAACCCCCTCCACACGTTCACGTTCACCTCGCACGACGCATCTCCAGCATCTCCAAGACCCCCCATCGCGTCACTCCAGGCCGCACAGACTCAGGCCCAAAGCGGTCACCTGCGCCGCGGCGCGCCCTGGCTAGAGGGTGCGCCGTGCTCGTAGGAATCGCTCGAAGGTCCGTGTTGCCTGATACCGTCCGCGAGAGGGATGCGCTGACGCTTCGACAGGTCCCGGGAGTGATGCGCTGGAGCTGCAGCGGGAGAAGACGCGGTCGATACACGTGGACAACGGGGTGCTGCGGGATCGTGCGGCGGCGGAATAGGAGGAGGGCGTCATCGTCGGCATTTGCACTTGGAGCGCCCGCCCTGCGCTGGAGGAAGCATTGGGTAGCAGGTAGGGCTTGGTCTGCCTTCTGCGACCTCCTTGTCAACGGTGGGGCGGTGTCCGCTGGGCGTAAAGGCGAGGGCACGAAGCATGGCAGCTCCGGATACTGGCAGTATCCTGGGTAGCTCCTGTTCCTAGAGGGAGTTGCGCGATGCGGTGTACTCCTTGCAAGCGGATGGCGGTGTACTCCTTGCAGGCGGATGGCGATGGTTTCTTCTTGGCTCTAACTGTGAAACCCAGCGGGTGAGTACGATCATCGTGTCCACTCGACGAGCCGCTACTTACATGGGAAACACCGACAGGCGCCGTAATACCGCACGGCCGTCAGAGGGGTATCACGGTAGTGCTTGAGACTGGTGCTGAGTTCTGTGGCACTCGCTGGCCATGTTGTGTAGGGTCGGTTGGTTTTTGGAATGAGCAACCTATCCCTCATAGCGAGGCTCTCTTATACTGTTCGTGTGTGCCACCGGGAGCCCGCCACGCTGTTGCGCATGGTCCCCGCTCAGTCAAAGCTCGCGATCGAGCGAACAGCATCCCTTCAGATATGCCGCCCCATGATGCTCGAGGCGCTGCGTGCGGTGTCTGACCGCGCGGATTCGCCCTTGGGTCTAAGCGGGACAGCGTGCCTCTGCGACGCTTGAGACAGACTGCACAAGCGCGCAGTCAGCACAGAATAAGACGAGGACCGCGTGTGCTCTCGGAACCTGGATATCTGTGAGACTTCAGTGATAACGGCGCACACAGGCGACTCACTGACGTCTACGCGCCCAGCGCCGTGGTATTTTGGCAGCAAGATGTGACCTGAATCAACGGATAGAGTTGTACGATGTCTGTACACTGGAGGCAGAGATGACACGAAGGGGCAGCGGATTCCGAGGAGTGAGCCACTGATCACACCCATCGACGCCTGCCGCGTCCTCCGGATCGGCGCACGCTCTTGGAGAATGATATTCACGATAGCGTTGTGCGCACCTTTGTATTTTTGAGAACGCTTGGAGTCCTTATGCTTCGAAGACGGTGCAAGGGGAAGCACGGTGTGAACCAGGCCTCGAGGCGAAGAGGCGGCGCTTCGCGCTGTCGACTCCTGGCGCAGCGTGCACTGGACCCTCGAGCACGACGTGCATGTACAAGAGGTCTGTGGTGAATGAAGCTGTGTTTGAGCACGCTAAGAAAGAGTTTTCCTTCAGGGGCTGATTGTAATACGCGCTGTGCACAATATCCCTGCGTGAGCTAGTTTCGTACATGCAAATATTCACTGATTACCGTACGCTCCGCGCTGTAAAAGACCGTAAAATTCTGGCAACTGTACGCCCCGCGCTGTAAAAACTCAGCGACAGTCATATGCACATGCGAATTTACCTTGTCAGTGTTCCATGGGCTTTTGAGTTCCCTACCTCTGCCAAAGTTATATGAGCTAGCTATAGGCGACCTAGTAGGCATCGATGCAGATATTGCTGTCATTACTTTTTTGGCCCAGTCATATGTTCGTGATGCTTAAGAGGCACTTTAGGGTATACTTTGGGGTTCTGGGCTGTACTTGTGGAGGAACTGAGGAAGAGCGTAGGAAAGCGTGTGTGTCACTGTGTGTGGTAGAAGGAAGCCGGACCCGGGCCCAACGCACGGGCACAGGCGCACGGGCGGCATCTTCCGTGGTTATACAGGCCTCCTGCTGCGGGCACCGTCCGCTCGCTCGAGGTGGCCTCAACAAAACCTCCATCCGCGTTTTCTGTCTAGCACCTCGAAGGTTCGAATCAGAATCAGAATAGGGGTAGTGTCCATTGACTGTATCGCTCTCTGAAGTTCGTTTTGTATACCATCTACGTAGTCGCCATTCGCCGTACCTGCGCACGCTGTGGCTTCCCATAGTAGATCGCCTGTCCCGAGTACAGTCTGTATAGCGGACATACCTGCTGTAGCCTGGCGCCTCGGGGCGGAAGGTATCTAATCACGGCTCGCTGTCACCTGTGTACGCTGCCAGCTCAAGTTCCAGTATCTTTGCATGCCCTGTTGACCGCAGGATAATGTGTATGTGCTGAATCCGAGTACATCTTGATATTCAATACATCTACCTGGAACCCGCGCGCGTCAGTGCTATGCATTTAGTTTGGCAGCAACCACTTCCGGACTCACTATGGGTTCGTATGATGCGTGCGTTGTGAGAGGTCTAAGGCGCCTGGGTCGAACCCCTTCGGGAACACTTGCCTGACGTTCACATTAATCCGTGTTGCACGCAGGTACTCCTCATAGATATCCCAGTCGTCCCCGCCCTCCATATGTGACGGAAGAGTTCCTTCCAGGATGCGAGGCACGCCTGAGATATCGTATCAGCTTCGCCGGCTCATAAGGGGGACAAGGGGGGGATGAATTGAACACACCGTGGTACGCTCGGCGACATGCCGGACCTGACATCACCACAACGTCACCCGAGCGTAACAGGATCGGAGTCGGGGGGTCGTCCCGTGTGAGGCCCCCGATGAGGAAGACCGCCGCACAACCGAGCCTACAGACGAAAACATCAGGTATAGGTAAGGATCAGTGGGCGAAGAGTACGCACGAGATAGACACCAGCGGTGAGGTCGCGGATATTTCTGAACGGTCGACATGAGCCATCAAGGTGTCCTGTAGGAGTGATCGCCTAGTTTAATGTATAAGCCCAACGGGCTGACGGGCTCGACCCACCTTGGTTTGGTAGAAGTTCACGATCCCCGCGTCGGGCTCTATGTTATGTATGTCAGTTTGAAATCCATGGCTGAGAGGGCAGGTCCTACCGTAAGTCTCCTTCCAGTCCATCCAGTCGGGTCCATCTTCGCCCCAACCGCTTCTGCCACGTCCTTCAGCTTGGCCCTCCGAGTCGCCAAACACACGCTCCCATGGTATGCTCTCCACCACACCCTTGCAGAGATCTCTGACGAGTGGAGAAATATCCCCAGGGCCGCGAGTAAAGTCGTACTGCTTAGTTCCCCAGTGGTAGTACCAACCAATATTCGCCCATCGTAGCCGCGGGACGAGACTAGAGATAGTGACAGGGCGAAGAGTCTGAGAGGGGGGTGCAGGAGGTTTCGGCGTAGAGGCAAGCTCCACATAATTTGCGGTGCTCGCAGGCTCGTTGGAGATGAGCTTGCGAGGCCCTGGAGTTTCTGTCCCGGTCGCTTGGTTAGAGAGAGTGTCCGTTCCTTGCGCGGTCGCGCGAGGGAACACCTCTGCATCATCGCCTTCCCCAGACCAGCTCTTCGCATACTGGTTCCATACACCCTCGTGTGGTAGCACGTAGTGAGTATCCAGGTTCGTCTCGTTCGGATGTTTTGCCTGTTCACACAGTGCCCAGCGAACCAGCCGACGCTGTTCGCTCGGGGCGATGAAAGCAGGCAGAAAAATCAGGCCTAATATATTGTGGGCACACACCATGAATATGCGCTCGTTGCACCGACCATACAGTGGATCGCGCACCAGGAGTGCCCGGGAACGTATACCCTATCCCCGTGCGCCCATTTCTGAGCGGGATCTCCGTGCACTGCACAGCGTCAGCGCATCCGTGCCATTTGCCCCGCGCGATCTCCTCGGCACGCGTCGGGTCTGCCGCCGCGAGGTCGAGGACGTCGGAAAGATCGGGCGGAGGGAAGCGCGCCTTGTACCGTTTTTCGGCCGCACGGAAAGGCGTCCATTCGGCATCGACCTGCTCAGGCCTGTTCCGGGTCGACTTGAAATGTTTTCGCCGCGCCTTTTTGTACGCGGCACTGGTGGGGTCGTGTATATCGCCGGGGGAGGTTGTTCGCGGACTGGTCGTCGCAGTCATGGTCGAGTAGAAGGAAGATGCTCGCGAAATGCGCCGGGCGCGGGGAGAGGCCGCGGGTACAAACATGAGCAAACAGCGCGCGCGATGGGGTTTTCCAGGCAGCGTTGCCGGCGCGGTGCGTCATCTTTCTCCCTCATCCACTCACTCCGGTCTTAATTGGCAGCGAGCACTGGCAGGCAACACATAGCACCCCTCTCGTCCCCCTCCATGTCGGTATGGCTACCGCGCTCGTCTACGTCGCTCATCGTGCGCGCATATAGTCGCAATGCGACCCTCGGCGTGCGCACTCTCGCTCTCGCGTCCCAGCACAATTCGCGGCTCCCTGCTTACCCGCTCTACCCTCTTGGTCACCTACAAAGATTGCCGGGAAGTCCATTCGGTGTAGAGCGCCAACTGCACTCGTCGCCACCGAACTCAGACGTTCCGGCGACCAACACCGAGAAGCCGCTTACGCCCGCGCCAAAGGAGGAGGCCCCGCTCGCGACACGCGTTTGGAAGAAGGTCAAGCATGAGGCACAACACTACTGGCACGGCTCGAAACTCCTGGCTGCAGAAGTGCGCATATCTGCGCGTCTGCAGTGGAAGATTCTTCATGGCGAGACCTTGACACGCCGAGAACGGAGACAGGTATGTGCAGACGTGTCCCTGGGCGGATTACGCGCGCTGAACAGAATACACCCGTATAGTTGAAGCGGACGACACAAGATCTGCTGCGGCTCATCCCCTTTGCTGTCTTCGTAATCGTCCCATTCATGGAGCTTCTCATCCCGGTGGTCCTCAAGCTGTTTCCTAATGCCCTTCCGTCGACTTTCGAGGACAAATTTGCGGCTGTTCGTACATACCGTTCTTCATTCAAATATAGGCCCGCTAAACCGTGTACAGGAGGAGAAACAGCGGAAGCTGCTTCGTGTCCGCCTGGAGATGGCCAAGTTTCTCCAGGAGACCCTTCGTGAATCCGGGTTGAAGGCAAACGCACATATCGTGGGCACCGAAGCGTTCAAGGAGTTCTTCCGTAAAGTACGGTCCACCGGCGAGTCCCCTTCCTCGCAGGATATCGTCAACGTCGCACGCCTGTTCGACGACGACTTGACGCTCGACAATCTTTCCCGCCCTCAACTTGTATCCATGTGTCGGTACATGGGCATTAACGCATTCGGCACCGACAACTTCCTCCGTGGCAACATTCGCGCGCGACTCCTCCAGCTCCGTCGGGACGACGAGGCGATTTCGCGCGAGGGCATCGACGAACTGAGCACATCGGAGCTTCAGGCCGCGTGCCAAAGCCGTGGTATTCGGACAACTGGCGTATCCCCCGCGCGGCTGCGTGAGGAACTTGCGACATGGATCGAGTTGCACCTAGGGCAACGCGTCAGCGGCGTACTTCTTGTGCTGGCGCGTGCGTTCCAGTTCGACAAGAAGCCCGGTGAGGGTGAGGACGGCAAAACGGCAATCATCCAGAGTCTCGAGGCTGTGTTGTGCGGCCTTCCTGACAACCTGGTAAGTTGCGACTGCCCCTGCAAGCGATTTGCGTTCTCTAACCATTCTGCAGCTGAGCGAGGCGGAACTCGAAGTCGACTCGGAGCAAGCAAGCTACAAGCAGAAGCTTGATGTGCTCAAGCAGCAGGAAGAGCTCATCGAGGACGAACAGGAACAGGAACAGCGCGAAGAGGACGCCCGGCGCGCGAAGAAAGAGGAGGAAGCTCGTTTGGCTGAATCTCTTCTGCCTGAGTCTGAGGTATGTCGCGTGCACGACGACACGATACAGTACTGATTTCCGCTACAGCTTCACCCCGAAGAGGCACCTGTCCAGGACGCTCGCATGACCACGGAACAGCTGAAGGAGCTTGCCGAGGCGCTGTCTATCTTGTCTACGAAATCGTCGGTCATCAAGGAGCGCGACGAACTTCGTGGGTTGATGGAGGAGAACCTCCAGGCCGAGGAGGACCCGAAGTCGCCGTCAGGCGCGCTGACGAAACGGATTCGCTCGATGCTGGAAAAGATAGACAAACAGCTCGACGCGTACGACGCGCGCGTCGGTTCGTCGTTGCAGATGATCTCATGCACGCCCGATGGGAAGATTCCTGTCAAGGACCTGGAGAAGGCCCTTGCGGTTATCAAGCACAAGCCGGATGAGGATGTTGGACACCAGGTCATCGAGAAGCTGGACGTCGACAAGGACGGCTATGTCGAGCTCGAGCACGTTCTTGGGCTCGTGCGCGAGGAGGGTCTCGGTACGTGCACATATCCGCTTCGCGTATGACTGTCGTGCTCACGGTTTGCGTAGGGATCCTACTGGACGACGAGGCTCAGACCCTCATCGGACAGGGTATCGAGATCAAGGACAGCAAGCCGAGGAAGGAGGACATCGTACAGGAGTAATCACCCCCGCTCTATAGCTGCATTTACTACCGTATAATCTATATACTAGGTCTTGGTTTCTGGCCGCCTTAGAGGCCATAGACGCGGCTCCAAACGTATTAGCTGCAATTCCTGAGTTGTGGGGTCTGAACTAGTCGCGTGCAGAAGGGATCGGTAAAACTGTAGATTCGTATAGTCGGTGGCTGATAAAGTTGCGCGCGAGATCTGAGATTACGGTGATCATGTCGACCTCCGAGGATTCCACATCTATTCGAGTCAACCCTTGCTGGCATCCACGGCCTCTTTCTCTTCGTCCACCATGTCTGCAGAACCAGCACAGTCTTCGTCCGTCCCACCGCACCCGGAGCAACAGCCTGAAGTTCCGGCAGTAAAACCTACGATCGCCGATGCGCACGCCCAGGTCGTAACACCCTGGGACGTCCAGGGCTCCGTCGCAGAGGACGGCAAGCAGCTCGCGATCGACTATGACAAGCTCATTGACCAGTTCGGCACAAAACGAGTCGACCAGCCCATGCTCGAGCGGTTCGAGCGACTGACTGGCCACAAGCCGCATATCTTCCTCCGCCGGGGCATGTTCTTTTCCCATCGGGACATGGACAAGATCCTCGATCGCTATGAGCAGGGAAAACCGTTCTTCTTGTACACTGGACGAGGGCCGAGCAGCGATAGCATGCATCTCGGGCACATGGTGCCGTTCGTATTCACAAAGTGAGTTGCCACCCCGATGCGAATTTCCCGAAGGTGTGGCTGAGCGGGGCGGAGGTGGCTGCAGGACGTGTTCGACGTCCCACTGGTCGTGCAGCTCACGGACGACGAGAAGTTCCTGTTCAAGCACGAGCTGAAGCCGGAGCAGACGTACGAGTTCGCGAAGCGGAACGCGCGCGACATCATCGCGGTCGGCTTCAAGCTCGAGAAGACGTTCATCTTCAGCGACTACGACTTCGTCGGCGGGCCCTTCTACCGCAACGTCTCCAAAATCTCGCGCCAGATCACCATCAACCAGGCGAAGGCGACGTTCGGGTTCGGCGACTCGTGAGTGCCCCCCCTACTCGCGTAACCCCGTCCCCTCTCTGACCGCCGCACCCCCCTGCGCCCGCGCCCGCTTCCGCTGTACAGCGACAACATCGGGAAGATCCACTTCGTCTCCATCCAGGCCGCGCCCTCCTTCTCGAACTCCTTCCCGCAGATCTTCGGCAGCGCGTCGAACATCCCGTGCCTCATCCCGTGCGCGATCGACCAGGACCCGTACTTCCGGCTGACGCGCGACGTCGCGGGCAAGCTCAAGTACCAGAAGCCCGCGCTGCTGCACGCGAAGTTCTTCCCCGCGCTGCAGGGCCCGCAGACGAAGATGAGCGCGTCGGACGCGAACTCGAGCATCTTCATGACGGACACGCCGAACCAGATCAAGAGCAAGATCAACAAGCACGGGTTCTCGGGCGGGCAGGAGACGGTCGAGGAGCACCGCCGGCTTGGGGGGAACCCGGACGTGGACGTCGCGTACCAGTACCTCGGCTTTTTCTTGGACGACGATGAGGAGTGGAAACAAATGGGCGAGGTAAGCATCCACGTCGCGCTGTCATGGAAGTTCAACTGGAGCTCATTCGTCCACAGGAATACCGTGCAGGGCGCCTGCTCACGGGCGAGCTCAAGGGAAAGTGCATCGCGATCCTCCAGGCGTTCGTCAAGGACTTCCAGGACGTGCGTATCCCCTTCCCCCACTTCGCGTACACCATCTAACCCGCCTTCGGTTACAGCGAAGAGCAAAGGTCACCGACGCCGAGCTCGCGGCGTTCATGGACGGTACCCGCAAGATCGAGCCGTCGTTCGGGAAGAGCAAGGCCGCGCCACCAGCTCCCGCGCAGAGCGAGCCCGCGAAGCCTGCCGCTGCATGAACGCAGACTCGGGGACGACTAGGGGGCGAGAGAGAAGACTATCTAACATGTTGTAGATGTAGAACGTGCGTGTACTATCCATTGGGTTGTAAGGTCAGCCTGTCCGTCTTCGACGCTGAGTGCACGGCAGTGCTACCGCGTGACTACGTCGAGGAGTTTGTCGTTGTAATGCTATCGAGGACGACAACCGCGGTCTTGCATGCGCACTGCCGCCTTCGTCGCAAATCCTTGTTCGTGTTCCCTCAGGACACACGCTCCCTTTACAGACGAAGGTCGTGTCATTCGAGGCATATTCGCATACCAAAGAGCGGGGGAGGGGGGAAAGCAAAGGGCATATAAAGCGTACAGAAAACAGTAACTGGCATTGATGTATAGGTACAAATTGCTACAAAAGTCTTAGGGCATGGTGGTATGTATGTATGTAAGTAAGCGGGCTGTATCGTAGGCTGTGCACGAAGAGAATGTAGGAGGGTCATACGCATGCTGCCCCGAGAGGTGTCCATGTCTTTTCTGCCATCGCGCCACTGTCCCCCACCGCCACCCACCAAGGCCGCTGCACCCTTGAGCAACGGACATAACCGACGACAACATATCGACGGTGGGCGGACAGAGAGCGCGCTGCAACAGAGGTCGGAGGCGACGTTCGCGTTGCGAGAGGCGTTCACGGCTTGCGGAATTCGCAAAGCACCGTGTAGATCGTGTTGAACGCAGTGTAGATCTCCTCGCGGACCTGATGGCCGGCGACGACGATTGGTTAGCACACGTGTGTCGCGGCGCATCTCGCAAGTCTCTCGACGAAGCGTCTCATAGGATAAGGAATGGAACTTTACCTTAGCACCCGTCAACACGATCTTGCCAGAGACGAAGATAAGGAGCACAACCTTAGGCTTGATCATACGGTAGATCAAGCCAGGGAAGAGCTGCAGACTATGTCAGCCACCACAGATGCAACGCAACATAGATCGACATACCTCGGGCTCATAAGAGCTGAACTGTCCGTGCGAGTACGCAAGTCCCTCCAAACGAATGGGGAACTTAACGTCGCAGGAGCCCACGATGTTCTGAATCTTGAACTCGGAGAACTTGGCGTCGAAGCCAAGCTTCTGGACGATACGCGCGTACTTGCGCGACGCCAGCCGCGAGTCGTCTTCAGACTTCGCACCCGTGACGACCATCTTGCCCGACGCGAAGATGAGCGCGGTGGTCTTGGGGTCGCGGATACGCATGATGACCGCGGCAAAACGCTGTAAAGAGCACGACGGAGGGAAGTCCGACGGCTACATATCAGGAGTGTGATGTACCAACCTTAGGATTGTACTCCGCATTCCTGGCATGCAGCGCAATCGTCTTCAAATCCAATCGGCAATCCAGGTTCACGGTCGCGACAATGTTCTGGAGCGTGGGGACGATACCCTCGACGGCGGTGATGTGCTGCTGCTCGAGCGTGAGCGGCGCAGGCGTCGCCGGGACAGTAGAGGGAGGAGAGGAGGGACCAGCGATGGGCTGGCTGCTGCCGACCACCGTCTGGGATTGGGACTGTGTCGGCTGCTGAGATTGTTGCTGCTGTGACTGAGCAGGCTGTGGTTGGGAGGAATACTGAGTCGCGGATGGTCCGGGGAGAGCAAGGCTGGACGGGCCGGGGAGGTAAGAGCTCGATGGGTAGGGAAGCGCTAGGCCGTTGGCCTGCTGGGGCTGCGGCTGCGATTGTCCGTACGGCTGGGGCTGGCTCTGCTGATACTGCTGGGTCTGCGCAGCGGGGCGACCGAAGGTGACCTGGCGAGAGGGGAGTGCGAAAGACATGGTGGTGGTGAAAGAGCAACCCGTAGATTTAGACCGTGGGAAAATGCAGGAGCGGGGGGGAGAGGGGAGAACGCGACGTGACCGCCGGTGCTATATACCCTTCCATTTCAAGCTCCGATTGAAAATTGACTGATTTATAATTTTCTGCCGCGCCTCGATCACGTCTTATCTTGACTCCTTCCAGCGCGTTCTTGACAGCCTCCTCCTCGCTCTTCACCTCGGCTCCGTCGTCGCTCTTCTGTGCCCCGCCGTCGACGATCTGGTGGTCAGCCTCTATATGTCTCTGGCGATGAGCGGTACGGTGAGGAGGTCGTCGAGGTCGTCGTCGAGCGCCGCAGTGGGGTGGCGCGTCTGTCGGACCCTTTTGATTGGTTGACGACCAACAATGGGCTTCTTCGTATCAACGCCATCTTCTTCCCCACCACAAAGAACGACGGACTGCGCCTTTCCTGTCCCCTTGCGTTCTCTTTCGTCCTTCCGTTTGTTCTGCCCCTCTCCCCGGCGCTCTATCGTTCTATGGCTAGAGAATCCTTACTAATAATACTTAGGCGTACAATAATCATCAGAGCGCCTATTCACAGGACCCTCAATCTTGAGAATCACGCGCGTCGTATGTACTTCCTTCGACCTACATCTTGTCCCTTTAGGCCGGTAGTATCGGCAAGCACTCGCCTTTCAATGAACATCTGGCCATCCACGGAGGTTCTTCCGCTCTAACGGATTATACTCTCACGGAGCCTTTTAGAAGGGATGTCGTCGTATGAGTATACATCCCACGACCGACTCAGAAGCTTGTCTCCGCGGGGTCTTGTGCTTCTACCTCTCGTGAAGCGGAGGTCATGTTGGTCGGAGCTTGCAGTGAGACTCGCGCACACTAAAGCGCGCCCGACAGGCCATTGCGCACAACGCGCGCAGCAAGGCGGGGGTCTCGTCTAGTTACTACTTAGTACAGCAGGGTACACCATTAGATAGAGCTATAAAGTTACCGTATGTCCAATCCGAGCGTCCTGGTACACATCCTAACTGCGAACAGTCGACGCGACGCGGCGCTCGCAGCGCCTGCAGCTGCTCAATCAAACTCAAACATGCCCTCCCGCACCTCCTCCACCCCCGCGACGTGGCGCAATAGCGGATCAAGCGATGCCAACTCGTCCTTGATCCCTGTCCGCGCGCAGTCGTCGAGCTCCTTCAGCAGCGTCGCGATCAGTTTCTACGGGTGGCAGATCACGCCGCGTTAGACAGATGCATGGGCCCGGCTGATGGTGCACGAACCTTGAGCTTATTGTCAATCTGCCGCACCGTGTCGCCCAGCGTCGTCGTCCAGCTCGGTGGCGGGCTGCCGGGACCACCTCCGTACATGGCGCCGGGGCCAGCTGCGCCGCCGGGGCCCATAACGGACGCGTGCGCGATGCCCCAAAGGCTGCTGTCGGCATCGGTCGAATGTGGCGCAGCGTCCATCCCGGAGAATAGGTAGGACACGCCCGGATGTGGTGATAGAAGCCCAAGGGGGCCCATCATGTTATGGCCGGCACCGGTGAATGGCGAAGGGCCGAGGATTTTGGAGACCTTGTTGTAGACCTCAGAAAGCACGTCGAGGAGGGAGAGGAGGGTTTGATGGTAGTCGAGGGGAAAGGGCTGCACATACGAGAACTGTTGGCAAATGGTCTTCCGTACTACGATGAAGCTGACGTACTATATGTGGCAGCGTCATATACGCTTCTGAAGGGTCCGTGTACGGTACTGTATAGTCGGCGCCGGGTGGTCGTTTGGAACCTTTCGTCCGGAACAGCCGCTGGGGTGTAGTTGTAGATCGCGTAGATAGCTAGCGGAGTGCGTAGGACGTACCATCCTGGGCCTGTCGCCATCCTCCTTGAATAGCTCGTACTCCAGTAGCACGTTCGAAAGGCCTCGTAGGTAGTCTTGGGGCTCCTTCACCTCAAACTGGTTCGCAAGCGCCATCCCCAAGACGGCAAACCGATATGTTCTGGGCTAGGGTTGTCCAGCGCGTGCGTACGAGAAGGTATGCGCAACTCACCGTTGCTTCATAGCCGCGTTCGTGAACGTACGATCGAGTTCAACTCGTGTAATCATAATAGTGTGGAACCAATGGCTCTTCCTGCGCATACGGTCTCTGGTCAGCGGGGAATATCCAGGGTGAGAAAACGCGAGCGACGCACCCTTCATGCACGTTCCTCAAATAGGTCAAGGTGATGATCCTCTTCTTCACCAGTTCCCTCAACATCTCCACCGACGTCCCTTGCACCAGGGGGTTCCCGTTCGCCCCGCCCGCGGCCGCAGCGATCCCCTCGCTCTGGAGCGACTGCACGTCCCACTCGCGGCTCATGGTGGCGGTCGTCGGGGTCGTCACAGACGAGTACGGCAGGCCCGCCGTGTTCGGCATCGCGCTGACGGGGAAGGAGGAGGGGGGCGGGCCGCCGCCGCTGCCGCCAGTATTGGACTTGAAGCCCGAGAGGAGGTTCTGGGCGGACGACTTGCGCCGCATCGCGGGTCGCGGGGCCTCGATGGGCGCCATGGACATGGCGGTATTGACTGGAGCGGGGGCGTCCGTGCGCGGGGTGTGCGGGCGTCCGCTGCGCTGGTCGAAGTTCAAGATGGGGCTACTGAATCCGACTGATGGCCAGCTAGCCGCTCGTTTACCCGTTACTTACCCGCTTAGATCGGGGTAAGCCCTCGATCTGCACACAATCTAATCATCGATCGCGGTGGGCAAGGGTTTGCAGCTGCTCCGGGGCGGAGCCTCTCCTCTCTCTCCATCTTCTCCTCTTCTCCTCTTCCTCCTCTCTCTCCGCTGTACGATAGAGCGATCTCACAATGGCTGACATCAACGCCGTCGCGAAGCAGTTTACCGACTTCTACTTCACCACCTTTGACACCAACCGCGGGGGTCTCCAAAGTCTCTACGTGCGTCCGCAAGCCGTTTGCGCGCGAGTCCCTATCCTCCAGATCTGACAGTGCACCTTGCTCTCTACCAGCGCGATGTCTCCATGTTGACCTGGGAGGGCACACCCATTCTCGGCGCGGCTGCTATCTCGGAGAAGTTGGTCGTAAGTCGCGTCTTTTTTCTCCTGTATAAGCAATGGGATTTGATTGGCGTGTTTCAGTCCTTGCCCTTCGAAAAGGTCCAGCACAAGATCACCACCCTCGACGCGCAGCCGTCCTCCCCCGGTGTCGCGAGCATGATCGTCAGCGTTACAGGCCTCCTGATGGTGAGTGGGCCAATCTTTCACGTACGCTCAGATGCTAAACGCGCGGTCCTCCTCCTTTATGCAACCAGGTCGACGACAGCCCGAACCCCCTCCAGTTCAGCCAGGTCTTCCAGCTAATACCCGATGGCGGAAGCTACTATGTGTACGTACCACCGGCTACTCTACGCGCGATCCGCTCCTGACGCGTCTCTCCAGCTACAATGACATCTTCCGTCTGAACTACGGCGCGTAACGGATCGCGACACTCTAGGCGCGCTCGGGGAGTAGATACGAAGTTCAAGAAGTCATCATTCGGATGTAGGACGATTGTGGGATGCCCAGGAAAGAAGTTGTACCTCATACCTGTTGTGGTTCTTAATGCCGTTCGTCGTGGTCTTTCGCGATCCTTTCCTTCTGCCATGCCCCTGAAGCGATGCGGGATGGCCGGACATTCGCCGTGCACACCGCTGATCACTCCGCCACCACGCCTACCACATATGTGCCGTCACTGTCACCAAAATACCGCTAACTGTCAGGCAGCCATGGGCTCGAGCCTGGGCGCATGTTGCACGTATTCCGAGTCAGTGCTGCGCACCCAAGGACACACGGTCGCGTAAATCCAGTGCTGACCTTTACCTCCATGCACCTACGCGACCGCGCCCATCACACACGCCCACCTGGCCCACCAGCTCCGGAACCGTCTCTGCCGCTGCCCACCTGAGGCGACGAAGGCGGAGCGGCCACTTAAGAAGGCCAGAAGCTCGGCGCGTCCAGTGCCTGTGACTCACAGCACATATGAGCCGCCTCAGCTCGTGGTTCCAGCGCGGACGCGGCACTCGCTCGCCTGAAAACTTGCACGCGCGAGACTCGAAGGCCACCAACATCTCCTCTCCGTTCAACGTCATGACTGTCGACACGCAAAAGACTGGACCTGAGACTCGGGCGGTTACTGTGTTCTGCGGTTCTTCCACTGGGAAGTCGCCCGCGTTCATAGCCGCGGCCAAATGTGAGTGCTTGACGCATCGGTACGGCCCTCTCGCCAGCTACGATTTGAGCTCACGAATCATTCGCAGCGCTTGGAAAGGCGATCGCGGGGGACAACAGGGCTCTTGTGTATGGAGGAGGCTCCGCAGGAATCATGGGCATCGTCTCAGGTACGGCGCTCGAGGCGGGTGGCGATGTCGTTGGGGTCACCCCGTTCGCGATGGTCGCCGCGGGGGGAGAGAAAGAGCAGACGAAGAGCGTGCACAAGCCGCACATACAGATCAAGGAGAAAGGCAGAGAGAAGGTGAGCGCACGCGTCCGAGCTTACCGCTGTGCGCGGGGAACCTGACCCGGTATTTGTGCGGCGCTCGCAGGTGGAAATGGTAGGCACTGCGCAGTTCCTTCGGCGTGCATGCCTTGACTGGTGCGCAGGTGATCGTGAATTCTATGCACGAGCGTAAAGCGGAGATGGCCAAACGGTCTTGCGCGTTCGTTGGTTTGCCAGGCGGTTATGGCACTTTCGAGGAGGTGAGGGCTTCTAATCCAATATGCGCACTTATATACTAACTGTTATACTAGGTCCTCGAAGTTGTCTGCTGGTCACAAGTCGGGATTCATAGCAAACGTACGTTGTGATCCCCCTTGTACCCGATATGACCGTTGTTTATCCCCGTCTACCCCATCATAGCCGTGCTCGTCGTGAACGTGCGCAACTTCTGGGATCCGCTACGGGAGCTCATCCGGAACGGCATCCGGGAAGGCTTCATCCTCGAAAAGAACGAGCATCTCGTACGCTTCGTCGAGGGCCCGGCCGACCACGCAGAACACGAGACGTTCGACTGGGGCAAGGCCACGATGGACGCGCTCAACGAGTGGCAGACCGTTGCGGCGAGCCACTTCTACAACTGGCACTTGCGCAAAGAGGGTAAGGATGAGGCAGACACGCTAGGTGCGGTGTAGAGATTCCTCGGAGAGGTTTGATATAGACAGGCTCTTTTCATGACTTCGGGTGTTGACGGGTGCAATGTGATAATGTGATTTTATTGTACAGAGTTTGACGGCCTACGGCCTGCCTGCGAGCTGCTGCATAATCTCGAAGACTGCTATAAAGGTACGTAGCGGGTCTGACGCACTGAACACTTTTATCACAGAGGCCCACTAGCAGCGTGGTATAGATGCGTAAAAGCGCGCAGGCCAGAGCGAAAGTTGCGGTACGCACTGTTCCCTGTATCAACCGACTATACCTCTCACTGAATACGCGTCTTTACAGTACGTGCTCGCGCCTGGTCAGCCTCTACAGGACGCCCATGCTCAGGAAATCCCGGCTGCTCTTCAAGTAGCGGGCAGGTCAAGAGTGAGACCTACAAATCCGACTTCGCTCTCCTTTGCCTCATGATGAAGAAGCATTACTATACGACCTGATCGCAACCGTGTGTAGTACTCAAAAACGCTCGCCCGATGCTCCACATTTCTTGCGCCCCGAGCGCGCAGTCGGCATCCCCTCGATCAGGCCATCCCAACGAGGTTCACCATGATTGGCCGCCCGCTACACTTGGCATGCGTTCGCCGGGCCACATTGTTCTCTCGTCATTGTCCGCTATTCGTATTGTTGAGTGAACGTATGTGATTGCTGGGATCTGATCAGCTTCAGCCATAGCAGCGCCGCGTGGCTGTTTAGCCACTCGCCAGATTGTGTTCCTATAACTTGCAATCCTGCGTGAACAGGTGCGTCACTGCGTTCCAACCATCTTCCCTCTTGCTCTGACACACGAGCAGTTCTGTTTACTCCATACTTGCCAGTGGCTCGCCGACTCCCGCACCGTACGAAGCACCGGCAGCCCTCGAAAACGTGGATATCTACCTTTCGAGTCGCCGAAAGTCTGCCTTGACCATTGTCTTCAAGATCATCAAGCATGGCAACCACCGTTCTTGTCGAGTTTGAGACGTTTGTTGAAGATCTCATTCCTCGGGCTGCTGAGAAGCCGCAATGCTCGTCCCAGCAGTCGGAGGACGCGCAACACAAGGTGTCGAAGTTGTTCAACAACGGGTGCGACAAGGACAGCAAGCCGGAGAAGCCGAAAGAGATCGACATTGCAAAGACCATCGTGCGTTGTCACTCCCCTCGCGTCCTCGTTGTCATTAATCGAAACACACAGGTGGGCATTATCAATGAGCTAGAGCTTCTCAAGGGTTACAAGGTCGTGCTTGCTTGCCATCCGAAGAAGGCAAGGGCCGTCGCTGCGCTCTATCCTGGGGACAAGGTCCCATCCAACTCCAAACCTGACTGGACGCACTCTCGGCTGTTCATCGAGTTCAAAGAAGGAGAGTCAAAGTACGACCCGTGGGATGACAGCGATGAGATGTCGCCGGAGTCGGAATGCGAGACGGCCGTCGACGTCCGCGCCCAGTTTACCACGTACGCACACAACACATTCCTCCATCAACATCGCACGGCACTTTATTCTCTCTTCATCCTCGGAAGGGAGTTTCGAGCGGTCCGTTGGGACAGGGCCGGTGTCATCGTCTCCAAGAAGGTTGACTACGTCAAACACACCGACTCCCTCTTGGAGATTCTTTGGCGCATCGCCCAGCTCGACGATGCTCAGCAGGGGCTGGACCCGACCGCGACATTGATTGTGGAGGACACGCAAGCCTTCCGTATGATGGATTACCTCGCTCGACCCGATCCGTCCGTTGATGCTGACCATCTGGACACTGACAATGCAGAAACGGTTCCGGTTCCTGCCACCGAGTTCTCTGCTCCCCTTCCACCGTCTGGTGCCCCACCTGACGGTGATGACCCGGATCTGGCCGTTGTCGAGTGGTGTGACAACGATCCCCGCGTGTTCAAGTACGTCCGGGAGAGGTTCAGGGAATCTCTCGAGGACAACTGGCCACGGTACAAGCTTCGCGTCGGCGAGGAGGAGCGTGTCTTCCTGGTTGGGAAGCCCATCTTTTTTGCGTCTTCGATGTTCGGTCGTGCCACTCGAGGATACGTTGCCGTTGACGCGAAGACGCGGCGGTTCGTCTTTCTGAAGGATTCATGGCGGCCATTCTACCAGGACGTCGACCCAGAGGGAACCTACCTGAAGATGTTCTCCAATGATCCAACAATGATTGTCCCCGCCTACCTGTGCGATGGCGACGTCGGCGGCCAAACTGCTTACGCTGCGGTTTACGAAGGAGATCCCGGGAGGAAGATTAGGGAGACTCGACGTCGCCAGGATGCTGCACAGGCGAGGGTCTCTGCCTTGGCCGAGGGGACACGTCATAAGAAACGCTCTCGCGAAGCAGGCGAGACCGACAAGTCGCCACAAGACGTCCCTTCCCCGGCAGACCTTGCTCCTTCAGACACCGAAAACACCCTGTGCCACCACATCCACTACCGCATTGCGGTGAAAGACGTCTGCCTGCCTTTGGATCACTTCCGGTCGACTCAGGAGCTCATTCGTCTAATCTACTATTGCATCGCCAGTACGTCTGTCCACATAACCAATGGAGCTCCGTGGTGTATACTGACATTGCCTCCTCTCGTCAGCTCACTTCTGGGCATATACGACATACAACCTCTTACACCGCGACATCAGTTCCGGTAATCTCCTAATTCTTCCCAGGCACGTTACGGTAGACGGCTCGGAGACGGTGGAGTGGCGGGGCGTCTTAACAGACTGGGAACTCGCAAAAGCCGTGCCCAAGAACGGCACAGACGACAAGGCGAGGAAGCCGGAACAGACGGTATGTAGCTACATACATACCCGTATATGGTGTTGACGACCGAACATACAACAGGGAACTTGGCAATTCATGTCGGTAGCCTCTGTCGCATCGCACTGGACGCTGCCTGTCGCCGTCGCCGACGAGCTAGAGTCATTCTTTCACGTCATGCTCTTATATGGTGTTCGATACCTCCCGCACACGTTGCCGAACGTCCCGGACTTCGTCATCGAATACTTCGATACATTCCAGCAGGATGCAGCCGGTCGCCGCCTCTGTTCCACGCTGAAAGAGGCCGCCGTGCAGGACAAAAGGCTTGTCTATGCTGGGAAGGACCTCCTGTTTGTCAAGACCACCGGCGAGCCAGGCAATCCTATCAACGCACTGATCAAAGACCTGCTCGAGCTGTTCCAGGCGAGGTACCAGGTCAAAAAGCACGACGAAGTGCTCAAGGAAACCCTCGAAGCCCGCGACGCCACTCATCCATCTTCTGCTCCTCGATGCAAGGCACTCAAGAAAACCAACATGGCGGAACCGTGGATGGTCAATTGCGACCGGGATCCTACAATTGACGACCCCGAGGAGGATTGGTCCCTGTTGGAACCCCTATCTCCGGAAACTGTCAAATTGGCCGCGCAGTTGAACACCCACATAAGGGTGCTCCAGCTCTTTGGCCTCATGGAAACCATCAATGAGGATCTATGGGACGATACAGGCGTGCTCTGCAAGGACCAACTCGTGAACTACGAACCCGGGCCAAGGTTCTGTATGGCCATCGAGACGGGCACGGCGAACCACACAAGGGACACGACCGGGACAGGGAGCAGAGCCAGCAAACGAGTCAAGACGGAATGCAGCGTTTCTGCATTTGATGCGGTCGTTATCGCGGACATCTTTTGGGGGTTCGCGACCGCCCCGCCGTGATGATCACGGGCAGCAAGGGGAAAGGCCGCACTTGCGGCCGTTTGTCTTCGGTCTTCACGTCCGCCCTGCCAGTATCGAAACTCCCGCCGCTTCATCATCGTCGGGACGTCGCGAGCTCGGGTTCTACGGTTCTACGGTTTTTATCCCGATTCCGCCCTCTTATCTCCGTCGTCCTTCATGTCCGTTCACGAATGATCTGCCTACTCTCCCGTCGTGATCACTTGCATTCCGTTGATTCATGGATGGTATCCACAAGCTTCGGAGGATCTTTATACTGTTTATCTCCCTCTACAGTGTCGTTTGCCTCATACTATAGTAACCTCACTATCCCGGCATACGCACCAGTCTAGCTATCGTATATGTCGTCCGAATATATTCTGTCTTCCTCCATGTGGCTCATACATCGAGCTTTCAGCTCGACTTCCGCCCGCGTTGCAGGATATAGAGCCAGATACTTGTCTATACACTTGAAAGTCATAGGGTAGGTCGAAAGTGAACACATGTCACAAATTATGTCGTATCGACCTGTATCGACGGTTCAGTCCTCGACGACCCTCCGCGGCCGCGGATTACTCCCAACCTTCTTCACCCTTCTTACGGCTCCTATAATTACACTCTACGAGCAAAGGCACGACTGCGCCATCCTCCGGCTCCACATAGTAGTCCGCCCATCCGCGAATGCGCACGTCCTCGCTGCCCTGTTTCCCATCCCCGTCGCCGCTCAGCTAGTCGAGCAGCCACTTCCCCACGCGCCCGTTGACACCCTCGACCCCGAACCCCCACTTTGGCCAGCCGAAGCCCTTCGCGATCGTCGGCAGGAATGCGAGCGGAAAGGACGCGGCGGAGAAGTAGGTGATGTTGAGCACCGGGAACGGCGGGTTGTTCGGTCGCAGGAGCAGTATCCGCGTCGCGAGCTCTGTCTTCTCAGGAATCGATAGAAAAGACGGAGTACTGTACCTGCTCGCAGTCGTCAGTTGGTCAGTCATGCCTCTGAGTGTCCAAAACGTGCGCGTACCAGCCGTAGCCCACCTAAGGCGACGAAGGCGGAGCGGTCACTTAAGAAGGTTCAAATATCGGCGTGCCCTGGGAGGCCCTGGGCCTGCGACTCACAGCATGAGCCGCCTCAGCTCGGTGGCAGCGGCCAGTTCCGGCATCTCTGAAGATAACAGTAGTTTGCGTATTTCACACGGACGCGCGCCTGGCTTGAAGCTTGATGGTGAATAATGGTCTCTATGATACCCACCAGGAGACACCTGAAAGTCACACTCAGTAGGGGGTCCCAGCCTTTCAGCCAGTGCGCGCAAACTCACTGGTGACCCCTGACGCGGCCTGCCAGCGGTGGTGACCTCATCGAGATTCGAAAGGCCGCCTTGCCAACTGCACACGCCCAGATGTTCGAGCGGTCAGATTAGGCTGCATTAAATCAGGTTGCATAAGGGAACCATTGTTCGCCTCCGCGGCGACTTGGATGCACCAGTGATTTGAGGGTGAGGTGGGAACATGAGTAGCGATCGCTGCTAGGCCGCGGGCGGTGGCTAGTACTTGGCCAAGGCGCTAATTCACGGCGGAGTGTCGAATTCCGGCTTAATCAGGCAATCCCAACCAAGTTGGCGATGAGCCGCCCGCTGCGCCTTGTGCTCGCCCACCACCTGGAGCAACATCATTGTCTTATTTTCATTGTCTGCCATTCCAATCATCATCGTATGTCCTTTGTTCAGTTCATTTTAGCATTTCCCGGGCCTCAATCTCACAGTCTTTAGCCATAGTGACGCCGTGCCGCAGCGTGGCTACGCTACTAGCCACACTCAAGACCGCATTTTTATAGCTCGCGCTGCCTCAGAGACAGGTGCGCACAACCTGCCCCCATCTCTTCCTTGCCTCTGAACGGCTCTTCTGACATTATGTCTAGTCCTCCAGGTCCTATCGGCCCTTCAGTTTCCTGTGCCCCGGGCCCTCCAGCTCCTAGTGCCCCTCCAGCTCCCCCTGCCCCTCCAGCTCCTATAGTCTACAAAGCACCCACGGGTATCCAGGCCAGTCCGTACAAGGCTCAAGCGTACCAAAATTACGACCCTCAGAAAGGCGGAACCTTGTTCAAGCCGAAGGCCGCACTCGATCGCCGTCTTCAAGGTCAGTCAAGTATGGGAACGACCGTTCTTGTCGAGTTCGACACCTTCGTCGACGACCTCCTGCCGCCTCTGTCCGCGGAGGAGCTGAAGCTTACGTCCACCAAGAAGACAATCAAGCTTCCTTCGGAGCCGTTGCAGTACGCGCGGACCACATTGTTCAAACTGTTCAACAAATGTGGTAAGGACAAGAAACCCATCAAGCCGACGGAGGACGATATTGGAGATGCTGTGGTGCGCTCTCACACCCCTTACGCTTACCTCGACATTGACCTGAACGTCACAGGTTGACATCATCAACCGTCTTGAGCTTCCCAAAGGGTATCAGGCTGCGCTTTCCAGAACGATGGCAGACACATCCGACGACACCAAGTCAAAGGTCGACGCTGCACTCTACCCAGCAGGCAAGGTGCCGTCTGACGGTCGACCCAAATGGGCGCACGCGGAGCTGTACATCGAGTTCAAGCAAGGAGATACCAAGAATGACCCCTGGGACGACCGGGATAGGATGTCGGCAGAGTCGGACGCCATAAAGCGCGCTGATGTTCGTGCCCAGCTCATCGCTTATGCGCACAACACTTTTCGCTACCAACAACGCACGGCGCTCTACTCTCTTCTTGTCATTGGAAGGGAGTTTCGCGCCGCCCGATGGGACAGGTCAGGAGTCATTGTGTCCAGAAAAGTCGACTACGTCGAGAATACCGACCTCTTCTTGGAGTTTCTTTGGCGCTTTGCGCAACTCGACCCAGTTCAACAGGGATTGGACCCCACCGCAACTTTGCTTGAGAAGGATGCGCACGCCTTCCGGATGATGGATTACCTCGCTCGACCAGATCCGTCTGTTGACGTTGACTATATGGACACCGACAATGCGGAAACCGTCCCGGTTCCCGCCGCTGCAGAGTCTGCCACCGAGGTCCCCGATGTTCCCCTTCCTCCACCTGGTGCCCCACCCGAAGGCAATGACCCGGATCTGGCCGTTGTCGAATGGTGTGACGATGATCCCCGCGTGTTCAAGTACGTCCGGGAGAAGTTCAGGGAATCCCTCGAACACAACTGGCCACGGTACAAGCTTCGCGTCGGCAAGGAAGAGCGCGTCTTCCTCGTTGGGAAGCCCATCTTCGTCTCGTCTTCGCTGTTTGGTCGTGCAACTCGAGGATACGTCGCCGTGGACGCGAAGACCCGGCGGTTCGTCTTCCTGAAGGACTCGTGGAGGCCGTTCTATGAAGGCGTAGATCCGGAGGGGACCTACCTCAAGAAGTTATCGAAAGACAAGGCACTGCTCGTCCCCGCCTATTTGTGCGATGGCGACGTCGGTCACCAAACCGCATATACCGCGATATACGAGGGAGAGCCCGAGAGGAGGAGACTTAGGGCCGCTCGACGTCGCCGAGCTGCTGCACAGGCGAAGGTCGCTGCTTCGGCCGACGCAGTAGTCAAAGAAAGCGGTACCAAGAAACGATCCCGCGAACTGGGTGATGTCGGCGAGCCACAAGACGCCCCTTCCGCAGCAAACCTTGCTCCCTTAGAAACCGAGGACTCCTTACGCCATCACATCCACTATCGCATCGTCATGAAGGACGTCTGCCTGCCCTTCGACCGCTTCCGATCGAGCAAGGAGCTCGTCCGTTTGATATACCATTGCGTGTCCAGTACGTGGATCAGTATAAGTATTGATTGGTGCATGCTAATATCGTTGCTGAATAGCGCATTATTGGGCATACACGACATACAACCTCCTACATCGTGATATCAGCTCCGGCAATGTTCTCATACTACCACGATACACTACGGTAGACGGCAAGGAGAAAGTGCGATGGTTTGGCATCCTGACAGACTGGGAGCTCGCGAAGACTGTGTGCAAGAAGGGCACAGAGGACAAGGCTAGACAGCCGGAACGGACGGTACGTCGCCGCTTTTGCGTATGTGGCGGTGATAACTAAACATTCAACAGGGTACATGGCAATTCATGTCAGTAGCTTCTGTCGCATCACAGTGGACGCTTCCCGTCGCCGTCGCCGACGAGTTAGAGTCCTTCTTCCACGTGATGCTTTTCTACGGGGTCCGATACCTCCCGCATACGATCAAGAATGTCCCAGATTTCGTCACCGAGTTCTTCGATACTTTCCAGCGGGACGAGGAGGGCCGTCGCTTCTGTTCCCTCATCAAGCAGAACGCCATGAAGCACAAGAAGATCGAGTACTCTGAGGTAGATCTCAAGTTCACCAAGACCACCGGCGAGGAGGGCAACCCAATCAACCTCCTAATAAAATCGCTCCTCCCGCTTTTCGAAGCCAGGTACAAGGTCCTCGCCCATAACTTGGAAAAGCGCCTCCAAGCCGAAAACACCTTAAGGTCCCAGGCTATACCTCGGCCAGCCCCCGTCGTCTCTGAGCCCGCCGAAGATTGGGAAAACGACATACCGGTGCAACTTCCTTGGGACGCTATCGTCAATGACCCTACCGAAACGTCGGACTCCGAGTCGGAGCTGTCCCCGAAAACCGTCACAGACGCAGCGAAGCTTGACACCCACAAGGCATTCCTCGGGCTTTTGCTCGGTACGTCCAAACACTCACAAGAAGCCTGGTACGATACGGGCGTCGTCGGCAGGGACTTGCTCGAAGGTTACGATCCCAGGCCAACGTTCTGCACGGCCGTGGATATGGATACGGCGCTTCGTGCAAAGAGCACGCTCAATACGAGCAGCAGGGCCAGCAAACGAGCCAAGAAGGAACACAGCAGCTCCGCGTTCCATGCGAGTGTGCCCTACAGAAACGCAGATTCTGATTCCGCCCTGGTGGTCGTTGGGAGCAAAACGGGGAAGGGCCGCCGTGCTTGAGACTGTCGGTCCTCGGCCTTCGCACTCCATCTCCCCGGCGCCACAGCCTCTACTATTTCTCGTGTCTGAGAGGCCGCGGGCGCGGGTTCATCTGCTCTTCCAATGCCGCCTTGTTACCCCCACCCTCGAGTCCGGCCATCCTCGCGCGCGCATGCTCGTGGCACACCGTACACGCTCCCCGCTTCCATGTCGTTCTGATCCATGTTAGTTTACAAATGTCTCTACTTCCCGTTCCATCCTTACCTCTTGTACTCCGCCAGATTATGGACAGTATCCGGACGATCCTTACTCTACTTCTTCCCCTTCTGCAGTTGTTTCCCCGCGCTTTAGTATATATCTTTGCTATCACCGTACGCGTTAGCCTAGCTATCGAACACGTGGTCCGAATATCATCCGTCTGCCGCACTTGTTGGACACGTTCGCGACATGTCGCATCAGGTCGTATTGCATCCGCATCGCACAGGAAAAAGCCAGATGCATATGATCATCCATCGGGAGCATAGACATGGTATTGAATCTACGACTCTCAACCCATCCTCCGTAGCAATGGACTATTCCCACCCTTCCTCGCCCTTCTTCCGCCCCCTGTAATTGCACTCAACCAACAGGGGCACGATCGCGCCATCCTCGGGCTCCACGTAATAGTCCATGAACGCCCATCCGCGAATGCGCACGTCCTCGCCGCCCTGCTTCTCTTCCCCGTCGCCGCTCAGCTGGTCGAGCAGCCACTTGCCCACGCGCCCGTTCACGCCCTCGACACCAAATCCCCACTTCGGCCAGCCGAAGCCCTTCGCGATCGTCGGCGGGAACGCGAGAGGGAAGGACGCGGCGGAGAAGTAGGTGATGTTGAGGACTGGGAACGGAGGGTTGTTCGGCGGCGGGAGCAGTATCTGTGTTGCGAGTTCCGTCTTCTCAGGAATTGAGAGGAATGACGGAATGCTGTACCTGTTCGTAGTCGTAAGTCGGTCAGTCGTACTCATAGGTGTCTAAGTCGCGCGCGCATACCAGTCGTGTGTGCGCACGAGCGTGCCCTTGAGCGTCCACGTAAAGCCATCCTTCTCGCTATCCGGCCACGCCGTCGGGTGGATGCCGAGCCCCTCCAGACCGCCCTCCCACCCGCTCCCGTCGCCCCCGAAGCGGCTCAAGAGCACAACACGCCCGCGCACCTCGCCGAGCGTCGGGATGCGGTTCTCCAGGCACCACATGGCGAGCCCGCCCGGGCCGTTCGTGATCTCGTCGTGCACACACTGCGAGAAGAACGGGAGCGGCGTCTGCGCGAAGTCCTCCTGCTTGATCGACATGACGAGCGTCTCGCGACGCGTCGGCGCCGCGGTGAGGAAGCCGTGTATGTCGCGGAGGATGTCCTGGAAGGGCGTGCGTTGCGGGTAGATGCCGTGGTAGGCGATGAGGCGGCCGTCGACGACAGCGAGTCGCACGTCGAGGACGCGTATCCCGGCGTGGAGCTGGACGGAGAGTGGGGTGGTAGGCGACTGGCATTGCGAAATGGGCCAACCGTAGAACGCCATGCTAGGATAGAGCGTCAAACTATCAGCGCGCCGCTCGGGCTGATGCCACTCACGTATCATGAGTGCCTGTGGTACGATTTGTCAGGTTGTGCTGCGGCGCGGAAGCTTGGTTGGGACGCACCTGGGAGGACCAACGCGGAGAGTGGGACGGAATCCGGCATGTCCGACAGGAAGCTCGCCATGTCTCTACGGGGTAGCACCGTCAGCCTATGGTGCTTCCGGGTTATCTGTACGGAGAGATATATGAGTTTTGCGTGAAGGTGGTTCCTGCCACTGCTAGTACTCACCCGGCTCCGGTAGATCCGCCAGGGGCACTCCTCCTGCACGCGAACGGTCTTCCATTTGGCACCCATTGTCAGAGGAATAGAAGCTGAAAGATAACCGCCTAGCTGGGCACCATTAGCTTCCGATTTCTCGCCATGGGAGCTGTGACAAGCTTGGAGGCTGAGCGTCCGCTTCGTCAAGCCTGAGAGCGGAGTGGTGACAGATGTGCGTGCAAGGGCTATAAGGGTGTCGCATTTCGTGCCGTTTCGCGAGGGAAGCTGGAGTTCCAAGGGATCCTCCGTCTGGTTTACGAAGGTAAGTCGCATTCTGTCGGTTGCGCAGCCTGAGAGCAGTGGGAATAGTGACGAACGTATCGCGTATGTGATAGCGAGGAGAGGGATGCAGAGGAAACGAATGCGAGCTAGTTCGAGTTATTTGAGAATAACTTAATGGATGGTAGCTCTAAGAGTGCTGGCCTGTTACTGGTGATGGTCGGGAACAACTACTAGCAGGACGCCTGAGGTCGCCCGAGAGCCTGAAGTGGCGTCGGGCGTTTGGTAGTTGATGGCGGCGGGCACTCGGGCCGCCCGAGCGCCAACAACGTTTCGGGAGTCGGCCGCCCTGGTTGTCGGTGGTCACCGGTTACCGACCCCCCACCACCAGCGCACGAAGTACTCGACGGGGTTACGTGTCATTTATGTCCTGCGCCGGGGAATCACGCAGTACAGTTCTACATCTGCAGTACAGCATAATCTATGTATAAACTGACTTTTTGTCAGGAACATAGGCGTTCAGCACGCCTCAGTAGGGTGTACGCTCAGCTATGCTCACTCACTCGGGGACTTCTCAATTGCCTTTGGAAATCCAGCTTCTTACACTTCAGGAACTGCTTCTTGACCGGCCGACTCGTAAACTGCGCCCTTGTCTGTCGGGAATGGGATCAGCGCGATAGAGAGTCACCTTTGCAAACTACCGTATCGTATATAGACTGTATTAGGTGCAGAAGAGACACGACCCGCTCCTGCGGGAAGCCACAGCATGGATGGACGATATCCTTGACGACGGTGTATCTACTTGCGAAGCTTGACTACTTTGAATGCTAGAAGAGAGTACTGGGAAAGCGAAAGAGTCGACGTTAGGCAAGACATAAACCTACTCAGAGATTGCGTCGTCATCAGAGCCGAAGGAGTACTCCTCAACAAGATAAATAACTACGTCTACCTGGAGATCGCGCAGGCGCTCGACACACTCATCGGATACGTGACCCTTCTCCAAAAGTAGACGTCGAAAAGACCTTTGGTGGCCCCCGCAGTTGCGGCTGCGCGCGATGTCCTCCAACGACTCCTCGTTGAGGACCGTGTACGGTTGGTACCACCTGCGACCTACGACCTCGAGGCACTCCAACTGGGGGCAAATGAGCTCGACGTCGTCCGGGCCGGCACCCTGGACCAAAGGCCAGAGAGTCTCGTCTAGATCGGCGGCATCGGGCCCCATAAGGCGCAGCGTGCGCAGACGCGGCACTTGGCGGAACACGTCGAGCCAATTGAAAGTACCATCATGAGCGTTGTTGTCCGGAGAGCCGACGACTACGAGAGTTTCGGTAGACTCTAGGACGCCATCGGGAATAGCCACAACGGGGATTGGCTTGTACTCCCCATGTAAACCAAGGGTGAAATCGACGGTAGGCGTGTTCGACTCGACATTCACTGGGTAGACGCGAAGGAGGGCATCCCTGTCGAAGTCGAGCTCCGCAGCTTTAGTGGTAGAGATCGCTGGACAGCGGACCAAGTCTTCAGGAAAGACTCTCGGGAAGTAGGGATATGTGTAGTCTGAGCCTGGCTGATTGAGGTGGAGATTGTAGCGGGTGCATGCGGGCAGCGTCAGGTGGGAGAGGAAGTTCGCGACACCTGCAGGAGAGAATTCTTCCAACGAGAGCGTAGATAGGTGCGGCAACGTCACATCATGCATTCGGTCCGTGGAGGATACACTGGGACCCGGGAAGTTGCCCTTGAAGCAGAGGCGTAGCTCCACGAGACTAGGACAATCCCGGAGGACGCCTAGCATTCCCCGTTCATTGGGTAGGCCGAGCGCTCGCTGGTGTGCTTCGATGTCGAGGACAGATAAGTTCTTGAAGATATCTGAGCGCCAGGACAGGAAGCTCGGATGAAGGCGAAGCGAACGCAGCGCAGGAGTGGGCGTTCTGGCAAGGTGGATATCCATATTTCTGTAGATATGACAGGGGGCCGCACGGTGATAGTACGAGTCCTGCAATGCTTCTCCGGATCCCCTGAGTAAGTGTAACGCTGTGAGGTGTGGGGCCGGTCTGGATACAAGTTGTTCCACCTATGAGACTATATGTGATCAGTTTAACTGACGGGAGATGATGTCACTTACGAGCTTATCCAACAGGTGAATGGCGCCAGCAATCGCTGTGAGCGACCGGAGGCGATTGTGAACAACTCCAAATTTGAGGATGCGGAAGTGCGGAATTTGAAGTACATCAGAGTGTATGGATCTTCCCAGATTGAGATGTATGTCAAGCAAGGCATCCTGTGAGCGTTGGACGAAGGTCTCCAACCTGGAAGCGTTGATACCGGTGATTGCGGTCCAGAGCGCAGGGGAATCGAGAGCAATCACTCGCCAATACCGGCAAACATGAGTCGCTGCAACCAAGTTGTTGCTTGATGGAGGGTCGGATGTCAGTACGACTTCCGAGAAAATGTGGACGAGGAGTTCGGGAGGTAGCCGTCGAGCGAGGCCCCTCGAGTTGCGTAGTACGCGCAGATGAAGAAGGGTTTTCCTGATGGTCTCGATGGACGCGCTGAGATGGGTGTCGCATCGGTCGATAGCCTCGCAGAAGGAGTTGTAGGATTCTGGTGTTTGATGAAGATGATTTAGATCAGGCCAGTTGATCTTCGGAGCGAGTTCGAAAGAGAGTAGGCTTGTGCTATCGCTGGCCTGCGACGGCTGGGTAAAACATCCGGGGCAGTCGGTAGCCATACTAGGGTTGTCGCGTAGCCTGATCGAAGATGTTAACGGTATCCGACGGTGTATCATGAGCTAGATACGAACTTTCATGCGCTGGATAGGAAACATGAAAGGTAGTTTGTGAGGACCACTGAGCAGGTGGTAGCTACGGAAAGTAGTGGAGAGTTCGGGGTTCTGAAGATCTACGGACTCGGAAGATGCCGCCCACGCACCAGCTGCCTGAAGCCGCTAGCGCTGGTGCGGGCCGCCTGGTCTTCGAACACAACCACTCTCAGTGCGCAGTCTGTGAATCTTTACAACGAGACAGAAACCGGAGCCTCGCGGTAAAGATGTGTACGATATGCGATTATACGGTACGAGGATCGCCAACTATCCACGTTGACGCCTCCAGCTGCGAGCTATGGGCGCCGGCGCCGGGCGACGCAAAACTTGCTATCTATATGGTATGTTTTAGAAAATATGATCTGCCTCCGGCATATGCAGTACTCACCTTACTTCACTGGACATATGTCTAAATATCAGAATTTGCAGGCTCGAATGTTAATCTTCAGCCGGGGCCCGTGTCTGAGACACTCGTCGCTTGTGGCCATCAAGCCATACCGCTCGATACTAGTCAGGACTTGAAGCTGAAGCACCGACGGCGTCCAGTGTCTTAAATCTCCATCACACAATCCGGTACATATCCCCATGTTATACCCGCGGCGCTCCGCAGGCGGCTCCGACCGCGCTCTCTTGAGTCCAATATATAAAGACATGTAAGGTGTGCTCCCCGGCGTAGTGACTCTGTCCGACATGCCCAGTGTTCTAGTTCGGCGTGTCATTTCGCCCCCAGGTACGGCATAATCGTGCCCTTGTGTAAGACCACCCCACTAATCAAACTGGCGTTTTGTCCAGATAAGCTCGTTGACGATGCCGTCGCGGTTATGGTGTCCGCTATGAAAGGCGGTGGTACGCATTTTACAGTCACGAAGGCACAACATCTCGCTAACACGTAGTACAATGGGACAGACACAGCGATGGGTGCGTTATGCGGCGGAGATCTCACCATCTTCCCCCTCCTTGCGCGCGCGATGATCCGCGAGGGCATCATCTGGGGCGAATTCTGGACCGCTGAAGAGGACGGAGAGCTAGTCGGTTTCATGACCTGGACTCCGCCCGGCGTCGAGCCCAATATCCCGTGCGACATTCTATTTGACGAACGGCACGCGAATGCGCGGTTCACGCTCCGGGAATTCTAGCAGGGACGAACGCGCGAAAGTTAACGCGGAGTTTGTTGAAGCGCTCTCAGAGGAGGGCAAAGCTTATTCTCGCACCGCGGTACGTTTTCTTGTCGCGCCCGTGACAACAGCCGATAATCTTGCTCGCGCAGATAGGAGAGGACTTTCACAATTTCGTCGCACAGTGCGTTGGGGAGAAGGTATTTTTTCTTCAGCCGGATACCCGCTTGTGTCCTTCTGTTGACACACGTACACCAAGGGCAAGGATGGCGGATGGTGGCTCCGCGTTGCAATGGTTCGACCCGACAAGCAAGGGCAAGGCATCGCTCGCAAGCTGTTCGAGCCCATGCGCAGGAAGGCAGCAGAGCGCGATGAACATATCGCCTGCACCACGACTACACTCCGTAATGTACGTTGCTGCCCTCTTGCATGATTTTTTGGCGGGCCAGAATTGACATGGACGATCCGTCGGTGAGGTCGAGATCTACAAGGCGCTCGGTTTTGAACACCGTGGCTCTCATACGTTCCCTTGCAAATGGGGTGACTGGTCATTGTATGCGCTATACATGAAACCGTGATCAAATTTCCCTCTTCTGACATGCTAGGTGAGTTCTGGTCGCATGGGTGATCGACATTTTCTGACATTCAAGTAGCACCAGTGATCGTTGATGTAATAGTGTTAGCCTCATCTATGAAACTCAAACAGGTGCCCTACCGTGCTCGAAAGAGTGCTTGTGCTATTTAACTCTGAGGGTAAGGATACAATTTGAGGCTGCTTCACTAGACTTCGTCTCATCACCACCAGTACACGCCATCCCACAAGCTAGGCGGGGTATAGCATCTCTCAACCTCCCAGCCTCCCCATTTCCGTGTCTCATACATCTGCAGACCAGCCGCCTTCCGCTCCTGCATACGTACCTCCGCGAACAGCGGGATCAGGCGCTGGACCATCCGCCACCGCTTGTGGTAGATCCGCGCGACAGACGACCACTCGAGATCATCACGGTCGCCGTCCTCGTCTTCATCGACTCCGTTGTCGTTGCGAATGTCATTATGATCCATCATCTCCAACCAGCCACTCCGTAGGCAGTCGATTCCAGACACGAAGCAGGAGAGGAACGAGGCGACCGCGTAAGGGTCCTCGATCGGAGACAGCCCCACGTAGAGCCCACTGATAACAGGAGGGACATATGCACTGCACGCCCACTTCGGGAGGGCTTCCAAGAGCGCAGGGCTGACGGCGCGGAGGTTCGCGTTGAGCTCGAACTGGAAGACGGCCTCCTCGGGGCAGTTCCGCGCGAGCATGAGCAGCCCAAAGAGCGTCACGCGGGGCTTGTGCCATACGTCTGCGCAGTCCTCCAGTCCGCCACCTACCCGGTTGTGGCGAAGAATGCGTCGCTTCTCCCCGGCTCCGTCCCATGGGGCGCCGCCCTCCAGGAAATCGCCCTCGGTGAGCAGAGGCCAGCTGGAGAAACCGGCCTGGGCGTCGAGGCCTAGCTTAAGGAAACGGAGTCTCGGTCCCCAGACGGCGCCGAACCTGCTTAGAAGCATGTCGTTGATGTCGAACGGGCAAAGGATCTCTAATGCGAGGTCCATTACCGCAGACAGAGCGAGTAGTGGCTCCAGCGTCGTGTTGCCTATGGGCCTCAGACGTGCGGGCGCGGGGTCTGGCGGCGCTGCGCCGACCGTGAAGGCGGAAGGCTCAACTCGATGCGCGATCACGCGAAATTCGGTGATGGTCTTTGCGCCCCGCAGGCCCGCAACGGTTTTGAGTAGCAGGTCGACCTCGGGCCGCGGGACAGCTCCCGCAGCAATGATCGTCAATTCGGTGAGATACGGCGACCCGACATGGCGTAGGAGACCAGCGGGCAGCGCCAATGTCGACGCTTTGAGCAGCAGCTCGCAGAGGACCGGAAAAAGCTTGTGCTGGGCGTCGTCGATACGAGCGAGTGAGGCGAGACCGTTCGCCCAGTCCTCCGAGTCGTTCACTTCGCAGTCGAGCTCGCGCAAGGTCGGTAGTCCAGCCAGGTGTTTGAAAGAGGCAGGGGTGACACAAAAGTTGCAGTAGGATAGCTTCAGCGACACAAGATGGTTCAGCGCGCACACAGCACCCTGCAAAGAAGCAGTCATCGCAGTGCTGCAGGGCCTTCTCTCGATGATGAGCGCTTGCAGCTGGGGCTTGAGGTCCGTGAGCTTCTTCAGCATTTGCGCAAAGGCCTCGTCGTCCTTGGCCGTGATAGGTTTTGACCTTCGTATATTGTAGGGATCATCGTAGGCGCGGCCGCCTAAGATCCGCACCACTCCGAGTTTAGGTCCGAAAAGAATATGGAAGGTCCGGAAAACCTCCTGAGATGTGAGCTCGGTATGTTTGAAGTTGATTATCTCCAAGTTGGGCAGGAGAGCGCGAGAGCCCAGAATTGCTGCCAGCTTGTCGTATGCTTCTGGGACGGCGCTGATCCAGCGTGTGCAAGTCGAGACGTGCGCGTCGAAATTGATTGCTCGAACCCGCTGAGCATAGGCAAAGAACCGCTCTAGCTGAGATTCCTGTGGGATACCATTGAATTTCTTTCGCAAGACATGTAAGGTTAGCCAAGGTAAAGATCTCGTAGGAGATAAGACTTGCAAATCGCTTGTAGACCCCCGTTACCGAGTGCCCCCGCCTCGCCACTCGTCTCTGAGAGTATATCTCCTTGTCCAGTGCGAAGAACAGGACGGCGATGTCAGGGATGGCGCGCCATAAGACGTCCAATGCAGGCTCGAGGAAGAGGCGGGCTGTTACGGCTAGGGCGGCGATCGTTCGGGAGCCTACGTGCGCATAGTGGTCGGGCTGGGTTTGCTCGAGGGGCAAACATATAAGCTCGTAACAGATTTGCTCGAGTACCTTCGAAGAAAAACGATGGATAGCACTCGTCGTCGACATCGAACGGCGAATTCGGGGAGGCGGAGGGAAGACAAAGTACTCAGCTGTGCAGAACGCTACCTGGACGGTCTCGCCGCCTGTCTCAGGAGGCTCGACAGCCATTGTTGGCGCTAGTACAAAAGAAGGACATCCATTGATCTTTCTGATTAAGATTGACGTTGTGGAACGGCGTTCAATAGTGGTGATGAGGTAAAGTTCGGCGACGATGTGCCAAAAATCGCTGTCTTTACGCAAAGTAATACTGACACAATGGGCAAGAAAAGTTAGCGTAGAAACGGAACAGTTACTCGTACAATTTGTCGCCCAGGTCACCGGTCGCCAGAGAGAGAGTGAGCACGATGCATGCCACGCGCGCAGGAGTGAGTGAGTGCCTTCCACGTGGGCGGAGGCCTGGCAGCAAGGCGCCCGCCCGGTTCCTCCTCTCTCCTCCTTTCTTCCTGGTCGCGACTGGGGCGCCGCGCTCCCGCGCGAGCTGTCTCCTCAGCCCACCTTAGACGTCCTAGGTGGGCGTATATCACCAGCAGCTCTGTGAGTAGTAACGCGACGGCTACAGATTGACTACATATGATTTACAATCTGCATTGTTTCTTGAAAGGTTAATCATCAAAACGTGTTTGTGCGCCGTGGTGGCTCTTCGACCGCCTGAAAACTAACATCCCCCTCCATGAACCAACATAGAGGGAGCACGATGTCTACGACGAGCGCCACCCACCGATTCCCCCCGACGGTACTCCAGGAGATCTGTCGTGAACTTCTATGCTTGCCACTCGACCAGACGGATCAGGGTTTTCGGCACATAGGCTCCCGAACGGTCGCCGCTCTTGCAGTAACCGCCCGCCTTTTTCTCGAGCCCGCAATGAACGTCCTATGGCACACTATTCCCGACATTGCAGTCCTCTTCTTCACACTAGACGAGGAGGCCTACCATCAGGGGGAAGTATTCGAAGGCGAGAGGCAATTAGCGAGTCGATTTCTCCGAACAATTCTCTTTATTCTAGCTAACCTTCCGGCTCGGGATAGCAATTCAAAGGCACCCCGTCGGAGTCACAGCTCGAGCGATTCTTCGCGTACGCTCGGCGAGTCCGCGCGGTCTACTCTGCTGCGCACGTCTCGACTCGCGTCAGGTTCATCAACGCTAGCCCAGAAGCATACGACACGCTGGCAGAGATCCTGGGTGGCACCCGCACGCTCTTGCCCAACGTGGAGAAGATCTACTACCAGCGTCCGGAGACCATGTCTCTAGAGTTTTTCCGATCCTTCCACATTATGTTCAGCCCTAAGCTTTGGGCCTTGCACATCTGTGGCTTCCTCAGGTCCAACCTCTCGGGGAACGCGAAGCGACCTACGCGCACAGAACAGAAGGCCTTCGTGCAGATGCTGCATAAACTCGCCGACATCAAACCCCGACTGCAGGGGTTCTATATCTGGACAGACCTCAACAGCAGTGCCACGATGGCCGCTTCTGTGGCGAGCGCCGTATGCGTTTTCGACCATCTAGTGTCGCTGCAGCTGCCCAACTGCTCGGCGCTACTACTAGACCCTGCCGCTTTCGGACACCTCGCTAGACTACCGGGCTTGCGCGAGCTAGACTGCGAATTGGGCCGTTCGGAAGGCTGGGCGGACCTTGCGGCATCACTCGCCCAGCACCCGTCCTTCCCCGCCTTGCGCAACCTGGGTCTCACGACGCCAACATTCGCGCTAGCCACGACTCTTCTGCGCTTCGTCGAGTCGCCTTATCTCACCGAGCTGATGATCAACGGCGAGCACGATACTCCGCGCGACGAACTTGACCCCCTCCTCGCCGCCATCGCGGGCCTTCGGAGCGCAAAGACTCTCAAAAAGCTCTGTGTGACAGCCAGTGTTGTGCCATCTGGCACCGTCACCGGCGCCGCACGGCTGCCCTCCACAAATCGCAAGCCCCCACCGCAGCCCATAGACAGAGCGACGCTGGAGCCGCTGTTCACCATGCCCTGGCTGTACGAAGTCGTCTTGGATATCATCTGCCCGTTCGACGTCGACGATGCGCTTCTGGAGGCGTGCGCTAAGGCCTGGCCGGCTCTCAACGTCCTCAAATTAGGATTCGACGACCCCTGGGGCCTGCTCGCTGAAGGCGATCTCACGGAGAACAACTGGCACGTCGCGGATGGAGGCACAAGCCACTCCAGCCCTGGACGGATTGTACAGGAGGTCCTACCGCCGGGTACCAAAAACGCCGACAGCGCAGATGTGTGGCGCAAGCCGCGCGCGACGCTCTTTGGGCTCATCGCGCTCACGCGGCGCTGTCCCGAACTCCGCGTCCTCCAGGTCGAGCTCAATGCAAGTCTGAAAGCTGTCCCGCCTGCGCTCTTGGAAACCCGCCCCAGTGGGCCGCACGGCGCACCGATGCCAGTAAATATCAACAGGCTTGACGTCGGACTGTCCCCAATCGAGGACCCTTATGCGGTGGCGGCGTTTCTCTCTGACTGGATGTCGGACATGGACTCACTCAGGAGCGGCTGGATAGATCTGATGGACGGGGATGGCGACGATACGGACGACGAGGATGGTGAAGACGAGGACACTACCAATGGAGATCTTGGGTGGTCGTCCATCGCGCGCATCTACCACAAGCGGTGGCGGATGGTTGAGCGCCTGATCCCGATGTTCGCGCGGGTGCGTATGCAGGAGCGACACTGGAAGTGGAAGACAGCCGGTCCGCCGATGTGCGTGCCACGGGAGAACGAAATTCCGATGGATTTTTACGATGAGCTGGATGTCTTTTGGACTGGCATCCACTGGTGAATTACATTCTATTCTTTACGGGGCTTGCATCAGATCTGGATATCTCGCTATATACGCTTGTGCAATGTACATGTACATATTATGCATACAGTGCACTATACCGCACCGGGGGCGTTGAACGCCTTACATCCCGTCCGAACGGCGAGCCATCTGCAAATCAACATGTCACCATTATCTCCTAGCACATGCCGTTTCGTTAGAATTCACCAGTAAAGGTCTTCGTGTCTGCATACCACTCCGGGGGAGAGTCCATGACGTGGACAGCGACGCCCAACTTCTGAAGGTTTCGAAGGAATGAGCCGGATGGCCTGTCCACCCGTGCGAGCGTCACCGTGCTGAGGGCAATGCCGGCATCTGCACGGACACGCAGCCACTCGATGATGATCGCCTCGACCTTGCCCGAGAGTGTGACGCCGACAAGCTCGAGAGCTTCCAGCTCCGGACACGGCCAACCGGAGCCGGGCGAGTCGCCGTAACGCTCCCAGTCGTGGTTCACCGCAAGAGGGCCGAGGCCGTTCAGCAGGTACAGGAGAGCCTGAGCACTGCCGATGTCCATGAGATGGAGGACGCGCAGGTACACGAGTGACTGGAAGACGGGGATCCAGTCGAGGTCAACATATCTCTCCAGTATCCCCTTCTCACAGCCGCGGAGCATGAGGACGTCGATGGATCCGGGAATGCCGAGGTGGACGGCGGGCACTGTGCCGTGACGTCCAAGCGTGTCGGGCATGTACAGGGTCATGAGCGGATCTGCGGGGCCGAGTGTCGCCGATTGGAAGAAATAGCATAGTATGTCGCGAGCGCCTGGGTGTCCTACGAGAACCTCGGCCATGCGGAAATCCTTCAAGTCGGCCAGACGAGTGGAGGGCTCGAGGGGACCGAGCTGTTGCCCAAAAACATCCACAGCGCTCCCAAAGATCTCGTAGCGCGTGGTCGCAGGGAGGACGAGGCGAGTGAGGAGCTTCGCGACGTGTGCATGCGGGAAGCCGTGAAATGTGATTTGGGACAGCATAGGGAGCCTGACGATCGGTTGTGGATCCTCGGGTAGGACAAAGGGAGCGACGAGTTGTATCTCGAGGTTGAGGCGCTCCAGTGTGGGACAATGTCGTAGGATCCTCAGGAACGCCAGCTCGCTTATCTGCAGCCGTGAAAGTGGGCACCCGAGCTCGAGAACAGAGAGGTTCGAATAGATGTGACAGCCCCACGGGGGCATGACAGGGCTTAGACACAGATGTCGAAGTTTCGGGGCCTGGGGCACCGCATTCACCGACATCGGGTCGCTTGACCGAAGTTCTAGCATGCTTTGTGTGTTGAACCGATAGGCTGCTTCACGTTCGCCATCGTGATTGTAGTTTCCTACGACGCGGAAAGTCTCCAGGTAGGGAGCGGCCGAGGTAGCGAGGGCCTTCACGATCGGAATGATTGATACTGTATCCTGAGCCTCGACGACGAGCCACAGAAGCCGTGGGATGAGGCATAGCAGCGTTGGCGTAAACAAGTGGACGACCACACGGTCACGAATGACAATGGCGATGAGATTGTCTTTCGCACGTTGAAGAAAAGTAGTCGCCTTGTCGAGAGTAGTGACAGAGAGTGTAGACCAAAGCCAGGAATAGTCCAGTGCGACCTCACGCCACCACTTGCATACATGAGTGGCGTTCACCAGATCGTGCTCGTTGGGGGAGGTGGATACGGAATGGAAGAATACATGGACGAGGACCTCTGAAGGGAGGCGGTTGATAGGGGCTTTAGTGTTGCGGAGGTATCGCAAGTGGACGACGACGTCCTGTATTGCTTGCACTGATCCTTGAAGTAGCGCCAAGTGCTCGTCCACGGTTGAGCGGAGAACCTCGGCAGGGATGGAGGACGGGTCGAGGCGTCGCAGGTCCCGCAACACGATCGTTCGACCGATGGAAGGCGAGGAGTCAGTGGCGGACAGCTCGATGGAATCTGGAAGAGCAGCCATGGTCCTGAAAGCAATTTATTCAGAGTGAGTTATTATCAAAGAAAGGAATCAACGCGTAGACTGAAAGCGTACTCTCTCGGCGCGGTTGACGACAGTGTGCTGGAGTGGCGGATTCGGGTGAAGTGGAAGAATGGCTTGAGTGGCGCTACCAGTGTGCCACAGGCTGAGAATCTGACAACTCGCACGCACAAGATGAGTACGTAGTTTTACGCCACGTGGTTCTTTAGCACAAAATGCGAGTCGCCATGGTATCGACTATGGCCGTACGGGCGGTCTTGTTGCTGGGAACGTATAGCCGATGTATGCATCGACTAAGATTCCTGAATTTCTGAAGATGGTATAAGGCTTGCGTCGCCGCGCGACCTAAGTTGTGCCCAGGACGGTGCACGTTGTTGTCCGTGTTGAATACAATGTTCACGGATACCTCGTTGCGCGTTTTACGAAGCATTCAGAACTGAGAGTAAGCACAGATGCATAGCACAGCAAAGACATTGCACGTTTGAGCTAACCTGCCGCGACGAATATACATCTGTCAGGATACGCCACGAGTGGGATAGCGCATTCCACGGGGCGGTGGCGAACGAACGAGACAGGCATGTCAGACCCAGAGCAAGAGACCAGTGTCCAAAAGCAGCACAAAGAGACCCAGAGAGCAGCGTCCAACCCAAGAGAGACGAGTCCAACCAAGAGCCCCAAACAAAACATAGCGCGCAGCCCCAGCTAACCCATCCCCGCGCCAGCCTCGCACCCGCCGCCCTCGGGGACGTCCTCGTCATGGGGCCCCTTCATCGCCTCCGCGGCGACGCAGTCCCGCCGGCGCTTCTCCATGATGATAAACGTCAGCACGACCATGTCGATGTCGAGCGTCGTCGGCTGGATCTGCAGGCACCACTTGCGCTCCCCGCGGAAGAAGCCCTCGCTAACAGGCTCCTGCGTGAAGCGCGCGACCTCCGCGCCGGTGTCGAGACGGCTAAGCTGCAGCGCAGACTAGGCTTCAATACGGGGCTCTGGGGAAAGGAAAGGTGGGAGAAGGGCGCAGGACGTACGACGTGCCCAATATTCTTGAAAGGCTTCCACCGGTACTCCTTCCCGTCGTCGCCCAGAAAACGTCGGGTCCTGCTCACGCGACTCTCCGTCAATACCCCGTGCGCACACGCAGCCACAGACAAAATCCACAAAACAAATACTCACGGCGTAAAGTGGTGCCCCAGCTTGTACAGGAAGTTGCGCACCTCCATCTCCTGCAGCGTCCCGTCGAAGACATTGCTCCGCACGACCGGGTGCGCCCCAAAGCGCCGCCACTCGACCTCCCCCACGACGCTGTCCACCTCCTCGTCCGCCGAGCGCCGGATCGAGAGCACCGAGGGCCCGAAGCGGTGCGCTTTCGCGGTGCACACCTTGTAGTGCGCGACGCCGTTCGCGGAGACGAGCGTCGTGCGCTCCGGGTCGTTCGGGACGAGGTAGAGGCGCATGCACATGGCGCAGGGGCGGGCGCGGGAGGGCGGCGGGGAAGATGGAGAAGTGTAGGATGGCGGGGGTGCGATGCATGTACGGAGTGAAGCGCGGAAGGGGGTGCGAGGGATGACGAGGGTATGGTGGGAGTTAGCGGCTTGCTGATCGTAGGAGACACGTTCGTAGGCGGCAGTCTAGGCTTAGTTCCGTGGGCGGCGGCTGCATTGCGATCGGGGCTGCGGCGAGTGCAGGATTCCTAGGAGACCATGGAGTTCGTGAGGGCGGCCAGGCGCGCGCGCGTCGAGGAAGCGCGGGGAAGCGACAGGGATACGGCAGTCGACTTGCTTGCGATAGCGATAGTGCGTATATATGAGCTGGACCGGAAGGTCGAGAGCACTTCGTATCTTCGTTCGAAGAGTGTCGGGCCACAGTGGAATGCGGAGATCGTCTCAAGGAGGCTGTCATGTCGATCCCGTCGCGAGGCCAGACCCGGCGAAACTAGGAAGCCTCCAAGGTTCAAACACTGAGTCTCGAGTTCCGCAACACGACGCAGTGAAGATCATACAAATGGAGGGAAGCAGAAGGGCCTGGTTTCCCAGACGCAAGAGCGACAGCGACTGGAATCTTGGTGGTGGAAGGCAGAAAGCGGAGCAGTTGTAGACGCCCATACGCGCCGTGGAAATGAAGCGCCGACTGACGCCCGGACTCTGCGAGATGAATGCAGAAAGATGCGATAGAACATGCGATGTGCTACATAATGATACTACTAGCTACTATTACTGATACGAGACCGTGCTCCAACTCACAAAAAACGAATCCTGAATCGCACCGACGCAGCGACGCAATCCATATGCATAACCATGAGAAAGTCCCCATCTCACACACACCCAGATGCCTCCCCACCTCCGCACGCGGCTCCAGGTCTGCAAGCCGCTACAATCTCCGCGTCCCATCGTAGCCTGCGTCCGTGGAAGCCTTCGTCCGGAGGCGGGGAAGTCCGCCAAGCGATATTTATACAACGCGTCCCGGTACGCAAGTGCAAGCCTCCGATCCGAGTCCAAGGCTAGTCGCCGCCCTCGTCACCGCCACCGCCGTCCGCCGCTAGGATATGCGTATCGGGCTTGCTCAGAGGACGTGTCCGAGGATCCGCTTGTAGTCTGCGACAACGCTCTGGAACGTTTCCTCGAGCTTCGCCTGCCGGTCTTGCTTGTCCAGCTGCATGAGAATCTCCTGCTCAATAAGTCAGCATTCGCATAGGTAAACGAAAGCAGATTAATTACGCACATAGTTGAAGCGGTACAGCCGCTCCTTGACTTGCAACCGGTACGAACGTTGCGCGCGCTCGTCCGCCGGGTCCATGTGCTTCAGGATGAGCATCTCGATGAGCCGATTGAACTGCCGCTACAAGCACGCGTACAATCCACAACCGGATGCGAGGACGATGGATAGTCGGGAGCAGGAGGGAGAAATCGTCCGTTAGCAACACCGTCACAGACGGCACAGATACGCAACGTACCCCGGCGATCTTCAACTCCGTACGCCACTTCTCGAGCCAGGCGCGCTCCGCCGGTGGGCCCATCTTGCCGGCGCCCGCGCGCATTGGCCGGGCCTTCCCCCGTTTCGTGCGAGGGACTTTGCCGCCATTCGTCGACACCGCCTCCGGCCCGAACCCTTCGCGCATGAACTTGTCGTTCGCGATGAGCATCTTCAGGTCGTTCCGGTCCCGCAGGTCCTCGAAGGCCTCCGCAGGGTCCTCAACGGTGAGCTCCGCGATGCTTGGGCTCGCAAGCACGTGCTGGTAGATCGCGGTGTACAGCGCGGACCCATGGCCGTCTTGCTGGTACGGTGGAAGGATGAGGAATTGGGAGATGCGCATCCGAACGCGCTCGGGAAAACAGTAGAAGGGGTAGAGCGTCGAGTAGCCGACGAAGTGGTACGTCGTGACGTCGGGCGCGGACCGCCGTCTCCGCTTCTCGTACAGGGTGGCGAACTCCCAGGTGTCTTCTGTCTCACTGATGTACGACCCGCCCTCGATGTAGAGCAGCACGAATAGCTGCATTCGTCTGTGGAACTCCCGGAAGCCGGGTGTTGACCAAGTGCTCTGTTGGGCGTTGGGTCAGCTCTCTGGATCAAACCAGGTCCCGATATCGGCCCATAAATGATGTCTGGACCCGCACGGACGGGGGCCGGATCGAGATACCTCCGTCATGCGACTGCGACGGGCGGAGAAACATAGCTCAGGCAACGCAGGAGAGTATGCCTCAAGTGGTCTAGAGCTTCTCACGCTCCAATGCAGAGCGACACAAGACGCCTTGCAAACAGGGCGCAAGCAAATAGCGGGTGCGCCGGGCTAGAAGCATCCGTTCGGGGGGTCTAACACTGCCTGGGCGCAATAGAAGCAATGCGACGCGTGCGCAGCGCCACTCGGCTGCATCTGGATACAACTTGCGTGCACCCCTGCAGTGCCCAGGCTGACCGCGTACTTGTACGCCCATGCAGTAGGATCACTCTGCGTACCAGACCACTCCCCAGAGTGCAGCAGCAAGGAAAACACTGCTCACATGATAAACCTCGAAATCCACGGTTTCCTCGTCCTCTGGGTTGAGGACTTGCGGTATAGCTACATTCTTGCCCTTCGTGAGTGTCGTTGCAGCGCGGGTGTACGAGTAGATCTTCTTTCCAAACGGCTTGAAGTTCAGGGCATCGTGCTCGACGCGCTCTAGGAACTTCTTCTCATCGGTGTAGTAGTCTGGGGGTATGAACTTGGAGAGCATGCCCTCGATGTCGTCCACAGTTGACGTTGAGGGCAGCTTCTCCGAGTGTTGCACGTTGAGATAGTGCGCGAGGGAGCCAGATGCGAACTTGAGCTGCGGATAAGTGAGTACGAGATATGTGCAGACAAGCGGCGCGCACGTACCTCCATCGCGAGATCCTTGTAGCCATATATCTTCTCCTCCTCACCGAATATCTGAAGGGCGCGTTGGAGAAGGCGCTATCAACCAGCTCGTCTAGACTCACTGGGTACGTGAATGTTGGGTGAAAGCCCTCATAAACCTCCCTCGCCCATAGCGATGCTTTGTCCTCTGGGGCGCGGACTGGGCAGCCAACCGAGCTCTGTTAGCACAGTGCCTACGCGACGGGGCGGGTGTTTGCTCACTGAGAGAGAGGGATAGGGCTTCGTTCGCGTCTGTGGTCCACTGCTGGACAGCAGCGGGAGTGGCCATGGTGGTGGTGGATGGGAAGAGAGATGGGAAGCAGCGCTGAGCGCGAAATGGAGGGCGAGTGCAGTCGCGTCCCTGGTGCTCTCGGTCTAGATCTTGACCTCATCTTGGACGTCACGTCACACCGCGCACACAGTCACACCGTGCGACGTGACAACCCCCGCGCGTCCGTCGCGTCCCTGGCACGCGTCTCAGCCACAACGGCCACACCCCGTTCTCACACTTCTCTGCTTCCCTCCCCTACTGCCCCCGACCGTTCTCTCTCCGACAGAGATAAGCACTTTTTGTCTCACAAACACCACAGCGCATCACCCATCTTTCTCGCGTCGGCGGCGGACGAGGACAAAGCTCTGCAGCGGACGGACGCCCTGCACCCCAGAACCTACCATGGCGGAGGAGCAGCCCAGAGTGCGTCTCTCATCTCGGCACACGCGGCCATTCCAGCACCAGAAGATCTCTGACCAATCGTGCTCCCAGGTACTCACCGCTTCCGTGCACGACTTCAGGTACTTCGCCGCCCTTCTGCGCGGCGTCAACTTCGTCAACGTAAGCTCTTCCCTCTGCCTTATCTCGCGCGTTGCTGATCTCCCCCTCGACGTTCTCGATCCCGCAGCGTGCTAGCGTCTCAATTACCGCCGACGGCTTCACAGTAACCGTCGAAGAGGCCAGATGTCTCACTGGTGAGCCTTCCCTTCGCCCTCGACGGATCGCACCAGATGGCTCGTTTGGGCATGCGTAACGTGATGGCACCGGACGCGAGGACTTCATTTCTGGAGACATTCTCGGAGCTTCGCGATTCGGCCGCTATCTTCTCGGCAATATCGCTTCCAAGGAGAACATCTCGTTTCTTGAACAAGTTGTGCTGCAGTGCTCCATGCTCCGCTGAACGTTTAGGCCCAAGGACCGGACTTTCTGCTTCTGAGCGTTCTTCCAAGCCGCCCACGGCTTCGGTCGGCCACTCAAGTCACCGGGCTAGGCCTGCACGTGTATTCGCGAGTTGTTCATGCTTCTACTGAAATCGATTGACCCGGAAACTGGTCGTTCGTTTCCAGATAGGTGTATACACCCATCCACCTACTACGTAAAATGCGCGTGTGTGGCCAGGCGTTTCAATGCCCATAGCCAGCTTGTTCGATTCTGGGTGCAACACCTTGCTGGTGCGTGGGTAGCATTATGCAACGCTGCCGTCTTGGCCAGACATCTCTTTCCTCGTCGCAGAGCTTGTACGCCTGCTTCAAGGGAAATGGGTGTTTGACCACGGCAACGTTGCGATACAAGTACCCGATCCACCTTTAGGTCGCCGCATAGAGCGCTGAGAGGGTTAACTGATAGCATATACGAGCACTCGGCTCGTGCACACCTCCAAGCAGCGTACATGCCCACGTCTCTGTCTACAATGCTTCAAGTGATGCGCCTGTGCCAATTCTGAGTATGAAAGACTATCTGTGAATTTCGTGAAGGGCTCATCGACGTGATAGCGAGTGCCAGAAACATATGATCTTCGCTTGTTTGAGCGTAGGCGCGCGCAAAATCTTGCATTTCCTTTGCATTTCCTTGCGGTTAGCCGGCGCCCTTACTCGTGGTGTGAAGAAACGATGTATGGGCCGTTTTCTATTCCCTCGTTTGCGAGGCGTTGCGCGACAATACGGGGCCGAACAAGTGACTCCTAGCTAATGGCTGAGGTCGCTTGGGCGGTCCTCATGTCTCTCACCAACGCTCTAAGAGGCCAGCATCGTGAATTTGCCTCACAACACGGACTGATCATTTGTTACGAACCCTGCGACGGAGCACCTCCTTCCTGGATGTTTATACTTCCCGCGACGGTTGGGATCGTAGCGTTCTGTCGTGGATCTGCCGGCTAAACAGCCGTTCTGTGAAGCACATTCATTGCACATTCATTCGAACGGCCCGAGAGCCTCTTTGTACATACTAAGAACTCGCGCGGCCCTACGCGATTGTTGGTCCGCGTTTGGGGTTCGCTTCTAGTCATCAGACCCAGCAGCCTGAGAGCTATCGTCACGCGCGCGAGGTCACAGAGGGCCTACTTGTCGGCCAACGCTCTGTCTGACAGCGTGTGGGACGCTCGAGCGTGATATGCGGACGCAGACGGCCGTCCACGTTCATTATGCGCCTTTGGACTTGATCTGCTTCATCTCTTCCCCGCAAACTCACACGTAAAGTGTTCCCGGCCCTATCAGGTGCAAAGCTATTCCGGGGTTCCATTACATTGTCCATGGGGCCTTGCGCTTCGGGCGGGACGTGGCTGGGCCGCGCAGCCTGGGCGTTGGCGTCATAGGGAAACCTTCGCTCGGACGCGCCCGACGGGTTCGCGAACGTACGTTTCCCACCGGGCGAAGCGCGGATGAATGCATCTTCGGTGCTTCGCGCCTATGGGAGAACCCTTCACGATAACATGTGCGTCTGCGCGCGAGCTGTGCGCCGATTGCGCGGCGCACGGTGATGAGAGTCTTTATGAATGTCCGCCGGTCTCGCCCCACGGGTCCCTGCTGATCGCGTTATATCCGTCGTGTTGTGCACGCCTCTCACGCAACGTAACGCTGACCCTATGTCCCGCAGCGACTGCCTTTGTCTTCAGCCACGTCTTCGACGAGTTCGTCTACAACCCTGATGCCGCACGGCCCTCACAGCCGTCCCAGGACGACGATGACGACGAAGTGACCACAACGGCGTTCGACATCCCTCTCGGCACCCTTATGGACTGCCTCAACGTGTTCGGCACAGCGGGTGCCTCTAGCACTTCACAGAAGAAGAAGAAAACACGCGAGGACGGGGAGGACTCCGACGGCGGCGGTGGTCGCGCGGATAGGAAGGGCAAGGGGAGGGCGGACGCAGGGGACGCGGGAGGAAACGCGCGCCTCGACCAGTGGTTTGCCCCTGGCAAAGGCACAGGCATGCGCATGTCGTACGCGGGGCCTGGCCATCCTTTGACGTTGCTCGTGTGAGTACGGGGCGCCGCTGTCATTGGTGTGTCCACTGACGCGATCCGAGGCAGGGCGGAGGAGTCTGGTGGGCCTACCGCGACCTGCGAAATCACGACCTGGGACCCTGAGCCGCGACTTGACCTAGCCTTCGACTCTGATGCAACGTGAGTACCCGCCAAGGATGCGAGGCGGACTAGATGCT